AAGGCGAGACCGGGGATTAGTTAAAGAACTTCTAAGAATAAGCGATAAAACCTCCGTCTTTACCGACCGTACCTAAGAAATAGCCGAAAGGAGAGTAGAGATATTAGAAGCGAAATATCCTAAATTACTTTAAGAATAAGTCTATAATGAAAAAGCTCACTAAAATTAAAGAAAGAGAAGTCGCAATTAAGGAAGCGGCTGAAAAGCAATTAGAAATTCGAAACGAATACATTAAAATAGTGATTCAGCTCAGAAAGAGACCGCGGTTAATATCGTCAGTTCTAAGAATATCTTCAGAGATAGGAGTGAGAGCTCCTAAGCGAATACACTTCTCGTCCATCGAACAAGCGTTTACGGAAGCTAAAGAAACTATTACCAATAGTAAATATCTTCGTGGAGAGTTTTAAGAGTTACCTTCGCCCTTTAATACGAGACTATATAAATAAAACTCATTAAGGAATCCTTTTAATGTAGAAAGACTAGTATGGGAGATTATCATAGACTGATCTAAGAGAGTTAAGTATAATACCGGCAAAGACACTTTAACGAAACGATAAGCGGATGGAGTGGTTTAGTATAGATTTAAAGCTGTCACACGAGCATTTTAAAGATTAATCGAAGTATTACCGACTAATATTAGTTCGAGATAATCTCTTTAGTGTTACGTTGCCCTCGAAGTAATTCGAATCATAGAAAGAGTGGAGACTGAAAAAGATACGTCAGAAATTTAGCAAATTCGAGACGCTTTGAAGAAATTTAAAGAGCATAGTCGCGGAGCAAAGAAACCTCTTCGCGGCGGAAATTACTACTCGGGAGGATGCATAATTAACAAGAAAGAATTGAAACACCTTTTACTTAGTGCGGATTATGACGGTTAGTTGTCTATGAATTGCGTTATTAGAGGCATCGCGGCCTACCGAAAGCACTAAGTGAAAGACAGATGAAATGTGATCTGCCCATATGACGTTCGAGGAATATTTACGTTTACAATCTGGCCGCGATCGTAGCGATAAGATAAGTTTATATGAAAGAAGCTAATTCTCTATCGAGAGATCAACCATTGGTGATTAATATACGTCGATCCCGATTCTCGAATCGTTTACGCCATGGATTCGATTGGGAAGCGCACGGCAAAAGACTCAATAATTTCGATCATTTTGGAGTATCTTAACTCTTAAGTTCGAGCAAAGCTCGAAGACGGCAGACAGTTCACATTTTAGAATGTCAATGTCAACAAACAACTAAATGACTATAATTGCGGAATGTTTATCATCTTTTAGACCAAAGCTCTTATGGAAAACGGTATTAAAGCTGTCAAAGAAGTCAAAATCGATACTTCCCATCGAGTTTAACTCATTTAGAATATTCATTAAGCTATTATCAGAGATGAAAAGATGCCATTATTATGGCCGTCTCGCGCAGAAACCAGTGAGTGATAGCTATTAAAGCCTATTGTAATAGCCACTCTAGATGAAAGTGTTGTTGATCTCATCAACTAAGAGAATACGAACCAGATATTACAGGCTTATATCGACCTATATAGCGAAGAGAGAATAGGTTTAGAATATAACAGCAATGACCCTTGAGATAGAATCCCAACGCTAAGAGTGAACTCTCTCTTTCCTCGCGTTGCTCAGTCAGTTAAGGGAGGATTCTAAGAGCGAACCCCAGAGCCACCGAGTAATATTAATATGGAAATAGACTCGACCTTAAGACAGAGTAATTATCAAAGCGGAATGTTAAGAGCGTCTTCGGTGTCCTCATATAGACCGAGCAGATCTGTTACACCTACTGGTAGTATTCTAGTTCGTGTTCTAGACTCAATAAGAGAGGAGAATCTACTCCCGTTGCGAGCTTCTTCTTACAGTGCTGCGGACCCGCCCCCTGGGTAATAATAGGGTTAGATAATTCTTGAGTGTGCTGTGTACTATCGAACGAGGTCGTCCTATGAATGGGAGAGGGAGGGATGTAATAAGGTAAGGTGGCTGTGCTATGATGGGCTGTGCTGGGCTGATAGAGCGGTGGCAAGGTGAAAAAGTTATTTAGTTACATGTCAAATCTAAATGGGCTGGCAGAGAGGAGGTGCGGAACAGTTTACAGTGCTAGTAGTGTACCATTCATTTTTTACAGATTAAGCAGAGTATTATGAATTCCATGGCTTTTAGTGCCGTCTACCTAAATTCTGAGAGTGTTTTATTAGTCCTGTTCTGTTCCTCGATGCTGCCGCTGTGCTAGGTGTTCGTAGCCCTAGCCGCTGCCTCTCTGGGTGGTGTTGGTGGTGTTGTTGTCAGTATCAACCAGAAACGCGTTCCCGATTCCCGATCTGCTGGACAGGCCTCTGTGCGTTGTTGTACGTGCACGCCAAACTCTGAAGTGCTCTGTTATAATAAGTTATAGCTACGCGTTTAGAATATTATCTTTAATTAAAGAATAGATTACATTAGCTAAATAGTATAGAGCTATTAAATATATATAATTTAATTCTCACCGAGGGTCTCCTAGAGATATTAATTAAATAAATTAATTAGGTCGAATAGAATCTCATTATGAGAAAGAAACTAACTATAAAATCGTCTATTAAGAAATTTATAGAAAAGAGATTTAGTAAGACACTAGCGAAAGACGAGACTAGGAATTAGTTAAAGAACTTCTAAGAATAAGCGATAAAATCTTCGTCTTTACTAATCGTATCTAAGAGATAACCGGAAGAAGAATAGAGATATTAGAAGCGAAATATTCTAAATTACTTTAAGAATAAATCTATAATGGAAAAGCTCACTGAAATTAAAGAAAGAGAAGTCGTAATTAAGGAAGCGACTAAAAAGTAATTAAAAATTCGAAATGAATATATTAAAATAGTAATTTAGCCTAGAAAGAGATCGCGATTAATATCGTTAGTTCTAAGAATATCTTTAGAGATAGAAGTAAGAGTTTCTAAGCGAATATACTTCTCGTTCACTAAGTAAGCGTTTACGAAAGTTAAAGAAATTATTTTTAATAATAAATATCTCTATGAAGAGTTTTAAGAATTATCTTCGTTCTTTAATACGAGACTATATAAATAAAACTTATTAAGAAATTCTTCTAATATAGAAAGACTAATATAGAAAATTATTATAAACTAATTTAAGAGAGTTAAATATAATATCGGTAAAGATACTTTAACGAAACGATAAGCGGATAGAATAGTTTAGTACGGATTTAAAGCTATTACACGAGTATTCTAAAGGTTAATCGAAGTATTATCGACTAATATTAGTTCGAGGTAATCTCTTTAGTGTTACGCTATTCTCGAAGTAATTCGAATCATAGAAAAAGTGAAAGCTAAAAAAGACACGTTAAAAATTTAGCGAATTCGAGACGCTTTAAAGAAATTTAAAGAGTATAGTCGCGAAGTAAAGAAATCTCTTCGCGGCGAGAATTACTACTCGGGAGAATGTATAATCGATAAAAAAGAATTAAAATATCTTTTATTTAGTACGGATTATAACGATTAGTTATCTATAGATTACGTTATTAAAGGCATCGCGGTCTATCGAAAGCACTAAGTGAAAGACGAATGAAATGTAATCTATCTATATAACGTTCGAGGAACATTTATATTTATAATTTAGCCGCGATTATAGCGATAAGATAAGTTTATATAGAAGAAGCTAATTCTCTATTGAGAGATTAATTATTAGTAGTTAATATACGTCGATTTCGATTCTCGAATCGTTTACGCTATAAATTCGATTAGGAAGCGTACGATAAAAGACTTAATAATTTCGATTATTTTAGAGTATCTTAACTCTTAAGTTTAAGTAAAGCTCGAAGACGGTAGATAGTTTATATTTTAGAATATTAATATTAATAAATAACTAAATGACTATAATTATGGAATATTTATTATTTTTTAGACTAAAGCTTTTATAAAAAACTATATTAAAGCTATTAAAGAAGTTAAAATCGACACTTTCTATTAAGTTTAACTCATTTAGAATATTCATTAAGCTATTATTAGAAATGAAAAGATACTATTATTATAGTCGTCTCGCGTAGAAATTAATGAGTAATAGCCATTAAAGTCTATTATAATGGCCACTCTAGATAAAAGTATTATTAATCTCATTAACTAAGAGAATACGAACTAGATATTATAGATTTATATTAACTTATATAGCGAAGAGAGAATAGATTTAGAATATAATAGTAATAATCCTTAAGATGAAATCTTAACGCGAAGAGTGAATTCTCTCTTCTCTCGCGTTACTTAGTTAATTAAGAGAGAATTCTAAGAGCGAACTCTAGAATCACCGAGTAATATTAGTATAAAAATAGACTTAATCTTAAGATAGAGTGATTATTAAAGCGGAATATTAAGAGCGACTTCGGTGTTCTTATATAGACCGAGTAAATCTATTATATCTACTGATGATGTTTCAGTTCGTATTCTGGACTCAATAAGAGAGGAGAATCTACCCCCGTTGCGAGCTTCTTCTTATAGTACTACGGATCTACTCCCTAGGTAACAATAGAGTTAGATAATTTTAGAGCGTACTATATACTGTCGGACGAGGTCGTCCTATGAATAGGAGAGGGAGGAATATAATAAGGCGAGGTGGCTATGCTGTGATGAGCTGTGCTGGGCTAGTAGAGCGGTGGCAGAGTGAAAAAGTTATCTAGTTACATGTCAAACCTAAATGGGCTGGTAGAGAGAGGGGTGCAGAATAGTTTACAGTGCTGGTAGTGTGCCATTTATTATAGATTAAGCAGAGTATCATGAATACCATGGTTTTTTGGCGCCGTCTACCTAATTCCTAAGTGTTTTTTATCAGTTCTGTTCTGTTCGTCGATGCTCCCGCTGTGCTAGGTGTTTGTAGCCCTAGCCGCTGCCCCTCTGGGTGGTGTTGGTGGTGTTGTCTTGTCAGTATCAACCAGAAACGCGCTCTCGATTCCCGATCTGCTGGACAGGCCTCTGTGCGTTGTTGCACGTGCACGCCAAACCCTGAAGTGCTCTGTTACAGTATAGCTCCCACAAAGCCCAGAGCGGCACCGAATTGGAGAGACCTTTTGCGGCTAAATCTATCGGCCAAGATGAACACGGTGATGATGCCGACAAGTGTGCCTGCGTAGAATGCGCTCGCAATCGCCCTGTTCGAGAAAAGAGTCATTTAGATAAATTGTCATGCCTGGGCGAAGAGTACATACCCCTGTAAACTCGGCGAAGGCTTGAAGCGATTCAAGAACCCCGGCTGCGCAAACCTGTGTGGGACCAGTAAGCATGGGACAGCGCTAGCTGGGTGACGGGTGGCCATCACTCACGTGCTAGCAATCACGGCATTGTCGATGCCATACAACATGCTTCCAAAACCTGCGACGATAGTGCAGTACCAATTGTACTTTCTTCCCATGGTGGCAAGAAGAAAATCCTTCGAAGAGGGTCCAAAGTTCACTTGAGAAGAAACAATATCTGGTGCAAGTACTCACGTATTTGTCCACGATTTAAGTTACTAGATGTTCTCACAAGCAAGCGAGGACGTTTATATACTTCGGTCTTTGCTTCCCCACACTTGAACCATCGATCTCGTGGCCATGTAGGACGGTGTCTGGGGTGGCCATGCCGGGGGTGGATGTTCCTAGGCCCATTGTACCCCACAAAATTTGTCGTGGCTAGTAGTCTTGCCCCTTATAGGTCCAGCGTTTTCAACCTTTCCCAAAGGAGGTACTCGGAAGCCCAGGATGGTTAGCATTCAAGAGTCCGAAAGGGTTATATTGTCTCCTTGGTTCGCAAACTGGGTCTTGGTGGTTGAACAGGGACGGTACGGCCGGACCAAAAACCAGAGCCATTGGGATGGACATACGACAATTACACAACCAACCGATGCGAAGAATCTGTGAGACCGGTTCTGAACCCATAGTCCGGAAGCGATCGACGAGCCTGATTGCCCGCCGAACCATTTGACCAGTATTACCGGATAAGAACAGGTTAGACAATGACTACGTCAAGGAGGCAGAGAGGGTGCCAGATGCCGTCAAGCTCCCTTGTGCCCCTATATGGTGGAAGAAGGTACGAAGGAAAAAAGAAGGGAGAGTCGATCCTTAAGGACTAGAACTCATTCTCAAAGCTGTATGAAGCCGCTGGTCTGAAATCTTATTCGAACTGTTCATAGCCAAATTTACCTTGGTATCTGATTGTTAAGTCGTCTCCCGCCAGTATTGCCTCCTTTCTAGCAATGAGCTCGTCGACAGACCAGTTTGCCGAGATGAATCTTCCCGAAAGCCACGCCGCGGCGTCGGTAGCTAACCAGACACCAGTGCTACCTACAAGTTCGGGAGAATCCAAAGCGAAAGGTTTATGATGATCTAGCGAATAGGCAGCGTTGGTCCAAAATTTTCCACCGGCAACACAAGCGTTGGGGACTTACCTATAGCAATGGTGGTGTCCATAATGCCCGGTTGAATCGTCACACAGTTTACGTTGGGATACTCGGCAGCGAGATACTCAGAAAACCTCAAGCTTGTCAACTTACTGACCGAGTAAGAAGAAGCCCCGCCATCGACGTAGACAGCGAAGCCGGAGGAGACCGTGATGATGCTGCCGGATCTGTTTGCACCGAGGAGTTTCAAGAATGCTCGGCTGACCAGATAAGTTCCCTTCACATTGATCTCAAAATCTCGCCACCACAGTGACGGGTCCGAGTCAGCAATCCTATCGGTAGGACCAAATGTACCGGCATTGTTGATGAGAACATCAGCATGACCATATTTGGTCTTGATGACTTCGAACAATGCATCGACAGCGTTGGGAGACGTAATATCGGTGGGTTGCAGAATGTATTCGACGTCGGTCGTGATCTGTTTGAGAGCCTTTTCGATTTCTTGGAGTCCGTCAAGATCCAAGGCCACGAGAATGATGGCCTTAGGCCTGGCTTTGCAAAGCAAACTGCCCAGCCTCGTTGGCCGATGCCGGACGACGCCCCGGTTATCACAACCACTCTCCCTGCTTGTGAAAGCGCCGGCGAGGTTGGATCGATCGATGGATATGGCTCTCGATAGAGTGTTCGAGTATAGGCAGACTCTTTCAGATAATAGTCATCGGCAATGTCCGACATTCTGTTAATGTTTCACACCCTGTGCTCATCAGAGCGATTTCGAGGTGATAGGCGGACCTGGCAAAAAGGACAGCCTGAGAGTGTACTTTGTCCCTTACGCTGGGACCAGGAACAAAATAAAGAAATAATAAAGACGGTGTGCATAATGGAGCAAAATGCAGAAGTTGCGACCCGTAGCTGCCCCGATCCCCACAATTGCTACAGTGAGAACACTTTCCTTCTTCTGTCCGATTCCTGTTTGGTCGTTCCGGATGACGAGTAAGGATCACATTTGCCCAGTACCGAAAGCGTGGGGGTTCAGGCGGGACTCAGAGGAAAAAGGAATACTATTTACTCAGGCGTCGAGAACAGAAAGTCGTCGGCTTAGATGGGCACTCTTTTCGAAAAACATTCTTCCCCCATCCCCTCTCTAAGGAGGAATTCTTGCTGAAAGCGACGGTCCAAAATTTCTCCACGACCTGTTCGGTCGACACGATGGGCGTTAAAAAGACCATGTTTCTCGTGCAGGTGTCTGTCGAGCCTGAAAATATCGAGAAGTTTCTCGAAGCCTTTCGTGAAATCGTCGAGCTCTGCTGCAAGGAGCCCGAATGTGAGCGCTTTGAGGTCTTCGCAGATACAGATGAAAAGGGCCTGTTCCACTGGGTGGAAACGTGGAACGCGAGCAGGGAGTGGGTTGAGAATGTGAGCCCTGCCACCTTGATCCTCCGACCTTCTGCGAGGGTCTAGTCCGGTCCACCTGTCCTTCTTCAGTGTCCCCAGTTGATTCATGAAGACAGGGAACCAAATGCATTTGATCGGCTTAGCGACGGATTCGGACTAACTTCTCATGGTCTCCAGGTACAGGTGAAGAAGCCGTATTATGCCGTCTATCAAGCTAAGACAGTCCCGTTGTGGAAGAGACCTCGTATGGATATGTCCATATTCGGACTCATGAAAGCTCGACGCTGACGACCACAGTGACTGTTCAATGGCTAGACCATACATCTGTCATCCCTCCATATCTGAACAAGTAGTGGGAGACGGTACACCCAGGGGCAGGCGCACTCGAGAAGGGGTCTTCTGATAGTTGCAATAGCGCCCAACGAAGTGGCGGAAGGGCTCCGAGTGCAACAGTTTGTTTGCTGAGAGGAGAAGGTTCCATATCACATCAAGCGGCGAACGAGGGAGATGCGCCTAAATTTCATTTCTCTTATCTAGGATAAGGATAGATTCCACAGCGTCTAGAGTTAGCTACACCCACCCGAACTCAGATCACACAGCCAATTCCCATACATCAAGATTTGGTATCTTGCGTAATGCTGATCCAGGTTGACGCGAATGTTCACTGACATATTCCCTTCAAAATATTTCCGCTGGAGTTCCTGCTCTTGACCGTGTCACCTATCAGCAGCCTTTGTTTGGCGGACCGACACGGCGTCTCGTTTGGCAACTTCACAGATTCTAGGATGGACACCCACATGTTTGCGTCATCGGTTGAAGTTATCTAGCGGAGCATCGTGCTTAACATCTTCCCATACCTCATTAATGCCTGCGCAGGCCATTTCGCTCAACGGACCCTTGGCGAGTCCATCAAGGGTGTCCCTGAGCTGCTCGAGGCTGCTCGCGCCGATAACAATGGCGTCTCCGTATTTTTGGGTGCTCAACTGTGAGTTCGAAGAAACCCAACGATATGCCAACTCGGCTCGAGAAACGCCCTCTTCCTGGGCAATTCGTTCCCACTTAGTCAGTGCGTTGAGGTATGATGGCTTGTTGTACATATCACGGTACATGCCACCCGCGACATCCTTGCCGAACCGCCCAACGCCTTCTTCTATCTGTTTCGCCGTTTTGGTCAATAGCCCTCCGGCCAGGGGACTGTAGGCATAGAAGGCCATATCCAGCTCGCGAAGAGTCGGGAACAAGAGGGTCTCCTGGAGTCGAGCAACAGGACTATAGTTGCCTTGGTACACGGTTGGGAGAATCCAGTTGTTCGCCTTGCAGACATTATAAACCCTTTCCGCCTCTGAAGCCGAAAAGTTGGAGAGGCCAAAGCGTTTGTAGAGGCCAGAATTGTAGGCCTCGTTGACCCCCTCGAGGGTTTCTTCGAGGTTTGTTTGGGCGTCAGGAGAATGAAGATAGAAGATATCCACCTAGGAAATATTGTGAGTTAGCACTAAGGGATGCCTATCAATGCAACTAGATAATCGCTGTCGTTTGACGCACTGGGGCAGTGTAGCATTATTTGCATCCAAGAACGTCGCTGATATCGGACAAGGAAGACGACAGTGTACTGAAAGATTTTCTTGCCTTTTCCACCCCGAGCTTGTGAACACTGGCTTTCACCGACTTGACGATGGTGTCTTTGGTACCTGAGCCGGGAACCCACCCGGCTAACCATTTTGTGTCGATTGTGAAAATATCCCCTGCTTTAACCTCGCCCAGACGCTGTTCGGCATTGCAGTACAACTGAGCAGTGTCAAGGGTTGTGACACCGTGGGATTGAAGGGTTGACCAGATCGTCTGGAGGTAGTCTTCAGCAATGAACGGCTCTTCTTTGCCAACCAAGACGGTGCCAAAGATAATAGAAAGGCGATCCGACGCCATATTCCAGGAACGCTGGCACTTCCAGTCAAGGAAATCGAGGATTAGACTTTTTATCACTCCGACTTCGCTTGTTTACAGCTACCGGGCAAATCTAGGGAGATTCTAGGCCTGACGGCGCGAGCGTTTATGCATTGAGAAGAGGCAATGGTGAATGAACAATTTCTAAGCAACGACAAAGTAAATTTGTGGGACAGGATCTTAGTTGAATGGATACAAGTTTCATAAAAATCATACCTACCACTGCATGCTTCATGCAGGCCGAAAGGAGCAAGACTCAAACAGGTAACTTTGCTACCGAAAGGGGCAAAGTTCTAACCGAAACGGGAGGCTGCGGGCCGCCTAGTCGCCTGTACTTGGTAGAAGTTTGTCGAGTGGGTAGCGTTGTTAGACCCAGCACGGCCTTGGGCTTACACCGTCGTGGCCCGGACACAAATTCGTTAGTCAGCGTTTGCTCGAACCATCTCCTTCAACAGTCATGCCGTCGTGAGTCTGAGCCTGCCTCCACTAACACAACATAGAGTCTACGTGCGTCGGTTATTTCTTTTGAGCTCTCATCGAAGCCGGGAAAAAAGTTACGATCAGCAGTTCGTCCACATCGCCTCTGCGCAAGGAAGTTCGAGACAATGGTTCAGAACAAAGCCTTCATTTACAAAAAGATTCCCAATGGACTGCCTATTCCTGGTGAGGATGTGACTGTCGAAGATATTGGCTTTGACGAAAATGCGCTGCCACCAAAGAACGGCTTCAGTATGAAAAATGTACGTGCTCTGCTCATGGCAACAATGGCTGATCATCCTGGCCGAACATGGCAAGTGATTCAAAACCACATTATCATTTTGACACTCACCTTTATGTGCTCAGCTATATGCCTCGTATGATCCCGGCCAGAGACGCCAGCTGAGGGATCCTGCCATACCTTCTTATTCTGCCGCTCTGAAGCCTGGAAGGCCGGTCGTCTCTGTCAGTGTCATAGGTCAAGTATTGGAGTCCGACAGGCCGAACATCAAGAAAGGGGCACTCGTGACTGTCCAGAACTGTAGCACTGAAGAGTACTCCATCGTGCCAGAGTCGCTAGCCAAGGATGCCCAATTGATCGAACCGAAAGACAGCATACCTCTCACAGCATACCTGGGTGTGCTTGGAATTAGTGGTTGGTGCTGCTTAACTGGCCTGGAGACGATCCCTTACTCATCCAAAGAGAAGGCTTGACCGCATACGGATCTCTACGCGAAATTGCGAGACCTAAAAAGGGCGAGACGATTCTAATATCTGCTGCTGCCGGTGCGGTGGGCCAGATTGTTGGTCAGATCTGCGTTCGAGAAGGCTTACGCGTATGTTTCCCGATATCACATTCCTCTGAGATACTCTGAACCAATGGATCGGTGCTGATTGAAGCCATCCGGGTCATCGGGTCTGTTGGTGATGACAGCAAGCTCGAATTCATCACGAAAGAACTCAGGTTTACGTCGGGGTTTAACTACAAGAAAGAGAAGATGGCCGATGCGCTCAAAAGACTTGCGCCGGACGGACTGGATATCTAGTGAGCAATCAAGGAATCTGATGCTATTTTTCTTTCTGGCACCGGGATTGACTACTTACCCGTCACCATTACCCTAGCTTCGACAATGTTGGAGACGAACTACTTGATACTGTTCTTTGGGACATGAAGACATTCGGTCGAATTGGTGCGTTAAGCCCCTTTCTGCCAGATCGGATATAGGGGGGAACCTCCATTATGCCATCTTGCTGATCTGCTGACTTTTGAACGCCTCGAAGTGGCCAGCGGCACGATTTCCACATACAATTCCTCCGACTCGAATCCTATATTGGGCGTCAAAAGTTACTCAAAAATCGTTCGACGACGCCTGAAGTGGGAGGGATTCCTGGTTTACGACCAGAACATTCAGCAATGGGGTAAACAGCGGGACGAAGACGTTTTTCGCTGGATTGCAAACGGCGAACTAAAGTCTGTAGAGCACATCACCGAGGGGATTGAAAACGCAGCCGAGGGATTTGTGGGGATGTTGAAAGGGGATCTCGGCAAGAGCATCCTAAAGATCACAAAATCTTAGTGATGATAATATAGGGCAAGATTAGATAGTGTAGACCTAACTCTGGAGAAGGAACATCAAAACTGGGAACCTAGAGCTCTTAGAGTACAAGGTTCTAGGATGAGACAGAGTTTGCAGAGTGGACAGCAAACTTCGACACCATACTTCTTTCGCCTGACCGAGAGAAAATGTATAATTTCAGATTCGGTTAGTCACTTACCCTGACTGTGTATAGTCTTGCAGCCAAATGTTAGGTGTAAAGCGACAATGGCACGCAGGTGGCGTTCACGCTTCGAATCCTCAGAGACGGTGCCAACCGCGTTGCTGCGCACAATTTGTAATAAATGGTGGACGGAACGTCTCTTTCGGGTATTCCTCCTACGCAGATCTTGCCAATGCTCGGTAGCGAAAGTATATAAGTCGTTGGAGCCGGGGATGCAACTCCTTGAGCAAAATCTCAAATTCTTTCCAAATGAGCGACATGGCATTTTCCGACAAGGCCCCATGCACCGAAATTGTGTTCATTCCCACCAAAACGGGGGACAACCTCACGGATTTTAGCAGTCCCCCTGGTGAAGTCTATCAGGATATCCTTGATGCTATCACAGAGCATGGGAAACCCCAGAGACTGTACTGGGGCCGCTAAGTCGAGGATCCTACCATGTACTACTATATCCTCGATTGGCACGACCTTGGCGCGCATAGGGAACTCCAGAAATGGGAGTATGTGATTGCGTTGGAAATGACGTACAACTTTTAACTGACAGGCTTCCAGCGGCTATGGCCCGTTCGTTGAATGATTCCAGTCTCTGGTCAGCGGAAGACCATTCCACTATCACGCCAACCTGGAGCCACATCCGCCTACAGCCGTATACTGCGAGGCCACTGGGTTGCTCCAGCTCTATTTCCCGCTAGACTATTCGAAAGTACTCAGTAGACCAGAAGGCTCTTCATGAGAATTTGGTCTGGCTGGGGCAGATAATCAAGGCCATGTGGCCTGGGTGTAGGGGTGCATCGAGCGGCAGGGTACTGGAGGAACTCGATGTTCCCGGCGGTTTTAAAAAGGCGAAGGTGTATGTCATGATGATCGGCTGGGAGAGCGTCGATTCGCATACTAGGTATCGTGATTCCAAGACATTTGGCATGACCGCCCACCACATTTTAAAGGCGACGGATCTTGTCACTTTCGAGATGTTGCCCTTTGAGACAAACAGTTTGTGTGTGCCAAGGGTTCGAAATCTTGGCCCTTAAGTTGCGCAAATAATTTTGCGTGAAAATTATGCCGAGGTCCAAAAATCCTTTGCATGCGACGACTCTCCGGGAGCTTCGAGAAATCCAGTAGCGCTTTCTTATTATTTCAAAGCTCGGCGTGATCGTCGGAATAAGGTAAACCCGTAACGTCACGTGCCGTAACTCCGCCAGCGGAGTTGACACTGCTAGTGGCAACAAATCCCGTGCTTATCGAGTCGCTACGAGAAACGGGGCCTACACAACCGAGACCTCTGCCTATAGTGCTGGTTTCTCCGTTGTCCGTTTTCCCTTCCTGTTCCGTCCAGCATGAGAGAGATTTACTCTGAGCACAACACGGACAAAAGCCTGGACGCGACGGTCGATTGGGCCTCTAGGACTTTGGAGAAGGCGCCGTGGTATCACCCCAAAGTGCTGGCATTTCTCTCGCCCATTTTCTCTCCTTGGGCGGCTTCACGGCTTCATTCAATAGCCAATACGCTAGCTGATCGCGATCGATCGTGGTCCGCCAGCCATCCTTTGCGACATATCCCGCCCTTGCACCCTCGACCGGTCCCACGGCATCCTTGATCAAGTTCAGCCGACAGACCGTCCAATCGACGCCGACGCTGTTGGATTTGAGGTCATTTAGGAACACCTCTTTGATAGCTAATGTCTCCCTTCGTGCACCGGCAGCAATGCTCATGATGAAGAGAATGTGAAGCTTCGTAAAGAAATCAAAGCCGTCTTTGAGATCTACGATCGATTGCGTCGAGGCGATGAGGAGGTAGGGCCGTTTGTCGGCGGGCAGGCTGTGCAACTCCTCCAAAATCACCCGGTACAGGCCCGCGACGTCGGTGCCTTTGTGGTTGAAGCTGTTTGGTCCCAGCAATGAGATGATGCTGCCGAAACTGGGGAGAAGCGGACACAGTTTTTCGGGGAGCGAAGTGATCGGGCACTCGATAAGCTTCAGACGAATTTCAATAAACGATTCGATTCCCTTGGTCCATGTCAAGTACGTACAGTGATTCTTGCCTCATCCAGGGCATCTCCCAAACGCTTCCTCAATTCTGTTGCATTGCGGGCATACGCCGTCACTGAATACCCTCTTTCTAGAGCGTGCCTCATGACGACAAGTCCACTTGGACCAGCCGCACCGAGCACGAGAATGGGTTTATCGGACATGTTTCGAAGCAGGTGAAGGGATCCCAAGCAGGCCGCCAAAGAATCCAGGCACATATCCCTGCCCCGAGGAAGGCAGGCACTACGCTGGAATTTTAAACACGTAACCCCAAAGGTGAATTCGCTCGAAGCAATATTTACGCGAAGGTCGAAGCCGGCACGGCATTAGCGCTCTCTCTGACTTGTTCCCGCAGCTGCAACTGCCAGCAATATGGGGAATTACAGCCAGGACGTGACTCGAGGCGGACATGATGCCTTGACGGTGTCGGCTTTACATCAGGTTCGGCCGCAATGAGAGGGGCTTGTCACCTTGGTTACCATTTGTTATCCCCGGGGTCATGTGTCTTTGCAATCTTCACGGGGGAAGGCCAGTCGCGGTACATGCCCCCAGCTGACGGCATCTCTCAACTACATGGCCGGGTTCGGGATTGCAAAGCCGTTCCGGCAACCCAAACGCAGACGACCATCTCCACTAGTCAGACCACTCCGTACAACACTCCCGAGTGTTCGGATGAATTGTATTCAGTCAGGTGTACAACCTGGCAGGCCCGTGTATCATGCCATCAATTAGCATCGCAATAAGGTGAAGCGTAGGTGATTCCCTGAGATTTCTCTTCTCCTCTCTCCACAGTCGGGCTTTGTTTGAGTTGTCCAGTTGTCGCCAACTTTCGCAATGCTTCCTAAGACGTTTGACGATGCCAGGGCTGACTCTGCCGCTCGTGCACAAGAATGTGGGTGGGAGAAGGTCAACGCGCGCGGTTTCGAAATCCTGGAGGCGGCTCATGGATTCCATGCCCCCAAACGTGCCATTGTGATTGGAGCTGGGGCGACCGGCATTTGTTTTGCCAAATTTGCAGAGCCAGTGCCCAACCTCGAAGTGCAGATTTACGACAAGAACGACGAGGTAGCGGGCACCTGGTGGGAGAACCGATACCCAGGCTGCGCCTGTGATATACCTTCCCATATCTATCAATTTCAATGGGCCCTCAACCCTTATTGGTCCCACTACTACGTCGGTGCAGCGGAAATCTTGCAATACTTCAGGGATGTGGTCGACAAGCATGATCTCTGCAAATACATGAAGCTGAGTCACGAAGTCCTGGGCGCGAGCTGGGACTCCACTAAGGTTAAATGGATTGTTACCGTGAAGGCGCCGGATGGATCAACCTTTGAGGACTCTTGCGACTTCCTCATTAACGCCTCCGGCCTGCTCAACAAGTGGAAGTGGCCGGAAATCAAGGGGCTGGAATCCTTTACAGGCGTTCGACTCCATTCAGCCAACTACGACCCAAGTATCGATCTACAAGGCAAAACCGTTGCGGTAATCGGATCAGGCTCCTCCGGGTTGCAGATTGTTACCAGCATCCAGCCGGTCGTCGAACACCTGTACACCTGGATTAGGTCGCCCATCTGGGTGAGTGCCGGGTTCGCCTCCAATTTTGCTGGAAAAGATGGCCAAAACCTACGATACACTCCAGAATTCCAGAACAAACTGGCATCAGACCCAGTAGCTCATTTACGATACATCAAGATGATTGATGAAGAACTTGGAATTCGATTCAACTACAATCTGGTAAGAACTGCAGAGGCACAGGGTGCTATCGACTTTTCTCGCCAATTAATGAAAGAAAAGCTGAAGAGCCGGCCGGAGCTCTTTGAGAAAATCGTCCCCAAGACTTATGGTGTCGGCTGTCGCCGAGTCACTCCTGGCAATGGCTACCTAGAAGCTTTGGTTGCGCCGAATGTCACCGTCTACCCAGAGGATATCCAAGAAATCACGCCGACTGGGTTTATTAACAAAGCAGGAGAGGAACATGCCGTCGACGTTATCATCTGCGCAACAGGATTCGACACATCTTTTGTTCCCAGGTTTCCTCTCACAGCAAATGGGAAAGACCTAAGGTCGGAATGGAAGACTGATCCAGTGTCGTACTTTTCTCTGATGGTGCCGGATTTTCCTAATTACTTCATCTCATTGGGGCCTTATAGTGCCTCCAACGGCTCGCTCTTACCTCCAATTGAGCACGGCTGTCGTTACATGATTCAGGTGATTGAAAAGTGTCAACTGGAGAAAATTAAATACTTGTCACCCAAGGTAGAGGCCACTCACCAATTTCGAGAATATGCCGACCTCCTCCTCAAAAGAACGGTGTGGTCTCAGCCATGTAGGAGCTGGTTTAAAGGCAACACGATCGACGGGCTTCCTCGCAACTATCCCGGTTCACGAGCTCATTTTGTCGAACTCGTAGTACCCCGATACGAGGACTTTGAGATTGAGTATGAGAGTGTTAACCGATTCCACTTCTGGGGCAATGGCTTCACCTTGCACGAAGTTGATGGCCGAGACCCGACATGGTACCTGGGCATTGTCGATGGAGAGGACAAACAGCCAGACTACACGAAGGACGAAGAGGAATTTCAGAAGCTGTTGTCCAGCAGCCCTACTCCGGCCCCTGATCATCACGAGCCCAATGGCCTCCCAAATTGATCCAGGATATTAGTTCATGTCTGGAGTATCTACGACCCATCATAGGGATGCAGTTCAAGATCTCCGTGCGATTTCCACTTCGATTTCTGTTTGTAAGGATCAACGTCCTGGACACTGACTGTAGTTTTTGTGATTGGTGCCTGCCCAGAATAAAGAATTTTTTCGTCGCCTGCTTCAAGGACTCCCGTTAAATCGACTGATGACGGCCAGAGTTCTACAGGTTCGGATGAGGACAGCTCAAGACTCGCCGATAGTGGTTTTGCTCGCTGAAATATGATAGATAAAGCGATCTGATTCTAAACACACCGCCTTTAACGACCTCCTCGTGTGATCGCTCCCAGCTCACAGAATATTGGGAAATAAGAACCGGGTCTAGAATATCGCAATGGCATTGGGACAGCTTGCCACGCCGCCTGTTGTCGAGTCACATTACTGTCTTGTAATATGGGGAAAGTCCCTCACCTTGAACATTGGCAGGACTGCTCGCCAAGAAGAAGGTGTATCTGCCGGTCTTCTGGCATAGTTCGGCCAGCCCATCAAGATCCCACATTTCACCAATCGGGACTCCCCACCGAGGCAGGAGGTAGTAGTGGAGATGCTCGGGTTCGTCGAACGGCCACGACTCGAAAGCCGGCGAGTCACTCGCAACCGCACTGAAATAGTTGTCGTGAAGAAACTCGAGCATGCTGTTTCCTCGGCTCAACCCGGCAAACTCCAGCTCTGAATTACTTTTCGACCCGATCTTCATCCGCCCATCTGCATCGAGCTTTTTGTACGCCTCGGACCACCCGGTCCGGACGACGAGGATATCGCCATAGTTGAATTCGACATGGCACGCTCGTGCACAAGCCTCGATCTCCTCCACGGTAATCTTTCTAGCCGTGAACGGATCGTAGGACCGCTTCGAGTACGAGTAGAAGTCGATCAAGACTCCCCTTCCGGCTTGGGTTGGTCAACAGACGCTTGGCTGATAAAACGGTCTTGTCGAAAGATGCGGTGCGCCAAAACTTACCGATCCCCTTTTTCGCCCAGTGATGGATTCCCAGTTTTTCCGTACTCAGAATTTGGGCCCGAGTGGTCTTGGGTGCTCACGTTAGCGTCGCCATGTCAACGCCCAAAAAAAGACATGATCTGTCCATTACATTATTGTACCAGATGAAGGAGTCGTTGTGATTAATGCCGACCTGCCCGGTTCTCTTTTCAGCCCCAATCCGCCCGAGCTGGAGGATACTTTGTCAAAGCCGGGCAAGCATCTTACATGGCGAAACCCATCCCACTGTGAGCCACTTTGGGTGTTCAGCGTGTGTAAGTCGTCATATGCATAGTCTGTGATCGCCTTGATCTCGTGCTTGAAGCCCTGCCGACCAAAAAATGGCGGAGCCGGGAGCTCGGCGGGGAAACTTGAAAAGTCGAAACGTGTTAGTCGACGCTCATTTTCTCCATGGTGATAATAAGGGGTCTCTGAGTGACGGACTTCAAGCACACGGTTTTCCCCGTTTGGATTTGTTTCGCTGCGTTCGCGATTCTGCGCGGCGTCAAAAGATTCAAACGTCCCAGCTGCGGGCAAAAATCAGCTTCAAAGGCCTTGCGAAAGGGTGTCCCCCTTTAGGCTATACCTGGTCATGCTTGCCCCAGAACCACGCAGCGTTCGAGGGAGCACCATCGATGGATGGGAGCTCGCTCAACTTTGGCAGTTTCTCAGCATCGGGATCGAAGCTAGGTAGGTCCATGGCCGAAGAGGGACAGTTGGATCAAACGGATGGCAATTCCTTCGACGGGGTTAAGCTGTGAGGCAGTTCAACAAGGAGAATCCAAGTATTAAGAAGTGCTGGCAGTCTTTATACCACAGCCAACGGTCGGGCCTGTCAGAAACTAATCCCCGGTTCGGAACTCACAGCCTACCGGCAGTGTGGGGCAGGATTATTGTATACTTAAGTAACTTAAGTAAATTTATGAGCTTACTTAAATTACTTAAGTAAACCTTAATGATTTACTATACCAGATTTAGTAGATATATACTGTAACAGAGCACTTCAGGGTTCGGCGTGCACGTGCAACGACGCACAGAGGCCTGTCCAGCAGATCGGGAATCGAGAACGCGTTTCTGGTTGATTGTTATGGATGCCAAGACGCCAAGGCACTAGAAGACCATATGTATATAGCACCGGGTCGCAGATCATCCCTTTAAAGCTCTTCAGCTTCGAAGTCGCTGTCGCACTGCGCCTATAGATAGGCAATATACTCCTTAGATAGCTCGCTGCCAAGCCATTCCTGACACTATTCCGTACTATTATTCTGGCGGCTTTCTCCCGTGGTCCGAGAACGTAATAAGAGAGAAAGAAAGGGCTTAGGGTCGAGCGTAGTGGACTAGAAACCAGTGTCAAAATAAAAGATTTTCGAGACGCGAAGATCTGTTTCTCGGTTTTCAAACTAGTAGATTGCATTTGCTTCTACGATCTTGTAGTATTGTGGAATCTCATGGCCAAGCTTGCAAGACTGATCCCGTAGGCATCCTGTCCCTGCGTCGAAGATCCAGAGGCTAGCAGATTCGTCCACCATCGATTTGATATACAGATCCGGTGATGAATCGACCTTCGTCCCCGAGGAGAAACGCAATCAGCGCTGCCACCTCTTCAGGTTGTCCTGGTCTGGCAATTGCTCGTGGCGCGGAATAGCCTGGACTCGTCAAGAGATGGCTGGCTTTCGTCGACATTGGGGTTCGGATCTCGCCACTGACCTTTGGATTAGACAAAACGACATCGAGGTACCTTTGCCGGCCGGCCACCCCACTTACGGGACAATAGCATTCACCCTCACTTCTCGCCCTCCTGCCTCTCTCGCCGCACACTTACTCAGCCCGATGACGCCGTGCTTGGAGGCCGAGTATGCTGGAAATTGAGCGGATCCAAGCAGTCCAGCTACGCTCGATGCGTTGACGATGCTGCCGCCGTTGGAGATGACCTTAAGCTGAGCCCTTAGACAGTACATCATTCCGGTCAAATTAATTGTCAACACAAAGTCCCAAGTGCTATTGTCCAGGTTCGCAATCCCCGGGCGGTCGCTTCCCTCCACATACACCCCAGCCAGGTTGGCTGCTCCATCAAGCGCTCCGAAGGTTGAGATCGTTGATGAGATCCATTGATCAACGTCAGTGTCTTTGCTGACGTCTACAACGGTGGCTAGAATTTTGGCCCCTGATTCTTTTCTGATGGTGTCGGCTGCTTCATCCAGAAGTTTCCCCTGGACGTCGGCCAGTGATAGAGATGCACCCCGATGTGCTAAGTAGCGAGCTGTGGCTAGACCGATGCCGGATGCCGCTCCTGTGACGGTAATCACTTTACCTTTAAAGGGTTTGCTATTAGCCATTTCGTTCGTATCCGCGCTTCAGTGAAGAGAGAGTTCCGTCCTGGTACAGGCTAATAGAGATGATAAGTAAAGAGTCAAGGTTTCAGACAATCGCTTACCGAGCGATCCGAAAAGGATTTCAAGGCGGGGAGGCTCGGACTCGAATGTTAGAATACCAAGAATATTGAATCTTCTACCATCCTTCACGCGATATGGCCCGCCAATGGGTAGATATTCTGACAAAGCTAATAAGCATAATCTGAGCGGAATCAAACTGTTCCGCCGCAGTTCGTCCATCGCCCTTCCGATCAGAAATAGGGTCAGCGGAACCGATGGGGCAACGACCTGAAATGCTGTCTTCGTCGCGGAGACTCGCCCTGGGAATTTTCTCCATCGTTCAACTCCAACTACATCGTCTACATCGACAAGGGGCATTTCCAACAAAAGGGTCACGGACCATGGCTGCTCAGATCATTTGATGGAAGGATTTGGAGCCTTCATGGCACCTACCACAACAAGTTCCGGGCATGATGCGCTGGATGCTGAGCTGGGTGGCTGGTCCTGAAGGCTACTACAATTCCAACCCGGGCCACGCAGTCCTTAGCCACGACGCTTCGGTTGGCTTTATGGGCCTGCCCTCGGGCAACAAACAAAGAGGACTCCACTACCATCAAGTGACGGAGATCTATGTTATCCTGAAGGGCGAGGTGTTGGGATGGGATGGATATGGTGAAAGTCATAAAGCAGGGCCCTTCGACTGCATATACATCCCGGCCACGGTTCCCCACAGCGTTCGAGCGTATGGAGATGAAGACGTGGAGCTGATATGGGTGCATGATGCGATCGAGAAAAAGGGCACCTCTGTTTACTGGGATTCGGCCATGCCGAATCCCCAGGATGAGTCGCAACGCAAGATCCAGGTGGTGCCTTTCAAAGACCTCGAACCTCGGTGGAATCAACTGGTCGGACAGCAATATTGGGAGATCACCTACGTCGCGCCCACGCAGGAGACTGCAAGTCCCGAGCCGCAATTGAAGATCCAGAATGACACTGTGGCACTGGGGCTGCTGGTGATTCCCCCGGCCCAAAAGTATGTGGTACAAGGCAGCAGCCGCAGTGAGCTGAACGTGGTTATCCGGGGCAAAGCAGTCACCAATATTGGAGGAAACCAGGAGCTTAACACCATGGATGCCATCTACGTCCCAGCGGGCCAAACAGGCACCTTGCGCAACCATGGTAGCGAGGTGACTTATGTCGTCAGGGTCCAGGAAAAGTCTCATTAGGACGACCGGACCAAGCAGAAGCCAGAGAGGCTCATTGTTGTACGCAGAATGAGAGTGGATCTATCTGCTTGATTGTGCTCTTGTCCCTCTGCCTACTCAGAGAGACTCTGTCTGTTTATATACACTTTGGCCTGTGATCTGAAGGCCATTCCTGAAACCTCCTATTCCGTCGCCATCCCATCACAGATCGGCGAGAACAACGGTGTTGAGGTAGGTGGCAGAGTTGGTGAAACGCCTAGCGTCTCAGGTGGTTTGCCACACAGTGGCTATCTCGAGACCCTGTCAACACTCATCATGACTGTTCCTGCTCGCCAGTGATGGGATCCGAATTCCCGTAGCCCTAGGCGATCAGCCAAAACGTCTGGCGCGTCGGCACCTAGCTGGTGGTACCGGACGCAGAATTCGATGTCTTGCCGGCTCGCACAACCCTTGCCGTGTTGACATCTGAAGGGATATGCATTAGGCGAACTGCCAAGCCATCTTGTGCCCTAGGTATGCTTCCTCGGGTGTCAATAGCCGCCCCCGGGCTGGCGGCTTCCCTCTCGCCCCCGGATATTTGCGGGCTCGAGATCAATAGTCCATGCAGTCTGCAAAGTTATCTGGTATGCTCTGATTTGAAGTAGCTATTTCTTGTCAGCGACTCCCGACAGCTTGATTCGTTTCGCCCTGTAGGCTGAGAGCTTCATTCGGCGACGATATCTCGCCCTGCTATTTCAGCGTCTCAACAACGCGGCCATGGCCGGAATTTTTGTATTGTTATCTTGGCCCTTAGGTATTGCTGTTGTTGGCATCTTAGTCAGTGTCGCGCAAAGCCCCCCGGCTCTTCACCCGGTGCTCGAAGGGTTGTGCTAATCTAGCTTTGCCCAGTGGGTGTTGTACTATGTAACGACGGCGATCAGGGATGCGTTCTTTCATCCCCTTTCTTCGTTCCCGGGTCCGAGATTTGCGTCCTTCTCCAAGATCCCGTTTGCGTATCATATGGTTTCTGGAGACATGCATCTCTGGACCGAGGCACTCCACGATACGTACGGGGAGGTGGTTCGTTATTCTCCCAATCACCTTAGTTTCGCTACTCCGGACGCCTGGAAGGACATATACAACTATCGGACCGGCGTCCCACATTTCACAAAGGACAAGATGAATTATTTCACTCCCCCAAGCGGCGTGGACAGCCTCCACTCGACCGACGACGACGCGGTCCACATCCGCCAACGGCGACTACTCTCACACGCATTCTCTGACACAGCACTACGGGCCCAAGAGCACATGATCCAGAAGTACGTCAATTTGCTTCTTGACAAGTTGTACGAAAGGTGCCGGGGACCCGAACAGGGGAAAACAGACATTGTCCGCCTGCTCAATTGGACCACCTTTGACCTTATCGGGGACTTGACCTTTGGCGAATCGTTCCACTGTCTCGAGGACAACGCCTATCACCCTTGGATTGCCTTAGTTTTTGACTACATGGTGGCAGCCGTGTTCATGGTCGCGTCGAAACAGTTCCCCTTGTTTGATCGCATCCTGCAAAAAATGATCCCCAAGCGCCTAACCCAGCGGATGCGAGACCATGCCCGGATGAGTGCCGAGCGCATGGGTCGTCGACTGGCCACCAAAACCGACCGACCGGATTTCGTGACTTACCTGGTGGGCCGGACCGATGATCCTGAGAGCATCAATGTGGAGGAAATGCACTCCAATTCTACCTTGATCATTTTGGGTGGCAGTGAGACGGCCGCCACCGCCCTCTCGGGAGCCCTCTATTATATGTCCAAGAACCGACAGACGTTCGATCGCCTGGTGAAGGAGGTCCGATCCTCCATCACGAAGGAAGAAGATTTGAATATCCTCAAAACCTCTCATCTGACCTATCTCACTGCATGCTTGGAAGAAACAATGCGGATCTATCCTCCGGTGGCGGGCTATCTGCCTCGGCGGGCTCCAAAGGAAGGCTGCAAGGTCGCAGGCTACTGGGTACCACCCTATGTAAGTTCGACAACGTTCCCGTTCCGGCCCCAAAGACCTGGATGCTCACGTCGGCCAATAGACTCAAGTATCCATCACTCCGTACGCCATAAATCATTTCCAGGAGAACTTCAAAGACCCCAAAAGCTTTGTGCCTGAGCGCTGGCTGAGTGAAGGGTCGGCCATGTATAGCTGGGACAGGAAACAAGCATCCCAGCCGTTTTCGGTCGGACCCCGGAACTGTATCGGCAAAAAGTGAGAACTCCTTCCCCCCCAACCCTTCCCTCGCCCAAGCCCCCTCCTCTCTGGCCGGTCTCCAGCAGCACATATCTGAGGGCACTGGAATCTTGGCTGACCCAAAAATGCAGCCTCGCCTGGGCAGAAATGCGCCTCATACTCTCCAAACTTCTCTGGCACTTTGATATTGAGGTGTGCGAGGAGAGCAAGGATTGGGGGAATCAAAAAACATATTTGCTCTGGCAGAAGCCTGCTTTGGTGCTGCAACTGAAACCAGTGGTAGACCGATAAGTTCTGCAGCGACGTCCACAGGATGTATACACGTCGATGGGAGGGCCGAGTTCATGCGCCGCCGCCATCAGTTCATGCTTCTCGCGAGGAATAAACCCATATTACTTTGGGTTCATTTACTACTCGTCTGACGACAGTTTAAAAGTGTGAACACCCATGCAGTTGAGGTTGGACTCAACCGTCCATTTGGCCGTCCTCGAGAAGTCATCGGTATGGTTACCACGTGGCGTTGTTTGAAGCGTCATTTGGGTTTGCTCTCGAAATAACGATTCAGATCACCAGAACTTTGTAACGTCACCTTGATGGCATCGGAATGATTCATAGAAGTTCAAAGTATGCACAGTGACGTTTGAATACCCTTTATCGGCGTTGTTCTCACCGAAACCATCAAGGTCCTGCCACGCCTCATTCCTCGGCCTCGACTTGTTGCACCCGAGGCCAGCTCGTGGTGTCTTTGCCTAGATGCTTTGCCACCATTTCAACCACGTTCTGCACTCCTTCCACGTCCCTTGTGCTGATACCGATTCGTCCTGCCGCTCGCAGATGGACCAAAGTCGTCCGGTGTGCCCCTTGTCCCATGACCGTGGCCAAGATCAGGAGCTCGTTCTCGACGCGATCCAAGGCGGTCAACTCGGCCAGATAGAGCCCGTACACCACAAAGTCGACGGTCCATGCTGGCGATTGTGAGCTTCTCTGCAACCAAGGGTCGAAACAGGTCATTAACGGGCTGCACTCACAGAAATCTGGTACGTCGGCGTAGGACTGGCGAATGGCCGCCGACGTTTCTTGCCCGAAAACGAAATTCCACCAGACGTCGGTGCGAGCCATGACGGCTTCTGGCTGGGACATCAGCCCCGGGAGGCTCTGGCCCATGGTCTTTGGTGGCCGGTCCACCCGGAGCAGGGAGAATAAGCCGTCCGACGCGCGCGGCATGCCTGCCAACGTCCACGTCTTGAGCACCACGGTGTGCAGCCGGTGGTAGACCCTGTCCCTGGCCGCCGTAGGAGCATCGTCACCTCCGAGGCGTTTCAAGATAAATTGATACAGGTCTCCCAGATGATGGCCTCCATCTGCAGTAATGAGCGTGGCCGCCTAGCGGTAGCCGCTCCCCCGTCCGGTGTCAGTGGAAAAATGGTTCTCGGAATTCAGCCTTAACTTTTTGCTGGAAGCGGCAAAAAGGTCTCAGCTTACTCACCACGACAATATACCATGCATCTCGTGGGAGAGTACTCGGTGTAGCAAGTGCCGCCCTTTCAAATAGAGCTTCGTAACATTCCGGAGGCCCCATCGCATCTGATCCTTCATCTTCCCTCTTGGAATGCAAGAGAGGTCGAGGTGATCCCCCCTTTTTTTAAAGAAAAAGAGAGAGGGAGAAAATATTCAACCAATCTTCGTGATTAGTTCCCTCATTCGGGTGGAGACACAGGTTTGGAATGGCACATTCTGGTACCCGGGATGCTTTCGGGATATTTTGTGGTCTAACGCTCACCCGAGTACCAGGTCTTAACACTCTTAGCTTATATGCTTGTCAGAACCACGTTCGTGACAGCTTTATAGGCTACTACGGTGTTCGGCTAAACCCCTGGGCCGCGGGAACTTTTGTTGATATAAACGAATGAGAACATTCGTCTTTTATCCGACATAGGAGCCCCAGCTCCGCAGCCGAACTCCAGGGACGCCCACAAAAACAATGCTCTCAGCGGCTACCCGCCCGACTGTGCAGGCCAACACCACATTAGCAGCTTTCCACTTTGTCTTTATCCATCTTACAGATGTGTTAGTCGTCCTTCAATCTCCTCAACACTGGCCCTCTGACGTATTTGACCATGAGTACTAGTATGGATAACCTGAGTCTACAGTCTTTGCCACCAGAGATCGTGTTCGTTACGTTCTCAGGAGGACTTCTGGTGCTTGCCGCTTGGGTAGTGGCTAGCTTCGTCTACCGCACCTTTATCGCAAATGCTCGTCCAACATATAAGGGATTCCCTATGGTGGGGATGGATGAGAAGGCAAAGACGCCGTGGCAACTGAGAGTCAAGTTCCTGCACCATGGAAAAGAGTTAGTATGGGATAATGTAGCAAAGGTAGGGCATGCCTGTCCTTTTTTTTTTTCTTGGTAGAAATTACCATTCCACAAAATGGTTAATCGGAACCAGTTGAATATGCCTTTCCAACTCGAGACCACGACTGGGCCGACCATCATCCTGCCTCCTCGGTATATGGACGAAGTCCGTAACGACGATCGCATGACCTTTGCCAAAGCTCTACAGGAAGACTTTTTCACTACTTACCCAGGATTCGAAGGGTTTCGCCCTGCTAGCCACGATAACATCTTCACAACCTCGGTGCGCAAGGGCCTGAACCAGTCCATCAACAGAGTCACGGAAATAGTGAGCCGAGAAGTGGACGCGCTGAGGGAGCAGATGTGGCCCGTCAATGACGGTAGGTGTTCCGCCAGACTCGAGAAGATCGCCACTGATGATGCTGCTGGTAGAGTGGACGACGACCACTTTTGCATCAGACGCCAGATGGCTTATTGCAAGACTCTCTGCGCGCACGTTCGTCCCCGAGCCTCTGTGTCACAGCCAGGAATGGCTCGATCTCAACATCAATTACCCTGTCAACTACTTTACTGGCACTTTCATGATGAGAATGGTGCCCGACCTCTTCCGCCCCGTGGTCCATTGGTTCTTGCCAGTGTGCAGACAGCTGAGGAGAGACGTCGCGGCAGCCGCTCGGATCCTCAAGCCTGAAGTCGAACGCCGTCGTCGGGCCAGAGCCCAGGGCACTGCCGATAGCGGAAATCCAAAGGACTCACCCGACGCATTCCAATGGATGGAGAACACTGCAAATGAGAGAATAGACACTTATAACTACATCCACGGCCAGCTTGCCTACACCCTTGGGGCGGTTCATACCACTTCAGGGACCTTTGTCCACGTTGTCTATGACCTGGTCAACCACCCGGAGTATATTGGGGATCTACGGGAAGAAATTGCATCGGTCTGGAAACCAGGCGAGACCATAACCAAGAATACCTTGCAGAAACTCAAGTTACTGGACAGCTTCATGAAGGAGAGTCAAAGAACGAACCCGGTGGCTTGGAGTAAGTCCCCCTTATTGCTGGCTCGCCGTATCGCCCCCTCTCCTCGGGTGAGACTCGTGCAGCGCTAACTCTTCCAGTGACTACACACCGCAAGGTACACAAGGATATCACCTTGTCCGACGGAACTGTGCTCCCAACAGGAGCCATGGTCGGCATACCACTCTGTGACCTGTGGAATGAAGAGAAATGGGAAAATCCCATGGAATTCGACGGTCATCGCTTCTACAAGATGCGCCAACAGCTTGGAGAGGAAACCAAGCATCAGTTTGTCTCCACGAGCAACGAGATGATCAATTTCGGCCACGGAAAATATGCATGTCCCGGACGGTTCTTCGCCGCCAATGAGATCAAAATCGGGCTTGTCAACATGCTCATGTACTACGATATCAGGGCTCTCCCTGGAGGCGCCGCTCCTTTAGCTTTGGAGCACGGTATTGTAAGGTCGCCAAATCCAGAGTGGAAAATCCAGTATAGATGCAGGCAGACCTGAAAGTCAAGCGTCGTCGATAAACGACTGTAGCAAGGACTCCGTGGACTTGCGGAAGACAGGCTGGATGGGTGGACCTGTATGGCTACCATTTGGAATTACAGTGTCTCAATTATGCCACCAGTTCCTTGTTCGCTTGGAGCAAGGGCCTCTGGTTCCCGTCGTCAACGCCACATGCGGAGCTAGCTCCTGACAGAGTCACAAATTGTGGTGATCGCCAGATCAGGCTCAGCCTAGCTTTTGCCATGTTCCTATGAAAAACTTTCCTCGTCTCCAATCAACAGGTATCAACTCGATCTCACTCTTTTCTGCTTCTTCCCAGGTCCTATCCAACTTCCTGTACCATTACCTTGTCTCAAGATCAAATATCGGGACTGTCTCATCGGTGTCAGGGTGTATTGGATCTCGGGCGAGGTGCGACGGCTGCGCGGAATCTTAGTCTTGTCACAATTGGTTAGACAGTGGTAGTTAATTGAGTACCCAGTAAATGTGAGTAGGTTGGCATTGAGCGTTGTTTACTGCAAGTCGTGTTCTTGATCCTTCAACAGCATTCATGATCCACCGACCTAGGGTCTTGGTTGCGCTTAGCTTGGGGCCGAAAAAGGCGGGGGAGGGACAATCTCGCAATCACTGGGGGAGGGGAGTCCGCCAGCCCTTCGTCAAGATGGATGAATCTCCGATGGTGGAAGAGACAGGTGCGGGTTCTGGCCGAGCAGGGGGTTTTTCGCCTACCGAGTGCATGAAGTTTCCAATATTGCTGGCAGCTGCAAGACCTCGACAGCCAAGCTTGAGTTTGATCGGAAGGCGAAGAATGATGAAAACAATGATGGAAACGGTGTGTCCCGCGGCAAAGAGCTTCCAGGACCTTCGCAATGAACATGCAGAGCACCAAAACCTCCTCGGTAACACGAAAACCCTCGAGAGCGATTCAGGCCAGTAAAGCTCTGCGCTGCCGGAAGCACTTGGCCTGATTCGGAGTCGAAGACCTGCAGTGCTACGTTGATTAACGTCAAAGTTGTGGCCGAAGGCTGAATGATTCGCGTAGCGCAGTATAGGTAACATCCTGAAGGCCAGTGGGTGAGTTGACAGGCAGGGTGAAGGGAGTGGGGGAAAGGGGGCAATCGACTTATGCCGAAATCACAAACAATGTGAGAGCCGATGGATTCGAAGGTATCCCACTCTCGCTGGAATGCTGATAGATCTCGCAGAGTGTACCAAATGAGCCTGGAAGCTGTGGACAAGAAAATGCAACTCCAGGAAACCCTGAATGGTGGGAGTTTTAGAGTAAGGAGAGAGCCCCGAGGGCTTTTCCCTTTTCCCTTTTTTCTTTTTTTTTGTTTGGTCAGACTGCGAGGCAGTTTCACCAAGGAGATTGGAGGCACCAACACGATTGCTGTTTCACCGAGTTTTTTATGGCATGACGCTGCCGTTTGGAGCCACATCATGGCATCACCCCTTAGCCAACTTGTTTTTGGCACCCCCCCTGCGTCTTGTTGATCAAATTCATCCACCACGCCCGTGTTCCCTTGACCCAATGATGTCAGGAAGCAAACTTCAGGTCTATAGTGTGCCAGCGATCTCGGATGGTTGCAGTTCATGGGGAGCCAAAACAGCGAGGAAGTACAGGCTGGAGAGATCTCGGAGGAAAAGACACATGGTGAGGACCTCCTACCCGACCACGCTTGTATACATACAGAACCCTAACAAGACACTAAACTTACCTTCTGGCCTAACTGCGAACAGGCTGTTCCTAGTTGGCGACAAATACTTCAAGGCAGAAATTCACGGAAGATGATCGATGAATATGTGGAGCAATTTCAAGGCAATATATTGAGTGGTGGAATGTGCGAGACTACGGGAAGCAAGATAAAAGCTACGGGCCAGGGTGAATAGTCTGTTCAATAGCATCGCAACTATACTCGGAGGGAGACCTCGGGACGGGTAAGTTAGGGTAGGCAATGGTGGAATCAATCGCGAAGCAATGAATACAGTGCCCAAAGTATCCCAAAGATTTAGATCAGGGGCTCGGGCAATCAGGCCAAGGGAACAATTCAGACCTTCATGAGGCTCAACGGTTGTGCATATAAAATAGCCCCAGTCAAAGTGAGACTGAAGGATAAATCTAGTAGTCGTAGTCTACATATCCTTCGGGAGAACTCACTCACCCACTCGCTTGCACATCCGAATCGCTGGCCCGTCTAATACGTTATACCCTATAACAACGATATTCAAGCTGGATTTCCTATCTAGTTTGGATGAAGACCATTAGTCAGAGCGCTCTGAAGTCTGCCCGGAGCTGGATAGTCGGTGGTTGAGACATGAAGGACCTTGGAAACGTCGGTGTAGTCCATGTAAAGCGTGGTGTCCCCTTCTCCGGTCTTTTCTTCCAGTGTGTTCCCATTCCCGATCCAACCGAACGGATCGTCCTCCGGAAGCCAGGAAGTATATTCGAAATCTTCGAATCGTGGATTCTCCCACCCGAAATAACCATGCATGGCGGAGCCTGGCCATAATGTGACGACGGGACCATTAGGTTCATTCCGTTTGAACCACGTGACACACTAAAGAAGCGTTGTAAGCAATTGACCAGCGGAGAGAGCAAGGCGCGGTCTTACCGAAGCGGACATAACTGTCTTTCCCATGTGGCGATCCACATGCTTGATCCAGCTCTTCAGAGCTAGCGGTCTGTGGAAGCCGTTAGCTGGGCCCGTGAAGCTTTTCCCTACGGGGGTATGGAGACATACTTGCAGACCATGGACTTGATGTACTCCCTTTGGATCTTCTTGACACATTTGATAATGTAGTGAGCGCAAGCTTCGAAGGTGTGAACAATGGATCCTGCGAACGGCGCCGAATTGGGCCCGAACATCAAGAACAGATTCGGCATCTGCTCGGGCTGGATCCCCATGTACGCCGTCGGTCTGTCCTTCCACACCATGGATAATGGAGTGCTGTTTCTGCCAATGATAGGGGTAGTGTTGCTGTCGAGCTTCCTGTCCCAGTACCAGTCAACTTCAGTATCTCAGGAGGAGGTCATGTACGCTTACGAATCAAAACCGGTGGCGCAGATAATGGCATCGTAGCTTCGTTCAACCCCGTCCTCGTCAATGATGCCAGCTTCGGTGAATTCCCTGACGTCCTTGGGAATGATGTTGGCGTTGTCTTTTTGCATGCACTCCAGCCACCCCTGACCCATCACAAGCCGTCGGCATCCAGGGGGATAGTCTGGTTTCAGGGTTTCATAGAGCCAAGGCTTCTTTTTGGTGGTCTCCTTCAGGTTTTGGTCAAGGAACGCGGTGAAATTCAGCTGCGCCTCGGTATCCTTGAAGAAGATCTTCTGGACATTGTTACAATAGGATTCCTGCTTCTTGCGGAACTGCAAGTATGTTTCTGGATTCTCAGAGAACTTGTGGCGTTCGCCCAAGTCGTGATCGACTATTCGATGTGAGATTCCAACCGGCCCGCAAAAGATCCCGACAAAGCCACTCACAGTTCATGTGCGCGTTGCGCTCAATCAGTTCCTCTGTATTGGTCCCTCCACCGGGAGGAACCCAGACCTTACCGCGGACGTAATGATCCAGTTGCTTGACAATCGGTTGAATCGCAGGAGTGATTTGGACCCCTGTCGACCCATACCCCAGGACTGCAACCGTCTTGTCCTCTGGGTCGAAATTGTCGTCCCAATTGGCCGTGTGAAGCATTGTGCCTTTGAATTTCTCTCGACCGGGGACTTTAGGCCATCTCCAGTCGTTGACAAATCCTGTGCATTTGATCAGAATGTCGGCACGGTCTTTGAAGGTCTGTTGAGGGTCAGCTCTAGCCAAGGAGTCTACGACTTTGGGGGAGGGACCAACGGTGCCGTCATCCAATCGCTTTACTGTCACTTCCCACTGCGCGTCGTCCTCGAACCACTCTGCGCTCAAAAACCGATGGCTGAACTCGACATGTTTGTAAACCTCATATTTTCTGGCGACGGTCCTCAGGTACTCTTCGAATTCTGGCCCCGGAGGGTAGAATCTGGTCCAATTGGGGTTGCTGGCAAACGTATACTGGTAGACGTGTGGCGTAAGGTCTGTCTATTAGCGACATACCCAGAGACTGGTCAAACGGCCGGCTGGAGCCTTACCTGGACGCAGGCCCGGGTAGTGATTCTCGAACCACGTCCCGCCGACATCTGTATTCTTTTCGTAGATGGTCAATTTTAAATTGGGGATGTGTTGAGGGAAGAGGCACCCGACGGCAATACCACACATGCCAGCGCCGATGCAGATGACTTCGATCGGACGCCAGTCATTGATGGAGCGGTCGTCCGGGCAAGGAGGTATTCTGGACGCCATACTGGAGGCTTTGCGAGATCTGGAGCGTAGTTGTCAAGCCCTTTCCAGGGGATATATTGACGGCCAGGTTGCTGTTGGCCCAGAAATCGTGAATGATGTACTTGGTTGGCAGAGGCCATCTTTGCTGCGCTGCGCCGTGCTGCTCAACGTCCTGGTGGAGTGATATCGGAAGAGATCCGGTACGGACTGGACGGTGCGCTTGAGCGACCGAAACCGGAAACGACTCTTGCACGCTACACGGGAAGACATTTGATCGAGATCCGGGCCATGTGTGTCTCGCGAAGAATGGCTCCGGTAACGTTCGCGACATCCGGAGTGCACAACCTGGCTTCTCGTGCGCATTTTCACCTCATGAGCGACCCATTATCAAGACTACAGTGATCCTGGATGCAGGCACGGAAGAATCTTTGGTATCCACCGAAAGCTTTCTTTGGCTAAGGGCCCGTTGAGGAAGGAAGGTCCTCTTTGGGGATTCTCTGAGCTGGTCTCGTTGGAATCGAGCCCTGCCTTCTGATCTGGTCGGCACTAACTCTTGAAGTTATAATGCAGAATTTGCATGTCACAGTAGATTGCCAGAGCGTTGGGGCCACACTCGTATCCAATCCCGCTCTGCTTGTGGCCGCCAAATGGCACCTCAAACGACACCTTTTCGGAACTGTTGATGTAAACACTCCCAACTTCAAGTTGGTCCGCAATCTCTTCGGCCTTGGTCAAGTTCTTCGTCCAGACACTCGCGGCTAGTCCCATGGCAGTATTGTTGGCTCTCTTGACGACATCCTCCTCGTTTGACCATGGCAGGACAGGAACAATCGGGCCCTGTAGACACGGTTAGCATGTTGAGTCCGACGTAGTGTCTCACAGGCCTCGAACGCACAAACTGTTCCTCAGTAACCAGTCTCGAGTCATCCGACAGCTTGTCGACAATGGTGGGTTCGAAAAAATAGCCTGCCCCCTCCCTTACACTCCCGCCGAAGACTACCTTGCCATTGTGCTCCAAAGCGTCTTGGAAAAGATCCTTCAACTTCTGGTACTGTGCTTCATTTTGCACTGGGCCCACCATCGCACCAGCTTCCGTTCCTGGGGCCATTTTCATCTTTTTCACCTCTCGCACAAGGGCATCCAGCATTTTCGCATACACATCCTCATGGATGTAGAGGCGCTTCATGGCCGTGCAGACCTGCCCCGAGTTCCAGAAGCATCCCATGGCAATTTGAGGGGCTATCTCGTCCACGTCGACGTCGGGAAACACAATCGCTGCATCGTTTCCGCCTCTTCAAAGCTATCAGAAGGCTGTCTGGAGCGTGGGGTAATCGACTCACAATTCCAAGGTCACTCGCTTTAGAGTCTGTGTAGCGGCTGCAGCGACTTTCTTCCCACTCGCGGTTGACCCCGTAAACGAGACCTTATGGACGTCAGGGTGATGGGTGAGCCATGGACCAAGTTGATCGTCACCGCCGAGCACTTGCAGGACACCAGGAGGCAGGAATCTTTGCGCGATCTCCACGGCTTTCAAGCCGCTGTAAGGGGTGAATGGAGACGGCTTCAAGATGAAACAGTTTCCGACCAGCAAGGCCGGCAGCGCCTTCATAAGAGGTTGACCTAGAGGAACTGTGGGGTGGCAATTCGTGTCAGTCCATTGTGATCGACCCCTGCCGATTTCTTTCTGTTTCTTACAATTCCACGCCGTTATGCCAACGACGACACCGAGCGGGGTGTATTTGACCCGGTATTCGCGATCACTCGCAGCATGGTGTTCCTCAGGTATTTTTAATGATACTACAACGCATTTAGTATATCGCTCACAAATGATTTCAATCGCTTCTCACGAAAGTACTCAAACATGTTAACGAACGAATGCTGGACCTCAACATCGGCGAACTTTTTCTTCTCGCTGTTTAGACAGTGACCAAAAAGCATTGGAATGGCAGCACTGACCGGTTTCCCGTTTTCCCGCATTATTATGAGACTAAATTCTTCGGAATAGATCTTCAGTGCGTCTTGCCACTCTCTTAACAATTGAACGCGTTGATCAAAGGTTGTTTTCTTCCACTCCTTAAACGCTTTCTTCGCCGCCTCGACCGCATCGTTGACGTCGACCTTACTAGCGACAGGGGTATCCCAAAGTTTTTCGCAATTGGCAGGATCGATACCGTTGTGGATGGTTGGGGAACGTCGCAAGGCACCGTCAACCACGTTGTAGAACGCAAAAAAGGACGAGCTATCCGTCATTGTCACTGTATGTCGATCTGATTGCTGCTTCGAGTCGCAAAGGTCGTCTACCCGGTGCAAGAAAACTTTTCTGCATTTGAAGGCGGTGCCGCTTCTCCTGCTCGTGCCACCACGTGTATCTCCTCAAGCTACGAGTGAGGTGCCGCGGCTTGGCCCAATCTTCGCCGGGTGTGGGCGGGAATTCTGTATCCGGCGTCGAAACGTGTCCATGTTCTGTGTCGAGGACATCCGGAGACCGGCACACAGAACTGAGCACTTAATTCGATATTCTACCTTGCTGAAGCATTAACAGTCAAAGGCAGTACCGGTTGCGTCAAGCGTTATCGACACATATGAAAATGGAGTCTAAAAAGGTTGCGCTCATCACTGGAGGGGGTGCGTTCCCTCACCCGTCATGTGGCTCGACTCATACTCATACCATGTCGCAGGGTCCGGGATCGGCCTCTTCACGGCCAGAAGACTGCACAAGGACGGGTGGGAGGTCTCGATCGCAGACATCAACGAAAAGGCAGGCCAGGTGGCCGCGGAGGAAGTCGACGGCATTTTTACAAAAGTCGACATCACCAAATACGAATCTCTAGTACAGGTGTTTGAAAAGACGTGGAAAAAGTGGCAGAGGATTGACTTTGGTGACAGATCCTTGGTGAACAACAGATGTTGGCTGAACTCCCATGCTAATGCCTGGCCTAGTCTTTTCCAATGCAGGCATCCTTGATGTGGCAGACTTTTACGCCAAACAAGAGACACTGCCTCCTCCGGAGCCCAGTCTTGCGACCAGCAAAGTCAGCGTGGACGGCTACATCTACACGTCGTACTTGGCACTTCATTACTTCCGCCAGAATCCCAACCCAGGCAGCACCCTGATCCTGACAAGTTCCGGTAAGGAATTCTTTGCGCTCTATCAAGATGACACCGGGCTGAATCTAGCACAGCATCGGCTCTATACGAGTCTCCGATTCTGCCGTTGTATTGCGCAGCAAAATATGCCGTGGTGGGTTTGGCTCGCAGCCTCGGGAAAGGTCTTCAGGAAGAGAAGATTCGAGTGAACACCATTCTGCCCGGTGCAGTGCCAACCAACATCGGTCTCCCACCCAAGCTGAAACAGCTGGGCATCACGCCGACCATGCCTGAAGACAAGTTGACCACCCCAGACAACATTGTCGACGCCGTGTATGAGCTCCTGAATGACCAAGAAGCCTACGGTGTGGTGATGGAAGTCAGCGGGCCAAATCGGTACCGTCGACCAAAGCACGACTATCCCGATGCAACAATGGCCTTTGTCATGGGAGAAAAGGATGCTTGGGACAAAGCGTAATGAGCAGGGGATCAGGACCAGGGCTGCCCCATTAGTCTAGCTGTCTAGGTTGTCGGCAGTCTCTAAGATAACTGGTCCCAAATAACCGTATCCCAGTCTTGCCAAGGGAAAACCAATCCATGAGAATAAATATAGGCCCACGCAGCCGGACAGACACCGCAGTTACTTACTGGCGGAGGCGATCTACTGTAGAAAACCCTCCCTGCCCTACTGACCACCTACCACCGAGTATTGTTCGGGAGGCCGGAAGGAGAAGAACCAGGAAAATACATGCGGGTTTATGCAGATTCTTCGTAAAATCTTTTTGCGGGGGCAGCACGGGCAGCACGGGGTACCCAGGATAGCTTTACGCGAGGGACTTCCGGCTGAACGCAACTGTGAGGATCTGCTTAGTAATTGTATGGGAGGTCTCCTCGGATTGAACGTTGCCGTCTCCCACGGTCAGTTTCAACGCAAAGCTGGGCCGCTTCCAGGGCACAGGGAACCCGGTGTACCGAAGCGCGTCCACTGTCCAACTCGAATGGCCCCTTTGTGACATCTGAACGTCGAACAGAGGCTGAAATATAAAATGAGAACGGGCAGGGAGGGATCTGATGTTCATCTGGATTGCTGTGTTCCAACCAAACTGAAACGCCAGTCTATTTCGGCATAATCGAAAACTCACGGCCTCATACTTCAACATCATGTCTCAGCAGTCTATCTGGACCCATTTGGTTCGATTTGAGCACAAAGGGGTGCCCACTTTTGCCCAAGTCGTGAACCCCAAGGCAGATGGAGACCTGGATGAACAGTTCGAAGTCGAGATCGCGACCGGGGACCCTGTCTTCAACAACATCAAGTTGACGGGTGAGAAGGCCACGGTGATCAGGAACAAGCTGCTGGCGCCATTTGCCACGGTTCCCATGGTAGTCAACACAGGTCTTAATTACAAAGATCATGTTCAGGAATCCCTGTTCTACAGCGCCCCGGTAAGCCTCCAATTGCACCTGGACAAGAAGGCGCTGTTGCTACTTCACAGGTGCAAGACAGGCTAACAAGGACTTACCGCTGGAGTAGGATTTGTTTCCCAACATGCCGTACATCTTTTATCGCCCGGCGACATCTCTGGCGCCACCGTACCCGGCCTTGCTCCGAACGTACAAGGTCCAGCAAGAATGTCTTGACTATGAAGGAGAGATGGTGTTCCAGACGGGCTCCCGACCACTGAAAGACATCTCGGTCGAAGAAGCCGCCAAGAACATCGTCGGGTTCACGACAGGGTGCGACTTTTCCCCACGTCCAGGCAAAATCCTCGGGCGCATGAACTTCATCTTCTCCAAGGCTTTTGATAACTGGACTCCCGCAGGCCCGGTCTTGGTCCACCCCAGTGTCGTGGGCAATCCTCCTAAATTGGAGCTGACTACCAAATGGAATGGCGAGGTCGTGCAGCACGACAACACGGAGAACATGATTTTCACTGTTGCCCAAATTCTGTCGTCCATGTCCATTGGTGAGTTTCCGGGAATGTTGGAACTTCCTGCAGCTGACCTTGGACGCATAGGGACCACGGTTCAACCCGGGACGGTTGTCTTTTCTGGAACGTGCGGAGGTGGCACCTGGTTTAAATCAGAAGGGGCAGCGGGGACAGGAATCAAGGACGGCGACGAAATTGAAGTAGAGGTCAATGGCCTCGGGAAGGTTCGGGCATATCCCTGCTTCGACAAGTAGTTCAGCCGTGCGCCAAGCTGCGGAGCAACATAAGTATGTAGGGCGGGCCGACAAAGGTGATTCCGGGGGTCCCCTGAGAGCTTGCAACTTGTCCATTGCCGACGTGACCAACTTTGGTGATTTGGCACGCTGTCACGGCTGGCAGTCCAGTGGCAGTTATCATCCGTCTCAGTCCCCTTCTTACTCCGTATGTGGTGAAATAAGCTCACGGGATTCTGTATGGCCCCAAGGCCGTGGCCTGATGGGACGCTCTCATCGCGGCTGAGCTGCCTGGTATGGTAACTTGCGTATGACGAGGCCCACGCAGGAATGAGTCGGGATCAACTATTATGCTTAGCTGGCGCGCCGTTTTGTCAGTCCAACCGGAATAGCGGTTCAGTATCAATAGCAGGATGCATCGCGGATCGCACAAGGGCTGTATAACCCAAGCTGGGAGTCGGGACGGCACCCGCAGGAAATCTAGAACCCGGGAGCGAGGCATAGGACTCGATCGACCCCGGCTTTTTAAAAGTTTGGCAGCATTTCTCCAGACTGCAAAACGAGACCACTTCTGCTGATCACCTACGATTTTGCAGAACTTGATCAGCTCGACGCCTCCACCATGACAGAAGAGCAATCCGTGAAAAAGGCTCCGTCCTTCTTCATCTCACACGGCGCGGGGCCGTTTGCCCTTCTTGGGGCCGACCACCAACAAGGTCTTGTGGAACTCTGTAAAAAAACGCGATGGGTTTTGGATGGAGCAAAAGCAATCATTCTGGTCACCGCACACTGGGAGACGGATCAACCACACATTAGTTCCGGGGCCAATCCGGAAATCTACTTTGACTATTTCGACGACCTTGCGACTCAACTGCCACCTGAGGCCTTCCAATTCAAATATCCTGCCAAGGGATATCCCGCGCTCGCCGAGAGAATTAAGGCGAAGCTCGACGCAAACGGCTTCGAGGCGGTGTTGGACGATACCCGAGGCTGGGACCATGGTGTTTGGGTTCCATTAATTCTGCTCCGGCCCCAGGCCGATATTCCAGTGGTCCAGGTATCGATTCCCACGGGACGTGACAAGGCCGCCCCAGCTGCTCTCAAACTCGGGCGATCCCTTGAATCGTTCCGGGACGAGGGCTGCGTGATTCTCACCAGTGGCTCCAGCTACCATAATTTCGACGCCGTCATCGATGAGATCATGGGCAAGAGCCGTTCAGGCTCTATTCCGAGCAATCGGCCATTCGAGACCGCCATGGAAGAAGTCTCCAAGCTTCCTGATATAAATCAGAAGTGTGAGAAAATGCTCAAATGGCGGGAGGAGTTCCCCGACAGTGAAGCGGTTCACCCTAGCGGCAAGTCCGAACATTTTGTGCCGTTCATCGTCGGCATCGGCGCGTCTGGGAACGACGTGGGGAAGAAACTGGGGGAGTGGAACATGCTCGGGACCATTATGAGTTCTTTTATTTGGTAGTCAACGTGCTGATCATGGCGGTCTGGCCATCCAAGTCAACCATACAAAACAAGGTTTAAGTCGTGCGTCCGGGCCACGCCCGGTTCCACCCCGCCCGGCCCCTCCCCGCCCCGCACACACCGGCTGGATGTAAGTATCTTTTTAGTCTTGTATGTTATCGACTTTTTCACTGTAATGCCCGGGTCATTGGTCCAGAGTCCTGAAGACCGTCAGTGACGCTTTTCTCTCCTGGACCAGGGAACACGAACCCCCCACGCTTGAAACAAGCTTAATTTAGGAGTTGGCCCCTGGACGTTCTGTATGACTGCACGTCCAATAAAATCCCCTTCGATGCTCTTGCCGTTCTTGAGCCCCAGCCTTGCATTGCCGAGGAAAAGCAAATCCGAACCATCAACGGTGGCGGCGTACACTTTGACGATCTTGTGGTATCTGGACTCCACGAGCTCCCACGCCTTGATGCGGGACGCCTTGATTTCTGGGGGAGATTAGATGATGTTTCGGATGTGATCAAGGTGGGACTCTTGACAGGGACTATGTCTCTCGACTTGCCTTCTGATCCTCTGAATTCTCCAGCCGAGGATACAAAAGTGGCGTCAGGGAGGAATATTTCAGCCGCGAGTTTGACTCCCGACTCGACGGCAGGGTCGTCCATCAAAGTAAGCATGCGGTCGAAAAGCGCCTTGACGCGATCGTCTATTGCGACAGAGGGCCACGAGGTCGAGGCTATTCTGGATGACATGTTTTCTTGACGACCATTCACAACTGGGACACTGATACGTCGCGGGCAGGTGACTTTACTTCTTTTTGCACTCTCTGCCCCCTTGACGGCGCCTAATGCCCTGGGGTCAAGCCGAATTGTGCTATCAAGGCAGGCTCGGGAACGGGAGTCTTGCTCTGCGGGCGCCGCTGGTCACCGATTCACGGCGGAGATTGGTGTAAGCCACTCGCCTACTTATTTGCAAGCAAAATCAAATGGATCCGTGGCACAGAGCACCCGTATCCGGGACGGAATTTTTTTTGCATCCGGCCCGGCCAATCAGCAACGTCGACCGAAGGAAGCAAAAGTTTGCAGCCTGATGTGGAGGACGAACAGCCTCTGTAGGCCAATGAATTGCTGAGACGACCAGGGCCTGGAACGAAGCCCAATGCATTTTTCTTTTTTTGTGCTGCGACGATGGGCAAAACCACTCCTGTCGCGAATGCCCCGTATTGCGGGGGCATCCGCCAGGTTCCGGCTAGTGAGATATGCTTCAACCCTGCACCCCGCGTTGTTGCGCTGGGGCCCCAGACCCCTGGGGACATTTTTTCATGGCAACTCCTAGATTCAGATCTTCCAGGGGGAAAAAAAAACACCCTCTATTCCCAGCCCGCGATTCAGAATTCGCCTTGAGACTCTTGCTTGACCGCGTAGAGCGACTTTGGCCCTCCATTGTCATCCCGCCATCATGGATTCTGGGACCCAACCCCCGAAACGAAAGCGGACCGCTGCGGTAGGTCAATTTCGTTGCTGCCAAAACACGGGCTGACAAAGAGTCCACGACAAAAGGCGTGTATGACCTGCCAGAAGAAGAAGACAAAATGTGACGGGCTGTCGCCCTGCACCACTTGTGTCATGCAAAAACATGAGTGCTTTTTTCCTCAGACTAAGAATCGACGGGGGCCTCAGCGAAGGTTGGCAGTCAAACCATATCTTTTACGCTCTCATTGACACATAAGCCAAGCCCAAAGTCCAGCCATGAGCTCGAACAACGACTCTTACGTATGGAGTCACTGCTCAACGCGGCGGTGAGCTCCTCGAGTAAAAATACCGACCTCTACCAGAGATCCCACTCGTTCGCCACGACCCAGATGGACGAAGACCCTGCGAGGTCGACCGTCCTGGCATCTACGCCAATCGGTCACGAAATGGCCATGAACTCGGACTCGCGACTGGAAACTCCTGTGGCGCAAATCCCCAGCATGGCGCCGCCCGACGAGGTCAGCAGAGACAACCAGCAAAACACTCTCGTGTCGCGCGCGGATCTCCCAGGCGCCCCCTTGTCGACCGAGGAATATCCAACTCCAGACAAGACCGAGGATGCTTCCCGAACTTCGCCGTCCTGCGGGTTCTCCCCCTTTTCGCCTCAGGGCATTCAATGTGCCATTGAATGGACTCCTGGAGTCAAAGACCGGCAGACTCTGCTAGCGGCAGCTCAAGATACTACCATGAAAGAAACTTGGAAGTCGAATTTCTTCAGCTCTTCCTTTGGTCGCCGTGTCTGGGTGCAGCTTCCGTCGAAGGAAGAGGCGATGACGACCGTCGAGCAGTATTTCCGTGACTTCAACAGCATAGTGCCACTGTTCTGCACCTCGCCATTCATGGCCTTGTTCGAACAACAGTACTCGTCCAATCCCCCGGAGAGTGCGGGATGGTGGGCCAGCCTGAGCGTTGTCATGTCGATTGCGTTGGGGACAAAGCCCATTAAAGATGGGGATTGTGCCGCAATTGAACAGGCCAGAGACTTTCTTCGAAACAGCCTTGCCGTGCTGACCGAGCTGTTTCTCCAATCTAACGACCCGTGGGTTGTACCAGCGCTGATCGGAACGGCCCTGATCCTGCAAGGTACACCAGATCCCCGCCCAGCAACGGCGTTACTCGCCTCGGCGAAGAGCCTGCTGGCAGATCTTGCCACCAACCGAAGATCCCTGTCCAAGCTTGACAGCAGTGACATGGAGCACCAAAATCGACTTTTTTGGATAGCGTATCGTCTCGACAATGATCTACGCATCCGGTCGGGACTCCCTTTGTCTTCGGAACTGGATACGCGCCATATTGAGCTCCCCAGTCCAAACCCGGTGGATCAGCTCGGAATCATGACATTTCCAAATGGGCGGGGAAATTTCAACATCTTCAGAGCCATGGCGGAGTTTGCAGTCATCGAGGCAGCCGCCCACCGAGAGTTACATTCTGCCAAGCGATCAGAGCGCTCCGACGAGGACCTTTTGACCATCAGCGCTGAACTGGACCTCAAGCTGGAAAAGTGGAAGGAAAGCATTCCTCTCGAAGTTCAGCCGGATTACGATGTGACGTTCAAGCTCGACGACCCACGGATCTTACATGTGCTTGTTTTACACTTCGCTTATCACAACTGTGTGCAAACGATCCACCGACTTGCTTTACAGCACAGCTCCTGGGCGGCTTTACCCAACAAGCCATCCAGTGAAGCCCGTCCTACGGGTTCGGCAGGCCAGTTGTTCCAGTCCAATGCGATGATCAGTTTCGCCGCCCGAGCCTCTTTACGACTATTGAGACACATTCCTGAGATGGCGTTCGGATACGTCTGGTAAGATGTTGCCCCATCCTCGGCGATGGTGCTTCGACACTGACCACAACCACCAGGAGGGTCCTCTTTTACCCGGCCAATGCCTTTATTGCGACTTTTACCGCCATCCTGCAGAATCCGACCGGTGCCAGGGTTTGCTCGGATCTTGCGCTCATGGGGTGCTTTGTGAAGTTTCTCTCGAGTCCACACAATGAGGACAGTCCCGAGATCAAGCGCATCATCAGAGTGAGCTCGGACTTTGAGCGGATCGCCGCAAAGGTGGTGGAACGGGCCGAGAACAAGTGCGAGGCTACGTGCGCGACACCGGACTTGAATACTATCCATTGGGAGGTCCAAGGTCACAGAGTGGATGCTGTACCAAGCGCCGAACCACTCGCGTTCACCGCGGCCCAGGAATACATGAATGAGCAACATGGAGACGGAGTAAGTGCCCCTCATCGGTGAGCAATTCCCACACGCTTACGTAGGTGTAGGGGTTTTTGACCAGACTCGACGGTTCCATTCTCGTCTCGGACTTTTCCTATCAGCCATATTCTAGCTTGTTGGATGAGCCCTTTGAAATCCCTGGACTGCAATTCTTCCACGGCGACACTATCACAATCCCCCTACAAGCAATATGATTACCGACATCTTTCAAGGATCCGGCCCGGTTTGAGTGCATGATGCCCGAACCAGCAATACAGCCGCCAATGAACTCGCCAAGCCGGATGGGCGTCAACACGACGGAGGACATGGGCGTTCGACAGGCATGCCAACGAGACGAAAGTGTGTCCATATAAGCCCAACACGGAGTGTGGGACAGGTGCGCGTTCAAGTGTACGTAGACAGACAGAAGATCCAGCAATACTCCCACCCCGATTGCAACCGGGTCAACAGAGGTCTCCCGAGGTGACAATCAGGTTTTTAAGTCATGATTTTCGTCGGTTTGAACGAACCCCAATGGAGAAACACGGCATCTCAGTTCCGCTCAGTTGAAACAGTCCTGCCGGGTTCGTTTTACATGAATCGAGACGGATTCGAGCAATCCCCCCTGCTTAAATGAAGACTCCGGTAGTATGTAGTAGCACCTCTTTCGAGTCCGGGGTCATCGCCCGGCCAGCCTCTCAACCATCATCTTCCAATCAAAAGTCGTCACGAACGCTGCCTCGCTGCTGAATCGGTTATTGAAATTATGCGATCGGATAAATGCCTTCCGGCTCTAGGGCTTCGCATCTAGTGTTGCATAAATCCTCGGACCAGCTTCTCAGATCATAGTATTCTGAAGGCCTGCTCGGCTCTGTTCGTCTCCACAGGCCAATGTTCTGACGCCGAAGACGAGAATCAGCCATCACTGACTGCCGCAATATAAAAGCAGAGATACAGCCAGCCAGGGCGAGTACGCGTAGGAGTGTTTCCAGAACCCAACGACGCGTAGAATAAGACCGATCATCCTGCCCACTTTTGACACAACATACCATCATCATGATTTCTCTCGCATCCAAGGTCTTCACCGTGACCGGGGGCGCTTCTGGGATGGGTGCTGCCACCTGTCGACTTCTCGCACAACGTGGAGCTGCCGCGATTGCCATCGGGGACAAGAATCCGGCGAATTTTGAGTCCATTAAGGCATCAATAAAAGATATCAACCCCCAGACTCGAGTCACTACGACAGAGCTGGATGTTTCCGACTCGGCGCAAGTGGAAAAATGGATCCAAGACACGGTCAAAACGTTTGGCCGCCTGGACGGCTCGGCCAACGTGGCGGGCGTCGGTCAAAGTTCTGGAGGGCGTAGTGCGCCGACAATCCTCGAGGAGACGGACGAGGATTGGAGGAGGACCATGTCGGTCAACCTGGACGGGATCATGCACTGCACGCGTGCCCAGGTCCGAGCTATGGTGGCGTTGCCCAAAGGGGTTCCGCGGGCCATTGTCAACGTCTCCAGCCTTGCCTCAACCTTTCACGGGCCCGACATCTACGCTTACGGCACTTCGAAACGAGCCGTGGTGCACTTCAGCAGCTCCGTCGCCAAAGACGTGTATCCGTTTGGCCTCCGCGTCAACACTGTTTCTCCAGGTATGGCGCCGCATCCATTCCTCTCATTCCATGACCCGACTTTGTCACAGCCCATTCTACGATCGACCAAGTCCTGTTGCTGACCTTGCTTTGTCTCTTCACAGGGGCGACTCTGACGCCGATGAGCGAGGTGTTTTTCCCTGGGCAATCGATAGAGGAATCATCCAAAGCACTGAACATGGTATTGATGGGCCCCGAGTCCATCGCACGGCCAATCGTGTGGCTTCTGAGCGAGGACTCGGCGGATGTAAATGGCGTCAACCTGCCAGTCGGAGAGGGTGCTCCGTGATCTAGGCTGCTATTTACAAGAACCGTCAGATAGAAATCCACTGATTCTCTCGTGCTTTCGGGGGGCCGTCACCCAACTTCACTCGGTCAGAATGATAAATGATGACTGCATAGCGTGGTGCTTCTCTGGCTGCTCGTGGTAAAGTGACAAAGACCGACATCTTGTCGACGACATTGATCGTACCGGGCTGAAGATCAAGAGGGTGAGCAAAAAGACATTTCTTTTTCTATTTGCGGGTGTTGTATACAGAATGAGAGTGGATCTATCTTGTTGATTATGTTCTGTGCCCCTGGCTTTTCAGAGAGACTCTGCCTATCTATATACTAATTGTACTGTGGTAACAAGCGATCCGCTGAATAGATCTGGACCTGCCCAGATCTGTCCAGACTGTTAAACTAAAAAGGTTGGGAAGTCACGTGATCCAGCCCAGCCACCCAGTACTGTCTATATAGTCTACCGTAGTCCCCGTACTGAATAACGGAGGACAGCCTTTTTGATCATTCAACACAGACCTCGTTGTCGATCAACGGTGGCACCGAGGCTATTATAGAGAGGCCTCGGTTGAAGCTTTGGTGGATTGGTTGGTTTGCCACAGTGGCGTTCTGCTGTCAACAGCGGGCCAAAAGCAATTGCGCAGGCTCAAGATTCTATCACGAGCTGTCAACCTGGCCCCAATCCACTGACATGAGCAGAAGATGCTTCCGCATCTTGCTCGAGCCGTCGACAGACTGTCTTGCGCGAACGCCGCTCCTCAAGTCCGTCGGCGTTTACATTTTACCTTGCGATCGCAATTGCTCGAACTGTGAGATCATCGACAGGCCCTCGAGCTGCAATCCATAGCCGAGATCATCCAACAACCGGCGTTTGATGTGCAACGTTAAGGCGATGCGCGTGTACTTCAACGTCTTGTCCGGCAGCTTCAACATATTCCGGGCCACTTCCCAAGCCCGGCTCAACACTTGGTCCTTGGGCACGACTTCGGCCACGAATCCAAGAACTTTTCCTTCGGCCGCACCAATTTCTTCTCCCGTGAGCAGGAAAGAGCGGCCGCGATTGGGCCCGAGAAGCATCGGCCACCAGACATGGGCACCATCTCCCGGGACCTGGCCGCTAACAAAGTGCGGTTTGTCAGCGAAGGTTGCCATCTCAGACGCGACCACGAGATCGCAGAGGGTAGGTATTTCCGCATGGATGTGCACCGGCCCATTAACCGCCGCAATCATCGGAACCTCAATGCTAAGCAGATTTTGCAAAAGGTCCTTTCCTTCGCGATAGATTCGGTGCCAGAAGCTGGTCGTGCCCCCGTTGGACGGTCCCTCCCCTGGCTCCCACTCAGTCAAAAAGGTGTCGCCAGTCCCGCTAAGGATGACGATTCGATTTTCCTCGTCGTGGGCGATGCAATGGAATGCCTCGCCCAGCTGGGTGTGTAAGCCGCCATCACTCGGCCCCCATGCGGCAGGACCGTCGTTGAAATGGATGGTAACTTGAAGAATGCCATCTTGCCGGCTAAATTTCACGCCAGGAAACCGATCCTGGTAGTCTGAGAGCTTCATGGTGAGCCAGAGAATCGCCTGAACAATGACTTGGAGGAACGGGCGTCGGGTTACCCAAGTTGCCAATTCTCAGACTATATATGCCGCCGATGCACCGCTCCGTGGCCCATGTTGCAAGTGACTCTGCATCGCGATTGCGCGGGTCGTCGTGCGTGTAAGCCCGCACATCTGCCCCCATTGAGATGGCTCGTCAACCCGCATCCAATCAAGTCCGCCGGCATGTGTCAACCGAAATTCGCTTCGGGAATGTATGCTGCCGGCCCTTCCGCCGACGGAGTGGTGCCCTCGAGCATCCAGCAGGGCATTGCACCGGGAAAGGTAATCATCACCGGCACGGGTCTGCTGACAAACCAGCCATGTTGGTTTCATGAGCGTGGGTCCCCTGCAACACAATATGATCCCAGACTTCTGACCGGTTTCGGTCCACGAGAGCTTGGAGTCCACCTCATCGCCGTCCTTCGTCAACGATGGCTTCACCTCTAGCGATCCAAGTTGATCTGACCAGTCTCCAGGCGGTCTCGGGCAAGACGGCGCTGGTGACCGGCGCCTCATCCGGGATAGGCCTGGCCATTTGCGACTTGCTGTACGAAAGCGGTTGCAATGTTGTGTACGTAGCTGGCCGGAAGCGGCCGCCGACCAAGGTACTCCTCGAAAACAATCCTCGGACGCTGCTGTTCAACTGCGACGTCAGTTCATGGGAAGCCCAACGCCAGATCTTTGCCGATGCCATTGCCAAGTTCGGCCAGATTGACGTGGTTTGCCCCAATGCCGGCATTGGCGAGCCACGAGATCAAATGTACGAGTTGAAGACCGATGCCGAGGGAAACCTCCTGCCCCCTGAAACCAAGGTCTACGACGTGGACATGAAAGGAACGGTCTACACCACGGCACTGGGCCTTCACCATATGGCGGCCAAGGGCGGCAGCATCGTGATTGTATCCAGCCTGGGTGGCTACATCGGAGTGGACGAGATGCCCAATTACGCGGCAACCAAGCATGGTGAGTTCCGCCACGGAGCGTGATCCGAAGCTGCTGACATGGGGGCAAGGGGCCGTTGGCCTCTTACGATCACTGTGCCGGCCAGCGGCCAAGAAAAACATGTGGGTGTCATTGCTGGCACCGCATATCATCTACACTCCTGGCACCTTCTTCGACAGATATGTCCCGACAAAGGAGAGCTACGAAGCAGCGCGGGCAGCTCTGAAGCCATCGGGGGTCAATCTCAGCTCGGCCTACACCTGCGCTCTGGGGGTAGCGCATCTTTGGCACCTTGGGCGGGCTGCGAGTGGAATGTCCGTTTTGGTCGAGGATGACGAGCTTCGTAGCCTCGAGAGAGAATTGTGCGACGCATATCCAGCGTGGTTCTGTAAAAAAATAGAGAGCGTCATAAACGACGCTGTACAGGACGCCTGGGGATGAGTTTCAGATAGTCGAGGCTGCACATCAGCACCGTTGAAGCTGCATGCGCAAGCCTCCCAACCGGGGCCTCTTAATTCTGCAAAGCCGTTATCTATCCAAACAGGATTATTCTTTCGTTAACCTTTTCAGGTACTCATCCTCGCACATCGTCCGGCTCGGCTCTCGGAATCTGGAATTGGGTCTGATCCTATCCCGCGGGATCTAGCCCTTCCCTATCCCTACCACCAGGAAGTCCGGGGTAAGCAGCTAGTCACCCCAGAATGGAGGACTACTCTCCAGATAAATAGAGCCAATCCTTCCTGTGAGAAGGGCCTTTATCGACCTATAATCCCCCCTGGCTCCCCCCCCCCGGAGCGTCGGCCCACGTTTCTGCCTCCCGGCTATTTCTCCAGACCAGGATTACTTCCATCCCTTGCACCGTCTCCGACATGGAAGAAAAGTCTCCTGAAAACACTGCTGTCGAGCAAATCTCCGACACACGTCACAAAGAAATCCAGAATGCCGAAGACTTAGCCACCCAAAATTCATACGCTGCAAAGGCTGACGATTCGGATGGGCATGTGCCCATGACTCCGCGTCGATTCCTGGCCATGGCGTTCCTGTACATGTCCTTCGCAGGTAAGTCGCCGACATCCACATCCGAAGTTTTGAAGGTTGACCGACTGGGTGTTGCAGGAGCCAATCTGCCGCTCTTTTTCACCGTTGGCTCTCTGAGTTATATTCAGAAGGATGTCGGCAATCCGGCAACCCAAGGCTGGGCGGGAACAACCTACGGAATTGCGGTGGCGGCTCTGATCCCCTTCTGTGGCTATCTCCAAGATCTCTTTGGACGCCGATACTTCACCGTGTTCGGGTGCTTCATGATGTGTCTCGGGGCCGTGGTGGAGGGAACGGCACATTCCTTCACTCAACTCATCTTCGCACTGGTTATCTCTGGATTCGGAGCTGCTATTGTCGAGCTCAGCTCCGTGGCAGGGTTAGTATAGAACTCCGCAGTCCCCCGAGTCCTGATCTTGGCGCCACTGACTTGCTCCCCCCCAGCATCGCAGAGGTCGTGTCGGTGAAGAACCGAGGCCTGGCGTTATCCCTTCTCACAGGCTTCATACTCCCCTGGGCTCCGTATCAACTCTATTCGGAGTTGTTGGCGTCCCATACAACGTGGCGGTGGACCATGTGGATCAATTTAATGTACAATGCACTCTGTTTCGTGGGCGTGCTCTTCACTTACTTCCCGGAATCTCACCACCGGGCCGATGGTATTGGCAAAATTGAAGCTTTGAAGCAGCTGGACTTTATGGGAGGCTTTCTATCCCTGAGCTCGGTTGTGCTCTTGTAAGTCATCCCAGAACCCTCCGTTGGTTCGCCACTCACCGTCGACCAGCCTGTTTGCGCTCCAGAGCGGAGACAGTCTATATCCTTGGGCCAGCGCCAAGGTTCTCGTCCCCTTGATCATCGGAGTCCTGTTGGCCTTTGTATTCGTGGTGTGGGAAGTGAAGGGCGCAAAGTATCCCATGGTCCCGGCGTCCATCTTCCAAGGACAAAGAATCGTGGGTCCGGCGCTCGTCCTCTCGTTCACCATCGGCATGGATCTCTATGCCGTGCTGACCTTCATGCCCTTGGCATTTGGTGCAATCTACGATAGCGATCCGAAGAGCATTGGCATCAAGGCACTCGGCTACGCCTTTGGCCAGACACTGGGGGCCACGGTCGGAAATATTATGATGACGCTGATCAAAACCCACCAACGGGCGATTCTGGCGATCGGCTGCGTGTCAATGGGTGAGATTTGCTCCTAGAAACGACCCCTCAACCTCTGCTGACCTTTTTCTCTCTCTCCTGTCAGCGACGTTCATCGCATCTCTGGCTTTAATGAGCCCGGACAATGTCCATACGGCGGTTGCCCTGACCACTTTGGCTGGGTGGTCCGTTGGCTGGGTCATTAACCCACTCAACACCGTAGCACTGAGCGGGACACGCGATCTGTTCATCGCCACGGTCATCGGCCTCCTGCTTTCCACGCGCTATCTTGGAGGCTCGATCGGATACAGCATCTATTACGCCGTTTTCACGGCCAAGGCGAAGAAGAAGTTGCCGAACTACGTCGCGGCCGCTGTGGCCAAAGCGGGCCTGCCGCTCACCGAGATTCAGCAATTCGTGGGCATTTTCCTGACCAACCCTGAGGCGATTTCCGAGGTGAAGGGCATCACCCCCTCCATCATCCAGGCTGCCACCGCGGCATCGAAATCCGCGTATGCGGACAGCATGAAATTCGTATGGTACACCAGCATACCGTTTGGCGTTGCCTGCGTCATCGGGGTTTTGGTGATGAAGAGTACCACCAAGTTCGTGACGAACCGAGTCGCGGCGGTATGTGCAGGTCCTTGTTGCTTTCTGACCCTACGATGGCTAATCCAGATGTACAGCGGCTCGAATAAACATGGTTGTATCCTGCAGCAGCGCGACGTTCAATCTGGTCATCGACCGAGGAAAGCTCTAGAAACGGCGGCCTACGTCCCGAAACTTTTCCTTATAATAGCCACGGAGGATGTTTTGCCAGCCAACACTGTCCGAATCCAGACGATCCTTGTCGCGGGAACTCCGACGGTGTATATGTTACTTGGGATGTGGCTGCCTGCTCGCTCTTTTGATATCTTTTGGCTGGCGGCATTGCAAGAGAGAAAATGTCCAAATGGAGTCGGGTGACCATCCCATGCAGTGGTAATATCCTCATCCCCAAACCCATTCAGTGTGTGTCCCAAGTCCCCTGCAGAATATCTTGGGATGTAGATTCCGCCGGCCGTGCCCAGGAGTGTGTATATCCTGCTAGGGAATAATTTCCTTTGATTTTGCCGATACGGCTCGGTCGAAAGCGGTCTGTCCTTCGTTGTCTTTCGCATGAATATCTGCGCCTCGAGCGAGTAGAGTCAGAACGATTTCGGTGCGCTCGGTGTGAATTTACCTCACCTTGGCACTTGAGCCTTTTCACATGTACTGTGGTGTTGACAGGGTCTCGAGATAGCCACTGTGTGGCAAACCACCTGAGATGCTAGGCGTTTCACCAACTCCGCCACCTACCTCAACACCGTTGTTCTCGCCGATCTGTGATGGGATGGCGACGGAATAGGAGGTTCCAGGAATGGCCTTCAGATCACAGGCCAAAGTGTATATAAACAGACAGAGTCTCTCTGAATAGCCAGTAGGACAGAACACAATCAAGCAGATAGATCCACTACTGTTCTGTATACAACATGTGGCGACAGAGTACTGATCTTGATAAGGCTTCTGGTCACTTGGTGTGGCTGGGCTGGGTGCACTAGACTCGCTATCGGATCGCATTCGGCGAGGTGAGGCTGTGGAGGGGTTTGCCCTAGCAAAACGTCGTGGTCGACAGTTTCGGATTTCACAGTGCTTAAATGACAGAGATCATCGGCGAAGCTATCCCCGTCAGACCTCGAGAACTAGTGGTTGTTACAGAGTTTCTTCGTCATCCATTGACCAAGATTATCTGTCTTGTATCTTACAAGGCTTTACATATGAACTAACTCTTCTGTACAACGGGCCGCAACTGCTCTTCCTACGCCCTGCGAGCGTGTGATTACTACAGAGGAGCTCGAACAGGAAGGCTCTTCGATCTAGTAGCCCCGTCAACGTCTCTTTCACTCTTATACAGTACTAAGCCTACCGACTTTTAAGGGCGGTCACTATAACGGTCACCGCACAGGCAATAACTATGACCGACCTCTTAACCGGTAGGCATTTAAGGCTTAGAGCATAGTGCGGCACGGACTGCAGAAGCTTTTGCTCAGTGGGGTGACATTGTAACACCAGCCAGCGATTTACCTTCGACACTTCCTGCCTCCCTGTCGGTATTGCTTCCTGCGAAATGGTTAGCTCTCGATGATCGATAACAGCCACCCTCCAGTTTCGCAAGAGGCCACCAGCATTTCAGATGTATACGAGAGGAAGTGATAAGGCACCATTGGCGTGTCTATGGTCCTCTCCATCCCTATGTTGGAGAATACAGTATTATCTCCTCTTTCGACGAGTTTGCCTTAGTCATAATCTAGACTTCACAACTTAATGGCTTCGTGGTGTCCGCTCCTCGTCTCTTGTTGACATCTTTCGATGTCAGCGGCTCTGAGGTGTTAGGCTCTAGCCTCTAGAATTCCCGAATCGTTCAGTCAAAGACACTATCACGCTATAATCTCTTCGTATTGTAACAGAGCACTTTAGGGTTCGGGGTGCACGTGCAACAACACTCAGGAATTAGGTACTAAAGACGTGTAACAAAGATAATTATATTTCGTAACTGTGCACACTAGATCGTATCTAGTGAGGGGAGAATATAAATTACCGCTAAGGCGCTTATAGTTATACCTATAAAAGCGGCGTCCCCCGAGCGATAGATTTAGCTAGACAATACACCTTTTCCACCCTCTTTCACACAAGTATTGCGAGAGGGCACACGAAAATCAACGGGATGATTCCATCTCTACCTACCTTCGATTCCTTGGGCCACTTTAGAATTTCAATTGTAATCGTCCTCTAAATTTGCTCCTCATCGTGGCGAAATGAGCTGATCGAGCCGCACGTCTGCATTGAAAATTCGACGTGCCATCATCCAGGACATGTCGCTTACTTACTCCACCCACCACCCCTTGAGCAATGTTCCAGGTCCCCTTTCCAAGAATTGACAGACCCTTTTCTATTCTAAGCTTTCATGGTAACCGACTTCAGAATGGCTGTTACACCCATAGTGGCATCGGTCTGCTGTCAGCTCCGGCCTACATAACCTGGGACGTGGTCTGCCAGGGACGAGCACTCCTTGCTTGCTCACTGTCTGGCAATTATCTCTTACCATCACTCCGCCTGAAGCTTTAGGGCGTTCTAAATTGCATCTTAAATCGAGTGTACAGCCTCATTGCATACACATCTCTGTCAAAGAGCCCAGAACTCTGCCCCTGACTTAATTTTGTTTCGATGTCTGCCTGATTGAGATTTGCGGGCCAGTTTTCAACGTCCTCCCACCTCTGAACATGGCCTCACGGGCGAGACCGCGATTCAGATGACGAGGCGTGGTCGACGTCGCGCCCATGGCCCCCCCAAAAGTAGAGCCTTTGGAGCTATGATATTACACAGACTCTGCCCGTCTTCTCTTTGGGATTTTTCACAAGCTCTTCAAACACTCATTTATCGACAATCCTTCTTTGGTCACTCTTTCACGCTTCTTGCACTCGTTTGTCATAATGTGCTCTTTGGATTTCTTTTCCCTACAGTCACTCATTACGATTTTCCTCTCGTTGAATGTGTTGTTCGTCCAACATGTCGACTCTCTTGCTAGCACAGACACCATTACATGGGGTGGATCAAATGACAGAACTGGCTACCAGAACAACCACAACATGGATCCCGCTGTGGTGGGAAGTTCTCAGTTCGGCCTCCTTTTCAAGACCAAGCTTCCCGGTACATATCCCATCAACGGCCAGAATGCGCCAGAGCAGATATTCTCCCAGCCGCTGGTCTATACTGGCTCGGATGGTGTTCAATATGTCTATGTCGCAACAACTCAGAATAATGTGTACAAAATAGTCGCAAATACTGGCGTCATCGTGGCATCTCGGAACCTTCATCGCCCATTTTTGGTCAGCGATTTGGATGGATGTGTTGATGTCAACCCGACCGTTGGTGTGACGGCAACAGGTGTCATTGATCCAGATACGGTGCGTTCGTCCATCCTTTTCCGATTTCGAGTTCTAACTTCAGACCAGGATACATGGTACATGACGTCCAAGACTTACATTGATCAAAGTCTTACGGGAGCGACCGGGCGTCCAAATGGCCGCTACTACGTTCACGCCATCAGCACTGTTGACCTTTCCGAGAGGCCCAATTTTCCAGTCAACCTCGAGGGCATGGTAGCTCGAAATAATCCCGTGCGGTCATTTAACGGCGGGATCCATCATCAACGTCCTGGTCTGCTTCACACAGGTGACTATGTGTACGCTGGTTTCGCTAGCCATTGGTATGTTTGACCCACGCTGCCTAGCCGTACGATCAGAGGGATTGCGTTCTCCCTGCGCTTTTCATTTCTACGGCTGATCAATTGCGTCCCGTTACAGCGTCCAGTATAACTTCACCGGCTGGATTGTAGGCTGGCATAAGAGCACCGGACAGCTCGTGGAAAGATTCGCGACCGAAGGTGGTAGGTCGTTGTTGCTTCTTGCGCAAGTACGATTAGGCAACATTGTCTAACACTTCGCAGCTGGCGTTAGCCCTGACATTCCTGGAGCGGGTGTTTGGATGTCCGGTGGTGGTCTTGCAAGCGACGACAAAGGTTCCATGTTCTTCGCTTCCGGCAATGGCTATGCTTCTCAACTCAACGGAATACCCGTAAATGGCAGGAATCCACCAACAGCGCTGGAAGAAGCTGCTGTGCACATGGCAATCAACGATGATGGCTCTCTAACCGTAGTCGACTTTTTCATGCCCTGGGAAAAAACCCAACTTGATGGTGCTGATAAAGGTAATGCTCGTCTCTGTAACTTCATATTCAAGATTGACTAGGCACAGATCTCGGTACATCGCCGCTGGAACTCCTTCCAAGTCAATTCTCCTGTGGCGACATCACACGAATCGGTGTCGTCACCGGTAAGAGTGGAAAGACTTACTGGCTCAATCTCGACAACCTCGGAGGCTATCAAAACGGCCCAAACAAGCTGGATAATGTAATCCAAGTCTTTCAGAACGAAAACTCAGTCTATGCCGGAGCTGGTGTTTACCCGCTTGAAGGTGGCTACATCTACATCAACGTCATCCAATATCAGACCCATGTGTTCAAATTCTCCTGCAACGATGGAGTACCATATTTCAACAAGGTGGCCGACTCTCCTGAGAAGAATGCCTACATCCTCGGCGTAGGTCACGGCACCGTCACTTCGCTCAACGATCAGCCCGGAACAGGCTTGGTGTGGACGTCGGATGTCGAAGGGTCGAACCTTCGAATCTACGATGCCATCCCTGACGAGAATGGACTCATGACGGAAATCAATTCATTTGTCACACCAGGAACAACCAAGTTTACCAGACCTGTCTTTGGAAATGGGATTGTCTATCAGGGTACTACAGTCGGCTACCTTTATGCCTACGGCGCACCCGTCAATTTACCTCTGAACTGTACAACTCTCCAGTTTGGCACAGCCAACCTCAACACAACCACTGCGCCGATGACTGTGCGATGTACAGCCAATACCGCGGTTACTGTCACCGCCGCAGGCCTTTCAGGAAATCCAAATTTCGCTGTCGGTGGATTGCCCAATTTCCCTCTAGCAGTCGTCAACGGACAACAGTTTTCATTTCAGGCAACCTTCACCCCTCAAACCGTTGGCCCGCTATCTTCGTCCGTGATCTTGAACACAACTCAGCAGGCCGCTGGCTTCAGCATCAACACTCCGGTCCAGCTGAAGGGCACTGGTCAGAGCCAAGCTGCTCTGATGATGGTCATTCCAAACACTGTCAGCTGGAATGGTGTCATCACTGGACAGCAAGCCGGCGGAGTCAACCAGTCCGTGGTCATTAGCAATCTTGGAAACAGTCCTCTGTCTATCAGCAACATTATGTATTCCATTGTTGGCGAGACTGGACCCTGGATCTCGCCCAATGGCACCGAAGCGGCAACTGCAGTCTCCGCTTTCACATTCTACAACATGCCGTCGTCCGTCCCTCCCAACAGCGCTGTCACTGTTCCTATCAACTTCAACCCTCTGAATTCCGGCAACTACGCCGCGTTCGTTCAGTTCATCTCCAATGGTGGAATCAAAGTGATTGATGTCCTTGCAGCCGGATCAGATCAGCCGAAAGCTGTGCTTGAGTTCCAGAGCCTTGATGGAGGGTGGATAGCATATGACAATACCACGGCCTTCAGCTTTGGTAACGTCACAGAGAACACCAGCCGGTATCTAAAGATGCGCCTGACCAACAACGGCTCCGCCAACGCGGCGGCATTGTCAGTGACAGTCAGCAAGCCTCCTTTTGGCATTGCCGGAAGCATCATTGGCGCCAGCAACCAAGTCGACCTCGCAGAAGGCACACTGGTTTACGCGGGACAAAACCTAACCGCCACACTCTTTTGCTCCGTGCCAAAGAGTCAAATCAATGTCGACCCCTACAATGGCACTGTTCAGTGGACCATGAATCTCAACGATCCGAGCTTTGGAAAGCAACACATCCAATTCTTCTGCAATGCTGTCTCGGAACAAGTTCCTCCATTGAATCCGGTCTCCCAGCAAGGGATGTACAGATATGGGGGCTGCTTCAAGGAGAACAATCCAGGCCGACAACTTCAGACCACCAAGTACAGCGGGCCTAACAACACTAATGACCAGTGCATCTCTTTGTGCTCGGCAGCTGGGTATATCTTCGCTGGCACTCAATACGAACAAGAGTGCTGGTGTGGCTACAACCGACCCAAGACAGTTGTAGCTGATGCCAATTGCAACTTTGCGTGCACCGGCAACGTCAATGAGATCTGCGGAGGCAATGGTATCGATGAAACCGGCTCTTACATCTCCCTCTTTGGCGATATCACGCGTTGGAACGGCAATTCTACAGATACACCAGGCCCATACGTCAATCCTGGCACGCTAGGATATTACAGTTTGGGCTGCTACACCGAAGGTTCCAACTCTCGAGCACTGAATGTGCAGCCCAACGCCAACAACACTGTGGCTTCATGTCTCCAAGCTTGTCAAGGCTACTTGTATTCTGGTGTCGAATATGGTGGGCAGTGCTTCTGTGGAAATACACTGGCGGCAGGCTCCGTCAATGCCAGTGCAATTGATTGCAGCATGACCTGCAACAACAACCAGACGGAATACTGTGGAGGCCCGAGCCGGCTTAACATGTACATTTACGGCAATGGTAGCCTTCCAAGCACACCACCTTCGAACGGTGGAGGCAATAACAATCTCCCTCCGCCATCAGGCCCAACAATTCCGTCGGCAATCGGCAATTTCACCTACCAGTCTTGCTATGCTGAAATCCCTGGCCGTGCACTCAGTGCTTTTGCCCTTGCCGACGATAGCATCACGTTGCAGACATGCGCCAGCAACTGCAGGCAGTATCAGTATTTCGGCGTCGAATACAGCCGAGAATGCTACTGTGGGAACAGCTTGGGCTCAGGTAGCGCTCCAGCGACTGATGGGCGTTGCAACATGGCATGTTCCGGCAATTCCAGCTTCACTTGTGGTGGGCCAAATGGATTGACTCTGTACCGAAATCTGAACTGGACCGCTTCCACCCCTCCTCCGCCGCCATCAAATCCGACCGGCCCAAGCATTGTCCCCAGTGTCGGTAATTTTCAATTTGTCGACTGCCACACAGAAATCCCCGGTCGCACTTTGACGGGCAAGGCAATCGCCTCGAATGGCATGACTGTGCAATATTGTGCCGGAAACTGCACCGGCTTTACATACTTCGCCGTCGAATACGGTCAGGAATGTTACTGTGGGAATGGCCTGGGTTCTGGGTCTGTTACAGCTACGGATGGACGATGCTCCATGACTTGTGCTGGCAATTCGTCGACCATTTGCGGTGGGCCTAATGGGCTGAGTCTTTACCAGTATGTTGTGCCTTCGAGTTCGAGTCCAACCTCGAGGGTTACAAGTACGACCACACCGAGCGCTTCGGTCAGAGCACCTTCAACCCTGTCAACATCGACAACTGGATCGACTTCTACCTCTTCGACCCCGTCTGCAACTGTGCCATTCAGCGTTACTTCGACCTCGAGTTCTACCCAATCCCCTGTAGCTAGGACTTTTAGCATCACGATCTCGACACAGGCTGTGAGCTCGTCAACCACTTCGATACTCTCTTCGACTACCTCATCAATCGCGAGCTCAACTTCGTCGCTTTCACCTGTCACTACATCATCAAACTCATCACGAAGCATAACCACTACTTCTGGTTTAAATTCTATGTTATTGTCTTCCTCAACGAGTGCAGCAGGCAGTGTTACTGGCAATACGAACACATTCCGAGCCACTACCGCTGCGTCGACGTTGACGACTTTCGTGGGTTTTACGACTTCGGCTACAGCAGTCAGGACCATCTCAAGCACTTTATCTTCGGCGGGTACGAGCACGAGCACGAGCACGAGCGTGAGCACGTCTAGAGCCGGGTCATCGTCGAACAGTGCTAGTTTTGCCACTAGCTTCTTGCCTGCTTCTTCGACAACTAGCAGTGCAGCCGTCTCGTCAAGCTCAATCCCGACAACCACAAGTCAAGCTGACCTTTCCACTCTGACAACAATTTCAACCCGCTTGACCACCTTGTCCACTTTATCAAGCGCCACCACAAGCACATCAACCGCGAGCACCTCTTCGTCCGTGCCCTCGAACCCCTTCTTCCCCGCCATCTATCTCGGCTGTGCTCCCGAGCTGTCCAATGGCCGTCTCCTCTCCATCTCGTCCACCTCAAACTCGGCAATGACAATTTCCTCGTGTATTTCGTTCTGCTCGGCGCAAAACTTACCCCTCGCGGGCCTGGAGTACTCGCGGGAATGCTACTGCGCGTACTCCCTCTCGCCTTCCACGGCCTTGAATGCTACGGGATGCAGCATGCCATGCACGGGCAATGCGCAGCAGAGGTGTGGTGGACCGAGTCGCTTGAGTATTTACAACAATACCTCGCTGTCACCTCCCAGCGCGAAGGCCAGCATTTCGGGCTACACCTACCAGGGATGCTTCACGGATCCTTCCGCCGCGCAACGTACGCTGCAGGGCTACAGCACCTCCAACGGCACCTCCATGACGCAAGAATTCTGCATCTCGGCCTGCCAAGCCAGAGGGTACAAATACGCGGGCGTGGAGTTTAGCAGGGAATGTTATTGCTCGAACCAGCTTGGCACTGTGAGTAACGGGGGCAAAGGTTCGCAGGCATCAGAGGGGGATTGTTCCATGCTGTGTGTCGGCGATACCAATGAGTTTTGCGGTGGAAGTGCGAGAATAGGGGTCTGGATGAGTGGTTCTTGATGAGTCGTGGTCAGAGCTTTAGCACTCTGCTTCTCTTCTTGGCCGTTTTCCTTTTTGGGCATTTCTATTCTCAGTCATTCGTCTGACGTGGCGTTTTCCATTCATTCTCTAGCGTGTAGACGGGAACGAAGGGGAGTTGGTATGCTATCTACATTTTCTCGCTTTCTCGGAACGCCCATGGAAGTTGAGACTTTTCATGAACACAATATATTGTCATTTGTGATGCCGCAGAATTGATAATATTATGCCAAGTAGATTCCTTTCTGTATTGTTAGCGAGATTATTCTCGCAACAAGAGCAAATATCCAAAGAAAGCGGGCAAATTCTCAGGACCGCCGTCAAGATGCTGTAAAGCCGGGTTGTACTATGAACGGGCATCGGATAAGCTAGCTTCTTGTTTCTATATACAGATCCTACTGAGACTACGGACAGTCTTCTCGAAACCAAAATATCGAATTGTCCGACCGGATAACAAACTGGTCCAACCCTCGGAAATGCCTCGCTAGAGGAGTTGAGTTCTGGGATAGATAGTCTGGGTGCCGAAAGGGTCGGCCGACTCCGAGATTGATTAGGCTGTGAGGGAATGACGACGCTCATTCGACTTTTTCCACCGATTCCTCAACATGGGTGACCGAGGAGCCTGGCTTTTTGTCCAAGAAAGCGCCAGTGTTGACTTGAACGTCATGCAGCGCCTTTTCTTGGATCTCCGTTTGATAGGTCTTGAACTTGAAGACGCCGACTCGCTTCTCGAACAGTTCGTCGATCTCCTCCAAGGATCGCCCTTTCAACTGTTAAGCAGCTTTAAGTCAGCCCCAGAAGCCAGAGCCAGAGCCAGCTCTTTTAGCGGACTTGGTTTTGTTGTGTCTGTTACTTACCTCTGGGATGCAGAGAAAGTAGAAAATGGCACACACAATGTTGCTCCCGAACCAGATGTACCCGTACTTGGGGCCCTGGAAAGAACATCAGTAAAAAGGGATCCGGATACTTAGTAAGACTTCCACTGTAACTCACCCAATTTAGATCGGTGGGGTTGATGAAATAGGGCGTGCAGAAACTGGTGAGCCACGCAAAAACGTATTGGATCGAGGTTGCTGATCCCACGGTCCACGCACGGAGACGGGAGCTCACCAGCTCCGTAGCTACAGGATACGTTGCAGCGCCAACACAGCCTGAATGAAAACATTGTCAGCAATACCACTCCCGCATGGGAGATCCGAGCAACCCCAAACCGTTATAGAAGAAACCCCAAATTGCAACCATTGCCACCGTGACTTTGCCGGTAGTGATGGTAAATGGTGAAACACTCTGCGCAATGGCCATCCCCAGGAAGCAGAGACTCGTCACGATCGACCCAAAGATGCAGATGAATCTTCTCCCCACCAGATGGCGCATGGCGTACATGCCGCAGTTGACTCCCACAAACCCGATACAGGTGATCATGATTGAGTACTGGAAAGCTTGCTTGATGCCGGCAATTTGGAAGAAATATGTCTGATAGGCGATAGGGAACCAAGATCCGCTGCCTGCTTGTGTCAAAATGGTACCCCAACACAACAGCGTCCTCCGCAAGTCGGCGCCTCCATCCAGAAGTCAGCTGTGAAAGTTACGCCACACAAAATGCCAGCGTCACTCACCGCGAAACATATCCAGGAGTCCCACAGACTTCGCGATCCTTCTTTCTTCCTCGACACCGCGAATAATTTCTGCCCATTCAAGTTCGAAATACTCCGGAGCCAGCGAGTCTGCCCGTAGTGTCTCCAAGGATTTTCGGGCCTCACTTTCTTTATTATGATGCAGCAGCCATCGAGGGGTTTCAGGAACGAAGAATAGTCCAACCCCCAGAAGGGCTGGCACAACATAAAGACTTCCAATCGGAATCTGATAAGAACCTTTGTCCAGGCGATCCTTAGTATAGTTGTCGACGATTGTACCCAGAATGGCACCGATATTGACCCAGTAGGCAAAAAGGGCCACCATAACTCCTCTGAGATGAGCTGGTGCGATTTCGGCGGTGTAGATGTTCGAGAACGTGACGAGGAACCCATTCGAAAATCCGAGGACAATTCGGCCAAGATATATCACTCCCTTATTTGTAGTGCCAATCTGGATGGCCAGTCCGACACAGTTCAAGAAGCAAGCCAGCCAAAGGGCTGTCTTGCGACCGTAGAAGGCACCGAAAGCTCCAGCGAGGATCGATGAGAGAAAAGCACCGAGCGTCAAGAGTGAGCCGATCAGTTGCTGAAAAGTGCTGTCAATCCCATAGCCTCCCGGGCTGCTTGGATCAGGAAAGCCAAACACTTTCAGAAAGCCGGGCATAGCCTGGAGAGCGCCAATTGCAGCACTGTCGAAGCCTTTACGGTTGGTCAATGTCAGCTTCCTGCTGCTCCTAACTCAGCGCCTGATTTTGTCAACTAACCATATTGAGTATTGGCGGTCGCAACAATGCAAGCCATGATCAAGCACTTGCGGTTGGCCCAAAGGGACGTCACCGGAAAGGTAACTTGGCTGGTATGTGGAACTTCCGACATTTCGAATACTGGTCGACAACAGATGAAAGGTTCCTTCCCCGGTGAGTCAGTTCTGGTCCGTATGTAGAGGCTCACAGATTATATGTCCTCTTGTTCCCTCCACAACCCTGCAGCCAAACCTGGGGATACCTCCACAAACTCGGTGGGAGAGATGCGATACTGGATCAGAAAACCATGGGTATGGTTGCGATCCTTCCGAGGTCGAGCGTCCACATGTGGAGCTTAGCGTGTCTGATTCAATCAGCCTCTCGGTTATTTCAGTCGCCCTCCATCTCGCAGTCCAGACCAAAAGAGCAACTGGACTTTCTTCCATGCTGCATTCATCCTTAATCAACACAGGATAACTCCGCATGTGGGGAGAATAGACATTCAACTTCGCTCTTGACCTGAATTGACCATTCATGTGCTAGTTTCGAGACGCTCCAGAATGTGGGATCCCTTCTCCACGAACATATCCAGAGCTAAGCGCGTTACAGAGATGTAGCTGGGGAAGTTGAAGCGGCGATAATTAGTTGAGCTCCCAAGCAATAGCAATAAACTCTCGGCTACCAGCTAGACAGGTTACCTTGGCTCATCTAGTCCTCAAGGTCCCTATTGCCGGTCAAGGGATCTTCTTGTCTTTCTGATCTTTTCACGCAGACTCCTGTCTGTACGCTGCACACAATACCGACAGATCTGCCCCACATGCGGAGGCATAACAAGGACACGCAGATTGTAACTGCCGCCTCTCATTGTTTTGCGATGGAGTTATCTGGCCCGGCGATTCGCCGCTGCAAGAGAAAAGACGGCAGGTTTGATGGTCGTTGGTTAAAGCTGTTGTGGCTACAACGGCCATGCCAGACGAAGACAAGCGTTGACGTCTCGTTGACGAATCGGAGAGCATGAAATTCGGAAGGATCTTACCACGAGTCTATCCAAACGATGTTCTGATCAACGCTGAACGCGCGCACCGTCTGATAAATTCGTTAGGGTGGACGACACGCCTCAGCAATACCCTTCTTCGACGAGCTTGATAGATCAGAGCGGGAAGAAATACCCATACACCAAGAGCCAGGTAAGCATGTCGTAAAAGCCAGTGCGGGAACCTTGGCCGAAGTTATGATCACTTATCCTTCGTCGAACACATGGCCACATCTCACTTATTTAGATGTTTGGCTGACTGAAGACGCAAGAATTCTTAGCCATCCATTTTAGGCGGTCGAGGTATCCATTGCCCTCTGTTACTAATCTGCAACGTGATAGCCTGACCTGGGATATGTGTATGGCTGTGTGAATCACCCACTCCTCTCAACCATCAAGGTAGATAGTCGAAACTGAATAGGCTTCCCTGCTGGTGCAAGCCCATTAGATTGGGTACATCCATCATCTGAAGGCCGTTGATGGCCTGGTCTGAAATAATAGGTCCAGGAAATTGATTCATGCTACTCCATACGTCTCCCAGATAATTGGCAGAGAAGTTAAATGGCTGTGCTTCAAGGAACTCGGTTGCCGGATCTCCACACGGGGGAGGCATCATCCTGGGATCGGCGCCGCTGCCTCGGAAAATGAACGGCACGGCGGGCTGCGGTGATAGGCGCCGCTGCGCGCTCCCACCCATGGGCTCCTGATGGACAGGAGCTGAGACCGTGCTATCTTCAGCTCTCACGCTTAACATTGAAGATGTGTATGGGACATCCCCTGATAGTGTTGTAGATGGTAGACATTCTGATGTGTTACCTTTTATTTGTTGGCTCTTTTCGAATAAATGGCCCGTCGATGCTGTCGGATGATCAAACTGTGCTTGAACCTGAAAAAGGGAACCCATCTGGCCGATGGGCACTTCTCCAAAGTCTTGACCGTCAAGACCAACGGGCATGAGAGATGAATCAGTTTCGCCAGAATCTGCAACGGCCAAATCAGTGATCCCCAGCCTTTGATGTTGCAGGCGTTTTCGAGTCTCTGCAAATTCCGCAGGGAGAAGAGCAATCATCGTCTTTCACAATATTAGCCATCAGGTGGAAGATGCATAGCAGATCTATTCACCGACCTCTAGAATGGTCTGCGCTCTTTCGGCAGCGTCATTGCCATTCGCAAGAAAAGCAATCGCCTTTCGACCGATTGATATATCCTTGAACGCCATTTCTCTGCCTTCCCAGTCGGCAGAATCGAGAACAATGAACATAAGTGTCACAACAGACCCGAACACCATATGCAAGACCGTAAAATTTCCGCCTTGGAGAAGATCATTTTTGTACATTTCTCCGCTGAAATTCAAAATAGTGTGACACGCTCGAACACAGGCGGCTGCATACGGTGAAAAAGTGATGTTGGACGATGATGTGCTTTGAGCAAGAGGCTTGGAGAGGTAATGAATGAAAGGTCTGTAGAGGTAGAGCTGAACATGCGCATGGGACATGCAAAGGAGATACTGCGTCCTGAAGCAGAGAAAGTCAGCGAGTTCTCGGCTTGTTTGATTCAGGAATGGGGGATCATACCGTAATAAAGATCTGGACGTCGAGTGGGATTTCAGACGAAACCCAATGGGTAAATTTTCTGTCCACCCCTTGAGAGCTCTCTCGATATCCTTGATTTTCTCAATGCTAACCAGATATGTTGCGGCCCGTGATCCCGGAGTTTTGCTGATCCCTCTCGGTGGGTATATGTCCCTGACGACCTGATCCAGGATCTTGTGAAGGGCGATAATAGTGTTTAGACCCGCTATTGTACACACCTCCTCCGGAGGCTGAGGTGAAATGCCTTCTTTTGTGATGTAAGCATCATTTACTTCCACCGGCAATTCTTGGTCGACATTTTCATCGTTTAAGAGCCTAGGCATGCCACATGCCGTTGCAAAGTAATTTCCCAGAAGTCTCAACACCCAGAAGATTCGCTTGCTTAGTTCACGCTCGATTAGATCGTCGTATTTGGACTTTGACCGATGGAGACCCATTCGGAGGGCAAGCGTTAGTGCATGTGTTACGTATGAGTAACAGGTCCCAGCACGAGTATTACCTATTGTGAAGAGAATAAGGAAGATCATGGTTTGGAGGGATATTTCATCTGTACAATCGCCAATGTCGATAAATGCACGACTGGCAGCAAAGTATTGTAGCCTGTGTCAAGATTAGCTTTGGGTATTGCTCTTGATGATGTAGGAAACCTACCCTTCGGTGGTTTCCTGCTCACGAGAGGACTGCCCGGCATCTTTCTGAATGAATATACAGCCGAGAGCGAGGACTGCGTAGAGGAGAGGAAGAAAACGCAGCTCTGCGGCGGTAGATTCATTGGACCCGAGTGCATAAATGTCGTTAAAGGAGCGATCGAAGCTCGGTCGATGTAGGATGGGGAAAAGGGAGTATGATTCCAATGCAGCATCTACTAAAGCTCGAGCCTTTGCCTTTGAGGGAAGGCAGACCGTAACTGCGGGAGAGTAATCGCAATCAAACAGCTTTGCCACTGGCCTACTTGGAGGGCGTATTCGTGAACGGACGTCACCTGGCCAGTTTTTTATATCTTCTCGCATCCGTTGAATGAACGCTCGGTCTCCGGAATAGCCCTGAAAACTGTCCTCGGCTTCTTCAGTTGCGTGTCGCGTGAGGACGAATTTCGGCGTGGCCCAGGAGATGTCTTCGTCAGGATGCTCTGTGGAACAATCGGAAGGATGATATGGGCTAGAGCGCCCAGGCAATTGACATTCTGATGCGGGAAGCGTACCCTTCAGATGTGCAGGACGAGTGAGGTTCTTTATGCATGACTCCAAAGCTTCAATCCTAGTCTTCAGAGCCTCGACATGCTCCGCGGTCCGAAGGCACTTTCTTTTTCTGCGACTTGGTTCTGGGTAAATGCAGTCTGACAAAGTTAGGGAATGTGGAGGAGGAATCTTTTTGTGTCGTCTCTAGCTGACCTTGAAATGATATTCCACAGTGCTTGCATGGATTCTTTCTGTCACATTTAATTTTCCTTTCTCGACAGGATTTGCAGGCTCTTGAAATGGGCCGTAGATTTTGTGCTTCACGCTTCTTCATGTTGAGCTCAGGACGCAGGCCATGTGATTGTCTGGAATCGGCTTCTGCCATGGGGAAGTCGTTGGTATCTGTGCCATCTCGAGATCCCTGAGTAATGCTTTGAGGACTCTGATGTGAAGAGGGCTGCATAGCACAAAGTTGTTGTTCATTGACCATCGCGTCCTCCGCCGTGTTCTTTGTGAGAAGGCTGGAATCATACGAAGCACGTAGTCATACCCACAGGGTTTGGTAGAATGCTAGGCAACTTTCTGTTTAAAAAAATTTGAAGATCAATGTGAGTAGTGCAAGAAAGAGCATGGGAATATTGATGGAGGGATCATTTGGTAGGTAAACGGATCGAGAAATTGACGTCTGGAGGGAGAAAGAGGATGTAGTTCTCGGTAACAGGGAACGGCATGCGCGATTAATTAAGCTCTGAAATTCCCTCCGGGAGGACGTAGGGGTTCCTAGGGGGCCCTGCATGCCTAATTTATAACTCCGCTAACGCCGGGGACAGTTACTTTAGGCCCTGCCCAAGCAGAAAGGCTGCTCCGTTTGGCCCTATGACTGCAAATCCACCTCTATTCTGTAGCCACCGACAAAAATAACGACCCTCTAAATTACCTAGAGATGCAACCACGTATCTATCAACACGCCACCCAGGGACAATATTACCCGCCTGAGACAAAACTAATAACTCTGTCAAAGTAACTATTCTAATCTTACAGGGAAACGTTCCCTCAAGACCCCTCCATATTGTCGTAGAAGAACTGGTGCTGGAATCAAAGCGAGAGTAATAAACCCAAGCATTGAATTTCCCCACTGCATTCAAGTCAGCACGTAACCATCTTCAGTTCTCGACAAAAGATCATTTAGCAGAGTAGAGATGCTTACTCCATATCCAAGTTGTTGATACAGCGAAGGCCCTGCGAGTGGAAGGAAAGCCCCAAAAAAGGATCGCGTCACCGTCACTGAAGCTATCCCGGAAGCTGCGTACCTGGAGTACGAGTCGATGATGTACGTCTGGATGGATGTGAAGATCCCAATCATTCCAAATCCGAATGGGAGCAGGCCGATGATGGGGACAATCCAATGTACTTTGGCCTGAATCGACCAACCGTACCAAAAGAAGGAAATGGGAACAAAAAATGCATAGAGTAAACACATTGTCAGCCGCATCTCGGGTTGGTAGACTCCGTCGTTGGCGTGAGTGAGGCGGATGATGATGCGGTCGCTCGAAAGTCCAAAAAGAGCCTGTCCGCAGAGCAACCCAAGTCCCAACCCGATATAAGCGAGACCGGTCAAGTCAGGACTCCAAAGATACGTTCTTTGGAAGACGTCGGTGACTGTCGTGAAGAGCAAGTAGAGGCATCCATATATCAGAGCAACATAGATTGCCAACAGTCCAACGATAGGCGACATAAACAGCATCTTGGCTGGCCTTATCAAGTTGCGAACGAGGAGGGTCCCTGCGGAGCGTTGGCCCTGCGTTTTGTCGTAGCAGCTTATCAAGTCGCTGCGTTTCAGTTCTTTTGCAAGGCGCCGAGTCTTCTCGCGGATGAGGACAGCGTGGTTGGTTTCGCGATAGAAGATGAGAATAAGACTTGTGCATGCTCCTGCAACAATCAACAGAGTCCAAAAGACCTGGGAGGCATCAAACAAATTAGTTCAAGTCGCCACACATCAGCCAGATTGAGAGGTGACCCGGAGAACGTACCCATCTCCATCCCGCTCCCTGAGCGATGAAGCCTCCACAAATTGGACCCAGAACAGGTCCAAAGAGGGGCCCGGCAGTGAAGATAGACATAGCCAGCCCACGCTGTTCCTTCTCGAATAGATCTGCTATCGTACCGCCGCCGATAGTCAAGCAAGCAGACCCACCCATACCTGTGAGCAACCGGAAGACAATCAAAGACGAGATATTGGGCGCCAGTGCGCAGCCGATCTGCCACACCGTGAAATGTAGTGAGGCGATGTTCAAGATGATTCTTCGACCATATATCTCACTAAGCGGGGAGAGGAACAGCGGGCCAATCTATAGAAAGCTCAGTCAGAATCCAAGCGGACAAAGGCGTTGTCTTGAGCTGAAAAGATTGGGTTGGCATTACCGCGTAGCCAAGGACATATGCTGAGACAACGAAGGTGCTCAGCAATGTTGAAGTGTTGTGAAATTCGACATCGGCGAAGCGAACGGCGGGCGCAAAAACAGAAGACGCAAATGGACTGTGAGTTTGAGAATTTGATCCAGGTTAATTCATGGCACGTCAAAGCAGGACTGGGGTGCAGCAACCAACCTGATCAGTGTCATTGAGCTCACGAGGGAAAGGATGGTCCATTTGCGCAGTGAGGCATAATTCCGTGGATTTTCTGGATCATCTTGCCCTTCCCATCCGACGATACCCTTGTCAAGGTCTTGCTCTGGAAGGACGTCCCTTTTTAATACAAGCTCCTTCCGACGAGCTCTCGGTTGTTCTGAAGATTTCTTTTGCGACGATTGTTCATCTTGGCGCCCCGGCGGCTCGGACTGACTGGGCTCTCGTGGAGGTATGTCTTCTGGAGGATTACATGGTATCTGAGCCTCGACGTGTCGGCTATTTTGATCTCTGGTGCTAGCTGGAGCCATTAACTTAACACTTAAGGGATCTCAGCAATGTGGTAGATAAGAACACAGTGGCCGCCGAACAAGGCTGCTGCAGCATATCAGAACAAATCTTTTTACTCCCTTGGCTTTGGTCTTATAAACCTCTAAAGAAGAGGCTACATCTCCACGAAACATGCTTTGGATATGTGTAACCTGGTGAGTACATATGAGATCAGTCCCATATCTGACACACCGGTTGCGGATTACTTGTGTCGTGTACCTCGTAGCTCACGAGACGAAGCACCTTCGGCCTTGTAAAGAAGCAGTTCTCCGTGATTTGGGTTAGCGCAAAGGGCTAAATGTGGAGACATTCATGGGGGAGACGAATCAATTGTTGCGGTCCTGGAAGTCACCTTGACATCCAGAAACCCATGAATCGCTGTATAATACTCAATTGATGGACTGTCGGGTCTCACGGGAAGACGACCGTACTAACCTTGATCACGGTGCGGAATCATGTCATGGGCCGACGCCTTCCCGATATGGATTGTGTCTGTGACGATGCTTTCGGGATGAATCTCTTGGGCATCCACGACATGCCAGCGATTCGGTTCGCAAGCTCCAGGCGCCAGAAGACAGAACAATGTCCGATCTCAAAGTCCGTTAAAAAGGCTATGGAGATATCGGAGACAGATATGGTGAGTGGCTCCTTCGCATTCACTGTCCGTCTGTACAGTCTCAATTTTCAAAACTACAGTTGCAGAAGGTTTAAAAGAAAGACCGCACGCTCAAGAAAGAATGCTCTTGCTGCAAGTACCCAGGACTCGTGAAGACAGACCAATTCACTCATACTCTGCTCCTTCCAACTGGCGTCCTTGGTTCCTGCATACTCGACAAGATGACATCCCACGGACCGGATACCTGCTGCTACAGGGGATTCAAGCACGAAGGCGAAGCGACAGGTCAAATTGAACAATGGAACGACTTCGAGGTCTATGTCAAATACCCTGAAGATCGGTCTACGGAGAAAGCGATTCTTTTGTACGTTTGTCATGATTTTTCTCAACGCATCCGCATTGCCTTGTACTGATGTGTAGCTAAACCTTCCACACAGCTTGACTGATGTCGTTGGTCATCGATCCATCAACTCTCAACTGATGGCGGACCAATTCGCCGCCAACGGGTACTTCGTTGTGATGCCCGACCTCTTCTATGGAGATGCAATCGACCTCAACACAGTCGGCGAGCTCGATATTCCCAAGTGGTTCGGAGGCGGATACAACGCCAAAGGAATCGGGCACGACCCGTCCACCGTTGACCCAATTGTCGAGACATGCTTGTTTAAGATGCGAACCAAATACCATTGCAAAGTACGCGGAAAATTTGTGGACTTCTCTCCTGTATCCGTCCCCAGTTTGCAGGAGGAATTCTCTGACTCAAAGGCGACAGAAAATCGGTGCTGTGGGATACTGTTTCGGAGCGAAATACGTCGTCCGCCATTTACGCCCAGATCAAGCAAAAATCGACGCGGGATACGGCGCACATCCAAGCCAGGTCGAAAAGGACGAGCTTCAAGGTATCAAGGGACCGCTCGCCATCGCCGCGGCGGAGAACGACCACATTTTCCCGCCCGAGAAGCGGCACGAGAGTGAGGAGATCCTAAAATCCTTGGGTCTCCCTTACCAGATAAATCTGTACGGGGGCGTTGCGCACGGGTAAGTCTTTCTTTCCCTTGTAATATCAATCCCGGAACAGGATTGTCTTCCCCCAGAACTAAATGCGCCAGCTAGCTGACAGTCCACTTTCTTTTCCCCAGCTTCGCCGTGCGTGGAGACATGAAGGATCGGACACAGTTGTACGCCAAAGAGGCATCTTTCTCACAAGCTTTGCAGTGGTTTGCAGAGTATCTGTAGAAACTCTTTCAAGAGACGTCCTCTTTTTCCCTTTTCCCTCTTTTTTTCCCCCCTCTCGCCTCCTGCATTTGGCCCCACATGTCATGGTCGCCTCTTTCGAGGAGATGTACATTGGATCATCGATCGCCCGTCGATGACTCTCATCTGGTAGAGCCTTCATATGAGGCGCGCAAGATTCAAAACGGAGGGATAGAAAATTTATTGAAGTGAAAGGGCATCGGAGACGGAGCGGTCGCGTCGCTAATGATTCGATGAGTACTCGGTAGATGGGAGGATGGTGGTAACTCGCACCACATATTCCCATAGTTGCACCGTGTGGTCCCTGTCAGCTACGCATGGAATGACTCCCACTAGTAATAGTCATCTCCATGCGATCCTAATCCGTAGTTGTCCGTAGGTACTCCATGGAGGATAGATGTGCCAAGACATTGTCAACCCAGCCAAGCGAGAGAATTCCACATCGGAATTGTGAGAAACATTAGACGTGTCTCTCTAGAAGATAGGCATTTCTCATTACGGTGCTGTTTGATCTCGTTGACCATAGTGTAGGCACAGAGATCTACATTTTGGCCACTTCGAGCTCTGCCGCATCTTCTCATCAGCACATCCTCATGATCACCAACTGCTGGACCGACGAGACCCTAGCGCCCAGTTAACGGCGACATGATAGAATGAGAAGGACCTGCTCCTCGCCCCACGCCCCACAACCCAGAACCGCATAACAGCGGAGAAACCCCAAAACACGCCGGTCTAACCAAGCGTTATGCAAACCTAAGTAGGAAATGGTATCTCAATGGTCAAGGCATCTCAATCAACACAAATGAAAATGAGCTTCATCAATCTCATACAACCGACTCCACATGAACATCGTACACTGCCTCGACTTCGATTTAGGCCCCAGACAATGGTGACGGGAGAAGAAGGTTGACTCTCCAGTAGAGCTGATATCGTCTTTTTGTCGTCTTCCAGCCTTGCCGACACTCATATCTTGAGAGCAGCCTTTTCATCAATAATGGTGAACGGATTGGTCTTCTTTGCCACGGGCCGTTTTACGCGGAGGACGGCATCTTGGTCTGACATTCTCCTGCCTAGTGCGCGCTCGACCTTTGCGCCCAGGCTCAGTTTGCTGAGATCATCGGTCTTCTTCTGGGAGGGCACAAAGCGCTGCTGCTGAAGGCGTTTGTTTTCCAGCCGGTCCAGGCCTTGAGTGAGGTGGCGGATCTCTGCCAAGCCGGTTTCGGGGCTGACGGTGATATTTGCAGTACCAGAGCCAGAAACGAGAGTTTGCGAGTTTGAGATGTTGCTGGTGGTGGTAGCAAAGGACGGAGAGGCCGAGTAGGTTGAGTAGCGTTTGGAAGTGCGCTTGGAGGTGAGCTGGTCGGGGTGTTAAATGGAAAAAACAATCCAAAGGTGAAAGGACATGGACTTACACTGGGAGCCATAATAGGCCTTTGAGACTCAAGAGATCGGCGAGACATGGCTGCGGCAAGCAGCTGTTATGATTGTGAGTCGTTGAGATTCACCCAGCACGGGGTGTCGAGGATGTCAATGCGTTGGAAGAAAAACCTGGTGGTATACCAACCACAAAAGTGTGGTGTTTCCCGCTGGGCCCAGACTTTTGTGATACCGAAAACAGGGTGAAAGAAAGTGGAAGGGCGGCGGAGAGAAACGGCAAGCAATGTTTCCAGAACAAAAGGTCGGGGCAAGCAAGGGTTAATAAGTTTGGGTCTGAACCGATTGAGTCGAAAGCAGCGGTGACGGTGGAGTGGGAGGTGAGCAAGCGTGGCCAAAAACCGCAATTCCGCTGGTGATCAGAGTCCACTCCGGATTAGATGTTTTGACGGCCAAATGCTGACGCCAGCGAATGGAGTTCAAATGTTTTCTGCCTCAATAGCAACCTGAGGGTATTGGTCCTGACTTGATATTCGAGGGTATAAGAATGTAGAGAGCCGGGATGAAGTTGGACAGAGGGAGAATTCTGACAGGCGTCAGGTACTGATAACACGAGGTGGGATGACTCAGGTCGGGCGGTCGGTGAACGGGACGCAGGATGAGGTATGGAAAAGTGGTCAGCTGTAATGTTGGTGGAGAACAGGATAAGGCGGCTTTTTCACGCCCGTGGGTTGGGTTGGGTTGGGTTGGGTTGGGTTGGGTCGGGTCGGATTGGTTTGGATTGGAAGGCTCCGGGGGTGTCGAGGAAGGATGGAAGATGAAGAACGGCAGAAGAGGCAGCCGATGAGAGGAAGAGGGAGAGAGATATGCAGAACTTGTTATGTGTGCGCGTGTGTGAAAGAGCAAGTAAGTGAGTGTCTGGTGTTGGTGCAGGAGTAGACAGAGGGCCAAAAGACCACCCAGGCCAGGGGATTGGGCTCTTCTTTACCCAGTTGCTAGGTAGGTAGTTGTTAGGCCTGCCTGCCCAGGTTTAGAAACAAGCTTGTTTAACCCTTAGTGGGCACTGGGCTACTTCCAGGGCCACCCAGTAGCGCCGCTCAGAAGGCCTTGGTGGTTCCCTTTCTTTTCCCTTTTGGAGGCGCAGGACTCCGGAATTTGTGCCCCCTGTTCTGTCCCTCAGGCCCATTGTCTCTTGACCAGTCAAAGCCCGCTGTTTCTTCTGGTACCTGTTCCTCCTCCTATCTTCCGGAGTCGCCCTTCCCTCTTTCTCTGCCCCTGCATCACGCCCAGTCAAGCCACTGCTTCAGAATTGATCCCAGAACCCGGAACCTGGTCCACCACGTGGCGATTGACGGACCTGGCCTGCATGGTGACCAGTGACCAGTGGCCGCCATCACCAACAACCCCGATACCACAGAATTGAGGACCAAGGGGGAAAAAAGGTAAACGGTCCATCTTCACAGTCCAGAACCACAGCCACCTGCAGGCATTCCAAGTACGGAGTACTACGTGCCTCGCACAACTTGATCCATTTGAACAGCCCTCTTCATTATCCGGCGCCTCCTGGTTACGCTCATCAACTTCCGACTTCAAGCCGTTTGGCCAGATTGCAAAGGCCATCTGCGCGGTCATGCGCCCCTGACGAATATGGCTAACTGCGCACCCCAACCGAGATACGTGGCTAGAGTCCTACAAGTATTTGGCATTTAGCTTGTCCGGCACCATCACCTGTGATCACCAAGGATAATGCCTCCTCATAAGAAAAAGATGCCAAAAGAGAAACCAGAAAGCCCCAGCGCAGTCAGAGTTGGCCGTTTCCAAGGGAAAACCCGCAGCTCCATCGTATCCCTGCGCGATGCTCATCCCTGGGAATCGGATCTCGACTATGCACGCCAGTGTTTCACAACCTCTGGCCCAGAGTCACGTTGCCCAGGTCCAGGTTCAGGCGCACGCAGGTCTCCCCGCTGTCCGCTTGTCCGTTCAAGTCGCATGCAGCCAGCCACGGGGCTCCTTTCCGAGGATGGCCAGCGTCAAAGTCCGAATTGATTCTTTACATCATGCCCTGTCAAAATTTGGCAGGCAGCCAATCTCGGCGCGCTGTCAAAACATATATCCTGACTTGGGTTCTTGAACAAGCAGCGCTGATTAACTTCATGAGTTGTGTTTGGTTGTTGCACCTTGACACCTGGCTGCAAGCCACGAGAAGATAAGCCACAGTTTTATCCCACTGGTATTTCCGTACCCAGTACTGGGTAGCACTTTCCTCCCAGCGGGGCACGTGGACATTGCCAACTACGGACTCCAGCGCGAGCGAAGCATAAGGAACGAAACTGAACTCAGTCCGCGACAGGCCAAATTACTCCCACGGGTCGAGAATCCTACCAATGGAACAAAGGGGCGTCGGAGTGGGCTCATTGCAGACCCATATCATCATCCATATCAGCACACGAGTATGATATTACAGTATCTCATCGCTGTCGAACCTGAGTACAGTAAGTGGCTCCCTCGTCGCCCTGTCGTCATTATCATCCGTCATCCATCATCCATCAATCATGCCAACGAAAGTAGTGCCAGCCTTGTGTCCACCATTCATTAACACTTCCAGTCGCACCAAAATGCTTCGCCAACCAGAATGCCAATCCACCAACAACGCCGAAACTTCCCACAATCTGCAACGCAATCCATCCCCTCGCGCGCATGCTATCCCGCCATCTTAACAGTCCCAGAGGATCATGCATTTGATAGCTCGGCAAGACATCCACTCCGTATGCCGCGTATCCCGTGCTGCCTTTGCCGTCCTTTCTTACCAGCGCCTGTGCGTTATCGCCCTGCTGTAGGGGCACGATCGTGCCATCGCGGACTTCCTCTCCCATTCTCTCCACAAGCCAGACAGCTCTCTCCCCCCGTGCAAGCCGCTCATAGCGCTCCCTCTCCCTCTGCAGACTCAACTGCAATTCGCTTGCCCACTTACTCAGCCGTATCTGCGCCAGTCTTTCCTCCCGTTGTGTGTGGTCGGCGACTTTGGCCAGTGCCCAAGAGTTCGATGTGTTGAGTGAGACTTCTGATCCAATAGGGATCAAAACACCCGAGTTGGAGATGCTCAGTGGTGTCTGTAATGGAGAGGTGAGTGTCGAATTGCGCATTGAGGGATTATACGACTGTGACCGGAGAGAGGGTGATGGTATAGAGGTTAGTTTTGGATGTGTTGAGTGCCAAGCTACGAGTTTCCTCGCTGCGGTATGGCGCAGATAAGCGACCGTCTCAGGCTCGAATATTGATTCTACGAGCAGGCTGAGTTCGGAGGGGAGGAGCGGTTGAATGTATTCGGGCGACATGAGGAGGGAGGCGTCCATCGTGTCGAGGTCGGGTCCATTTGTTGAGGTCACCGTATAGGGAGCTGTTGCTGGTGCTGGTGCTATAGGTTGGGTGGGCTCTAGTGTCGATGCGACTAACGCGGCCGGCGAGGATAGGGATGTTGGGAGTCGAGGTAAGCTGGACACGCTAGGATCCAGACTCTGTTTGATATATTGCTGATCTTCCAAAGTAAGGAGATCCGACTTCGCAATGAGAGGAATGATGTTGCATAGTTCAGACAACTGGCGAATACATTCGCAGTCGTCTTGCACGGTATCTGAATCACCAAGATCAACCACTATTCATCTCCGAAAGCACCATCTCTGAACTCAGCAAAGCACTGACTTACCTTTTGATATCAAATACAATACCACGTCGACCTGACTGGCACCCCTTCCACTCAATAACCCCGAGAACTCGCTCGCGAGCTGATCAACACTCACCATGGCATTCACCAGCTGTTGCTCCGCATAATGAATAAGCCTCTCCAACTTGACTGAATCAGCAGTGTCCACGAAGCAGATATTCCTCTCAAGCACAGAGTCACCCATAGACTTGCGCCGGCGCAGGATGCGAGACTCCTCAATTGTGGACCACCATTCGGGATACGGCTTTGTAGAGGCGTAGACTTCGTTGATCGGCTCCGTAAGACTAGTAGAAGTTCGATGAGAAGTGTGAGAGGAGTTCGAGGCTGTGATCGGATCGACATGGACAATATCTTCACAGAGTTGGACGATGGACTTTATCAGGGAGGTCTTTCCCACGCCTGTATTCCATGACACAGTCAGTAACCTGGTGTCGCTGCACTTATTCTATGTCTCTTCGTTCCTTAGAATGATAAGAACGAAACGTACCTTTCCGACCAGCAACCATAATCTTGAACCTCCCTAACCTCTTCCCTCTCTGCGTAAAAGGCCGTCTGGATGGCATCTTGATACTTGGCATGATAAGTTCAGGGTGACTGTCCTGGACTCCTCCCCCCAGTGACGATAACATTTCAGCACCACCGACTCGCTCAGCGCCAGTCTCATTCTCGTCTTCGTCACCGCTGGATAGTATCGCCTGACTGCTCGTCTCATCCGCATTTGTCAGCAGCTCATCATCAGAATTCGCAGAGGACTTCGTCTGTAACGATCTTCGCGAGGCAAGAGATTTCGGACTGCCGGGTAGAGAAACTTCTCGTGAAGGTAACGGCGAGGGTGTGACGACTCTCTCGAGGACAGGTTGAGGGGAACTGGCATTGGTGTCGGCGTTCGCGCTGGACGAGCCCCGTCGGAAGCGTTCACAGTTCGTCCCGGGTTTGATGGTCGAGCGCCGTCGGCTCCCGCTTCTTCCTTGAGCTGGTGCTTCAGCTTGTCGGGATGTGGTGTGCTTGGTTGATGACCGGTCGCGGTCGGCTTCTTCAATGGTGTCCTGCAGGCTGCTCAAGGGCGACACAGACGGCGGCACTCCAGCACTCTTGTCGGACTGGTGCGGCTTGACGGAGGCATCGGGATCTCGAGATAGGAAGAAAGTGGTGGCAGGAGTGCTATGGCGTTCACGGTCACCAACTAACGAAGGCGAATGCGAGTCGGCATTGGACGGCTTGCGAGGCCGTGGTGAGTCTGCTGTACTGTTATCAAGGCCGATTCCTGGTCTCATTGTGCAGTCATCAAGGGAATTTGCAAGAGCAGGCGATGTTATAGTGGACAAGGAGGGGGTTAAAGAGTTTTTGATGTTTTCTAGACTGAGCGACAGGACTGGCAGCTGACAGTGAAGCAAGATACAAGACAAACAGGTCACCGATGTCGCGGCCTGAAGTTACTCCTCAGCCTATCCTGCCTATCCTAGATTACCCCACGGCAGGCCAGGCAATACTACCAAACACCACGCGGGGCGGAGTCTCTTCTTATCGCTGCCTTGATGCCTCAGCTGATTGTACTTGTTCCTCCTCCTTCACCCTTCAAGACATAGAATGGCACTCTTTGAGTGATTCATCAGCATTGACCCTATTCTCCATGTTACAAAGTATTGCAACTTTTGAGCCAACCCACAATCGCCATTAGGTAGGATATTTCTCATTCCCAATGAGGGGACTACTGTACAATTCCATGCCCACACCGGCGCCATCCTATCTCTAGGGAATCCTAGGGGTCCCGGATAAAATGTTTCCCCTTCGTACACAGACAAATACATGAGCTCGCTCAAAAAGACGCGCTTGCCCTCTGACCATGGCCCTAAGCAAGGCCAACATGAAGCTGTTGCTGCCTCGCTCGCTAGAGATGTGAAAGGTGAGGAGAATCCCGCTTTCTGTTTCGTCCTGACCAATTCTGAGGCTGGCTATGCGAACAACACTGCTGGATCGTGAAAATATGTGTAATGTAATGGATAGTACTTTTTCCAAGTACGCCGTTTGCCAGGAAAATCGTTGAAAATCAACCCCATCACTTTTTTATCGCTCCGCTTGAACCCTGGAGAATGCAAGAAGCAAAGTGACGAAAGATTCTTTCAGTGACTGATGCCGTGTTTCAGCATCGCGCCCCTGAGGAAACTTTAGGCAGTCTGGCCTTGACCACGTCCTTTGGGAGTGACAGTGCCAGTACCGGGCTTTCCACCTCGTTGAAATCCACCACCACGTCCGGCATCCTTGGGAAAGTTGGTCTGACTTCCGGATCGACCGCCCTGCATGCCACCCCGGCCACGGGTGGCAGGTCCACCGCCGCGACTGAAGTTAGCATTGCTGCCGCCATATGCATTGGGACGGGGACGACGCTCTTCAACATAGATCTGCTCAGTACCGATAGTGTGAGGGTTGGCAGCGACGGCAGCAGCGTAGCCGGCAGGATCAGCAAACTCGACAAAGGCACAGTTCTATATTCATTAGTGAAGCCCAAGAAATCAACCAGGCTTGGTAACCTACCCTAGGTCGTGACACGTCGAAATATTTGAGATCGCCATACTTCTCGAGAACGTCTCTGAGGATCCTAGCATCAACTTTGTCGTTCACGTTCTTAATGTACGCCATCGTAATCCCCTCCGAGACAACTCTGTTCGGTGGCCGACTACTCTTCTTGCTGTGATCTGCAGTCTGCCAGCCATTGCTCTGTGAGGTCGGAGTGCTGGAAGTGGTGTTCACGGTTGCTGGCACAGGTTCTGCCGAGGCCTTAGGGGCTTGTGCAGGTTGTGAAGGTCGGGGAGCTTTTGGTTGTGGCGGAGGAGTCAAAGGCAGGGCGGGAACAGCTGGCTTCTGCACACCACCTCCCAACATGCTGGCCCACGTCTTCTTCGCAGGGAGTGCTTCAGGAGTTGGAGCAGGTGCAGCAGCCTCGGGGACGGGTTCAGCAGCAGCAACGACTTCGGGTTCAGAAGGCTGCTCGGTTGCGACAGGTTCGGTGATATCTTGGGCGACAGCGCCCTCTGTCGCGGATGAGAGCTCTGGAGCTTCGGCAGCTTCTTCAGCGGGAGCGGGAACAACATCGCCATTGACCTCGGCTGGTTCTTCTTCCTCTTGTGCATCTTCCACCTTTTCTTCCTCAAGTTTCTCGTCGACCTTCTCAACAGCATCCTCAGTGGCAACGACGTCTTCATGATGAGACTGAGAGTCTGTCACACCTCCGGCTGGGGTGGGTGGCTCTTCCGCTGGGACTTCTGCCTGAGGTTGTTCATCTTCAACAATCTCATCCTCATCATCACTGAGGTAGCGGAAGATATCGTTGAGGACGAAGTAGCCGTTGGGTTGTTCAGCGAGGACGAATGTCTGTACAAACTTGTGATGCGGCTCTGACTTGTTGGACATCTCGCCAATGACCTGGACCACAATGTTGTTGTACGAGGCCTGAGAGTCGACATTGAGGACACGCACTTTGCAGTCCTGGAGGTCAAGGGCTTTAATCTTCTCGCTGATTGCCTGCGATTTCCCTTTGTCAGCCATCTCGATAGCCTTCAGGCGACAAGGTGACAACATACCTTTGTCCCGACAGCAGGAACAACTTTCTCCGCCTCGACACCCGTGACCAGCTGTGACTTCTTGGAGTAGAAGAGGTGGATCTTTTCTGGGCTCTTGGAAAGAGTGGTATAATATTGCTCCACAAAGTACCAGCCAATCTCCTGCGGGTCTGCCTTCTGCTGGGTGGTGGTGGAGGTGGTAGTACTTTGAGACGCGGAAGGAGCATGAGTTGGCGCAGAGGGAGTAGAGGCGGCAAGTTCAGCAGGCTGGCCATATTGGTTTGCTCCGTACAAGCCGTTAACAGGTGCGGTTTCGGTCGCCATGGTAAGATATCAGCGTGAGAGCAGCCTAACGGGATTCAACGTCGTCTTTTGACCTGAGTGCGAGTCGCGTCGATAATCGAAGTAACCGGGTAGAAGACTCTGGATTTGATCGCGCGATGGGTAATAAGAAGATTCAACCAGCAGCGCGGTGAATCAAAGGTGACAGATCTTGCAGACTCTTAGTCGATAATCTAGCACGCAGGCAAACAGAGAAGTGATTCCTTCAAGGGGAGAAAAACGGAGAATGAAGCACAAGAGACGCGCAGCAGGAAGAGGATGCTGGAAAATGAAATTATGAAAGGCTAGGGTATGTGATGGTCGATTGTGGGATGTTTGCTGGATGAATCAGAAAGGACAATTGCTGGTGCTGGTGCAGAAATCGCCGTTCCAAGGGTAGTATGAAAAATATAAAAAGCGGAGGCGGCAAGTTGGAGGCACTTGCAGCCTTGGCGGGTCGCGATCGCTTCTTGCCCTCTCCACCAAACTGTGCCGCTTTGGCCGCTTTCATTGTGCAGGCGGGCAAACATTCCTTCGCCTTCGATTGCATCTGGCTCTACTTTTGATGATTGGTTGGCAAACCGAAGTGCGCTTGCTGCGTTCTGACATGCATTATACAACACCAGCAAACTAGGTATCTCATGCTCACAGCCTCTGAGTCTCAGCCTCTCCTTTTGCTTTGTGGTTCAGAGTGACACTCCACCCTAAAAGACATCCGGCTCTCTGCCAGCAAACAATCCTCTCCAGGTGCAATTTTGTTCAGATTTCGACTCAATCCAGACCGTCCACGGCAGAATTATGGCATGTCTCCAAGAAGGAATGAGTATTTAGGTATGTATTCTAGCGATATAAATAACCTGCGACTACGGCAGCACAGAGGTTAGCGAGCCCATACCACCTCTACCACATCATCGGTAAGAGCAATGGTGGGTTTGGGTTGAATGTTTGGACCAGGATGTCTCCGTGTGTTCGCAGGTGATAGAAACTTGTCTATCTATCACTGGTACAGCAGAGAGGATACAAAAGACTGGGACCGAAGCACCGCTATCTTCATGTTCGAATGGCGTATTGGCCTTGGTGACCAGTGAATGGATGGTGTTAGGAGGAGCGCAGCTGGCAGAAGGATTCCTTTTTCCAACGAGCACCAACTCCATATGGATTCTGCAGCTTCTTTCCGACCCAGCCTTGCAGGGAACGACGCAAACCATCCTTCAAACACGGCGCTTCGGCTCGCTGGAGAGTTGCATCTTCGCTACGAGTGCTCCGTAGAAAGGTTCACATTGCGGATAACAGACTCTTTCCCCGCTCAATTTTTGTCAGTCATCTCTCCCGCAAAGGAGATGTACTGCGGGCTTGGGGAAAGGAGGTATATAACACGTAGGATGGATCGAGAAGGAGAGTGACAACTTCCATTGCCCTTGGTGTTCTCGGCACTTTGTACAGGGACCCGAGCACAGTGTCGATTTTTCCAACCTCAACCGTCCAGAATGAACGGCGTTTCGAACACCTCATGGTCCTCTATGACTACCAGTTCACGCCGAACGCGTAAAAGGCTCGGAATCTTTTGCCAATGTGTCCCATCCCATTCCAGGTTTGTGAGCAGCCATTTGAGATGCTGCGTCCTATCTTTGCCCAGCTGGGCATCGCATACAGACGCATTCCTGTCAATGCCGTAGGCCACGATTTCTGTGCTGACAACCGCGTCTTCATGGAAGCAGTTCAAAGCGTCTTCCTGGCCAAAGCAGCGGCTCTTGCCTAAAGTCCGGCCGACCATGCATACGAGTCTTTCGGATACCGTAGCTTTTGGGTCTGCCTTCCACTTTTGCGGTGACGCTGATGAGCACAGAATTTCTGAAAGACAGGGAAGAGCTATTCTCGATCTTTAACCGCCCAGACTTTCAGGCACTACGGCCCAGTGCACCACCCGAGTTGCGTCAGATGTTGGACGGCGTCGAGAACGATTTTCTGACGCTTGGCTCATGGATTGGGGGAGATACATGCTCCATCGCTGATATCCATGCAGGTTGGATGATCAAAATGGTGTTGCAGACACTAGACGTGCAGTGTGAACCAAGCTTCTCGGAGAAGGACTTTCCGGAGGTTCATGCCTGGATCAATAGACTTCCCATTCAAACCGCTGAAAAGGATGCCGAAAAGATCAGTGCAGAAGATACGAAGCAAAAGAACTCGAGCTCGGAATATGCAGCGAAAGACATCGGGGTTGACCATTCGGATCCCACAGGCCTGCAAGCAGGAATGTATGTCTCTGTTGGTACAACCGATGAGTAAGTCACCCATTCAGCTGCCTAAAATTCGCGGGTTGACCGCCCTGCAGTGCCAAACCTGGCAGACCACAAGAGGGCAAACTCGTACGCCTCAGCAGACGAGAGATGGTCATCGAGCTGGGGAATGGCCATCGCATGCGTTTCCCTTGGCTTGGCTTTGTGTTGAAGAGGGTATGAAGAGAGATTCAAGCCGCGGTACATGCATGAGAGACGAAGGAAGCTCATGGCTGAGCGTCCTGTACTGTGGCTTTCTGCCATTTCCGGGTTTGGACGGAGTTTCTTCGAAGTCGGTTCTTGGACTAACATCAGAGTAATGCACCCTTCCCGCAGTATTTCTTGATCCTTTCCGGCTTCAGATTACTTTTGTTGAGAGGCTCAGTAGAATCCAGGACTCCGTGGAACGGCAAGGTTGGGCGATGAAGGTGATAGATTGACCGCCAGAGCTTTGTCATCAATGTCGTTAACTGGGTTGGCGTCTTGTTCCTCCTTGGCCATACGTTCCTTTACTTCGCGGCTCTTTTTCTTGTTGCTTTGCCATACTCTATCCTCCCTTTGCAGTTCCTCCAACACTTCTTCCCATTCCCGCTCTTGTTTTTCGTCTCCAGTGCCCAGGACCTTCTCTACATCCACTTCTTCGCCGTTCTGGAGCCTTGTAACAACCTCTCTCAGCTTTTCTATCTTGATGTCCGCTCTGCGAGAGAAAACCATGAACTCGGTCTTGACGCCCATGATTCGAATGGCTTGTGAGCCGATCAGAATATAGATCCAAATGAAGTATGTTGCCGGATTCGTGGGTTTCGTTTGCACAGGTCTCTCGAGACGTCGGGATCTGTTCCGAAATGCTTTGGGAATGATCGAGTCCCATATGGAAGTTTGAGCTATGCGAGGGAGACTGCGTGGTTGCGAGGCCGCATGTCGGGATTGGTGCAGCCAGCGTAGTCGGGACTGACACGGGCTAAGGACATTCGTTCTGAGCAGACGTGTCTGGGCTACGCCGCAGGATAGTAGGGACTTCATGCAGCTCATTGACGCTTAAGAAACAATGGTATGCATGGTGTTGAGGTGTGGATTGTCTTGAGGTCTCATGCTTTGCCAGTCGCCAAACTTTCATGTGCTCATGGAATCCTGCTGCGCCAAGCTGGTGGCATAAGCTCGGAATTGCAAGAACTTAATGCCGGGTCTAATATCCATTACCCAGCAAGCCACAAGCCTCGTGTTTATTTCATGGCTGAATGTGGTCATCAGCTACGCGCTTCCGCCATCAACGGCATACATCAGACATAATCAACTCCAAATAATGGCCGTACTGGTAGAATAGTGCAGTATGCACCTCCCCATCATCATACCTTTACAATGACGGCTTTTCAGGATGCCGTTGCCTCTGCGCCCGTCGATGTGGTTCGGGCTCACCTCAACCTAGCCGCGCCAACAACACGAACTCTGAGATTTTTGCGAGCTATTCTTGGCCTGGGTTCCTTCGACGAGTGTGAATCTAAGATCACTCGGTCTTCGGCTAAGAAGACCGCACAAACAAAAGCTTCTAACATAAGTCGACCCCCAATCAGGCCCGCGACCAGAAACAGGCAAAAGCCAGGTGCTGCAGTACAAATTCATGAAGGCAATGACGACCAGTTGCCACGCCTATCGCAGGCTGAACAGCGAAAGATTGCCACCGAAACGTTCAACTCCACCTTGAAGTGCCTTGGAGAGGCTGCCAAAGCTCTAAGAGATACTCCAACAACAAGCACGATACCGTCCTTTGCACCTTCTGACGGCCCACTCCAAGCACGGTCACCGAACAGAGAACGAAAAATACCTCCCACCAACCCCAAGAAAAGCGTCCACTCCAATACGCCGCCGGATTGGGGTCTGGTAGCAGATATGTCTCACTCTTCACTGCAGTTTTTGCGGAAGCGTGATTCCAATGATGTGACATCCTACGCCGACAATGATTTGGGCCTGGAGAATGCTGCACTGATTTTGCTGGACAGAAGCATCTCCCTGAATCTCTCAGCCCAAGCACAACGTCAACTTTGCGACATCCACGAAAGTTACTGGGCAGACCAAGTCAAAAAGAGTCCTGCTTCACAAGCAAGCATCGCAAGGCTCCTGCTAGGTCGGCCAGATGCAGCAGATGAAAGCCAAAGGTTCAGATTCACAGCATCATTGCAGAGCCAAGCTCTCCGTCTTGCTCTCCTGATTGGGGCAAAATGTATCAACTCAGAGCTCCTAAACTCGCTTCAGCAGGATACCGTTGGAAGTCCAGCTTGGGTTACGCTAAAGGGACTTGAAAAACAACACCTGAGATCCGACCAGTCTGGCCAGCAGCTTCGCACCATTTCACTTGCCTTGTCTAAGTTGTATGCGCTTTCCACGAGCTCAAAAGCAGAGAGCCCATCACCACAGGATCTTTTCAAACTCTTTTGCTTGTCGTTACGTATCAAGTTCGAATCTTGGGTCCAATCTGGCCACAAGCTAGAGCCGGCAACAGAAGTGTGGCGACCACTGCATAGAGCGATCAAGCAGCTATTTGCGACTTCGAGGGATCTCAAGGCGTCAACCACTTGCATCCTTCAAGCGCTTGTTTCATTTCAGAAGCTTATGCACGCAGTAAAATGCGAGTTTCTCGTTCCGTCAGAGTTGATTGAGACTTTGTTACGCATCATCCGGGATCCAGATGAATATCCTCCGCTCATTGCTCTGGTGGAAGAGCGGCTTCGGAAAATCAAGGGTGTTACGCATTTGATACTGCGGTGTCAAATCGCCGTAGCACGGTTGAGATCCTCAAGTGGATCGCCAAAGACGTTGGAGTCGTTGAAGGGCGTGGAAAATGCTCTCGGGGAGGCAAGAGAACTCTCTGCAGTTGAGCTTGACAGGTTCCTACTGCACCTAGCCCAATTACGCAAGGCAGCTGCCGAGCTGGTCTTGTTTGTCAAAGCACGACCTGGCAGCGAAGACGGGCTTTCTCTAGATTTTCAAACGACTCTTATCCGCTTGACCTACTGTTCCTTCAACTTCCTACGTCGCCACACACGCCCGGTTCTTATATCCACTTCAGAAACTTCGGGTACCGAGAACCACAAGGCCTTCCTAATTACGCTCATTAAGACGATTGACGCCGTCTTATGCACCGAACACTGTGCTATCACACGAAATGCAGACCTCACGGCGACGGCGTTACAAACCCTCAGAGATTGTTCTGCTGAAGTCCAGTTTCTCCGGGTCGAGTGCGCTGTTTTAAGTTCTCAGGGCCTGATGGAGACGCCATTAAACCAGCTTGGAGTACGGGTATCCCAGTTGCTCTGGTCACGGTACTTAGAAGCCGCCGAAGAGAACAAATCCCCTCTAGAACAAGCCAACATTCTAGACTTGTCGCTGCTAGGTCTGTTAGACTTGCCATTAAGCGATCAAAAGGCGGCGCATATCGCACTCAAGTATGAAAGGCTCGCAGCCTGCTACCTGGAAGTGCATGACTTTCAAATGGCCCAGACCGCCCTTCGAAACGCTATTGAAGCCAACATAAGAGAAGGCATCCTCGGTGATGTTGCGGAGTTGCTTCTATCTGCTTCATCTCATTTTGCATGGTCAAAATCAGAGCCGAATTGCAAGGCTTTTGGGAGAGTTCTTGTTACGTACACTAAAACGGTCTTTGATCATGCCTCAGTGGAAAACGACGACAGCTTCTACGACGATCCATCACTGCCAGCCTTTCATCGCGCAGCGCTGCTCGAGAAACAGATACTAGCCATGTTTGAATTAGGCTTAGACGACCACCGACACCGTCTATGTGCAACAATGGTAAGGATTTTGCTCCAACTCCTGCAGCAGCCGGAATACCAAGTGTACACTCTGAGGTTCATCAATGAGCTATTGCAGTTGGCCTTAAAGAAGAGGATGCCAGCTTCGACCTTTGTCGTTGACTTCTCTTTCATCCAATATGTACTCACGACTGGCCTTGCGGAAAAGGAAAGCGTCTTCCTGCGGAAATATGAGCCAGAACTTCGTTCGCTTCTCTGCCTCCAATATGGGCTTTTTACTGGACTGCTTACCGACCAAGAATTGTCGCATGGGGTGGGACAGCTGTGTGAAATCATTCAGAGCTGCAGGACCGAGGAAGAGACACGTGTGATCTGTATTGACGTGGGAGCCCATATCACTCCACTTCTGCTCTCGGTTGAATATGCGGCGATTCTGGGAAACCACGAAATTGGTCTGGTGGCACTCGAAGCTTTGCAACATTTGGTGGAACTTGGGGTTCGCGTTCAAGAGCTGTCACAAAAGAGGATTCTCCTACGCAAAGGCCAGTTCCACGACTTATTGAAGGATCTTCAGTCTGCCCGGAAGGCTTTCGTCATGGCCGAAAAGGCAAATGAAGACGTGGGTGATCCATTGTTTGAAGCAGAATTTGCACTCGCCTATTCGGAACACCATCTGTATGCAAATGATCTTGATGAGAGCACCAAGTGGCTAGAACGTGCCCGAAATGCATGGCAGGCCTGGAACAGGGCAGAAAGGGGAACGTCGATCAAGGCCAAGTTGAAAGAACAGAGCATTATGTGCAGAGCCGCTCATCTGGCCTCCCGGCTAGCTTATGAGCGAAGTCAGCTTCTGAACGCCATCGTTCTTGCACGGCAGTCCGCCAAAATCTCTGCCTCTATTTGGTGTTCAGTCGACAGGGTTTGTACATCCGCAACTCCCTCGCAGCCGGATTGTTCACTCGATGCAGAACTGCACAGGCTGTCCATCAACTTTTCCAAGCTTGATATGTCCTCCGCTCCGTTGACACGAGTGACGCCCAGCACAGTCGTGCTTGGGCCCGAGATCTCGTTGTGTTGCGCGGTGTTCAGCCATATGGCATTTCTGAACGCTCATTGCGGCATGTATCAAGATGCCACTATGTTCTATGAGCAGGTATTGAAAATTGCCAAGAAATCCAAGTACCTGATTCATGCTGCGATTGCATTGAGCGACCTCAGTCTCCTCCATGCCCGAGCTGGCCAACTTGATAAGGCTAAAACTAAACTTCAAGAGCTGTCGCATATCACCCAGGACCGCAATGCAAATTGGATACGGCTTCTCGTATCCCTCAATCAAGCCGAGACGTATCTAATTCTCCGGGACGATTCAGCCGCTTCTCGGTGCTTGAATGAGGCCAAGCAGCTGCAGGCTGAGATGAACTCACGGTCTATAAAACAGGGCGTGAGCGATATCCAGAAAGCTAAAACCATCAGCGCTTCAGGAAAGCCTTCAGCAAGAAAACGTGCCGTCAAGGGTCAGAAAGGGAATAGCCTAGTCAACTGTGCCTCAACGGAGGCTTCGTCCATCTCGAAGTCTTCCTTAGAGCTGAACGGAATCAAGGCGAGAGTTTCAATTCTGGAAAGTAGACTTCGGGCGTTCCATGGTTGCGCAGATGCAAACGATTCGTCTGATGCTCGCTTGCCATGTGACGGGGATGACGATGGCCGCAAGTCAATATCAATAGCGCTCAATTTGGTCCACTCTGCGCTCAAGATTTTCTCGGAAGATACCGTACATAGTGTGCTCGCAGAAACAGCCGTCGCCATTCCGGTGAGATACCGATCAGCGAGGAAAAGCGGCAGGATTTCATTCGTACAAGCTGCAGGCCCTCGAATCACAAAAGAAAAGGACCGAGACTCAAAGAAGAGGACGAGGCAAAAGCAAGCGGAAGAGACAAACAAGGACGGGACGGGATTGCTGCTTCTAGCCTACGACATCCTTCGTGAGGTGAGCAACAAAGAGCAAAACCAAGTTCCTTCCGACATTGTTCACACGTGCCATAAACTCTTGGCACAGATCAGTCTGCTCTCATCGGCCTTGAACCAATCATTGGTCAGCTGTTCCTCGAACGTCGTGGTGGACATAATGAGCCCCCTTGATCTCGCCCTTACGCGCGAACGTTTCGTGACTTTGGGCGAGCTCAGTGCGGCCGAGAGGACCAGCATGGATGATTGGCCAAGTACACAAAGTGTCGATGAGAATGGCATATGTCTAAGCTCAGATATGCTGTTGAATGACTACACGAGCCTTCTACCTGCTTCCTGGTCTGTCGTATACCTTGGACTGAACGAAGATGAAAATGAGCTTTTTGTGGCGCAATTGGCATATCAGAGGTCGCCGTTTGTTGTCAGAATCCCCCTAACACGACCAGATCCATCAGAAGGAGACAACGAGGAACTTGACCTGAAAAGTGCAAAAGCAGAGATGCAGGATATCATCATGAGAGCCAATTCCACTGCTCACGATGCTAGGGGTTCTTCAGTCAACAAGTCTGTCAGAAAGGCATGGTATGCGGAACGTCAAGGCTTAGATCGTCGACTGGGTACACTACTAGAGAATATCGAGAATATCTGGTTTGGTGGCTTTCGAGGACTGCTCTCCGCTGCTAACTCGGACCAGAGCGGACTCATGAAGTTCGGACAATGTCTATCCTCGACACTGAAAAGGCACCTCCCCTCGAGGCAGAAACCGTCAAAGCAATACGACCATGAGATTGAACTCCATGATCATGTGCTGGAGCTTTTTGTGGCACTCGGCCATCCTCGGGAAGTTGAGGTGGAGGATGCGGTCACGGACCTTTTATATTTTGTTATTGATATCCTACAATTTAATGGTGAGCGCAACGCATATGACGAGATCGATTTTGACGCCATGTTGGTTGAGGTATTGGACGCACTGCATTCTTACCACGATCAAAGATCAACCTCGCAGGAGAAGCAGGGCCATGTGATTCTGGTCTTAGATAAAGAGTTGCAGGTGTTCCCCTGGGAGTCGTTGTCGTGCTTGAAGGGCCAGGCCGTTTCTAGGATGCCTTCCATCGCATCAATTTGGGAAAGGTTGAAAGCCATTGGAGATCAATCGCATGATCTTGAAGGTTATATGATCCCGAGAACAGATGGTGCATACATCCTCAACCCATCTTCCGACTTGAAGGCAACGCAAGAGACCTTCGGTCAGATCTTCCAAGATCAGCTGCCTGGATACCGAGCTGTTGTCAATCGGCAACCTGAAGGAAACGAGTTTGAGACAGCTTTGAAAGGCAGTTCACTCATGCTCTACTTTGGCCACGGTGGCGGTGGGCAATACATCAGGCCTCGCACCATCCGTAAGATGGATAAGTGTGCGGTGGCATTGCTGATGGGTTGCAGTAGTGCCAAATTGACCGAATGTGGAGTATATGAGCCGCATGGACTGCCGTTGAGTTATCTCAGTGGAGGTAGCCCTGCCGTGGTGGGAACATTGTGGGACGTCACGGATCGGGATATTGACCGTTTCGCAATGGAGCTGATGGCGCAATGGGGATTGATTGACGTTGGTTTGGGCTCAGGAGCACCGAAAACCAACAAGTCTGAAAACGCAAAGACCAGGAAAGAGGATAGAACAAGGCGCCAGGCATGTGACGACCCGAAACTTGGACCTGTGTCTTTGGATGAGGCTGTGGCACATGCTCGCGATGCATGTTTATTGAAGTATCTCAACGGGGCCGCGCCTGTGATGTATGGGATCCCCGTGTTTTTGGGATCAGAAGAGGACGTGTGAATATTAGTTCAAAGCACTCAAAGATGAAAGTTCTGTACGGAGTTCCACAGCCATGTTGTTGTTGGCATCCGCCTCTCGACATTGTGGGAGCGAGGCTGACACATGCCCAGCCTTGCCCAGCCAAGAGAAACGTAGCCAGTACTGGGTACTGGGTACAAGGCTGACTTGGTCGACACGAACCTCAACTGTGCCGCAGCCACTAAACCAATATAGGAACTAGCGTTGCTCCGCTGGCGCTAGAGAGCTCCCCAGTCATCACTGCCCACTCGCCAGGTCGCCCAGGCTCATCCCGTCATCTGCGTAACCAAAGGCAGCAGTCAATCCACAGCCTCAACTGCTCCCTCTTCATCACCTCCCACTCTTTTCCTTCATCTTTTCTTTGTCGCACCATCGTCTGCAAACATTGTTCTCTTCCTAACCACGTCGTCTCCCCTCTCTGCCTGATGCAGCTCGACTCCCACCGTCGCCAACTGAGCATCACCATGCCCTGCCCGTGGTATCCTCATCGCTGCTCCTCTCGAGCAGCCTCTCGAGCAGCTGACACCCGCACTGTCGACAATGCTCTTCCCTCTCCCACCTCTACACTCGAAGTCGAGGATTGGAAGAAGATCCGCAGATTTAATCTCCGCATGATGAGAAAGCAGATCCGCTGCGTCATTCTGCTCATGGCCCTCATGGAAGCCCTCCGGGTTGGGCCATTGCAGATTGTGTATGCTGGCAAGCATGAATATCCAGCTCCCGGGGAAGAGGACTATGGTGTATGCCTTTGCTTCTTTCTATAACCACTCGGGTGTGGTGGTGGATGTTGACTTTGTCTTTCGATTTAGATTGCCTACACCGTCGGATACATCATCAGCTGGTTGTACGTCTGTGTATTCATGATAATTTGGATGCCGCTTTTCGATGTAAGTCCATGCACCCTGCAAATCTCGGTGCTTGACGCACAGCTCAAACGCCTAACTAACGCTTGGGGGCTTACAGTGGTGGGTTCCAAAAACCCTTCCGGAGTCCGACGACCCATCCAAACCTTCTATCGCGATGAAAATTGTCTGTCTGCTTAAGAAACTTAACATGATCCTTCTTCCCATTTCCATCGGCGTCTCCCTTCTCACGTATGTCTACTACGTGATTCACACCTTCATCCACGTCGACTCCCGCACCCGCGGTTCCACCAAGCTCCCCAAGAATACACGTAAAAACTGGCTCGTCCGTGCTTTCATGCTTCTTGGTATCGCCATTACCACGAGCTTGGGCTACGGTGCCCTTCAAACACTCGAGAAATTGGATCTGGCACGGGTGAAGAATATTGAGTATGCTTTGATTGTGGTGCCCGTGCAGATTAACTTTGGTGTTCTTTTGGGTACGGTCATGCAGTTCCGTATGGAAAAGAGACATGCCCGCAAGGAAGCGATGAAGTTGCTGGCCGCCAAAACCGAGGATGGCGTTGTCGAGGAAAAGGCAGCGCTCCTTGAGGTCTAGATGGCACTGCGAGCTATTGGACCAGCGCTGTAGCCCTTTGGTTAGTCACGCCTGCCAACAATGCTCAGCTGGTGAGGATAAAACGCTATGAGCAACTATAATTCAACCACTTGGGCGGTGTCGCTAGGCATTGGAGAGAAGAAAAGGTTCAGATAACATCTTTGTTGAAGGAAAGCGAGTGGCTCACGGACTGGCACAACGCCCGAGAAGGTGAAGATGCCACTTGCAATGTTTTACAATGGCGTTCGTGGAACTGGAGAGCACCAAAGGAAAGCAAAGCATGGAAAAGGAGAAGAGACAACTACAAACATCGGAAGAAAGTGAGGAGCTAGGACCTGTCGGCTTAAATTAGCCTTGGGGAATGGGAGTTGGAGTGCATTATACGTTTCAACACATTGATAAATTGCAACAAGTCAATTGCTTCTTCAATTCTTAGCTGCCTCAAGCTGGTACTTGAGGCAATGCTTCAAGCATCGCAACACAGCAAAGCACTGTGATTCCCATCCTTCGCCGGTGTGTTTAGAAAGACACCAATAACTAAGGATTGTTTCTGTTCCTACCATATCCTGGAAGACCGTGAGTCTCGCCGGTTTAACAACATCTTGTTGAACAGATGTCGAGGCTATAGAATCATCAAGCTAACGTTCACTGACAAAACTTCCTTTCGCCTGTACACAGGACGAAGGGAAAGCGCTGTATCTCGCCTTGCAACTCCCCCGGCCTTCCAGCGTCGCCAAACTCGCCCTCGAACTTTTCAACGGATTTGTCCATGGTCCAGGCCGTTTCTACCCGAACATTCACGAATCCAACCTCATTCATCAAGGCTGCCATCGTGTCGCGATGGATGCCATGTCTTTCAACGCCGCCCATCCTCGATTTGGCGTGGAACCTCTTCGATTCTGGTCCCGTGTTCTCGAAATCAGTCAGAGCCACGCTGCCCCCTTCCTTCAAGCAGCCGAGCATGGTCGTCAGCACCGTTTTCAGGTCTGGGATGTGATGTAAGACCAAGTGCGAAGTAATCAGGTCGAACTTGAGCCTCTTTCCATCGGGTTCCTTTTCATCTGCCGGCGGTAGTTGTCTGTCCTCCGGGTCCTCCAACAGGACAGCGACGGGAACAATGTTCTGAGGCGTCCCTGGGCCCTCCAGCTTGGTCTTTAGGACATCAATCATTCCCTCTGCGGCATCTACAGCGGCCAGGCGTTTGACGTAGGGCGCCAGAATGAGGGACAGCAGCCCCGTGCCGCAGCCTATTTCCAGTACATCCAACCCGTCAGGCCCGGGTGGACTTCTCAGTGCCGGAAACCGGGGGATTATGGCGTCCGCGGCATGTTTGCTAGCCTTGTGGACGAAGGGATTGCGGTCCCAAGACGCTGCTTCGGCGTTGAAGCGTTCATTGCCTGACCCGGCATGAAGGGATGAGACGGCGCTAGCCATAGATGGAAGCCAGCTGGATGGATGGATGGATGGACGATCTAGGAGGGACACGACAGACGGATGAATACGTATCCTCGATGGTTTGTCTGTATTTCAACGTCTTGTACCCTTCGCTATCGACGATGATGTTATCAGGTTCCAGAACTGCGTCTCTCCGGCTTATTCCAACAAAGCATGAAGAACCAGTACGTACCACCTCCACTCAACCCCAATGCTAACAACTACCCTCTGCGGAGAAGGAAGAAAGCGCGTCCGAAGTCGGGGATCTCCAGAGCCGCCATCAAAAGTTTGACCTCGGTTCTTGCAACAGAAAGCCATATTACCATCAATATTGGCGTCAAGAAGGGTCTGTCTGTCACAGGCCGTTCAATATAGTGCATATCGAGTGATCCCTAGGAGGGAGGATCCAGGGATTCAGGACGAACAAGTTACTGCAGTCATTATTTATTATAGGCATGCTACTAACTGCCCTTCCGTCCGACTCGTTGCCATGATAGGTCTGAGCCACCATGGGATTTCCCAATCAGGTATTAATGTGTACCTCGGGTCTATCACGCCATTCGAGTCGAACTCCATATGTACATTTCTCCGCTTTTGTCCAATATCTCCTCCACCTCCTCCTCTGGCCTCAGAGGAGATAATCGAGGCAAAGACCCAAAAAGGTGCCCGGGGGCGGAGACCGATCAAAGAAGAGAGAAAAAGAGCCGCAATCCGCACATATCAGGTCCGTTGTTGTCGTTGCTCGGTTGCGACAGTATTCGAACAGGAGGCCCATTCAAATGTGACCTCAACTCAAGTGCCCCTGGACACACTTCTTCTCTAACCGTACAAATCGCCAGTCGTTGGTGTCGTCGTCGTTGTTATATCTGTTGGCTGCGTCCATAATACCAATAACAATACCACACCAATGGACGATAACCTGACGGGCGCAAAGGTGATCGCGCAGGCGCTGCACGACCTGGGCGTCGCCGTCATCCACACGCTGGTCGGGATCCCCGTGGCCGAGATCGCCGAGGAGGCCATCGACCTGGGCATCCGCGTCGTCGGCTACCGCAACGAACAGGCCTGCAGCTACGCCGCGTCGGCCTACGGCTATCTCACTGGCAAGCCCGCCGTGTGTCTGTTGACGGGCGGGCCGGGCATTCTGCACGGCCTGGCTGGGGTAAGTACTCCGTACGTCATGCACACATACAGGAAGAGGTAGCGAAGAGAGGAGAGAGAGAGAAAAAATGCATTCCTCTATCGTGTCCCTGCCCGCTTCATCTCTTTGTTCTTTCGTGCCCTCGGTGGGTATTTTTATGCTTTTCTTGCTGAGGGTTGGTTGGGTGAAACAGATTGGCAACGCCTCAGCCAATGCATTCCCGCTCCTCGTTCTCGGAGGCTCGTCCGAGTCCAGCCTCGCCACGAAAGGGGGCTTTCAAGAAATGGACGCCATCTCCCTCTTGACGCCGCACACCAAGAGAGCCATCCGCCCGACGTCGCGAGACCCTTCGACCATCGTAGCGGCCATCCGCAACGCATATCGAACCGCCTGGTACGGTCGACCGGGCCCTACCTTCGTCGACCTACCCACTGAACTGATCATGGAGCCAGTCCCCGCGAAGAGATCGACATCCCACCCGCCAATTTCTGTGCTATCGCCGCCTAAACCGTCGGCAGATCCAGCCCTTATTGTCTCCGCGGCGAACCTGCTCAAGTTCGCTTCCGCTCCGCTCGTGATTGTGGGTAAAGGCGCAGCATCCGCCCGCGCCGAGGGCTCCATCAGAGGCCTTGTCTCGGCCCACAACATACCGTTCCTCCCGACGCCCATGGGCAAGGGCATCGTCCCGGACTCTCACCCCCTGAACACCTCGTCCGCCCGCTCTGCAGCGCTCAAGCACGCAGACGTGATCCTCCTCCTGGGCGCGCGGTTGAACTGGATCCTCCACTTCGGAGAGGCGCCCAAATACCGCCCGGACGTCAAGATCATCCAGGTCGACATCTCACCTGAGGAGCTGGGCCGGGCGAACAGTCTCGGTCAGCCGTCGCTCAGTATCTTCGGGGACATTGCCTTCGTCGTCGATCAGCTCCGCCGGGAGCTCGGTCAGGAGTGGAAAGCATTTCCGACCAATACCTTCCGCTTCTCCTCGTCGCCGGCGTCACCACGGCCGTCATCGTACCTCTCTCTCCTCGCGGCAAGCGCCGCGAAAAACGAAGAGAAATCCGCTCGTCTGGCAACGACGTCCACGAAGCCCAATGCGCTCCTAACATATGAGCGCGCCTACCACATCATCAAATCCCAGCTCCACGCCCTCTCTCCCCCCGAAAACGGGCGGGTAGTCTATGTCTCCGAGGGAGCCAATACAATGGACATCTCGCGCAGCATGTTTCCCCTCGAGTTCCCACGCCAGCGCCTCGACGCTGGGACGTACGCGACCATGGGCGTTGGGATGGGGTACGCGATCGCCGCGTGGGCCGCGTACAACATCCCGCGGAGGGGGACGAAGAAGATCGTCGCGCTCGAGGGGGATTCCGCGTTCGGGTTTTCGGGTATGGAGATCGAGACGATGGCCCGACACAAGATGGACGTGCTCATCATCGTGATGAACAATAGCGGGATATACAAGGGCGACGCAGCGGAGGAGAACCGTTGGAGAGAGATGCAAGCGCAGACCGCGAGGGATGACACAAAGATTACTGCCACAACAAGGGCCCCGACGATGGGGAAAGGGAAAGGGAAAGACGAGGAGGATCGAAAAGAATCGCGCCGGCGAGGACTGCGGAGTACCTCCCTCTTGTACGAGACGCGCTATGAGTTCCTCGCCGACATGGTCGGTGGGAGAGGCTGGCTTGTGCGCACGGAAGATGAGTTGGCCGAGGCGACGAGGCTGGCGTTCATCGAGCCCGAGAAGGTCTGTGTGCTGAACGTCATCATCGATCCCGGCCTGAACAGCGCAGCGAGCTTCGGGTGGATGGAAACCAAAGAGAAGCATGGCAGCGGAGGGGGAGGAGGCGAGAGTAAATTGTGAACGGTCTGGCCTTATATTGAGGGAAATATCCCATCAAACTTTTGTACGAGATACGAAAAATGCTCATGCCTAATTTTCTTTGTAGATGTCGTCAAGTCATGGCGAGGTGGAAGAAGATAGAGAGTACAACCTGTGGCCTGCAGGTTTCGTCCGAGTTGTTGGGCGTTGGCTAAGCTTCGTTTCAAACAGCATCAGACCAGACTTCGTCAGCTTCGCCCTCGTTCTCAAGTAAGCCGAGCTCGTCGAGTAAGTCCAAGAAATCGAGATATCTCTGTTCACCGTAGGCGAGTGCGATTTGGACAGCAGAAGCCGGAATCCCTTGTATCGAATCAGGTATGTCTTCGTCGTAAGACGGCAACGTCTCGGCTTTCCAATCCGCGCCGTTCTCGAGCAGGTGGCGTATGACAGCAGCGTTACCGTTTCCGACGGCGAGGTGGAGCAATGTCCATCCGATGGAGTCGGGGAGCTCGATACCTGCGCGATCCTGAAAGATTGGGAATAGGGCGAAGAAGGCGTCGACGACGCCATAGTAGACGACGTAATGCAGGGCTGTCCATTCGGACCCGGGAGCCCTTTCGGACGGATCGACGCCGTATTTTATAAGAGTCAATGTGTCCTTCGGGACTCCGTAGACAGCGCATCGAGCAAGTAATGTCCATCCTTCAGTGTCGACAACCCCTCGATGCAGCCAGTCGAAATCATCTGTGCTTCGCAGGATGTCGAGAAACAAGGACGATTCCTCATGTCGCCGCGTCTCCGCCCACAAGTAAAAAATGGGTGACCACCCCCAAGCACTTAGATGCTCGAGCGATGCCCCCTTGGAGAGCAAAAGGCGAGCAATATCCAACTTCCGGAGTTTCAGCGCCCATGACACCGCTGGGGTTTGGTACTGGCCGAAAGTCGAGTCGATCCGGGTTCCGCGACCAAGTAACTCTTTGCATATGTCGACATGCCCTCCTTCAATGGCAAGGCAGAGAGGAGTGCGTTCCCACTCGTCTGAGAAGGTCACGCTGGCAGGATTCTTCGACAAAACTTCTCGAACAGTCCCAATGTCGCCGTCATGACATGCCAACATGAAGGGGTCATTGTTTGGAACGAATTGACGCGTGCTGAGCAAGATTCTGTCCACTCGAAGCTCAGGTAGCCACCCAGAAAACTCCAGTTGAAGCCCCCATTTCGAAATCAGATCCAGCTTGAGCGACAAGACGGATGTATAGTCTCCATCGCGGCACAGAGACGCGACGGTCGCAGCTACCGTTGCCAGATTGGCGCAGCCGAATGTCCGCCGACTGACATAGGTTCCTTTCTGATTGAAAGCCCCTTTTCTGCCTCTTGCGTCCCGGGAGGGGCGTTCGATGTGAGAACATGAACAAAAGTTGGGCCTTTGCACAAGCCTTTTGGCAAGTGCCATCTGCTGGGACAGATTTGCCGTCACTTCGGAAAGCATCTGTAAGCGTTGGCTTTGAAAGTCAGTAGTTGTATTCCTCTAAAATGGATCCCGTTCCTACCTACCACTGTAGCATGTTAAGCACTAAGGTCAGGGAGCTTTCAACTTGGGCCAATTCAGTCATCAACTCCTTCGCCCTCGTCTGGCCCACGAGCACCCAATGTATTCGGCCATGATGTCTGCCCTTTGTGATCGAGGCTAGAGTATCCTTGAGAGCGGCTATTTCATGGCGGCACGCCTCCAGCATCGTGGCGCAAGCCTCCGCAACGCCACGCTCGTCATGAATGTTCTCTTTTACTTCAAGCAGCGTCGGCAGCAGGATTGCAAGATAGTGGACTTGATGGATGGATTTCTTGACTTTCTCTGGCGCTTCCTGAAAGCGGTGCTGAAGCTCAAATGCCACCTTTGCTACCTCGATCAGTGTGGCGATCGAGGCGGCAGCTCCAATTACTTCCATTATCCAATGAATATTTGTGTTAATTGCGAGGGCACAGAAACCTCTCCGGGGAGTAACATTAGCTCCCGTCTGAGGATCCGACTGTCGTGCCGGCAGTTAGGCATATTTATGGAGAGGAAGAGAAGCAGCATGATAGCCTCTGTGCATTTCCGCATCTTGACCTTTACCGCGCGGCAAAGTGTAGTTGAGGCAAGTGTTTCAACAATATCGACAATTGAGTCAGCCGAGGATGCCTAACTGGCCCCGTGTAGTCTGGATGCTTTAGCGCAGTTTGCTGTTGTAAGGCTGATGCGGTCATGGCCAGTGGCTAGCAGTGCCAGGTTGAAACACTAGACTGCCCGCTGCTTCTGTCATCTTTCATGAAACACCTGAATAGCGATCAAAAGCAATAGGAAATTACAGCTCACGCGGAACAGAAGTCATCTAGCGCAGATCAAAAGCCTATACCCTCGCCCCGGGGGGGGGGGGGGAAGTTTCGCACATACCTTTCAAAGGTATGATATTTTATCCTTATCCTTGTGTGCATTTCCACGTTCGTGACTACCGAAATACTAGGGATGGCAACGCAGATGACTCCACCTTGTGAACCTGGACCGCCTATCTATCATCCACCACGGCCTTCACCGCCAAAGGGCCTTTGGAAATGACGAATGCCTGTGATACTAACAACCTGATGGACGAGGACGCTTTCAAGAGCTGCGAGGAGCAGAGGACTCCTTACAGGGCCTTAATGGCAAAGCTGCGTGAATAGTGAGGATTCTTTCGGGATTCTGGTGTTCGCTTCATGCGCTGGATCTTGTCAAAGGGACTGTGAATTAGAGGAGAGAATGGTGAAAGATAGCAACTTAGTTTTTGCGAGCATCTCATTGACAGGAAAATATTGCGAAGCTGTCTTCAATCTTCTTTGTAGCATATGACCCAATTGAGATAGCCAATGGGCCAGGTATGGCAAGCTTGACCACTCTTGAACTTCCACTTCGCCAGTTTCTCACTCGCTACATGCCGGTGAAGGAGAGCTTCGACTTCCTCGGGCGTTCTTGTCCTCAGACACGAAATGTAGCCGTCCCAAACCCAAATAAACGGAATGATGGGAACGAGGTAGGTGAAGAACAAATGTCCCGGCGAGCGGAGAAAGTAGATGGGTGTGATGAGCATGGCAAGCGGCCAGAGCAAACTCACAAGGATGAACGAACTGAGATGGCGAGACTGGAGCTCGAAGATGCTGGACCATGGTTAGTAGCCACGCTCCAGAGCGGAAAATACGGAACACTCACCAGAATCCGTCCGACGTGTCGATGGTGTTGGCGAGGATCTTGGCAGCGAGGTTATCGTCGAAGTGGTGGAATGCAAGACTGAAAAGGCGCATGACCTTCTTTCCCTCTGCGCCAGGAACATCCTTGAGCAAGGTCTCCTGGGTAGGAGCATTTGTAGCGTCCACACTCTGAGGAATGTAGCTGATGTTGTTGCTCTTCTTTGCCACGGCCTCCCAAGCACTGACATGCGGGCTGATGTCGGTGAGGACGAATTTGACTGCTTCCTTGCCTGTGGCGCGAAGCTCGCTGTTCAAGTGATTCTCGATGTATGGTGTTGGACCACCGGCTCCCGAGGCGAAGTCGACGTAGACATACTCGGAGAGTCGAGGACCAAGGACGGTGGAGAGCACACGAGCGACAAGAGCGGCCGGAGAGGTGGACTGGATGATTGGCAGCTTATTGATCCAACCGAGGGTCAAGTAGTCTTGGACTTTTTCTCTGAGGGTTTGCGGAAACCTGTAGGGGTAGTTCAGCACCTGTCTCAAGCTGCGGGAGAGGGAGGCGTCGCAATACCATGGTTGATCGTTGACTTCGAAGAAATGCCTCCTACGGAGCCAGACGGTCTGGCTGGCGGGCGTCATTGAGATGCGGTACACCTCTCAGGCTGCTGTTCTGACAGTCCATAACACAGCCAGGTTGACTGAATATAAATACAATGTGGCTGGACATCTCAGGTGCGTTTCCACGGCTGGTGGGAAAATGTTGCATCGTATTAACTGCGGGGGTCGTTTTCAGTCTAGTTGGTTTCAGCCTTGAAAGACGTCACCACCTTCATCCTCTTACTAAGTAACATACTAACGACGGGTAAGTACTGAGCCACCATCTGCCACCATCTGCCACCATCTGCCACCATGCATGATGCAGCCCGGCATCTGGGCGGAACAGCGATCAGCTCTAGCTACTTGTTGCAAGCCACCGACAAGGACGTACCCGGTGGCGGTGGTGGTGGATCGTTGCTAAACTTGGGACGAGGAATCGTAAACTTATCTGCTTTGAACCCCATCAAATACTCCCGACTGCCTACTTACTGCATCTCAAGACGACGCCGACTACTTCGGTCATCTGTAGCCCGTCTTGCCCGTCCCAGCTCGTCAGAATGCTCCCGCCACATCTCGGATTCCTCATCCACGTGGTCATCGAAGTCCCAGCATGCCTCTCGTTCGCCCTGTTCCCCTCTCGCCAGCTGGGAATGCACACGCCTCATGCACACGCTGTTATCCGGCAATATGCCGCGCTGATACTGGCCTCTGTCCTGGTGGCCCTGGTATTCGTCGACCGGCCACCAGATGATACTTCTGGCAAGGTCGCTGCAGCACTGGCAGTCTATCATGTCGCCCCTTCCATCCGGTCCGCAACCAGATTGACCCGACAGGCACGGTTTCGAAAAGCAATCATCGTTTCTGAGGCATTTCTCTACCTGGTTGTACATGTCATATGCTTTGTTGCGCTACTCTGTGACGCCTGGAGCGCCCTGTACATGGAAAGTCACCCTTAGAGATGCCCGACACAGCCACCGCTTCCATTCCGCCGTCTCAGTCAACATCCTCGGCCACCAAAGTCTCCGTTGGGCTTTCCGTCCCTGGGTCGGAGCCTTGGTGGATTCTTTTGAGCACCATCATCTCGACAGCAATCCCGGGGCCGAAGGCACACCCCACGATGTGGTCTGTCGTTTCACCCTCGAGCAGTCGATTCAAGACGCTGAAGAAGGTGGCGCTAGAACTATTGCCGTGAGTGATGTAAACCTCATAGCTGGCGCGGAGAAGCTCGGGGGTCAGGTTCATCGCCCGTTCCACTCCCGTGATAACCGTGGAACCACCAGGGTGAAGTGCCCAGTCATAGTCCGAGGCCTTGAATTTTCCGAGGTCGACGAGCTCTGGGATCGATCCTACCAGGTCGTCAAACATGGCAGGTACTGCGGCTGATGCCAGCTTGGGAACTCGCGGGGTCAAGACCACTTTCCACCCTACCAGCAGAGTCAGCCGCAGGTGCCCCTAATGGCGGGCGTGCTGCACTTACCAACGGGGTCAACGTCAAATCCCAGATCCTTTTCTGTGTCCTCGATGATCTTATGGTCCCAACCTAAGAGCTCTAGCAGGGGTTCCTCGTCATAGCGGTCGCTGAATCCATTTCCGAGGACGACCGCGGAGGCGCAGTCACTGAACAAGGTGACGCCTATTCTGACCTCCTGATGCTGGTGGATCGAGTCCAGCTCCGATCTCACCAGGGTGCTTGATATTTCGCAAGCAAAGACCAAGATGCGCGCAGGCTTTCGTCGGAAGCTGGAGCCAAGCGCGATGTTGGCGGCCGTGCGTAAGGCGCCGAGGCCGCCAGAACAGCCCACTCCGTGCAGGAGGACTTTCTCTATGCTGGGATTGAGACCCAGCCCCTTGATGACATAATGGTCATAGCCTGGATTGGCCGAGTTGGTGCAGGTGGTGGCAACGACATGAGTGATTTCGGACAGGTCTCCTCCCCACTGCTTCAGGGCCTTGCGGCAAGCCTCTATGGACAGGTTCACGCCATGATCGAGAAACAGATCGCACAGCTCGGCTATGGTGGGAGGCTCGGGCGCATTCGCAATGGGATGGTCAATGTTGCCGATGGCCGAACGAGAGTCAATCCCAGTATACTCGTTGATCCGCAGCACCTTTTCGAGGCTAGAAGATTGCGTCAATCGGGTTCAATTCTCGTGGGTCAGTGGATGGAGGCTTACGCTGGGGTACTGGGATAAAAGCGCCTTGCCAGAGTGGCCAGATGGTCGGGCTTGATTTCATACGGAGGGTACTCTACCCCGATGCCGTGGATGTACAGATTGGGTCTCTGGTATGGCGGGGTGACCTTGGTGTGAATGGCGGAGGGCGACATTGCTGTGGTGCTGTGGTGGTGCGGTGGTGCGGTGGTGCGGTGGTCGCCAACAAGCTTGGAATACGAGCCCCAACAATTTTTGGCGAGTGATGACGTGGGGGATATTATTGCATGGATGAAACGCAGACGAAACAGAGGCTCTAATGAGCGAAGAATGAGGGCGTGGTAATGAGCGACAGTTGAAACGAGAGTCGAGCAGCTCGATTATGTGACTTGAGAAGGTCTCGTCCGTGGGCGACTCTGCGAGCGGTACTGGGTAATAAAAATCATGGGATGGTAATTAATATGGGCGAAGTTGGACAGATTTGTCGTCCCATTCCTAATGGTTACTAGAACTCTCACCGTGGTGCTCGTGTGCGTTCGGGACTCGTCCATGGAAGGAACCCGCGAATCAAGGGCGGAGGATATCATAACCGCATGATACGACTGGGGCGATCAAGGCATCGAACACATAATCTAATCAGGGCGAGCATCTGAAGCGCTGATGCGGAAAAGAGTGGTGGGAGAGAGAAAAGGCGCAAGAAGGCGCCAGAAGCCGCCAGGAACTGGGTGGTTCCGAGTGGCTGTCCACCTCCATCTCCACCTCCATCGCCATCGCCATCGCCATCGCCATCGCATCTGCATCGGCTCCCCTGCATCTGAGCCATCTTTTCCGCGTCATGCCCTCATCGACAGCCTCACAAGGCTCGCCACCGCTGACGTCGGCTCTTGCAATAAGAATGCCCTGAAACTCGAGAGACACTGGCGGGGGACTTTACGGCCGTGCTCTTCCCGGTCGTCGCATGCTGGATGTTACCCGGCAAATCGGTGATGATCTGGCTCACCACCTCGGTTGCCCTCTTGCTGGCCCTCACACTCTCCTATGCCTTCACCAGAACAACCAAAATACACCGCCACGGTCAAGCCTTGAGGCAAGCATTCCAATTCCATCCCATCCCATCCCTTCCCCTCACAGATGCCCTGGTCGCATCAACTGCGCCCTCTAACCCACACCACGCAGACACGCACCAGACTCTCTTCCGCTCCTGGGCAATGCCGTCCAGTTTCTCAAACCTCGCCATGTGCTCTTCGACTGGTTCGTGAAATGCCAGCAGATGTTTGGCCGAGAGACATTCGAGATCTCGGTTCCTTCTCTACCGCCTGGCGTGGTCATCAACAGCCCCCAAGTTTTGGATTACGTGCTCAAAAACGAGGCGGCCATCACCAAGGGCGACTTTTTCAGAGAACGGTCGTGGGATCTTTTTGGTAGGTCGCCGACGTGAACATCCACCGACCCATCGCTGACTTGACTGACGTGGCCAAGGCTATGGCATTATCAATGCCTCAGGCGAGCTGTGGCGCGCACAACGCAAAGCCGGGTTGAAGTTCTTCAGTGGGACAAATCTCGATATCATGATCGAAGATGTTTTACCCGAGATCTATCAAGCGTCCACGAGGAACGTCCTCTCCCAAGCCGCGCAGGACCGCTCTGCGGTCGACTTACAGAAGATCTTCCATGATCTCACAACCACTGTGGTCGGACACATGGCCTACGATGTAAGACTTGCCTGCCCGTCCTGGGGGACCATGGGTCGGATACGGTGATTAAAGTACTCACCTCAATCTAGATGGAAATCGACGCCTCCTCCCCCTTCAGCAAAGCCTTCGACCATGCCTCATCCCAAATCGGCCTCCGCTTTCAAAACCCGCTGTACCGTTTCACCGAGATCTTCACGGGCTCGTCATTCCGCGCCGCCCTCGTCGAAGTGAAACGCTTTGGCCGTCAGATTGTCTCCGAAGCCCGGAAACGCCGTGCTCGAGAAGCGTTTGAAAGTCTCATCACCAACACCAGCGAAGACGAGACCAAGCTCGAGCAGCAGCGTAAACAGCCCGATGGTGACGACGAATCTGGGTTGGGATTTGGAACGTTGATTGACTCACTCATTGAATCGTTGGGAGATCCCAAAATTGTCGCTGATGCGGCACTCAATTTTCTGTCTGCGGGTCGAGATACCACGGCACAGAGTCTCACCTGGACGTTCTACGCATTGCTGAGACACCCCGAAGCATTAAAGCGGGTACGGGAAGAGATCGATTCGAAATTTGGAACGGCACCCGATACCCCGATGGGTAACCAGCCACCAGCAGACGATACCATGGATAACGAGCGCGAAGACGGGGATGTTGAAATCGACGTAGCAGCACTGCAACCAACCTCACTCCCCTACACCATGGCAACCTTCTACGAAGCACTCCGCCTGTACCCGCCAGTCCCCTTTGAAATCAAGCAAACCAACCAACCCGTCACCCTGCCCGACGGCACCTCTTTACCCGCGGGGGCCATTGTAGTCTGGTGCATCTGGGCATTAAACCGCTCCTTCTCCACCTTTGGCGAGGACGCCCACTCGTTCCGCCCAGAGCGCTGGTTAGAGACCTCAACCTCGAATCCACACTTGGACGCCGACACCGCGACACCACCGCCCACCTTCAAGTTCACCGGCGCCAGGTTCTCGGTGGGCGAATTCGCCGTCTTCAACGGCGGCCCGCGCAGCTGCTTGGGGAAGAAGATGGCCGAGCTGATGGGCGCGTGGGTGCTGGTGCGCATGCTGCGCGACTGGGACTTGGACGAGGTCAACGACGGCCTCAACATGGACCCCTCCTCAAGCCAGCGCAGGAGCGCGAATTCCTTGACGCTGCCCATGCAGGGCGGCTTGCCTGTGCGGGTGCGCCTCAGGGGGAGGTGATATGTCAGTCGTCTGGGATGTAGCTCTGTACGCGATGTATAGGTCTTCCACCACATTGCCCTGCGTGGCTTTGCACTGCTTCATATGGCAAGCCGATCACAAGACGGAGTTGGCTTGGACTGGACTGGACTACACTGGGTATAGTGGCATAGTTTCCAAAAGCAGCGAAGCGATTCAAGATAAGTGGGTTTATAGCACACACGCACAGAGTCAAAAGGATCCTAGGAACATGAAAGAAAAAATCCCGTCTCGAGGCATTGTGCGTAATCTACACTCTACCTAGGAGAATCCTACAGCGGCTTAGAAAGCAGACCAGAGCAGAGCAGAATATACATCATGTATACCTTAAAAAGGCCAATGTCGAATAATTTGTACCTTGTACCAGAGAGCATGTGTCGTCAAATTTGTATGTAAACAGCGGGGGGGGGGGGGTCAGTCAGTCTTGCCTTGTCTCGCGTGCTAAAGCGGGAAGGAACATCTTTTCTCATCCGGCCCTCCCCTCTTCCGTTGTCAGGAATCATATCTCGTCAACATCCTCGCCTGCAACACTCTCATAGCGCATGCCCCGACCAGCCCTCGTCCTCAACTTCAACGGCACCTCGTACATGTGCGCATAATCCACCACTTCCCCGCCCAGGTAACCCACTCCGTTCTTCCTCCTCCCGAACACAGGGGCCGGATCGCACCAGAAATCCTGGCAATTGCCCAGCATGCCGCGGCTAAAGGGGTTGGAATTCCGCGACTGTAAATGGCCGTGTGATGCGTCGCTCGCGGTCACCATGAAGGCGTCGAGGCCCAGGATCTTTGTCCACCGCGTGAAACATCCCTCGGGCCGGCGAGGGGCCGGGTGGAGATGGGAAGACGACGCGGCGGTGTCGTTTAGAGAAGTGGCGGCTGCAGTTGCGCCTTGGGTGATGGGGTGGCTATGGGTCGGGAGTAAGGGACGGTGGTGGTCGTGCACTTTGTCGTGGCGCTTCATGTTTTCATACGTGGTTTGGTTCTTCGCGATCTGAATCGTTTGGACCACAATCAGCATGATCACCCAGACAAGCTGGAGACAGGTCCAGAATGTGAGTGCCACCGTCCAGGGGTCACGGAGCACGAAAGTACAGAGCGAAGCAGAGAGAACATGGCATTTTGCAACGGCGTCGTCGGAGGGTGGTGGGAGTAGAGCAAGGTAGGAGAGGACAAGGCGGACGTAGAGAACGATCCCAATCGCCATGCTCAGGATGTAGATGTAAAAGTGGCGGATGTTGTTGTTTCCAACGCAGTTGTCAATCCACGGACAGTGATGGTCTTGCTTTGCGACACATCGATTACACCGGCGGCAGTGTTTCGAGCGAAGCGGCTTTCGGATCATACACTGCACGCAGAAGTTGTCTTCGTCAAATTTCCACAGCGAGAATAGCTCCTCGATCACCTTTCGCTGCTGGTTCCGTGAGGATAGTTTCGGAATCCAACCGGGGTCTTCAAGCATTGACAGGAAGTAAAAGTACGTCGTAGTGGCGAATGAGACGGTGAAACAGATAGTCGTGAGAGGATTCGTCGAGAATGTGATGGGTAGAACTGAAGTCACATAGCTGACTCCTACCCAGAAGAGTGTCCCTGCGAATATGCCAGCCAAATAGGGTGTTTTGTGAATGGCACGAAACTCTAGTGGTCCGATCATCGCAAGTCGTTGCGCAGCATACTGCATTCCCAGGCAGACAGCCAAAAAAACCGGAACTCCAATGAAGACGCTGAGGTGACTTATAATGTACAGGCCGACCATCATGATCAAAAAAGGGTACAAAAAGAAGAATTTGGACATTTTCGAGCGGTCTCTGACCACAGTGTGTAGATTAAGGGGGAGGGTCTTGACGTTGCCGGAAAGGTCGTATCCGTGATCAGATAATGAGCGATGGTATGTCCGTTTTGTGTTCATTTCCTCAGCACAGGTCATTGGCGTCTTGCCTTCGTTGGTCTTTGCGAATCTGTCCGCGCCATATTCGATGATTTTGTCCAAACAGGCTTTTGAGCCTTTCACCAAGGCCCAGTGTAAGGGCGTATATCCATTGTCGTCTGTAGCATTGACATTGGCCCCCCACTTGAGAAGGAGATCCACGCAGGCTGGCCAGCCTTTGTATCCTGCCCACATCAGACTAGTGTGGCCTTGAGGATCTGGGATATCGACGGGAATATTTTGTTGCAGCAGAAGGATCAATAGCAGCGCATTCCCATCAATAGTTGCCAGGTGAAGAATGTTGTATCCCTGGCCATCGGTCAAAAGAGGATCTGCCCCGTTCTGCAACAGAAGGTTGACGACATAGAAATGGCACCTCTGCGACGCCCACATTACGGCGGTGGCATTGGATTCTCCTCCTTTTGCATTTACGTCCACCCCTTGCTCGACAAGGTATTTGCACACAGCATATTGGTTGTTGATAGCAGCCCAGTGGAGAGGAGTGATTCCCTCCTCGTCCTTATATTTGGCGTCGTATTTGCCTGACTGGACCATTTTCTGGATGTGTTCAAGGGCACCTATTCGGGCGCATTGCATGATATCCTCCTCCAAAGGTATGTTGGGTTCTGCATGGCCATTGTGGACCGGGCCCAGTTCAACATCTTCCGAGGTCACCTTGGGGGAGGCCGCGTTCGCCTTGGAACTGGGAGGATGGGAAAGTTTCTGAGAGGTCGGAGAGGACATGGCGCTTTCGTGGTTGGAATTACTGTTGTAGATAGGCACATAATGATCGTCCCATCATGCTCAAGTCTAGAAAGCAGAAGTCATTTTGATGCACAGTCGAAGGAGACGCGGTCTGAACCTCCTGGCCTCCTGAATCCTCTCAGTTCGTCCGCAGCTGGACCCCAAACCCAAAAGGCGGCCACGAATTTGTCGTATAGGGGCCTATCACGTGGACGCCAGCGCCAAGAAGCTCTCCTCGGCAAAGGTGCCTCTTCAGCTGTTTCCTTTCCTCCTGCGACTTCCGGCATTAATTCGATTGAAGCTCCCCTTGCAAACTACTAGCTCGCTTCCTCGACTTCATATCAAAATTCTCCTCTCCACTCCCTCCGACCTATCTCATTACTCCTTTTCCTCCTTGGAAGTTCCTCAAATCAGCTTCACGGGTAGGCAAGATGATGTCGAGGAACGTCTTGCGCCAGTCTGGCCGCATTGCTAGCGCCCTATCTGCTTCGGGCAGAATAGCTGCGGTAAGCTTGAATCCCCCTCAACCAGCAGTAAAAGCTCCAGAGTCACCTATATCAGCATCAATGAGCCCTTACCTGGACGCTTTGAGCTCGGAATTTGTCAATTCAAGCTCTACCACCGCGTCTCTGCTGGATTCCGAGCTGATGAAAATCTTCGCAGTCCCGTGTCGTCACCCCTGCACCTCTCAATGCTGCCTCTAAACAAGTCCGATCATACGCAGCCGATGCCAAAGCAGCTCCTACCGAAGTTTCCTCCATCCTCGAGCAAAGAATTCGTGGTGTGCAAGAGGAAGCAGGCCTTGCTGAGACTGGTCGTGTTTTGTCCGTCGGTGACGGTATTGCCCGTGTCCATGGCATGAGTAATGTCCAAGCCGAGGAGCTGGTCGAGTTCGCCTCTGGGGTCAAGGGAATGTGCATGAATTTGGAAGCCGGCCAAGTCGGTGTCGTGCTTTTCGGTTCGGATCGTCTTGTCAAGGAAGGAGAAACTGTTAAGCGAACTGGGCAGATTGTGAGAAGATCAATTAGCTCGCGGAGACTTTTTTTCAGCTGACAGCTTCCAGGTCGATGTTCCTGTCGGCGAGGCCATGCTTGGTCGCGTTGTCGATGCTCTTGGTCAACCTATCGATGGAAAAGGCCCAATCAAAACCACCGAGAGACGTCGTGCTCAAGTGAAGGCCCCAGGTATCCTTCCTCGACGATCTGTCAACCAACCTGTCCAGACCGGCCTCAAATCCATCGACGCAATGGTGCCCATTGGACGTGGCCAGCGTGAACTGATTATTGGCGATCGTCAAACCGGAAAAACCGCCGTCGCTCTCGATGCTATGCTGAACCAGAAGAGATGGAACAACGGCAACGACGAGACCAAAAAACTCTACTGCGTCTACGTTGCCGTTGGACAGAAACGATCTACGGTCGCCCAACTTGTCAAGACTCTGGAGGAAAACGACGCCATGAAATATTCCATTGTTGTCGCTGCAACTGCTTCTGAAGCCGCTCCTCTGCAATACATCGCACCTTTCACGGGCTGCACCATTGGCGAATGGTTCCGGGACAACGGCAAGCACGCCCTCATCATCTATGATGATCTCACGAAGCAGGCCGTCGCCTACCGACAAATGTCCCTGCTCCTCCGTCGTCCTCCTGGGCGTGAGGCTTACCCAGGTGATGTCTTCTATCTCCACTCTCGACTGCTGGAACGTGCCGCCAAGATGAATGACAAACACGGCGGTGGCTCTTTGACTGCTCTTCCCGTCATTGAGACCCAGGGTGGTGATGTGTCTGCCTACATTCCTACCAACGTCATTTCCATCACCGATGGTCAGATTTTCTTGGAAGCTGAACTGTTCTACAAGGGTGTCCGACCTGCCATCAACGTTGGTCTCTCTGTCTCGCGTGTGGGCTCAGCTGCTCAGCTCAAGGCCATGAAACAAGTTGCCGGTTCCTTGAAACTCTTCTTGGCTCAATACCGAGAAGTCGCTGCCTTCGCACAATTCGGTTCCGATCTCGATGCCGCCACCAAGCAGACCCTCAACCGTGGTGAGCGTCTAACTGAGCTCTTGAAGCAGAAGCAATATAGCCCTATGGCTGTCAACGAAATGGTGCCCCTCATCTATGCAGGTGTCAACGGTCACCTGGACAGCGTCCCCGTCGGCAAGATCTTGCAATGGGAAGCTGACTTCCTTGCACACTTGAAGAGCGATCAAGCTGAGCTACTGGCAAGAATCGACAAAGAGGGCCAATTGAGCAAGGACCTCGAGCAACAACTGAAGGAAGTGGTCCAGAACTTTACCAAGAATTTCTCATAGGTATGTAGTTCGGAAAAGCCCAACATACAGCAGGATGACTGACATGTCGCAGAGGCTCGGTGGGGAAAGTTCGAAAATGCTTGTACAATGTTCTAGCTTGGTCAAAACTGGACGACGCCGCTCGAGTTGAGACACGAAAATGGCCGATTGCAAGCTTGATGCGACTGCCAGTCAAAGAGGGAAGTGTCTCAGTGTAATTAGATACATACCAGTCCTCGAATCAATTTCATTTGTGCTTTAGGATGTCTCGCGGCATTCGCTGCAGCGCTCAGATTCTGCAGATTACTATAACTGGGTATTGTGCAAAGTGCTGAGCGTTGAGTGCCTCGCATGACATCTTTCTCTACCTCTCACGGGGCAGAATTGAAGTCTACGACCAGCATGGCGTATGGCCATTGCAATCGCCATGACCATCATTCTCCAGGTTCGCTCAAACCTTAACCTACAGCATAACGGGAGTGTCAGAAGTTACGTGCTGATTGCTGACGCCAGGAACATCCATCAGATACAATTGCGGCTTGCTTTATCTCATTATCTTCTTACGCAAGGCCACGAGCGGCTCGCTCGCATGTGTCTAGCTCGCAGATGACATATTGGTAAAAGCTTGCCTGCAACCTCTCCGAGGCGAGATCATTTCCTTGACCAAAATCACATTCGATACACTTCCGTACGGCTTCCGCGAACTTTTCCCCCAGTTCTGCGGAGACACTGAAAAGCAACCTCTTCGCAGTGAAAAAGTCAGAGTCCACCGCCCTGTCACAATTCATGTCTTCTGGCCTTTTCAATTCCCGAAAAGGTCTTGAAAGGCGAGCTCCAGCAAAATCTTCCCGAGGTTGAACAATGATCGGTTGCGAATGTACGGCAACGGCTTTTTCTGTGGTGATCTCACAGTAACTCCTTGTTGTTGAATTGAAACATTGGCGTATGATTCTTCTGCAGAGTCATTGTTATGCGGCGAATCACTGCCTTGATCTTTATCCACGTTCGATATCATAATGTCATCGCTTGACCAAGATTCTTTCAACCAGCAAGTCTCATGAAATTGCAACAGAGCCAGTGCCAATTGTTTGCCGACATGGATCCTCCGATGGGGTGCTAGAAAGTCACCCTGTTGCATTGAACGGGCTGTTTCCTTCAGCAATTCGCTCAATGCCCTTATTTCGACCCTTTTTGTGACCGAGGTGACCATCTCCATTCTGGAATGGATGTACACTAGGTGCTTCGAGCCGTCGTTCGTCTCCAGATATCCGATGCATCTGTCTGGGGGGAGTTTGGATTGCCCGAAGACCTTATGCATTTGATTGCAAAAGTTGTTGTGGCTGCACAAATTGGCCAAGGTGTCTAATGAAGGTACCCTTTTTGAAGCGCATGGCGGCCGTATCAGCCGGCAGTCAGGGGGGGTTGATTGGAAAGAAACAGTCTTTTTTTGCTTCTTCCCCTTTTGCGCAGCATCGGCCGAGGCTTTTGGATCCTCCGAGGAAGCGTCTATCGCTCGCTTGGCTGCCTTGTTCATCGACTCCAACACGCCATTAGATTTGATGGGCCGGATACTTGCAGTGATAGTTGATTCAATGGTGAACCAGACGACGTCTGCCCCTGGAGGGTCTGGCCCCTTCGATGACGTGGACTGGATGGTAAGAGACCTGAAGGCAAGAACGAAATTGACGTGGTCAAAGCCATTGTGCGTCGGTTGAAGGCCTATATAGCCTTGGTGTTCTGTGTGCTTGGTGCAGGCCTGGCCGAAGGCTGCGTAAAGATTGTTTGCGGCGGACTTGACGGTTTTGAAGCGCTCGAGTTTGGCTTTTGCGAATCGACTGGGTTCTTGGAGAGCGTGCCGTTCCGCCAGACGCTCCGTCTGCTGCACTAAGACACGGAAGTCTTGGGTGCGATCTCTGAGACTCTTCAGCCTTGTCTCAATGCGGCCTTTTGAACATGCCATGTCGATCTTCTTGCCGACTAGGCGTGCCCTCCTCTTGAATGACAGCGTTCCATCCTGCCGCAATTAACTCGAGTTCCAGGTCAAAGAGGTCGACAATACTCACTTCTTCTACCTCTGCCTCAATATACTTGAACGACTCGCTCACTTCCAAGAGCTTGACGATCTGGCGCCGGATGAGATCGAGGCAGTTCCGGGCTGCTGAAGCAGTGCCGCCGGAAAACCGCTCGGATAGATATGTATCAAGTTGGGCATCTTTCCACCCGCGATCATTCTCATCCTGGAGCATTCGCACTGCTTGGTCGTCTCCAACCTCTGGGGTCAGTAAGAGCTGCACAGAAGTCTGGAAGATCTTGCACTGAACATCCAATTCAGCAAAAAACTCTTGCACCTGGTCCGAGAAGTTTCGATATCGAGATATCGTCCTGCTCACAGTGGAATAGTGCTCCAGAGCAGTGATGACTAGAGGTAGGACAGCCAACGTGAACTCTGCCATAGCATTCACATTTCCCGGTCCTAGGAATATCACACAAGAAAGGAGCAAGCATGAGGCTGAAAGATTGAAAGTTGCAAACGATCAGGCCGGGCGGAGTTGAGCTGATCCCCAAGTCCAGCGAGACAAGGCAACTATGCATGGCCTTCTGCGGCGCAAAGGCGAAAGATGGCGCCAGTGCGGGACTCACCAGTGGTCACTCGCCAGGACTTCGCGTGCTGCGCGGCTAAGCCACCACCAAAGCAACCGGCGAGCCAGCTTCAAGGCATCTCTAGCCAATCGAACGTGCAGGGAAGGGCGAGGCAGATTCACGGTGGTGTTCGAGGCAAGCTTCCACTGCTTGACTGACAGGATCCTACTCTGATTTTCCAGATTCAGCTCCTGGCCCTTCCTGGGAGTTGTTAGTCACTGTGTTCTCTTTGCGGTTTACGTGTCTTCGGGACGCGAAATGGCGATGATGAAAAAAGGCTACCGCGGTCACAAACATTCGCCAAGGGATGATATCTGGATTGTCAAATGGGTACAGGACTACGATGGTGTTGTTACCGCCGCGGCGTCTGAAAGCGCTTGCCACAACTTTGCATCGGAGACTGGATTGATCTCTGACCTCCACGACGAGTGTTTGCGACTGATCAAGGAACTAAGGACCGCATGGCAGAACTCCCAGGACAACATCGACCTCAAGTCACAGGAGAGGGCTGAGGTTGGCTATTGCTATGGCAAGTTGTACCTCTGGGGAGACATTCTGCAGGGAGGAAAGCTAGAAGCCAGCCTAGAAATTGTTCCCGCCCTGCGCCAAACAATCTTGGGAACCTTGGTCAAAATCGGACATGCTCTGCTGCTTGGTGAGTCTCAAAAAGTGTCGATGCGTCGAGGGCGCCTAGTCCTTTCGGACTGTCTGTTAATGTGGCACAGCCTTCCGGAATCGTTACAAATTGAGCGACACTACCAGCTCCGAACATTCTCAACTCTCTGCTTCCAATCTCCAAGTGCTTATTGAAAAGGCGTCGCATGTCTTGACTGCGGAAGATTCAGACCTGTCCACATTACAAGAACCCGGCGCAACAGACGAAGAGAGCTCTAACGACGAATCTGCAAGCGATGGCGAAGACAAATCCCCTTCGCCGCGCACGAAGCCATGGACCACAGCCTTGCTTCGAGTTCTCAGATTTCGCACGAAGTTGCTGATGGATCTCCTCCCTACCATTCAACAAATCCTAACCACCACTGAGCGTGGACAGCGCCCCGACAAAACCCGGCCTTCAAGCAAATTCCATGCTTCGGAGGCTGCCCGGCAATGGGTCCGCCAGGTCTTTGACAGGTTCCAAGATGCGGACGAATCGTTAGCTGAACGGTTAGGAGAAGCGAATGCTCAAAGGTATGACGAGCTAAGGCCAGACAAAGATCAAAGTGATTCAGCTGTGGTCCTCCATGAAGGGGTCGATCAAGCAAAGTCATTATTCCGGCCAGCAACCACAATCCGCGACTCTGGCTTGGGAACCTCGATTATCACGCCTGCAGAAATGCCAGCCTCAGTCGCATCGCAGTCTTCATTTCTCCCCAGCATTGCCGATGGTACGTCGCGCCGCGTGCCCAAAACTCCAGATGCTGTCGCCTTGGGGATCCCGTTCCAGTGCGAGATATGCACCCGCACACTCTCCACGATCAAAGACCGGACTCAGTGGAAGTAAGTGTGCTAAAATGTTAGCCATTGCATCGCTGACGTTTCCAGAATCCATGTATTTACGGACATTAAGCCCTATGTCTGCACATTCAACGACTGCAAAGATCAGTTGACCGTATTCCCCACACGGAAGCTGTGGGCGGAACATGAATTTCGCAACCATAGATGCCGAATATCTTTCGAATGCTACATTTGCTCTCAGCACTTGGATACCGAAGAGATGCTCTTCAATCACCTTCGCAACGAGCACTCGCTAACAGAATCAAGGCCCGGGCAACTTGAAGCAATCATTGTACGCGCTAAAAATGTCCAGGCACGGCCGATCGAAGGAGAGCGATGCCCTCTCTGTCGAAGAGCAGACTGGCAAACACAACGAGCATTTGTCAAGCATCTTGGAAAGCATCTGGAAGACATTGCGCTGTTGGCCCTACCTCTCGGTGATGATTCTGAAAATGAAACGGAAGGAGATGATCCGTACGACAAAACATCACGCGGGTCATCTACTAAAGCTCGAGGTTCCAAGAAAGCAATGTCCCCTTCATTAGCCTCGGACTTGGTGAATGAGCCTTCTCTTCAGAAGGATCCTACCAAAAGCGAAGAACGTCTCCAAACCTCTGGCTCGACAATGGAGGGTCGATTTCACTATCCTTCTGATCTTCGACAGGATCATCCCGGGGCTGCGTCACCTCCAACGAGCACCACACCGATTACTCCACCACCGCAGCCCGAGCAACCTGCAAGAGAGAAAAGATTCTGGCATGCAGAGACAGTTAATCGTTCATTCGCCAAAGCCGCCGAAATTCGGGATGTCTCACAAGCGCAAATTGAAGCAAAACTCACAGAAGTCATCACTGAGGCAACGCACCATGGCGAGTTGGATACTACCAATTGGAGTGCCTGTAATCATCATGCCGCATGTCGTAAGGCTTGTTCCGCCACTCCTTCCACCGATCAAATGACTCTGACCAAGCGCAGGGAGATGTTACCGAACCAAGGCGAAATGCGATTTCTTTCGCCCCTGCACCCACTGCAATATTCTGGGTATTCTTTGTGATGACTTCGAAGACATCACCGAGAGCTTTGTTACAGAAAGCTCAGACGAAGAATCCGATGCAGAGAATTCGGGCAGTGAGACTTTTGAGATCGCTATGGATGACGAAAAGAAACACACGTTTGAAGAGGACGAAATATCCAGGGAGAATGCGCATGACGGAGGCGAACACGCAGCAGAAAATAACAAAGGGGCAAAAGATGAAGACGAGGAAATGCATAATGCAGAGGCCGCCAGACCGCCCACGGAATTCCACAGTAACATCATCCAGCCATCTGCAGGCCCGCCGTTGTCACCGTCGTCAGATCCGCTGCTGAGATCAAGTTCCCATGGTAATCCTTCCATCTTGCTTCGTTCCGACTCTGGAGTTCCAACCACTGTTGCCGATCCTGACGAACAGGAGCTCTGGTGCCTCCAAGTGATCTCGAATGAGGATCACATTGCGAAAGACCTATGAAGATATCATCCGCATCACTCCTTAAAAGGTTATCCTTAAGGACGCGAAAGTCCAAGCATACAAACACCTGCCTGGCAAACTAACAAAATGGGGAATCGACTATCGCGGGCGGCGGCAGCGGCGACCACGACCACGACGACTTCGAGGAGGGGAGAGCGCGCCTCAAAGACTACGCCCGACGTCGTGCGACGAGACACAAAAGACCTCCACGACGAAGGCCCCGACGAGGACCGAGAGACGTCACGTGTGATGAGCCTGCGAGTGGACGGACAGGGAGGGAGGGACAGATGAAGGAGGTCACCAAGATCTGGCGAGCTGGCTCTGAATGAAGCTAATGGTACCGAGTAACTTACCCGGTACGTCAATTACTGTAATCGGAAATAATTAAGAGCCACCAAGAACCACCAAAGGATGTTTGAGAGGGCCAGAAAAGCCGCCCCTTTCCCGCCCAGAACTGCCCTCCCTTGCCGGCTAAGTAGGAAGTTCCTGCCTGGGCATTTCCATTCCATTCCATTCCATTGCAGCTCTCACCAAGCCCTCACTCAGTCACTCCGGCGTTGCGAAGCGCGTTTGACTGGGGAGGAGGCGAGCAGCCTCGGGGCAAGCAGGCGGGCGGGATCCACAATCCGCAATCCACAAGGACAATTTCGTCGAACCGAAGCTTCCTTTTCGGGTAATTTGATATTTTGTATTTATTTACCTGGTAATTATGTACTAACATGTGCCCACTTAATTTAGCATCTTCGCAGCGTGGCCTGACCTTGCCTGACCCAGCGGAAGCCTGCTGCCTGCTGCGTGCGGTGCCGCCTGACATGGCATGACATGGCCTGACATGACGGGGGAACGAGGATCGAGGATCGAGGATCAAGGATCGACGGAAGTTGGCGGTGGCTGGCGGGCGTCCCAAGCAAGCAAATCAGTCCATCTGTCAATCAATTACTGTAACCCAGCTTCAAAACTGCACAGTACAACGCAACGCAACGCAACGCAACGCAACACAACACAACACAACACAACACAACATAGCACACACGCGTGCACCTCGCAATTCAACCCCAGCCTCTCTCTCTCTTACCCCAAAAAGAGATATTGCACAATGACCGATTCGGCTTGGAAGTGGATTTCTGGAAAGCGAATGCCCCAAGAGCGTTGACCGGAAAAGGCAAGGAAGCAAGGAATTGGCTTTTAACTAGAACTGACCGAGGTGCATATTACTTCCTCTTCTCCCGCTGCTGCTGCTGCTGCTCCTCCTCCTCCTGCTGCTTCTGTGGAGATATCATTGGCACGGGTGGCATCGGTCTTTTGCTGACGTTCTTTTCGTACCAGTCACTGCACACCTCTTCCATCATGACCTTAAAGTCTTGACTGCTGAGGCACTTGAATAACGTGGAATCGACCCCGGTACCTCGCACCTGCTGTCGCTGCCGCGAGACGACTTTGGGATCTATATCTTCCTCGGCAGATCTGACATCAGCAGCAATCGTCGGCGCCGACACCGGCGTCGCTGGATTTGCAGTTCCATCTGTAGTAGCAGCGATATGGGAGGCCGCATTTTGGGCTCCGGGGGAGCAAGACGACTCTTCAGGCGCCGAAGCCGTGCTCTCGGCTCCTCCCCCTTCCCTTTCTTCTTCACCACAACCAAACAACCACGACGACAGTACAATGACCAATTTATCCTTTGACTCGTCCGTGATCCGACTGAAGATCTTCAGAGCATCAATGACAGCTTCGGTCAAGAACACCTCCTTCTTCGCTCCACCCCCAGTCCGCTGGGAGGTTTCGTCCGCGTCGACCCATGACTTTGCCAGAAGCCAAACGGTGATCTCAACCCTCACTCGGGCATTGTCTGCATGACGCGAGAGCTTCTGCAGAAATGTGGCAACCGTGTCGGGCCATTCCAAGAGATCCCACAAAATCAGGTTCAGCAGGTACAGATTGAGGAACAAAGCAAGGTCCTGCTGGATTGGTAGGGACCGTCTTTGGGGATTCGCCAGGACGCCCTTGACCGCGTGATGTATTGTCGACTTTCCCATGGCAACCGACCAAAGACTGCTTGACCCCGCCACTCTGGACCGGCTATCCGTGCTGTGACGCCGGATAGCTTCTGACTGCGACCTGCGGCCGTCTTGTTGCACCGAGTGCAGTGTCTGACGGAACCTCTCGGTAGCACTTTGCACGTCCAACATATTGGAGGCTTCAAGCTCGGCCATGGAAAAATATGCCAAGGAAAACATGGGATGGAACATGAAGCACACGGTAGAGAACAGGGAACCGACTCCACGTTTGGCAATCATCTGGGCCAGGCCTTTCAGATGGACCCTGTTGACCTCAGGACTCAATGAGCGAGCGTCGGCCGACATGGCGAGGCAGACACAGAGCAGGGCCTCGTCCGAAGCCTGTGTTTCGGGGTCTGCCAACAGTTTGGCGATATACTTGTATGCTAAGGCTTTCCGTCGATGCAGCCTCTCTGGCAATGGCTGACGTCGAGACCAAGCCAAGAACATGTCGCAGAATATCAGAGTCCACGGCAGGCCGCCTGCGGGATACATCTGGATACCCCTCCATGCAATGTCCCGACACGGACAGAAAGCGCCAGGGGTACTGCTCCAGGAGGCCCGTGCCTGGAATTGAAGCCAATTGATCACGAAGCTCTGCTCTTCAGCGGTGAGTGGATGAGGGTGCGAGCTAAGATTGTCTAGAATGGAATCTGCCGAGGACGACGATGATTGATGCCGTTGCGCCGTAACGCTGGGAGGAATGGTCTTGGTTGGATCGGCTGTGAGTTTGGCAGAGCCTCTCGGACGGCGGCCCTTGCGACCTTTCTTCGTCGTGGCATCCGCCTCTTTGACGCACTCCCGGCCTGGAGACATTGAACTTGCTTGTCCATCCTCCGGCGAGTTTCCTTGTTTTGCAACGGACGGCGTGCCCGGGGAACGTCGGCGACGAGGAGCTCTCACTTTTCGCTTTCGGAGGATCCAATCGCCCTGATCTTGGTTGGAAAATATTCGAATGTGAGACTCGAGCGTGGGAGGGGGAGCGCCAGCATTGTCGGAAGGATCGTTGGCACTTGGCCCCGGTTCATCTCGAGCTTCTAATTTTACACGAAAACGATTTCGAGACATGGATACTGGCGAGGACTGCAAACACTCGAAGGGGGTGATCCGTCAGCGAGGAACAAGGGATCTGAGAAGGTAAAAAGCATTTGTTCCACCTGGGACAAGTCGTCGCATTCTCTGCAAAAAGCGAGGGCGGGTGGAGGAAGGCTCTCGATTGCAAGAGATGCGCCAAAGCCGTCGTGTGCTGGTCTCGCTCATCAGTCTATGACAGTGCGTGTAATGCTCGTGGGATTTATGCTGGAACAACTGAAGAGGATGGATTGAGGCACCAGGCAGACGACTTCACGAGCTGTTGAGCGGACACGGGGTCTAGTCCGAGCGGGAACCCGGATATGAATATCCTGTCTTGCGCCAATCTGCAACCTGGGGGATTGAGATAGGGTTCGGGGCTTGGGGACCCCGGTGATCGAGTCTGGGCGCTTCACCGAGTCTTTGTGGGAGGATCTAGAGCCCGAAGCTTGAAACCCATCAACGCAACCTCGTATGAAGATTCGGCACAGGCCTTGCCAGGTTTGACCTGAACAACATGTGTACGAGGAGGGTGGCGTGGTGTGTGCAGAAGGTTAGGATGTCAGTGGCTGAAAGTCCAGACTCGAGGTGCTGTTGAGGGTGCTGCTGACTGGGCGACATTGACCTTGAAGCCACCCAAACTGCTGTGGTGCTGGCATCGTTTTGCCGTCTTGTCCATGGTAGGCACGACACGCCCAATCATGGGGGGCGTCGAGGCCGGCTTTGAGAAGCCGCGTTTGGCGTCACTGCCAGTTGGATTCTGGGCACGGGACGGCTTCCTCGGCCTCCAAGTGCCTGCAACTATCTGCCTAGATGGGGATCTTGATGCGCCGGATGAGTGGGAGATGGAAAAATAACATCGAAGGATGTCGAATTCAATTTTCCGTCTGGGCCTGTCCGCATGCAGCCTCGCATTTGGTGACTTGTCCGTTGGCGAGACATAGAGATCCTTTTTGGGGGGAGGTTTGGGCTCCTTTCTTTTCCCGTGTGATATGTTCCTTGTGATTTGTGATTTTGCAACGGGGGCTCGAAGCGGTACTCCGAACCTACAAGTAGGTATTCCGTCTGTACCTCGTACGGAGCATTGTGCCTGTAGGTGCCTGGGGGGGCATTAAGGGGCATCGGGGCACTTCATTCGGGCACCATTGGCAGTTGGTGTGGGCAGTTGGGGGCGGCACTTCTACCTACCTAGGTATCTTGCTGGCTCGTGGGCTTGCGTGGGGTAATAATGCCTACAAGTCCAAGGTACCAACCTAACGGGAAATGCACCCGCCTAGCTTCTTATCCTTCGTACCTAGGCATATGTAAAGTCAACCCCCGCTCTCGTCGCGGGACGGACAATATCGGTTACAATGGGGTGGAGGAAGGGAGTGAGTGAGGAGACACTTGTGCATTTGCCGAGCTTCATGGGAGACCCTCCGCGATGATAATGATGACTATGACGATGATGCAAAGGATCGCATTAATAATGTCATAGCACAACCCTCCACAATATGCAAAGATTAAAGACACCCACACATACTGTGTAGAGAGAGAGGGGGGGGGGTCATGACTCTATGATTCTATATCTCTGCTTTACTTCTGCGGCTGCTTCTCTCAAGACATTATCTCGACGTAATCACTGCCACCACTATTACTATTACTATTCCTGCTCCTACCGCTCCTACCGCCACTACTCGCAATCGTTTCTTTCCTCCACACCAAAATCTCCTAGTGTAGCCTTGCGACCGTTCACGTCCTGTCCACCGGCTTACAAATCGGTGCATAAGGCTACCACCAGTGCAACTACCCCATCTGCCACAATGAAGTCAGCCCACGTCTTCAAAAAGGGAGAGGATCAGCTCGATGTCCAGATCAAGGACATCCCGGTCCCCCAGCCCGAACCCAACCAGGTCCTCATTAAAGTAGTCGTATCGGGCACAAACCCCAAGGATTGGAAATATCCCATCCTCGTCAAGGGCAGCACCGGACTCAACACGGGCGACGACATTGCCGGATACGTCGAGGCGGTGGGTTCCAATGTCACTGAATTCAAGGTTGGCGACCGCGTCGGCGCCTTTCACGAGATGCGCACGCCTCACGGCTCCTTCGCCGAGTATGCCATCGCCTGGGAGAAGACCACCTTCCATCTTCCCAAGCAGACCTCGTTCGAAGAGGCGGCGACGATCCCGTTAGCTGCCATGACCGCCGCCGTCGGCCTTTTCTGTCGCTTGGGTTTGCCAGAGCCATGGGTTACTGTGTCTCAGGCCCGTAAGGACGCCGTGGCGGGCGGAGTGGTCGTCTACGGCGCTGCTTCCGCCGTCGGCGCTTTCGCCGTGAAACTCCTTGTCCGCTCCAAGATACACCCCATCATCTGCGTTGCCGGCCAAGGCATTTCGTTTGTTGAAGGCCTGATTGATAAGTCCGAGGGCGACGCCGTCGTTGATTACCGCAAAGGCGATGACCATGTTGTGAAGGGCCTCCAGGCCGCGGTCCCTGCCGGGCAAAAACTCCTATACGCCTTCGACGCTGTGAGCGAGAAGGGTAGTTACCAGAACATTATCAAAGTTCTCGATCCTTACGGACATATTAGCTTAGTCCTACCGGGAAGGAAGTACGAAGAGATTCCCAAGACCGTCAATCAGACACTTACAACCGTGGGATCCGTGCATGGCGTGCCCGACGACCTGAGCGATTTCGGATATGCCTGGTTCAGACTGTTCAGCTTGGGTCTTAAGGAAGGCTGGTTTAGCGGACATCCGCACGAGGTGGTACCTGGCGGATTGAACGGTGTACAGACCGGCCTGACAAATCTTCAACATGGCAAGGCCAGTGCTGTGAAATATGTATATCGAATCGCGGAGACCGAGGGCGTGGATCGGAGTAAGATTTGAACATTCCAATAGCCTCTACGGCATCCAAATGGATGCGGGCACCTCTAGAGCATCGAGGAATGGCCCTCACCAGTCGATTCGGGTCTTCCGACCGTATCGAGCGGGTTACCAAGTACTAGTCAACGTCCAATGAAAAGTAGTGCGACTTACATCAATGGCAACGTCCACGGTGAATATCCCATCTTCAGACTTCAAGTGGTTCTTGAGCAATCTTTGAATTAGAGGGCATCGTGAAAGATATAATGGCATTGTCCAATGTCGCAAGCCAGCAGGTGTCTAATCGATCATCGGAGATAGATTTGGATACTTGAAGCCAGATCACAAGGCTAAAACTGGATTTGAGTATTGGTTGGTGATGTTGCTCCCGAGGATGCAAGATACCATGCTGTTGACGTGATCTAATAGTTGACTGGAGTTCCATTCGGGCATCTTCCATGCCTATCTGATCCTCGAGTCCAGTGTGTTATCCCGACCTTGACTGGGATGGGAAACGCAATACTGCAACGAATCCCAGTCGTTAGCTGCTCAAGGGCTCACGCAACTGGAGGCGCGGCGCTCTCCTTGATCGTCCCTGTGACCAATCCACCATTGTTGAACCTGCGCTCATCAATCCTGGAGGTAACGCTCAACAGCTTGAAAAGTCGTCATAAATGGCTAAGACGCCCCGCCCAATGTTGAACTAGCTGCTTTCCGAGGGCGCGTTACAGTGGTTCTCAACAAATAGGCGGTGGCACAGAGGTGTAGATTAATGGTTCGATAAGAAGTCCGTTGATCTGCAGCAAGGATGTTGTCGGAAGAAACGGAAGAATGCCTTGTTCGAATTGCTTCACTCGTGTGACCAATTCTATTTGGTCGATGACTCTAGCCCCAAGTAGTGTGTTGGGCGAGCTTGAACAAGCACACTCATTTCTCGAGATCATTTGGCTAGAGACAACAAGGCACCGCATGGAGAATAGCAAAGAGGGTCCAAACGCGGTGAAACTACCCTTGGATGTGACAAAGTGGCATGAGATGGATCTTTAAGGAAAGTAATCCCTCCCAGCGTGCAGGGGTTCCAAGAGCTCCTTGGAGCCCCTAAGAGCAAGGGCACGAAAAGTTGGTGACCTATGTTCTTTTCCATCAGAAGACTCCGAGAAGAGTGGAGATCCGCAAATCAATCAATATTAATATGTCAATAGGCTGGTCTTTCTGAATCTGGACATAGTAGCGTCAGACAAAATAAGGTAAGCATGCATAATTTGCTTATTACAGAAAAGGTCGCTGAATCATTTGTCTCCGCAATTGCGAAGGACAATCGTGATGTGACTGGGGAGAACCTGATAGAGACAGTGAGTGACAGCACAACCCCATTTCAATGCGGTCAGCAGGTTCAGCCTGAGGCAGCGATGATCTTGGGATGGAAACATCCAGCCCTCGCCCAGGGGTCCGTGTATCCGCAATTGCCAATGTTCTGTACATACAGGATGTGTCGGCAATTGGAAGCCGCAGGCTTGCAGCGGCCATCAAATCCATGATCGACCGATAGCGCAAGTTTAGAGCAAAAAGAAGTCTTGAGGAGGGGTAGAACATAGATTTGCAGGAAGCACATCATGAAGGATGGCTTGCCGTCCGGGCGAGTCGGCAGCGGTCGGCAGCTTGCGTAGGGGACTTTTTTTTTTTCTCTTTTTCGGAGGCTTTAACTTTACTAGGCTGTTGTCCTGCGCGGTGTGTGGTGCATTTGCTGCAGCTAACAAAGGCTTGGAAGGATGCCTCGCTGTGCTTCAATTTTGGATAGGCCTTGTCAATGACCTCTGCTAGAGATTGATGGGCCTAGCGGGCTTCTTAGTGCTCGAGTCTCGGCTCTCCACGTAGGTCTCCGGGGGGCCGAGCGGCGTTGTTCAACCAAGCATCACCGGCCAAACCTCGTCCAGTAGGCGGGATTTAGCGGGTACACGGGGCCCTGCGCAGTTTGTGTTTCAGGTTCAGATGAGTGAATGGCAGGCCCCTCAGGCCATAGGGGCGTCCAAAGGCGTCCGAGAAAGGCTAGGGGATTGAAAAGTAGATTGAGAAGTCCCTCGAATCTGGTTGCAGCGCCCGCTAGATTCTTATGTTTTTCTTTCTCTTTCATGCAGATACCAGGTCGAATATGAGCTGCTTCCGGTCGAAGGGAGGACGGGTACTGGATAGATAGAGTTGGAAAAGTATTCCGGGCGCTGTGTGCGATCAGGTGTCTCTCAGACTGCGCCCGAGGAAAATGAAAAGAATATTACCCACCTCTGGTTTGCTTTCGGAGTGTTCGATTCGACTCGACTCGTTTGCCCCTCCTTGTGACAGTTTTGCTTTTGAGAAAGACACCTCGGTCCAGTGCCGTCGTGAGGCGTGTGCTCTCTGCCCGGGAAGTGAGTAGTCCATAGGCTTTTCCCGGCTGAAGATGACTGGGAGAGAAGATCGTTTACCAGGAGACTTGGAAACAGGGAAGAGGCTGATTGATGACGATGATGGGATCGTACAGAAGCACTAAACGATTTCCGTCTTTGGGGGGCCATTGTTGTTGATTGAAGTTGTTAGGTGGAAGTGGCCACTCGCGGTGGTGGCAGTTGAACCGAGACCAACAAGGCCAACCCACGCCCATGTCAGTGCGCAATCCATACCCACATCCACCATCCACCATCCGCCATCCACCATCAAACCATCCACATCCAGATTCTGACTTGGCTCATGGAGCTTTTTCGCTTTCGTTTGCATTTCTTCACTCCCGCATTTTCCACCCTGCCGCCAATATCCCTACCACGACGTTCGCGAACCATTTATCCACCATTTACCTAGACGGCGTTACCTTCCACTCCCTTGACTTACCCCATCCGTTTCTCCTTTCGCCCCAAAGAGGTCGATCCGGACATCATATCCCTCCAGTTGGCTTGCTGACCTGAAAGGAGTCACCAAGCCGACTGGAACGGAGCCCACCGCCAGTCTTCCAGACCTTCATGCCGCGAAACCCTGCGGCGAAGAAGCATCAGCACAGTAACCGCCATGAAAACGGTCTTGTAGGTCCCGGCAAACGTGTAACTAAACAGAAATCGAATGGTCATCTCAATGGCACCGCAAAGGGCCCTGTCCCATCCGAGCCTATTCCCCAACCCAGCCCGACCGACAACTCTTCAAACGCAATAGCCAACGATCGATCCCTTGCCGCCGCCTCCGAGTCGCAGCAGGACTCCTCCTCGAAAGGGTCTCTCAATTCTCAACCCGCCGCCGGCGAGCCCGATTCGAGCGCTGCCAAAGAGAAGGATACCAAGTGGGAGGCGAATGGATTTGCCATGCTACATCAAAGACGAGGCGATATGGTGTCTTCCCGATCCAAGCCCTCTCAGGATATCAGCGCCCTCCATCTGGCCTCGACAATTCTGCGCTCTCGGCCGGCCTGCGATACTGTGTCTCTGCTGATTGTCCTTCTCGCCCTTCCGTCCATGGTCTTGACGATTGTCCAGGCTTTGTTCGCATCGTTGACTCTGATGCCAGGAGGTGGTGCCCCGGCTTCGCTGATCTCCTTGCTAGACATCTTCCAAGGATCGGCCGGTGTCCCAAACTTTAGCACTACTGCCATAGTAGATGCCATCTGCTTCGGACTATGGGTCGGCCTCTGGACTTGGGCTCAAAATTTCGCGCTCGACCTGGCTCAGATACAAATCGCGATTACGCTTGGCAATGGCAGTTCTGGGAAGAACAGTAGGGTCAATACTTTCTGTGTGGCCGGAGTTCTCCTGTTGCACCTGGCGCGCAGCCGAGAAGTTCGTCGATTTCTCTATTCGAATTTGGTACCTGTCGACCTCCTCTCCCAGACCGGGTTTATGGACTACCTGAAATATCTCCCCTCGGATCACGATTTCGGCGACAGTCCCGGCCCACCGTCGTATTTTAGGAGTCTATTCGCTATACACATAATCGCCCAGGGCGTCATGGCGAGCTTTCGTCGTTACATATCCTCCTATACCACAGGAACAGCCAAATCGAAACGCATAGATACCGAAGCCTCGGCAGGATCTGTGTCGGATGCTTCGGTTCTAGACGGCTCTGGCCCTACCGCTGTTTCGTCCTCCGTCGACTTCCAGCCTCCTTCAACGCCTGGGTTCAAAGATGGCAAGGACAGTAAAGGCGTGAGTGCGAAGAAGCGCAGGCGTCAGGCAAACCACGTCAGAAGCAGACAGCCATTCTGGGCTGCTCTTGCTAGCACCAAAGTCCACGTCTTACGAGAGGTTGAGCACAACAAGGCTCTCCCGACCGTTGGGAACAAGGAAAGCGGCCCTTTCGAAGCATTACATCAAGATCTCGTATGGATCACCAATGTGGAACCTTCGTCGATTTCATTTGAAGCAACCTACGTCTACGAATCTGAGCAAACACAAAGGCCTCCTCAGGGAATCGATTGCAGGCCGTTCTACGTACGCATCAATGGCGCCAAGTGGCACGCAGTATCTCTTGAGCCACTTGACAATTCTTCTCAGCATGATGGAGGTAGTGCCCAGTGGATGGGTACGATATCTGGGCTCGCGCCAAATTGCACTTATACCTGTACATTCATTAGCTGCGAGGGAGACGAAGGTTTCGCATCCATCATGGTCAAGACGCCGATGCTGTTAGATAAAGATGTGCCCGCCTCGATGGCCCCCGCTTCAGTTCGCCAATCTACAACACCATCGTCGCCTACCACCACCCTGAAAAATTCCATCTCGTCTGCCGAAGCTAAATTAAACGAAGCCCGCAATCGCCTTACTAAAGTTCGACGTCAACACAGAACTGCGTTGGTCAAAGTCGAAAAGGAAGTGGACATCTTTACCACTCGACTGAAGACCGCCAGCGACGACACGAAGCAAAGGCAAAAGTTGTTGCAAGCCGAGCGCAATATCCGACAGACTGAGGATGCCACACAGGAACTTGACGCCGCGCTCGAAAACCTGGTCTCTACGCCTGACGATGAGAATGACGACCACGCCACCGCCAAAGAAACGCACGATGAACAGCAGAAGCTCCTCTCCGAAGCCAACGATGCCCTGGCAAAGGCACGTTCGGCTGCGCAGGACGACAAGACTTGTGTCAACCAAGAACTGAACACCATTGTTACGCGCAAGGAACGTCTGACTGCCCGCAATTCTAAGTTGACCGAGCAGCACGATAGGATCACCCAAGCCAATGCGCAAGGACTCAATGAGAAAGAGAGAAGAGCTGCCGAATCGAATGCCAAGGGTGCCGAACAACAGAAGCGCGAGGCCGAGCTCAACCAGGAGATCTATAACATAGACAGGGAACTGAGGAGCGCAAGGCAGCGATGGGAAGTCAATCTTCGCGAGCTTGACAATCTGGAGAAACAAGAAATGGCTCAAAGACAAATGATGCTCAGCAACAGCGGTCCTCTCACGCCAGAAGGTGACCTACCCGGTACTCGTCCTCCCCCGCAGCACGCCCGCCCATATGCGTTTGGCAGCTTTCAAGCATTTCCCAATAGCCCCATCATCGCCGAAGTCCAAGGCTCTCCTTTTGCTGCATACGCCAAGACTCTTCCTTCAGGTGACCAACGACGACCGAGATCGGATACCAATCGTTCTCTCGGCGGAATTAGCAATTTCTCTGCTGATTTTGAGGATGCTGATCCGATTCCTCCGATGCCAACCTCCACCGAGTACGATATGAATGGTCGCAAAGGAAGTGGCAGCAGCAGGGGCAAGAACAACGGCAGTCCAGCAGCTGCAGGGGTCATTGGAGGTGCATTGCGCAGTCCGCAAAGAGGGAGCTACAGTCCAGGGCACATCCCAGGTTCAACTACGTGGTAGGACCGCAAGTAGCCTTTTGGATGATTCAGGCTTCACGTTGGTTGGCTGGCTGTAGGGGCTGTGATGTAGTCGACGTAGATGGTAGACATCGGCGATAGCTTCTTCTCGAAAAGTCTTTCTGATCTACCTATATTCATTGTAAAACGAAGTGGTTGCTTCGCTTGACTAATTGTAGAGGGGTGGCGTCAGCCACCTAGTCCCAGCGGGACTTCCCTTGCGGGTCGCCATAATGTAAGGGATGACTGATTTCCAACGAGCTGTCCCAGGCCATCAGAAAGGGGAAGCAAAAGCTAATTCGAATCGGGTTCTAGACGAAGTACTTCTTCCTTATTAATATTACCACGAAGATTTTTATTACCTACTAGTGGTATGAGTCAGACAAACTCATCACGTGATTCTCGGTGCCCAATAATTTCCCCTTTGACTGTTCTTCATTTTCTGATATGTCGATCGAATTCTTGCGACGACAATTATATATGCGCAGTCTGCTACGAACCTGTAGCACCAATCTGCCGACTAACAGACGCATCTACACCATATTCCCGTCCTCAAGTCTACGATATCGTTCGCGGAAGTGCGCCACGATGGCGAAAGACAAGAAGAAGAGCAAGGAAGTGATAAAGAATCCGAAGGGCACGCGAGATTGGTCTGGTGAGGATATCGACTTGCTCAAAGCAATCAGGAGACAAATCGAGAAAGTATTCGAGCACTATCGCGGCCTAGAACTTGACACTCCAGTCTTTGAGCTGCAAGAAGTTCTGAAAGGAAAATATGGGGAAGATTCGAAATTGATTTACGACCTGCAGGACCAAGGCGGCGAGCTCCTGTCCCTCCGCTACGATATGACAGTCCCTTTTGCCAGATGGTTGGCAATGAACCCAGATATTGAGACTTGGAGGAGATATGCAATAGGCAAAGTCTACAGGAGAGACCAGCCTGCCATCTCCAAAGGGCGCATGCGTGAGTTCTGGCAATGTGACATCGATTTTGCCGGCGAGAGTGCCCCGATGTTCAACGACAGCGAAATGATTTCGATCATTGTCAACGTCTTCGAGACCCTGGAGTGGAGTGGAAGGTATACGATCAAGATCAACGACCGAAGGATATTGGACGGGCTGTTCGAAGTTTGCGGCGTTCCAGGAGAAAAGATCCGGACGATATCCAGCGCAGTCGACAAACTGGATAAGCTGCCTTGGGCTGAAGTGAAGAAGGAGATGGTTGAGCAAAAGGGACTTGAAGAATCAGTCGCAGACAAGATACAGACATACGTCACGAGGAAAGGAGGCAAAGAGCTACTGGAAGAGTTACAGAAAGACGAGGCTCTTATGAGCAATCCGAAGGCGAAAAAGGGCGTTGAAGAGATGGAGCTGTTGATGCGTTACCTCCGGAGGTGGAAGGCTCTTGACAAAATCTCTTTCGATCTCTCTCTGGCGCGTGGTCTTGACTACTACACGGGCATCATCTATGAAGTTGTCACTGAGGGCTCTGCCCCTGCGCGAACACCAGCTCCGGCGACCGACTCCGCGCCTCCCATGGCACCTGTTGCGACAAATGGCGCCCCCAACGGTATTCCCAAGAGAGAAAGGAAACAAATCTCTGAAGACGAAGATAGATCTGAAGACCCCTCTGTAGGTGTGGGATCCGTGGCTGCGGGTGGTCGCTACGATCATCTTGTCGAACGCTTCCGACCCGACGCCAACATTCCCTGTGTTGGTGTGAGTTTCGGTATTGATCGAATAATTGCTATTACCAAAGCCAGGATTGCAAAGGGCGAAAAGTTCAGCTACGTCAAACACAATAGGACCGATGCGTATGTAATGGCATTTGGCGGGTCTGGCTTTGGCGGAATGTTTGAGGAACGGATCGACGTCCTCGTTGCACTGAGGGATGCCGGCATAAGAGCGGAGACTTTCTGGAAACAAAAGGCGAAGCTGCAAAAGCAATTCAAAGAAGCAGACCGTGCTGGGGCGCCAATTGCCGTCATCCTCGGGGAGGATGAGCAGGCAAGAGGGGAGGTGAAGGTTAAGCAGATGGGTCTGCCGGAAGGCGACCCTGAAAAGGAGGGCGTGCTTGTCAAGGTAGAGGATCTTGTTGCCAAGGTACGAGGGGTGCTGGCGAAGATAGACGAATAATAGGTCAAGTCCGGGGAAGGGGATCTAGACCATCGAGTTTCGAGATGGCGCTACAAGCCTGCAAGGCTGTATTAGTAGATAGAGCATTAGATAAGGCTGGCCAATGAGAGACCCGAAGAGCTGGCTGTGTCGCAGGTCCGCGCCAAGCGCCCGGCATGAAACACCCCTTTGTCTCAGCACCCATCGCCTGCTACAATTCACCCTCAACCTGATACGCCCCAGCCACTGGGAGGCTCAACTCCGAGACTATGATGAAGAAGCAAACGTCGCAGCTGGTGTTTGAGATCCAGCTTGGCCCAATCGCGACCTGATGGGTGCCCGCCGCAACCACTTCGGCTCTCCTCGCCCGGCTCAGACCTTGGCTGACCGTGCTCACTCCGTAGCATTCGTCGTCTGAAGCCGCTGTCCGGATGTCCATCACACCGAAAGCAACCAGCTCCCTTCAATTTGGGTCCTTGTCGATGTCTCCTTTTCATCTCGACTTCAAAATGTCCATTTAGAGGCCGAAGTTTCGCAATGTTTTCTCATCTCCATCCCTCATCTTCCTCATCTCTCTCCCCAAAAGAGTCGTTCGTTCTTTGTTGCTGGACCAGCATCTAATTCTCTTTTTTTCCTATTGCCATTCCTTTGCGAAATAACACTTTACATTCCATCGCGATGCCGGCTGTCCGCTCCTTTTTCGCTCTTTCCGTTTTGGCTGCTTGCCTGGCGCAAGTATGGTCTTCTGCATTTCCCCGAGTGTCGTGCGACATTCTTGGCTGACCAGCAGATAGGCTTCGGCTGGTCCCAACATGGGTGGTGACAGCGGTTCCGGTTCCGGTTGGGGCAGTGGAGGCAGTGACAGCGGGATGAACCAAGGAGGCCAATACGGCGGCGGCGGCGGCTCTGGCAGTCAGGGTGGCTCTTGGGGTGGCAACAACTACAACAATCAATACTCGTCCTGGGCGGCACCAACCACTACCTACCAAGCCCCGAGTTGCCCAAGCTGCCCGGCCCAGACCTGCCCGCCTCCTATGAAAGAGACCATGACCGAAACGGTGAGTGTTTCTAGATCGCGCCGGTTTGCGCCCCAAGTTTGGCAGCACTAACATCAAGGATTACAGACAACCGTAACGGCCGTGTCCCCGTGCATGGGAAGCACCGTGACTGCCTACGTGACTCAGTGGATGAACGCTCCCCCCGGGTGCTGGTGCGGTGCTGGCAGCCCGCCTCCTATGGCGTCTGGGTGGGAAATGGGGGGAATGGGCAATGCTGCCATCTTTACATCTTCCAACCCGTCCTTCACGCCTGGTCTTTCGTCAATTCCAGCATCTGAAGCCATCAAGACTGGCGTGACGGTGGCTGGCGCTCCACCAGCTGCGGCCCCAACTGCTGCTGTCTCTCCTGGTGGCTTCTTCGGGCAGTCATCGAGTAAGTCTTTCCTATGCTCTTTTGAAGGTCAAGACCACGCATCTAACAATTTGGCTCCAGGCTCTGCGATGACGACATCTGGTACGGAATCTTCTGGCCCCAGCAGCAGCGTCCCATCTAACATGGCCGAGCCTACTAAAACAGGAGAGGCTCCTAAGCCAGAAGCTTCGAGCTCAACTGCCAGCACGAGCTCATCGTCGGCGGCAGCAGCAGCAGCGACAGCAACAACAACAACAACTTCGTCAGCATCAACGACTTCCACTACCACTTCATCAAAATCCTCGTCTTCGTCTTCATCATCAACCACAACGACAATTTCATCAAGTGAATCCTCAGCATCTGCGGAGGCAGCCTCAGCGACAAGCGGCGGGTTCCCGGTCGGCTCATTCAATACTATCGATCCTGCAACCCTTACGCTCAAGAACGCCTACACGCTAGGCATTGGAAGAAGAGCACCTGTACCGACTCTGTTATCATAGACTCGCAAAAGAAACGAAAAAACCCCGCTACATTGAACGAATATACCCAGTGATTTCGAGGACATGGACGACATCGGATCGGACAGTACTATTGCGTTTCATTTCTTGTATATTGAAAAGCCGGACCTGGGCAAGACATTCCCGGTCCCTAGCTTTTGGCGGACACTTTCTTATCGGAAAGTGTCTCGTGCTTGATAGGAAAATCTGATGCAGCGGTATCCTGGACGCGGCTTGTATCTGCGCCGTCGGGCCCTGCTTTACCACCATCACCTCCGTCCATTTTAGCCTTCTTCGCTCTTTTCATCTGGCGCTTTGAAAGGGGTTTGTCTTCCGCTGTAGGCCGACGGTTCTGACCCGTGGCAGTTGCTAGGCGTGTTTCGGATGCTTTCCGTTTTAAACCGTTGACGATCACTTCTTCCTTTCCTTTCGCAACTTGGTTTTGGGTTACTTCATGTCGAGCGCTGCTCTCCTTTCTTTCCTCTTCGCCCTTTGGTGCAACGGAAGACCTCTCACCTCCATCGATGACATCGATCACACCCCTGAAACTCGTCCTTTTCATTCCCGCTAACCTCACGACCTTACCGACCTCTTCACACAATGCTTCTTTCCCTCTCTCCTGTCCCACCCCCCAAATCGTTGCCAAATTAATCACGTCATGTGGCCCTCTCACTCCCAGAGCATTTTTGGCTTCACTGCTCAAGATTATGCCCCTGCCCCTCGTTGCGCGAATTAGTGCAGTTGCACCACTGATTAAATTTCTCCTCGCCTCATTATTTCCTGACGATTGAATCGCGGGGGAGTAGCATATCTCAAAGCGTATCCCACGCTGTAGTGCCGCAGAGACGGTTCTGAATTTCAAGGCGAAGGTAAGCCGTTGAGAGAGGTCGAGAGAGATCAAATCGCAATCGAGAGACGTGCAGCAGAGTTGGAGAGTTTTCTCTGTTGTGGGCCGGATGGCAAGCAAGGAGTATGCCGGTGAAAACTGGGAGAGGCGGTGGTTTTGGGTAGCGTCGGAGATTGTGAGTGTCAGTCGTGTGAGGACTGTGCCAATGCTCTCTGGGATGGCGATCGAGGAGACGGGGATGGGTTGGGGCGTGGATGGAAGTTTGCCTGTGACCAAGAGAGAAAGAGCGACCACTGAGTAACCCAGTTCAGCATGGAAGGCGAGGGTGTGAGAGAGGTCTGTGTGGTTGGTAGTGTAGAGTACGTTAAGGTCGTGGAATGGCATATTGTTCGCTTGGGGAGACGCAAGTGTGCGCCGGTTCAAGAGCAACGACGATCATGTTGTTACTCGAGGCTGCTCTCCGATTGACCTTCAGCAGCGGCGTGCAGAGGGCCTCGTTGCTGAAATCCAAAATTGTGAAAAGCTGCGACTGCGGTGGCCGGGGAAAATATATCCGCTAGTGGGTGCATGATCAAATTTCAGATCCCCTGCCTGCCCTGCCTACGTGGGATGGCATGCAGATCGAAAGGCTACCGCAGCACAGATCGCTCTCCGTACCACCACTACCCAGTACTGGGTACGGTTCCCTCCATTCCACTCATTTATTTCTCCATCTTCATTGTTTGGCCGTTTGCCTTTAATCAATAGGCAGTCCACGGCCGTCTTGTTGCGGCTGGCCGTGCTTCGTCTTCACATCCATTTTGGTCGCCGCCGCCGCCGTTGTCGTCGTCATCGCACAGTCTAGCCTTGTCCTGCCCAAATTTCCATCGTCCATCCTCCAGCGCATGACACAACCCCGCGATCCCCTCGCAGTACAGCCGCCGCAACCGCAGCCATGGCGCGAGTCTACGCGGACGTCAACGCTAACATGCCGCGGTCATACTGGGACTACGACTCGGTAGCCATCTCATGGGGTGTCTTGGAGAATTACGAAATTGTCAGGAAAATCGGTGAGGGGCTTGTGATCAAGGACACACATTACAAGGTGGAATAGCTGACCGGGGTTCGCAGGTCGCGGCAAATACTCCGAGGTCTTCGAGGGCATCAACATCGTCAACTACCAGAAATGTGTGATCAAGGTGCTCAAGCCGGTCAAGAAGAAGAAAATTAAGCGTGAAATCAAGATCTTGCAGAACTTGGCCGGTGGTCCCAACATTGTGGCACTGTTGGACGTGGTACGGGACAGCCAGAGCAAGACGCCGTCCCTGATCTTTGAAAATGTCGACAACACTGATTTCCGGACTCTGTACCCCCGCTTCGTGGACTACGATGTGCGCTACTATATCTTCGAGTTGCTCAAGGCGTTGGATTTCTGTCATAGCAAAGGGATCATGCATCGAGATGTCAAGCCGCATAACGTTATGATCGATCATGCGAAAAGAAAGGTGAGGGGACAGGACACTACGCAAGCTATTCCAATTTTAAAACCATGGGTGATATGCTGACGATATTGGGTTACGTAGCTTCGACTTATCGATTGGGGTCTCGCTGAATTCTATCACCAAGGGACAGAATACAATGTGCGCGTTGCCTCCCGCTATTTCAAAGGACCTGAACTACTTGTCGACTACCAAGAATACGACTACTCTCTGGATATGTGGTCCCTGGGAGCCATGTTCGCCTCCATGATCTTCCGCAAGGAACCCTTCTTCCACGGAAACAGCAACTCGGATCAGCTTGTCAAAATCGCCAAGGTCCTAGGTACAGATGACCTGTTTGAGTATCTAGATCGATATGACATTGAACTAGACGCGCAGTACGACGACATACTGAGCCGATTCCCGAAGAAGCCGTGGCAGAGTTTCGTAAATGCCGACAATCAGCGCTTTGTCAGCCCGGAAGCTATCGACTTTTTGGACAAGCTGTTGAGATATGATCACCAGGTATGTTACAACAGGTCTGTTGACGATACGGAGGGTTGATACTGACTGTTCTGCGATAGGAACGTCTTACTGCTCAGGAGGCAATGGCACATCCTTACTTCGCTCCGGTGAGGAATGCGGCAGCACAGCAGCAGAACTCCCAAAACCACGTCTCTTGAAGCGAGCATAACTATCTGGTGCAAGTATCTATCTCCGGCAACGGTTCACCGTCAAGGATAGGAGAAACAGAGCATCCCGAGGACGCTCTCCGAATGAGTGATGAGAGACGACGACGATTCAACCTCCACAACGCCGTGGTAGCGCAAGAACATCTAGTTCGAGAAGGGGCTCAACAACGTGGAATCTGAAAACCGGCCAAGGCCAATATGAGAGGGTGATAGAGTGTGCGAAATGATCTTCTCAGGTCGAAGAATGAGGAACAGTTGTAACGGGGCTTGTTTTGCAAGGAACTCAACTCACTTTTGGCACGATAGCGTAATACATTCTCGTACCGTACCATCACCTTCGTTTTTCTCGCTCCCTTAGCAATCCCACAAGGCTGGCCCAAGCCCGACCTGGCTATCAGCCTTTTCTCCCTGCTATCGTGAGGCTGGTAACAATCGTAGAGGCGCCATGACCGCGTCCGAAGCGGGAAGCCAAGGCACATGATGCACTCCAGAGGGGACTTAAAAATTCTTCCCTTCGTCGACTATGGACCGGGCATCCTTCTTGCCTGCTGACAAGAGATACAGACTTGTCATTCTGGCTAAGGTGGTCAAGAGTTTATTCCTTCCAGCCTCCACCACTCCTGGGCGTCATCTTTCACAGGACGAAATCTTTTGGGGCCCCCCTTCTCCACAATACTTCGAGACGCCCACGTACATACGCCACATATCCGTTCAAGCCGGAGGGACCCGAGATATTTCGATCATTCTATCACCGGCACATGATTACACGTATCTTTAATTATTTAGGTAGGCTGGCGCCATCGCCATGCAAAATCTTCAGGATGCTCGTGAAAACTTCTGGTCAATTCGGCCTCATCTCAACATTACGGCCCGGGAAGAGATGCATACAGTTCACTTAGAGTCTCTCCACGGACCGAAAGAGGTTGCGACTGCTGGCGACTCCCTTGTCCCGTCTTGCACACTTCTTTACTTTGTTATACCTAGCCTTCTGGTGTTGGTTATTGTTAAAAACGAACAAACTTTCTGCCTGAGGGACACTTTCGCTCATTTGGAGCAATGCCGTTGTTTCAACGGGTTTAAATAGGTTTATCGTTGGTCAAATCGTCATAGCATCTTTTATACTATACCAACGACCACATTGTCCCAGGACTCGTTTCTGGGCAAGTTCAGATTACTTCCTTGCTCACCTTTGGCCTCTTGTGAACAAATCAATCTTCGCCCAGAGTCAATTCTGGATCGCCTGAAGCTGCGAAGCTGGGGAAGAAGGAGCAAAAGGGGCCAAGTCATGATCATGGTCATGCCGGTCTAATGAAAACTTGTGCAACTTCCATTCATCTCAACAGCCATGGCAGGGGAACTTGATTATTTTACTGGGAATCCGTCTGGCGATCCAGCAGTCTTTCACGGGAGATATCTGGTGGGAAAACATTGCTGAGATGGCTGACGTCATGGTAGCCAAGGCGCTAACGGAGGTATTGCAGAAGTATATCTGCGCGTCAACATTCTTTGTCGCTTGAAGCTTCCTGTGAACAGTCGAGTCTTCATCAATAGACTATTCAATATATCGATTTCGACCTCCATTCCGTGGAATTATGCTTGTCTGTTTGTTGTATTGCCCTTTTAATACCTGATGTACCATCATTTTACGACCGTTCAGCTTCATTGATGAGGATGAATAGGGGCATCTTCTGCTCATGGACTGGCCATGGGGGCTCACGCGTCCATGAAGGCATACAACTGCCTCATGGTATCGGCATTCTAGACGTGAGTGTAGACGAAGATGTCGCTGTGCACTCTTCGGCAATCGGGACGCCCCCGTCTGTATCTGCAACGCGCTCCCACGTAGACGGTAAGCTCGTCAGCCTTATTGAAGACTACAATGGAACATCCAAAATATCTCCCCTTATGCTCCGGTGATGGCCCGGAATCCATTCAAATGGCATGAGGGTGCTCGGACGTATTGGATTGAGAATAATACCATAACGAGGCTGTACTTTAACGACGGCTTCGGCATGGTTACCCGAAAGGTCACAGGTGTCGACAGTGAAGACTGGGAAAATGAAGTCACATGAAGAAGTGGATCTTCAAAGATATATTTTGGAACAGCACAATTCTTTCCAACAATCGCAAAGACCCCTACTAGGAAAGAGGCTAAAGAGTCAACAACCCACAAAACAGAAAGAGACTCAAGAGCCAACAAACACAATGAGAAAGAGACTTGACGAAGTCAACACATGCAAGGAAATGGTTCTAGTAGGCGATCCTCCCTCCTCAGTCGATCCTCCCACCCAGATATATCAGGTCAAACTGGCACCGGGCCAGCAGGCGATGTATCTTGGGGTTCGTTCCTCCCTCGGAACACCGACCAATTCAGACATATCAGGTCAAGCTGGCTCCGGGCCAGTAGCAATATGTCCCAACCTACGGAAAAACCTACCACAAGGCAAGGTTTCACTTACCACCACCCCCTATCAAAGGGGCTGGTGGCAAAGTTTTTGTCACTTGAGTATTTGGATTATGAGTATTGTTTTTGTTGCGTGTGTGTGTGCCCTAACTAAGGGTTACGACTGTTTTTAATGGCCCCCTGGAGTTCAGTCAGGCTCTCCCAGACCTTATTCACCAAAAAGTTAAATCCTTGGCAGGAGGTCTTCCCAGTAACTCTCAAATGCACCCTTAATTACTCTGCGACATGGGTTGATTCCATAATCGATATACACATATACATTAGTTGCGATATCCCTCGCATTCCTCCTTCGCGCCATCCGCTGACTTGGACTACCGACCATCCGCAACTATCTTCCGAGGTAGAGACATTGGTAAGTCACTGTCAACAGGGTCGTTTCTCGCCAGCCGATACGAGAGGTTTAACTTGGTAAGCTCGCTTGTCCAGAGAAAGGTCACCGCCTCTGTGGGAGATGGTTGTGGTTGTTGAGTGCTCGTCTTGTCTATATGCTGGCAGTATCAATGGCCGGGCACTAATATTTGGTTTGATTAAATTCGGGAAAGATGCTTGATCCGATTGGCTCGTGTCAATCCTCTGAGAATGACCTGGGAACTGAAAATACGGCAGTTTAAACACAGACAACCCCAAACGTACATGAAATGGGACGCATCAGTTCAAACCTTGAAAACATACTGCAGGTCGGCAGGGGCGGTATCCATTCACCCACATTTCATCATTCATACTCCTATCGACACCTTTATACGAGATACTTCGTAATCAGTTTCCCCTTTTCCGCTCAACTCCAACCCCAGTATGAACTGTCTCGGTGGCTGACACTATCTCGAAACGGCTTAGGGCAAGGGGCCAGCCAGCCTTAACCTTGGCGTAGGATTCCTTTCGAGGCTTCAACGCCTTGCTGACCTGCATTAGTCTCAGCCACTCGAACACGATGGACGACTGTTTTCCAGTGCAAAGAATGTTGTCGACACGTTTCCTGCATTGCCTTCGCCGGCTTTGCGCCACAAGGGGGCCAGCAACGATGAATCAGCGCTGCTTGCTGTCGATTGGCGAAGAAATATCCGTCGAATGTAATACCAAGAGCGTGTTGGGACTGAGCCCATTCTAACGCTGATTCCGGTCTTGTCATCAAGCCGTGTCTTATGAGGCCTGAATCCTACTCGGACGCCATGCTCGAGAAGACGAGTGGATTGATGTCCGCCGGCGCTATATTATATCGCGTCCGAGAAGGCGTTGTCATAAAGGGGTCACCGCTCCTTTCTGGGGAAAGCAAGTGCCACTACAAATATATTGTGTCGCGGTTTCACGCGATTTTGTACCCTCATTACCTCTGACTTTTGCCTTTCATTCCCAAATATCAACGAGTTGATACTGGTGTTCCATGGGCCTGAGGACGTACTACCTCGTTGCGACAGAACCCAACTCTCTATCAATTCTTAACAACTTGAAAACAAGAAATCCTTGTGTTACACAAGATCCCTCATCAGCCTGATATTCTGTGCGTGGTTCCTGAATATTACGAAGCGGTCTGTTTCAACTTTTCTCTGTCTGCCGCTTTTCTCCAACAGAAAGAGAGCTGCACAGCAAAGAACTGGCTCGAGCACCAATGTCGGCCCCATCAGACGATCTTACGAACCTGCTTGCCTTGCGCGACTCTCTCAATGCCTCGATTGAGGCGCTTGCTTCGCTCACACCAGAGGAGAAAGCCCAGACACCTAGGGCCAATCAAGTGCGCCAGCAAATATGGTCGGCCGCTACTCAAATTGCCAGCGAGACTGTCAATCCCTCCCAAGAAGCGACTCGTATTGCATTCGTGGTGAGAAGGATATTGACCCCAAACATGAGTCCGGGTTTCGCTTATTGATGCATTGCAGCCATGGCTGAATGCCGTCGTGCGGACTGCCTTAGAGCTAGACCTGTTCAACCTTCTTGGAGAATCTACGACCGCGTTCGAGCTTGCGCAGAAGACCGGGGCGGATGTGACCTTGATAGGTGTGCTCACTCTCGGACTACATGAGGCAGGAGTCCGAGAGCTTGTCTGCTGACGTGGCTGCCAGTGCGCCTCATGCGGGTCTTAACGGGCTTTCATATTGTCTCTGAACTTGGGGAGGAAACGTATGCTGCGACTCCCGTTTCGCGAGCTCTTACCATGCCAGCTACGGCGGACTTGAACAAGCACATGTAGGTTTTCCCTTCCATTCATTTATTCATCGCCTCTTTACTCTGTGGCTGGAACCTCATCAAACTCAGCCAGTCTAAGCACTGACTTCTTCCGTGGTGTCCCAGATTCGACAGCAGCTGGGGCTGCATTGGCAAGATGCCTGCTTACCTCGCTGAGCTCGGTTACAAGAACCCTGACCAGCCGGACAACACCCTCTCACATTATGCGACGGGGACCGACTTCTTTGCGTATCTACGCGGTGACACTGCCCGCCTTACTCGTTTCAACTCTGCTATGAAAGGTGCCGCAACATTGCTCGCGAGCCCCATCCCAGACTCCCTGCTCGAATCTGTAGCAGATGGAAATGGTGTGGCAATGGTCGATGTCGGTGGAGGACATGGCCAAGTTACGCAGAAGGTCATGGAAGAGAATCCGCATATCAAAGCCCGCTTCGTTGTGCAGGATCTCGGCGCTATCATCGAGGAGGCACGTGCCAGAAATCCGAAATACGAGGTCATGGAGTATGACTTTTTCACTCCACAACCAATTCGCGGTAAGCACCAGCGCCATGCGATGAAATCCCTCTCTTGGGAGTTCATCTCCTCGGCTGCCCTGTTCAAAAGAAATGTCCCCTCGTCTTCCATCCGCGCGATCTAATGTCAGTGTACAGGAGCACGCATCTACTTCATGCGCCGTGTCTTGCACGACTTTCCGGACTCCAAGTGCCGCGAGATCCTGAGAAACCAGATCCACGGCATGGTCAAGGGCCAGTCAAAATTGCTTGTCTGCGAGACCGTCCTGCCCGCTGTGGGATGCAGCGGCTTCGAATCGCTCGCAGACATCAGCCGCACCACCTTCAGCTCGATGCAGCGCAGCGAGAAGCAGTGGACCGCGCTTCTGGCGAGCGTAGGCTTGAGAGTTGTCAAGATCTGGCCTGCTAAGCAAAAGGGACCATTTGCTGTTATTGAGTCAGAGCTTGAATGAGGCCCTTATTGAATGAAACCACGGAGAGGCTGCGATATCTTGTGGACAGGGGTACAAGTTTGAGCAAGACAACGGAAAGTAGAATGTTTGTCTTAGTCGCAACCGGTGCAACCCATCCTCGAATACGATATCATATATTCCATGCTTGGATGTGAAATAAAGATGCGCCCACATGCATTTGGCGAAAGATGGAATCTGGTCGATGGCAGGGAAAAGTCTCTTGACGTAGCTAGGCCCTTCTTGGGCCCCTTGCCAGGGGCGGATCACGTGCACCTCTTGACGTCTCGACATCCCATAGGGCGGCGGCGGGCTCGTGCTCCTGTGCATTAATTGGCGCGCAAGGTTCGAAATCCGACTCATAAATGCCCATACCTCGTACACTGCAGATTGTCGTCGGGTCTTATATCCAGCCTAGTCTGTCTCATTCTGTCCATGCCTCTTTCTTTCTTGTTTCTGTTGTCCTAGACCTGACTTGAAGAGCAAATACACAAGTGCAATCACGCCGCAAGGCAGTCGGGCAAAATACTTATCAGATCTTTGCTCCGGCGCCCTCCTGCTTGGAGACGGCTTTCTCGTTTCAACATGGCGCTCAATGCCGCATCACATAATATCAGTATGTTGACGCAGCGAACAGTACAACATCTACTAACATGGCTGCTAGCTGGCGAGCCGACCGGTTCTCCTTCTGGTCCGCCGCCTCCAGTGTCCTCCGAGATAGCCTCTGCGGCGAAAAGCTCGGCTGCAAAAGATGCCGTGGGTCAGAATGTACCCGGAAGGGATTTGCAAAACAACGAGAAAGGTCAAACAGTGATGGGAGAAGCAGGCAAAGAGAAGACTGCAAAAGAAAGTATGCAAGATAACCTTGAAGGACCGCATTGATAAACTCGCCACCCTTACTTTTACATGATCCAGACTACACGACAAGAGATGACTCACCTGAGGCCAAGTACCGGGCTGCCAGACACTCCATGGTGTATGACTGGGAAAGCATCTATAAAGGGCGGGCAGGATCTCGTAGTCATATCACTCTTTCCCTCAATAAACATCGACTCCTTGCACGCAGAACATTACTGCTCAATTCCACTGCGTTGAAAGAAAATTAAGTCTGACCATCATGCCTTCCACAGTTGAGAAAGAACGTAAGAAGGCCGAAAAGCTGGCCAAGTTCCAAGAGAAGCAGTCAAAGAAACAGACTGCGCCAGCACCCGCCGCTGACGCACCCAAGACCGCTAAGAAGGAAAAGATCAAGAAAGCCGCCGCCGTTGATGCCTACGAACCCCAAAAGATCGAAGCTGGCCGATACGAGTGGTGGGAGAGCAGAGGCTACTTCAAACCACAATTTACGGAAGACGGGAAGGTTAAACCCGAGGGCAAATTCGTGATTCCCATCCCTCCTCCCAATGTGACTGGGTCGTTGCATATGGGCCACGCCCTTACGAACGCGCTGCAAGATACAATGATTCGACATGCAAGAATGAAAGGAAAGACTACGGCTTGGATTCCTGGCTGTGACCACGCCGGCATAGCCACGCAAAGCGTGGTGGAAAAGATGATTTACAAGACCGAGGGCAAGACCCGTCATGAGATTGGTAGAGAGGCCTTACTGGAGAGGATCTGGAGCTGGAAGGATAAATACCACGGCAACATCACTAACCAGCTCAAACGTTTGGGAGGGTCCATGGATTGGACGCGTGAGGCTTTCACCATGGACGACAATCTCTCTCTTGCTGTGCGGAAGACTTTTGTCGACCTGTTTGAAGAGGGAACCATCTACAGGGCGGACAGGCTGGTGAATTGGTGCTCTGCCCTCAGTACCTCTCTGTCGAACCTCGAAGTGGACAACAAGGAGCTCAAAGGCCGAACGAAGCTGAAAGTGCCTGGTTATGACAAGATGATCGAATTCGGCGTACTTACCTACTTCAAGTATCCCATCAGCAAAGGAGATGATTCGCACAAGTCATCGACCTCACCAGACCGCTTCAAGGGTTATGAATTCATCGAAATTGCTACGACACGTCCTGAAACCATGCTTGGCGATACAGCCATTGCTGTGCATCCCGATGACAAGAGGTACAAGCATCTCGTGGGCAAATTGGCCATCCACCCATTCATTCCTGATCGCAAGATCATCATCATCGCGGACGAAGAGGTGGAGATGGACTTTGGTACTGGCGCGGTGAAGATCACCCCGGCGCACGATCCCAACGATTTTATCAAGGGCAAGAAGCACAACTTGGAATTCATCAATATCCTGAACGACGACGGCACGTTAAATGCGAGTGCAGGGCCTTATGCGGGCCAAAAAAGATTTGACGCCCGTTACGCCGTCATCAACGATTTGAAAGAGCTCGACCTCTATACAAAGCAGGAAGATAACGCAATGACAATTCCCATGTGTCAGAGGAGTAAAGACGTGATCGAGCCAGTGTTGAAACCACAGTGGTGGATGAGGATGGCGGACATGGCCAAGGCTGCAGACGAAGCTGTACTGGACGGCCGAATTCTCATAAAGCCCGAATCGGAGTCGCGACGCTTCCATTTCTGGATGCAGAATATTCAGGATTGGTGTATTTCTCGACAACTCTGGTGGGGTCACCGAGCACCAGCTTACTTCATTGAGCTTGAAGACGGGACAAGTGACGAAGCCGACGGCAAGTACTGGGTGGGAGCCATGGACGAAGACGAGGCGCGGGCCAAGGCAGAAAAGAAATTCCCTGGAAAGAACTTTACGCTGAGATGGGACGAGGATGTACTAGATACTTGGTTCTCGTCTGGCCTATGGCCATTCTCTACCCTTGGATGGCCGAACGAGACCTCGGACATGCGAGAATTATATCCAACCACCATGCTGGAGACCGGATGGGATATTTTGTTCTTTTGGGTGGCAAGAATGGTCATGTTCGGGCTGAAACTGACTGGCGATGTGCCCTTCACCGAGGTATATTGTCATTCCTTGATTCGAGATGCCGAGGGGCGGAAGATGTCCAAGTCTTTGGGCAACGTGATTGACCCGCTGGACATCATACGAGGTATCACGTTGGGAGAGCTCCACAAGACATTGTACGCGGGCAACCTTGACCCCGCCGAAATTGAGCGTGCCAAAGCATACCAGAAGTCGGCATTCCCTAAAGGCATTGAGGAATGCGGTGCTGACGCCCTACGGTTTACACTCGTAAACTACACCACTGGTGGAGGCGACGTGGCATTTGACATCCGGGAGATTGAAGCGAAGCGACGGTTTTGCAACAAGATCTACCAAGCGACCAACTTTGCATTGGGAAGACTTGGAGAAGACTTTGTCCCTGATGCTACACCGACCGACAACAAACCAAAATCGCTGGCAGAGAAATGGATCCTCCATAGGCTCAACATTGCCACGCGGGATGTCAATGATGCTATCGAAGGGCGGGACTTCTCTGTGGCTGCGGGCACCTTGTACCAATACTGGTTCACCCAGCTGTGTGACACGTTCATCGAAAACTCGAAATATATTCTTACCCCAGAGGCCCCTGAGGATGAGAGAAGGTCTGCTCAGCAGACCTTGTACACAGCACTCGAGGGTGGCTTGCTGCTGATGCATCCTATCATGCCTTTCCTGACAGAGCATTTGTGGCAGAAGCTTCCACGACGGAAAGGTGACACCACTGAAAGTATCATGATCGCAAAATACCCCGAGTTCAACGAGAAACTCGACGCTCCGCAAGAAGCACAGAAGTACGAGTTTATCATGGACATTGCATCGGGAATTCGAAGCCTGCTCTCGCAGTACGGTTTCAAGGAGCCTGGAGATGTTATCATTCAAACCTATTCGGATTCGGCTTTCAAGACTGTGTCGGATGAAAAGACGTCCATCAAGTCTCTGGGCGGCAAATACGCAGGCGAGATCGAAGTCCTGCCACCAGCTACAAACTCCCTCCCGCCTGCTGGGTGTGCTGTGCAAAGCATCAATGCGGACGCCGCCGTGTATCTCAAGATTGCCGGGCGGATTGATGTGGCGGAGGAGTTGAAGAAGCGGCAGAAGAGCATTGAGGATGCCAAAGCCCGCGTGGAGAAGAGCAAGAAGATCATGAGCGGAGCTGGGTGGGAAAAGGCGAACAAGGATACGAAAAAGAAGGAGGAAGAGAAGCTGCAGGACGCCGAGAGTGAGGTGAAGAGATTGGAGGAGGCGATCAAGGACCTGGAGAGGTTGAAACTAGAGGGCTGATCAGACGCGAGGGCGGGCAAAGAGAACTGAAGTCTTGGTCTTCACTTTCACGATTGTTGTATCAGAACACTAGCATTGTCAAAAAGTCTAAAGAAGAGGGTGCAACTGTCAAGATCTTGTTTCTTCCTCGCAGTGGATAGACCGGCAAATCTCAGGAGACAGAGCCTTGCCGAAATCTAGGTTGCCCTGCGCGTTTCACCATAAAGATTCTCGATAGAGAGTAGCGCATGTCGTTGATAAAGGCGAGAATCTGAACAGCAAACAACAGCATTCAGCTCACACCCGTCGTTCAGACAATGGAAAAATAACATGGGCTGAGGGTAGACTTGGAAGAAGCGACCTCGGGGAGTAGCGGGAGGCTGCCCGTCGAGTTCCGGTGACAGGTGATGGCATATTAAAGATTGATAGCTTCCGTACGCAAGGACATCATTTTTAATCCTTCGGTTTGTTGTGGGCCTCGGCGACGCGTCCAATTGCGTGCTCCTGAGTGCGACAAAATTGTGTCGAGATTGTATTTCTCTTCTAGGGCTTTTGAAGCCATTCTCGGGTTCACAGCAGCATGGGTTGAAGAGAATAGGAGAGTCAATCGACCATTTTTCCCCCTTTGCCCTGCGTTTTGCGAGCTGCGGCTCCCTTTGCCTCCCCAAATGCCGCTGACGCACTTGTTCCGCGCTGAAACGCGACACATGTCCTCTTGTCAACGAGTCTGCCTCAGCATTGCCAGCTCCAGTCACATCCTGTTTCGACGTCGAGGATGCAGAGCCGCAAGCTGCTTATCCTTTAAGAACAGTAGATTACATGCCACCTCGCGTCTCGAGAGAACAACCTTTCCCGCCCTCAATCGCCTCCCAAACGTCGATCCTCCAGCCTCACAAGTGTCAATGACGCGCTCGAGCACCCAGCAGCAGTCGAGAAGCCATGCAGGACACTCTCACCACGGCCATGGTCACGTACACGACACCTCCTACCTGACTTCTCAGAACAAGAACGATGCTGGAGTCAGGATCACGAGGATTGGGCTCTTCGTCAACCTGGGGATGGCCATTGGGAAAGGCATAGGAGGCATCGTCTTCCACTCGCAAGCACTTATTGCAGATGGCTTCCACGCCCTCACCGACCTGGTCTCTGACTTCATGACTCTCGCTACCATCTCGTGGTCTCTGAAACCCGCAACGACTCGATTTCCTAGTGGATATGGCAAGATCGAGAGTTTGGGTGCCTTGGGGGTCAGCGGGCTGTTACTCTTTGGAGGGGTTGGCATTGGGCTGAACGGGTTGGATGCCCTTTATACACAGTTCCTTCTCGATCCTGCAGCTGTCGTGCATGCGCATGAGCATGCCGAACATGGCGGTGGGGGGCTGTTTTCATTTTTGGGACACAGCCATAGTCATGGACCTGCCTTACCAGATCTGAACGCTGCTTGGCTTGCGGCAGCCTCTATTGTGGTGAAGGAATGGTTATATCGAGCCAGTAAGTCTGGCGGTGGACGTCAACTCTCTATCCACGCCCGCTGATCTGATGCTACAGCTATGAAGATTGCCCGAGAACGCAAATCCTCCGTTTTAGCCTCCAATGCGGTCCACCACCGCATCGACTCCTTGACCAGCATTGTGGCTCTTGCCACAATTGGGGGCGCACATCTATTTTCAGACGCTTCCTGGCTAGATCCTGTAGGAGGACTAATCATTTCCGCCATGGTTATAAGAGCAGGCTGGAACAACACAAAAACCGCTCTTCTCGAGCTCGCAGATGTCACGGTGGACGACGAGATCAAGGCCCTGGTCCGTAGAGCCGCGTCCAGAGTTTTGAAAGGTGATGCAGCAAAGGGCATTGAGGCTGTGGAGTTCGGCAGAGACACAGAGATCAGAGACATCCAGGGGGTCAAATCTGGCCAAAACTACTTGATCGATATTGAGCTCGGCGTGCCCAAGAACTTTACACTAGAGCAGATGGAGAACATTGAAGAAGCAGTGCGGCAGAGGTGTGGTGCAAAGGTCCGCGGTGTCAGACGAGTCCGTGTCAAGTTTGTCCAGCTTGAAGATACAGGGACCACGCTCGCAGGCGATTTCATTGCGACGGATGTTAGTCCAAGAAGCAGTCCAGAGCCGGAAGACGAGCGCGACGAGCATGAGCACCACCACCATGAAGAACAAGGACGCGGACATGGCCATCCACATGGGCACGTAAACGGCCACGCGACAACCTCGAGCAAAAGAAAGAAGGATTCCTGAGCCATTATGAGAATTTCTTCGGTTCAACCGGACTGGCCACAAGTTCAATCGGGCAGCGGAAATTTGCGCCGGTTGATTTCAGGCTGATATCATCGCGCCAAGAGGGCCTCCAGGTGGTTGCTCCCCTCATCACCGACGCGCATTTACTCCACCTCTGCATCCGTCATTCGGACTCTCTCCTTGTCCCTGAAGGTGTCAGTATTTGTTATGTGCGACGGGCGGCAGGCCAACCATTCTGTCTTCATATCTGATCAGCATCCGAGTCAACTACCTGATCAGATCTCAAACCATGACGTCCTCTGAGCCTCTATATCTCGGCTTCGACCTCTCCACCCAACAACTAAAAGGACTGGTTGTGGACTCGAGCCTGAAAAAGATCCATGAAGCCAAATTCGACTTCGACGCAGATGCCACGGGTTTCAACGTGAATAAGGGGGTTCTCGTGAACGAAGACGAACATGAAGTTTTTGCACCAGTGGCGATGTGGCTGCAAGCCATCGACACGCTTTTGGGGAGACTGAAGGACGACGGTCTTGATTTTAGTCGTGTCAGGGGAATCAGCGGCTCAGGTATGCAGCATGGGAGTGTCTTCTGGAATGCGGATGCAGAACAATTACTTTCTCAGCTGGATCCTTCGAAAACACTAGAGTCACAGCTCGATGGTGCGTTCGCACATCCATTCAGTCCCAACTGGCAGGACGCGAGCACCCAAAAGGAATGCGACGAGTTTGACGCCATTCTGGGCAATGAATCACAATTGGCAAATGTCACGGGCAGCAAAGCACACCATCGCTTCACAGGCCCGCAGATCCTACGATTTCAACGTAAATACCCAGACAAATACATCAAGACATACCGAATCACCCTCGTGTCATCTTGGATCGCGACTATCTTCCTTGGAAAGTATGCCCCATTCGACATCTCGGATGTCTGCGGCATGAACCTGTGGGACATTAAAGCCGGCAATTGGAACGAGAAGCTGCTGGAACTTGCGGCAGGACCCTCGGGTGTAGACGCGTTGAAGAAGAAACTAGGCGACGTACCCCAAGACGGTGGCATCCATCTCGGCACCATCTCCCCCTACTTCATCAAGCGCCACGGCTTTTCCAATGAATGCACCATTATCGCTTCAACGGGGGATAACCCTTCCACGATCCTTGCATTGCCGCTTCGCAGCAACGATGCGATGGTCAGTCTGGGCACAAGCACCACATTCTTGATGTCCACGACCGAGTACAAACCGGATCCAAGTACACACTTCTTCAACCATCCGACTACACCCGGTTTGTACATGTTTATGTTGTGCTATAAGAACGGCGGGCTGGCCAGGGAGAAGGTCCGCGACGCGATAAATGAGAGGCTTGGAGTTAAGGAAAAAACTTCATGGGAAGAGTTTGACAAGCACTTGCTTGATACGCCGCCCCTCGCGCAGTCCGGTGAGAAATCACCAATGCATCTGGGTTTATACTTCCCCCGTCCTGAAATCATCCCGAACCTTCCGGTCGGAGAATGGCATTTTTCGTACACTCCGCACAATGACGACCTAAATCCCGAGAAATCTGTGCCACAACCCCCGGAACAAGACGCGAGGGTCATTGTGGAAAGTCAGTTCCTCTCCCTCCGTCTTCGTTCTAGGGAACTTGTCTCGAGTCCTGCAAAGGACATGCCACCGCAGCCACGCCGGATCTATCTAGTAGGCGGCGGCTCACGCAACAAGGCCATCGCCCGTGTGGCGGGCGAAGTACTAGGCGGTTCCGAAGGTGTGTTCAAGCTCGATGTCGGCGAGAACGCATGTGCTTTGGGCGCCGCGTACAAGGCTGTCTGGGCGGTAGAACGAAAACAAGGCGAGACGTTTGAGGAGTTGATTGGCAAGAGATGGAGAGAGGAAGAGTTTGTCGAGAAGATTGCCGACGGGTACGACGCTCCGGTGTGGGAGAGGTATGGCAAGGCACTCAAGGGGTTTGAGGAGATGGAGACGAGGTTGTTGAGGGAGCATGAGAGGAAGTGAAAAGTGCCGGGTGGGTATGGTACAGGAAGGCAGTAGTATAGGGAAAGGAGGGTCCAAAACCATAGATGGCTCTAGCGAAAATTGAAATAAAAGAATCACACTTGTCTCTCTGCCATATCTGAGCATTGCGGAGTGTAATACTACATTTCCTGGGTTTCCTCTGATAACTTCAACAAGATCTGGACTTTTCATCCATACTTTTCCTCCTCTGCCTCGCTACTCATGTAGCTACATAGCTAGAGCGTGCACGGCCCTTTCTCCGCTACACGTATACGTATTCGCCATAGGCAGGTATGTTGGTATAGGTTTTCTTTCCCTGGTCCCCCTGAGCAACAGGTATACCCAACTAGCTAAGTACCTGCCGAGCTTCCTACATAGGTGCTCCGTACTCTGCGCCGTAGATAGCAGGACTCCTCCGTAACTCAAGGTCTACACAGCTATGCGGTACAACAGAAGGCAAGCTAACCCAAGACAACCCCAGGGCCCTAGGCTGAAGTAATAAAGGCAACATACCCCCCCGAGGCACGTTCCCGGTGGGCGATTCTGGTCGTTCTGTATCCCCATCCGGCCCGAGCGATACCGAGGACGTGGGGAGTGAGGAACTGGCAGAGGGAGGCAAGGGAGAGAAGAACGAGTACAGGGAACAAAACCCAGAGGGTAATTTTCCATCAATGCTCCACGAGGGACTGGCGATGACTGATCGATCATGGGGATTTTCCTTCTCCGGCGGACAACAGTGATGATTTTATGTTTTCTTTTTGGTAGACAGGGTCAAGGAGGACGGTTTGCACCCAGAGCTAGTCTTCCGCTGAGGCGTCCTGGCGCTTGTTCGAATGCAATCGCCGAGTTTGTAATGTCATGCTCTTGCTGCTTGAACGATTCTGGTTGGAAAAAGAAGGAGTGCATGAGGGACGGAGTAGAGTTCATGTTTGCGAGTTTGTCGGTCGGCCAGGTTATGGTGCCAGAATCAACTTCCATTTGCTTATACCGAGGCCAGCCGCCCAGAGTACCGCTAACCCCCCCTTTGATCCCGTCTCGCCATATCATACAAGCCCCTTTTTCGTCCCGTTCACCTGAAAAAACGTCCCATCATGTTACTCGCCAGACTTCTGGCAAGTCCAGAGCCCGAGAGGGCCGATCCCGCAAAACTCGACGCTTGGCTGAACTTGTCGCAGCGAGAGAAGGCGACAGTGTTGGTAATTGTGAGAATCAATGCGATTACTGCGTTCAGCAGGTTAGTATTCATGAGCGGATCAGAGTTCATCCACTAAGTTCTGAGAGTCTGGCAAGAGATACGTACCAACCGTGACCAACCAAATCAAATTCTGCAGCCTAACCAATGCAAGAATTGCAAGGCCAACCCACAAGGCCGGCACAATGTACATGCTCAACCAAAAGAATCTCTTGTCCGTCTTATTCTCCACCCTCCCTGTCCCTGCCGCAGACTCAAAGACCCAGTGCGAATCACCAGTAGAGGTGTTAACTTCATTCCACCAGCGAAGGCCCACAAGACGACGGCCGGCGATGTTTTTGAGGTAATAGAAATCTACGGACAACAGTAGGAGGGTCAAGATGAAGACCAGGACGAAGTTGCGGATGAAGAGGACGCCGAAGAGGTACATGAGGAGACTTCCTAAGCTCGGGCGTCAATAGATCCTCCCTTCCATTGCACGGGCGGGATTGGCAACATCGATGGAGGCGATGTTTAGATGTAGGCTTACCTATTCGAAAGCCTAGATATGTGAGGAGAGTGATGGGATGGGCGCTGAGGCGCCAGTTGAGGGAGCCAGGCTCGTCTGCCATATTGAGTTGAATTCTAGCTTAGTTTTTGTGCAGACTGCATCGCCTGTTCAAGGGGACAAAAATATCTGTAGCGTTGCGAGGATGAGGCTTGGAAGGATGCACGCGCTGAACACATCAAGAACACATGTGGCGCATGAAGGACCGCGAAAGCAGGCGGAGACCGCAGCTACACCTTGCTGCTTTAACACCACTCGAAGACTGTCTCAACGGCTCGGTTGATCGCGTCCAACTTTGTTTCTCCATGCAGACATCAACAAGTTGAACCTCGACAGACACATCATCCACTGGAATACCTGACGGCTGAATGGCTCCTCCAACTGCAATAGATTGATAATGCTCCCTTCCCTTCCTCCCCGTCCCGCGAGATCACCCGCAAGAGCAGCTCCAAACACCACCATAAACTTACCTCGAAATCGAAAGATCCGACCATTGGTGTATGCAATTGGAGTCGCTGGAATAGTTGCATCAGGGGCGGTTATCGGCGCGATCTTGAAGACTAGCAGGCAACAGGAGGCTGCAAGAAAGGTAGGTCAGATGCATCATCCAGGCCGCTTGGTAGATTCGGCATCACAACCCGCCTCCACCTCCGATTAACCATCCCCTAGCCCTATCTCTGAGAGTGGACATTGCTTTGCTTTGGATAAATGAAAGCTAATCAGCCTTTTATCCTTCCTTCAGCAAGCGCAGAAATCCTCGACTCCGCCGGCACACTCCAGTCCAACCCCAAACCAAGAAACGGGCCGACCACCATACAGGGTTGACCCCGTAGCAACTGCGGCGGCTGAAGACAAGGCATACTTCGGAACACTTGAGATGCTGGAGACGAAGCGTGCCCAATTGTTGGGCCAAAAGACCGCGTTGGAACGAAAACTCCAGGATTTTCGAGACAGTAAGCGAAGAATGGCGGAGGAAGAGAGGGAGAGAAAGGAGTTTGGGCTGAAGCGATGAGGCTGTGAAACTCATATCATCGTCGTACTGGCCGATCGAGGATCAATCCTCCAGAGACATCCCTCATCGCCCTCTCATGTTGTGATCTCAATGGCAGCCTCGTAACCACCACGCCCTCAGCGGATCTTGTCCGAACAAGACCGAATGGCCCGTCAGCATGCACCACCAATCGATCTCGTTCAACTTGCATACCATCGCGGCGCGATCCGTGGCGATATCGATAGTACAAGACACCTTCACCGCCGCCAGTCCTCCATTCCTCTGGCTGCATCAACGGACGATCATGAATGTGTTGCATTATGATTGCCTGTTGCTCCATGGCGGCCCGAAAATCAAGCCTGGGATCGTCCTGGGCTAGTTGAACAGCCGTCGCGAGATTTAGGTCATCCATATCTGCACAGACCTCATCCAACAGCTCGATGGGTCGAACTTGCCGACTCGGCCGAGGCTGTTCAGGTTGTTGGTTTCCATTTTCGGCTGGTCTATCGTTGGGGTGGGATTGATTGATGTCTTCCGGCTGGACGGCTAGCCGCTGCTCCGGAGCTGCAGGGCGGTCGGTGTGTTCAGCGTGTTGATCACGTTGCAAGGGACTCGTGTTCTGATCCTGAGCCGTCCCTGGCCATTGGTATGGGCCGGGTTGAGGAATGTTGGTGACAGGAAAGTGATGTGCGGGCATGTTTTGGTTTGGTCGGAAAATATCCCATGTCACCGTCCGGGTGCCTTGGACACTGCCTTTGCATCGAATGCATGGCTCTGGAGTGAAAGAATGGATCTCGTTGAGAGGGAATCCAGTGCAGAGACATCCTCGAATTCGAGCAGCGAAGCATTGTCGGATCTCGACTTTTTGCTCGAGAGTCTAGCGACATCGGGAGGAGCAGCATATTGAGACGATTCGATTTTCCTCACAACAACACATTTAGCGGATGTGATATGAGCTGCTTATGCGAGTATGCGAGTATGATATGATCTACTTGGTACAAATGCTAAATCTCTTGTTTGGCGACACTGGTACTTGGTAGTGAACTTGGAGATGGCTCAATATCTAGGGCAGTAGTGCGAAATTATGGGCAGAGGAGCGTCACCATCTCAAGTGGCTACAGAGTACCTACCAAACTCGGTTGAGTTTTGTTAAGCTATCAGGCTGGCCACACAGCGAGTTCGGACTGGGAAGCATGGGAGTATGGATGTACAGTACGTGCTTCTGCCGCGTACGGAGAACGGAGCACACAGGTAGTCTGTAATTGGGACGGCGAGATACTGTGCGCATTGCCTCGGCGCTGCTACTTTTAGGGGACTTCATCGGTATCAGCCTTGTCAGCCTCAGCCTCGTCCGCCAATCCAGGACACCCCTACACGTTGAAAAGATTGCGCGCGCAGAGAGAGAACATCGAAGTGCAAACTTGTATTGTCATTTCCCATCGCGCGATAAAAGCGCGCGCGTAATATTCGGATTCCCATCGATGTCCAATGACTCGAGACAAAAGTTTGCATAGATGCCATGCAAAAGCAGAGAGACCGAAAACCCGCACACATATCTCACACAAAACGCCAGCTCGGAACCTTTGTCGACCCATGTGTGTGCCATTTACCTTCACACCATCCCCCTTCACGTCTCCCATGTCCGAAATTCAACAGTATCCCGAAAAATGCGGCTTCACATAACGTCTAGACCCCTTCCAATCCGTCGACGTAAACCTCAACCCCAGCAGTAGTACACCCTCGAAAATCCGTCGGACCGTGTCTGAACGAACCTCTACTTCTTCGACGAGGGTCCAAAGTCGGCTTCCACAGCTTTCTGTGCGTTCCGCTGCTTCTCGACCTTGAACTGGGCGACGATTGCAATGTGGTCACTGGGAAAGTGGAAGTTCGGGAACCCAGGTACCCGCTTCAGATATTCTGGGTCGATGGCCCCAAGTAGCCCAACCACTCGTAAAGAGTTGCTCGAGTACCAGATGTAGTCCAAGACGTCGACAAAGTTTGGTGTGTAATTCGTGAATGGCATTTCCCCGTCAATTGCAGCATAAGAAGACTTGAGCGTAAAATTGTGCGACATACCCGCACGGGAAAAGGCCCCGTAGTCTCGTCCATCCAAATCGGCGTGTTCGGCATTCAGGCCTTTCTTCGTGAACAGGTCGTAGACCGCAGATCCCGCTCCCGAGTTGAAGTCTCCACAGATGATCATGGGAATCTGTGGCCCTGACGTATATGACAATGACGGCCCAGGGTCAGGAAGCGGTTCATCTTCTGAATCCGAAAAGCGGAAGGCCTGCTTGTTGGTTGCCGGCGGGAATTTGGAGTACTTGTCCGTGAGCTTTGACAACTCCTCCATAAGGACAGCCGCTTGGATCAATTTCACGTCTTTGTATGCAGGATCCCAGTAGATGTGAGCATTGACGACAACCACACGAGAACCAGTGACACGGTTCTCCAGGAACACAACTGTCGCGATATCATCTCTCTGCCAGACGCGGTTCAGCATGTCGGCCGACGCTTTAGCGCCCGGTCGCTCCACCGCCTTTCTTCCAAGAACAAGATGTTGAGTGTCGAGTACCACATACTTCTTGTCTTTCCAGAACGTGCCACACCCGTCGACAAACTTAGCAGCGTCACCCAGCGTCTCCGCGCGGCTTTTCTGTGCGTAATATCCCTTGTAGCCCGATATCGAGAGTTCGCCACGGAAATAATCGTCGTAACTGCAGCGGTCAAGTTCCTGGAGGCAGACAATATCGGCGTTCATTTCCCGAATCTCTTCAAGGATCAGAGTCTTGCGGAAGCCCCAGGTAAGGACGCGCTCTGGAACGTAGCCATACTGCTGCTGCGTTGCATAGCGGTCGCATAGGATGTTGTAATTCAGTGCTTTGATCGTGTCCTGCGTTGGGTCATTTTCGTCGATTTCCTCAATTTGATGCCATTCTCTTTCTCGAGGAGGTGGAGGTTCTAACACGCAGTTAGCTGCAGACCATAGAAAATAGGTATTTGGCACAAACCCGGCATGCTTTCACGGAGATATTCAATTAGTTTCCTCGTACCGCCCTCCGTGATCTTGTCACGCTGCCCTTGCTCCAGTGGATTTCCATAGATGCCAAGCACCTCCAACTTGTACAAGAAGCCGAGTTCATAGCACAATGTTTGAATGTGGTTATTGAACAGGAGGAGTTGTTTGAGATTCGTGAGCATGCCAATCTCTTCTGGCAGTTCCGTCAGTTGATTAAAAGAGACATCCAGATGCTCGAGGTTCTTTAACTGTCCGATCTCCGGCGGCAGCGCTTCTAGCTGATTATATACAAGGTCGAGGCGTTTCAAGAAATGGTAGGACGGGTTGAACAGCACGGGCGAAAGCGCACAAAGACCCTGCCCTCCTAGATCTAATTCATCCCAGGTTTGCCTGCTAGAGGTCTGTCCATTTGACGTGGTCGTCCGAGCGTTGTCTGTCGGAAGGTCTTCTGCAGCCGCGCCTAACGGGACGTAGTTGACACCCTTTGAGTGGTGCGCCACGGTGCGCGCTCGCTGATTTGGACCATTCAGATCTTTGCTTTCTTCCCAAACCTGCTTTTGTTCCCTCCAATATTCATTGTCCGGCTCGTCCGCATCGTCGTGTGGCAGTCCATTACCATTTCCGTTCGGCAGATGCTCGTGGGCGTAGGTGGGCAAATGAGGTGTTCCGGATTGAAAGCCACCTGAGAGATTGTGCTGGTGCCCTAATTGCCCGCCATGATGGTGCTGAGCGTGGTGTTGAGTGACGTTGTGATGGCCATGGTGAGGTGGCTGGTATTTTGGCAGGTGGAGGTTCGCATAACGCTGATGACCTTGCGATCCATTCAGGAGACTGTGCTGCGTCTGATATCCATTCTGGGAGTACATATTGAAGTTGTGTCCGACAGAATGGCCCACAGGCGATCTCGATGGGGAAGGAGTATCGTTGGAAAAAGGTCTGCGTGCGCCGGAAGGCGAGGTGGCTCGATTCTGATTTCGATGCGAAGTGTGTTGGGTGGGGTAATACTGCCCGGCTCCAGGCTGATGGAACCGGAATGCACCATCTGCCATCTAACGCGGCAGAGCAGTATGGATTGTGTCTGTGTCTGCTTGTGAAGCGGAAGCGCGATGTGATGGAGGCGGAGGGGCTGGGGCGACTCGGTGCGTTATGGAAGGTCGAGCGGAGGGCAAGCAGAATCTTCGTTTCTTCAACATGAGATCCGGCGAGGGACTCAACGCCAACTGACAGGTTGTCGCAACGCGGAGGGTCAGGGTAACCGGCACCGGGGCGTTCGATGGGGAAAATGAGGAAGCGGAGATTTGGTAAAGGGTAAAGGATGAGCAGCGGGAAGCTTGAGGACAGATCGTGAAGCTGCGGACGGGAATGCAGCAGGTTGATGTCACGCCGGCACTGCAAGGTACTGTTTGTGGTTCACTGATTGGATATTGAGTTGAGATACGGCACAGATATCAATGAAGATGGTGAATGAGCGAGTGTCAAAGGTGGTTGACTTGCGCAGGAGAGGGTCGTAAGGGTGGGATAGGACTTGACTGCATCTGTGCAGTGTGCACCTCTGGCACCTGACTGGAGGCTTCTACTCAGTAGCAAGTGAGCGGCCCCTGCGCTCCTCACCAGGTCTTGGCATTGTTTCAGCGTTTGTTCGCCATGGTTCCAGGCCGGGCTCCCCTTTGTTCCCTTCAGCCTGATGCACTAGATTCTAAATATTGATCACATACTGCGTGTTGGGCCTGTCCTAGTCTGTTCACCGCCTTCTACTACGAGACAAGAACCCACTTGTATACAGAAGAACTCAAATAAACCGTTGAAGGCCACTCCAAATCGCCCCCTCCACTCCGCGGAAATGCGTTATCTTCATCGACCTCTCATGCACCTTATGCCGACACAAATCGCCACAAGGGTTACAGAGCTCTCCGAGATCCGCCGTTGATGCTGAGTGACTTGGCCTGGAACGCGCCTTGTGGATTCACCCTCGACCTTCCTAGAACCGTGGGCGGTGAAACTCTGAAAACTCCCTGGAAATCAGAACGCTGCTCCGGTTCTGGAGGCATCTGACATGGGTTTCACCTTGAATACCCTGGTAGCAGATTTGAAGAAATGTTGACCCTTTGGGCGAGCTCCAGTGTGGATTTGCGGAGTGACGTTAAGTTTGGCTGAGCGAGTCTCTGCTGTTCTGGGGGAGCTGTCCTGTCGGCCACTGTTCATGGCTGTAGATCGTCCACGAGCCTCCATTGGACTCCTCTCAAGGAAATCCATTGATGCTGAATTCGTTTAGGAATACCGTTGCTTCATTGACCGGTATTTCTTCAGGAAGTAGAGCGCCTCGATCTCCTTCTTCACAAACTCGGCTCGCTTGATACCTTGACGAATCTGCTCCTCATCCGTCAGATGAGCTTTAGACATAAATGCCTTGTGCAATCTGGGTCGGAAATAGTCGTAACCCAGCGGGTAGTGTTTGCCCATCTCCAATAGCTCTGACAGTAGCCTCAGCACCTGCCCCTTAGCTCGACAGACGAGTATGGTTTAAATGGTTCTCGTACCTTTGTATATACCTATCACCTGTCTTCTGAGTTCTGGGTTCATTTTGTCTCAATTGATTGTGTAATGGAAATCCATGATCAGGCTCGCAGGTACCTATCATGGTATGTTGGAAAGCCTATGCAAGGATGATGTTTAAGATGCCGTGACGTTGAAAAGCGAGCGCCAAGACACCAGCCGACCAACTACGCACCACCTCATCCTTCGGTGTCAATGAGCTTAATATTAGATAGTCTGAACTCCTAATCTATTTCAGACTCGATTCTCAACTTCTCAATGAAATCTGTTGCCATGACAAAACACCGAGTTGCTCACTTGCCACAATTCACAGCAATCGAGGCTAGAGTCTAAAACCCCCTCAGGATACAGAGTCCCTCAGATCGGAACAAAAGAGACCACAAGGTGACTGTCATATTGACCTCCAAAATGCAAAGTATGCTTTCCTTTGTTCCCTGTATGGAACTGTCCCCGTAATGGAGTAAATTCCGCCAGCGTCATCTGATGGCCAGCGACCCTAAAGACCAGCTTTTCACCAGCCTCAAATTGGATCGCCGCCGGCCATATTCCGATTTCCAACTTCACTATGTGGCCTGGTGGAATCTTCTGTTCCTGCCTGTGATCATGGGCAAGCCAATGCGGTTTGGATAGTTTTGGGTCGAGGGCACGATGACTCGCCCTCAAAATACCAGAGGGGCCAATATATTTCAGGCTGTTGATATCTTGAACCTCTTGTTCGGATGTCACGCCTAGCTCATTCAACGGAATGTTGATGTTTTGCAGGATCTTCCCATTTTTGTCGGCTTTGCGGATGATCACGAAGATGTCCATGTCATCGTGGTCGGTACATGACATGTATAGGACCGCCTTCGACGGGCCGATAATTGTGGACTTTTCAGCGAAAGAATAGGTAAACTCCACGAACTCGGGGTCGTTGTCAACCTGTTCAGCGGGGGCATCGGACTGATACGAAACTTCGCCCGTTTCGGCGGTACTGTATATGTCTTTTAGGGACTGCCCCCCTGAAAGCCATAGTGTTTTATACTCGGTCTGAGGGATCGGCCATGTCGAGAAGGGGACGTTTTTGGTCGGCGGCTAATTTGAGGTATCTAAGTCAAGTTTCTTTGACTTATGGGGGACCTTCCACTGACCTGATTATAGCGGATCACGGAGATTCGAACCTTCGGGGTCTTCTCCCAATCGTTTTTGATACCCCTCGTGTAGAAATCCAGGTATTTCTTCAAATCATCCGTGGTCTCCTTCTGGTATAAGTCGTGCCATTCCTGGGTTGGATGTAAGCGAAGCCTATGTCAAGCACTTTGTCAGTCTTGCAAGGTCTGACAGTTACCAACATTATGAAGACTTTGCTAACCATTTCTTGTTATGTGGTATGTCTTCAAACCCGCGGATCGAGCCAACAGTGTGCAGGCCTGTTGACATGCTGGTAAGTATGTACGCAGGTACATTGATTCAAGTCCACCTTCGCCCGTTTATCCTCCCAATATGCGTTCATGAGCGGATACTTCGCCAGCATTGTGATAGGGTCTTCTTGCAGATTTTCACCTCAAAGCACGAAAAAGCCTCAGCAGTGTTCTTTAGCCTTTTGATAGAGCCCGTATTTTCACTCACCATATAGGCCATGATCTCTTAGGAAGTGCCAGAACGGCAGATATGGAACCCCGCCACGGCAGAGAGATTCACGGTACATGTCACTCAAGCCTTCCAATGGCAGAATGCAGCTCAGATGAGGGGGTCTCTCTGCCGCAATGTGCCACTGGGCCATAGCCAACCAAGAGACACCGATCAAAGCAACGTGGCCGTTACACCAAGGTAAGCTGGCTATGAATTCGACGGCATCATATCCATCCCTTCCCTCGGCAGTTCCGTTCCACCTGAGACCGTCAGCGCGGGAAGGGACCGGAAGAAATGAAAACTGCAAACCTCTGATTGCCTTCAGATTTGAAGATACCCCTCGCATCGACATTGACTACGGCGTATCCGTGTGCGGTCCACTCGGCAGGATCTGGCGCCTCGAAAGACTCAAAACCGGAAAGCATGCTTTTCGGGATGCCGACTCGACCTGGGACGAGATCCAGCCCTAGAAAGCCTGCACGGGAATGCGACACAAGTGAGTGATTGGCCCCCGACAACAGTTTGGCTGCCACATGGCCGCACGGGCTCTTACCCGTTCCAGACTTGCCGTACGGGCTCCAAGCTATCAATGCAGGGACCTTCTCGTTGACGTCTGCTGGCCGAAACACATCGGCACGAAGGACTATCCCATCTCGCATCGGCACCTCAACATCTCGGTCCCAAATCGTTGCAACTTCAAAGCCTCGACGAGAAGGGTCCTTCTTGTGTCCCTTAGGCAACGTGGTCGATGATGGATTCAGGCCGTTGTAGTTCGCATGAGGGTCATCGATAGGCGAGATCTTCGTTTGTGCGACCTCGATACCTCCGACGGAGAAGACCCCCCTAGATGAGGCCATGTCGTGCTTGAGAGGTCAGGAATGTATGTGGGATATCATTGCACTTGTGCAAGATCGACCTTTGTGTGGACTGAGCGCGAGACACAACAAGGCAGGCGGCTGAATGGATCTATTTATTGTTCTACTGAGGACTCAACCTGAATATGTCTGATTCTGCGAAGGGGATCTCTGAGTCGTCCGTCATCCGTCGAGACTGGACGAGTGTCATTCCTTCTCGCGTATGGAAGGAATTCGGCCGGTCGCGGGCCGTCAGCATGTATGTCAGTGAGATGTTTGGCGGCTGTCACATTGGGTACCTTACCTTACTCTTCAAATCAATACTCATTTGATTCCGAAGACGAACCATTTGACAAGCCAGTACTAGTATCCACGCTTGTTCGAAACCCTGCCTTCATCGGGTACGGCATGACATGTCAAAATGTACCACCGCCTGCGAAGTACTGTGCGAGGCTCGAAGTGCACAAAAGCACTCGATTTCGAGACGCCTATGCCCGGCTCATCTCGAACGAATCCAACGCGAGTATGTAGAACATCCTTTTGACGGCTAACGTCTGCGACCCGTCGGGACGCTAGCTAGCTAGGTGGAACCGTCGCTATTTGTGGCCGTGGACATGTCATCAACACGAAACAATACGAGTCTTTGATGTGATTAAGAAAGGCACATGGATTCTCAATTAACTAAGCGGGGTAAGGCCATGTTCGCAATCTCGGGCGTTGGGACGAAGCCGGCGAGGCTGAAGGGGTTGCTCGCTGGGCAGCTTGGGCCGAAAGGGCCGAAATTGAGGGGGAGCATTTGCCCTGCCAGGACATGTTGGCAGTAATCAAGAGCACGACTCCGTGACTACTTGGACTTCAGGTGATGAATGGGATGCCTGAGGTGAGAAACAAGCGCACTTCACTTCCTGTCTGTGATGACGGTGATGAGGCTGGATTTGAAAGGGGGCGTTTGTGTTTCTTTACGGGGCTCAATTTGGATGTACACGGACTGCGTTGCCAAGGACATACCCGCATGGACTCGAAGACACCCTGTTAATACTATCCTTAGCGCGTCGAGGGCCTCGTCTGGCGGAGATCTAATTGAGAAGCTATGCATTAGCAGGCCCATATTAGAGAGTTTGCGGGCTGGAAGTCAAGGGTGAACAACGTGACATTCTGTTGGACATTGCACCTCATCTGCACTGTGGTATTGTTCACATCACACCATGACTTTTCGCTATGGCAACGTCTTGACCAGGACCTGATCGAGGATGCTAGAAGACTAGTACTGTGGAGCTATGCATCCTATAAGTACATGGTATATTTTACAATCGCTTTGACAATCTATCGTGGTTGGGGCGGCGCGACGAATGAACTTGTTTCGAGACGGAGCAGGCAGCGGTCTAAGAAGCAGGACCGACTGACGATAGTCGCAGAGCTGGAGGAGGAGTCAATACTTGTACCGGGTAGTTACCAAGTACTTGTGGAATGGACGAGTCCTCGCCCACCCTCCACTCGTCTTTAAAGCCGCACACGGCCGAGAATCACAATGGAAAGCCGAAGACCCATGCGCTCGAAAAGGGCTGCCGGCTTCTTTCTTCCCTGTTGAGTGCCGTGTGTTTTTGATTGCGTGGCCTTCCATATCTCGACCATAGCTGGTGCACAGACTAGGAGGAGGACAGAGAAGAATGCGTCCGCGACATTGGGGCAAAGAGAACAGTGGGCTGTACGAGTACGAGGATGCGGAGACTTTTGTACTTGTGCTGTACTTGTTAGGTGAATGGCGCTGCAGGGCCCCGTTCCGGTCAAGACGCGGGGATTAGTATTGATACATAGCATGTTTGGAGCCGATATCTGGACGAAAGAGGGACGAGTCAAACAAAAGGGCGTTGAGTGTTGACGCGTCTTGAACAATATGTGAGATTTCTAGCGCCGAAGATCGGTGCAAGGCCACCGGGGCAAAAAGATTTAACGGGAACGAGATGATGGTTTTGGTAGGAGAAAGAAAAGGAAGGAATCCGAGACGGATTGTGATTTTTTTTCATCCTTGTAAAAATTGGGATGTAGCCGAATAAATGGCGCAGGGCTTAACGCCGAGCACATTCCACACACATGGAACGCCAACCACGAGACGCCAGACGCGAGATGCTTGGTAAGGAATGGGACCAGCTACCAGCCACTGAGTGACCGTCTCTCCCACCCTATGCACACCAAGCACCCCATGCACCCCATGCACACCGTTCTAGCGATCGGCAAACACGGCCTCGTGCTGCAGGTCCTTCTGGTCCTTCCAGGTCTCAGAATGACGTCGGCGATATCGGAATGCGCTATCCTCGCCATCGCATAAAATCACCCAACATCCCATCGTCCCATAGCGACAATGGCCACCAACCCGAATAAAAGAATCCCAGACACTAACCATGGCCGATTTACACGTGCGACACCATGCCATGTCGCCCACAGAGACCTTGACGTCGGATCTGTCCCGCGAGACCACCAGCTCAGACTATGGGGATATGGACGCCGACGAGGAAAAGTCCCAAGAGAGCCGGCGCGCCGCTTCCATCGCGACAGGCCGCTCGGCCAGTCTCAACAGGACATTAACTCGGAGAGAGACCATCTTGTCGCGCATCAGATCCCGGCCGCCCATAGGCACTTTCACCCATCCGCTGGAGCATCAGAAGACGACGGTCGAAGACTTGGTTGATTTCGACGGCGCCGATGACCCCTACAGGCCCGTGAACTGGGGTATGAAGAAGAAGGTCATCACCACTGCCTTATACGGCTTTACCACCATGACCGCCACCTGGGCCAGCAGCGGATACAGTCCAGGAACACAGCAGGTCGCTCAGGATTTCCATGTTGGAACCCAGGTATCGACGCTGGGCACGACTCTTTTCCTGTTTGGATTCGGCATCGGACCTTTGCTTTGGGCACCGCTCTCGGAGGTCTATGGCAGAAAGAATGCTGTCCTCCCGCCCATGTTCGTTGCCGCGTGTTTCTCATTTGGGACTGGTGCAGCCAAAGACATCCAGACCATCATGATAACGAGATTTTTCGCTGGTTTCTTCGCTTCGGCACCTGTCACCAACACTGGGGGCGTTTTGAGTGATTTGTTCCCGGCATCTCAGAGAGGTATTGCAATCGCATCTTACGCCATGGCCGTGGTCATCGGCCCAGTGTTTGGACCCATCGTTGGCGCCGCTCTGGTAGTCCAACCCAGTCTCCGATGGCGGTGGACCGAGTACCTCACGGGAATTCTGCAGCTCTTGGTCCTGGTCTTCGACGTCATCTTCCTGGATGAATCATATCCTCCCCGGCTTCTGATATACAAGGCGCGACGTCTGCGGCACCAAAGTGGAAATTGGGCCCTCCATGCGAAATTCGAGGAGTGGGATGTCTCTGTCATGGAGTTGGCGAATAAGGTGAGCCAGGCTTGGTCGATTTTTCGAGACATGGTTATGCTGACCGACTGCAGTTCTTGGTTCGACCATTCCAGCTGTTGATGACCCCGATCTGCGCACTTGTGGCTCTGTACGCAAGTTTTTGCTATGGAATTTTGTATATGCAACTTGGTGAGCATCTCGTTTCCTTCAGCTGTCTCATGAAGACTTACCTGTGGTGTAGGTGCCATCCCGATTATCTTTGGCGAACACCGCCATTGGAAGCTGTTCCCTTCAGAACTTCCATTTCTGGCAACTCTCCTCGGGTCCATTACCGGCGCCGTCATCAATGTTTTCAACCAACTGGTGTATAACCGCAAATCCGGAGGCAAAGTAGCCCCTGAGCTGCGTCTACCACCGATGATGTTCGGATCTTTTCTTTTCGCATCAGGGCTCTTTATCACTGGGTGGACGGCTGATCCAAAATATCCATGGATTGCTCCTGTCATTGGGTTATATTTGACCGGTCTCGGGTTCTTTACTATATTCCAAGCGGCACTGAACTACCTCGTCGACACGTTTCAAAAATACGCTGCCAGCGCAGTGGCAGCTAACACATTTTTACGATCTTGCTTTGCCGCAGCGTACGTGCCCCCCTTTTGTGATTCTGGGTTGTCAACCGGATGCTGATGTGAGACAGGTTTCCGCTCATCGTGACTCCGCTGTACCATAACGTTGGAATCCCCTGGGGGACCAGCATCTTTGGTTTCTTTGCCGTCGCACTGATACCCGTACCGTTTGTCTTTTTTGTTTTTGGCAAGCGGATAAGAGCGAAGAGTAAATGGAGTAGGTTCTAAATTTTGCCAGATTGAATAAGAGGCCTGGGTAGCTTTTCAAGATTGGGCTGGAGATATTATACTCGTTACCAATTGAACACGAGTTGATCTGTGGAGGCCTAAAATGGGGGCTTGGGTGCCAAACTTTGGATGATCCGCCGATACAATTTTGTACAGCGCATTAGCTACTTGTACGTAGCTACTTGTACGTGGCTACGTGTGCCTAGTAACTAGAGGCTCCGCGGTGCCCACGAGACGCGAGACGCCAAAAAGCTTGACTTGGCCTGCCGTTTTCTCCCTCATGTCCAGCTCGTATTTGTTATGATTCTTAGTTGCTTTTGCAACTCTGGGACCATTGAATGAGCAAGTTTTCGGGCTCGTCTCCAACATCACTAACAGCTGATATCAACGCTGGCACCAGCCAGCCTCACTGATGAAGACAGACTCGGACGAAGATACAGGACCCAGGAGAATGTCCCGTCTGGAGGGATGATTTCGTCATCCGGATGGCTGGATCACGGCAAATTACGGTCATGCCTAGCTAGGTACCTACATAGATAGGGACCTGCCTACTGGGTACAAGTAGGTCAGTGTCTGACACCCCTTGAAGTTCGTCCATCCTTGCTATCTTCCGCTCCTACTTATTGTTTGTCGCTTCCTTGTGTGGACGGCACTCCATTCGATGCGTATGTGATTATTGGGTTCTAGATGTCGTCAGAAAGCCTCCAACTTGTTGCATGGATCAGCATTGCAGATTGATTGCACCCGCGATGCAACCCGCATCCAGGCTGCAGCATTTCTTCCAGACGAGAGATAATACCTCTGGACCCCCCTTCCATAGTTGTTTGTCAGGCATCCTCAATTTCCCCCTTGATACACAAGAATTCGCTCTTGTTTGGTTGACACTCTGTTTGACTCGGGTGCGTGTGTGTTGTTTGCCTTGCTGAGCACCATGACCTCTGGCGCTGCTCAACGCGAGAACCGCTGCGAGGAAGGCCTCGCAGAATCTGCGCCATTACTGAGCAGTCCACGCGACGGCAATGAAGGTCGGGGCAAAGCAAAGAACCATTCCAGTCTCTTCTTCAAGATCTACGCCGTTGTGTTCTGCGTCAATCTCGGGTTCCAGATTCTGGCTCCAGCACAGACCCAGATCTACGAAACCATCTACTGTTCGCAATGGTACCGCCGGCACCCAATTGATTCATTGCCACCGACCAGCAAGATCCCGGAGTCGTATTGCAAGATAGGTCCCGTCCAGACGCAGATATCTACACTAAAAGGATGGTACGAGTTCTTTTCTGCGGCTCCAAGTCTTCTGCTGAGCATCCCAATGGGAATGCTCACCGATGCCATTGGCCGACGACACCTGATGATCCTGAACGTCACGGTCCTGTGCTTGACGCAGGTGTGGACCACCTTTGTCACCTGGTCCGACGGTCAGATACCTCTTCGGGCGGTATGGTTGGGCGCGAGTCTCAACTTTCTGAGCGGCGGAGTTATTGTCACAGAGTTGCTTTTTGTGGTATGCCTCCTCTCAGCATACATTCCATGGGGTCTAACCGATGCCCTTCACAGTGTATCCTGACCGATATCAGTCCAAGCGATCGTATGTATGTTGTTCAAACTGAGAGCTGTTGACTGGACCCTGCGGCTGATTCTGAGGTAGAGTAGAGACATTCTTCCGGACCACTGCCTTTGGGCACTTCAGCAAGGTCATTGGACCCGTCGTCGCAGCCACCCTCATGCGGTTTGATCCATGGCTCGCCGTCTACCTTGGACTCGCGCTACTAGTCATCACCGTGATGCTGGTTGCAACCGTTCCAGAAACCATACACTTGCAAGCCGCTGCCGGGCACGACGGAGCCGGAGCTCACCAGGAGGACCAGATAGCAGCGTCCCCGATAGAATCTCAACGTGGGAACAGCAGCACGTGGCGACAGCTCAACTTACGCCGTCTCATCAAAGTGTGGAGCGACTGGCGCCTCGTCTTCATCGCAATAACCTACCCCTTTCGCCTGGTCTGCTACGCCCTGAGCGACCTCCTCCAGCGGTACGTATCGGACCGCTACGGCTGGACCCTGGCAGATGCCACCTTAATCTACTCGCTGCAAGCAGTTGGCGCCGGGCTGGTGCTATTCACGCTGCTGCCGATGATTTCGGCGCGCATCGACGTGCGGTACGCGTTCAGCGCGATCCAGAAGAACGTGGTGCTGTCACGCGCCTCGTTGTTCGTGCTGGCCGTCGCCTTCGCCGTGATCGGCCTGGCACCGCACCCGGCCGTCATGGTCGTGGGACTCTTGCTCGAGACGCTGTCGACGGGGTTCCCCGCGACGCTGCGCGCGCTGGCGACGGCGCTCATCGACGCCGACGACAAGGGCCGCGTCTTCTCCGTCTTGGCCATCGCAGAAACTCTCAGCGTCATGCTCGCGTACCCCTTTACCGCCACCTTATTCAACATCGGCCTCCGCCGCGGCGGCGGCTCCTGGCTCGGCTTGCCCTACGATGTCATCTCTGTGGCCGCCGCCTTGGGATGTGCCGTCATGTGTCTCCTTCGCTTCGAGAGGCCTGTGCGGCTTGTGTGAGGACGAGGACCAGGACGAAGACGAGAAGCGAGTAGCGAGGAGGAGTGAATCAGGTATTATTGAGTAGCTAGCCAGTCAGTCAGTCAGGCAATCAGTCAGACCGTTGTCTCAGTCAGACCATTGTGAAGTCACCGAGTCAGCTAACCGAGCACGGGGACCGGAGTATATACTATGCATATATCGAGGACATGCAAGCAATACATTACACACAGTATGGACTCGACAGTACCAGGTAGTTGAACCCTGTTGATTACAATTCCCCCACCACCCTGCTGCTTACCGACGCATGCCACTCCGCATTTTCCAGATTACTTGGAGGTATACCTTGCCTTTGTCCTCGCTTGTTGTCACAGCAGGTACCTACACACCGAGCGGATACCTACCTAGGCCTCATGCTCAGAGGGTCTGCGTACTTGGCTGTAGCATGTGAACCCCTGAAGCCTCTAGGGTCAGAACCGCAGGGGATGCTAGTGTTCACAAATCAAAATGCAATCGGTACCGAGGCATGCAAGGCTGGGTGGGTTCCACGGCTGCTACGTGTGTAATACGAGACCCCAGATATACATATGCAAAAGGTCCGACAGCTCTTGAAACTCCAGGTTCCCTCCCTCCCTCTCTCTCTCTCTCTCGACTCTAGCATATGCTGTTGTGATTTCTTCAATCGTGATTGTATCGGTTTCTACTTTGCCACTAACCAAGATTTCTGTATCATTGTTACTCTCCCGTCTAAATAAAGAGCTAGCTGCTACGGACTCGGACATATTCCCCTCTCAAAAAGATGTTACCGGATCCAGTGACGGTTGAAATCCCAAAGTCCTACGAATCCCTCCCCGTCAAGGACATCAAAGTATCGCATTATCCGGAACACGCACCGGAGGCCACCCCCGTCGTGGTGGTGACGTTGAACCGTCCCAGGCAAGGCAATGCCTTCACAGTCCAGATGATGCGCGACTTCGAAATGGTGTATCCCATGTTCGACCTCGACGAAAGGGTCAAATGCGTCGTCATCACGGGAGCTGGCAAGATGTTCTGCGCCGGTGCAGATCTGGACATTGGGTTTCCTAGCGGGGGAGAAAGGGAGAGATTGGTGGATCACCGCGACAGGTAGGTGTCTGGTCTGATCTAATTGGAGAGTGCTGTATCATGGTCTCAACTGATCTTAACAGTGGCGGCCGGCTCAACCTGTGCATCTACCGATGCCGGAAACCAACCATCGTCGCCATGAACGGATCCGCCGTTGGTCTGGGTATGACCTTGAGCTTGTCGGCGGCCATCAGAATCGCCCACGCCTCGTCCAAGTATGGCTTTGTTTTTGCCAGACGTGGTATCACCATGGAGTCGAACTCGTCTTTCTTCCTCCCAAGGCTGATCGGACACTCGAATGCCCTGTATCTGCTCACGACGGGCGACGTCTACCGAGGCGATTCAAAACATTTCGGAAGCCTGTTCCAAGAGGTGATCGAGGATCAGGCCGGTGTGTTGAAAAGAGCACTTGAGCTGGCAACCACCATTGCGGAGAAGACGAGTGTATTGGCTGGATTCATGAACCGGGAGCTGATGTGGAGGGGGAAGCCATCCGCCGAGGAGACTCATCTTCTCGACAGTGCGGTCCTCTACCACATGTTTGCCAATCCCGATTGCAAGGAAGGCGTACAGAGCTTTATGGAAAAGCGGCAGCCGAAATTCTCTGCAACCCTTGAGCAAGACGGACCGCCCTTGTACCCGTGGTTTAGCGAGGTGGACACTGGGTCAAGACCTCGCGTCCACCCATCAAGCAAGCCAAAACTGTAGACTGGCGCCGTGGTTGGAAGAAAAGGAAAATCACTGCAGCAATGTCTTCATAACTTGGCCCTAGTTTGCTGTTCGTCCCATTTCATCAAAGCTTCTTCCTCCCTCCTCTTGGCATGGTTCTGCATCCTATTTATCGCATCCACCACTTCTTCATCGTTTAGCGTGCTCAGTTGATCCAAGTCGAGCTCTTCAACGTGTGATGGCTTCGAAAAGGCTTTCACCCAGACAGCTCGACTCGAACTTGGGGGGTTACCGTTGACGACAGCCGAGCAAAAATTGGCCTGACGTTCGAAACAGTCTCTGCTTTTCAGCGTCTTGGGAAATACCATGGCAAAGCAATGGGGCATGCCCTCGTAGCCCACGAAATCCACCACTCCACCACCCTGGTGCATTCTGCGTGCCAGAACGGTGATTTCATCCTCCAGACCTTCGTTCCCCAAGCACAGCCATGCAGGCGGCATTCCATTCCAGTGTTCTGGGCTAGCAGCTAGAGGAGACACCAGAGGATGTGCCAGCATGGATGCGTTACAAAAGATGTCTGCTCGAGGAGGGCTTGCGGGCCACAAATGGTCCGGAATGGGATCAGCTTTAGAGATTCCTTCGGCAGTGGGTGGATCCAGATAGTCCAAGTGAGCGTTGTGGTTGATGGAAGGCATTGAACGAGATATATCGGTCCACGCACTGTTTGGACAGATGCCCGCCGGAAGTTGGACGGGGACATCGTCCCCATGGAATTTGATGCTGCGCACGCCCATTCTTTGCAGTGTCAATAAGAGTTGTAGCAATGCGAGGGCAAGGTTGCCACCCGCAGAATCTCCAGCAAACACAATACTCTTCGCAGGCACAGGGTCATGGGGCAAGCCTTTGGGAGGTGCCAGGAGCGACAGATAAGCCACCAAGCCATCGAGCAGCTGAGCAGGGAAAGGATTTTGAGGAGCTAGACGGTATCTAACAGAATAGCAACGACCTCCAGTCAACCGTGCCAGACGAGAAACAGGCTCTCTATGCGATGCCGGGTCCATCAGAAAATAGGCACCGCCATGGAAATATAGAATGGTGGTGCCAGTCGAGACGCTTGCCATCAAGATTCTATAATGGTCCTCTTCGGACACATCTGGTCTGGGTTCATGAGCCGGGGCGCCCTTTCTGTAACCAGTCCATTCAGCTTCTACACCCACAACGTCAGGCAGAGTATATGTTTCGCTGCCGTCTCCCAGCCCTTCAATAGCCTTCACAATAGCTTCTCTAGGACCGGTCGCGTCGAGGGGTGGCGGAATAGTTACTTTGGCAACGCATATCGGTCCTCTGATTCCCGGATCTTTTGTGGAGACGTGTTGTAGATAGGCCATGGGCTTCCTCACCGTGAGAATCGATCGCAGGACAACCACGGCAACTTCTGTTGTCAAATCTTGCTTGGATGAATTCGGTGACAAAGAGAGCGCGTTGAAGACGGCCGTCTTGAGTAATAGTGGCAGGCGCGGCAGAAGGAGCCGGACGAGGGCTCGCGGAGACAGATCCATTGCTGCAGCACCAAGAACCAGGATAATCTGATGCGCTCTGTTGCGAAACCGAGTCTGAAAGGAGAGAAAGATGAGGGGCCGAAAGACGTCGTCTCGACAGACAGAACTGAGCAAAAAGACAAACCGCTAATGAAAGGAGAGAAGGACGTTGACAGACACGTACCAAGGATACATACAAAGGCATGTGCCAGGTGAAGCCGCCACCACAAGCGCAGTGCCAAGTTTAGAGGCGACGACCAGGTGACCACATGATTCCCACTGCAGCCTGAGGCACAAAGCAGCGGCGACGTCAGACCAAAGGAGGCCACAAGGCAACAACCTGCTCTCCAGCTCCATCTGACTTATTTATCTTCACCTTCTTTGTCTCCCCGTCAGAGCAGATGAATCTTCCCTCACATCAAATATTGTTATGGAATTCTTCCCTGGGAGGGAAAACACAAGGTTTACACAATCCCTGGGCCATGGATGACTGATACACCATCAACTAAGGTACTCGGAGGGCCCTCAACCTCGGCAAGATGCCAGCACGCACCTCCATGGCCAACCCAATTTCTTCACCAAGAAACCCATCCCCCCTGGATGGTGGTCCTCCCGGTCCTCCCTGTCCTCCCAAGATGACTTGCGGGGAGATACGGCGAGACATTGCCCCGAAATCTCTCAATTGATCACTTGGGTGGTCACCTCGTGACCCTACGACACAGAAAATACTCGACATCGCTCGCAGATCATCTCTTTGGAAGACTCATCCACAGGCCAACCTCCCTGGAAATGCTCGTGCCGCGGGTGGGCCTTTTCCTGGGCCTTCCGCTTCTGCCTGGCTTCATCCCAGATCACGAATGATTGTCGATGGACCCAGGCTGTTTCTGGTAGGGCTGGCAAATACGACAGAACAAACCAAAAGGGCTCGCTATTTTTGGCTTGCCCGATACCCCGGGTTCACCTTCTATCACGAAAAAGGACAACACTCTTCGGCTTGTCCTCCCCCCCAGAACCAGGCCCAGCACCACCCAAGTGCATCTCCCCTATTTTCTTTTTCCCTCATATTATTATTGCGGGTACTCTACCCTCCACTACAAATCACAGCCCCCCCCCCCCCAAAACTGACATTTGTGGCAGGACGGGAAGGGCGTGCTTTAGAACGCGAGGAACTTCCTTGGAATTTTTCCCATTGGATTGGACCAACCGCCTTTGCGTCACATTCTCGTGTTTCCTATGGCCTTGACATCTCTGGCTCCAGGCTGAAACGTTTCGTTGCATGCTGAACCCCTGCAGAGTATCGCGCCTGAGAATCAGCTATTCGACCATTTGATCATGTTTTCCGCAGTCACTTCACACCAAAACAAAGTCGACAGGGAAGCATGCCCCTAGTTAGTCCCTCGAGTATGCCCGTGTCTGCCTCGCTGCTTGGCCGACTATACCCGAACCTACCTCTGTGGTTCCATTCTGGCACTCGTTACCGACTTCTCTGTAATCCTTGTCGAGGTCATGACCTGATTTTTTGAAAGCTCTCAATGCCCAAAAACACGTCAGCGACCCTAGATATCCTGAAACTATTCACTAACGACATACACGATCATGACTTTGGACCCCAGTATCTCGAGCGACCTTTCGACGGATATCACCTCGATAGCTTCGTGGGATTTCTCGTCGGAATCCACCACTCCAACAAACAATGGTGCGCGACGCAACACACAGCAAAAGACCCGAACACTGGCTCCCAATCTTACGCGACGATCGCACAAAAAGTCCCGCGGCGGTTGTTTTAGTTGTAAACAAAGAAAGATCAAATGTTCCGAAACGAAGCCCGCCTGCGGGAGCTGTTTGATGAAAGGACTTAGTTGCATCTACCCAACGGAACCAGCAATGCGCAAGACGAGCAATCTACCGTTGATAAGGCGGAATCCCAATACTTCACCTTCTTTCCCAGCGGCCACCTTTTCCATCCTGGACATGCGATTCTTCCATCATTTTCTGACTGTTGCCTACCCACATTTACCAGTCGACAACGATCATGTCTGGATCAACGATATACCCCAATTTGCTGAACAACACCAATACCTGATGCACGCGTTGCTTTCGCTCGGAGCCTCTCACCTCAGCCGTCTCACAGGTGTAGACTATCGACGAGAATCTCTGATCCACCGCGGCGAGGCCATTGCAGGCCTCAATCAAGCACTCAGCCAGACGGCGCGTTCCTATGGCGAAGCAGACGCCATGCTCGCCTCTTGCTACGCTCTTACCTTCCAAGCTTCATATATGAGTGATGGCCTCGCCGATTTCATCACCATGGTGCGAGGCTGCGCCCTCACGACGGAGAAGATCAAACAAGAGCATTCCCCTACAGCGTTCAACCTGCAGCCAGACTGGCACTTCAAATATATGGCGCCGCGTCTCCAGAACCTGCCCCCGGTTGACCCTCAGTTGCTACAAGATGCATACGACGCCCTGGAGAGCCTTCGACCATTCTTGACTGGTGACACAGAAATAGACTTTCACGCGGCGCTTGTCGACGTGATCACCTCGCTCCAAGCTTCGCCGGCATCAGGATATATACAATTCATCGGCGTGTATGGCGTATGGTATGAATTGTGCCATGACTCATTCAAAACCTTCCTGGACCCCAACAACCTTGTCGCTCAGCTCCTTCTTGCATACTTCGTGGGCGTGCAGTTGCTGATGGTTCCCCTCGCAGCGCATGAGTGGCCGCACCCCGGGGATATCACTCGCGTACGCGTTCTGCAGGGCACAGTCGAGTGGGCACAAGGGATTTTTCAGAGACTCGAAGACTCCGAGTGGGAAGCACACCTTGATTGGCCAAGGAATGTCATCGCCACTGTGGTTGCAGAGATCAACGGTGATGTGCTCCAGTTGCCATCTGTCCTGCAGCTGCACTTGGCAACGCGAGATATCACCCCACAATCGACGATTCTGACGCCTGCTTGACATGGTCAATGAAAAGAATGACGACAGTCATCATGGAGACGAGGATACCCGAAAAGAGGGAGGAACACAGGACGACAAAGCCACAACATAAAAGTGCAGGTCAGTATTCTTTCGCTAGACTGATGCCGGTTAAAGCAGAAGGCAGTCCACTTACTGTTGGTTTCTGGACCGTCCAGGAAGTTGTATTAGGGAGTCTGAGGAATGCCTTCGCCAAAGTAATTTCTCTCATCCAAGTATTGCAAGTTGCAAGGGGATGTGTTTGTCCAATTGCCAAATTCAAACGCCACCACCGAGAGTCCGACCCCGGTTGAAACACCACAACTATAAGTGACTGAAGCTAGTCTTTCCAAGGCAAGAAATTGATCCTCCCTTCTCCAATATTGAGCTTCTCCGTAGAATATTTAAATCCCATGACAATGTGCCCAGGCGATTGAACGAGGAAGCGAGCGAAGCCAGTTGATTCACATCCTGCCATCCGATACCCAAACCAGCCACCAGAAGACATATCCATGTGAACCACCTGTATTGTGAAGTCTTGCAGTCCAAAATCCATCTCTGTATCACGAGTTAATCCTTTCATTTGCAACGCCTTCCCTCCAAAATCCGTCCAGGCAATGCTCGCGACTGTGCTGAGAATATCGATCGTCCCTACCAATGTCCGTTTTAGCCGGCAAATGAAATGATGCATCTTCACGACCGAAACTCGAGACGATCTTTCCGCCTCGCTCAGGACGTTTGTCCTTATATCGCCTACCGCTTGGTCGTAGGTTCGTGGAATATACCAGGCCATCTACTCCAGCAATCGCGCACATCGAGACCGGGCTGAGCTTTCGTGCGGACGACACCCTGTCCTTCTCAACGGCCCGTGCGACGATGCTTGTCTTTCGCAGCCCTCACACCGTATTGTTCACGACTCCGCCCTTGCCCTTGTTCAAAGAAATGCGGATCCCTTTCGGTAGTCGCCTTGCGGCGCCAGCCCCGCCTTCCTGCAGGGCAAACTCTGCACGCGGCTTCTGCTGCATGTACTTGACGGGGTGGTACCAGGCCAGGGCCGTGAGCGCGATGAACATGGGCACCGCTTCGAGGACGTACAGGCACCACTCGTGCGTGAAGGGGTATCCGTCGATGCCCATTCCGAACTCGACGACACGGTAGACGGAACGGACCTACATTTGCACGGCGAAAGGTCAGTGGAGGTGGATGCCGCGAAAAGGAGAGAAGAGGGAAAAGCGAGGGAGAGGGAGAGAAAGAGATAAAAGGATAAAGGGGAAAGAACAGGAAGGAGGAATGGCAGAGACAATAATATGGAAGAAATGAACGGTTGGGAGAGTAACTCACTTGGACCCAGAATCCCGCAATCCAGACGCCCCAAACGACTTTTTTCACGCGAGGATCCCAACCTGCATCTTTGCCCACCCTGGACACCCTCCTGACAAATCTCGCCAACACGACGAGGAAGACGCTAAACGTGGCGAGCTGCAAGCTCAAGCCGACGAGCAGCACGTTCGTGCCCACGGTCTTCAAATCCCCTTCCCAGTTGCCCGAGCTGGCGATGCCGGAGCCGGAGCACTGTGTCAGAAAACTGAAAATGTCCGAGGTGATGAAGATCCTGCCCAGCCAGGCCGGTGGGATGCGGAAGAAGACCTGCTGCTTCTGGCCACCGTTTTCCTCGGCAGGGAGGCTCATCCGGATCAGGCGCGTGAGCAGCAGGTACAGCGTGGCGCAGACGAAGATGGGTGAGATGACAATGTACGACGCGCTGACGGCGTACAGCGGGATGGATGCGAGATTGTGGATCGACGCGATCCGTACCGACCACCCCGCCGTCGAGATGACGCAGGCTACGAACAAAGGGATCGTGTATTTGTGCTTGTACGTGACGTGCCGCCGGGTCGCGATGAAGTTGATGTACCCGTGCCACAGGGTCAGCAGGAAGTACAGCACCGAGAAGATCACGGCGAGCGCGGTCGAGGGCGAGTAGAAGTATAGGTTTAGGTCCGAGTTGTTGTCATTGTTGCTGTCATTGGACGACATGTTGCCGTGATTGTTTGGAGCTTCGGTGTTTCCCCTGTATTGGGTAGATCCTCAGAGAGTGTTTGAGTTGGCAGCGGAATCAGCTGCGCCACGGTCCTCGAAGTGTAGGGTTCCCAGATGAATTTCAACAGGAACTCTTATGTCAGCTAGAGCAAAAGAATTCGAGTTGACTTCATCGACCTGTACGAGTACCGGAGGAACGTACGCCTGTCTTGCCGGAATATCAAAGATAGTGGCGTGAATACTGCTTGGTGCTGTGTGGTCCCTCCTGGATATGTTGTCTCTAGTAGTTGACTGTCGTTAGGGTCCAAATTATATATGAAAAGCGCGATGAGAAACAGCGGGTTCCAAGTTGATTTGAGTGACTGATGAACAAAGAAAATACCCTCGAGCGTGAAGAGAAGGACAGAGCCAGACACAGGAGCTATATATATACGCCCAGATTCAATTTCCCCATTCCCTCGTTTCCGCTCTCCACGAAGCCTCCCAAGAAGATGAGAACAGGACAAGAACACTTCACAACCAAAGGAGGGAGGGACAAGAGAAGAGGAAGAGAAGAGTGGAGAGCAAGACCCGCATAACCTTCATATGCTGGCGTGTATAGAGAGAAACCAAATCTTTTCGCATTGCCGTGGCATGGCAATGGAAAATGCCCTAAACGGGGTACAACTCGCACGTATTCGGATCGCCCTCGAATCAGCGACGGCGGACGGGGTTCGTCGTCCAGAGGGCCAGGGGTTCCAGGTTGTCCCAGACACTTGATTGGGGAGTGTCGACATCTTCACCTGCTCGTCGCAATACATTAAGATAGGACAACAATTAACAACAACCTGATCCTGGCCACGTCAAAGTCGCTGGGCTGGGCTTCGCCTCGCTTGGCGTCTTCTGTTCTCCTCCTATGTAGCAATGTCGTTTTGGGCAGCCGTATATCAAATGAGGCAAGATTCGAATTCGGATGCCGGGTTATCGCCGACCAAAAAAAAAGAGGGTTAAATGGGAGGACAGTAACTCCCCTTTCGGAAAGTTCAGACGTCGAGAGAGAGTTTCGAGGCGGGGGGAGGAAAAAGGTGTTGCCTTGCGGGCGTTCCTGAGGGCGACGACTCGGGCTGCAGAATGGCAAACAAGCAAGCATGTAAGGAGACTCTGTCGGTTGGACGGCGCCAAACGAGACCAGGCAGAACCATTTTTACTTTTCTCTTTCTCCAGCCAAAGGTAGTATGCCTCGTATCTGGGGCGAATCAATCGATTTTCAGGTGGGTGGGTAGGGCGGATCTCGCTATCCGCCCATGCAAGGGTTTCACCGTCTGATCCAAGGCTTTGCTCCCCATGCGCCTACCGGTTTCTTTGCCATGGGTAGGATGATAGAATCGAAAGGCGAGAAAGTTAAGCGAGCCCCGTACTCGGGTTCTGACTCCGCTGAACCAAATCGAGGATGGAGGCTTTCGCCACAGACTTCCAGAAGCAGCATTTCTCGTATTGCGGCCCCCCGGGTCACGAATTATTGACTTTCCCTTCCAGGAACGCTGGGTCCTCAGCACAGCCACGACGCCGCGGGATGGGAGATGAGTATGTACGTGGCAGAGAGACACGAACAAAACGAGGAGAGAGAATCCAGGCAGCAGGGATATTCAAAGCGCAGGAGCGGGTGGAGAGACGTCGTGCTTCACACGATGCCGGGAAAAAGCTGGCCAATCAGTATGCGTGAAGAGATTGCGAGGCTGCTCGTATTCGGGATATCAACAAGGCTTCGTCCATGCTAGGGCGAGGCTGGAAGATGTCCAGATGTCCTGAAGCGGCAGCAAAGTGGCGAGATTCGGCGGGCATTTCCCTGCACCTTGTCAAGTTTGTGTGGAACTGTAGTATGGAATAATAGTTCCTTGTTGAAGCAGAGTATGTCACTCGCACTCAGCTGGAATTTCAATACCCGTAAAGGTTAAGAAGCGGGCCCAAAATGTACAAGGGCTTGCAAATCTACGATTAGCGAAAACCAAGCAGCACCAAAGTTCAAGAACTGTCCATTTCATGCGTCTTCTTCAAAGTCCTGACTTGAACGATTTCTAATATACATTGATCTGTATTGTATAATTGCTAAATGCTCAAACAGTTATAGAGCCGCCGATTGAGATCACTTAACCATAAACCAATGCGCGGACCTCGATGCTCTCCCGGCCCTTCGCTCCCACAGGAGTTCTGGGATCAACAAATGCAGTATGAGGCACCCTCTGACCCACGCCCTCCTTGCTGTCATAGCACTTCAGGAACAGCCTCTCGTCATTGTCCATACCAGACCAGTAATAAAACTTCTGGCTCGGATTGTATCTCACTGCGGCCGTCTCACCCGTCCGATGAGGGTATCTATGCTCAACGGGCACGAGATCGTTATCATCGACAGTATCAGCAGAGGCAAACCCCAGAGGGTGCGCTTGAACGGTGCCGTTAATTGGTCGCCAAACATTGATGATTCGGTATCGGCCCTTCAGAAGCTCGTCGGCTTCTTCGGGGTTGTGCAGCCTGACTCGCCACTCAGTTGACCGCGGCGTCTGGTCAACATGCACTCTGGTGACAGGGGCGCGAGGAGCTTCAGGGTTTGACCGGCGGATAGTGTGGTCGAAAATAGTGACTTTGTGCGCACCAGGCACGTTCTCCAGCAACAGTTTCTCAACCTCCGGATAGTAGACCTTTTTGATGTGTTCATCGTCAACAAACTCCGTCTCTTGTGATAGGATGTCTTTGATAGCTTGAAAAGCATCCTTGTCAAGATAATATTCGCTTTCTCGGCCTCGGATATCATTCATTTGGACTTCGACCACGGTCTCACCGAAGTTCCTCTGGGGCGCGCCTTCAGGCTGTTTCTCGACATAATTATATGGCTTGGATCCGTCTTCAGGGTCTCTGAAAAAGTTCAACTTCGTATGCACTGGGCCCCGTGGCACGTATGAAGAATCTTGGGCGCCCGAGAGGGTGGTGGATATGGAGGTCTGAGTCGTCGTCGCAGACATGATCCTAAGTTTTTATCGACGTTCGAAGGAGACTGTGTGTTACTCTCGAGGATGAAGGCGGCGACCGGGACGATGACGAGTCTGTCACTATGGTGTTAGATGCAGAGTTGACACAGAACAGAAAAAACGGCTGACGGGTTATATACCTAGGTATGCGCAGCGAGCCGAGCACGCAATGTCGTATATTAGAAATCCATTGGAGTCACGTCATGTCTGAGCCGAGGGTTCGCCGCTTACCCCATGAAAGCTTCGCCCTGGCCTCGTCCCCGCATTGATCTTCCAAGCCAATTAAGGTCTGCTCTCTTCAAAAGCGCAATTCAGAGGAAGTGGCAAACCCGGTTCTTGAATTCTAATCAATATGGGCCCATCCATCTGCACTCTCTGATATTACCCAAGGGTGAGAGAAATCAGCAACTTAGCCGCAGTGGCCGCGTCCTTTTGGCCATGCAGCTTACCAAACTCTACAGCTCGCCTTCTTCGCTGCCGTAGTCGACCTTTTCAGCATCGTCTAGATCATCGATGCCGTTCGACACTGGTTCTGGTCTTGGTGGCTGCGGCGGTCTTTCGTGTGCAGGGTAAACTGGAGGCACTCGGGATGGCATTCTTGCAGGATCGCCGTCTTCGGGTTGAGTATACATACCATTATCATGACTTTCCGGTCGGTGTTGTGATGGAGCTTGGTCTGCGTGGCCATTGCTGTAAGACGAAGGTGGGCCGTTCCAATTGGAGCCTCCCGACGAATGTCTCCGAGTATGAGTTTGGTGGGACGGTTGTACAGATGGCCTGCGGGGCTGATTAGATTGTGGCGCTTTGCTAGACGACGCATTCACAATCTCGTCAATTCTCCTCTGCACATCGTCGCCGGTGCCTCTGGACTCGTTGGGAGGTCGGCCGTCCGCCGAGGTCGCAGGGTGACGGTGCGGCATCCTTTGAGGGAGGCTGGCATTGTCATCCCGTGAATCTCGACGGATTCTCTTGGGTGAAGGTGCTGACTGATCCTCTCCAGCGGGTCGCTGTGAGGGCATGCTCGATCCCCATTCCCCTGAATTTGGATCGTCGACCATATCTCTATCGCGTTTGGCACCTTGACTCCCACTCTTTGCACTCCCGACAGGCGACAGGTCAGGCTGAGGTGTGGCGGTTTGTCGGGTTCGGTCAAACATTGCAAGATCGTCATCTCTGGTATACGCGTCTTTTTGACCTTGGCGTGGTAGAGCCGGGTTCTCGTAGACATCTGCCATCAGATTGCAACCTTTCTGGATGTCCCGGATATCGACACCCAACTGCTCCCACCAGGGTCTGCCCCTTTCATCGTCAGGAATAGTGATGCCCGCAAACTTGACCCCCATGTATAAGGCACTGCCCGCAATCGCCGAAGGCGTCAGCTGGAGGCACATGGTGGTAACAAGGGAGTCGTTCAAGAAAGCCCAGGACGTGTTTCGTAGTTGTTTGTTGGCCTGGACGTCGTAATACCGCAGAAAGTCGAGGAGGATACGGTATGGCTGCTCGAGCTGCAGATCAAAGCACAAGGCTTCGAGTAACAGGTCCTCATTGTGCAGAATGGTGTCTCGCCATTTCCAGTACTCTTTGCTTTGTTCGTCCACCACCAGATTCGGCTGCTTTTGGGCGACCCGGCAACATGCGACCACCAGCTCCTTCATCTTCCGATAGTTTTCTTCCACCTTCGTCGCCAAGAAAATAGCAGTCGCTGCGACCGAGTAGTGATGGAACCCCGGCCTATTGTTCTGAACCATGGCGTGGCGCATAAAGAAACGATGCAGGTAGACGGAGGCCGTAGCGAGTGTCATCTGGGGCAACTTTAACATGATGCCGACCTGCGTTATGAAGTTGACTCCTTTCTGTCTGTTGGCCAGCTCTTGTGTGATAGACATCCCATCCAGTATACTTGGGGCGAGAAGCAGCTCTTCGGGAGTGAACAGCCATTGCGACTGGGCCCTTTCCAGGACGGCGTTCTTTGAGAAGGAGGGGGAGGCGTCGTGGCGCGTTATGTCTTGGAACGAGGGCATCGTAGGTATTTCGAGTAACAGATGAGAAGATCCTGGTGAACCGCCGGCCTAGCCGTCGGATCAAAATCCAGGCTGTGGAGCAGCTTGGGCTAACTCTGATGGTCAGGATGCGATGGCAACATTGAGCGAGAGGCAAAGTGTCGGGTGGCTCCCGGTAGGTTGGAATTGTCAGAGTGAGGATAGGAATTAAGGGTAGGAACACAGCCGCATTGGTGACACAGGTGATTGTCGGAAGTGGCCGATGAAAAATGAAAGATAGGCTGGCGGTGATGAGGGATGGATTTCTTGATTCTGCGGCACTTTGATGTTTACGAGGTACGAGGTCCTGCGGGTCGGGACAAGGCTGTCTTACACGTGCGAGGGGAGCCGACAAGGCTGGCGGTATGCGCAATGTGCAATCGACGGGGTGCTTATCTAAGCATCTTGGCAATTGTTGGCAAGTCGACCGAGCCGATTATGGCCGTAGAGTCAAAGCTAAAACGGCCCAATGACGTCATCTCGGCCGTTCCAACTTTTTCGTACGCAACCTCATCGACTTCATTCCTTTCCTCCACCCCCTGCTGTATCTCGCACGATGGCTTTGTGCTTCCCATGGCGCTGCTTGATTCCGATGGCCGAGAGACCATGCTGAGTGATTTTTGGCCACCTCTCTCTCTAGGTCAATACGAACCTGGCTCGGGCCCGCATAACTTGGAACGCCACCCGAAAAGGGCTAAGCAGCTTCCGGAAAGGTATTTTGCTTGTCCTTTTGGTGACACCCTGCATACTGGGTAGAGTTTGTACAGGGAAGCGGTGCAAATCCCACTTTGGGTCGAGTTCGTCGACATCAAACACGGTTCATCCAATCATGGGGAATCAGCCTCGTCCCGAGCAAACTCCTCCTGTAAGGCTCAGGTATCAACCCGTGCTTGATCAATCTTATTTCATTTCTGGCATCGAAAAGGTCTTCATGGCAGCACATTTTAAATATCTTTCTGCAGGGAGTCACTGTTGTCATGTAGCATGGTGCGGTGTGTTTTGATCTTGGTTGATTCCAATTGATTGATTGACTTTCTTTCTGTCTCTATGTTGTCCCTTCAAATCATGGGCCCACGTTTGTTCTTTCACTGAGCCCATGACAGCCTCGGCCCCGAGGTCGCTTCCGAGTCGTGCTACTGGAACTCGGCGATATTCGTCTCCGGCCTCAGGTTTCTAGTAGTACAACCGGAAACCTGGAACCCTCCAGATACTACCAAGCTATTGACTATGTGCAGGCACAAGCGCAATCTAGAGACCATAGACAACAATACTCGAAGTTGGGAAAGGTGTGGCATGGTATGCCGAGGCCAAGCGACATACTTGGTGTAGGAATAACCCGACTTGATCCACTTCTCCTGCGATACACGAGACTGCATTGTTACCGCCTTCCTGAAACAGAGGGGAAAATCTATCTTGTCGACTCGAATCACCGCAGATCGAGACCGCACAACTCCCGAGAAGGTGCCAGGGTTCAAGATGCAATGCGCTGACTTAGTCATGGCGAGGACGCCAGTGGGTAAAGTCCACGTGAGGCTTGCGGAGAACATTGTGAAATGACCCAGTAGTATGGACGAGGTACTCCCAGCCTGTTCCCTCCCGGATAACCTGCACAAGCCGGGTTTAGTTAAGCGGCATGGTCAACATCGGCCCCAGACTGTTCCGTTTGTTATGTAGCAGCATTTCGCCTTTCGGGTACCCGAACAGAGCCTGCTGCGTGCGTAGCGAGTTCCTCCGCAATATGTAGCTCGGCGTCTTGCACACCGTGCACGCTATACACTTGGGCAAAAGCCTAGCATTTACTCCGTACAACTGTGTTGATCTGCAGCGGCCAATGTCACCGAAGTGTCAACGAAGTTGTCAGCCTGGGTTCTCTCCGACTCGCGGCCGTCGCTCTAACCATGGGTCCGAGAACGGAAAATGACAGAATGCAGGTGAAGTAATGTCCGTACGGAGAGATGTCCAAGTTCGACCGACCCGAGCGAAGAGGCCCTGCCAAGGGTCTTAGCAGTCAGCAGGGAGCAGTGGCCGCAGTGGTTAGGTACTTCCCCTACCCAGTACCCAGTACAGGGGGAGCCCACCAACCTCACTAGCGCGAGGGCCGGGGGCCCCTAGCCAGCTATTGCTAGTTAAGTCGGTTAGCGAGTCACTTAGTCAGTACCCAGTAGCCTTGGTAGCTGGCCTGCTCGCTGGATTAACCATGGCTACCACTACCTGCATTGCTCGTGCTGCTCCCAGCTGACTGACTTTCCCATGCCCTTCCACGCTTCCTAGTTTCCACTTTGTTCCTAGGTTCAAGCTACTAGCTGACTACTACCTATGTCGTGCTCTCTACCGTACTGGGTATGCATCTGGACCCAGGCTGATTAAATTCTAGCGCTGGTGGCGCTTTCATCAACTCCCTTACGCCATACTACACATCACTGACCTTCCTCTTTCTTTCTCATGCACTCGCACCACCATCTCTCAATCGCCCGCTTCCCGTATCCTGCGCCATCCTCGATTTCTTCTCCGTCTGTCTCGCTCGATCTATCTTCGTGTTCGCCGTATCGCACCATTACCTCATCTCACTCGCGCGGCTCAATGGATGTTCCTCCCGCTCATGCTCAGCCGCTCGGCATCTCGTTCGCAATGCGCCATATCCTCTACTTTCCGTCAATCATTCTTCATATCATGCCGCCTCGCTTGAACATTTGCTGGCGTGCTATGCCATCTCTGGTTATGTCTTCTCAGGTGAACCTCCAGCCAGGTGAGCCCACACTTCCAACTCTGTCGGTCTGCGCGAGGTAAGTCCACGGATGAGGCTTAGGTCCCCAAACGCCCAACAGGGCGATCATACAGATCCAAATACACTTCCAGGTGGCGTTATGCCGTTTGAAATCCCTCTCGACCGGCCTGACCATGGCGCCTTGTGGGTTTCTTGCGACCAGACCTCTCCTTTATCCAGGCTTTATCCTCCGCCTAGCTAATATGATATACATACTCTTCGTCCCCCTTTGAGGCAAACTCAGACTTGCCCCTGTTGTGTACTAACCCTACAAACTCGAGCTTCTGTGCACGAGAGAGACAGAAAGAAAGAGGACACCATCCTTGGAACTCGGTTCTTCTGGCATAACCCCCTTAACACAAGGCACATACCTGCAGCAATGCCGGCACACCCATAAAGCAACCCAAGATCTCGTCCCAAGGGAAACACGGCTGCATCACGTCTCTAATCCACTAAAACAGCTTCCTACACGCGAAACCTTACCGAAGCGCCGCGGCGTACTGCATATCGCCGAAGTCCCTATACCAATAACGTCTACTGCCGATGTATCAGCAGCGACCTAAACTCAATCAGGAGAAAGCCACCAGTACCCTTCCCAAGCCCAGCTCCTACGATTTCTGGAACGCGAGCCATATGCACGACTGACTGAACCGGCGCCATAGCCCTGTCCCAGTTGTCCGGCGTGAATTGCCCGTCGCCTTTTTCGAATCATTCGCCCACAGGGATCTGTCCCGTCAGCAAGGTCTGTGAGATCAGCCTTGCCTTTTACCTAATCTGAAGGCGGCTCTTGTCTACACCTCAAATCTAGCGCTGCTCGGAAACTAAGATATCTTCCAACGTGTCATGCCACCCAAAGCAAAACGATCAAAATCTCCCGACTCCCAGTTTCTGTTCGTCAATGAAGATGCCTCGACCGTTACCCGGACCACCAAAGATGCTGAATTGGACAGAACAAAGCAGAGTCATGTACAGCGTCAAAATTTTGCTCGAAAACGTCGTTTGCGCGAACAGTCAGAATCTGCCCCGCTGCAGACCAGCAGCCAGAGTTCCGTGTCTCCCAGTCCTGTAGCAGTGGCTGGTCCATCGACCTCTACATCTCAGAAAGGCCACTTTCAGGGCGCAAGTTACTTCGACATCATACAGAACATCGACCTTGAAGACCCGCTGTTCCAATCAACAAGCCCTCCGTCCATTTCACAGAGTTCCCTTGACCCTCAACTCTCGGCATTGTTCTCCGACCCTTTCGCTTCTACGCCTGCGTCGCCTCCTATACCTTCACAGCAAGCCAATGTTTTTGGTGCCGCTCACCCTTACCGTCCGGGGCATTACTTTGATACGTCCTCTCCGAGCTATAGTCTACCTCCTGCAAGAAGCACGGCCAGTGTGATCAGTTCATCAATATCGCTGGGCGGAATTTCCAGCCCGCCGACCAACATCCACCGCGCCTTGGAACAATGGGCACCGCCTCTAATCAAGCATCACAACACGATTATACTACCAGAAAAGTTCTGGAAAGACACCCAAAAGGTACCTATGGGCCAATTCCGTCATGCCGCCTTGATCCATGCAGACATGCAGGCTTGCATGACAGAACCGGCGCACATGTATGCATTTCTTGCCTCTGCGGCAGCTCAGATGATTGCTCGAGAAGGTAGACTGTTGTTACCGAACGTCTCAGAGGAAGATACTCATCGAGTTCCTATGTTCTTCAAGACCAAAGCCGTGCAGGCCCTTCAGGCTAAACTTGCCAATGGACAATTGGATCATCATACGGCTGTGGACCTTCATCGGCTCTACGCTGCAGGAATATATTCTGACGATTACGAGGCGGCCGAACCACATTTCCAAGCTTTGCTCTCCATGGTCGATGCTCTGGGGGGGCTGAGTACCTTCGACGACTATCAACTGGAGAAGCTGTTCATGTTGGATTGTATCGCAGCGCTGAAGCGGCTGGGGGTCCCCCGTCTTGTTGTGACTTTAGATCCTGGGCCTCTACCTGAGGAGATACTGTTAAGCATCGAATCTCAAAGCCGACATCATTTTCAACCGGGATCACTGTTAGAGATCTTGGTGGATACTTTCAATCAAAGTCAAATATTGACTGAGAGCTTCACGGATCTTATTCAAGTGCTGAGAATGTCAGCCTTCTTAGCTACCTCCCCTCGCTACGTGCATGAGTATTACAAGTGGTTCAGTTGGCGGAGTCTGATCATTTTACACAGACTTCTATCTATGCCTCTACATTATGAGATGGACGACAAGACTGACAGCGTTAGGATTGTCACTGCCTTTTGGACTGCGCTTCTGCGCTCGCCACCCCTGGGCCGACGAGCAGCGTCAACTTCTGCCACATCTCTACGGGGGAAGCTCGAAAACACAGACCTCAGGCTCTTGTGGCAGCCCCGCACCGACTGTCTACTCTGGATGGCCGTTTTCGGAGGCGTCTGTTGTGCCAAAAGAGAGGACCTGGAGTGGTTCGTGCATCTCGCGAGGACTGCGGCAACTGAAATAGGTGTTGGAAACGTGAGGGAACTGGAAGACTTGTTGATGGGGCTTCTCTATGATCCTCATTCGCAACGGGAGCTGGTGGTCCAGTTCGCTGGTCGGATTTGGCCAAGAAGAGATCAATAAGTGCTCAATCGAAGGCAGATCATCTCAGATTCCCATGAGTTATCTTTTCAACAGCAAGCGACACTGTCCTCAACACGAAAACTGCAGATTTGCGACACCGAGGATCCGCCGACGCAATGTTCGAGCACAAAACGATGCAGGATAGCCCCCACTTCTCAAGTTCTATGACTCGCCATTCCATTTCTCATCCACGACCTCTTGCTCGAACAGGAGAAAGGCAAGGGGCAGAATTCCGATACCACTCAGGTGAAGACGCAGACTAGCCTTGCACCCACAAACTCCTGTATAATTGGCTGGCGGTGCCCAAAAGCTTCAATGCACGCCAGGTTTGAGCAGATTACGTTTCTGCTCAAGAGATGCTGCGACTTTCGGCGAGGTTGCTTACATCAGCTATGAATTCAGTCCGCCATACAGGTTTTACAATCTTTTCCAAGAGGTTGATGCTCCAGTACCAGTTCTAAAAGTAGGACGACTCACCGTTTTTTTGGGGGGGGGGAGGACCATGTGACCGTCCTTAGCGATCAGCAATCACCGTGACTAGGGTGAAGTGCCTCCCCGAATGGCGCAGATATGTCAAGCCGGTCTGGTCACTGAGTCCATGTTTCATTCCCGATGGTCGTTATGGTAGATGCGGTCACGAAAGAACGAGGCTTCGACAGTTGATCAATTTGACAGGGTGAGTGACAACGAAGACAGTGAATCGGGGATCCGTTTCGTTTGCTGCACGATCAGATAGCAGCGAAAAGAGGGTTGTGGTATGATTCATGACAATGAAAAAACGGTGCTAACGCACATATGAAATACATGATGCATAACGAGGGGATGTGACAAGCATAGCTTGGCTCTGAAGAGGGTTCACGAGTTGGGTATATTGCTTTTGAATTGAGGCATGTGATGATGGGGACTGGCCAGCCCAGCTATTTTATCAGAGGTAGTAGAAGGCAAGAGCCCGAGATTTTAGAACTAGAGACGAGAATAGACTCTTACCGCCGCTCCTAAAATCGTACATGTATATGGTATCACAATATATAGTCTCGGTGCCGATGCTGATGGTGATGGGTCGAAGCATCGGGAATTCGTCACCCGGTTCCACAAAGCGAAAAAGGGGGCGTTAAAAGGAGGCTGGTAGGCTTTTTGGCTGTGCTCCGCCGTTGTCTGGGCACTCCTGTATATCATGTACTCCGGAGTTTGTACTGTATACCTGGGCACGGTGCACTGTGTCATACCTACTTATTTACGTACGAGCACGGTGTACGGGGGTATGTTATGTACACGTAGGCGAATATAGACCAGTACTTTCAAGTTTGTTCCAGAATTTAGATTTGGGGGCTTGGGGCCTTGGATTGAGACCGAATTCGGATTCCGATCCGGATCCGAGGCCGGAGCTAAAGGATTTTGAATGTGGCTCTACATTTGGATCTGGGTTCGTGGATGGATTATGCAATTCAATCCTCCATCTATCTAGGTAGCTATTTAGCTATTCGTTTGCCTATCCGTCCGTCCGTCCGTCCGTCCGCCCATTGTCCATCTACGTACATTTATTATGTGGGGCGTATCTTGTTTACTTTTTGGCGGCGGTCCTATGCTCTTGCTCTGCTCTGTTCTGCTCCCTCCGCAATGGAAGGAAATGCCATCTAATATCATGCAGCGCTATGCGTCATCATCACTGACCGACTCCATGGATGCAAAAGTGAGAAAAGAGGAAAGAAGATCAATTCGTGCGTGAGTACTCCCTCCTCAGCACAATGGCCTCCTTCATAAAGGGGCTGCGCTCTCTCAGCCTCCGTCCGATGAGCAGGATGGCCACGGGTGCAAAGGAGAGCACCAGGGCCATAAAGCCTAGCAGACTGCTGGCCCATTGGAACCCGAGCTTGGTGTACATGCTCTGGGCGGCCAGGGGCAGGAAGGCCGAAAAGAGATTCTCACCCAGCACCACAGCCGCACACGCGCTGCCGGCGTACTTGGCGTACGCATCCACCACGTAGTCGGCGATCGCGACTACCACAACGTTGACCCCGTAGCCGACCATCGCCAGGCCGATGGCTGGCGCGATCCACGGGACGGACGGGTATGCGGTCCACCTGTGAGCAATGGGATGTCGGTTAGCATTTATTGGTTGCGGCGGCAACCGTCAAGAGGGTCTGGGAAAGGGGGCGGATTTGTTTGATTTTGCAAAATCGCCATGTTCAGCACTGTGGGAGAACTTACCCGTAGACAAACATACCCCCAGCCACGCCGACGAAACTGCCCACAACGCTCACGTAAAGTCGCGCCTCGGGAATGGGCGTCCCAGGCACCTCGGTGTTGCGCGAAACCGAGGCGTAGTACAACTTCGCGTTGATGAGAACGCCAGTCCAGCCCACGAATTCGCCGATGACCACTGCCGCTTGGACATAGCCGGCTTGTGAGGCTGTCCAGCCGTACAAGCCCGCGAAGACTTGCTCGACGGATTGGGTGAAGACGTAGACCGTGCCAAGCATGAAAGCCGACCAGAGCGTGAAGACGAACAGGACCGGCTCGGCAAATAGCATTCGCAGCGGCCGTTTGGTGCTCCGGACCAGCTTGCGTGGGAGACTCAGATGGTTCCCGTCGTGTGGTCCGCGGACCGGCACGCCGGCCTTCTGCAGTCTCAGCGCGCGCTTTTGGAGGATGATGGTGCCCCTGCTCTCCTGGAAGAAGAAGACGTAGATCGGGAAGAGGGCGCCGTACCAGATCAGCTGCATGTACGAGATCCATCGCCAGGACAGGTTTTCGAAAATGACGCCGGCGATCACAGGTCCCATGCTGCTCCCTGCAAGGTAGAGCATGACGAAGAGGCTCAAGGGGATGGTGCGAGCGCGGTCACCTTCCCAGATATTCCCGATCAAAGCGGCAGCGGTGTTGGAGAGGACGGAGACACAGCCCCCCGAGAAGAAGCGCGAGATGATCAGCGTGGCGAAATTGTGTGCCACCGCCTGTGGAATGATGAAGCATATGAAGACGGCGTATATGGTGAGAAAGGCAGGTCGCACGCCAAAGTCCTCCATCAGCGGCAGAACGACCAAGCCGCACAAGGCGCCTCCCAGGGCCCAACTGGTGACGGGCCAGTACGAATGCGGAAACCTGGCGTCACTGACGTGGAATTCGTCGTTGATGGCCGCGTGGGCGACGGTGATCATGGTCCCGTTCAGGATGGTCGTAAACGTCGCCATGATTGCGACTGCGGTGATTGTCCACTTCTTCCGCAGGGACCAGTTGTACGGGTTTTCCGGGTCGTCAGGCCCGTACCAGTCGATGATTGCATCTGCATGCCCGACTCTGTCACCGCGAAAACCTGTGGTATGCCCATTTTGGATCGGGATGGCTACCTTCGACTCCTCATCGAACCCTGTCATGAGCAAGTCGAAAGTATACCCTTGCGTGTGTCTAAGCGAGAGGAGGGAAATGGAGAGTCCAAAGGAATGGATACAGCTATTGCAACGAGCGGAATGGCGTCTAGGGAGGTAGGAAAAGAAAAACAATCTCCCATCAAGGAGAAGTTTAAAAAAAAATTAAAAGTTACCAGATATTTCAATCCCGAATCAAAGTGGCGGAGGACCGAGCATAGTTAGTTTGTCCTTACTCTCACCTGCATTTTGTTTCCATTACCAATGTCGAGCTCGAGCACTGGAGATGCCGGACTTGGGCGGACTTGACAAAGTGGTGACTTCGATTTTTGAATGACGACAAACGACAAACGTTGGAACCTCATGGAGTGGGTTAAAATTTCTTCAAAATGTTACCTAATTGAATTGCAGAATTTGTAACACTAACTAGTGTTGTCTGGGGCGGTTTGTAGCTGCGGCTCGCGGAGGGAATATGTAAGGCGTTTGGGAAGACGTTGACGATGTAATCCCGTCTCGTCCTGGACCAAGGGCTCGAGTCCTTGCCCGGTGCAATGATAGTGTGAGAAGAGGCCATGGACAAGGAGCAGCGTATTACGTCGGGGCACAGAGCCTTGCTGAACCCCTGACCACGGCGGTGAAGGGGGAGGGGCGGGCTTTGGGGCGGGCAAGGCTGACCTATGAAATCAAATCTCATTGTCTGACAATGCAATTTTCTCGAGTCACTTTTCGGCTACGTCATGGAACAATAATCTTCGTGTCAGGCTGTCATTTTATACTGGGTACTGGGTATTAATTCGTGTGTCGGTTTTCGAGGGTTGCCTTTCGGCTCTTACCATCATTTATGTATAGGCTGTAAAGCCTCAATACAAGGGTGGCTGCTGTTTGTTAATACCATAACCCAGTTTCCGGTTTTTCTGCGTTCCGAACCCCTTTGGCCTCCTTCAAATATTCAATCTCACTGTCTCTCTGCTCTTTCTTCATAGATGCGGCACACCCATACTCGCCAGCACCAAATTCAAGATACTAACCACACCTTCCCCTAGAATCAATCCACTCGCGAGAACAATGACCCTTGTCTCTCCCTTCCCTTTCCATCGTGTCCACCATAGAGAAATCACTCCACCTACGGTTCGCGCCAATGTGAAGCTGGGAGTGTTGTACATCCCCACCGCCACCGCAATGCCACCTGGGATCCACGGGTGTAAAGCCTTGCACCAGCGTTTAGAGTCTCTATATGCGAGGAGGTATATCCGAAGTGTGGTGGTGAGGACAAATACTGCACCAAAGAGGAGGGCAAATTGCCAGGCCATGGGCGGGAGACCTTTTCCCGTCACCAATCGCGCGGTGAAGATCCAGACGTATGCGGTGGGGATCTCAAACAAGTCCCCTGGAATCGGATAGACTGATACATATAGCTTGTAGACCGCGGCAGACACAAATGCTCCCACGACACTCCCGATAAGCTGTCCGTAGAATTGTGCTTTAGGGGATGCCCCAATTAGATGTCCCGCTTTGAGGTCTTGGAGAATGTCGCCGGCTTGAAGCGCGCCTGCTTCACTTACAGCCCCAGCGAGTAAATTTATAATTATACTGTGGTTTGCATGCGGTCCAGTCGGAGTGATCAGGGCAAAAACTAACTGTGTGAGTTTTGAGATTCCAGACACGGGATTTAAATCTGTTTCACCGAGGGCACGGACGCCCATGATGGAGAGAACCAGGGCGAGAATGATGGCAAGGATGTTGAGGCTAATAGGGATGTAGGTGCCAAAGGTTATGTGAATGCACACGACGCAGATGATCAGAGTTATTGGAAGGAGGACGGCGACGGTCCGGTTGGAGACAAGGTGGTGTGGTGGTGCGTCATCGGGAGGCTCGTCGGATGCGCCTTTCACTGGCTTGGCGGTGGAAGATTGAGAGGCTCGTCCGGAGGTGTCAAGAGAGATATAGCCGGCAATTTGTTTGCCGAGCAAAAAATCGGACCAGGAAGCACTGTTGTAGTAGTGCGCTCGGGCAGATTTGATCCAATCTGGACCATGGTGAATGGTAGGCCGAAGGAACAACCAGCCTAAATTGACCACTGCATCAGCCAGCATGATTGCCAGACTGACCCAAACGATCCAGCCTTTGCTCCCTGTCTCCCAGTCGTCAACGGGCCCGGGCGCCCAGCCGTTGTTTTTGGCCATGGGACTTAGTACCGCCCATCCCGCAATAGCGCCGAGGAGCATGTGGAATGTAGTAGCAGGGCCCATGATGATACCTTGCCCAACATATGCCGGCGATGGATTGAGCGTCCACACCCAGGTATTCGCCAGGTAGGTGCCAAATATGGGCAACCTGTGGAGAATAGGGAAAAAGTATTGGATCAGAGTGTATGCGCCGGATGAAAGGAAAGCAACCACAAGAAGTCGAATTTGCCTTTTCCAATCGCCTCGGATGTCATGTTCTTCCGCCTGCTCCGGCTGGTCGTCTCGATCGCTTTCCCTTAGAAGTTCCTCGCGCTCTTCGGTCCCCTGGGTTTCTATCTCTCTATCCTTGCCCTCGTCGCTCTTGGCGCCGCCATGCAGAACACTTATCATGAGTGCTGTAGCAGTCCCGCTGGGGAACTTGAGGCGCTCGCGAATGATGACCTGTTTTCGCAAGGGCACACCAAAGACGACGCCGAACAAGCAAAGACCAATACCCCAGACAAAGAGCCTCCACAGACTCAAGTCAACCGGGGCACCCTCGCTCTTCTTCAGCAAAAACTGGATGCTGGGCATGACTCCGACGAAACCCAGACCTAGCGGCATGGTGCCGACTGCGCCGGCCACCGTCTGAACAAGAACATTTTCGACGGGGGTGAATGGAAGAACCAAATAGCGGGACAGAGACTTGAAGACTGCAAATCCAATCAAAGAGGCCGGCATAGCCATCCCTGATACCCAACCGGTCTGCAGACCAAAGTATGTGTTGGAAAAGCAAATGATTATCCCAATCAACGTCCCCACTGCGACACCTCGAAGTGTGAAATTTGTGCCATCCAAGGCCGAGTCGTGCGCGCCAGGGACAGCATAGCAGGCATGATCAGACCGGACGCGGGAGATGCTTTGCTGATGACTAGTTTGCGGGAGCAACTCATGGTCTTGGACATCGGACGGGGACGGAGAGTGGGTGTGAGAGGAAGCGCCTCTGTCGGGTGCCATGGCGGGCTATTCTCAAGGCTGTTGAAATATGTGATTCCCATCCAGCAGAGCCATGAGTAGGAGGAAGGGGGTGCAAGGGCCCAAGTTCTGCTTGGGTTGAGCCGATGCTGATGGATGGAGGGAGGGTGGGTGTAGGGTGCGGAAAGGTGAGGCTCAAGATTATTACATACTCGGTAGAGGCGAGATTGATAGACTGATTTTCTGGCGTCATTGTTCCGGTGATTTTCCGGGACTTGAAAATCACGTGTGGTGATTGTTCAGGTCCGAGTGCCGTACCGATGGGTTCTTGTTACCCTCTACAGGTAACTTTGCCTGCGGTGGGCTGATGGTGGGGCGCAAGGTGCTGGGTGCGTCCCCCCCTTCCCGAGATGCGCATCGAAGCCTAGCCCTCGATCCATGTAACTCCTGGTACCTCATGCTGTGGTCAGTGCTGCTATGTTACTTGTTTGGTACGTACCGGCCGTGTCTGCACAGGCCAAGACTGGCCCCGTCGAAACGGTCTGGATTCAATACCCTCCCAAAAGAATGCTCCCGGCACAACGGTTCCACCGCTATGCATCCCATTCCTCTCTTTGAGGCTGCCACGAGCCATCAGTTCCCGCTTTTCGACATTGTGGCTTCCTCCATCCAATCCCGTGGGATTTCTCGAAGGTCAATGACGCTCTCACGCCTACCGCCCGTGGTACACGGTGGGCATTCTCGCAATGCCCCCATACTGGAGTCTAGACTCCCAACCATCATCGCACTTGCCGATCTCCCATGGATGCCCATCTTGGTCTATCTCTAGAGTGTTCCTGTGACTCTCGGCTATTCCGTCATCCTCGACCCTCTCCAAGCCCTCTCGCTACAAGCTCGAACTTGGGTCACCCAACATTGATCCCTCGGCGCGCACATTATTATGTTCCGACCTTCACTTATAGCAAGCTGCCATGCTGCTTGATTTCCCGTCACAGCTATGAGCATGAGCGGACTTTGGCCTGCCCCTCGGTAGAACATTCGCAGTCTGCAAGAGCAGGGAAAAGGTTTTTTAGGCCTGGTATTGACAGGCAGGCAAATCTGCGCCGCCTCTTCTGACCATGGCTCCAGAAGCGGCGCGAGAGCGCGAGATGCACAGGTATGGCCCCTTTCCAGCCTGCCGACGAACTCACCCACTCACTCGGTATACAGGTACTACCAGCCATGGCTCGAAACCTTCATGTCAACCGACTTTGAACCTGCCTCGAACTTTCCTCCCTCTGCTGATCAGCCCGAGGGCCATCGGCCTCGTTCTTCCAGAGACAAGGCGTTGACGGCTTTCGCGCAACTAGGCTGTCTCCGCCTGGACGCCAAAAGATCTGTGGTCACTTTGCTAGGCACTACAAAGCAATATATCATGGCCGAGGCCACAAAGTCTCTCTCCCTCTTGAGCGACGAGCAGCACGGTGAAGGAGACGAGCTATGGTTCGGAAATTCTTTCATTGAGCGAGAGGGTGGTATCTCGGCTGATGCCATGTATCCCGACAAATATACCGCCTATGATCCAGATGGCTCTTCTTTCACCACCCCGGCCTTGGTCGTCAGCGATATCTCAGCTCATGAGAATTACAAAACTCGGGGCTACGCCGGTCGTGGCGTTTCGTTCTATTGCGGTGTGCCAATCACCACGAAGCTGGGCCACGTCATTGGCGTGTATACTGTTACCGACGACAAACCCCGCCATGGCCTTTCAGCAACTGAACTTCATTTCCTGCTCGACATGTCCGTTATTGTCATTCAACATTTAGAAAACGTGAGAAACGACCGAGCCAGAAAGAGGGGTGAACGTCTGATTTATGGGATGGGGGCGTTCATTGAGGGTGATAAGGCTGAAGAGAGCTCTGAAGTCGGTTCCAGTCCACAGCACAATAAGTTCAGTGGCTCCGACTCCAGCCAGAATGCGAATGCGCCATCAGAGAGCACTAAAACCGCGGAGTTTTTGGGCTTAAAAATCGGCAACGCAAATGCACCTGCTAAAGACTCCAAACGCATGGGAGTGCCTGCCACCGATCGTGCAAATGGCTTGCCGGGACCGCAATCTTCAGGCCCCAGTCAGGAAAGCATCCACAACCATGGGCTCAGACGTACGCAGGCGACGCATCCTCCGAAAACAGCCAAGGAAAAGATATTGCGCGAATCTCAGCAGGTGTTTGATCGTGCTGCAGCTGTGCTCCAATACTGCCTCGTCTCCGATGGTGTTGCGTTCCTAAACGCGAGCTCCGCTAACTTGAGTTCAGGTTCGAGCATCAAAACTTCTGGATCTGCTGTGTCAAAAGTCCATCATGCTCGATCCAACTCAAAAAGTCACTCCAACCACTGGAACGGAATACAGCGATCAGACTCGCAGGAAGGGTTGGCAAATGATGACTCCACGACTTCCAGTGATGATACCGCAAGTGCACGAAGCAACAGCGACTCCTCCGCTTCCCAGGGCAAAATACAGAGGTGTGAAGTTCTGGGTCTTTACACGCTTGACCCCAATCAGTCCATCAGCATTGCCGACCAGACCATGCGCCGTATGGTCCGACGTCATCCAAAAGGCAAGTGCTTTACATTCGACCAGTTCGGCAAACCCACATCCAGCGACGAGAGCTCCGAGTCTGCATCTGCTGTCGATGGTTCCCAAGTGGATGCTAACCAATCATCAAAAGCAGCAAAACACGTTCCCACAACCAATGCTCTGCTGAAAGCACTCCCCGGCGCAAGAAGCATTGTCTTTCTGCCTTTATGGGACTTTGCGAAAGAGCGGTGGCACTCTGCACTGATAGTCTGGTCAACCGATACTGGTCGTTTGACCAATGTTGAAGATGACATGGTTTACCTGAAAGCTTTTAGTAATGCCATTATGAATGAGCTTAACCGCATCGATCTAGCACTGTCGGACACTGCCAAGTCAACATTCCTTGCCAATATTTCACACGAGCTGCGCTCGCCTCTCCATGGTATTTTGGGAAGTATTGAGTTCCTTCACGACACTGCCATGGATGACTTCCAATCGTCAATGGTCATAAGCGTTGAGACATGTGGGAAGACACTGTTGGACACAGTTAACCACGTACTTGACTATGCTAAGATCCACAATCTGTCGAAATCTTACCATCAGGATCCAGCTTCCACACAAGGGCATGCGCAACGAAGCAAACCCGAAACTAACCTTACGGAAGATTTTGATATGGCAGTCGTTGTGGAAGAAGCTGTTGAAGCTGTTTACGCCGGCCAAGTCTTCCGAACCGCAAACGCAGATGCTCTGGAAGGTAAATCGCCCGTGCAGACGGCTGCGAGTCGAGCAATACAGCAACGACTAGAGCGAAGGGCGAACATCAGCAAAGGCTCCGCTAAAGCAGCAAGTTCAGTCCGCCTTACCTTGAATATTGATGATCACACAAATTGGTGGGTCCGATCTCAACCTGGGGCTGTCAGGCGGATCGTCATGAACATTCTGGGGAACGCATTAAAATATACTAGCAAAGGGAGCATCAACGTTGGCCTCGGGGTTGACCGCTCTCGGAACAAAGTCAGCTCACATCTACATATGCTACTGAAGATTGCCGATACAGGTCGCGGCATGTCGGATGAATTCATGAAGAATCACGCCTTTACTGCCTTCTCCCAGGAAGACACGTTGGCAACTGGTACCGGCCTTGGACTCAGCATCGTCCGACAAATCGTCGATTCTCTTGGAGGCAAGATCGACCTGTCTAGTGAGAAAGACGTCGGCACCGAAGTAAGAATCTGGCTCAGACTTCCGAAGAGCCAAAAGGATGTGAATTCGATTCCGGAGGCAAATGTCGTTCCAGACGTGCGCCAGCGCACAATGGGACGGGAGATGTGCATGCTCTTGCCGCATGATGAGAAGAACAACGAATCAGATGTCCGTTGTCTGGTCCCGATGCCGACGATAGAAAGCTCAATGCGGAATTTGGTGTCCCAGTGGTTTCGAATGAAAATTACCACGACAAAGACCATGGATGGTATCTCACCAGACTTCTTCATCTACCCCGAGCCGCCGCCTATTGACTACCTGATGGACTTTCATGGCAAACCAGAAACGGAGAGAGAAGTCCCCGTCATCATATTGTGTACGAATGCCTTCGAAGCTGCGTCCTTGAGGTCGAATGGTATACATTACCTTACGGATATTGGTAGAGTCATTGAGGTGATTGCGCAACCATGTGGACCACAGAAACTGGCCAAAGTGCTTCATCGATGTATGCAACGATTGGAGATGCTGGAAAGGGACAATGGAAAAAAGCCTTCGAAGACGGCTGCTCTATCTTTCGGTCGCGACAGAGATGCAGAGAAAGGAGATATCAGAGCAAAGGGTGATACTCCAAGGCCGAGCGATGAACCAACCGAAGGCGACGGACCCAGCCAGGGCGATGAACCTGCGTCTGCGCCTGTCGGATATAGTGCCGAGGAGTTCAAATCGCCGAATCTGTCGCAAAAGTCTTCCGGTGAAAACGAACCACAACCTCAGAATCCCTCATTGATAAAGATGGGCACTTCAGAAGAGGTTGTCACACTTAGTCAATCAGGTGTCACTGACAGCGCAGCGTTACCCCGAGACCTCGACGCCAAAAATCCACGGGTCCTAGTCGTCGACGACAATCACATCAATTTACACCTTCTTGTTACTTTCGTTCGCAAGGCTGGCCACCCCTTTGAATCGGCCAGCGATGGCTTGAAGGCTCTAGAAGCGTACAAGAAGAGCATCCGCGAAGATGGCGGGCGAAATGCTTTCAAGCACGTTTTCATGGACATCTCAATGCCCGTGATGAATGGGATAGCCTCGGCCAAAGAGATTCGACGATTTGAGAAGGAGAACAAGGTTGACCCGCCAGCTAAAATCATTGCTTTGACAGGTATGGGTAGTGAGGTAGCGCATAACGAGGCGATACACGCCGGGTTTGATGAGTTTTTGAGTAAGCCGATTGTAAGTCAGCCTTCGCTCGGATCCGGCGGCCTTACGAGAAGACAGAAATGCCCCCTCTTGTTCTTTATACTAACGCGTATTGTTACAGAAGTTCAAGGACCTGCAGAAACTGCTTGTGTGATTGATCCCTGAATTGAATAAGCTGTATACAACCAAGAATGGGCAGGCTATGGATTGGTCGGTTCTCTGATACTTGCATGCATTGGCTCTGGCGTCGCTTGGGGAATTTCATTGGCAGCTGAGAAATGCTACGATGGAGCAGGCCTCGAAATGAACGAAACGAAATAGAAGGGAATTCACAGGGGCAGGATGTTCTTGTGGAGGGATCTCCCCGGTCACGATGGAGCATCAACTAAGCTTTTATAGAAGCGCTCTGACATGCATATTGATAACAGAACCGCGTTTATGAGGGTGCACGCAGCAAGGCCAACCACGTCAACGATGGGATTATGTAGGTTTAGCGGCAGGGGCTTCATACACAGGCAAAGGGAAGAACAATTAAAGACACGAAGTACTGTGAGACGAGCCGACACTATAAAAACCAGGGCCTTGATTTCAGAGTTCCCGTTGTGCCCGCTTGACCCCTGGTTGTTATTGCTTGCTACATTACACATGGATGCGTACGGGTTAATCTACCTTGGTATCAACGAAGGTGGGTGGGTAGCTATGGTAAGCACGGTAATTAGGTGGGCACTTATATCGAACGATGGACCTCGCTCCTTTCCTGCTTTCCTCCCCGGCTTGGTCCATTTACCCCAGCTCAGTGATAGTGGACACTTGTCGTGCGTGCGCGTGTGCTCAGTTCAGACATGGATTCTGGTCATGATCAAAGTCCCGGGTGGCGCAGGGCCAAGGGATAGGACCCGGACCAGGACCAGGACCAGGGACAGGGACAGGGACAGGGACAGAAATCTCTCGCGCGGTCGTCCTTCTGATTGATGGTGGTGATGGTCAAGGTATTGCTATTGCTATTGCTATTGCTATTGCTAGCGATCTGTCTGTATTTTTTGGGGGTGTGGCAATCAATGCTGCCGCCCCAATTGCTCCTCTCTCTCCCTGTTGTCCTCATACCGAACCCTTCACACACTCCCACATATATGTATGCGCTTTTCTTTTGAAAGCTTTGCATCGCTGAACCTGCTCTGCTTCCCGTATGTGCCGCACATTCTCCCCCAGTCGTAACAAACAAAATCTGTGTGTGTGTGTGTGTGTGTGTGTGTGTGTGTGTGTGTGTGTGCGCCGTATCGAACCGGAACTGTTACCGTATGAAAAGAAGAAAGTCCAAGAGAAGGAAAAACACAAGATGGGGTATAATGAAGTCCAAGAATTGCTTCAATTAAATCCAGGTTGTTGTACAAGGGTTCGTTCAGTTATGGAGATCGAGGATATAGGTCGACGGCGTCCAATGAAGGAGGCCTGCGTGGAAGCTTTGAACAGGTAGATAGATATGTTCAGAAGTTTGGGGGGTGGAACAGAAGCAGAAATGTGTCATCAGGGACCGTGTTCGCGGTAGCTCGGGGAGGAAGGACCAGTCGACGTGACTTCGACACGCTGTTATGAACCAGAAGGTTTGAAAAACCATCAAACTCGGCTCGCGGTATCGGGATGTTCAAGGGGAGTGTGCGAGGCCTGAGTAAGCCAAGGCGTCGCTCGTTGAAACCTGTGTGGTCCACAAAGCCCGTCCAAGAGGGATGTTTCTTTCCAACCCAATCCAAGTACTTGTGACATGGCGAAGTTCCTGTTTGCCGATGTCATATTCAGCCTGAAGTACAATCGTGTGGACATGTGGAGCCTTCGAAGACTTGCACTTGAGATGTATGCACCTCGTCTCAACTTGTCACTCTCTTAATCCACAACCCAGTAGGTTGCTCGTAAAAATCATCTTTATCCCTCCGCTTTTGGGCGCGATGTAACTTCAGTTGAACCTCATGCTCCTCATTCGTGACATCCTGAATCTCCAAATTCAGATTGGTAATCATTTTGTCGACTTCCTTGCGTTTTCTCGAGTCATAAATGATTGCGTTCTTTTTGAGTGATTCCTGAAGTTCCCGAATAATTTTGTTTAGATTGCGCTTGCGCCGAGCGAGGTCTTCAAGTCGGGCTGTGAGAGAGGTGATTTTGTCAGCGGCTTGGAGTTCGATAGGTGTTGGAGGCAGGCATTTGGTAGCTGAAATGGTGGACATCAGAGACACAGCCCGAGGTTTACCATTGCGGTCGTTGGCATTTGCATCGTTACCGACAGCTTTGCGAAGGATGTTGGACGACTTTCGCCCAGATATGTTGGAGAAGGGGGAGATGCTGCTGTAGTTGTCGTAGCTGCGGTGGCCACTATTGTTCGCGGCAACACGTTTGCGAAGGACAATTGGCTCTGGGACCGCTGCAGGTGGTAAGTGTACTATTGGCACAGGACTGCTTGTTAGTTCCTCTCGTGCGATGGGACTCGAAGGAATATAGCTATTATCTTCCATCGTGCTGGTGGCATAAGTGTTCCAACTCGATGAAGTGTCTGGTTCACGGTGCAACGGGTTTCGTTGCACGGTAGGGTCGAATGACTCCTCACTGGGACTCCGGTCGGGGCCGATAAATGAGGGGGTGTTGGATCCTAGCGTAGGGCTGTCGGCTCCATACTCTTGGACAGTACTGGGCGCTGGGCTTTGAGCCGGTTCAATAAAGGGTGGGCGGGGACCAGGACTTTGGAATGGGCTATCTAGGAGCCTGGTGTATTCGAGCTGCTTCGGTGACAATGCTTGCGGCGTCAATACTTCTGGGACCTTCCTGGTTTTCAGCGGGGCCACGGGCTTGAGACTGTCTTCCGAGGACACACTTTTGAGGTTCGGGAGTTGTGAAGCGGCGACTGAAAGGGAGTCTATAGGAGACATGGCAGTCTTTTCGGGAGGGATCGTGTTTTCGGGAGTCTCGCTTCTTGTCAGTTTCTCGGGCGCCTTGTGTCGCTCTACCAGCATCAAAGGTCGAGTTCGAGCTTCTGGAGTGTTCTTGACAGGTTCGACTATGGCATGTCTACCACTTGCACCCCTCCATGGTGGTCGTTGAATTGGATTGTCCAAAGGGTCGGCTGGGTCTGGTAGAGGAGACTTGGCCCATGTCGATTTTTTGACTGCCTCCCTGTCCTTCAGGCCAGCCAGAATCTGCCGCGTTCTCTCCTTAAGCTGAGGGTATGGCCCTTCTAGACTGGATGGTGTTGCTCCAGGGCGAACAGAAGAGGGCTTCCCCGCCTGGCTAGGTTCGCCCGAGTATTCATCCCACCGGGTCTCTTCGTTTCCTTCTTTACGTAGATTCCATCGCTTTTTAATGCCTTCCTCGGGTGTATTCTGTGACACGGGGACAGGTAACTTCCGCGGAATCTGACTTTTTAAAGATTTGTCTGGCTGTGTGGGAGTTGGGAATGAAGGTTCAATGGGAGAAACGAGGGAGGCATCAGAGCCGTTAGGGTGGAATGAGGTCTGGCTGCTCAAAGGTGAGACACTGGCTTGACTGGCGTCATGGTGATGTCTCGGCTGAGTCGAAGGCTGTGGAGGATTGAAGTCGGAAATATTGGGAGAAACTGAATCCTGGTCAATGGAGTATACCGACTCACGCTCCGCCATAGGAGGCACAGGCCGACTGCGACAATTGTGGTCAGCGTGAAGGAGGAAGTCAAGAAAGGGCGCAGACGTACAAAGGGAGTTCTGGAAGAGCAGTGACCGCAACACTACTGCGGCGACTGTACAAAGACTCGACTTCGGGGATTGTCTCGAGGTATCTTTCATCCATTGTTGGCTCGGGATAAGCTTGGTAGCCCATCTGGTAGTCTGGAATGTTATTCCGTCTCCACATGTCTGCGGTCTAAACTTGGGAATGCTGCTGCGGCGCTGGAGAAGGGTTGCGACACTCCGACAGAAGGAGGGTTCGTCATACCGCGGGCAGCCTCGACAAGTTCAGCGTGACGGATCAGAGTGAGCGGGAGGAGGAGGAGAGAGGGCGACAGATGCGAGGTTGCAACGGGCTCGAGGTAAGGAGTGCTGGATACATGAGCGGTTTGTCGTGTTGGTGATGGCTTCCGCAGGCTGTCTTCTGCAGGGACAGTCTAGGTATCGAGCTCAAGTCTTGTTGATCGAGTGAATGTTAGCCAGCGGTGCCAGGGGGTGAGATGCGTTGTCTCGTTTTTGTTTGTTCAGACTCAGAATGGGAATTCGACGAGTTGCCGATTGGCTGAGCGAGGGTTAATCAGTACCCGCGGGCTCAATGTGGCAGAATAAAGGTGAAACAAGGAATGACAGGAATGGCCACCGCCGTGGATTATTTCAGGGTCACGACTCCAGGATCACAGCCTCAGTCCTCAGTGCGAGCCAACTTTGGACCAGGATGTATCTGAGACTTGAGTATCCTGTCGTATGTTTCATGGGGTCTGGTCACTTGACTGTTGGGTCACACTACACGTGGTGTCTAGGTATTTACGCGTATAAACTTTCTTGTCATTACCTACCAGCTTAGCCAGGTACAGTACCTGAGAAGTGTGGAGTTGGGGGAGAAGTGCCTGGACCAGTCAATAGGGGGGAGGCTTGCGATAGGTACAGTAACTACAGGACCATGACGCCGGGACCGAGTGGCTAGTGAGGCTGGGCTAGGGGGCTCACTAGGTGGCCTCGGCGGGCAGCTGGCACCACTGCTAAGTCAGCCTCATTGATCGTTGGGTGCAATACATAATAGCGGAGGGCACCCCAAGCCCAAGATAACGATGGAAACCCTCGAACGCTTCCTAGCCGAGCGCCTTAGGCACATTCGGAGATGTCATCCGTTACCCATCTACATACCAGTACCTCGTACTATGTACCTAGGCTCCTCCTTCCTCGAGGACTCGCAGTGCTGATGGCATCATCTGACCCTGGCGACGCCCTGCTGCTGACAAGATGACAATATATTATTTGTTTTTGTCGACGCCTAACCTCCTTCTAAAACCCTTTCTGTCTGAGATGTAGATCTGATGGCTCCATTTAATCCTGATGCCCCCGGTTGGCAAGCTTCTTTCGTCCTCCCTGACGCCCAATGGTCAAAAAGGGCACCAGAAATACCGCCATCACCGCACCAACCAGAGATACCCAGAATGTTGCCTGATATGGCCGATATGTCACTGCTCCTACCCCCTGCGCTGCACCTCCCGCCGTGTTGTAAATGCTTGTTTGAATGCCCAGCCCAACCGTCGCAACAAGCCTTGTCACCGTGTTGAATAAACCTCCTGCCACCGACTGCTGCTCACTTGGAAGAGACGACATGACGTACATGTTGGTGACGGTAAATTCCAGATCCTGAGACAGCACGCTGAACAACAATGCTGGAAACGCAAGAGCCCAGAACGATATCGACGTATATATCGCGCTGAAAAGTGCAGACGCGACCACTGCGCTGACAGCCCCAATAATCATGATCACCCTGTTGGAGACTCGGTGCATGATCATTGCTGCCAGGACATTGACCAGAATTCCCCCGATGCCCGCGGGAAGGAGATGTACGGCGACCATCAGCGGGGACAGCTGGTTAATCCTTTGCCAAAGCAACGTTAACCAAAACAAGTTCCCAGCGAAGCCATAAAACCCGAGGCAGAGCACAATCACCACCAAGGTGAAATTTCGATCCTTCCAGACCCTCAAGGGCATGAGTGGATATCGGAAAACACTCTGCCAGTATATGAAGCCGGCGACCAGTACAAGCCCAACCACTAGTAAGGCAATCACATATGACGTCCCCCATCCGTCTGGCGCGTCGCCAGCTAAAGTCAGGGAGGCGGTGAACATGGCAATTCCACCCACAGCGAGAAGCGCTCCGAGAAGGTCGAACTTGACAAAAGTCTCCATGTTGAGTCCCCCGAGCTTCTGTTCGTTGTCCGGCGGGGTCGTCCACAGCGCTGCGAAAAAGAAGAAAGCATAAATGACCGCCATGACCCAGAATGCTGCTCTCCAGGAGGAAATTTGCATCGTCACGCCACTGATAAATGCTCCAAGCACGAAACCCACCGGGTTGCCCCCCGAAAAGCAGGCAAAGGCTCTGTTCTTTCGTCGGCTCGGTCTGTCATAGACCGCCCCCAGCTTGCCAATGGCCGGGGGAACAGAAGCCGCCGAGCTGAGACCGAGGAGACCACAGAACACATCCAAAAAGTACGCATTGGTGGCAAAGCCGGTGATGAGCAGACAGATACTGAAAAAGGCCAGACTGCAGAGAAAGAGCAGTCTCCTCCCAAACAAGTCGGCCACCCGGCCAAAAAAGAGCAAGAACGTTCCCGCCGCGAGGGTCTGGGCAGCATTGATCCAGGTCACTTCGGCTGCCGTCATGTCCAGGTCTTTGCCGATGTGGTCGGTCATGCACAGAATAGCTCCGGTGAAGATCGAACTCTGCCCTACAGCGACGGTCGTGGTAAGAACAAAGAGACATTCCTGAAAGAGACTGCTGAAGCACGCCGGACGACTGCCATAGGGATCGGATTCGGTTGGAGCTAGTGATGCCCCGATTGATGCTGTCGGTTCGACCTTGGGGAAATCGATGGCCCGTGTACCGGCTTCGACGTCAAGGTCCTCTGAAGGGCGGACCTCGATAGGGGTTTTCTCCATTGCCATAAAGCGGTTTGCTGGCCCCCAGCAGGGCACAACCAAGATGTTCAAAATGCAACGTGATACCAAAAAGGACCAATTAAAGATCAAAATGCCAGAAAACCAGACATCGAAGAAAAGACTACTAACAATCAAAGGAACCTCGCCTGTGAAAGCGTGGCGGCACCGGCGGAAGAGGACAAGCTCAAATACTGGTTACACAAACGTTGGGACTCTGCCGAGAACGAGCGAACCGACACCAAAACGGCGAATCCGTCGGCAATCGCTTTTGTGGCGCTTCAATTGGCGGGCCTGGTCGCCCATCGAGTCCTGGCAATCACCATGAACATATGTAAGCTGCCCGCCAACTCTGCGGATCTATTTCCGCATATCACGACCTGCCGCAGATGGAACTGTCGCTTGCAAGAGATTGCTTTGCTGGCTGCCGGCATCGCTGCTACATACATATGTATTCGGTCCTAATGGAGGAATGGGGAGCTTACCAAGTCGACTATGCCCACAGGCTAATGTGCGGTCGGAGCCGGGCTCTTATGCAGGCACTTACCCATCAACTGTCTGTTTAAGCAAGTTTCAATGTCTATCGGGCTGTTTTCGACTGCCCCCCCCCGAGCTGCCTCTGATGGTGATGTCCCAACCGCTGTGCATCCGGCTGATGGCGACCGCTTTGGTAGTATCAGGTTTGTTGGCTCTATTTTTCTGCTCTCCTCTGTATTCGTCCATGCACTTGACACGATGCATTATGCGAGTTATCAATATCTCCTCTCTCAAGACATTCTCGTTGAGATTTGCCTGGTCGAGATCACTTGCCCCTGTCGCTACTTGCCCCCTTCTTTCGCTCTACTCGAACGATCTGCACTACCCGCGCAACACAATGAACCGCACTAGCCTCCCTCTGGGTCTTTACATGTTCCGTCCGCCGGTGACTTCGATAGTCTGTCCGTTCACATAACTGAAAAGCGGCGAACATACTGCCAAGATGGAGCTTGCGGCCTCGGTGGCAGTGCCGGGTCGTCCCAGCGGGATGTCCCTGTACGCCACGTTCGGGTCCTCGCCCTTGCGGTCGGCGATTTGCTTTCCAGGAATGCCCAGCGCAACGCGCTGGCCGTCGGCGGTGGTGATGAAGGCTCCGATCTCCTTGGCCCGCGTCAGGCGGGTGTCGATGTGGCCGAAGGCAATGGTGTTGGCGCGCACGCCGAACTGTCGTAGGTGAGGTTCGGTGGTCAGTCTGGGGTATCAAGATTGAAGATCCCTGGTGCTGCGGCCAGCACATATACAAAAAGGAGATATCGAACAGCCACCAAAGCAAAGAAGATGCCCGAACAAACCAAAACATACCTGCGGTCCCCACTCCTTTGCGATCGTCTTGGTCAAGCCCGTGACGCCTGCCTTCGCCAGACTGTAATTCGCCTGCCCAGCGTTGCCGTGGGTGCCAGACGTGCTCGAAATGTTGATGATGACTCTCTTCTCGCCGTCTTTAACCCTAAAGTACGGCGCACACTGCCTGACCAGACGGAAGGGGGCGGTGTTGTGCACGTTGATGATGGTGTCCCACTGCTTGTCTGTGATCTTGTGGATCACGCCGTCCCACGTGTAGCCGGCGTTGTTGACGATGATGTGGATTTTGCCGTTGCCGAACTCGGCCGCCTTGGAAACCAGCACGGGGAAGTAGTTGGGGTCGGTGACATCGCCGGGGACGGAGATGGCGCGTTTGTTGCCCGGGCTGGCGTCGTTGATGGACTTGGCCACGGCCTCACCCTTGGCGGCGTCAACGTCGCACACGACCACCTTGGCGCCCTCGTTGGCAAACAGCCGTGCGCACTCAGCCCCGATGCCCTGCCCGCTACCTGTGATCTTTTGCGTTCATTGTCAGCGTGGGGAGGCCACTTGGATCGTTGGGAGGAGGAGGGGAGGAGGAGGAGGAGGAGGAGGAGGAGGAGGAAGAGCAGGGGCAAAAACTAGGATGATAGAGCGCTATGTGGAGGATTGAGAGTCTCAAACCCCTTGATACAAAGGCGTCTGTGTACCCAGTACGTGTGCCTGTTTCAATTGAGAAAGATGGGCGCAGGGTAAAACTCACAATAGCGACCTGGCCGGCCAGCAGGCCTGAGGGGTAATTGAGATGCGAGGCGATCTGCTGAGCTCTCTGCGCCATGGCTAGAAATCAGGACCAAAATAACAAAAAGAGAAGGACAAAGGCTTCCAAGGTCAATCAATCAGTCAAGGTTTGGGAGAGAGGTGAAGAAACTCAAGAGAGAAACTCTCTACACAACTAGTGGATTTGGAGAACGAGGTCAATGTATGAGTTGAGCGAGTGAGTGAGTGAGACTGCGGCCGCAGATCTGGACACTTGCCGAGGCATCTCACAACGCTAATCATCGTCAGCCGCCGAGGCCGCAACCGAGAATGGAGATGGCACTTCTCTCGGCGGAAGAAGAGCCAGCGCCGAACAAGGACGTACGAGTTCAGTCCAGACGACTTCCCTCCGAGTAAGTAGAAGCGGCTTCAAGGATTGTGAACCCAGTCTACTGCTAGATACCATTCTATGCAATGGATCGTCGATACCCTCCGCCGTACACTGGTTGTTTCCAGTATGCCACGGGAAGGCTGAACCAATCTGCCCAAGTCGTGATTTTCAGAACCACCAACTCGAGAGGCGTGCCCTGTGTCTCATGGCACAGATGCACTTGGATTGTGCCCCTGGGTGTGGCTTCCACTTTCTCGGCCGTCTTCCCACGCCTTTGTAGTGCACCTGATGGGTGTGAGTACCACCATGGCTACTTCTTCCTCCGGCAGCGCGTTGTCTAGCAACAACTCTTACAAGCATACCTGCGCTCCTTTTCCTCCGCTAAACCCAGCAGGGCAAAGACCTCGTCGCACTTAACTCAACATTCAGAGCCAGTGGCAGAAAGGAGAAGAATGTAGAGATTCTCAAAGTCAGCTGGACCCGATGATTTCCTCCAGCGCCAGAAGCACAGAAACTGCACGGTCGACCTCTTACTCAGTCTGCCCTGTCTCTCCCGCCTCTCTCCGTCTACCCATCACCCTGCTCCTCCTTTTCGTTTTCATTTTAGCCAAGCCCGCAGGTACGGGGACTATGTTAAACGGATCTTCATGCCCAATATCTTACCAGACATAGAGGCTGATTCTGACTCCTCCCCTTGAACCATGAAGCCTGCGCCGGCAAATTGAAAAGTCCTCGAAAAACTCTCACTCGAGTCTTGCGTCGAACGGCTTTCTTCGTCCGCCAATAAAGCTACCATCGCCTCCGGGTAGAACCTATCGGGCAATGCCAGCCCTACACATGGAGCATCTAATGGGGGCGGCATCTAATGGGGGCGGCATCTAATGGGGGCGGCCCCTGTGACGTCGCCATAAACGTCATTTTAAAATCAGACTGGTGTTTTAATGAAGACTCTTGAAGCCGGGTTGCGTCAAAGTTGGTTGTGGGTTGATCTCGTCCAGCTGCGTCTCGCGCACTGTAGCTGAAAAGAATGTGGTGGATCCGCTGGGAATTAATCTGAAGGGGACTGTCAAATAGAACGACCCAATATTCCCCCACCAGGCCACGTTCAGACACAACAGCAACAGCGTCTCCCCAGATTTGCACAGTCGTACTATCCCTAATGAAGGATCTCGCAGCCCATCGGAAACCTGGAATGCGGAGCCTCGGACCGGGTATGAATATCGTCGCGAGAGGCACCAGACGTTGAAGAAGCCAGACGGTTTTCATCCTTTCTTCCCCCTGTTTCTCCAGAAGAGTCGCAACGTCCAATCCCATGATTGGGGCCAGGGCTAAGGTCTCATCATCGCCCTTGCTAGTCGAGCGAAAGGGCACTAAGTGCAATACAGCTGCCAAATCCATTGATTTATGCCGCTCGGAAACACACATTTGAACCAAAGTCTCGGCAAATTGCCATGTTATCTGGCAGTGAGGGTTCGATGATGCTAGATCGACGAGCTGACAGGCCGGCATAATGAAATTGTCATCGAGCACAAAGTGAATCCTATCCGATAGGGTTCCTTCTAGGGGCGTCCAAAGACGTCTCATCCAAGTCGAACATAGTATGCGGTGGCAACCAAGTCGCGAAGCCGCTTGATTTGGCATTTAGGAATGCCTCGCTCAGCATGGCTGCCGAGGCCCGTCCGACCAGACATGGGAGAATGCAATCACATTGGCTTTTCCTTTGAGTGAAGTAACAGTCTCCTCATTTGAATCATCCAAAAGGGCGTCCAAGTTCAAGACCGGCACCTCACCTTGTCGAAGAATGGTTGCTAGGCGGTGAGGTGGTGCCGCGATGAAACTACAAGCACACGATGAGTCGACATGAGACGTTTGGTATGTTTCTTCTAGCAGTTGGTACGCGATGCAAGAATTTTTAGTACATCCCTGATGACGACCTGACTTGAGGTCCTTGGCTTCGAGAAGAGCGGCTAGCTCGATGGTTGAGTGGGAAGTCTTAAATAGCAACTCGAATGTGGAAGGGCACCAGCCTTTCTTGACAAGCTGTTGGATGAGCAGGTTCCTATTCAAGTCCGAGTAGCGCCAACTCGGCCCTTCCCTTTTCAGCCACGAAAGGCATATCATAGACGAAACGTCCTGGAAGTGCCGAATGGCTTCACCAATCAGGGTGCATAGTCGCATTGTAGGAGCAATGCGCTCCTCTTTCAAATCTTTGGATGTCTTGTTACCCTGCAACTCGAGCTTCACGGTCCACTGGTAGACCATCTTCTGCGCCTCATCAAGGGCCTCTAGGAACTGCACAACCTCCGCATCGGGCATATCGTAGACTTCTCCAATCTTTTCTTTAGTGAACTGCCGAAGGAAGCGCGTGCGAAAAACTTGATCTCCCGACACGAAATCGCGAGTGCGGAATCGCTGCCTAAAAGTTGCTTCAAGGAACCCAAGAGTAAACCAAGATTGTAGCATGGATAATGTGTACGAGACACTTCGGGACAAACGCCCAAATGTAAGGTCGAGAAGTTCAGCCTGGGTCCATCCACGTAGAAGTGGGTATGTTTCGAAGTCGACGACACCGTAGGATTGCGTCGTGTCATGATCGAATCCAAGCCACGCTGTTGTAGGAAGTTTAAGCCCCGTGGCCTGGAGGTCTTCGTCGTCAAAGAGGTGGTCCATTAATTGCTGGAGATTGCACGCACTCAATGTCGTCGACGGATCTCGGGTCGAGATGCGGCTTGCTTCGCCAATTTCTCGCTCGCCGACGTGGCAGTAAGGCAGATTCCAGTTGGGTCGGCAACCTCTGTCTTCGGTTCAAGACTTTCTAAGCAGAAACCCCACTGACGGTATCCTATGGCTGGTTGTTTCGCATTGGATTTTGCCATGTATTTCCCAGAGGACTTGGAGCAAAGTTGCGAGGGTTGTGCTTGATTTCACCGCCGTTGAGAGTGGCGTCTGCTAAGGCACTGTACCTAGATGCCTATTTCACTACATGACTCGATGACTACCCAGTAACGCTAAGTAGACATGTACATTAGCCTATGGCGTACTAGTATCCCATCCATACAGATATCAGGAACCCTCAAGCGTCTCTTTCGGGGTCTAGACCAAGATGCATTGTGGTGCGATTGGCGGATGAGGAATTTTAGGCAACAGCGTACGAGCAGGGCTTTGCAATGTCCAGAAGCTTTTCTCAGCTCGGTGTCCAACGGTGAGGCAGGAGGCGCGAGGGTGCTAGATCAGACCCCATGTTCAAGTTAACTCAAGTGCGTGATTAGGCAATACGCGAAAATTGAACTCCCTCACAACACCGTGGTTTTAAGCCTCAGGTTTCTGCGGCGTACTCTGGAAGGCTGCTGAGGGGTCAACGCCGAATATTGAAACGAAGTGTTGCCATCAGCATTGGCGTTTCTGTCAGATTCAATCTCTGAGAGACGAATTGAGGATGGCTCGAGCGGATCATCACGATATAGGCGTTCGCTGTCCGTGACAGAACTATCCCCCAGCGCAGACATGCTTGATCTATATACCGCTGCTGGGCCGACGTATTGCACTCGAATCTTCCACGCGTTATTTGTCCGATGGCAGATGAGAGAGTGTTATACTTGTTTCAAGCCTTCACTGAAGCCTGTGTGACGTTGTCCACTCCTGTAGTTCGCTACTGTCAGCACGGCGCCGATTGCCGTAACACAAATGTAATCTTTCCCCTTGCGTAGAGGCGCTCCTTGTGCGACAGCGTGCAGACTGGCTGATCGGTCTCCTAGATGCACCCGCGGATAAGCACATTAACGTGCCTCCAAATTTTTCCGCAGGCGCTTCTGCAAGGCACCAGGCAGTTCTGATTATTGTTTTTGGGATCCGCGTAGAACCACGTCATTTCCTTCGCGTCATCTGTGCCGACCTAGGCTATCACCACTTCCCTTGCCTCTTTTGCTTTTTGTCGATTTACGATCACAAACGCCATATATGATGAGTCGAACATTTCCCAGACACTACCATTTTCCTTTTTCCGGGGGCCGGTTTGCCAGAACAACATGTAAATCCTCAAAGGCCGGTACTTAGGACTGCCTCACTGCAAAGTCCTGGTCGGTTGACACTTCTTCCACGGGATTTTTGTTGAGACTTTCGAACAGCTGGAGGTAGCTGCCGATTAAGAAAGCCCAGGAGCCCCTGTAGAAAGTAGGGTTGAATCAGTATAAAGTCCTCGAGTCGTGCTCGTTTGTAAATATTCCTTTCGGTAAACATCTGGGAGCATGTCGGGTGGGATCAATAGAACGTACCAAAATGTAGCCAATCCAGCTTCGTACTGTGCTCCAGAATTTTTATACGCCATACCTAGACAGCCACAGAGCGTGAAACCAAACGCCCCCACCAGGTTCCAAAATGCAATATGCCAACCCAAGAGATGCGGCGCCGGCTTGTACCATTTCTGCTGCGTCTCGAGCATGTACAATGTGCTGCTGACAATGAAGCCACTTCCACCAATAACCTGAGGGATCCAGTATGCGGCATTGAGCCGCCACTGGGGCGTCAAATGATCGATGATGCCGGGTAAGGCAGTGATTCCAGAGATGCCAAAGACGGTCGCGCCAAAGAGTTGGGCCGAGCCGGCAAGGAAACCAAATTCATGAAGGTAATGCGTACGCAGATCGTGCCACGAAGGGAACCATTGCCAGGCCCTTTTGGCCAATTTGCCTCCCTTCGAGGGAGGTTGGGCCTCGGGGACGGTTGAAATCGAAGGTCTGCCGACGAAATTATGCCTATTCCGATGGTGATGGTGACAATGGTGGCGGTTGGCAACGACTCTGAGTCTTGCTACACCCCTTTTCTGATCGTCATCGTCGTCAAACAGTTGCTCAACAGCCCAGCCAAAACAGCCGGTGTTGTTGGCATTAATTGCTTCAAAGATGAGGAGGATGGAGCCAGTTTCGAAGAAGAGGATGGCGCCGATGAATGCTGTTACGCCTCCTCCGTAGTATATTTCGCCGTCAAATTCGGTCGAGGGGGCTACGACGGGGAGCCAGACGAAGAAACCCTGTTAGTCCAGCACCAGTGGTTAGTCGAGTCCGTTAGCCGGCCATCTTGGGGGTGTCAAAGACAGGACATACATTCAAAACCCAGACAACACTCCCCCATGTGAATACAAAAGCAACAAGCCAGGAGATGTCCCAGATTGGAAAACATGTAAAGGTTTTGACGACTGTTTTCAAAACCTCTCTCGGGTCTGACGTTCGTCTGGGTGTCACAAAATAAGCCTCCTCCCCAGGCTTAGGTCTCTGGACGAGCAAGGGATGTCGGCCTTTTCGATTGTCTCGCGACCGCCACAGGAACCGCACATTTTTGGCGGGGACGTTGGATTCGGAATAGCGCTTGGGGACTTCATGGTCGGCAGCATTGTCGACGCTGTCACGCGAAATTGCTGTATCGTCAGGCGTTTCTTTGGACACGGATCCCGAGTGGTTGAAATGGGCTCTGGTGGGATTGAGAAAACTGAAGGGGCCTTCGGCGCGTTCCAAGGTCAGTCTGTTGTCATGTTGGAATGGCTCTCGCGTATGGAAATGCCGGTTTCTAGGGGGCATGGTGGTGACTTGGCCGTCGCAACGAGTTCCCAGACGGAGATTGGATATTGTTGACGTATGGTATTTGCGCTCATGCACGTTTCCATTGCCTGTAGGCGACGATGCGCATGGACATGAACATGAAAATGAAAGTTGGTTGTCTCCCTGCGGTAGCGAGCGCGGGCCTGTGTCGAGGTTTAAATGAAAATGATGTTGTTGATGACGACGCGGAAAAGTTTTAGGCTGTTTCGCTTCCCAGTTGCCGCTCGCCGGCTTCAGAAAGGCTGGTGGAGGCCAAGATTGTGGCTTGCTTCCCCCGTCAAATGCCATCAAATGGGCTCTCAGAGTGGCTTCACTCGCCAGTCACTTGTTGCTTAATTCGAACATTGGCTCGCTCCCCTCTTCAAATCCTCGTTTGCTGACGGAGCAAGACTGAGCCACCCACTCATGCTTACTGGACCACCTGTGTACTACTCCGGAACTGCAATTCTCTCACCCAACTCTACGCAGGTTCTGGTCTATGATTGTTCTGGAACTGTTGGCTTAGATGTGCTAGCCGTCGGTGCAGAAGACACCCCTGGGATCTGCTCAGCTGGCTGTTGGGCAATCTGTAAAAGATCTTTGAAGTAATCTATATTTAATTGCGATGTGGCGTCCACAGCACTCAGGGCCACATATTGTTGTCGAACCACTGCATGGAGGAACTGTCCGTGGACTTTCAGTACTGCAACCTGTGCACGCAGACTCACCGCGGTAGATATCTCTTCTGTTCGGTCCGATTTCCTGAGTCTCACTCGGAACGGTCTGCCAGATAGACCCGAGTCACCCTCTTGTTTGCCGAGAAACATCAATCTCCCTGGCTCTTTGTTCGGAGTCAACGTTGAGACGGATCGGCCGTCTGTCCAGGCCGAAATCGAGAGTCGTACAGCTTCTCCGCCGAGGGAGCGGACGAAAGGTACCTAGATATTTGCTTGAATACCTAGGTGTCGTTGAAGGTATTCTAAGCACTCCCAAGGGCGGGCTGACCGACGGAAGTGCAGCAGCAGAAAGGAGCCTCTTGGAGCCTCTTCATGCAGGGCAGGGATTTCTTCATTCCGATTCCGGTCTAGGCTTGCCGCCATTAATTATCTAGGAGTCCCCACAATAACCTTCGATATTAGCAGCGAACGGACAGCAATATGTCTTGTCTCACCGATGGCAGACCTCATACTCGAATCGTTGGTCTGAGGTGGGCAATAGGCGGTTCTTCCGCTTCGGACGAACAGAGAGTATCCGTGAAATGGAACGAGCCGACTGTAGGAGACGTCGAGTATAAAATGGGCTGTCGCGTCCACTGGAGGCCCTGTCTTTCCCAGACACTTCTCTCGAAGTTGTTTTCCTGAGATAAAGGGAAACTTCGCTCTTCACTGTCCAGACCGCTCTTTCCGTATTAGCTTGCATCTCCCGATCATGGCGCTCGACGCTCTTTCTTTAGATGGAAAGATCGCCATCATTACTGGGTCAGGCAAAGAAAACGGCATTGGTGCAGGCATTGCTTCTACCCTTGCGCGCCACGGAGCCTGGGTGGCAATAAACTATGTGTCCGAATCGACTGCGCCCCGTGCTGCGGAGGTAGCTAAGACGATTGAGAAGGCTGGAGGCAGGGCCACTGTTGTACAGGCAGACTTAACGACTCCAGAGGGGGCGAGGAAACTTGTGGAAGCAACGCTGAAGGCTTTTCAGGTGGACAAGGTCGATATCCTAGGTGTGTGTGATATCTCGATTCGAACTCCATTCTTCTCATTTCTAGCGTCGCGCATTGTTGAGAGCTGACAGGGACTTATTTTTGGGTCGTAGTGAACAACGCGGGTGGAGGTCCCCTCGTCCCGGTGATGCAAGCCACAAAAGAGGACGTGGAAAAGACCTTTGCGGTCAACGTCTTCGCTTCGCTGTACATGACGCAAGCTGTGATTTCTGTCATGCCGCGAGGCGGACGCATCATCAACATCGGCTCCATTGCATCGAAAATGGGCATGGCGCCCGTTCCGCTGTATAGTGCATCCAAAGCCGCTTTGGATACGCTGTCATATGCCATGGCCATGGAGGTACGTAGGGTTATCATGAATTTGTGGTTGATGGTTCTTTCCCCACATTGCTCTCCCTATCTCGAGCATTTGAGACGACAATTGACAGTTATCATTGCAGCTTGGACGCGGATATGCAGTCACAATCAACACAATAGCACCAGGACCTGTCCCAACAGGTGAGTGATTTCTTGCAAAAGATCGCCTGACCTTTTGGATTTTGCTCGATTGAGAGTTCGTTCTCGGATTGTTCCCTCATGAGACGCTAACTTTTGGGACACTGTAGACGGTCTGCCCAAGGGCTCGGTTGCTGACGCCCTGCACAACTTTCTCTTACCTCTGACGAGAGCCGAAGAGAGAATGGGAACGGTTGACGATATCGCCGATGTAGCGTTGCTCCTTGCCTCCGAGAAGAGTCGATGGATCACCGGCCAGTGTATCTCAGCGAGTGGTGGAATCACAGGAGGATGAGACATGACGCTTTTGCAAGCTTCAGCAAGTTCAAGAGCTATGCCGGTCCATTCAAGTTTACCAGTATGGCTGCCAGAGACCTAGTCTCTATAGCCTGTCTCGAACGAGCAAGAAGCGCGGTCAATGTCGAAGATAAATCTCGCGACATTCGTCTCCATGCATTCATCAATCCAGATTAAACATTTCGCAATATCAACGGCAGTTCTGCCACTTCTGATCCCCATGCCTCTCATCAGTTTGACAACAGCGCTAGCATGTAGTTGATTCGACTCATTCGACCGGACAGAGGCGACCATAATGATCGCCCAAAGGCTGAGTTCCGGAAAGTGAGTGTCATAAGGTGCCGTGTAGAGAAGAGCCGAGAATCGCTGCTGCAAGATTGTGAGCTCGTCTGCTATGAGTGAGAAAGCTTGCTTCACACTGGCCACCAAGATCAACAAGGCTAGTCTGACTACCTCGCTGAGCATTAGCTCGGTCGAATAATTGCTGCATGAACCTGAATCTGTTGGGCGTCGTAATGATAGTAGAAAATGGAGGACAGGCGTGATTCTTTTCGCTGCTGTCGCACCGTCTTTCCAAAACAGAGGATTCTGGGCGTTATTGTTTACGAACGTTGCCAACTGCGCAGTCCTTTCAAGGGCGATTGCTGTTTCCGCAAGTTCATCGGAGAAATGTCGAATTCGTACAATGAGATCCTGCATAGACGGAGACGATATGTCGTGTTGTACAATCGGAGCAAAGACGTCAGCAGGAAGGAGGAAGCGTGGCCTGCAATCGAGAACGGACGCTCTAACGATATCAAACCTGCAGACTCTCAGAATATTGTTCACACAAGGCATTTGCTCATTTTCGCCGGTCTGCCATACCAGGAAGTGAACATGACGACGGTTCTATTCAGAGCCTGGAAGCCCCCACGAAGTCGGAGAATATCTTTCAGACCCTTCATGTGAACATCGAATCGATCCCATCTGCCAACACTGGACTATTGCAATAGTTATCATCCGAACTCTGGATTTAACGCTGAGGGAACCAACATCGTGGCAAAGAAATCCCAAGATTGTCGTGATGACGCCATCGCTGACATGGTCGGATTCCTTCCCAAGCCTCTCTGTAACTTGATTGAGACACAAGCTGAGATACGCTGAGGACTCCTCAAAGTCACTGTGCTCGCAACCTTTGCGTTGAGCCATCTGATGGAAGAACAACGCGGCGTTTGCCAATGAGAGGTAGAATGCAGTGCAATCGATGACGGCCATCGCAAACCACTCATTTCGGAATGGCCGATAGAGGTATTCGCCCTCATTATGCACTAGGGTCGATAAGCCAGAGAACTGAATCGAGTACTTCGCGAAATGGACGTACTGAAATGAATCAATTCACGTGCCCTCCCATCTGGTTCCACGGGAAACAAGGCATAGGGATGAAGCGAATGGGGAACGTGGCGATAGCACTGCGGATCATCTTGTGATGGATGAACGGATGTCTCTACATTGTCTTCAACAGCAGCAACATCGACATCCACTCGAGGAAGTCTCACCGCCAAATTCCAGGATTTTGGACGCTTTTTCCGTGATTCCGCAGCGCGAGCCATGACATGGCGTCGAATGATTCTTTGGGTGCTTCTTTGCCTCGACTCATCTGGGCGGGATGTGTGAACAAATGTGAAGCTACTTGGTCTATCGTGGCTTTTCGTCTTGGGCATTATGAGAGTTGGAATGCTTTGCAACTGTAGCTATGACTAGCTATGAGTTGAGGAGAATGAAGAGCTGAGGTCGAACGGACAGCGAACAGGGCCAAAGAAATTGCGCGTCTGACGAAAAGTGCCCCGAGTATCAGGCCTTCACAGGATGAGATCATGCTTGATCATGCTCTAAATGATGCGTCGTCAGACCAGGCCATTTTCTCCTCTAATGGTCAATTGGCGTGCAAATCGAAAACTCAATCTGGCAGGTCAATCGCGCGACTTGAAAAAAAGTATCGACATCATTGAATTTCCTCATCGCCTTCAGCAAATTGTCTGACTTTCTTTTCTCTTTTCACGTTGCTCGCATATGGCTTCACCCACCTCTAGCGAATCCTTCCCTTGCTGTGTCTAGCGGTAGTGCATTCTCACATGTCTTCCCCATCGATTCGTTCTTCGGGTCATGCGCAGATGCTTTGAGCAGCTTCCATCTAGAAGTCAGTTGTGCAGCCATCCAATTGCTCCGCCTCTGTCGTTCTTCAGGGCTGGACAGAGTCAGAAGCTCTTCGTCCCAAAGCTTCCGTTTCAGATACAACTTCTGCCTACCACTCAAAGATCACTATCATACTCCTCCCTCCGACACCTCCGTAAAGATGCCCCAAGCCCTCCCTTCCAGGGTGTCGCTTCCACAGGGGTCAAAAATGCAAGTGAGAGAAAAGATGGACGAAAGAATCATATCCATGCAGCGGAGCTTTCGCAGAAAAGCCCGGAGGATTGGGTGGCCGAGCTGGATACCTTTCTCCCAAGAAGCTTGAGTCGGTCGGATGAACTTGGATCTCGAACCGTCATCCCAGTAGAGGTGGTTGCGAAGGATGTGCTTCGGATTCTTACGGATACTCGTGACCAGAGAAATGTGGATATTCTGGGCTTCATGACGCTCAACCAACGCCGATACAAAGCCGTCATTCACCTTGTTGAAATCTTGCTGAAGGCTGTTGCCCTAGCAGTTAATGAGCCCTTCGAAGACGAGCTGCCTTCCAACATAAATTGGCCAGATGGGTCGTTTGCGAAGCGAAATGGCGCCCCAATTGAGCTCGACCGTACTTTGCACGTCAGTCGACGACCTGTTGCTACTTCTCTCAATTCCTTCGACTGCACTCTACCGGAAAAGAATCACGAGATTACCATGGAGTTCGTCTGGTCTCTCCTGGCCGACCTCGTTTTAGCGTCTACCAACCGACTCTCGGATGAAGGGAAGCAGATCATGAATACAGTCCACCAGATCTTGGCGCTCATTCACAATTTGGGGCTCGTGCCAGCGAATATCTACACTTACTGCCTCCCACAAGGCACAACGACGATTCAACACTCGCCGATTCTTCATCTACTGAACTCGAGGATTTTGTCAACCCTCTCAGACGCTGTTTGGCATGCCTACCAGGATGATGTTTTTGCGCGTTCTGGGAAAACGGAGAGCAGTCCCTGGAATATCTTCCGAGAGCCGCCGCCGAGTCGTTTGCGACCTAGAAAGCCAGAGCTTGGACCGGAAGTGTGGCTGGAATTCATCCTCTGGTGCTGCGTCGAGGCTGGATTTGCCGCGACCGGAGCTCGAATTGTCCAATCATTGCAGAAAGACGTTCAAGGGCGTTGGCAGGCTATTCACTGGCCCGACGATCGAGTCCCCTCAATTGATTGGGACCAGCGGACCCGCAAAGGCCGTCTGGAGAGTGACGCAGAAGCCTGTCACAGGCAACAACTTTCCGAAGTCAATCCCCAGAAATTCATAAGTGCTGAAGTCATTCTAGCCATCGCTGACAGCCTGATTAACAAAGCCAATCTGGGCGTTTCAGACGATGATCTGCCCATCATGAACATCCAAAATGAAATAATGGAGCTGATCTCATTTGCGGGACTACATGGTCTGGCACCGGCATATTTCGACTACCTGGCTGTCCGTCTTCTAGAGACTGGAAATCTGTATAACCTGGGCAAGGCCGACTCTTTGCGAAATTGGGCGTCTATTATATCGCAGCTTCGGAGTATGCATGGTGTGGAGGAAGAGCATCGCCAAAGTCCAGAGCTTGACTTCGACTCCATTCTCGGTAATTCGGAACTGCATGCTGGGATTCTTCATCAGGCTCTGCAGGCCTGCATTGAAGCGAATCTTGTCAAAAAGGCTGTCGACACATTCACAGAAATTCAGAAGATAGTCGACGGTAACAAGCTCGAAGCTATCGGGGAGTTTTTGTCTCTTTCACTCAATCCAGAAGATAACTTCTCTGCTTCTAGACATGGCAAAGGTCGGGGTGAATTCCTCAATTCCTACGGACAGCTTCCTATCTACAGGTTACATCCATTCCTCGATCTAGTGAGCAATGCGAAGTTATTTGGCTTAGGAGATTGGCTTCTATTCTCGGAGGATGTTGACGGCCCCGTCTTGCCTTCGTCCACCTGGGGAAAACCGTCTGTTACCGCTGCAGTAGTTCGCTACGCGTCAGCTAAGAATGACCCTCTTTTAGCCAAACATATCTACAATATGATCAGACGCTCGGACAGAAAGCCGACCGTAAACGTCCTCAGAGCTTTGGTGGTTTATCACATCAACGCGCGGGACTGGACAAAAGCTACCCTGCTTCTCCTGGATCTACGTCGCGCCGAAGGCGGCGGATACAGTCCTCAAATCGTCGCGAGTCTCGCAGCTAAGATTTTGAGCTTGGAAGTGGACGTGGCGGTCATGCCGCGAGAAGATGCTGAGTTCGATCTTTCACAAGCAATGTTGCTGTTCTCTAATATTCTCGATGGGGTTTATGACTCTCCGCCAGCGAGCTTCAGAGTCGACCAAAAGAAGACCTTCAGACAACAAGTGGGATATCTCTTGCGTGTCTTGGAAAACGTATTGGACAGCAAACTGGCGGACATAGCCACTCGGTTCAAACAGAGATTCCCCGTCAGTAACAAGCCAAACCTTGCGAAGGACACGTTCAATGTTCTGTTCGCTGCAATTGTCGAGAACAAGGGTGTCCTAGAGGGGCGCAGCATCTGGTATCTCTTTTGCAAAGACCCGAGAGATTGTGCCGCCTCGCCACGTGTCCTAGACAATGACAGTGACGCTGCATCTGAAGAACGCGCCACAGACAAGGACGAAGACGACTTCCTCCACGGACAAGTAAATGATGTACTCATCGACCTGGTTGGTGTTAGCGGACATGATGGAGATCGTTTCAGCTCAAAAATGAGTTTGCTTGAGTTGCCTCAAAGCTCCGATAAAGCCGTCCCACACGCAAATGCCCAAACTCCTCTTGCCCACCCGGCATCACTCAGCATAGATGCCACGTTGCCACAAGATAAGCTTGGCTTTGCCGGCAAGCAATTTTGCACCAACTCCGACGAGGAAAGCAAAGACGCGGGCATTCCCATCGAGAGAATGGGTTTAGAATTTAATTCAACACAGCCGCATCTAGATCCGATTATTGTTCCCGACATGCGCACCTTACAGATCCTTGTGAGAGGGGCTTTGGCTGAGATACAAGCCAGAAAAGAGCGTCGGAGAGGTCATGCCGATCTCGATGCTGTCGTCAAATGGGCAGAACAGTTCTATGAAGCATTCAACTTGGCGCGCGAAGATGTTGAAACAGAATTTCGTGTTTCCCCCGCCTTACCAAGGAAAATGAAAATCGCCACGCAGCATCGTCGAGCAGTATATGGGAGGTCATCGCGAGAGAAATTCAAACCTAATGTGGCCAAGCACTTCACCAAGGGAGTCTTCATTCCTAGACGTCCTGGCACTCAACAATCAGGACAGGATCCAACCCAGGTCAATGGCGTCAATAACATAGCAGAGGATGCCACGAACAACACCGAGCAGGAACGGCGCGCAGATGAAGGTATGCCTGTCAAGCTCGCGTCTTCACCGAATTTCAAGGTCCGGAAATTTGCATCTGCACATGCGTGAATGCATTCCAGCTAGTGTTATTTTGGAGATTTGGCCGCCTACGAGGCCAGTTGCAGTGTATATCTAGATGTATGTACTCCCTGCTGTACAATATCACCTAGTTTTCTATCCGTGCAATGTATACAAAGCAGATCAGCCCATTGATTCTGTTCCAAGCAACCGCCACAGTACCCTGCTCAAGTGTCGGATTGCAATAGATGTCGACGTGGTTCTTGGCTTTCTTGCGAGAGAACGCAAACAATATTGGGAGATGGTGTGCTCCTCCTCTGCAGCAAAGCTGGTTCTTCTCTCTGCAACCTACGGAATGAGAGGACAATTTTTGGACCACTAGGATCGGCTACCAGGATCACACTGCCCAGTGTTCTTGATACACTTGCGCACATGTGCCTGTTGAGGCTGTCATCCACGTTTGAGGGCTATCTCCGACTAAATTGGTTCTGGTTACAAAATACAGTGGAACATTGAGGATCGCACCGACTCTTCCGCTACAATAATGTGGCATCGTGAACGAAACTTGAGATATAAGAGCCCGCTGCAATAATACCAGGATTCTCGACCCGTGCAAAAAAAAAAGACCCAAAAAACCATGCAATTTCCTCCCGCTTAACCTGCAGAAAGATACTTCCACCTCTCCCTCGCCTCGCTCTCCCTGCGCTGCTTCTCTTCCTCGCTCACCATTTCCACGCCCTGGGCGATCCTCTCGTCCCTCGCCTCGATCACCTTCCTGACCTTCCAGGCTATGGCCGCAACCGCCCCGTACAGCACTGCACTGATGAACTGCAGTGCGACCATGACGTCCCAGATATCTTCGTTCCCGCCGGTGGCCGCGGGGCATTCATTGCGCTGCAACGAGCCGTGCGCGTCGTGGTTTCCGACGCAGGCGCCCATGAAGAGGATTGAGCTGACGAAATGGATAATCGAGAGCGTTGTGGAAAACCACAGTGCCAGTCGAGGCGGATTGACCCGGGCGAGCACGTGCAGATGGAGAGAGGGGATCGCATTGAAGAAGGCCAGCCCGGGGATGAGGATGGGTTGGATGACTTGACCGCTATGTATCACGAGGAAGTGTGATATGTCAGCCTATTTTTTTTTCTTCGAGGGGAAGGTCCATATGTCAGGGCGCAAGTTGGACGGAGGGGGCGACTTACAAGTTCAGGTCCGTGCTCAGCGAGGCAATCCATACGGCACCAAGTGCGATCTCGGCCATGCTTAGGAGGCCTATCGCCAGCACAAACCAGGGTGCGTAGCCTGTCCATTTCGCTGCTTTCCTCCAACGCTCGTCGCCCCGGAAGGAGGCGTCAGAGAGGCCTCCAATTCCAAGCATCGCTGGAGTAATCCGCTGTGGTAGCTGATGTAGAAATTTCAGTTGATGAGCCGCCTTCCCTTCGTCCTGGGACACAGTCCTACGACATCGAATTTTGCCTCTTCTGTGATTTCGTCTGCCTCTTCCTGAACGGATATATGCACATTGAAGTCCCGAGCTGGGTCGCACACCTCTCTCTCTCTCACCTCGCCGGCGTGGAAGGGAGAGCAAGCGGGTACACAGCAAACCGGGGACAAATTGATGAGACACAATTCAGAAAATTCTACAATGAGGAAGAAGGCCCATCCACGATGGAATAGAACAGCAAAGAGAGTTGGTTCAAGGGCCCCCTCCCGGCCCTCGATTCTTCAAAAACCCGAGCGCATCTCAATGTCGCAGTACTAATGGTAGCGCACTGGGTGGTACATGGTCATGGGCACGTAGTATGACGATCTTCATCCTCCCATATGTGGGGTACGTATGGATATTTGTGTAGGTATGGAGTTGAAGGAAGGCCTGATCGTCGCTGGAGGAAGCAAGCCCACGATGATTCGATGACTCGATGCGGGCAATGCCAGGCGAGCAAGGCTTGCAGGTGCTTGGTCAAGGCTTCGTTGCTGGAGGGGCCCCACAATTGTGCCGGATTCCGTTCTCGTGACCGAATACGATCATTTCCTTCGTACTATTATCACCCCAGATATGTGTCTCCGTACTGCTGTTGCAACTTGCTGCAGAATATGTCTGGAGGGATGTAGGTACAGGTGTTGTTGCTGTAGGGAGAATGGTGTATGGTGGGACACACTCTCCTGAAACCAGAGCACCTCTGAAAGTGACGCGTGGTTCTCGCGGTACTCTGTACTAGATTCTCAACGCCGACGAGAGCAACATGGTCGACAATGCTGAGCCGACTGGCGACTGCCCCATGCAAATGCTGTGCTCAATGTGGAATCCTAAAGCGTTTCGACGTACCTCGTGTCGTAACTCATGAGCATCGTAACCTCCCTCTGTTTGAACCAACGACTGTCATCCCCATATCTCTGCAATTTTGGCGCTCAATGCCTTTCCCACCTTCTTCCGAGGAATGGCAGACCCAAGGCGATCGCTTATCATCCAATCCCTCGTCGGTCCCTTCTCTTGTACCTCGAAAGCTTCGGCTAGAGCACGCGGCGTTGGCCAAATTTTTTGAATTTCAATGGCTTTATCCCCAGTGACACCTCTTGTACACATTAACATCTTGAGATAGACATCTCGAAGCGTCATGCTCTCCGTTTTGTCACACATGGCGCTAAATACCGAGAATGTCATTCCGAAGGCTCTCCCAGGTGAGGTCTTCCTGAATCGTTCCAACGATATTGTCACAGCCTCAGCCCCGAAGCTTTGAGCAGGGATGATATTGACGTCCTTGCTTTCGTACAGTCTTTTCAACGTTTTAGTCATACGAGCAAGATAATGAATCGTATCATCCAGCTTTGTTGTTTGCTTGACAAAGAAGTTGTCAACCACTTGCATACTGGCGATGGCACTCTCCAACGCGTCCCCATATTTCTCACTTCTTTCAGAGGAGATCGAGTACTCTTCAATTAGGTATGTCACATTCTTTATCCCTGATCTGTGCAGCCGAAATTTTTGTTCGTGGAAGCGTCCATCTCTGATACTGCTGATCAGGTCATCGAGCCTCTTGCGCTCTAGAATGTGTTCCAAAACAATCTCCACTTTGTCGTCTTCTCCGTCGCCAACGGTTGCTGCCTTGAGACTATTAGCGTAGAGTGGATTTACTTCTGCAACCCACAAGACATCGCCTAGTGGGAGTGAGCGGATGATTGGAGTTACGCCATGCTTTTTCAATTCCCCAGAGATGTAATCTCGGTCAGTTGTAGTACGGATTTCGCGCATATCAAGCACCATTTTCACCTCAAAGCTTCCTGCTGGCAGAATAATGGTGTCTTGCAGAGAGGAGCTGGAACTTGCCGGTCTTCGATCAAGCTTACCGCTTCTGGAGTGGACATTACTCAGCTCCGGTTCTGAGTTAGGCCAATCGTCCTCGGAGATTGATAATACTCGCAAGTGATCAGAAGCTTTGTGAGATTGGGCGCCACCAGGTTGGCTGTGCTGCGCTTGAGCAGCTGGAGCAGATTGTTTCGATCTAGGTTCGGGTGTGACGGATCTCGAACCACTCGCGCCACGAGCTGGCGCGGATGTCTTCTCATTCATCTTCTTCGCGGGAACAGGACGACCTTCGACGCTTGCCTGTATACCGTCTGCGACCTCCCATCCTTCATCGGACAAGTAATATCTTTTCGTCGGATGCCCTCTGGTACACACAAGCTCTTTGGTCTCCAACGTTTGCATGGACTTCCATGCCGTAAAGAATTTGGTAGGATCACTCGGGACAGTGTAGCTCGAGTCGCAATGAGGTTGCGCCAGCTCAATAAGGTCAGGTTTTGGGATAGCCTGATTGCTTTCTCGGTCTAAGGTGCCGAGAGCCACTATCAAACCATAGGCACCAGATCTATATTTGGGAACGTATGGCTTGGGCTTCTTTCGTCGGACTGGTGAGGATTGTTCAGCTTCGACTGGTTGAGCCGCATCTGACGGCAATCCTTCTGAGGTCCTTTGTCTCTTGAGTTTCTTCTTGGGCATAGCTAGTCCATTTTCTTCGCAGTGCTTTTTGAGCTTCTCTGTAAGTCGGTCGCATAATTTTGGGCCGAGGCCGTTAAGCTGTTGGGCTTCGGACGGATGGTTGAAAGTCAAGGGACATGCTTTGATGGATTGATAGGCTTTTTTATAACTGCTGTTGTCAGCGCCATCGCACAAAATGTCAACACGATAGGGAGAAATACACGGTATAACCTTTGCTGTTTCGTTCCTTTGCTTCATCCATCCATTCTTTCAGCCATCCCGCCAACAACGGGTTGGCACAATCTTCTGGCATTTTCACTGCAAAACCGCACGATGTGGACTCAGTCATACATGATGGGAATCCATAGTAGTACACGACGAGAATAGTGGTCTTGGGACCGACGTTGCGTTGTTATATCCGTACACTTGAATCCGAAGTCCCTCCAACGAGCAAGAGTTTCCCCACGGACGCGTGCGCGCTTCCCAAACGCGCTGTCATGTGATTGCCAGGTGCTGACTCCTATTTCACTGGACTCACCACAGGACTCATATTACAGGACTCATATTACAGGACTCACTCACGCAATCGGAATGCACATTACTACCGCCATAAGACGAGCCCATCATAAACAACTAAACTATGCGGGCATATATCGGGATCAAGTTCCATCCAGACGATAGGAATCGGCATGATATTGAACAATTGTCGGACTTGCTCACCTCCTGCGGCTTCGAGACAATCTGTGTCCGGCGTGACATTGAGAAATGGGGGGTCATTTCTCTGTCTCCCGGAGAATTGATGAGGGAGACATTTGAAATCATTCGCTCGTGCCAGCTAGTAGTCATTGAATTGAGCGAGAAGGGTGTCGGGCTAGGTATCGAATCTGGCTACGCGTTTGCGCATGCCATCCCGGTGATCACCATTGCGCGAGATGGCTCTGATATCTCTGATACGTTGCGTGGCATCTCTCAGGCGGTGTACCTCTATGAGAAGATGGCTGATTTGCGCGAGCCTTTTCAGCACCTCGAGATAAGAGAACATTCCTGATATGTATGAATACAACATTGACGACGATAGCGAATTTTACGCAGTCTCTTCTTCTCACCAAGCCCTCATGTGGGCTTGGCGAGATTGGTAGTCGAGGGCTTTGAAGCTAAATAGCTGCGGCTATTGAAAAGTCAATCCAACGGCAAAGACAAACCAATGAGTCTACCGGCACTTGAACTATTCAAGGGTTGAGATGTGCCGGGTCCTACCATATTCCGGCATATATTAAGGGACTGCATCAAGTGGGACTATCGCCACAACAATATTCATATGTCAAGCAGGTCGGCAACGGCCCGAAATTTATCCCATATATACGATATCGGGTGCAAGTTTGGACATTAAAGGGGTATCAAACCTATACCGGGCAGCTCGATTACAACAGACCTCTAGCCATCTTCCACATCACCCAGGGGCAGTCCCTCTCCGCAAGGGGCGTCCAGTGTTCGATTGATTTACTGGTGTCCACAAGCACGAGCTTTGCGCCCATAGCCAAAGTGCCACCACAGCAATCGAAAAGACTCCCAAACTCGAAGCCCAACTGCAGCTCAACCAGACTGATCTTCTTCTGCACCTCTGTCTTGGGAATATCGCCGTAGAACAGGCTCAGGTGTGGGAGATATTCATTCTCTGCCCAATTCTTTGCGTCGCTTTCGGACAACAGGAGGCCCTGCTGCCTGCATGCCGCGGCAAGTTTGAGTAAGTTGGCATCTTTCGCAGCTCGAAGAGTCACCTTTTTGAAGAAAGGCTCCCCAGCTTCGAGTTGCTCGAGCTCGACATTTACCTCATTCAACTCCTTTTTAAACTGGGGTAGAGAAAGGCCGTCTAGCCACTCCTGTGGTGATGATGATCTGTAGGTCTTTGAAGGATCAATGTCTGAGGTTATGGTCACATGTGGGATGAAATTGCGCTTGGGCGCCTGAGGGAAGTCCGATGGCAGTGTACTGCTGATCAGCTCCTTTAGGGACTTGTTGAATGGCTCATCGTCTTTGCGAGCGATGAGCCACAGAGACGAGCCCGGCATGAGATGGTTGGAAGTGCTTTGAAAAGTCGTCGAGGGTATGGTGAATCGACAGGGGCCTGAATTGCAGATGTGGATGTTGCAGGAGAGCTTTTTCGGGCTTCAAACTCTTGAGAATTGCTAGATTCTGGTCTTAATAGTTTTTCCCATGTGCAAAACACAGACACGATGATCACTCATCATTCATCAGGTTCCCTTGGGCCGGGGAAGCCCAGGGCGGCGTCACGTTCCCCACAAAATGATTTTCCCCAGAGCTTAGTCAAGAAGAGTAATACTAGCACTCAGCTGTCGCATCGCCGCTCCGAGGCTCATCTCTTTGTCCCTATAAAATGCCAGGTGCCGAAGTCCAGACCAGACCTCTCTATACACAATACCACCCGGCGGCTTGAGCTCATCCATTGATCTATGTCCTTCTCGTTTTCTAATAATCAAGGGTTTGCCTCGAAGTTTGCAGAACAGACATGATCAGGCTGTATTCTGTTGTTCCACGCTAGACCTTGAAGTGGAGGGTACAACTCGTGACAGTGTGGTGTGATTCCTGCTTCAACGCCCTGAATTTTGTCGAGACGACGGAGACAAGGTTTTCCTCGCGAGCAAGTGAAATAGCGCTAAGTTGTCAGCCGTTACCCTGAGCTCTTTGCCGGCGCGATGAGATCTCGACATTAGCCCATTCCTTCGAACAGGACACTGCGTTTGCAAGAATCTGCTCTTCACGGCGCGAGCTCACATCATACCTACATCTCAACTTGTTTTAGAGCTTATCTTTTCTGCACGACATGATGCAAGGGATTCTATCAGACAGCCCGTTAACTGACGTCGAGCTCTGGGGGAAGGTTTCCCAGACCATGGCCGTTCTCATCTAATGGCTCGGAGTAGCTCTCCGTGGGTGATCCCCCGTATGAAGTAAGATCTCGGTCCCCCTTCTGCTCAAGTGGTTGCATATCCAGAGCTTGGCTGCAAGATCGACGAGCTCGGGAAAGCAAAGCATGGGGAATCCGTCCGATGAAGCAGAAGTTGCAGATGTTGACGTCTACGACTTTGCTTGAACGGGCTCTGGCAAATGATTGGGTACCAATGACAGCCTTGCGCCTCACCTCTCTTTTTCCCTGCAAGCAACACAACTCTAGTCGAGATGGTACCTGAACTGGGCAACTGCTGCAGAACCACACCAGGGCCTTCTGGGACTATACCGATTGGTCTCATCGTGTCTTCCTAGATTCCCCAGTTCAAACTTTCGTCACTGTTTTTAAGACGACTGGCTGTGATCAGAGCTAATGACCTCACCACTTCATCAATGGGCTTCCTGATCTGAGCGTAAAGGGTGTGAAATGTTGCGCTATCATGACGACAGAACCATGAACGAAACCGCGCTGGTTCTGGGAGCTTGGTACGGTGAGGGGGAACATTGAACAGCACCTCTAGAAGCATATAAATCTAGGTCGAAGATTCCGGACATAGTAATCTTTTCCATCCAGATATCTCACCATCCAAACATATCCTTTCGTCTCCATCTGCGCCGACCGACCAGCTTAACCTAACCTTCTCAACATGTCAACTGCGCCGGGAGACGAATACCAGCCCGCTGGCGAGGGGTTGGAAGGCAGTACCACTGCCGACACGATGCAAAACGATTACAAGTCGCGAACTGGCCAGAGCCACATCCCAGTCCAAGGCGACGACGCTCCAGTCGAGGATCCAATTGATGCAAGCAAGGCTGACTCGGACGAGCAGCTCGGTGAGTGCTTCAAGGCCGAAACCATCGACTTCGCTTCATGCCCGTACATGATATGCGAGATACTGACTCTTGAGTGCAGCTCGTGACGACGCCGAAGCGATTGACGAAAGCAATATCATCAACGAGCGCACGCGTGGAGCGACGAAACAGGGTGGTTATCGTGAGCCTGGCGACGAAGAGGGTCTTCCAGGACCAGAGGATGGCACCAGCCGAGTACGTGGAGGTCCGAATCCATAGATTATTATTTGAAAGAGGGTGACAGGTCATTGAATCCGACGGATAATAGCGTGGAAAGAGGATGAAGTACGAGTTCAATAAATATGACCTCTTCCCCCAGATTGTTTTGATCGGAGATTAACTGCCCAGAGTGGCTTGCTCTTTGTAGTTAATAATTTCGATGACCGCAGCTGCCTCCAAGTTCCCATATAAGCTACGGTACCGAGTATGCAGCTCGGCTTCCGGGTCGTTTGTGCGCTTGTGCATTTTCACGCTCTTTGCATCTTCTCTCAGTCATTTTGCTTTTCGTCCTCAGGCGCCCTGGAACAACAGTGATTTTTCATCCATTTGTGCACCAAACTGCAGTCTTCAAGAATTTCAATGGTCTTTGTGGCACTCTGTACGATGTCATAGCACTATTTGTCCTGGGGTATGCAATCCATCGCCCTTGGAACCGGGTCTGTGTGACCTCCCAAGCTGGCTACATCCTAGCTAGTCACATTGCCATCCGTGGGCCTTCGAAACCAAAATTCAAGCAGGACATGGAGGAAGGCCGGATCTGGGGATGTGCATTTTGTTTTTCTCCAAATCTAAATCAAGCCACTGGCTCTGATCGAACGATGCATGCTGCCTGGGAGCCGAAAGGGAAGCCTCCTGCAGTGGTTGCGACTGGCGTCTAATTTGGCACACGTCGTGTTGGCTAAGAGAAGCAAGAGGAGCTCCTTGAAACAAGAGGCAACCCAGCCCTGCCCAGCTCCAAGCTTCTCTTCCCGCCTGCGCCGGCATGGCTGCGGAAGCTCATCTGACGGGTTTACAGTAGGTACGTACAGGGAGGGAGGCTGGGGGGGCGAGGGGCACCAGGGGGGGAGGGGGGAGGGCTTCGCTTCCGAGCCAGCAACCAGCAGCCCTCAGCCCTCAGCCCACAGCCCACAACAGTTTAACCAAGCTCGCCCTCGCGCCCACAGCTACCACTGGCTCTGGCTCTGGCTCTGGCTTTGGCTCTGGCGTGGGCGCGCGTGCTGATGGGCCGCAGCGCAGACTGTGCGTCTCTTCGCGGTCCCCTCGAGCTGACCTAGACAACTCCTCTTTCCTGGACTTCTTATCCTCCTACCATTCTTCCATCCCCCATTTTCATCTCTAACCACCCTCTATTCTGGTCGCAAAGCTTTGGCGATCAATCTACCCTCGTTTCTTTGAATTCAAACACGCTCCCATTGAGTTAAAACGAAACAGTCACTATCGCTGACGTCACCATGCCTGGGGAAGAAGTTGAGAAAGGGGACAAAGGTACTACAAGAAACACACTCAGCACCATCCCCAAGCTCGAGCAACCGCGCACCGCTGGCGAAACAGTCGCTTGCAGCACGCGAATTACTTGGTCTCTGCACCATCTGAAACAATGCTCTCCTTCCAGTAATCTACTGTTGATGACCAGACAAGACGCTGACCAACCTCGTCGCAGTCACATGGAACTGGGGCGGGGGCCAACCAGGAGGCACCGTCGCTGAGAAGAAGACCGAAGGCGAGGTCGCCATCACCTCCAAGCGCGGCAACAAGGTCAAGAAGAACGCGGAACCAGAAAATCCCGCCGTCCGTGTCGAGCGGTCCGGCCAAGACGTCGTCAAGAAAGCCTCTGAGCTCAACGTCGAGGAGAAAGCCAATGGCGACGCCGGCCCCGCCGAAGCTGACGACAAGAAGGAGGAGTCCAAAGAGGAGGCCGAGAGCACGAACGGCGAAAAGAGGAAGCATGACGAAGTAGACAAGGATGAGAAGGAGGAAGAAAACAAGCAACCCGACGAAGGGGAAGAAGAAAAGAACAACGGCCCGCTCGAGGAGAATGCCGAAGGCAAGACGGTGAAGGCGAAAGAACCGGCCACTAAGAAGCAGAAGAAGGAGCCCGCGAGGAAGGCTGGTCGACCAAAGAAGGCCGAGACGAAGGAAGAAGAGAAAGAAAAGGAGGTGGCGGCGACTGAGGAAAAAGAAGAGGAAGAGAATGCCGAGAAGCAAGAAGAACCAAAGCCCGCGGCGGAGACCAAGAAGAAGGCCGGCCGGCCAAAGAAGGCTGACGGAGCCCCAGCCACGCGCAAGAAACAGCCCACTCCGCGCGCGACAGAGGGCATTGGGTCTCGGACCAGGAGCCAGCAGAAGAACGCTTGAGAGACCTTTGTATAATGTCCAGCCTGGTTGTGCAAACAAGCCGAAAGGAACAGTGGATCTACGACGCATTGTGAACGAGCAGATTGAGAGGACCCCGGGGGAGAGGGGCCTGGGATGGGTTTGGGGTCTGCCAAGGATTGGTTGCGAGGATTAATGAGAGATGTCTTTCTGCGTGGGAACGTGGAATCAGAGGAAAGGCAATGGCGACGGGGCGGTGGGTTGTTATTGTATATTATTTTATATTTCCGTCCCTCCTTTAGCTCTGGCCGAGTCGCGGAGGAGGATTGATTGCTTTTTGTCCGGTCCATGTTGCAGTGTCCGTATTGATTCCATTTCTGGAAAGTCTCGTCGTATGCACATATGTATCTATCTATCCATGTAACGTTCCTGTCCCGAACGAACTCCAGGATTCAAGTCCACATTCCCTCTGTCCCTCCCAACCTTTCATGGGTGATAGGCATCGCAACAGGGCAGAAGCAAGAAACACCGCGCCACTGCCAAAAGACCGTTTGTCTATCAATTGATCTATATGATAATTCTATCGATCTAATTTCCTCTTTATCCAGAAAAATAATCAACAACAATCTCTATCGACCGCCCGTGGTGGCACAGTTGCACTTCTCGGGATCGCCGCCCAGGCGCTCGATCTTCTCCATGCGCTCCTTGTGATAGTGGTCCTCGTCCTTGCCGGCATAGAGGACGTCCTTGCGCCACACGGCGCGGACGTGGTTGCACAGGACGTAGAAATAAAGGACGATCATCAGGGCGGTCATGACGGAGCCGACCCACAGGATGGCCTCGCTGCGCAAGGCCTTGCCGATGTTGATGGTGGCCAGGGTGAAGCCGACGTTGGGGAAGACAAAGGCCCACCAGTTCAGGTGGAAGCGGAAGGTGCGGTAGACGGCCAGGCAGCTAACGACGCTGATGGCCCAGAACCAGAACGAGAGGCTCCAGATGAAGACGGCGGTCATGAGCGCCAGGATTCGGACAACCTGGGCGGTGATGTCGTCCGAGCCGAAATAGTCGTAGCCCCGCGGCCAGTGGTCCGCGAGCCCGATGATGGCGAGCGCCGTGAAGCTCGGCGGGCCGACCGCGATGAACATGCCCGGTCGCGACTCCGGCGACGGGAAGCCGTAGTTGATCATCCGTCGCACGTAACTGGCGTACATGCCCATTGAGATGAGCATACCGAGGCCTTGGGCCGTCAGGCCGGCGAAGAGCATAGGCATGGCGGCGGCACGAGGCTGGTATTCGATGCCCGAAGCGGCAATGGTGCCGGTAAGCATGAAAGGAAACATGGGTAAATCCCAGGCCGGGGTCATGTCTTGGATCTTCAGTCGGGGATTGGTGAAGAGCATGCAATAGAGTCCAACGGCGGCAATGAAGGTGCAGGCGAAGTAGAGCCAGAAAAGAACGCGGTAGGTCACCAGCAGCCAATGGCCCGTGTGGTTGATGCCATAGAGGGCCATGCCGGCGATGATGCTGGCGAGCGAGAGGAATGATGTGCCGAAGAAGAGGGACTCGGTCGGGTGGACGAGACTGGCTTTGAGCGTGCCCGGCCATCGAATAAATCGGTATGTGATCGCAGAAGCGATGAAGGTGAAGATAAACAGGTCACAGATGTAGACGATGTCACCGATGGTCTCGAGGCCGGTGAAGGTGTGAGGCTGATTCTTGGGCGAGAGCAGCAGGGCCAACCCGCCCGTGGCCATTGGGAAGGTGAACCAGGCCTGGTCAGTGAAGCTCGTCAGTTTGTAGTCCGTGCTGAGTGGTGACCAAACCTACCCATGTGAGATGCCTCAGTCGCTGCAAGCCGTTTTCAACAAAAGGTGGATCCTCCATCTTTTCAGATTGCTCGATTGAAGCTATCATGTTGTCGACAGCATTTGTAAGAGGGCGCCGTCGTGGACGAGGGCGTGGAGGTCCATTATATTAAGTAGGAGACTGCGCCCAACATGTTAAGGTCTCATGTGCAGAGAGAAGAGGGCAAAATAACTCGGGTAGCAAGATGTTTCAGTCGAATGCCGCCGAAGACAGATCTGACGGGTCGACAGCGTGGTGGATGGTGGGGATGGGCCATAGTTTTGTTGTTATCGGTGGTTGGGCTGAGACTTCGGAACGTGCTGCTAGATAAACGCGTGATAGTGATAGAGATGATCGACCAGGGGGGGGGATATATTGGGCCGGTGGTACGATGGCATGATTTCAAACTGGCAATTCTTACAGGAGTAATAGATGCTTCTCGAAAAGGACAATGCAGACGGAAGAAAGAAAAGAGTCGTCGACACATATGAGATGCGTTAAAATGTTACTGACAAAGCCCCTTGAAAAGGACCAATGGGACGAAGTTGAAGCATTGACCGAGCAGACTGAGGTACTCAGTCCCCTCACAAGGGACAATATTTCAGGCGAGAGCCATAGGTTTCGATATTCACATGCCAGACACAACAGGCTTTGAAACTGGCGCCCCGTACTTTGTATACAGCTCCACAGCCCAGCGCCCGGGAAAAATCGGATACTGCGTAAAAAGCCTCCCGAGTCGCGTCCGGCACGCAAATTGAGCGCGTTGGTGCCCAAGTCACGTTCTACCAACTCGCCTCAGCCACGCGATCCCGCCCAAACTGCCCTAACAAGTACACCATCTTGAACCTGAGAGAGAAACACCATTAACTCCCACGCCGACGTCGGAACATCCGCCTCCATCTCGACACCTTCAGCTGCTTCTGCCCTTTCTCCTTCCAAGCACGCAACGACTCCTCGTCGTCGTCATCGTGGGACACCAAAGCGTCGCTGCTCGGCCGGTGAATGTCCTTTGGTCGCCTGCCTCTCTTCTTCCTCAAGACGTTGTATTCGGCTCGCCGTGGTCGAGACTCGCTGCCTGATCGTATCGAAGTATTGTTCTCCCTCAACTTGTTCTGGTGAAATGCTGAGGTCCAGCTCATGATGACGACAGCGAGGATGACGATGATGGCTTGCGCGCCTTAGAAAACAGCCTTTTCCGACCGGTGGAGTTGGAGCTTGATCGGTGTATCACGCGTTATTTGTTTTTGGTGAGGTTTAAGAGCACCAGTATGTATAATGGTTGTCCTTCTTACCGACAGATCGAGGAATAGTCAATCCCTCAGGCATCATCCGCCATATCCGTGTCTATATAATAGACCTTTGACTGTAAGTCTCAGCTACAGCATACCGACGCCAATGCAAGTGCAACCACATGATTACTATTTGGCGGCCTGACGAACATGTCAGACGCAGCATATGACGAATGCAGCATCTGAGCCAAGTACTCTGAATGGCAAGGTCATCCTGTACGTATGCGCGGAGGACTTATGCTTACTTTACGGATCCTATTGCCGATTAAGTTTGCAGCTTCCAAGTCAAGGCAGCCCTTGTTTCCAGACTAAAGTGCGCATCAGTTCCAAAGCCCTGGGTTGAGCAAAACATTTCTCTCTCTCTTGTTTTTCCCCTCTTATCACGACGACGAGGTGACAGTCGTGCCAATGCTCTGCGCCGCGTGCACCGCCACGTCAATGTCCTGCTCCACGGTGCCGCCACTCACGCCCACCGCGCCAATGAAATACCCGTTGGGGTCAAAGATTGGTTGGCCACCACCAAACACCACCGTACCGCCATTTGTCTCCTGGATTCCCCAGAGATCGCCGCCAGGTTCGCTGCGGTTCTGCAAGGCATTGTTGGGGATGCCGTTGTAAAGCACCACGGTTTTGGCCTTCTTCTGAGAAATGTCCTGGTTTGGTTTTTGTAAGAATCCGTCTGGCAGTGGTTGGAAGGACTCAAATCGGGGAAACTGTATTGTGGGGTGACCACAACGTGATATGTCGCCTTGGCCCGAGAAGGTATGTTCATGACTTACGATGCTTCCCAGATAGGAATTATCCATATGAACAAAAGCCACCAGCCATGCCGACGGATCAAGCACGGCAATGTTTTGCGGTACACTGATACCATTGTCAACGAAGCGATTCTCGCACCTGCTTCTGTCGTCCAGTGGGACTTACCCTATGGCCTGTGCACGTTGGATGCCTGCATTTATGACCTGCAAGGCTTGGGTATGGTTAATATAGTGGCGCTGAGAGGGCGTCGAACCCCAACCATTAGTGGCAGTGCGATTGACTTGTTGAGACATGACGACCGCGGCGGCTGCTAGTATCAAGGTGAGGAAGGTGAGGACGGACGAGGTCTTCATGACTCTTTTGCTGTATTTTGTCCCTCTCTTCTCCCCGCGTTTTTTCCCTGACCAGAATGCCGGAGTAATGGTGACTTTTGCCCCGCCTGACGACTGATTGGGCCTGGAGGGAGGGGGAAGACGACAGTACAGAGACAGTGCTGACCGGGTTCGCTCCTTTGTAGCGGGGAAACTCCTGGATGTCTGCTGTATGGAGAATGGGATATCGCCTGCTGACTTTGCCGACTTACCTACATACCTACCGACTCATCCGCATGCATGCGTGTATGCAAGTGTGTATATATAGATGCCCCATTAAGCCGAACGAAATCAATGCTGTCACGGTTCACATCATAAGGTGTTTCCCCCCTTCGTCATTCACTCGTTCTGAACTTTTCAGACAATACTGGCATCCGCAGTGCTTGGCCGATTGGGTCCAGAAACGCTAACTGGTGGTTAGCGCTGCCCTCCTTATTTCAACTTCTACAAAAAAGAAACTTACCGGTTTTCGAAGCTCCTCCCATGCATTCAGCGTCGTCATTGCTCACATGTTGGGCCTGAACCCCTCATTTCCAGGCTCGCAACGTCGATCATCTATCCAGGCCACCGCTCCCACAAAACCGATCGACTAGCTTGGCCCATAGCTGACAAGCCTCAGGCTCATTGCGATCGATCATGAAGGCTTGAATCAGACTCTCACCATCATACTGGACGAAGCTTAATGATTCGACGAAAGGTAGGTTCCAGTCTTCCACCACAAGATTCCGGCGAGTTGCAAAGCCGAGGATCCAATCGGTAGGCTTTGGATACACTCGTTCTGTTTTCTTCCCCCCTCGTTTTTCGCCATTGCTTTTTTCAACCACGCTTTTGGATTCGCATCAGCCTCGATGCCGACATGATTGCTGATGTAGATGAGTGCGGGGTTGATCTTTACCTTTTACGAGGATGACAAAAAGCGACACAGTGCCAGCAGGATGACACCTCTTGGACACCTTCATATCTATAGAGCCCTCACAAAACTCTAATCACCTTCTAATACTACGCCTTATGCAAGAGTGGCACGAAGAATGCCTATCCACAGGTGAACCTAGGCCCAGCTCCAGGAGATTGGTCCCCGTCAGGCATTATCAGGCTGAATGCCAGAAGGAGCCAGGGACGTGCAGGGCGCCCAATGTCAGTGTGAGGACTTCGTATAGAGCCTTCATTGCGGCGTAGCATGTGGCAGAGGAGCATCGAGAACATCTGGGCGTCGGCAGGATGATGCCATACACCCTGACCACGTATCAACAACTTGATGCGTAAGTCTGCCTTTCCATCGCCATGTAGCCAGGTGCCCAGGTACGTCCAGCTGCGCCCTCTCCCTTGCTTTCCCTAACCCAAGAATTCCACCTCCGGAGATGATAGCACACAGGTCGGGCGGTCATATTGATAGGCCTGCCAGTGAAGGCACATGTTAACCAGTCGCCTTTCTTGCTCAATGGCTGCAGGGAATGGGTTAGTAACCAATGGAAGAAGGATGCACCCCAAGATGATGATATACGATACCCCCTTTGGCACAGGCCCGTATTCGTGTCGAGCTAATTCTGAAATTGAGGCTGTTTGCAATAGAGCTCGGAATCGACAATGTATCTCGGCTGAACTTCTCGGTGTCTGGCACTTGACATCCCGTGCATCAAGGAAGTCAGTGAATTACGAGTATCGCAGGCCTTTGGCTCCGCCCTCATTCTCCAGATTCAGAGAGCGAAGCTCCCTGAAATCAGGCTGCAATTCCCCAAACTATGAGTACTTCGGTCCTCTAAACATGCCGATATGTTCGGAAGCTAATATTCTGTCACACTCAATATTCTGAACCGCATGCCCCAGAGTTCAGCATTGGCCAAGCCGTACATAGGCTTTGACCCATCGGGAAAGAGCGCAAATACCGGTCAGGTAAATCGAATGCAGGACAACAAGTTGAGAGGTGCGAGATGTGCTGGATATTTATGCAAGTAACGTATCATGCCTCTTTAATCGTGACCTTGACGCTTGGCGATAGACGCTTAGGACAGCGGGATATTTCGCCTCGAAGAACCAAGCGGCATGCGCATCACCACCAGAGTCTTTTCTCCACTTGTATCTTGCATCCGAGTCCCATTCCACTTTGGGTGTTTTGTTTGTAACTTGGCCCGATCTTCACGCTCAAGGCTCCGCGCTTGCTGCGCTGAACATCTATGCCATATGGCCTTGCAACAAGCATATTTGCAAAACTGTATGGGGTAGCATGTGACCACTAAGCGTGCAATTCCACGCGCCATGTCTCGAAACAAAGAAAACAATCCTCTTTCACCCACCCAGCGCAACGGTCCTTCTGCTGCCCTGCACAGGACTTTACCGAGCGACGAGTTTTTCACGGACAGCTTGATCGACGACTCCCGTATCTCAAATGTCTCGCATATTCCGTCTCCAGTCAAGACAGGGCCCGTTAGACCTCGCCGCGCCGTTGGCACAAGCAAAGCCTTGCAGACAGGCAAAGATTCGGGCAATAGATCGAGTCGCACTTCCCTGTTTGACTATACTGCGGCGCGAACTAACAACCAATTGAAACCTTCGCCAAACCTGTCTAGAAAGAAGAGCACAAGCCCTTCGCGAACGAATGGCCTCACCACACCGCCGCATTCCAGACACGGCCCCCCACTCACCAGCCCGACTGAGTTTTCTAGCCCCCCAGGCGGTCTACACGAGTCGTACAAGAGAATAGCGGATGAGGAGGATCTAGCCGCGACCGAGAGAGATGTGGACAGCGAAGAGGATGAGATCAATGGCGGCGATCAGCAGGCTACCTTTGAGACAAATCTGGATTTGAGCCCTACAAGAGAAGGAAGAGTCGCGGAACAACCAGAGCCCGCGCGTGTGTTGCAACAACTGACACCAATTCAATCGCCAGCTCGCGCAGACTTGGAGAGAATGTTGGATGAGCGAGTCGAGAGCCTCTCGGAACCGCCCACCATGGAGTTCCTCAAGAATGAGCTGACCGATCGTGTGTTGGCTGCCAAATTGACACCTCATGTTGTGGACCGCGCCAAAGATCGCGCAAGGCTTGAGAAGTTGAGACAGAGCCGAATACCGCTCAACTTTGAAGAGAAGTCCAAACAAGACCGCGCCAACGGGGAGCATCGACAGAACGATCTCGCTAGTGTCACAAGCCGTGGTCCCATCTCCTTTGACAACGTGTTAGCCTTGGACACAAACGGGCTTCACAGGACATATTCAGACACCAGTGCGGACTTCACCCCACAAAAAAGGTTGAAAGCCTTCAGGCGAGCAACGCGCCCTGGTGTAAATAACATCATACCCGAAGATGACGACGATAGCGATACACCGCCGGAACTGCGAGAAAAGGAGAGATTAATTGCTTTCAGCAGATCCAGTCGGCAGAAGAAGGAAGACGTTGGAGAAGGTGAAACACGAAGAGCCGGATCGGTACCGAAAATCTCGGCATTTTCACGTGCGCATGGTCGACCTCGTCCTTACGGGATGCCTCCCGAAGCAATCGAAGATCAGGGACAACCCGACGACCCTACAGTTGCGTCTATTGCTTCAACAGTATCAGAGCCTCTTCCGGGAACAATTCCGCAGGCCGACGACGATCGAGCAACGCGTGCATTTCTCGCCCGATGGCGCAAAGAAACCGCGGAGCGACGTGCTGCGAAGGCTCGAGAAGAGGCTGACAATGGCGAATCCCAAATAGACTGGGCTGGTGCAGCTGCAGACGTTCCATTGCCGTCCATTGAAAAGTCTTCGACTCCCCGAGAGACCCCTCCACCAAAAATCATTCCCTCTTCAATTCACAAGCAAAGATCTATGGACCGGATGCGGAAATGGGAGAACGACTTCACGGGTCTGTCGTTTCAGGTGTCAGAAAGCCCACCTGTTCGTGCGCGGACGAACCTCAATGACTCCCTCAGGGAGAAAGAGATTGAAGATCTCACCAAACAAGCTGTTACTACAAACAGGCTAGACGAGATCCGTGAGAAGGATCCGAATGTCATTGCCCGCAAGTCTTCTCGCAACTTCAGTCCGCAGGAGCGCAAGTCAGCGCCGCCTGAACCACAAGAGATGTGGCCAAAGGCCGACAAGGTCGACCCGAAGGACCCGGGAGAAGCAGTACCAGACACGCCAGTTGTTGTGTATAGGTCATCAAGCAGTAGCACCGACAAATCCAAGTCGTCCCAGCGATCAATGCCGGATTCACTTGATCAACTGCAGAGGCTAGCTCGAGCTGTCAGCACAACTCCAAAACCAAGTCCAGCTGCGCAAGAATTATCAATTGCTCTTGATGATGCGTCCGCAGTCCCCTTGCCGCTTTCGGAAGATGACCTAAAGTCGCAGTCTTCACTTGCAGATCAGAACGAAATTGATAACAAGAAGAAAGTAGCCGAAACTCCGAGAGTCACGGGTGCCTGGATCGATACTATTTTACCGGATACTGTCAAGCCAAGGAATCAAACACAAAGGATTACCAAGTATGCGCAAACACCTCTTGTCAATGCAGGAGGGTGGATAGACACACCGCTTCCAAACGGAGATCGGGTTCCCCATGTCCATATACCGAGGATCATCGAAGAGGAGACGGAGGGATTAGTGCACGGGAATATTCCAACAGACAACACGAAAGCACACCTAATGGAACAGAATACCGACCAGCCAGCGGTCGTTTTGAATAAGGAGCCAGAGCTAGAAGTTGGACCGGCAAGAGAAGAAATCATTCTCCCCTCGAGCACCCTGACAAATGTTCTGAACGAAGCCAAACAGAAGCGCCTAGTATCGAACGACATCACTGATGCTCCTCGAGACGAGAACGACACGCTTAACCTTGGCGACGCGACCATTCAAAGCTTTGAAGACCTTCTCACCGACGCCGCAGACATCACTGCCGACCTAACCAGCCTTATCAAGGCTGGCGCTGAGGAGGAAGTCCTAGCTCAGAGAGAGAGAAACAAGTCGACAGCCCTTGGCTTCCTAGATGAAGATAACTCAGCTGCTTCTGAGGTTGCATTTATCGGCCATTTAACAAGTCGGATGGAAAGACTAATGTCAAACTTGCATGAAGCTAGAAAGGGTATAGCCAGGCTGGAGCAAAAGGTGTCTCACGCCCCGTCGATACCTACAGCAGGACCAGATCAACAAACGCAGGCGCTAGTGCCTGTAAAGGATCCGAATCAAGCGTGCACAAGATGTGGCCGAAGTAACGATGACATCTCTCACGCCCTTCCCCACAAAGACCCTGTCGCCACTTCATCCTTCATGGCAATACCCATCGCATATACAACGCTCACTCTCCCAATCCCTCTCTTATTCCATCCGCGCACATTAACTCAGAACCAGAAACGCCGCAACCGCCTCCTCGACCTTCTTCCCGGTAGTCCAACATGGCTAGGCTATCTCACCTTCTCCATCTGGATATGGTACATACTTGAATGTGTCCTTGCGGAGATTTATGCAAGGCCACTCTATGCGGAACAGTACATCTGGCCGGCCAGGCCAGAACCAGAGTTTCCTTTTGTTCTTCCCACAATGCTCTACAGATGGGTCCTTGGCGGGAGCGTGGGAAGCGCGCTGATAGCGCCTGTGGTGACAATCTCAGGGGTTATCTGGAGATTGATCGTGGTTATGTGTAAGGTTGCGGGAATGTGGTTGGGTTGGTGGGATGGGTTTGTCGATGATGACAGGACGAGGAGCATTGTGGCAACCGCCACGAGATCCGGCGTTCAAGCAGTCAAGAGTCTTCTTCCTGGTACCAATGGCGCCCATACTGTCGAATTGGGGGGTTTGAGTATGATGAATGACGAGATTTTATGAACGATTCAACGACACTTTTGTGCAGGATACTTTGCAGGTATTGATTGCATGGATGGGTGACCGCAGTTCATTTGGTGCATCTCGGAGCTGGAGGACTTTGTATGGAGTTGGCAGGGGATGCAAAATGTACAAAGGCAGACAGGCCCATGGATCAGGATAGCATGGAGTTAGTACTGGTTCTGCTCAGGTCTCTACTCGCTATGGAGTACTCTGTGCGCGTGGTCTTTCACTGGGCACTGTCCTTTGACCTTGCTCTTGCTCTGTTGAGGAGGCTGGGCTCTATCTCTTGAATCAACCGAGATGGCGACTACCCTATCCTACCATTGAAGGACTAGCTTGTTGATAACCAAGGAAGTCAAGTTTTGAAGTTTCGGGACGTTTTGAGCCGAGCTTTTCACCTTTCACATCCCTTCCTTTTAGTCCTTCGTCTTCGGGGACTACATGCGGCGCTGCCGTTGTCCCCCAGTATAGCCTAGCGTATTCCAGTGTCCTTGTAGGTACTACATGATGTATAGGTAGCTGCTCAATCGCTCACTCACTCACCCACTTATTCGCTTACCCATTCACTTATTTAGCGCCGGACTAATGAATGGAAGATAGATACGCTAGATTGGTCCCGTTGACGATGGATTCTTTTGCCCTGGTCTTTTTTTGGGGGGGGGATGGGAGGCGGGGTTTCCCGTTCTCGTTTTATATACATGTCATATCGGGAGCAAGAGCGACGGAGCCTCAAGGAGGGAGAGAGAACGTAAGGAAGACAGACCCCCTGCCTTTCACAGCTGGACTGGGTACCGTAGACTTTTCATGACTGGCTAACTGACTGAGTTGTATTTCTCTTCTTTCCTCTCCGCATTAGTCTCCATTATTGGTGGCGTTGTCGTTATTCATGTGCTATGTGGTAGTAGGGGCAGTAGCAGGTTTGTTTCCGATGCCCTCCTGTCCTCCTGTAACCTTTTCTTTCCTTTCTTTTCCCCTTTACATCCTCGCAATCTCTTTCCCCCACACCCGGTTCAAGACCCACGTGAACACAATGACCACCCGGCTCCGCCAATTGCGGTTCCACATGAGACTCCCGCTGCGCCAGGCCAGCCAGGCGCTCCTGCCCGTCCAGCCTTCGTGGTTGGGACCCTTGCCCGCGATGACGCCGTCATGTGCGCCGATATAGGAGACGAGTTGCTTCTGGGAATACGCGAAGGGTTTGCTGAATGCGTCACTGCCGGTGGTGGTGATGGGGGAAGACGGGTCAGGGGAGTCCGCTGCTGGACATGGGCCGGACTTTGCGAGGGATTTGGCTAGGGCGTTGAAGTTCTGGACGAGGTAGCGGGCCTTTTGAACGGCAGCCTCGGCCGTGGTCGGGAGAGAGGCGCCTTCGACGTCGGCTGCGTCTCCCAGCGCAAAAACGCCGTCGTAGACCTCGCCGGTTGCTCCACTCTTGAACACTCGGAGATGATGATCCGCCAAAATCCGTTTGAGCCCCCTTTGTGACAGTTTGACGTCAATTTTCTCCAACAACGGTACATTTTTATTGCCAGTCGCCCAGATTAACATTCCATACGGGACTCGGCCTTTGTCCTTGATATACAACGCCTGGTCATCGGCCTTTTCTATCCTCGTGTTGGGCGCAACGTCGATGTGGCGTCTTTGCAATTGACTCGCGGCGTATTCATGCAATTTGTTGTCGTATGTGCTCAAGATATGCGGCGCCACGTCGTAGACAGAGATGCTGACGTAGCCAGCGACAAGCGGGTAGGTGTACCGCAACTCGTCCTGACATAAATCGTCCAGTTCGGCTGTGAGCTCGATGCCCGTGGGACCTCCACCAACGATGGCGATGTGGAGCAGCTCCCGCACACGTTCAGGGGTGACGTTGGGAAGCGAAGCCTTTTCCAGCAAATCAAAGAGCGTCTTGCGCACTTTCATCGCGTCCGAGACATTCTTGATGAAGATGGCATTCTCAGACACCCCGGGAGTGTCAAATGTGTTCGGCACGCATCCGGGTGCCATTAACAAATAATCATAGTCGACGTCGAATTCGTCATTGGCGAGTTGCGGATCTTCGTCAAATGCTGGTGCACACCGACAGGTCTTTGTTTGGAAGTTGATGTCGAGAACATTGGCTTTGATGAAGCGCAATGCGCACCTCGATTTGCTGCGGACCGGTTCTTCGGCCAGGTAGAAGTTGAACAAACCCACCGCCGCAGAGGCCAGGAGTGGTGTGTATGCTGATGTGCGACGCGGAGAGATCAAGGAGATGGAATAGGCGTTGAGATCAATGTGTTCGGCGAGGTAGAAGCCTGCCCATCCAGAGCCAATGACGACGAGGCGAGGTCTGTTCGGAGTTGTCATTGTTACTAGGGTGCTGCATATGGCTGGATTATCGTAGGAGGTGTGCTATGCTTGCTGATGATGGAAACTCAGATATATAGCCTCGGAGTGTCCAAATCCCAACTTGCTTGCCTTGCACACTTGGAGCCGCCAAAACACAGTCGAATCGCCGTCATCGGTCGTATGAACGAGGACGTGCATTATCAGGCAGCAATCTGAACTGAATCAAATAAGGAAACCAAAGGGCTTACCTGATCTCCGGGCTTGATAGGAACACTGACCTTTGACAAGCCTGCCTAGATTCTTGGGACCCAACATCATGGTGAACGTTACAAAACCACCAATCAGGGGAGAAGGCTCTGAGGCCGAATCAAGAAGCGGGACGGGAATATACATTCCGGTCTCTCCGGTCATGTTTCACCTCAACAGGATGCAGGAACCTTGGTCAGCGCACCGTGAGATGAAACCTCATCTGGGCGGCGATGGCCCAGAACAAGGCATGTGCAAAACGGGGAGAGAAATAAAAGGAAGCAAAGTAATTGATCGCGGAAAGGGAAAATACGAATTCAACGTCATGTTTGCCAAGCCGATGTTGAGCTTCCGAGTTATTCCGAGCTCCCGAGGACGCACAGCCTGGTCACGTGATGCTGAGTAAAAGGACATATAAGGGTCGACGCAGACGAGAACACACAGGACAGTGCACTTTCCTGTTCGGCTGTCGGGAATTTCATTGATCCATTCAACTCAGACAGTGAGTGCCCTTCAGGGGCTGTTGCTGCCATCGTGCAGTGAACCCCCCATCCCCACCGGTCCTGCCTTGGTAGTACTATCACGTATCACTTTTGGCTCCCTTCCTATCCATGATGACAAATTTGGAGGATGCACATCCTCCCAGAGACCTAGTACTGCCTTCATCCATCCTTCAATGCTATCAACCTTTTGTCGGCAAGTATTCCTTGTGTACAAGTACAGTCGCAATTAATGAAGAAAAGACTGGGCAATTCAGACACCCCCTTTCCCCGGCAATTGGTGCATGGTCTCTGTGCAATAACAGTTTTTGACAATCTGTCCCTGCTTTTCGCCATTTTCCCTTTCGCAGAAGAATCGAATTCCCGACTCCGTGAGATAAAATAGAGGAGAGACGATGTTGCTGTAGGCTTGTGTCGTTTTAGTTCACCATGCACTAATGGCCAGAACCATAGCTGCCGTTCCATCCTCGGCCGCCACCATATCCGCCATATGTGTTGAATCCAGTATTTGACCCGTAGCCTCCGTATCCTGTGTTTTGATGGGTGTTTTGGTGGCCGCTGCCCAATGCACTCCCGTACTGAGGATATGCGCCGAAAGCCTGTTGACCTGAATGCTGCGATGGAGGAGGTAAACCACCTTGCTGACCGGGGAAACTGTTGACGGCGGATCCGGGCCGGCCACCTTGCATCGAGGGACTCGGTCCTGAGGCCTTTGCGGGATCCTCGGAATGAGCTCCATGCTGTTGACCCAAGCCTTGAGTCTGTCCAAAACTGGAGGATGATCGTCCGAAGGGATCAGGGATGCCGCCGAAGCCGGTGCTGCCAGCAGCACTTTGCTGGGCTTCAGAAGGCTGAGCCGACCCTGTTCTGCCATAGCCTCCTTCTCGCGCAAAGCCACTGACGTTTGCTGGAGACGACGAGTGTTCATAGGAGTATCCTTGCTGAGGTTGTCCATACATGTTCGACTTGTAGGTGTTGCCATAATGATTTTGCCCATAGTTGTATTGACTGCCATAGTATTCATTCTCTTGACGTCGTACATCATCAAACATTGGCCGGTTGGCTCCGTATCGATGATTGATTGAGCCCATGTAGTTCCCGCCATACTGGGGATATTGTTGGTTGTATGCGTTCGGGTAGCCATAGCCGGGATATCCATGACCTTGGGTTTGTTGCATGTGACCAGCCGGCTGCTGGGTGGGGTGACCGGGCATGCCAGGTGCTGGAGTATTTTGTCCGCTGCCTTGCGCTTCCTGTTGACCCATTCCATGTTGAGGACGTGAGGTGGCATACTGCCCTTGAGTATCCGGAGCCGAAGTACCAAAAGTGCTGCCAGTTCGCTGAGCATCTTGCCCATGACCATAAGCATAGTAGTTGTAAGCGTCACGACCGTAATAGGAAGAATAATCCGGCTGAGATGTAGCTGTGCTAGGTTGACTGGGTACTTGGTTAGAAAACGGCTCTTGGGTCTGGGCTGGAGTGGTTTGAGGTTGACCAAAGGGATCGAACGGTTTCTGGCCTTGACCATATCTGTACTGCTCTGCATATGCCGAGGAAGTCTGAGGTGACGGTTCATGAGGTTGTTGAGGAGCAGAAGGCAGACCGGATGATTGTCGTTGGGCAGTCAATGAAGCTTCAGCGACCGGTTGAGTTGGAGCTGGAGCAGGCGCTTGCTGGGCTTCAGACACGGCTGGGGGTAACGAAGCGCGAGGGGCAGCGGGGGAGTCATCGGGGAGTTGAGTACGTGTCTCCGGTTCCTCTCGGTCTTCGTCGACGTCAACATCTTCCGGTCCGTTCAAGCCCAATTTGCCAAACTGTACAGCTGCTTTTTCAACGGCATGATGCCCTGGCATCACCACTGCCTCTTGTTGTTCCATGACCTTTCTCGCAAAGCTGGCAGATCGACTTGTACCTCCGGTGGCTTTCAACGCGGTGGCAGCGTACCCTGACATTGGCCGAGCAGCGGTCTTCGAAATTTCGGCAGCGGCAAGTGGATCCTGGGTGCTGGCGACGGTGCTGGCAGCAGTGGCGGATTCAATCGGGTGAGACGTATCTGGCAGCTTCTCCAGATTCTGCTCTGTGAGTTCATCTTTAGGCGGTGTTAGATCTTTTCCTGTGTCTGAGTGCGGCGCGGATGGCAGCTCACTTGGTCCTTCTTCGTTGTAGTCCACCGCTTCAATCGGAGGCGGGACAATTGGCTCGATAGGAGGTGCGGGCTCTTCAATTGCCGGTTCAGGCTCAACCGGTATTTGTTCAGGTTGCACAACAGCGGGAGGAGGGGGCGCAGGAGCCTTCTTGGGAGCCGAAGCAGGGGTTGGTTTAGCGAACAGTCCAGCCCATCCACCAGGTTTGGCGGTAGCTGGTGCTGCAGCGGAAGCGGGCTTGGGCTCTTCAGTTTGCAAAGAAATCAATGAGTCCTTCCCAGGCTCATTTGCCCAACCGTCCGTCGCAGTCGCAGTCGCATCGCCATTTGTTGGAGCAGCAGTATCGAACGCCGTTGGAGCGGCATCGGTTGGAGCTTGAGCGGAAGTGATAGAATCCCAGCCATCAGTCGTCTGTGCGGGTTTTGTACCATTAGTGTGTGCAGTAGGGACAGATTTTGCACCGCGGCCACCCCTAGCACCACGCTCAGCACCGCGGCCTCTCCCTCGACCTTCGAAATTACCACGGCCACGACCTCGAGAAGCAGCGTCGGTTGTAGCGGGAGGGACTTCTTTGGGCTTCGGATGTTTCTTCTTGACCTCGCCCCATTGTGAGATGGTGCCTGGAACGGGATTGTTAGCAAACTCAAACACAAAATGTGACTGTTAGCTCTCTTACCACTTGAAATGCGGTCAACAGCAGCGTTGATGTCGCCGTCAGTCTCGTTCAAAGCATAGACCAAATCTTCGTCACTCCAACCAGGACAGATTTCTTTGAGGAGAGGGACTTTGTCGCCAAACTTTTTGAGCAATTCACCGACTTCACCCTGATCTTCTAGCGGTGCGGGAGGAATGTTCTCTTGCTCATGGTCTGGTTTGTGTTGTGATCTCGAAGGGTTGCGAGTGCCACGGAAACCACCTCTGCCACCTCTGAAACCGCCGCGACCTCTTGGGCCGCTTCCGCGGCTTTGGACTTCTGCCATTTTTGTGTGGGTGTGAAGAACGTGAGAGATGGTGCGAGAGAAAGATGGTAGGGAGATTTGGATCGTTGGCAGTTGACGAAGGGAGACGGTGACAATAAGGGTAAATTAATGGAAGTCGCAGCTAGCAAAAGAGCAGCCGGCCCCGCGTTGAAGGGAGGTCACTAGGTGAGGCAAGTGACAAGTGCGTGAGTTGGATCTAAAAGCACAATGATGTTGACATGAGGACAGAGAGGGTTGGTAGTGGCCGGAACACATTCAAGAGGCTTGTTTGGGTTTCAAAAAGGCAAAAGCAAAGGCGGCCACAGATTCTGGGGGAGGGAATTGCCAAGCGCCTGACACTTAGGCTGCTCGCTGATACTGTGGCGTCTAGGCTCTAGGGACAGGAACAAACCATGGACGACTTCCAGGCACAGCGGCTAGCTAACTACCCAGTAGTGATGCTAGTTTGCCAGTTAGTGAGGCAACTCGCCCCCCCCCCCACACGAGTCTCCAGCGGCGGCGGCATCCAGCGACCTCATTCCACCTCCAATACCTAGTAGCACTGTGACTGCGATACCCAAAACACACTGAGCTCACAATGACTACGCCTTCATGGTGAGTCAAAGATGAGACTCACTCCTTCCCTCGCCATCCGCAAGCTGCTCGCCTCGATCCATCCTCCTCTTTCTCCTCAGTCTCCCCGCGATTCCAAGCAGCTTCTCAGCGTCCTCGAATCCGCCTTCCAACGACGTCTTGACGAAACCCATCCGTCCCCCAGAGCAGCAGCAACAGCCAGCGACAATCAGCATGGCTCTGAATCAATCCCGGATCCGGCCCAAAGAGTCACCCATTCCACCCACTCTCACCTAGACACTATCCTCGGCCATCCTCTATTCAAGCAGCAGTCGCTCACTTTTCTGCAAACCCACGGTCTAGCTGCCACGGCGGTCAAGACATTCGACGATGCCCTGCTGAAACAAGGTCTCGATTCGGATCTCGTCCAGTCGTGCGCTCTGCAGTATCTTCAAGGCCGTGAGAAGCGAGGCAAATCACCTAAGGATGAAGGATTGGGTCCAAGATTGGCTCGCTGGTTCAACGCTATGACTGGCTCTGACAAGAAGGATTTGCTGCTCAACGAGAAATACATTGAACCCTTGGTCTCAGTCATGTACGCCGACGGGCTGGAGCGTGAGGTCTGGCAGTGGCTGCAAGTCCTCTACGAACGATCTTTCGCCAACTTTATCTTCATCCCCACCGATGACTGCGCTCCTGATGCCATCGCTTACCTGCGAGCGGAAGATCGCCTCGTATCTCTGATGATCAAGGAGACCGCTCGCCGCGGCCGGTTGCAGGAAGCTGTGCAGCTATATACCCAGGCCTACGAATACCGCCTGAGCACCGGAAGAGCCGTCCTCTCAGACGGGAAGTCGGCCCCTGAACCTCTCCAACGGTCCTGGCGTCAAGTGGCTGGGGCAATTCTCTTACAAAACAAACGCAGCAAAAGAGGTTTACCAGCCGGGCTTTATGATCTGGTGCTGAAGTACAGCCTGACGATAGATTATTCTCCTTTCGACCCGGCTATTCTTCAGATATATCATCCAACATCGCCAACGGCTCACCCGCTTTTTCAGAAACTTCAAGACTCGTCGTTTCTTGAACAATTTGCCAGATGGCAGAAGAATCCCAACAGATTCGTTCGGAGGGTCTTGCTTGTTTCTGTTCTAGACGCGGCCGAACTATCCTTGACCCAAACTCACCCTCGTGAAGCGAGAGAGTTCCTCGACTTTGCCGAGAGAACATATCCTGACTTTCTACGCTCACATGAAGGAAACACCGATATGGCAGAGAGACTGCAACTGGCTCGTCAGGAGATCCTGGTGAGAAAGGATTTCCGTTCATCGGGCTACGCCACTGCTCCCGAACTGCAAGTACTAGTGTGAATGAGAGTGGAGCAATATCATCTCCTGTCTGGAAACCGAGGACATGATATGCGAATGATTGATGAATATGAATCATGCTCTATTCAAGCTTCCGTTACAGCATAGGTGAATCTGTGCAACAACCGTCCCAGTCATATCCGACGGAATATCAAAGGCAGCTAGCTCACGGTGCCTGTAACAACCCGAATTGGGGTTTATAATCAAATTGCATGACAGCATAGTACGACACGCTCAGCGGAAGAACGAAGAGAAAGACTATCACATGGAGAGGATATATCGAGTCCGGTGCCAAAAAGGCCTGTCTGAAGAAAGAGAGAGCGCGCACGTGCGAGGCCCTCGTTGAGTAATGGTTTTATTCGGAATAACCAGAAGGATGTACAGGATGGGTACGCCATATACAGACTCCATCAGAAGATAGGACAGAGGAGCTTGAAATCAAAAGATTTCGCTTTTCTTAGTCACATCAATGCGCCATGGTCGTTCGAGCTACCGCTCGATGAAAACAAGAGTCGTATTATTATGGTTCCGTTTCTGAAATATCTCCTTTCCGAAGTCATTTCTCGCTGTCTCCTTCAGGGGGCCTGCACACAAGACGCGCTGCCCAGGCGATTCTCGCCGATCTAGAATGAAGTTGGAAGGTGATATTGGGCCGCGGAAAAACCATAATCCGCGCTGCCGTCAGTGTCGCTCCAAGGCTCCTGGCGTCCGATCTATCGTCCTTCATATCTTCGAAGGCTCATCTTTATCCGTGCCTTTCAAGGAATCCACACGAGCCTTCATGCCTTCAATCATCTTGATCAAATCCTCGTCACTACGACCCGTGTCGGGGATCTTTCTCGCCTTCTGCACCGCAGGCCTCTCGCCAATGCGCTTCATCCACCTGTCCACGCCCGGAAACTCGCTCATGTCGATGTCCAAGAACGCCGGCCCCGCGCGTACCCATGAGTAATTCGCCATGTCGGCGATCGTGTACTTGTCGCCCGCCAGCCAGTCGGCTTTTGAGAGGCGGATCTCCAGCACGCCGTACAGACGCTTTGTTTCGTCGATGTAGCGCTTGATGCCGTAGGCCGAATATACCGGTGCCATGGCGCGGAAGTGGTTCGCTTGCCCTGTTTTTGTTGTGTTCTCTTTGTCAGATTCTTGGAAACCATACAGGGAGAGAGAGGAGGGAAGAGGGAGGCCCGAGCCAGAATGCTGTACTACTCCATACCTTGCATCGGCCCTATGCCGCCCATTTGGAACATCACCCAGCTCATCATCTCATAGTAAAGTCCGCTCCCGTGCTCGTACGTGAACTGCTTCTCCTTGTCGTATATATCAACCAAATAGAACATGATCGTGGCACTTTCAAAAACCCTCAAATCACCGTCCTTCAGTGCGGGGATACGGCCATTGGGGTTGATTTCCAGGAACCACGGTTCCTTTTGTTCGTTGGTCATGAGGTTGATGGCGCGGACATCGTACTTGAGACCGAGTTCCTCGAGAACCATGGCCGGTTTCAGGCCATTGGGTGTTCCTGCCGTGTAGAGGGTGAGGGCATTGTATGGTGGAGATGAGGAGGACATCTTGTTGTTGTCTGGTGAAGGATCAAGCCGGAGACGTCTCCTCTGGTGTATTACCTGGTTCCTGGACTGAAGTAATAATGGGAGGTTCTTTACCGTTAACCTCGTAGTAGTACTCGGGCGTGAAGGAGAGCTAACGACAGGTGAGAGGCTCCCCAGGCTTCTTATGGCTCCTCGCGACGTGGTGTTGTGTAATACCGGCCCAGGGAGGGAGGCACCAGAGGCAGTCAATCCAATGACGTGTCGAACAATCCTCATGGGGGCCGGTGTTTCCCCTGGTTTATGTATGCAAGGACCGAGCCTTTTATGCGGCAACCTACTTCTCGTGTCATTATACGCTGCCGTGTCATTGACATGGTTTTCAGGCAGCCCGCCCCAACCTCCACGAGCATGTGTGTGATAACTCCATATCTAAGGAGAGAGATACCAGGCCAGCAAGCGACAACTTTCCTTGATGTAGCAGCAGTGATTGGGTAACTCGGCAGTTTGCAGTGAGGTCGCTAAGGGTTCGCGGTCGATACGCTCCGCATCTGGAGCCACTGTGCCAAAAGTGCTGCCTGCTGCCCCTGAGCTTATAAAGCAAGCCGGTACGCTGATGACACCGATTCAGTGTTTCCCCCCAATTTCATTCAGCTAACCGTGAGATTCGGTCGAATTTTGACTCCGTGTCTGACAATGTCGAGGCTTCTCGGCCGATACACTTTGGGGATAGGCTCGACGCGGGCCATGGAAGCTGGGGAAAACGAGCCTCAGCATTGTTTACTGCCATGTCATCTTCTGAAGGTGTCGGATAGCATATCCTTAATACCAATCCGGGGCTCACGAGGAAGCTAATAATACAGCCCAGACCGACAAAATCATGCTTTCCTTTCCGTCGCTGCCGTAGCTTCTGTTATCGCTGCTGTTCTCCCTCGCTGCCCTTATGAAGTCGACTCAATTCGCCTGTTGTGTGGTCTGGTTTGTCGGGACCCGACTTACTGGTGCCGAAGTTCCATCCGAATTCTCCCCCAGAGCCAGCAGTCCCTCCTTGTGGAACGGTTTCTTTGCCTTGGCAGCTTTCTCCTCGCTGTACCTCCATATTCCAGCAGTTTTATCGGGCGCGACACCTTCCCAGCTATTGAGACCGAAATTGGTCACCACCTTGACTAAGTCGTCGAATGTCCGTTCCAATCTGTCCTCGGGATCCGCAGGGGAGAAAAACACACGTTCCCAATTTCTCTTTTCCTCCTGCTCTTTCTTGCGCAGCGCCCGCTGAGCATTCTCGATTCTGGACTTGTAGTGCGAGGCAGCATCCATTTCACCCTTCTCAATGCTCTGGGCAACCCGTGACCATGCCCTCCGACTCTCAAAGACATCTTGCTCCTCGATGGGTGCAACATTCAGCTTGGACAGTTTGATGCCTGAAGGCCTGAAGGTCTCGATCTCTCTCCCTCTCTTGCTGTCGCCTTCTCGTATGACGAACGAGTCCGACCACTGCCCGTCCGCTGTATACAGGGGATTCTTCTCCGAACCTTCACCTTCTCTCCACAACGACGCTGTGAAGCTGTTCTTTTTCCCAGAGAGCCAACCCTTACCGGAAAAATCGATCTTGGAGATGTGTCCGGTGCTCGAGACGATATATATGGATTTGCTCAGCTCGACAAAGGGTGCTCCGTAGATGAGGCTTTCGATATGCAAGGCGGGCAGAGTAATGAGGTAGGTTTCCGCGTGGTCACTGCCGGGAGGGCACAAGGTCAAGAGAGCATGTCCAACTTGCTTGACTTGGATAGTTCTACTAAAACTGGCCTTTTGTCCGTTGTAGCCTTGCAGTCGAATGCGGTGCTTTTCATTGGTGATGCAGTAGGCCGTTACTGGAGGATGGTGACTGACTTGCTCCGAGACCAGCGTTGTCTCGGCGAATTCGTCGCCCCATTTTCCCAAGAACAATTCTCCAAGGAATGGATTAAGTGGCTTCTTCTCTGACCCAAGTTTTTCTGAACGAGAACTATACTGTTGTTTGAGCGTGTTTAGCAACCACTTCAGCACCAGGAGAGCGCGTCTAGCAGGGTCCTTCTCTTGAGTCGGCGCAATGAATAACGACGTGTTTTCAGCCCAGTACGCAGAGAATTCGACGAGCGATTGGGTAGAGAGAATGAAAGCCGGGGCAGTCAGCGAGGACAAGTCGCCGTTGAAAGAGGCAATCGACTGTGCGCATTCGTCAATGTCAGTGGCATTCACTGTGTTTGAGCCCTGTCCGCGAGCCACTTCACGAACTCACCTTGAGGAAAGAAGACCACGATCCCTTGCTTTGATTTGGCACGGCGCCACCTTCGACCTCAGGCATCCTGTGGTTGCAAGCACCCACTTGGGCAGTGTTGATAGAGGATTGCGGTGTCGTGTGCTCACGGACTTTATTTCGTGTTACGGTGAGAATGTAGGGGGCAGAGGCGTGGGAACACTTCGTGGAGCAAAAAAAGAAAGAGAGAGCGACGATCTTCGTTAAACGAGCGAAGGAGCAACTTGTCGATCCAGCGAAATGGTTGACGAGGACATTTTGTTCAATGTGACAGCGAGGTCTTGAATGTGGTTGGAGGGAGAAGGGGTGCCATTCAATTTCGGTGACGTATGGTGGCTAACGCCGAATGGAGCCACCACTTGGGTCGTCACTCACTGCCCACATGTGAAAATCAAGAGCCTGTTGGAATAGAACTATACTTCTTTTTGCCGCAGATTTGAAGGTATGTAGGATAAAGCTAGGGTACAGGGGAGCTATTCCTCACTTAAACAGTTCTGTTTTCGATAACAATGGAGGCAAGGAAGCGTCATCTCTCCAAAAAGTACAAGAATGCGCAGTAACCCATTCAGCGGCATTCTCGATTCTTGACGCCGACCCCTTTTTACAGAGTGCCAGCAGTGTTGAAGTCCTTCAAAGCCTCTGCCACACGAGCACTCATTGTCTTCTCACCTTCACGCACCCACACACGGGGATCGAAATACTTCTTGTTGGGCTTATCCTCACCGTCCGGATTGCCGACTTGCTTCATGACGTAATCCTTCTTGTTCAGCATATAGTCACGGATGCCAGTCAGGTAGGCGTATTGCAAGTCGGTGTCGAGGTTCACTTTGACCACGCCATAACTGATGGCATCTGTATATTCCTTCTTGGATGAGCCGGAGCCGCCATGGAAGACAAGGAAGACAGGCTTGTCCATCGGGGTCGATTCCTTCTCCTTGACGTATTTCTGGTGCTTGTCGAGCAGTTCCGGGTGAAGACGGACGTTTCCGGGCTTGTAGACGCCGTGAACGTTGCCGAAGCCTGCGGCAATGGAGAAATAGGGAGAGATCTTCTTTAAAGTGGTGTAAATCAGGTGGATATCCTCGGGCTGAGTGTAGAGAGCGTTGTTGTCGACATCCTCGTTGTTGACACCGTCTTCCTCACCACCAGTGATGCCGATTTCCTAGTCTGTTATCAGTCTCCGAACTGCTCTCAACTTCACGGCGGATACGTACCATTTCCAGCCATTGCTTCATTGGAGCCGCCCGCTTCAAGTATTTGGCCGTGGTCTCAATGTTCCAGTCAACAGCTTCTTCGGACAAGTCAATCATGTGTGAGGAGAACAGAGGTTCGCCGTGTTCCTTGAAGTAGGCTTCATCCGCGTCCATCATGCCATCGAGCCAAGGAAGAAGCTTCTTCGCGCAGTGGTCGGTGTGTAGAACAACAGGGATGCCATATGCGGGGGCGACACAGCGGATGTAGTGAGCTGCAGCCACTGCACCAGCAATGGATGCTTGTTGCTTGTCATTCTTGACACCCTGCGATCTAGATTTAGTTTGCCGTTCTTTGCACCACAGCTGATGTTCGACAAACCTTGCCACAGAAGTATGCAGCACCCCCTTGAGAAGCCTGGAGAATAATGGGCGCATTCGCATCGCGGGCAGCTTCCAGAGCTGCCACAACGGTCGAGGAGGAGGTCACGTTCTAAAGGAGGTGAGGTCAGTGATCGTGCCATTTGAGATGAGGCGGGGGCAGCTTACAATGGCGGGAATGGCAAAGTTGTGCTCTTGAGCGTATTTGAAGAGATTCAAGACATCGTCACCGACGATGACACCCTCCTTTCGCGACAAGATATCCTTGACACCCATATTGGCGACTGCTGGAGTGGGGCTTTCGGGGTTGGACTGAGGAGGGGTAAGGAGAAACTGCAGCAAGGTCTTTCTGAAGGATCTAAGCTAGGAATGGACAGTGGCAGCGTATCCCGCAGCAGAACCCAGGAGTAAGAGTGAGTGAGAGATATATGAGAAAAGAAGAGAATCAAAAAGTGAGTTGGGCTTGTGGAAGAGGAACCAGGTGAATGCCGCTGGCTGGCTTCCGAAACGGCGGCGGGGAGAAAGTGTGCGGGTTGCGATCTACGAGCTATGAGGGGCAGCAACTCGCGACTGCGGCAACCAACAATGACATCGAGCTTCTTTCTGCCCGCTCGTGCCACTGTTGTTTCCAATTCCTCGGCCAAGCCACTTTTCATTCGCTTTCCCGCAAAACCCCCCACAACCAAACTCTGTCGCTCGTCCCGGTTCTCTCCTTGCTATTAATTCTCATCCACGGATTTCTTGCTATTCCATCCTTCTGCCCTGCGGAACTTTACGGAATGTTCTGCCCACTGGCAAGTTCTTTCCCCACGATGAGACAGTGGACCTGTTGGGCATCATCCTGGTGGAAAAAGCAACTGACCAGAGAGGAAATTCTCAAGCTCTAGGTTTGAGGAAACAGTTTGCAGACCAACGGCAGATTACGTTGATGTCTTGGGAGCACGTCGGGACTCCGCCCACAATGACTTCACGGCTACCCAGGATATTCAAAAACCACGCTTGGCGGCAGGATCGTTGCTATACTGAGCCGGATTCAACACACTTGGCACAGTCTGACGAAATATATATTTCAAGTCTGCTCAATAGCGTCGAAGCCGCTGCTATACAGAATATAATTGACGGTTTAGGATGAATGACAGAGTGCCGTTATTGCCACAGGTAAACAATATACTGGTTGTGAATGAGGGGCGCCTTCGATCTAATGGCGAATCACTTATTTTGAATCCGGTTTGGACCCCATGAAGAGGGCACTGGTTGGGCAGCCGGTGGTGGTGAATCATTCGTGCTACTTCAAGCGTCATTCCAAGTCCACACGGTGGATCCAAGGGAGAAGAAAGAAGAAGACCGGTTGCTTGACGAGTACCGAGTATAAGAAATGGAAAAGGCGCCTTGGAAGCAAAGCGTCCAAGAAGATTCAGTTCGAACACTGGGAGCTGCCGGCTGCTGTAGCAAGGTTGGAAGCCCATCACCAAGATCAGTCAACGTTAAAGTCAAAGCATTATCGAGGCATCGAAGCGGATAGTATACCGATGAAGCACTTTTGATCCTGACATTATTCAGCTGCATGATTCTAGTCATTTAACCCCGGCATAATAAACATGAAACATAAGAGGGAATCCTTGACCCAGCAGCAAGGCTTCACTGTTGCTCTGCCCAATCGTCCGCATACTTCTTCAGTCTGATGGTCTGGATCTTGATGAACCCAGTGGTGTCCTCGGGGCTGAAGTTCTCCAACGAGTCCATCGATGCCTCCTCCATGGAATACAGCTTCTCGCTGCTGCTTGTGCGGCCGAGGACGTATGCATTGCCCTTGAAGCAGCTCAAGCGGACCTCGCCGTTCACGTTCTGTTGGCTGAAGATCAGGGAATTCTCCACAAAGGTACGCTCAGGTGAGAAATCTGCAGTAGAAAGGGGGTGGGGACATTAGTACAGGCTTAAACCTGGAACAAAGCATCCATGGGATGGGACACGTGTAGAGGGTATTTATACGTACACATTCCGTTGTAGACTATAGAGAGCGTTAGTAATTTCCGATTAAAAAGGCGCATGTCATGACTTACGATAATTACTCCAGTTGTGCGTGACAAACTAAGAATGAAAACATTAGCTGTCCGTATAAAGACAATATAGGGACCGATGCGGGACTTACCTGATCCCGAAGAGCCCTAACTTGTCCATCGAGAACCAACCCCTCGAGATCAAGATGCGCGAGGCGAAGAATGGTCATAGCTGGGGACTGTGGATGAAGAGTTAGAAGCTGTAAATCTAATAATTGCCGTGTGAAAGAGACTGGTAGTTAACCCAGAAAGACCGGTTGAAATATATGATCTCCATCAAATCAACCAATGAAAGCTCAATGGAGATAACTTACGTCGTAACATCCGCGAGACTTCAAACCGATGAACCTGTTCTCAACAATGTCAATTCTGCCGATACCTAGGTCGCGGACACAAATGTCAGTAAAGGCTCAGACCCATTTTGAAAGGAAAATAGTACGTGACTTGATCTGAGGAAAGGGAACCTTTTACTTACCATGGACTTTTCCGACACGGTTCAGCTCCTTGAAAAGCTGCACAGAATCTGTGAACGTTCCCTGTGGCGTGACGACCTTGGTCGGGACACCCTTTTCGAAGCTGATGGTGATGTTGGTTGGCTCGTTGGGAGCTTTCAGCGGATCTTCGGTCATGGTCCACATGTCACTTGGAGGCTCCTGGTTCGGGTCTTCCAAAATGCCGGCTTCGTAGCTGCAGTGGGCGAGATTGGCGTCCATTGACCATGGCTTCGCTTTCGTCGATGTGACCGGTAGATTGTTCGCTGCAGCATAGTCGAGCAGATCGTTCCGGCCCTGAAATCGATTGAAGAATTTGGGGTCTCTCCACGGAGCGATGATCTTGATGGACGGCTGGATTGCGTAGAAGGCGAACTCGAAGCGAAGTTGGTCGTTGCCCTTGAAAGTTTAGAAACAACCAGACATGAAGACAGCAGAGTTGATTACCTTGGCGGTAGCACCATGGCTGACGGAGTCGCAGCCTTCACGCTGTGCCACTCGCATGAGAGATCGTGCAATCACCGGACGTGCAAGAGACGTGCCGAGCAGGTATCTTCCTTCGTACTGTAAGACCAGATCAGTTTCCGTGCCCCAGATGCAGGCCAAGAACGAATGCACCCACTTGAGCGTTGCACTGCACGGCCCTAAAGCACAACTCTTCTACAAACTCCTTCTGCAAATCCTCAATCACCATCTTGGTTGCGCCAATTGTGAGGGCCTTCTTCTCGACAGCAGCCCAATCCTCTTCTTGTCCAACGTTGGCGAGAAAGCAGACGACCTCATAGCCATCCTCTATAGCCCAATGATTAGTCCTTCTTGTTACATTGCGAAGATTCTCGGGCCATAATGATCTCACCGAGCAGCCACTTCAGAATACAGCTCGTGTCCAACCCGCCTGAGTCCCTAAGTCAGCAATAACACTCCAATGGGGCTTTCTGACTCAAATCATACCACTGTAGGCCTAGCTACTGTTAGCGAAAGCTCCCGTGGTTTTTGCTGGACTGTCACTTACCAAGCAGACTTTTCCCTTCGCCATGTTGTCAGAATGTGTTTTCAGTATGAGACGGGATCACCTGCAAGCGCGATAGAGCGGTAATCAAGGGATTCTAGTATTGACAACCCCTGCAAGAATTTCACAAATTTTCTTTCGACCCCACGTGAGGACCGAAACTTTTTGAGATTGTGGCGCATATGCAAGACTTAACATGATAAGGCGGTGTCTGGCCACTAGTAGCTTGGTTGGGTACTAACTAAGTCAAAAGAGGTCAGGCTGTGCGCGTCGCGAAAATCCTGTAAACATTTACCCTCCATAGACTCCGTCAACCGTGGCAAGCAAAAATTTCCTGAGGCAAGAGAAAACTCTGACAGCTCTGTGGGCAAAGATAAGCGACCTTGAGCAATTTTCCGGAGATGCAAAGAGATATACTCAGACGAGACTGCTGATAAAGGGCCGTGACACGGCGAGACCGACCCTCAGCACGTTCATTTAAACCTCATCCCAATGCTGAATGGTCAAATATCCTGATACGCGCCAGGGACCGAAATGATTTCTGCGGTGATCAGGATGAAAGGCACGAGATCCTTGCGTAGCTGGTCTGCTCTATCGTGGTCTCCCATGGCTCGCTCGACACTCTCTGACGGAAATTGGCATATTCTGAATTCGAGGTGTACGATCATTCTACAGTGGTTCTTGAAAGCGAGACCATAAGTTTTCCATTCCTCGACAAATCCATGCCTCTCACCAAACTGAGGTTGATGCCTTCAGTTTCTGCAGTATGAGGTTTGCTATTAATCGGGATACATGCAGATATTTTTCAGCTCCGCTCTATCCAAGATCTAGCGATATGACAATAGCCGAAGTCGTGTCGTCTCGACATCTATGAGATCCTTTTTTCCACATCGCACCGAATATCCCAGCATATAACGAGGGTTTAAACGTAGTAATTGGGGTCGACGAAACCAGAGCATACCCACGAATGGCGAGTAAGTTAGGCGTTAGGATCATCGCCTGGTCGTTCCAGCTCATAGAAGAGCAGGTAGACCTCACGCTGCATTGAGAGAACATCTGACAGCCTTGCCTCCTTGATTTTATCGTCTGAAATGCGCCACCACCGATCATTGGATTTTTTCCGTCGCCGGAACTTGCCTGGTATTGGGTCCTGTGTTCTAATCTGTTTCGACATGTGAGTGTCCGTTCTTTGTACTGGAGACATGGCACTGTCTTCTTGCGTCAACGGGCGTGCATCCTTGCCATCCATGCCGTTAGAATTTGGTCTGCTGTTCCCGGTTGATAGGGAGGCTGTCGACAGTGATGTAGTCGAGTTCCCATTAGGAGGTGCAGCGGACCCATTTAGGCCATCACCATGCGTGGCCTCGATAGTTGGACTAGGCGTGGCTGACGAAGCCAAGCTAGTATAGCGAGTAGCGATAGCATATGCACTGAACGGATCAGGGGTAGCGAAGGGAGCATACACATGATTCCTCCGGAAGGACTCGTAGTGTCCGCTATGATGGCTGCCTTTGTGACATACCACTCCCAGGAGTTTGTACCAATGTTCATTCAACAAACCCCCCAAGCGCAATCTTTGCGTATATGACACCTTGGCCATATTTTTGGTCGAATAGCTGCCTGGATCAAAAACTGAGCGAGACAAATGAATAGCAATCACCTTGGGGAACACGGTGATGCGGGTCATTTTTTTGATCTTGCTCTTTGGCGCCAAACTCGTGTCAGGCAAGATGACCCCCTCGGGCGCCTTCTCTGGGTCATCTCGTAGCGCTTGCTCGATCAGAGCAAGGTCTTTCTCCAACGCTGCCTGGTCCTTGTCCGTCGCGGCTGACGATAATTTAGTTTTCTTCCATTGTAGAGCATGCTTCAACCGGCATTTGTCGCATTTAAAATCATCGATTTCTTCACTTTTGAGAAGCATGTCGAAACAATTGTCTAATGAAGTAGCGCTCTTCTGAGGAACATTCAAGGTTAACGAGACGAAGGTTGTGACACTAGGTTTTGTCTCGAAGCCGCAGCGCTGGCATTGAATGTGGGATTCGATGCGACCTTCAAAGGGGAATCCCTCGCGAGCTCCTATCGTGACCTCTGTCATTGCTCGAGCTGTAGGAGATGGCTTGGAATCTGCAGAGGTATCTTCGGTATGTTCGGTCTGACTTGGGTTTGTAAACCTAAGGCGTGCCCTCTGTGCTGCATGGTATTCGTCGCAGAGCCGCTCGAGGACAATCTGTAGAAATTCCTGCGCATCTTGCTGATTCCGGCTAATGCGTGTATTGAACGCCCTCTCCAATGCCTCTATCATGGGTCTTGCACTAATGGTCTTCTTGTATATGGGACGCTCATTCAAAGCATCCAGCATCTCCTTCAACGCCTTAGTGACCGGACCCTTTTGCAGACCAACAACCCTGTCAGCTCTTTCACCCTTGCGCAGGACGGGAGGGGCGGATTCATAAATCTCGGGCCCATCAAGCTGTCTCCTATGCAATTCCTTGATCAGGTAAAGCCGGAGCTCGCCCAGTCCAGCGAGGGCCTGGAGGACCGAATTAATGAAGCAGTCGTTGGCCGGGTTGGACAGACCGATGATTGTGCGTTTGCGGCCATCGTTGGTATTGTAGGAATTCTCGCCGTCGATGAAGAAGGTCGGCCCAAAGACATAGAAGGCAGCAATTGCGGCAAGAGAGGCACCAGCCGCATACGCGACGACGGTGGCAGGCTTGTCAGGCATCCGGATTGTGTTCCGATGTCGGGGTCAAACCCATGGCGCTTGTGATGATGTGTGATCACGACATCAGGACGAAACGGGGGGGAGTCGTGTTGACGAGGAAAGCTGGTCAAAGGGCTACTGAGGCGAGGTGAAGGCTCTTTGAGAGAAGGTGAATTGAGGAGGCAAATCTGGGGGACGGGACAAGGGGGGGTTCCTCCGTATCTATCTTTTTTTTCGTAGGTGCTTCGGGTCGGGGCAGGTACAAATCAATGGCAAGCGGTAGGAGGAGTCGGACTGGTTATTATTAGTGGAGGGGAGTGCCTAGGTGCTAGCTCACAGGGGGCCTAGATCCTTGCAAGCCTTAGGTCGGAAGGACCCCGGCACGCACCCAAGCTTTCAAGTCGGGGAGCAAGTTGAAGTCGGGAACTCCTGCCCTTTCCATGGTCGCCCGGCAGGTACCCGCCTCCACCGCTAGGCCCAATTTTACTCGAGACTTATGCAGATGCACAAACTCAAGCTTCAACGCCTACTCCGAACAAACTGTAGAACTTCAACAAAATCCATCACTAAGTTCCTGGGGTTTTCAGAGGGACAACATGGACTTCTCCTAGTGTATTGGTGGCCTTATCGTTCGAGGTAGGTTTTGGGAGGTCATTGAGCAACATGAAACGCCGAGAAGACTTGGTCAGAAACCACTGTTACTCATCTGTCTCCAGCGCTTCATTCCCCTCAGGCTTGTTGGTTGTCTTCATGTTTTGCCCATGTGCAAGACATTCTGCACCTTGATCATACACGATCTGGACATCCTCTCCGAGAGCAGGCTCACCCACCTAGCGACTGTGTCTGAGAATGTCCACGACCAATGAATCCCCATATGTCCCACTGCCACAGACTGGCGACTTCATCAGACTTCTCGAATTAAACCCGGGGGAGCCCACTGACAACCTCGTTGGGAAATTTGTGGTACATGACCTCAAAGACGCGCAGCCTGAATACACGGCGACCTCGTACGTCTGCGGCGATGACAATCGCTCCCGTCACTACATACTCATGTCAGGCTCTAAGCTTGGGATCTACAAGAATGCGGATGAGGTCCTCAGGAGATTCCGCTCTGCGGCGAATATAACATACCTGTGGATTGATGTCGTCTGTATAGATCAGGAAAATGCAGTAGAGAAGGCTAGGGAAGTCACTCTGATGTACAAAGTCTATGAAAATGCCAGCAGGACCGTGATATGGCTAGGCCCTAGTGATCACGACGTCACAGCCGCGATTGATTATGCCAGGACGCTGGACGCTGGAAGATACCTTGACGAGTACACACCCACGGTGATGTACGCTGGATATGAGACACCCTACTTGCAGAACAAATCTCATATACTTGACGTCTTGGACACCCATCCACAGAAGGAGTCATTGATCAACTCCTGCGCAAAACTTCTCCTCCGACCCTGGTTTACACGCGTGTGGACCCAGCAAGAAGGCGCTTTGAGCTCTGACCCGGTGGTGGTTTGCGGTAAAGAAGCGATACCGTGGATTCAGATCTTTGCGTTGGCATGGCTATTCCAGCCTAGATCCACGATGCGTTGGCCTCAGTGGTTTCTCTCCACCAATCCCTCGGAGACATATGTTGAGCTTGAAGCGAATATGATGTTCATCCGGAGCATTCAGAAATATCGGCTTCGTGCGATGCAGATTGCGAACCATGCACCGCAAACACGAGAGGTTAGCCTACTACATGCCATGTACGATGCCACTCGGTTGAAATGCTATGATCCACGGGACAAGATTTATGCCATTCGAAATATTGCCACAGACTTGGCCGAGAATGATTGGGCACCTCAGCCGGACTACGTCACACCCTGGGAGGATGTCTACACCGATTTTGCGGTGCGGATGGCGGATAGGGGAGGACGCGAGGTGCTGGACTGGTCTGGAGTCTGTCAACAGGGAAAGCAATCAGGTCTGCCTTCTTGGGTGGTGGACTGGAGGTCGTACCCGTGGACACAGTATCTCGCCCATAACGAATGGTGTGCCGGGGGCAAAGTCTTTCGGCCAAAGGCGGAGAGAATACCCAAGAAAAAGCAGCGTTACCTGATGAAAATGCTCGAGGCTGCCAACCAGCCTAGGAAATCGCTGCGGTACGCTCTGTCAATCACAGTCATAATGCAGGACACCATTGTCTATCTCAGCGGTGTTGTCGAAAACGGGAAAACCTTTGATGGAATCGTAGATCTGCGTCAAGATGCACTAGCTTTGGATCAAACATCCCAGGATTTCGTCAAAGCCCTGCCCTCTCCAACATACATCGACTCCGAATTTGCCCTAGATGCTTACAACGCAACCCTTATTGCCAACACTACAGACGAAGACACCATTGCTTCGCCCTCCTATGTCACTTCTGGTGCACAGGAATGGCGCTCTTGGCTCTCCTCCAAGACAACCTCAGAGGACAACACCGAGACTAACGACAAAAATGTGTTTCCGAAATTCTATGAAGCAATTGATTCCATGGACACGTTCCAGTACAAACAGTTCTGCGTGTCTAGCTTCGGCTACTTCTGCCTTGTTCCAGATATGACCGAAACAACGGACGCCATCGCCATCGTCAAAGGGCTGGATATGCCGATCGTGCTTCGTCCTGTCAACGACTACTACGTGTACCTAGGGAAATGCTATGTCCACGGCATGATGGAATCGCAAGCTGGCACATTGATCGAGGAGTTTCGCGTCAAGTTTGATCCTAAAGAGGGAAAGGTTGTTGTGGGTAGACCCGAAGGTGATATTAGGAAGAATGGCTTTAAAATGGAGGCGGGAGAATATGTGAGGGTGTTGGGGAGCCTTGGGGAAAGGAAGATCGAGTTGATATGATGTTGGTGTTATCAGTTCGATGGGGCCGAATCCGTGTTGTTCCTATAATATTCGTTCATTGGGGAGTAAACACAGGCGTTTACCACTGGTGTTGGTGACATTGTAGCAGAAGCCAGCGTAAGATGACACTCAGGGGTGAATTGCTCAGGTCCAACAGACTACTTTTCATACCTAACACGAATCGACTGACGTTGAATGTGTAGAATGAACTGAACAAATGAGCTATGACGCCAGGGAACCAAGGGCTGAAAGTTGCAGGAGCCAATACTGCTGCAGGTCGAATACGAGACACGATGTAACATGGGAGAGGTGTAGAGTGACTCACGGGACAAGTCATATACAACGCCGATTTCAAACTTCGATGCCGACAGCTTGGAGCATTGCTTCTTCCTCGTCCGACATCCGGCCCGCCATGAAGGTCGTGGTAGAAGAATGCAACCCCGAATGGGCGGTCCAGTTCCAGCAAATCAAAGAAGAGTTGGAGGAAATCCTCAGAGGGGTCAATTACTTGGGCATCGAGCATGTGGGAAGCACGTCCGTCCCAGGATTGGTCGCCAAACCCGTCATCAACCTCTCTATCATCAGCAGCCGAGCCGACGTGCAGGCGGCCATTGATGCATTGACGTCAAAGGGAGGATATGTCTATGAAGGCGAAATGGGGATTCCAGATCGCCACGCCTTTCGAAAACTCGGGGCGTTCCCAACGAGGCATCTCTATGTTTCCGTGGACAGGTGCCAGTCGATCAGAAATCAACTGGGAGTGCGGGATATTTGTCGCAGCGACCCCGCTGTTCGAGACGCCTATGGCTGGACGAAACTCGAGCTGGTCCAGCGAGAATGGAGGGACGTCGACCAATATTGCGAGGCCAAGAACGATATTCTCGTCTGGGTGCTGGAGAAGGCCGGGATGAGCAGCGAAGAACGGGAGCAAGTGAGGCAACTGACCACGACGGCGACCTCCTAGTGGCAGTCACCCGCCGTTTGAACGGGACGTTTCTTTCTCGTACCTCTGGTCGAAGTGCGGAGTTCTGCTGATCCACTTCTTTTTAGAGTAAAAGGAAACGACATGGACCGCTCTAAGTACTCTGAGAATCCAAGGGGGTGGAGTTAAAGCGAACCTCTACCTACATAGCTCGCTAGGTACCCTAGACATCAGGTCGTTGTGGCGATCGAACAGACGAGAGTAGATCTCGCCTGGCTATCTTATCGATACATGCACAGCAAATGCATGGGTGGGAGTTGTAAGGGGTTTACCTATGCGCGGTGATGATTCTCGAAGAATCGATATAGGAAAGTCTGTCGCTAGCAAGGTCTGGGTCCGCGTCATCATGCGTACAGTGTGGGACAATTTGAGAGTTCGAGGACAGAATGGCCGACGGAAGCAACGATGGATAGCGATGGAATTGCTGAGTGGGATGGAGAAAGACGGTGGTGATGGTTGAGACCTGGCGAATGAGTGAATTTTCCCTCTTGATGGACGAAGCGGCGGGAAAATTCTGCGGAGGGGAAAAAAGACCAACGAACCTTGTGTACTTGGTAACGTTTCACTCATGCATGTCGCAGACACGGTATTTTCGTTCGGGGCGAAGGTTGCAGGCATTGGGGCACCCTGGGCATGCCTGGGGCACCATGGCGGGCTGCAATAGGCTGACAATGGGCGTGGAGGCAGCTAACTAGCCGAAGGATTCGGCGGCGGCCAATGGGGGCATAGGCGTACAGGATCCATGTTCCAGGGGCACGCGTCTTGGCTGCCATCATAGGTCAGTGGGTGCAATGGCTGCTAGCGAGAAGATTCTCAATCGGGGGGTTGAAACACAACAGTCGCTACGAGGTACAATCTCGCAGTCCCCGTTCTGAAACAACGCACCCTCATCTTTTGTACGTTATCATCATTCCTCTTCTCTCACCACCCCAGCATATTCCAGTTTTATTTCCCCTTTCTCTTAGACACACGTCCTTTCACGTGTCTTTGTCGTTCGCTAGGTATCCCCGACTTGAGCCCCTTCTTCGGCCGATTCCTTTGTTCCTCAATCGGCACATTTTTGTTCCCAGATATACATAGACGTCAACCCCAAGTGCGCTGGTCGGCGAGGTTGCTTTCAATCGTTATCTTATGCAAACTCGCCTGTAAATCTTGCTTTGCAGAGACGCAAACCCAGCAAAAGCACCATGTCGGCCGTTCAGGGACTCTTTCCACGTCAAACCTCGTTCGCTCCCAATTCCGATCTATCAAAAGGAGAGCAGGTCCTCCAATTGATTGCTAATCCTTTTCAAGCTTCAGTACGAACACTCCCAGAGCCGGAAATGTGAATCTTTCGCTGACCTTTTCCAGCTTCAAACAGGTGCCTTTTGGGCTTCCCTTGCAACTTCACTAGGACTCAGTGCCGGTCTCGCTCTCCTATTTTGCCTCATCCGACCTCGAAACAATGTCGTCTATGCCCCAAGACTGAAAAATGCAGACAAAGATCATGCCCCTCCTCCATTGGGGAAGGGGTTGTTTAGTTGGGTCGCGCCTGTCAGGAAAGCATCAGAACCGTTTCTGATGGAGAAAATCGGCATGGATGCGGTTGTCTTCCTGCGTTTCACCCGGATGCTGCGCAACATGTTCCTGGTTTTGGGTATTATCGGCATTGTCGTCATGATTCCCGTAAACATCACACAAGGGAACAAGGCAATCACACATGGTCTGAACGCCTTCGCCATCATGACGCCCTTGTTCATATTTGGTGAGGGGCTATGGGCTCAAGTGGTCGTGGCATGGTTGATCGATTTGGTGGTGATATACTTTCTCTGGCACAATTACCGTCGAATCCATCACCTGCGACGAGTCTACCTGGAAAGCCCCGAGTATCAGAGAAGTCTACATGCTCGGACAATATTAATTCGAGATATCCCGGCCACTCTCCGAAGCAACGAAGGCATCGCTCGAATCACGGACGAAGTTAATCCGACCAGCACTGTTCCAAAAACGACCATTGGACGCAACGTGAAGGTATTACCAGAGTTGATTGAGGAACATGAGGAAGCTGTCAGGGAACTAGAGTCTATTCTGGCGAAATACTTGAAGAATCCAGACAAGCTGCCACCAAACCGACCAACGATCAAGGCGCCCAGCAAATACAGAGGTCAGACAACGAATGGCAAGGTCGACGCCATTGACTATCTCACCGACCGTATCCGAGCCCTCGAGATGGAAATTAACGATATCCGAGACCGCGTGGACAATCGTGATGCTATGTCTTACGGCTTTGCCAGCTGGGATCAGATTTCCGAAGCACATACAGTTGCATTCCTGGCACGGGGCAAACGCCCTCAGGGCGCCAAGATTCGCCTAGCACCGAGACCCAACGATCTTATTTGGGATAATTTAAAACTCTCTCGAGGATCGCGCAAGAGCAAGCGGGTGATGAACGGCATCTGGATCGCCGTCCTGACAGTCGTCTGGACTCCAATCAACGCCGGGATAGCGATCTTCCTCTCCAACTTGTCAAACCTGGGTCTCGTTTGGCCCGCCTTCAAAACTCAGCTGGAAGCGCACCATGCAGCCTGGTCTATCGTACAGGGTATTGCCGCTCCGGCGATTACTTCGCTCTTTTATCTTCTGCTTCCGAGCATCTTTCGGCGCCTTCAGGTCCGTGCCGGAGATGTGACCAAAACCGATCGAGAACGACACGTCTTTCGGAACTTGTACTCCTTCTTCACCCTGAACAATTTGATTGTATTTTCCATCTTTTCAGCTGTTTGGCAATACGTGACGATTGTGATCCAGTACAACAAACAAAGCAACGACCTCTGGGACTCTCTGCGAAAAGGCCAATTCTTCCTTGTGATCACAACCACGCTCTGCCAGATCTCACCATTTTGGGTTACTTGGATCCTTCAGCGAACTCTGGGCGCCGCTACTGATCTAGCCCAGCTGTGGCAGCTAACCTACACCTGGTTTGCGAGAACATTCTTGGCTCCAACTCCCCGACAGAACATCGAGTGGACCAAACCTCCAGCCTTTGACTATGCCAGCTACTACAACTATTTCCTTTTCTACACCACGGTGGCCCTTTGTTATTCTACCCTACAGCCGATTGTGCTTGTTGTTACCGCATTATATTTTGTGATCGACGCATTTCTGAAGAAATACCTTCTCATGTATGTGTTTATCACCAAGACCGAATCTGGCGGTCAATTTTGGACGACTATGTTCAACCGAATCATATTTGCCACGATGCTTTCCAATGTTGTTATTGGCGTGGTCGTCAAAGCCAGAGGAGAATGGACCCTTGTTGCGGCAATTGCACCATTGCTAGTCATCATGCTTGCTTTCAAATGGTATTGTATGAAGACTTTCGATTTGGACCTGAAGTACTACTCTCGAGGTGGTATGCACGATCAAGAACGTATGGCGGCGGACGCCAAGCCCAGGGACGCGGAGAAGGTCTCGTCCAAGTTTGGTCATCCAGCCTTGTACCAACCGCTCATGACACCGATGGTGCATGCCAAGGCCCAACATGTCCTCGCAGAGATCTATCGAGGCCGATTACAGTCTGACGGAGGACAATCCATGGCCTTCTCAGACATAGCCATGCAACCCATGAGCCAGGCGAGCAAGCCGGCCCAGGATGTTCCCTTTGAGTTTGTCCCTGAGGCTCAACAGGACTTCCAATTCTACAAAAATCGCGAGGATTTCCGCGAGGATGCAGGTGATATGCTCTCCACTTCGCGAAGCCAAACACCAGCCTCGTCGTTCGTCGGCCAAAAGGATTCTTCGCCATCAAGTTCCAGGGACACGAGTCCTGCGCCTGAGGTGGTAACACAACAACAGACGACTGTCCATCGCAAGCAGTTCGATCAATCCAACGTTCCTAGCCAGCTCAGACCTTCTCCTGCGATCACCCCTGATGGCTCCAGCGGAGGCCTAGGGCCACGTCATGGTCCGTACACAGATCCATATGACGACAGGACAAACTTGCTAGGAGGTGTGGGCGATGTCAGAACACCGAATGGCGAGTTCATGTCTCTGGACCGGTGGCGGACGCCGGTGGGGAGTCGGGATGGAAGCGAAGCCGACGTTTATCGAGACGTGACCCCCAGGGAAGAGCTGAATACGAATTATGATTATTTCCGAGAGAGACGGTGAGAGAGGTTGGCGGTTTGGGTTGTATATCTCGGAAAAACTGTACTTTGATAGATTCAAAACCTTCCACATAGAGAAAAGTGCATTTATGAAGATACGAAACTGGCACATGATTGTGATGACTTAGAGATGGAAAAATGAAGACTCCATTTGAAACCCATTGAATCGCTCCAGAGTCATTTAAACAGAATATACATGGAAGAAGAGGATTGCCTTCCTCCTTCGTAGCCCAGAATGCTAAGTAATTCTAGCCTTTCCTCAGGATGAATGAACGGTTCAAAACCTGCAAAGTCCCTTGAGATCGACCGAACAGGGCGAAAGGAGCGGGGACGGATGATTCTTCTATGTAGCCATGTACGTGCTACTTGGTACATAGCGTGAGCGCATGTTCCTTCGTCAGGATCGTTGCAAGACAGTAAGACGGTCGTCCATGCACGATGTGTGGAGCACACACATGGGTCTTGGTCTAGCTCCGTGCAGAGCCGGCCATACTCCTGGAGACTCAGCCCGGATTCATCGCATGATGTGATTGATAGTCGGAAGGAATCCGCGTGTACTTGTACACCACGGGAGGCTGCTTGTAGGCCCAGGCGCGCGGCGGGGCGAAGGCGACGTTGCTACCGTTGCTACTGCCATGACCATATGTCATGGATGGTATTCCATGCTGGGGTGACGGCGGCGGCGGCGGCGGTGGCCGGAGAAGCTACTGCAGCTCCTCGTCCGTCATTGGATTCGGGATCCTGATCAGGCTGGCGATGCAGAAAAACATGACGGCCGTGTTGGCAGCGTAGACGATGGCGTAGACCATGCAGAACAGGTCGTACGGTTCCATGTTGAACCAGTCGAAAACCATGATGAAAGCCAGCCCCAGCATCGAGCGGGCGAGGAATGCCACGATCAGGACAGTCGAGTATCTCCGGTACTTGTGGATGCCACTGTGGTATTTGGCGTCGCCGACGGTGGTAAGGCCCAGCGCGATGGTTGTCCCGTAGATTCCGGCCACGGTCATCACGCCGTAGACTCCGATTGACACACCGATGAGGATCGTGTTGGCCATGGTGAGGATGTGGCAAGCGTCTGGGTCTTCGCTGCTGGAAGGGTCGAGTGCGTTGACCAGAAAGTTCTTGTGGGCGAAATCGACGCCGAGGCCAGCGAGGAAGGCGAGCAGGGACAAGATGACAATTATCCATCGCGCGGTTTGCCCAATTACCCGTAAACCACCCCGCTGAGCTACATTGCCCAGCTGTGCCGCCTCCTCACAGCTTGCGAAGATCGAGATGAAGAGCCAAAATTCGGCTATGCTCTGCGGCTTGTCTCGCACTTCTTCTGCCCACAGGTACACGAAAAGCAAAGTCGGCCGACCCTGGAGATGAATCGCCTGTGCTGCAACATCGACAGTGTTACCCTCGGGATGTATTTCATTGCAAGGACTCGCTGAGCCTCTCGGTCGCAAGTTGCTGAATAGATCCATTTCGCATTCCTCTCGGATACAAACGAGTAGCACTTGAGAATGATGAATGTCGGACTGGGGTATGACAACAGAGAAGTTGGGAATGGCGCACTGGAAGCCGCCAGAGCAGCAACTGCGTCCTTATCGGTGAGGTTCCGGGATACATTGGCAAATATTAGTATCTTCCCAATGCCACAAGGGATGGCCACAGAAGCAGGGTTGTCGGGCTGAACATCGCTTGAGCGAGGTATGACCCGTACCGACTCAACCTCGAGCGACCTGGTTCGGCAGGTCGACAAGCAAGTGTTTGACAAGTACTCCAAGCTAAACGGCGTGTTTCCTTCGCCCTCTGTATGATTCGTGGTGACCGAGGCTGGGGAGTTTTAGACCCTCGAAAACACGAGGTTTGCCCAGGCCCAGACCTTTCTCGCCGAACTTACCAACAACCCGGGCTTCGTCGTCGCTTATTTCAAACCATTAGAGTTTAGCCAGACTTGAAACATAAAAGATGGCTAGAAGGTCAGTTGCCGGAGATTCCAAGGCTTCGACCGTTAAGAGAGGGACAGTTTTAATCATTATATCAAAAGGGAGCAGGAGTTGGTGCAGTAATCTCTGCTCTTTGTCGATACTCGCCTGATCCATCTGTCCAGTAATCATCTCGTCTTGGCTGGTGAGTCCAGAGCAAAGAGGATGAATTTCCAAGCACTGCTCACCAGATTTGGTCGATGAGTGGCATTTTGTAAGGGTTGATTCAAGCTAGCCTTCGACTGAGCGAGGTTTGGGAGCCACTTGAGCAGCTGAGTTGGAGATAACGAGTCCAGACAAGTATTTCACGCATCCCAGATGGTAGGGACCATTGGGATCATCTGACCCGCGAGGTCTGGCTGCTTCTTGGGGGGAAGCAATTGCAGGCGACACTGGGTGTGCACAAACACGGAGCAGAGCCACGTGACTTCCGCATGCAGTATTGAGGTATGTCCTTTGTATTCAGATAGCATAAATAGGGAGACCTCCTCAGAGCCATCTGGGAGTCTTCCATCCGTCTTTAGTATATCCAAATGCTCCCATTGGTATATTCAAGACGAGCCCGGGTATGTGTTCTCTGAAAAGGAGCGAAACTGTCAATGAGACTAAAAGAAGGGGCGAGATGAAACCAAGAGTTGCTAGTACTAATAAGGCTAGTATAGGCTTGGCATATTTCGGCTGTGTCGAGGGTCGTTCACCTTTTGGCGCTGTGGACCGAATGGCTTTTACAGGTTCTCAAGCGATTGCTTCGCAGGCAACAGGCAACGTGGCTGCCCGGACTCGACACGAGACATCGCGCAGGTCAAAGCCTGCCCAAATCTGACCGAAGGGCCTGAAGCTGGCATCCGTGGGACAGCATCCGGCTGGGAGTGAGGCTGCTGATCACGCACCAACTCGCAGTGCTAAGGTCTGCACCCTTCACGAACATAGACAGAGATCACCCAAGGCTGCTCGTTGGTATCTTTGCGGCCGGCGAATGTGATGATATTCCCATTGTAGGTCTTCAGCTTGACCCCAAATTTTCTTGTATGAAAAGCTGCTGGAAGTCGCTCTCATGTTACTGTATGCCTTTGCTACAAGTATTTCCCCTTCGCCGCTAGTTGTGCGTATCCAAGCAGGTGCGTCAGCCTCGTGGCCCAACTCATCAAAGAAATGCATCCCTTTCAATGGAACTTGGGCGCAGACGTGGACACGCAGTAGCGCGTGCCCTGCAACGACTTTTGCACAGCTCCACCCAATGGAGGCATTGCACTAACTTGAGCAAGCCGTCTGGGTTAACTATCTGCATAACGACTTTTGCGACGGCCAATAGAATTGTCTTTCAAGGAGCCTATGATATTTTGCTGCCCGTGAGAGCCAAAGTCTACAAGATATATGTATTTCTCCCGCTTGTCTGCACTTGTGCTGTCTTTCTACCACCCCATTCTCAGCCGTTCCAATGGAGCCTGGCAAGCGATTTCACCCTCACACGCCCAAGGAGTGGGAAGAAAAGATTCGGCCTGCGTTTACAGACCTCTACCATGTCCAAGGCAAAAAACTGTCCGATGTTGTAGACATCATGAAGAGTCGAGGTTTTCGTGCTGAGTGCGTATGTTCTACTGGCAGGGACTGTCGAGCTAATTCATCCTCAAGACAATGCCATTACAAGACGTACGTAAAGAAATGGGGTCTAGACAAGAAGAATAAGGCAAACCAATGCCTGCGCTCCTTCGTTAGACTGACAGGGCTAACTCCTCGGGCTCAGGAAATCGATATGGTGTTTGCTTTTCAAAAGCTCCAGAGTAAACACGGGAAGGACACTGTATTCAAGATCCGAGGACGCGACCGCAGCCATCGTGCTGTTGAAAAGTACTGGAAGCGCAGGGGTGTCAACCCAGCACAACTTGCCGACATCCCCAAGACTCCTCCCTGTGTAGCATACCGTACACCAAGCCCGTGCCCAGGAAAGGATGGCCTCGCTGACGTCGCTCGGGAACATGCCACTTTAGACAACGATTGGACCATGGCTCCTGTTTCCTCACCCAGCAGTCCACCCAGTCCTATTGCCTCCCTAAGAGCGCGAGATTTCTCAACCGAAGGTCCTTGGGTCGAATTGACCTCCGCATGCCAATCATTCGGCTTACGCTCCCTTCGCTCTCCAGAACTCTCTGGATCTCATGAGCAGATCTTGTTTTACGCCAAGAGATGTTTTGAAAGGAGCGTTGAACATGTTAATTGCAAAAAAGAAGCCCAGTCTTTGGGGATCAACGCGAAGGCCCTCCCTCTGTTCTGGCGCAAATGGCTTCAGTTTGACTCGGCATTCTATCACAATCTGTCCGACGCTCATGTGAAGGTCTCTTACATTGACGTATTTAATGTCATACCTGATCTGGTGAGGGAGGATGATCCGGATCTTGTGATGTGTTTGCTGCTATTGATGACCTGCAGCAGACCGTTGGAATCTAACAAAATGTCGAGAATGGTGGAGGTGATCGCTCACCTGTTCAATGAGATTGCAAACCAAATGAACAATGCGACCAAGGGTGCTCATCCACTAACTACCCTTCTACAACACATCACTAGATACCTCACGGATAGCACCACCGCTGGGTCTGCTAGTGTGCGTACAATATTGGAGAGAATTCTATTGGTTGGCAAGGATGTGACGGCCCAAGGTCACGGACACGAGAGGTTTCAGACACAGGTCATCACCAGCTCTCTCTGCAGTCTTTCCTTTTGTCCCGGGGACGCCAGTACGGCCCTTTCATACGCCAAACAGCTGCAACACATCAACCTATGCAGGCCTGTAGGCTACGGTCTCGATGCCTGGCTCTCGACGTATGACCAGCATCGGACAGCGTCGTACCATGTCGGAATTGGAAATCTAGAAGAAGCTAGCACCATGACCGAGGTCGGACTCCAAATGTGTACCGAGCTCAAATACGATTCGAAAGTCCGCACCGAGCTACGATCACAATTTCTGTTCCTCCAAGGCATTATAAGACAAGGAAACTTACAAATGTTGGAAGCGCTCGACTCTCTTAACGAAGCCCTGGGTATCAGACTGGCGCTTTTTGGAGCCGGTGATCATTTGGCTACGGCAATGGCATCATTGATGAGAAAGATTGAATCCCAATACAGGGTGGAAGCACTTGAAACTTGAAGCCCAACCTTGGTCCTTTATGCGATGGAGCAGGAGAGTGTGGCGAGTTGATGATCGATTGAAGAAGCTGTCCATAGAGATAATACGGAGTACGTCGACCAACTATGACCGCCACGATTTTCACCTCTGGATCCTTCAAACACCAAATTCCTTTTTATTTTCCTCAACCCATTGGTGGAATCTAGTAGGTTGTCTTCCGCCATACTTCTGAATATTGGCGACTGCCTCCTCATATCTAGGGCCTTCATAGTGGCCTCCATCATTTTTCCCATCTTCCACCCTCTTCTTGAGCATCGCGATCAGCTGCCGCGCTGCAGGCTCCGGCAAGTGGGCAACTTTCATAAAGAAGTCCACACCTCCTTGTTCGTCCAGTCGGGTTAGTTTGATGTCCTTGCCGATCACCCTGCCAATGACATCTGCCGCCTCCCCCTGGGATATGATCTCAGGTCCACAAAGTCGAATCACGTTTCCATCAACAGCCCGAGGCCCCCTGGCGACGACGGTTCCACAGACTCTGCCGATGTCTCCAGGCGATATCCAATCAAACAGCGCCTCGGGATATGCAATTTCAATCTCGCCGTGCTGGACCATCGTCTTCCACCGCAGCGAGTTACTTGCGAAAGACCCAGGTCGGACGGCCACGTACCCGTCTGATCCAAACACTTCGCCCAGATTGATCTCGACCCGGCCATGTCCCCAGGCGATGAAATTGCTTGGCGAAATGCTCTCCATGCTCAGGTTGTCAGGGACAGTGTAGCTGCTCAGAAAGACGACGAAATCGATCCCGGCCGACTTGAGTGTGACGATGGCGGATTTCATGTGATCAGGGGTCCCAAAGATCAGGTAGATGAAGGCACGCTTCGCTCCAGTCTTGGTCACAGCAGCGTGGACAGTGTCGGGTTTTGTGAAGTCAGCGTAGACCCTCTCGAAGCCTGCCTCTTGCTCTTGTTCGGTGTTGAGCCCTGGGATCGCCTTTTCCGGATCTCGCATCGCCAGGAAGACCTTGACACCCTGTTCTCGGGCGGCCCGAGCGGCAGCCGAGCCAACGTGGCCAGTCGGACCAAAGATGATGATCCTCGCATCGTTCTCTGTAGAGGAGGACATTCTGGATTACCCGGTCCTGAGTTCGAGGCAGCTGCTCACACTCACAGGGACGGGAGGTCAGAGGTTGATGTGAGATTCAGAGTATCATTGATAGTACTACCGGTAGTAATTACAACTAGGTAGAAGCCCCCTCGATATACATATGAAGGAACTTTCCCCGCTTCCATGGGGATATGGGGTTGTTGTATACTAAACCTGGTAACTCCGGGACGCATAACCCTTATCTCCGATATGGCGAGCCTGCCATGCACTTGATGGATCAGTCCTGCTCGTTCTCAGGATTAAATATTCTAAACCGGTCCCGATTTCAGACACACCACGGATGATGTGATTCCCTTCCCCGACTTCTCCTTAGCCCCAATTCACAATATCAGTACCGCAGTACATTTTCGGTGTGATTGGATCTTGAACGGTTAGCCACGGCGGCGAACTTTTTGGTGCGGCAATGCCACGGGGACCTTTCTCAAAGCAGGCGTTTTTCTCAGCCGGCGCCCCGCCTAAGTTCATGACACGTGCTAGGCGTCAAACTGCCAGCCTTACTTTACGGACAAGCTCGCATGAATCTCTTTTCGCTTCTTTACACTTTTCACCCATCATGTACGAGTCGAGTTTGCTTCCAATCTTGGTTCATTGAGCAGGCTTCCTCGCAATGTCTGGTGTCGAGGCGGTTTTTGGCATTGCCGCCAGCGGAGCCGGCTTGCTCTCGTTGAGTATTCAACTCTTTGAAAGCGCTGCAAAGCTGAAAAGGATCTACCATGCGGCCAGGGACGCGCCGCGAACAATTTCCAGGCTCCTATTTGGCCTCGAGACAATGGCCATGGCGTTACGGCAACTCGAACAATACCGACAGCAGAGAACTGCAAGCGATGCTCTCCTCGCCCGCTGCATTGCGGAATGCGAATTGCATACTTCCGACATACGGGAATTAATCGACAAGATGGATGACCGTCTATCAAAGGCCGCCAAGATAGGTGGCAGGTTATATGCCGCATTCAAACACCGTGATGTCAAAGAGCTGCTTGATGGGTTAGAGAAGGCGAAGAGCTCCCTCGAACTTGCATACATGATGTACCTGAGTGAAGAACAGAGACGCCGAGATCAGGCATATACTGACATGCTAGCTCTTCATGGCACTCTGATCAATGGCCTCCAGACTCCATTTTCGGCCGGAAACGACAGACTCGTGCAACAATTGACATTGCTTGGCCAATCTTCAGCGTTGTCGCCACAATACAGTTCCATGATAACTTCCCCAACACGATCAAATACTACTACAGCAATCGAACCGACGGCAGCGAGATTTCGAGAGATCGAAGCGACGAAGGGGTTAGATGTTCTAGTTATTGATCGGGCCAGAGGGGTCAAGAGAAAGAATGACAAACCACGCTTCCGGGCTACTTTTCGATTCCCTCGTTGGCTTATTGCTCGCGTATTCGATTTTGCCGTCACTCAGACTCAATGGGGCTGGTCTGTCCATTTGCAAACATTCAATGACGTTCCTTATCACTCGCCCATCTTCCATTACTGTCGTAATGGTAACCTCGAAGGAATCCGAAGGCTCATTGAAAGTGGAGAAGCGACACCACTAGATGCCATATATGACGGCTTCAGTGGGTTAGGCGGCCGGCTGACAGTCATCGAGGTAAGCACCCACGGTTAATACAGCAAAGTCACTTTTGGCGAATGAAACGAGCTATAGGTCGCTGCGGAAAGAGGACAGCTGGAACTTTGCCAGTACCTCCTCGGTCAGACGAAATGGCCAGACCACGGGACAAGGCTCAGCCGTGCTCTTGAACTTTTTAGCCTCTACAATTTCTCCAGTCCACAATCTGCAAAAATGTATCGCCTTTTCATGGGGGACCCAGACTTTGACGCAGACCTCGATAACAGTTTTCAGTATGAATGGCTGCGAAATTGTAGAGAAACCGAAAGTCTAGAGGTCATACTGCAAAATCAATTCTCGGGATTTGATTGTCGCCCATTGGAGATGAGATTTGAGCTGGCCTCGCAGCTGGTTGATACGGATGCTGCCGGTTTTCTGAGATGTGTGGGATTGCAGGCACGAGACCGGAGACTCGCTTCGTTAAAGAGTAGCAAAGGTAGGACTGTCCTCCACTGCGTGGCATCCAACTTTGAGAAACACCGAGAATGGTTCCATGTTGGACTCGGCGCCCTGGAGAATGGCGCAGATCCTTCGAGTGTTGCGGTAATAGAAGCCGGCTCCTATCTAGCGCCTGTAACTGTCTTCTACCCATACTATTATCCAGAAGGGTGGCAGGTGACACCGCTACAGGACCTTCTACTCATCCGAAAGTGGAAATGGGAATCGTGGTTTCGGTCGGCGCTGCAAAAAATTCATACTTGGGCTGAAATGATTCAGCGAGCCGGACTTGACCTGTGCGAGTACGGCACAAGGGAGACTGAGATTTGGAGGTCTCTCGGTGTACAAGGCTCCTGCAGATCAGAGGCACAAGGAGGGGAGATGATGCAACTTGTGTACGGGCCCACACCGGCAGACTGGAGCCTGAAGATTTGCGAGCCTTGGACAATTAATGTGTACAGACTGCAACCGCCCCCTGGTGCATTCAGCGATGGACCCCGGCTTCCAACTGAAATCGTCTGGTCCCCGGGGGACGGCGAAGAAGACGAGGGTCCTTGGATACATGTCGAGAGAAAGGAACGTGTCATGCAACCCGTGGATCTCAGAGATTTGGTATTCAACCAAAGAGAGCCCTTTATCGATCTCGTGGATGGTTCGCAGGATGACTCGGGCGCCATCATGCTGATGCAACATAAGGCTTCCCGCGTGGCTGATGGTCGAATAAGGTCCCACAGTCAGCCACCTCGTCTGCGTCGAAGGGAAGTGTCTCATTATAAGGTCCACTACCCACTCCGATCCAGGTGGCTGAGTTTTCATCTCTGCCCGGCTGACTCCCGCTGGAGGTCTGGCTGTGCTGAAGGGCATTTGGAGGGGCCGCGGTTACTTGAAGGCGATGTGGAGCCCCACGTCAACGTCAGGAGTTGCTTCAAGCACGGATCTCGGAGGCCAGGTTCGGTCCAACAAACCCTTGGTTGGTGTTACTTTAGCTTCCTTGCCGAGATTATCGACTGTCAGGACGGGTCCAGCTCCTCTTCTTCTCCTGGTAAGCTGGAAAGCCTGAGACACAGCTATACTCGCGATTGCCCTCGAGGTTGCAGAAATGTCGATGTTGGCCGGTTGAACGTACCACACCTCTTGAGAAACTTCCATCCCTTTCGACAGCACATATATGAAGACGAACGCGGCCTCGCATGAGCTCAAGAGGGGACCGAAGGGACCAACAAGAACACAAGCAACAATTGAGAACGCGATCGGACCCTAGACAATCTCAGCTTCACAACAATCAGCCCATGGCTCCTGGACCTCCAGCCCTTTTACAGCCATCAAGGGAGTCACTTTAGGAAGTATTCTAGACTCAACTCAACTTGAAATTGTGCTTTTGATTATGTGCTTGCTTCAAAATTTGCTTAGTGTTCTAGGCCTCTTTCTCTGAACTCGGTTTATTGGTCGAGGGACTGCACGGGCCTCTGTGATCGAGCCCGACGACGCCTCCATGGCGGAGGTCTGCCTGCATACATTTCATTCCTACCAGCCGATATACCACTTCGCCCCGGCCTGTGCATCTCTTCGGCATCCAGCTCCTCGGGTTCAAGGCCCAGAATCCTGATTTGCTGGTCTAAACATTCCTTCAGTTCACGATAGTCCCGACGGAGGCGTATGCGTTCGTTGAGTACCAGCGCTTCTCTGAGCAAACTTCCGTCGCAGTGGCTCTGACGCTCATCGAAATCGTTTCTTGTTGCTTCGAGGAGGTCTTCGAGTTCAAGGTATTCGCTCATGTTTCCGGAATACTCCTCTGCATCCCGATCATCCCGAGGATTGGGTTCTTCGGTCGTCTGAGGGCATTCGTTTTGGAACTCATTTTGGACTTCGTCTCCTGCCCCGCCGCGAATTCCTCGCAGAATAACCGGCCCCTGGTGCCTTCTTCTGACCCCCGTGTCATCCAGCTCGTACATGGGGACAAAGGACTGACTTTCCCTGAAGGAAGCCCGGTTTCTAGCGCTGCTCCTCTCGCTGTTTGTCCGGGGCAAGATTTTGCAAGACCTCGATATTCTCCCACCGGCTGTAATCCAATTTGGATGGCGAGGCTGGGACACGCTGGCTTGGACAGGACTTTGTCGCTTAGAATTGTGACGTGGTCCCGGAGTCTGCATCTCAGAACGAAACCCTAACTGATCCAGGCCTGGCCGAGATTGTCGCGGTTGTATCTCTGGTCCGTTGATAGGGTGCTGTCCATCTGAAGCTGACGGGCCCAAGCTTTCATCTACTTGCTGCGAGGGGTGCAATGGCCTCCTAAACGACCGAGTAGCCAATGTTATCAAATCTGCGGCGACAAGGGCTCCAAGGAACCAGGCGTGGACCCTGAGGTACCACAACACCATCTCCTCAAAAGTGGCTCGATGACAAGTGACATCCGACAGAACTGGCTTTCCGAAGGGGTTGAGCAGTTGAAAGGTCGACACCCGCATGGTGGTCTGCAGATGGATGACGGATCCAGTTCGCAATTCTTTGAAATATTCCGTGTCAAGAGATGGCAATCAAATCCAACCGATGACTCTCCGTCTCTCTTCTGATCCGGGCATTATGGACCATTTTTATATTGCTGAACAGCGATTTGGCGTTGGGTCATCATGGTTTGCTTTTAGATCACCAGGCCCGTTCTGTTGTTATTGTTGTCGTTGTTGTTGTCGGCGGCCGATCGCTCATCCGATTGTCCTGTCGCTATCGAAGGGGCGATATTCATATCAATCAAACGAGCATGTCACTTCTCAAGGAGTCAGAGCGATGGTTAATGATTAATGATTAATGATATATGGTACGCAATATACGATGCACTCACTAGTTGGATCAGTTCAAGGGGAAAGGGGGCAGGCAAGCTGCTACAACGGCAATCTCGGATCTATTGTTGGTAATTAAATTCTCTTTTAACACACCTGTCTCTTTTTGTTCTTTTTTGTCCCTTTTTATGCTTTTGCACTGTGTACCTTCTAGACCCCGCACAACCCACTGCTCCCGCCGTTTCCATGCACCACCCCTTCTCTCAACTCGTGCGCGCGTCTTGTTCCAAAACAGCCCCCTAGACTCGCAGCTTCTACATATCAAAGTCGCCATCCATTCTCTCGTGCATTTTCCCAGTTGACTTCATTTGGACTCCGCTCCACGGTGAGGTCGAGGTTGTGTCTGGGGCAGAACGAACAGAACTTGAACTCGCCGGCCTTGACGCACGGCAAACACAGTCCCCCAATCGCGGAGTACACGTCCCACAGCATCTCGCGGTCTGCGATATCACAGTAGCGCGGGCGGAACCTTCCGCAGGGGAGCGCCGGCTCGCCATCAGATGCGAGATCTTGGAGGGTATCTAGGCGGGTCATATCGGAGATGTACTCCTCGAATAGGGCATCGAGACTATATTCTAGCCCGCGTTCCTGCTCGTGATTCCACCCCTCGGATTTGCTGATCACCTCGCGGTGCCAGCGCTCTGTCTGGGGGACGTTTTGGCAGCGGGTGCACCACCAGGCTTCCTCGCCGTGAGGATCCGGTTGGAACACCGTCGGCAGCTTTGAAAGGAGGTCCCTCCGCAATCTGACGGCCTCTTGCTGGAAACATTCCACAAAATCGAACTGGAGCAACTCCGCAAAATCGGCATGGAGTCTCGGATGGAATTCATCTGCGAGAAATGCTCTAACCTCATCGACCGTCATTTGCCACATCATCCGTCGGGAAGCGATTGCAAAAGCCACTGGGAGATTGAGGAAGTATGCGCATTGAAGGACGAATGGTAGAGATGGAACCGGCAAATCTCCTGTGTCGTCAGCCACTTGACGACAAAGAATCGCGTCGTTGTAGAAGGGGAAGATCCCAGAAAAGTAGTCCATGAGTAAGTGTTCACACCAAACGGGGAGGGTGCCCTTGAAGAGGTACTTGTCAAGTAGCACAGCCACAGGTTTCAGGATGTAGATTGCCGCTGCTGGAACGACGCCGTCCTCGCTGGCGATGTGCAGGAATGTCACAAAATCGACAAATTTCTCAGGGAAGACGAGCGGGTTCTGGGTGGTGAACTTACCACTTTCTGGCATCCAGCGCGTACCGAACTGCGACGCAAAGAACTGCGTGGTCTTAGTCAGTGCTTCACTCGAGACGCGTATTAACACGGCCTCACCGTCGTCCCACGGCGAGGAGACCGAGAAGTAGGCATCACCATCCTTCGCGACCTCGTATAGAAGATGGTCCGGGGTTCTCACGACCTGGTCTTCTGGAAGCCACGGTTCGGAAGCTGGGGGGGCGAGGAGGGGCATGTTGGAGCGACTTGGTCAAATGTTGAGAGATTAAGAAAGGAACTCTGGCGCGCGATGGTGTGAAGAATTGCAGGCAGAATTGCAGTGAGGATTGCTGTGATGTAAGTGGTTGATGCTCATGGTCAACGCCTTGACAGCAGATTATATGGACATATATATAGCCAAGGATATCCGTGGCTCGCTATCCCCAGGGAAAGGCAGTGGTCGTAGAGAGAGAAAGTCATCATTGTCCAGAGCAACACAGTTTTGAAGGCGGAGGCATCTGCCTCGTTGAGCCATACCAGCTGCTTGAACTACCGTTTTGAAACCACAAAGAGCCCCAGCTCCACTGCAAAAGCGGGCATTGTAAACAATGCTGTCCTTGTCCAGGCACGGCGGGCGATGTCGTTGTCAGGTCTGGCGGTCAAAGGCAGTTGTGTGCAAAAAAGTCATTTCTTTGTGCTTGGGACGAATATATCGAGATTTTCTTTGTGTCCCACATACTACCTGACTCACAAAGAAAGCGTGCTTCATATTGGCTGACAGAGTGATAACTTGATGGCGGCTGAGAGAGTCCAAGAGAGTTGAGGTCTAGATTAACTTGCTGGCCAAGAAAATGTCTTGGCGGCCAAGACGCCTAGTGGGACTTTTTTCACATCTTTCCGCCGTTCGATTATTCTCTTGGCTTCTGTTCTTCTTGCCCACTGGAAGCAAACTCCCTCCTTTCTCTAGTTATTGAGCAGCGATATCGGCAGGTACATCCTCAAGCTTCTCGTTGCCCACAATTTGCCAGATGTCGCCCAAAACACAAGAGCCGCAGGTCATCTCCATCACAGATCTACATCCTGCACAGGCGAAATGGGTTTCGCTCAAGAAAGTTGATTTCATAGACCAGACGGGCACTGCTCGCACCTGGGAGGTTGCCGTTCGCAAGACAACTCCCAAGGCTGGCGTTGACGCCGTGGCCATGGGTAACATCTTCATGCATCCTTCTAAGCCGCCGAGCACCTTGCTGGTCCTCCAGTATCGGCCGCCGATTGGCAAATACACTGTTGAATGGCCCGCTGGATTGGTTGACGAGCACGAGACGCCAGAGGAAGCTGCGGTCCGAGAAATGAAGGAAGAAACCGGATACGACGGAAAGGTCTTTGACGTATCGCCTGTTTTAGCAAGTGATCCTGGAATGACAAATTCCACGATCAAGCTGGTGATGGTGGAAGTGAAGCTGAGCGGCGAAGAAGATTTTATGCCAGAACAAAGACTAGATGATGGGGAGTTGATCGAAAGGGTGATGGTGCCGTTGGACGAACTTTATGAGAGGTTGATGAAGTGGGCCAACCAGGACAACTACATGGTTGCGGCAAAGCTGTTCTACTTCGCGGCAGGTGTGAATTTTGCGAAGAAGGGAGGCTATATCTGACGGTCCCCATTGAGTGCCTTCACTCAGAGTTTGGCGTTCAAGGCACGAGTCAACGCTCACGATGCGCCAGTGACCGGGGCCACGGCGACCCAGGGTCGGAGCAACCTGTTTCAGACCACTCTTTTGTCAAACTCAGCTTCTGTCCCAGAATTGGAGATTGGGTGACCCTCCTGCCAACGGCAATAAACGTACTCACAACCACCTGGAGATATGACACAAATGCAAAGAGCATCACTCAAGAGAGGACCCGGTCACGTACATATTACACGTTATACAAAGAGGCGGCATTACCGCATGACAATAGTTTCAATCACACGAAAAAGACATAGAAATAATCTGGCGGCTAGACACTTCAATTTCGAATGAGACCCGATCGGATATTTAGAGACGCTAGAGGCGCAAGAAAAGGGGAAGAACCTAGGACTATAACTACAAACTCCCCAAACACAAACAAGATGTTAAAGAGTAGTATAATGTCCCCCTTTCCCCCGGGAAGAGAGCCGAACAAACAAGTGAGCGAGTGAATGAACCATCCATAGAGCTGCAGCAATAGACCTCCGCTTTGCCCTCTGTTTAGACCGTGGCAGTAGACGCCGAACATTGTCCAAAAGACCGATTGAATGCTTCTCCGGTGGCGCACTGTAGACAGCTCATGTGGTCTCTCCACCGGAGGTCTAGATGCACTCCCCTCATTTCAACAGCCAGGGTGCCGGCGACTCGGTGGATGGCCGTGATGCTTGTAAGACGTCTGATCGGGAATTGCCGTATGTGGTCCTCTGTCCGCAAGGGCGCCTATACGTTTGTCGGCAACCGTCACAGTGTTGTTTTGCGTAGATTGGTCACTTAATTAACCCCGCAACTCGGTCCCGCAACCTCATTAATTTGCCTTGTACAACTCGGTAGCATCGTCGGGGTCGACGCAGATCTGTGCGACTTTCGCCCCTCTTGGGTTCAAAGTGCCCCTTAGACACCAGAGGTGGCAGCGTATGCATCAGTTGTCTTCTTTTTTGCGATATTGCTCGAGTTTACAGGAAGTCCGCGTAGATTTGTACAAGGAACGGCTTCTGCCGAGTTCTTGCAAGGACAGTTGCAGAATCGAATGTTGATCGATGCCAAAGACAGACAATTGGAGTAGAATTTGCCGCAGTGCCGGCTACGCGACCGTGCTAGTCTTGATTAGGTTAGTGCAATGCTGAAACCCAACACGCAAGAAACCATTCAATTCCATTACACAAGAGCAAATATCAAACGTTGGCGGCCAGATTTCCTACAGATGCAAAGCGGCACTTCCAGGCATACCAGCTCGCTGAGGGAGATATGTAGTCTAATCTAAAGGCCGTACTTTCGCACTCCTTCTTGCACTAGGGAAGCGAGCCTCGCCCTTCTCGTCCAGGAGACTGCGCCGGACACAACGGAGCAGACTCAAGCTAACTGGGGGAGCTGCAACAACAACACTCTTGAGGCCTCCCAATAGGATGCTAAGAGGTGGCATTAAGGTTTGGAATTGATATTTCCTTGCAGCTTCTCTGACACAAGCTTTTTCGTTCCCGAACACGAACCCATTTTCAAAGATACTGACTAGCACAGGGGAGGGCGAAGTTCGGCGGGTGCCTCCCCGCCAGGTAACTATTCACCGTTCTCCGCATCAGCACCCTCGAATAGGGAGACGGGCCATCGCTGATGGTGTATCCGAAGGGATATCCGACAGCCGGCGCAAATGGATCTACATCCTCTTTCCAAAGCTGGAAGAGATTGCGTCTTGAAGCGGGGAAAAGGTCAGGAATTTGCCCGGACAGTTTCAATATATCCCCAGGCTGGGGAGTCACATAATGGTTTGAGGTGCAGTTCAACTGCTCAGCTTTCCTTTTCATGTTCGCTGACAACTGAGTAGAAATAGTATTCAAAATACTAGCTTGATTGGCACTGTCAGTTAAGTTGCCTGTTTTGTTCCCTTCCTCCAACTCGCAACTAGTTTCCCACCATCATGAAACGCTTTTGGGGCCTTCGTGGGCGCTGGCTGAACGCTGCAATATGGGCCCTGGCCATGTTTGCGGTCATGATCTTTGGGTACAACCAAGCAGTCGCCGGCGGAGTCCTCACCACTGCGTCCTTCAATAGGGAATTTCCTAAGATGGACGTGATTGATACAACAGGCGCGCAAAAGCATTACAACTCGACCATCCAAGGTAAGGGTCGACCAGGAATGATCGCGCCATCTGGTATATCTAAATAACTGATCACCCTTCCAGGCACCGTTATCGCTCTCTACACTCTGTGTGGCACATTTGGGGCTCTGGCCTGCACATTTCTAGGCGATGTTCTCGGACGTCGAGGCACGATCTTTCTGGCCACCGCGGTTCAGATGGTCGGCGCCATCCTGATGGCATCTTCATTTTCCTTTGCACAATTCATTGTTTCCCGCATCGTCGTGGGCCTCGGGACGGGCGGCATCATTGCAACTGTCTCGGTCTGGCAATCTGAGCTTTCCAAGGCGGAGAGTCGGGGCGAACATGTGTCGGCCTTTGGTATCTTCTGCGGTCTCGGGCTGCTATTGGCATTGTGGATTGACTTCGGTTTCTCCTACTACTCCGGTTCGATATCATGGCGATTCCCCTTCGCATTTGAAATCGTCCTGTCTGTCATCGTGTTGACCTTCATCTTCACTCTACCCGAGTCTCCTCGCTGGCTGATAAAGATGAACCGTGTTGAAGAGGCGCGCGAGATCATCGGTCTCCTCTACAATGTCGATCCACATGACGATGAGGTGCAGAGGGAGATTCGCGATATCCAATCTGCGCTCGAGCTTGCTGGGTCAGTTTCTCTTAAGGCGTTGTTCAAAATGGGACCTCAGAGGACGTTTCATCGAGTGGTGCTTGCAGCGTGCGTACAGATTTTCCTCCAAATGACCGGTACGTCATTCATTCCTAGGGCCTTCTGTCGGATCTCTAGAGACCTGGTTTTCCTCATCTCGTTGGCAGATTTGAGCTCACATATCCACTAGGTGTCAACGCAATCACCTACTATGCCTCCTCAATCTATGAATCCGACCTTCACTTCGATGCGACTGTATCTCGGATCCTTGCCGCCGCTTCGCAATTCGCCATCGTCTTGGGTTCATGTCTTTGTTCCTGGACGGTCGACCGCTTTGGCAGGCGCAAACTGATGCTCTTCAGTTCCAGCAGCATGGCCGTCTGTATGGCCTGCCTGACGGGTCTAGTGTCTAATCCTGACAACAGCCCGGCCCTTAAGGTGGCAGTCTTCTTCCTCTACCTCTACTACGTCGTCTACACGATTGGATTCTTGGGCATCCCATTCCTCTACGCGTCAGAAATCGCACCTGTCCATCTCCGCGCCGCGGTCTGCGGCATCTCCACCGCTGTGTCGTGGCTGTTCAACTTCCTCGTGGCAGAAGTAACGCCGGTGGCCTTCACGGACATCGGATACCAGTACTTCATCGTGTACACAGCGCTCAACGCCGCCTTTGTGCCTATCATCTTCTTTTTCTTCCCCGAGACTGCTGGCCGCAGTTTGGAGGAGCTGGACGAGATCTTCGCCGCTTCCAAGACCATTTTCGACCCCGTGCGCGTCGCCCGCAAACTGCCCCATCGCCACTTAGACGATTTCTTACGTCAGGAGGAAGAGATCGTCCAGGAGGTGATGGAGCCCAAGGGGTTGGTGAACGGCGAGGGCGAGGGCGTGGAGCATGTGGAGAATCCGGAGAAGGACGAGGCGTGATCCGGAGTTATATTCTCCGTACTACGCGTCCATACTACGTAGTATCTAGCGATGGGAATGGATGGGGAATTGCCGGGGGTGGAGGTTTGGGGAGGGAGAAATTGTTGGGGAAGTTGGGCCCCGGAGAATGAAGACCCTAAATGGCGAGGTTACTACTTATGCACGGAGACTCGCGAGTATGTAAGCCTCGTTAGGAAATTGCCATGCGCCGATTGAGCCGGAGCTTGACATACCAACGATGTCAGTAAGAGGCTGCACTGAACCTCACCGAGGACTCCCTAGGCAGCACACTGAGGTACAACGAAGGCTCGAACGAGACTCCAAGTGATCGACCGACCGTACCTGTTACCATGTACAGGGAACAGTTGTCGTTAGCACATGGTCGCGCTAAGCCTAATTGGGCTAATTTTGTGACCTCTTTAACTGAGATATTAAATCGGAAAGATACTAGAAACTGACCGTTTCTAATATGCCGCCTCCCTAGTAGATACCTGTATATAAGTCTGATTCCAGACCGATTCCATATTGATTTTAACCAGGACTCAAGCCGATTCGAACGGAGCTATATATATAATCTATATGGATTGAAAAAGTATTAGAAATATAAAAAAACCATAGTCGTAATACCTACTATGTCTCTAAATCTTGAGATTCTCATCGGTTTAATGTAGGCGAGATCTTTTTATAACCGGGTCTGGTGCTTAAATCGCTGATCAGGCTGACTCGATTCGAACCAGTTCGAACCGATCTCACACCTATAGGGAAGGCGACACAGTACCATATAGTAGTACTTACTATTATGTAGTAACTATCCAGAGATAGAATCAACGTTTTGCAAATGGGCTGTACTCTTTATATGTACAGTACTAAATTGGCATGTAGTACATAGTGCTATTATACTTACAGCGCTGAATACTACTAGTAGCTGCGCTCCTCTTCTAAAACCCAAACGTCCAGTAGCGGCCGTCTTCCCTTGGGCGCGATATTGAAAGGGTCCTCCACCTCCACGTCCCACTCAGTCATGTCGGCGTTTAACTGCAACCTGAGCTTCCCGAAGATGTTGCTAACCGCCAGATACAGCTCAGCCTTGGCCAAATTCTGGCCGATGCAATTCCGCGGGCCCAGCGAGAATGGTGTGAGTGCGGATTCCATGTCCCTTATCCGCAAAGCATTGCCGTTCTCCTCTAGCCACCGTTCGGGCAGAAATTCGTCAGGGCGGTGGAAGAGCTCGGCGTCACGGTGATGAACGTAATTTTGCATGCCGACTAGTGTGCCCGGAGGCAAGACGTGGTCTCCGATGTTCACTGGACGGTCCAAGATCCGCGGAAGCGTCGACATGATGGTTGGATAGAGACGGAAAGTCTCTTTAAGGACAGCATTCAGATATGGGAGGTTCTTGACCTCATTTAGGCTCGTCCCGGCGACGGTCCGTAGCTCTTGCCGCAGGCGTTCTTGCCTTCCCATGTCCTTAGACATGGCGTACAGAAGGTAGGTTAGTGTCGACGAGGTTGTGCCACTGCCAGCGAACGTAATGCCCATTAATTCCTCCACCAACTCCAGCTGCGTGAGTCTCCGACCGAGGTAAGGGTCCTCGTTCACGAGCATAGGCGTAGCCATGAATTTCTGGGTCTTGTCCAAGGGCAGCTCGTGCTGCTGGAATTCTTTCAGTAAGTTCTGTGTCACATCTTGCCAAAGGTCCCATTGCTTGAATGATCGCCCGATTGGTCCGGGGAGCATTCTGCCAACCGCCCTACTCAGAAACGGTAGTGCTGCTGCGGTTCGGATTGCTACAGCAGTGGAGTCCATGGCCTCGAGAAGAGTCGCGGCATCGTGGCTCGGTACATCTCCATGATGGCGATTGAACGCGCAGGCTAAAATGACCTCCAAGCTGAACAGACCATTTAAGGCGAAAGCATTCACTGGTTTTTCCAGGATGGGCTCTTTGCCTGTCTGGCTCAATCGTCGCACCAGGATTTTGGCCTTGTCGACGATCAGCGCCTCGTTGTCAAAAACCGCTTGCTGAGAGTAAGATTGGTTCTGGAGCTTGCGTCGGCCCGAGTGGGCGTCTTTGTTCAGCATCGTAAATATATTGTCGTGGCCCGTGAGGCTGGTGTCGCGATAGAAAAAGTCTGTTTTGGAGCTTGCCTTGTGGCTATAAATCTCCCGGTATGCCCTCCAGTCAGAGACCGAAATTTCGTTCGGTCCAACGCGAACGACGGGACCATACTGGTTATGGAGCTCTCGCAACGACTGCAGATTTGCTCCAAGTCAGCAAGGTTGCACATTACTATGTACTAGTAGCTACATGTCTAAGCCCTCACCTGGGCTCTGTGAAGCCCTGCTGAAGCCGGCACAAGATAGTTCGCCGACACTTTGGCTACCCACGGACCTGGAATCCGCGCCAACGGATGTAAGAATATGTTGTAGAGAGCCTGCAGTCACCATGATTAGCAAGTTTGTTCTTGACCGTACATAACTCGTGATATTACTACCTGAAAAATGTAACTGGCTACCATTAAGGCCATAAGGGCGCCTGCCAGATATTGAAACTTTCCTTCTTGGAATTCATGGTTCGATATGAGCCTCGAAGGCATCTCCACGATTCTCGAAGCTAGAGGAGACATGGTGAGGGTCAACCAGGCGAAAACCGTATCTGGCCAGAAGGAGTAGCTGATCTCTCCGAACCTTTTAAGCGAGTTGGTGTACTGGGCAAGAGCTGAGATGCGAGGAAGAGTCGTGGCATGAGACGACGGTCCGAAGCTCATTTCATTAGGAAGCCCAGAGCTGTGACCGATTACTCCATCGGCACAAAGAGGACTTCGGCAAGTACACCTTAGAAAAGGATCGTTTCTATATTAGTACTGTGACTGCACACACTGACCACGGCCATGCCTGTCACAGAGATTTTCCTACTTCGGTAGTATTGAGGAGGTATTGGAGCACTCCCTTCCAGAATTCCTCATCCCGCCCCAGACGCCATTTACCCACTTCCCCAGCCTAATCCCCGGACTCGGATGTTGATGATGCATCCTCATCCCAGAGGCTCGGATTGTATCCCTGTGAGTTGCTCTCCCTACAGAGGTGCAGCACATCCAGAACTCTATATCTCCGTGGCCCGTGGGTTTTGGACGAAATGTCTGAATATTGATTGATTCCAGAGAGGAAATCGGAATCTAGTCGCAATCACGGTTGTGGGTGAAAAATTGCCGAAGGAGCAGTCATGTGACCGTCTAACCTTTCCGCCTGGGTCACTTCCCAAAAGGTCACAACCCCATGGATGCGGTTCTCCTGTTAAACGGTCCGAGGCAACCCCTTGTCAAGTGCAAGTTTAGAACCAAACAATACCATTGGCGAAGGGAGAGATAATTCAATAGTTTCACTACAATAACATCTAGGGAGCCTTAGCCTTATTCGATTCTATACGCTGATGCAAGACTGTCCACTCCGGTGCCTTCACTAACTGTACCCTTAACAACCTCGTAGACAGGCAACTCCGACAGTCTGCTGACAATGTGATGCAAAGTCGGCAGAGCCTTCCAGTCGTGAGCATTGGTGCTGATGTTGCACTTCGACGTCTGCAGGAAGCTCTTGATTTCCTTTGCTGACGGAGTCGGCACGCAGATGGGATACTCCGCATCCGCGAAGCCAGGGTTGCCCGTGGAAGGAACGTACTTGTAAGTGAACACTTGGTCTTCGGAAGTAGGAGGGCAAGCTTCGCATGCCACAAGATCGTTAAGTTCGAGTTTCAGGAAACCTGCGCCTCGCCAGCTTGCTTGCATCGAGTACGTTGATGCGGTGTGCTCAACGGCGATGTCGGCAAATAATTTGGGGAAGCCGACTTCTTCTCTTCCGCTCAGGATGGGATCGGTGAGATCTTCCCACATGACAGCCAGATAATTTCCAACGACCGTTTCGCCGTCTTTCTTCTTGTACTGGATGCCGTGCATGTAGAAGCCGAAGTAATTGTAACCTCTGCCACCAAGCCAGTCCATGTTATCGAGGGTGGTTTGGATATATGATGCCTCCGCAATCGTATCACCTGACAAAAAAGTGTACGCCGTCGTAGGGAGAAAATTCTGCAGGAGGGTTCGGGAAGTCTTGAATCTAATCGATCGCGTGATGAAGTTCGAGTGGCTCGTCTCTCGGATGTGGCCTTGAGCGTCTTGTCGAGGTCCGGGATAAGGGCCAAAGGAGATCGGCATTCGCCAGTAGACCTTCGCTTGCTCCTTGAACTGATATTTGCGAAGTTCGTTCAGTGAATGGTGATACTCGTCGTGCCCGCAGTTGTAGTCGAAGAACTTCATAACTTTGGCGATATTGTTTTTCTGACCTGGCTCGATGTTTTTTCCTGATTGTCGAGTCACCTCCTGAACAAATTCCGCTCTCTCTTTGCGGCAGCGTTGATAAAGCTTCAGTCGCGCAGGAACCTCCGAGGGGTCCGTACCCCGAGGAAGGAGCGTTCCCAGAGAGACGCCGTCCTCCATGGCTTGAGCACCGCCTTGACCCTGATGTGGGAGGAAGGGATGAGCAGCGTCGCCCACCAAGCAGAATCTCTCCGCATACCATTTTTCGATGGGGCCCATATCCATCAGTCTCCATACTTTTAAGGTCGACTCGTCTACCATGCCCAGCAGGCGTAACGCACGAGGATCAAATCCTTCATAGGTTTTGATTAGATCCTCCCGATTGCCTTGCCCGTTCCATGTATCGTCCAACCCAACAGTCCCTTGGTCTGGGTGGATACAAACAAAGTTCAGAATCGAATCATTTCTTGTCGGATACATGACTATTCGTCTAGCTACAGGTCAAACAAGCTTGGTAGTTTTCGATCCTCGAGTGCTCACCTGTCAACATCAAACCAGAAGACAAGCTCGCCCGTCTTCTCTACCACGTCCACAAGCTCTGGAATCGCAAGAGCGTCTGCCTTTTTAATCATAAAACGATATGCTAGATGTCCGGAAGGGTTAGGTCTTTGGTCAGTGAGCTTGGAGCGGCACCTGGACTTTTCAAGGACTTGTTAGCACAAGCTGTAGCCAGTGCCGCGATCTGAAAGCTTACATGGATTCCATCTGCAGCGACCACCAAGTCACCCTGCGTGTTCGACCCGTCTTTGAGAGTGATAGTGCCGTTATTGATGTCCACGTCAACTACTTCCGAGGCAGTTTTCAGCTCTACAGGAGGGCCTAGGCCCTTGGATGACGTTGCCGTATCTTTCAGTTGAGTGTGAAGGTCAACTCTATGTGCCAGAAGATATTTCTGCGTCGGTTTGAGTGGGGTTTATCTATAGCAGTAGAAATGAACATACGTGTTGCCAGCCCCTGCTGCGTTGGGCGAAGTCGTTCACCCTGACATAATCTCCTGTCTTCGAATACTCCGTAAACTGGCATTGTGATTAGCAAGAAAGGATCTTCGGGGCTATTTCTAGAATTCAGGGGAACTCCTTACCCATTTGAACTCTACAGCCCCTGCGGCTGTAGCATCAATTCCAAGGTGAAGCAGGATGCCATTGGCGTTTGGTGGAACATTGATGGCAGCTCCGAATTCACTTGCGAGACGAGATTTCTCAAAGACCTGTGTGCACTCGATCAGGTAGGAAATAGATCAAGGATATGAACGACTTACGGTCACATTATGTCCCGCTCTGCGGAGAGCAATGGCCGTTGTGAGACCGCCCAATCCAGCTCCAATGACCAACACATTCAATGCACGTGTCTTCGCAGCCAGGGCATTTGTGTCAAAAGAGCTTGGTACGTATTCTCTCATTGTTGACATTGGTGACTAGCGTGAGTTATTGGGGGACAAATGTTTTTGAATTAGGGCATTCTGGTATTTCAGATAAAACGCTGGCTGGAACTGTGTTTTTGAAGCAGGACGCGATGCGAGCGTGCGGACAACAATATGCCATGGAGACCAGCCCAATTCTCTATGTGATCATCTGATCCTCCGAGATCTGCATGTCACTTCACCTGACTCCTAGATGTTTATTTCGTATTCAGGTTGGAACATGTCCATGTCCATGTGTTTCCAAGCGACATGCATTCACCCCCATCTCGGTTTCCCATTCGGAAGAGTGGGTCTTGCCCTACCCTCCCCACTTGGTTAGTCCAATGAGCAGTGTTTCCGGCCATAGACAGCAGTATCCACCTTCTTTTTACCCCGTCCGGAACTTGGATGTATCCGACTCCATCTTTGAGGGATGCCGGAAGTGACATGGGTAATCAAGTGGACCCCCAAATCTCATCCGGAAGTTGTACATTTTCTCGGCCCACTTCGATGCGTTATTCCACGCCCCTCCTCCCGCCCCAAGTTGTGGATAGCGGGCTCCTCATGGGGGAGGAGACTTCTTCCTGCGGAGGTATAATTGGAATCTAGGATTACTCCCACGAATTGCCCGGAAGTTGGAGACCTTTCGGGGTTCTGAGGCTGGACACTGGAAGGTGAGACATCAACTCTACTAGTACCTATATTGAGATCTGAGAGTTCTCATCTAGAATCGTTGGGCCGGTCGTTGCAATCATTGGAGTCTCGAGCCGGTTGGTTTTGAGCATTATCTGCCACCGGATGGGCGCCTGCTCTATTCCTGACAATGGTCGCCACCATCCTCATTGGCGCTATCCTATGCGCTGCTGTTAGCATAACATATGTCCTCTACCAGGTATGTGCGAGAACGCGGATTTGACTCCCTTCCGGTGCCTTGGGGATGTCTAATCGAAATAGATTACCTATAACCTCTTCTTTTCTCCCCTGCGGAATGTTCCAGGGCCTCTGATAGCCCGCGTAACTCCCAGATGGCTGATGCTCATCGACATGGCCGGGCGCCGGACATCTTGGATCCACAATTTGCACAGTCGCCATGGACCCACGGTACGGATAGCGCCAAACGAGTTGTCCTTTGCCAACATGGAAATGGTCAAAGTCATCTACGGCCAACAGACGACTTTTCCTAAAGCTCCCATTTACGATACGATGAGTCTCCCACCCTTCGGGATCTTCAGCATGCGGGACAGACAAGACCACAGCCACAGGCGAAGGCTGCTCAGCCATGCATTTGCACAGTCTTCTCTGTACGAGTCTGAGCCTCTCATCCGAGCACATGTCGAAGAGCTCACTCAGCGCGTACAGAGTGGGCTTTGCAGACCGATGGACATGATGTTGCTTTTTAGGCTGGTAGCGTTCGACATTGTCGGTAAGTCAAGTTCTCGAAAACTGACTTCTTTGGGTGAATAGTTGACCAAAGCCTGAATGCTAGGTGAGCTATTCCTTGGTCAGTCTTTCAATGGACTCAAAGCCGGCACACCGCCACAATTCCTCCATGACATAGACCAGCATTTTATCCTCTGCGGCATAGAGGGAAACTTCCCCTTGATCTACGCCATGCTTTTACGTATTCCAATCCCCGCGCTTCAACGCTTTTTGAAGGCGAGGCAGAGGCTCATTGCAGTAAGAGGATGCTTTCTCGCCTCAATCGCAAATGTCGACTGACGAACGGTCAGTACGGAAAGGAAACTTTCGAGAACTATATTTCAGAGAACGGCCGAATGTCAGGCAGAAAAGACCTTCTCACCAAAGTTGTGTCCCTTAAATCTGACACCGGCGAGGCGCCTCTCACAGACCTGGAAATCTATACAGAAGTCAGCAATCTCATCTTGGCTGGTACCGGTAAGATGGCATTTCCCGTAGCGGTTCCTCTCGGATCAAAATGCTAAGCCATGCCCTTCTCTAGACACGACGAGCATGACTCTCACCTACATGTTCTGGCAACTCGCAAAGAACCCAAAGTGGCAGCAAATGCTCAGGCAAGAGGTGGGCGAGAAAGTTCCAACGAGTAGTGGAACTGTGCCGGGTTTCAGTGAGTTGGCGCAGCTCCCGATCCTCGATGCGGTCGTGAAGGAAGCTCTCCGTCTTCACCCAGCCGCCCCGGCTAGCCTTCCACGCGAAACACCACAAGGAGGGAAAATCTTGAACGGATCTCACATTCCGGAGGGCGTAAGTGCATCTATCAGCCAGCTTCTGTCTCTGATAGCGGAAGGGGTGCAATACCGACTAGACATGCCTAGACAATTGTTTCGATGCAATGTTACACTACGCAGCGTGACGCAGCGACGTTTCCCGACCCCAACGCCTTCCGGCCAGAGCGATGGATGGCTCCTGAGTCAGAAGCCATGAAGGAGATGATGATGCCCTTCTCCAAAGGATCACGAGCCTGCTTGGGCAAGAACTTGGCTATGATGGAACTGAAATTGATCACGGCTTCCCTGATCAACAAATTTTCGGTCTGGTTGGGCCCGAATTGCACGGACGAGAGTATGGTGATGACTGATCATTTCCTGGTGCTTCCAAAGGGGGGCAAGTGTGAGATGATATTCTCGCGGGTTGAGGAAAGTTGATCAGGGCATCCACAGAGCACATGGATTGAGTCCCTGGTATGAATCTTATCACTAACCAAAATGAGAGGCAATTTGATATGGTACACGGTTTGCTATGTAGCAGAGTGGATTGTTCAGGGCGAATTCAGAGCCTTACAGGTCATCAATCGCTTCCATCAACCAGGAACGAAGAGGGAAACAACAAGCTTATGTGATAGTATTTATGCGTGGCAGAAGAAATCGTGCATAGGCCGATTCGCGTGTGCAGTCGACCCTTTCTTCTGTTGAGTATGATTATAGCTTGTGCTCAAATCACTCTTCATCGGCCATCAACTCGTACAGTGCGTGGCCCAAGTTCCTGGAAACCGATACATTTAGATCAAAAAGTATCTGGGCACCCTGTGCCACGCACGCATTTCGCTGAAGCCGACCATGGCCCGGCAGGAGATTTCCATACCAGAGAACGAGCGTGGCGAAATATGCACAGAACGGAAGATGTGGTGGCTCAGGAATCAATCTTCGAGGCTTCGGCAAGTGAGCAGAAGATCCCAAACCGGTCAAATTCAATTTTTCGCCAGCACTTCTCGCACAGACAACATTTTTGAGGAGACTCTCGGCATGCCATCTAGCAATATCAAAGTGTCGACTCTTCAGCCATCTCTCGATGGAGTCGAAGACCTTGGCATTCGAGGGCATTCGGCCGGATTTGGCCACTAAGCAAGCAAGGCGTCGTAACAGTGCCAAGTTAGAATGAAGGTTGATGTGGACCATATGGTATAAGAGCATAGTCCCTGCATCTTCCTCGTCAGATCGATGAGCCTCAATCCAGCGGCCCAAGGCGACTTCGACGAATTCGGTCTTCCAGAGAGGAGGTCTTCGCCAGCCAAAAGGTCCATGGGGACTAGAAAACCAGGCAAGAGAGGAAACGGCCGCTAAAGAGGCCAGGCCATCCCCTTGGCCCGTATACTTGCCCGATAACGTCATCAAGGCCGATAGGTCATCAAGTCCATGCTTTTCAGCTGTGTTGGGACTTCCTCTAGGGTCCAGATAGCCGTCCTTTAGTGCTGTGAGAGTTGGAGGTCGCTGGAGTAAGAGCACTCTATAGCACTCGAGAACATGCAACGCCTCCAGAAGACTGCATATGTCAGATATGGAGTGCTGGTCAGCCAACGAGACGAGGGGTACTTACGAGGTCATAGACAAACGTTCGGCCTCAGAAATTGCGTCCCCAGATAGCAAACATCGGCATTTATGGACGGACTACCAATTCGATCAATGAGGTGGTCTGATCGAGATGATATTTAAACGTACCTGAAGCAAGAATCCATGGAAAGCTTCCACAAACTCGTAGCTTCTTCCATCTCCACTACAAACCCCATAGATTTCTATTAGGATAAACTGCCATGCGTGAGACACGGGAAGAGAAATGGTGATGCGCTTTTACCTACAGTTTTTGCTCGGTTCAGGCACGAGTTGAAGTCTATAAGAGACAATGAAGCCGTCTGGTGAAATGTCAGTCGTGTTCTGTGTATTCTAGATTGGAGGAGACATGCCTTTGCCAAAGCCATCTTTCTTGCATCGTTGTACAGCACGGAAGCAACTTTCTGGCTACCCTCTACGTCGCAAAAAAGTCCGCCCACTGCAGCCATGGCCGCAACGAGCTCTTCTTCAACGCCGTCCGGAGCCTCGAAAGGTAATAAGATCTTGAATGTTGAAGCCATGTGTACTTTCGCAAGATTGAGGAAAACATTCAGCACGTCTCTATCATATACTTGAAAACGGGGCGGACTCGAGTACCACATATGATTCGACTCGTTCGTAAGGGGCGACGCTGAGCGTGACGTCCGCTGGAAGTGCTCTCGCATCATGGAGATTGCGTTCTGCATGGTCCCGGATACCCCAGTGGACGGCAATATATACGAAACAACATCATCAAGGTTATGAAGCCAGCTTTCGTAGTCCTGTAAGAATGAGTACGATACGCATTCAAAAGTAATGTACGTACTCACCAGTCCCGGAAGTTGCGAGAAGAGCTCCATCATATCGTTGTCTGGTCCAATCTCGTCGAAAATAGAGAAATCCCCATTTTCTTGGACACCTTGCTGCCGCGACGGAGGCACAAGTAGCGCATCTTCCGGTTCAGGTTGGAGGGAAAGCTCATTTGCCCATAGTCCAATTGTATCTGGTGGCTTCGATAGGACAACCGGTGAGTCTGGAACTCCTTGGGATGCTGAACTTAGGCTGGAGACGTCTTGGGCGGTCCCATGACTGACATCTGGTGTTGCCGATGTAGGGATGGTTGAGTTCGGATTTCTGTTGGCCTGAGAATCACTGACGGTGGCTTCTTGCCCCGAGGACGGCGACATATGCATGTCAATAGCCGCAATGCCGCTACTGGGAAGCGTGACTTGTTGGAAAGGGAGTTGACCGCGTGGTCGTGTGGTGCTAGGTTCTGTGCAAGGGAACGATCGTTTCCGGCAAGAGTCGCAGGGACGGTGATTGTCGCATTTGAGCTTGCGTTGTCGACATTGATCGCAAGCAAGCCTCGACCGAGGCTGTCGCAAAACAGGAGCAGTATCCTCTTGGTCCTGGAAAGTTTGGAGACGTTGAGGGCATGTTCTCATGTGCTTATCTAGGACATCACGCCGAGACATCCTGCGTTGGCATTGCGTACACTGAAACGGCTTCTCGCTTGTGTCTGGAAGCATTGTTAGTTGCTCCCCGCGCGAGTACCGTGCGACTTGCGAGTCCTGAGATGCCGCAAAAGATGTTCATTGCGTGCAAAGGAGCGACCACAGACTCCACATTGATACTATCCCAAGTCAGTGATGGGTTTCATTTAGACGCCTGCGTTCGCTTTCCGCATTCCTCCGCCGCCGCCGGGTATGTAATTCGAGTTGACTTGCCAGCGGGCGGCCACGAATGCGTTCAAAGTGTTACAAGACTTACTGGTTCTCTGATGCGTCTAGGATTCGCCTGTGACGACGGCATTGCGCGACAGTCTAGGATGTCGGAATACCCATATAAACAAAAACAATACCATCCGGAGGATGAAGCGGCAGCTGGGGAGGGCGGAGCTTGGGAAGCTACGGATGGTGTGGAGGAGTTACGGAGGATGTCTGGGAACAAACATCTTTTGAAGGCTGCTGACTCGGCCAAGTACTGCGCAAAAAAGATGAGCCCACCAGCCGAGGTGGGCTCGTTAGTTAAAGACCCCGCGGGGCTGGTGCGGCTAGTAGGCTTTCTGGGGTGCAAGGCCCGAGGCTTAAGGGCTACTAAGCCTGGTGAGACACTAGCCTAGTTAGCGAGTGGGGTTGCCTAACACCTGGATCGCCCCCGCCCACGAGGTCCCGGTCCTCTCGCTAGTGGGACCTATTACTTAGTACTAGGTACTGGGTAATGGGTAGTGCTTAGCATGTAATGTCCTCCCCTCCCCCTCCTCCAGAGTTTGGACTTTCTAAATACTCATCAAGAAACATCTGGGAAAACACTAGAGCACCGACAGGGACAGCACTATATTATCTTCCACATTCATCTCGTCGCTATGGCGTCGCAGACTTCAATATCGCCCCAGTCAACTTGGCCAGGAGAGCGGTATCCTTCCCAGCACGATGTTGAGCAGGCGAACGCGTCTCTAGAACCGAATTTCCTCGACAACTTCAAGCGAGCCCTGTTAGCCAGCCCAGCTGCCTTGAACAACGAAAACCTGGTGCATATAAACCTGGAAAATGTAATTTGCACTGGCCCACCGACCTGCCTGGACTAACTCGTGGCCAAGCGCTCCAGTTTCATCGATGGCTACACGTATCCGATATCCACGCTGTCCAATTTTCCAGACCTTTCTTCAGACTATGATGTGGATTCTCTGCAGCAATTTTTCTCTCATCGATTCGACAAGCATATTCTGATCAACAGTCTGCCGCTGCCGTCACAATCGCAACGCTCAGTTCCCCCATATTTCAAGCTAGCACTTGCCTGCCTGGCATGCGCATCGTCTCCCGGTCGATCCACAGAACATGGCCAGGGAGAGAAGGCTCGGAAACTATTTCAGGCTGGCAATGATCTCTGGACGGTCATACTCGAAGTCGATAACAGAGAGGCGCGGACTCTCGAGGGTGCTATTGCGGTATACACATATAAGTGGTTTTATCGACTTTCATTCTTGACTAACCTATTCTAGCCGGTATTACTGACCATGTACGGTATGTTGACAGCAGATATCGATATCTGGCAGAGGGTAGAAGAGCAGATCCTCCCATCCGCATCAACAGTAATAGAACAACTGTTCGTCCTCGCTAGCTCTCAGACTGAAATACCTATTTACAGATCGTCCGGCGGATGCGTCTTCACGAATCGGCGTCTTCAGACGGTACCATAACCCCGACGCTTTTGAGCGGCATGAAACGGTCTCTGTGGGTGTCAAGACGAATTGACCAAAATACAGTTGGCACATGCTAATCCAAGTTGTAGGGTCTTTGGTTGCACATTGCTCGTCAGCGTCTTGACAGCGCTACATATGGACATTCCGTGCTACTTGACATCTAATGAAGTCGGCATCCAAGCAGGCACATCAGGAGCCCATTTTCAGGAGGTATACACGAGTTTATTGGACGACGACAGTCTTTTGACACCTGCTGTGGCCTCGCGTGAAGATGCCGTGCTGCTCATCACCACGATTCTCTCAGACGCAATCTGCGTTCGAAGGTCGTTGGGTAGTCTTTCAGCATATACCTCTCGCCAGTCGAGACAGCCGAAAAATCCGTATCTCGTCCTCTCGCCGCCATCTGAATATCGAAGGATTTCAGATCAGCTTTCTGGTGCATTGGAACGATGGAAAGAGAGATTCGGCTCGGTGGTGGCACGCGACGACATGGCACTGTACTACTTTTGCCGGCTTTACCTGTCCTGCCCTCATCTATCCCTTCTACCCAGACTGGCAGCCTACCCACCTGCAGTTCAGTCTGTCGGCTTGCAGAAAGATCTCGATCGGGCCGAGAGGATGTCCATATCAGATGACTCAGTGAGATATGCCTGGGCCGTGTTGGACCACGCAGATGGAAGGTCTGATGCTGAGCAAGTCGTCTGTCCAATCTGGCTTCCGGTCACGGTGTTCTTTGCAGGTCTGGTTATTTGGGCCAAGACGTGGATGTCTGAGGATTCACCAATGGGCTTGTCCGACAAGCCCAGTGGTCTGAAGCAATTGCTTGCATTCAAACTGGAGCTCGACCAGATGCCTTGGCCATGCTGCACGGAGATGGCCTGCACACTTGATCGATTGGTACAGACCAGTCGAGGCTCTGCTTGTTGAGTGGCAATCATGTCCGACGTCTACGCCAGGAAAGTCTTCCCATCATGGCCACCACGGCTCCACTGGAGATCTCGTCGAGAACTGTGTTGCGCGGCCAGCCACAAGACTGCCACGGATTATTGCTGGCTAGTTAGTTCTCCACCACAAAAGTTTATTTCCGCAATTCCGCCTTGCGGGACCATCGGCTCCATCCCGCAGGCGACCCTCAGACAATACTCCTTTATGCCCAATGCGGTAATAGAGGTTCCGGGTGGGGTAAGCGACCAAGAGACGGTTGTAAGGGGTTGTATCGATGTCATTCATTCATTCTGTACAAAAATCCTGCACGACACCACAATGTTACGGAAATTTTTCTGAAAACTTGACATTTCGACAACTATTCTTCGCGAGTTCTCGCTTTTGGAGTGTCGCGGCCAAAAAAGCGAGACATACACAGTAGCCTTGTGGTAAAAGTCGTTCAATTGTTATCGTTCTCCATACATGTCTTCTTCCCTTTCGGCGGGAGCGTCAATGTGCTGAGTGAAGTCGTTGATCGGATCGTACACAAAGAAAGATGCTAAATTTTAACTTGTTAGCTTCGGTGATACCAGTTTTCATGACGATCGGGACAAGGATTTGACGGAGAAAAATTAAAACCAACGAGGAAGCTCACCGATGAGAGCTGCGGTGGCAAAAGTTGAAGCAGTTATCCAAACGCCGCGGAAGGAGGTCACGAAGGACTGTAGGAAGGTTCGTGACGATGCCTGTATAATCAGGGGAGTGATGCCTGGGATTGTTGCAATTGCTGTTTTGTTGTTGGCCGAGAGATCTGCAATCAACAGGGGCAGAGACGTTGGTGGTAAACCGAGAGGGAGAGCTGCTTTTGCAACATTCCTCTCCAGAACGTCGGCCAATCTCGAATTGAAAACGGCCGTGTCTGCTTCCAGTCAGCTTGAAGTCCCACGACTCCCGCGGCGAGGAATAAACCAACAGATAGCTACACCCACGATGCCTCCAATGGAGCGCATCGAAATCATCAAACCACTGGTAATTGCGCTGCAGAGAGGAACTGTTAGTCACCTGGACTCGCAAGACAAAAAGAAAGAATTGAAATCTCGCATGACTTACATCAAGTGCGGTGGAGTACTGAGCTGGGCAGCTGTAACCAGGACACAGAGAGCCACGGAGAGGGCACAACCTAGGAGGACTGGGTAGCCCCAGACCGCTGTACCGCTACCCAGTGTTGTTGTTGCCATGCAGATATTGAATGCGAGGAAACAACTAAATGCGAAAATCATCGGCGCCCGGAGTCGCTTGTACCTGTAGCAGTAGATTGCCGGGCCATGACGAAGATCGTGTAGACAGTAAAAGCGACACAGAAGCTACGCGGCCAAGTCAGTCTCGTGGGACAAGTTAGGAAAAACTGGACGATGAGCTTACCGAAGTGCCACCATCGTCCCGTCCACCTCATATAGAAGTCCCACTTGGTAAGGAAAGTACACGTTGGCGGCAAAGAAAATCAGGCCTTCGGAGAAGACGCATCCAAGGGCAATGGCAAAGTTGCGATCTCTTGAGAACAGATCATGATGAACCATGCCCACGCAGGTGAACTTCCATTCATAAATGACGAACGCCGCAAGGAATGATACACCAATTAGGAGAGGGCCCAGGACATGTCCGTTCTTCCAGGGGTCTGTGGTGGCAACTCAGCTCGCGGACTCTTAAAGAGTTGGCCAGAACAGCACTCACAAGGGTTCTCCCCCCACGACAAACCCATCACAAACAAGGTAAGTCCAATACACAGGAGGACAAATCCGATCCCATCGAGCTTGCTAATCTTTTCTTTGAATGTGAGTTTCAGTTGCTGTTCCCGCGGGGGCGGAGTATAAAAGATGTAGACAACAATCACTCCGAGAGCATAGGCACCAGCGGTCATGTACCAGAAGTTGCGAAACCCGTTCAACGGTGCGGTGAGTTTGGAGCCCGCTAGAAGGCCAATGCACGCCCCTATTCCTGAACCGACGTTGACTGCTGCCTGAGCAGCCGCTCTGTTGCGATGAGTTAAGACCTCGGAGGCAACGGCGTGTAGCAGCGGCTGGGCAGCATATGAGAGACTGAGAATGGCTTCTCCTGCTATGGCCATGGGCATTGAGGTGGCTCTTGCCAGGATTATGGATCCGACAACACCGCAGGCTGTAGGTCCGATTAAGAACCATCGCCGACCCCAGTAGTCGGCAGCCTGGCTGACTGGAGGACCAAAGACTGCGACCATGAGAACGGTGCAAACCACGAGCCATGAGGCGTCTTGAGCTCCGCCAACAGATGCCGCGACAGCTCTACCGTAGGCGCCACATCCAGTGAGATTGATCAGCTGTGCCATATAGACCACCATCACGGCGAAGACGATCAGAAAAGTTTTGGCGTGGAGGTGAGGTGTAGGTTCTTCGTCGGGATTGGGGGTGTGCTCATGGAGCACGTCGTTTGCTTTGGTATCCTCGACGATCTGAGCCGTACTTTTGCTATCCGTCTCCACCATGTCGGAAAACATACTTGACGGAAGATCCGTTCTGCGTGCAAGGATCAGCAGATAACAACAGTCCTGGTATGGCAAACATCAGGAGATTCCAGGTAAACACAGAGCATCAGGAGATTAAGACGCCTCTGGTGAGATGTGGAGGCGGGCCTCTTTCTATAGATATAACTCGACGACATCATGAAGAAGCTAGCTATGACTTGCTCTGATAACCCTTGCAATAAGCGTAGCATACTAACCATCAGGGGGTGATTCCCAAAGAGTAACCCATATCCGAGGATGGCAATACCTTCCGCCGTGAGATTGGCGGGCTGGGTGGACAGTTCAGCTCACTTTCCGGGGTGGAGGTATGTTTTGCGGAGAGTACAGCAGAATAGAGACATCTCTATGGTTCCAGCCCGACCCCGTCTCGGAAGATCACTAACAAGTACATACCAGAAGGCACTCCCGGTCGCCGGGGAAGAATGCCAGACTCACATGGTTGATACCCGCGGTAAATGTGTGGACGACTGTCATCCTGGACATCCATTGACTGACTCCAGTCTTCTCGGGCGTAGCGTCTCTCGGTCTCACAGGGCCTGATTCTGTGGTCGTTGGAATCGCAGGCATGAGCAAGCAATTATCGTGCTGAGGCATGGTATCCATCGCCAACGAAGTGACTTTCGGCGTTTTCGATGTTCTGACCTCGAGCGGGACCGTCTGCACCGTTGGGTGTTACGGTCGCACCCTCGAGCCCAAAAAGTTAGGACGCACTTCAATTGATATTTATCCTCCCATTCCGAATCTAACCGAATGTGTATATTTATTGATTCATCTAACCAATGTTAGAAATTGAAAGCATCCCACGCGCTCTTGGAAGAACTCCCTGCTAAACGTTTTAATCCATCTCTTAATCCCGGTTTTGCGTCCCCCTTCTCTCCGACCATGCTTCCAGGTCCATTACTCTTCTCTTTTCTGCTCCTTCTTGCTCTTTCCACTGTAAGGTTTCCAGCTCCATTGCTTTCAACAATGCTTCCTTCGCTTCTGGTTTTATCGAATCAAGTTTTGCTTCCCATGCCTCTCTTTCTCTCAATATATCTATGCTCTTCGGCATGATTTCGAGATCGAGGATTAGATTTCCAACAGTGGCCTGGAACGCACCTTGTGATATCTGACCATGCCCGACGAGAACGCTGCCACAGACATTGGAACCACGAAGCAATGTTCTAGGTATACTTTGCCAAGTAGCTTGCAAAAACTTAATGAGTCCGTCCCAAAGGAGACCTTACACAGTGCTGGAATGGCATGTTCAAATACACTAAAATAGCCATTGCTACTAATCCTTGAATAATCCAAACCCTCTCCTAATACGAGTTGTCGAATAAGTCATTTGCCATGTCCTTGGAAAGGAAGAAGGTATCCCACGCAGGGGTGTTGAGAGCCTTGAGGAGGTTTCCTAAGGCGTTTGATCCCAACCAGACATGGACCTGGCAAGCAGCTTGGTAGATCTGACTCATTCTGTGCACCTGGTGATTTTTCTCGGTGGTGTTTCCTTGGTCAATACAAATTGCGTCGGCCCAGGTGTCGATCGGCCCGTGCTGGTTGAAGAGCTCAATGACAAAGCTCCAGAGGTTTCGTCCAATGGCAAGGCTTCTGCTGCTAATAATGATATTCTCCTGTCGGTCATCCCTTCCCCAACTGTATGACAACGCATCGTAGCAGTTACTCTTACACTGAAGAGAACATACGCTAATTTCACAACAGAGTGTTTTGGAAGTACTCGAATTCAGGGATAAAATCCGAATTACGTCGCCTGAAGTGTCCAGGGGGTGTATTCGTACGAGGGAGGGCGGCGTTCGTCCATGCCTTAGCCTTCTGGGTGATTCTCATCGAGGAAGGAAGTCGTGGTGAGGCAGTAAGATACCTCAGAAAGAAGGCGAATTATTTGAAAAAAGCAGGGTGTACAGCGACGGTTAAAGGGGGCTGTGTCTATTAGGTGTGCTCTGCGTGGTGGCTAAGCTCTGGAGCCGCCTGGCATGCGAAATCCATCTCCAGAGATGGTAACTTCAGTGACAAAGAAAGCTGCAGAGGAATGCATTGTCTTGGGTCAAGTCTACGAGGCTTTGACATCCTGGACCTGGCCTTGGACCTCCTGACCTGCCTTGGGAATGCCCGAGATATTTCAATACCTTTTCCGGTCTCAGTCCTCTTTGCACTGATCTACGCATATGCCAGTTCGTAATACTAATCTTGCTATGACTAACTCACCAGTGTGGCTCACGAGAAAGTGAATTTCGTACGTATTCATTGTCTCGCACAACCAACGTCCCGGTGGTACAAGGACAAAAGACCTAGGGGTTGCGACAGTTCCTGCATTCCGTGACGCATGCAGTGAAGCTAGGGTGTCTATAGAGGGGATCATGTGCGGACTGGAGATTTGGAACATAAGGAACGGTTTGGCTCGGCTCGGCTCGCTGGCTGTAGACTAATCTCTCAACAATTCAAGATTAGGAGTCTGAGGAAACCGAGATTCAGCTTGTCCTTTTGTTGGATCTGAGCATCTTCCTAGCACACAGCCTAAGCCCGATATCATTATGTCTTCCCTGTGCTCCTTCGGAGGGGAGAACTGCTCTTGTTACCACTTCTGCTTCGGTTGATATTTACCGTCCCAATCCGAGATCGCAGCCCAGTTAGAAGTAAAGCCGTGGTTATGCTCTATGCATTTGGTCGTTATCTTGGACGCTGGAAGTTCCTTCCCTTTCTTCAAGCAGACAAGACATAATCCGTGCAAGCCGTTTTCGAACTTCTTGAACCTGTCCCCAATCACCAGCCCCCAATCCATTGCGCATGAATCACAATATTCCGCCTGGCACTGCGATGGTTTGTCATTGACATGTGTCTTCCCAATCTCTTGAACGACCTCGATGGCATCTTCCAGGGACTGAAGTTGTTGAACGTCTCCAAGTGGAGGCCAGAGATCAAACATGATCAATGCTTGAATAAATTGCGCCGTTCTGTATGCTTGCCCAATACAGACTTTGGGTACCTCCGCATCCGACGCTTTTGCGCCGATGTACGAATGTATGGTTGAGCTGGCGCTGCTGCCCTCCTCTGCTGTGAAAAGTTCTTCAATAACTTTTTGGCAACAAGTCATCGTCTCTCTAAGTTGAGCTTTGGCGATTCGTTCTAGAAGTTCTTGGGAACCCGTCAGTCTAAAGGGACTGTACCAGTGAGGCTTGTTCAAGTACCAACTCACCATGAATTTTGGATGGGACATGATTGTGCGAGAGCTCAGAAATAAACGCGTTGTTTTCCTTTCCGTTTAGGCACCATCTTTTGGACGCCTGAAGGGAGAAGAAATAAAATGCTTCAACGTCATCTAAGATGTACGCGATGCTGACGAATTGGGCAAGACTTAATGCTGAACCCTTTCTGGCTCTGGCGCTCCTTTTGAGGAACTGATGATGAAACCATGATCTTACGATTGCAGTGCAGCCGTATTTGTCCGCTGCTACCGCTGTTGGCAAAACGCACGACGGGAATACTTTCAAATCGGTATCTAAATCGGTATCCCACTTGTGATGAAAGATCTTGCATAATTCCACCATGGGCTTTGGCTCGTCCTCCGGCAGCTCCAGGGTCGGTGGCTCTATCGGGCTCAGTGGAAGCTGGCCTTCACGAAAAGACCCGTTCAGCATAGCTTTGAATACTGGTGAGGACATGGTCATGAACTTGCTGCAAACACGGATTCGTAGGAACCTTGGTTTTCTGTTCTCCTTGACTTTCTGTCGAGCTATTTCTGAATCGACATCGCTGTCTTGGGGCTTGTTTTCGTTTTCTTCCACGATACTGGGTTCGTTGCCAACTTTCAAAATTAGATCACCGTCTGGATCGACAAGGACAAGTTCCGGTTCACTTGTAGAAGCCATGATGTGGGCTGTGGTGTACTGCTTTGCGTTAACAAAATGAAGAGTAAAGAGAGATTCCAGAAATCAGGAAGCGGAAGAAAAGACGAAAGTCAGGGTGATGGAAGGAGAGGAAAAGATCAAGGTCAAGGTGACGGTGGTGTAGTGACAAAAGAGGACCGAGAAGTGAAGCGACAGACTCTGCGGTCGAAGAAAGTGTGACTGAGAAGTGAAGACAAACTCCAACGTAGCCCATTGCTAGCAAAAATGGCAAGGGGGAAAGGAGCGCACACCTGTTAGCTCAGTCCTTACTGTCATTCCGAATAAGAAGAGTTGCAACCGCAAGCAAGATTCAAAGACACACTAGGCACCTATATCTCCTTCATTCAGCGCTCAGGACGACTTGCTTCTTGACCTGTGAACAACACAACCTCGAAGTCGCGAGCCGTTTGAGCCTATTTTCTTGTAGACTTCACTCATCGACGCATGCCTTTCTCAGTGCGGCTCGTCGTCGTAAAGAATGCTAGTTTATCGACCTCGTCCCGTCCTTCTCGCACCCAAGACAGATGCAAACGTGCTTTCTGTTGTGCTGCCTTCATCTTCAGGTCAAGTTCCGTTTTAGTGTTGACATCGTGGTTGTAACTGCAGCGAGCACTCTTGGGACAGCACAGCCTCTTTTCGTGGAAATCAATTTCGCCCAGACGTCGGAGGTTGCGCAGCATGGCAGCTGGCGAGCGTTGAGCGTCGACCTCCGGATCATTGGAAGGCAGAGCGACAAAGAGGTGAGCGCAGTGCTCAAGACTCCGACCCTGATGACGTTGCCGTAGCAAAGTCCGCTGTCTTCCGTATGTCCTTCGTCATGATTGCCATCATCCATTCGTGTCGCAGTCTCTTTGAGAATTGGCGTGAAGTATCCGTACCAATTGCTCTGCTTAGACACCTGCTTGATGAGTTCCGGGCTGGTGGCAGCAAATCCGTGGATGTACTGGAATTCAAAAGCGTGCAGAAGTTCTTTGAGGGTGTCAGAAACCTCATAGCAGGAATGCCATTTGACTTACCAATCAGAGGGGCTGGTACTTCATCCCTGAAAACAAGCTGGAGTCTGCGACGGGTCTTGCGTGGGCTAACGTGGGTGTAGAACGTTTTCGACGCGAGCCAAACTTATCGCCATCGTTCATCAGATAGCACAACTTGAGGATTTGCTGCACACTTACCCCCTCTTTGAGGAGTGCATCCGTGCGCAGACCTAGATGCAACGGATGTAGGCAGATGGTGATAAGTATCGAGCATTTGTAATGCGGTGAGTCTTTGGTGATAAGTGAAGAGGCGTCGGGACAGGCTGGGCTGGAGATTATTTATAGAAATATATATATGTGTGTCTGTGTCACTAGAGGCCTGGGGTAGTGAATATAGTTGGAGCCGAAGTTGAGAAGGTAACGCTATGACAGGTCGTTACTGAGACGACCTTCGCGCTGGAGGACAGTTTGGTCAGTGACGAAGAGAGTTGAAGGAGCAGCATTTAGAAGAGTCGCGGCGAGAGTTCTGGTTGGAGCACTCATTAGATGCCTCTCATTGTCGCCGCGGGAGCATTCGACATGAATCCCTGAATGCTCGTCTCAGACAGTCGATGCGTGTCACCAGGATGAGAACATCACCCAAGGCAGATGCTTTCATGAAGAAGGCATCACTTAGTCCGAGACATTCCTGTAGCTGCCATGAGTAGCGAGAATCAGGAGATAGCCAAAGCCACCGCGGAGAAAAATCAAAGCTCAAATCCAGTTGCAAACGCTCTGTTTGTGCTTTTGGGAAAGAGTGTCTTAATTCTCATTGATCCATGACATTACCTGCTTTTCCAATCCAAGAGCATCGATAAAAATCCAATGATACACTGCTCTATGACCAAATGCTCTCCTCCTTTCCTGCCTCTAGCTCTTGAAGTTGTTTTCTCAGGACGTCTGCTCTAAATGACCTGAACGCCTTCTCGATCCTTTCCCGGCGTTCTGGATCTTGAGCAATGGTCCTCCTCGCCGACCACGTCCCAGTGAGCAAACCAGTCTCACCACCCAGAAAGAGGCCACCAATGCCGAAGAAGGTGTATGCCATGACGTCTCCCAAAGGTGTGGGCTGGAACAGAGGAGTGATGTCCGGAATAGCCTCTTCCCGACCGCTCGCGAATCGAACATGGGTAGGCTTCTCGGCGGCGCGGAAGGCTTGATACATGGCATTGCGGTTCGCCCGTAGACGGAAGGCGAGGTAGCCTCCTAGTGCGATGCCAGCGAGGGAACCGATGAGGGCATGTCTGGAAGCTTGGGATGCGGCGCTGCGTAGTAAGTCGCGGTCATCTTCTCGCAGACTGCGTTGGAGGTGAGTCGATCTGATTCCAGGAAGAGGTGAGTGACGGCTCTGTGCTTGCTTACTCGTTGTTGAAATGCTCCTCTGCAAGCCTCCCAAGCTCCTCTCCTTGGGTCCTCCGAAGAGCCGCAAATGAATCGATAGACATTTGTACTGTTCTCCTTCAGTCGTCTTTCTTCTGGTCAACCAGAGCACCTCTCTCTGAAGACCAATTCGGAAATTATGGACCACAGAGCTCGGCTGTTAAATAGAAGTGAGTCTTTTCATTTGGATGGAGATTCTTATAGCTATCGGCGGCAGGAACGGAGCTCGAAATGATTTGTTCCTGATCGACGTCATTGAGGGAAGCTCATGCCACTACAAGTACCCAGTAGATGCTGCTGCTGTATCAAGCTTTCACGGAATTCGGCGCGTCAGATCCGTCAAGAACATAAAAAGTTATGATGCTCCTCCGTAGACACTAGTTTGGAGCAAAAGGTCCTGGACCGCAGTTTATGCTGAAGCCAGAAAGCATACATAACTCGCTAGGTAATAGTACTTGGTACTCTTCCCACCAACTCCCGTACATCTCTTTATCATGGATTTAAGCCCTGCCACTTCTAATGAGGGCAGTATCGCTCGCAGCGCCTTTAGCCATATCCTCATTTGGCGTTTCCAAGATTTCCAGCTATTTTCCATTAGTCATTAAGTGCTGAACAGAGTATTCGTGAGGCCGCTCATTGCCGACGAGTTTTATATATACATATGGCGCATCCTTAAAACGGGTAGCCTTCCGTCTGTGGCATTCAGATAGGGAAGTGCACAAGTCCAAAATAAACATCCACGCTCCTAGGTTTGTCAACCTCAAGACCATAGCCTGGCCGTCGCTGCTCAGGGGGGGTGTTTCCTGAACCGTCCATCCTTGTGTCTGCATTCCATAGAGAATTTGATGGTTCCGGGGCATTTGCAATTGCCAGACCTAATCCAATTTCTTGCGCCTTTCCAAGCAGATGCCTGAGCGCAGTAACCACAATTTTTACTTCTCGTGAAGACTCTGAGTCGTTCGATTGTAGCCATACAATGTAAGAAGAGCTTAGTGCATGAAACATGCGATCGCGCATCCCTGTGTCGTTGCTCCTCTCACCACCAGTGATCGAGATCGGTGCGCCATTGGTAGATACTGTATTAGCCAAAGATATCTCTTCCCCAAGATCGGCACAGAGAATGGCAGTTGCAAAAAGGAAATCCTGCACGAGGAGAGACAGGAATTTCCATCCATGGCGACACAGACGACCACCGACTCGAGTCTCCAGATATAGAGTCCACTGATGTCGCAAGATAACGAGGGCAGCCTCAATGCAGACTTTACGTGAGTGTGCATATTGTCCGTGATTTCTGCCAACGGACATGTAATTGCTGTGCAAAACAATTTGTGCTCTGTGATAGATGAAGGAGAGAAAAGTGTAACGCACACTAGTCGTAGCAGGGAGTTGTGATGGCGCTGAGAGGTCGTGTGGTCGCGAAGGAGGCTGCCAAACAGGGAGAATCATTTCGTAAGTGCTTGTAAGTATATTGTCTAGTCTCAAGACTTCAGCGTACGGAGAGAGATTGACGGACATCGTAAGATCGTTAATCGCTCCAAAAATGAAGAGAAGTTGATTCTTCGCGACGTGGAATTGAGACACTGTTTTGGCAGATCCTGACCTCGGAGGGGGCAAATCAATAATGTTCTCGTCAAGATCTTCCTCAAAGAGATTTCTCGGATCCGCAGTATCGCATAGTGAATGATTGATCATGCGGGGCAATCCGAACTGGATAGAGAGATACATGTCCCATCCAACAAGTATCGCCCAGACTCTGCGGCGCCTCTCGGCTTCGAAGCAGGACATTGCTGGAAAATGGGATCCATCACGGTGATAGCCGGCTCTGAAGGCAATCCGGACAAGAACTCCCCATACCACCCATGGGCCATACGAAATTTTTGTATCTTCTTCTCTCAAGGTCTCGATGAATAGATAGAGCAAAAGTGTTTCCACTGTGTATCGCGGGCCTTGGAAGTATTTCCCCAGAATCAGGCACTGGATGGTCTTCTGACGATATAGGCGGACGAGATCTCCCGGTTCGGACTCCGCTATCTGTAGTCGGCGTTCCTCATCTGGAGAGAATTGTTGGTACTGCACTGCAAGACACATCAAAGCAAACAATAAACCAATCCACATTGTTGACGCTGATGTCGGATCCTCCCAGAACCTGTCATACTGCATCTGATATCAGCACTGAAGTGTTGACGATTGTTCACGAGCTACCAACCTCATTTCGAAATGTCTGAGGATGTACAATCACTGTCAGAGTCAGCAACATGGGGGAGGGAAGAGACATATTCATTGACAGACTTGCTTCATTATCAGTGTTGATAAAACACACGGTCATCAAAGTATCGACGAAACTCTTCGAAGGGATGGCATTGAGAATATCTTCTCTACTGGTTTTCTCAGAGCATCCAAGGAGGAGATCAGGCTCGTCATTTTCTGCTTCATTAGTTGGTTCTTCTTCCTCACTAATGAGAGAAGGTTCGGTCTGAAATACGTCTCTCAATTCGGGAATCTGGACGTACGTACAGGTCAGCTACCGACGACTGCAAGCTTCCGAGAGACAAACCTACCCCTTGTAGGATCGCCATCCAATGCGAACTGCCAAAATAGCTGGTTCTACCTTGAAGCTGTTGGGAATAGCCGGTTGTATACGCGAGGAGTGGTGGATCCTGGCGAGAGTCGTCCTTCTGGTGGTCTTGGTTTTGGGGCCAGAGCCCAATATTCTGTAATGTCAACGGACTCGGGTTGGCCTGCTTCAAGGTTCCCATTAGGTAGTCAACCTGAGACTCGAGTTGTTTCACTCGGTCTCTGACATTAGGGGCAGGTAGCTGGTATATGCTGCTTGCGATCGTCGCCCTCGGAAGGCCAGCGTCCGGAAAAGTGCAAGAATCAGCGAGGCCCCGACGGGAACAGTTGTGGCAAGGATGGCAACGATCACATTTCAGTCTACCCCGTCGCCCGTGAGTTTTTGAGGCTCTTCAGGAGGAAGGGGGAGGGTTCACTTTCTTTTCCTACACAAATTGCACGACAACTGAGGCTTCTCTCGACGTCGACGAGCAGCCTTCGCCTCAAGTTCTTCCGGAGACTGGGTCATCTTGTGGGTATCTGATCTTCCTGGCCGACACGTATCAGGTCCTCTGTTTATTTGAAGTAGTATATTGCAAGCACGCTCCTCCAAAAGGAATGTCTTCTGGATGAGAAGGTTTAATAGAACTAAGGGGATGAGGCCACAACGCGCAATATACTCGTCAATGCATCATGTTCGAGTTCAAGTTGCTCCGAGTCCGATCATCCGACCTTCCGATACCCCACAAGCTGGAAAGGGAAAAGCGCATATTATCGCAGCCTTGTACAGCCTTGCCCTGAATTCCGCTCATGGCGCCTCGTCATAATAATTCCCCGCCCTCACAACCTTCTATCATTCCCGGCTGCGGCGTCATGCAGAAGCTGCCCCGATATCACGCCCTTGTACCTCTTCCACTGTAGAAGAACTCTCCCTCCCCAACGGTAGGTATCATGGCAGACAGTCTGTATGGCATTAAGCAGGCCTCGAAGACCAAGGCCAAGGAAATTTCGTCCTCCACTTCTCTCGCTTTCTCTACGAACTTGGCATCACTGATCTCCAGCTCGTCCTCTGCGAAATCGAAACCTTCAGCCGGCCGAACGCGTCCGTCTAAAGATAAATCGGATATCTTTACTATTCACAACAAAAATGTCAAGAAACGGTCCGCCGCTGACCTCGAAGATGGCCAGCAACGCCACAAAACGAAGGATGATATTGGTTCAGTCGACGATGCAGAGTTGCACAGGTCGAAGAGGAAGATGGAAGACAAAGTCCGCCTATACAATGCCATGAGGCGTGGTGAATACATCGGTAGAGAGGATTACGACAACCGTAGCCTGATCGATTTCGACCGCAAGTGGGCGGAAGATCAGCTAAAAGGCGAAGGAGGTGACTCCGATAGCTTCGACTCCGATAACGGCGTGGACGAAGAGGAAATTGTCGAATATCTGGATGAGTTTGGTCGGCTCCGCAAAGGAACAAAAGCGCAGGCGGCGCGTGAAGAGAGAAGGAAACGTATGCAGGCCGCCGCCGCCGCCGAAGAGGAGCGACTTTCTGCAAGACCTTCCATGCCGAGTAACATCCTCTATGGAGACACTATTCAACACCAGGCCTTCAACCCTGACCAAGCCATTGCTGATCGCATGGAAGAAATTGCGAAGAAGCGAGACAAATCTGCGACTCCTCCTCCCGAGACACACTACGACGCCAGTGCTGAAATTAGGAGCAAAGGAACAGGCTTCTACACTTTCAGTAAAGATGCAGAAGAGAGGAGGCGAGAAATGGATGCTCTTGAAAAAGAGAGGCTTGAGACGGAGAGAGTGCGCAAAGAACGGGACGAAAAGAAAGAGCAACGGATGAAAGAAATTGAGGAGCGCCGCAAGTTGATTGCTGCACAGAGGGCCAAAGCTCAAGCTGACAAATTCCTTAATGAGCTTGACCTTGGAGGTATTTGAATCAACCGTGAAGAGCAACTCTGTCCTTGGACTTGGTGAAGGCTGAGCTGCAGCTCCGTCCAACGTCACCGACTGGCTAGTCATGGCTTTCACGAGCGTCACTCTGGCATCAGAGATACCTGCGACAACCGAGGATATAAATCCACTGTCTGTATCGTCATTAGGATCTCTCCATGTCTCCATACACCATGGCCGAAAAGACAACGTGGAATGTCGTGCTTGATGACCGTCCAGACTTCGCAGCCGCCATTCTCAACTCAATGGGCCCAATCTTCAGCGTCCCCATCTATCTAGTGACGATCCTTCTTCTCCAGTATCGATATGCATTTTTTGATCGTCCTTGGGCCAAGGGACTCCTTTCAATCGCGCTTGCTGGGGGATTCTGTGCTTTGCTCATTGTCAAATTGCTCTGCCGGCTCTGGGGCCAGGTCCTTCGGAATAATCTCCCCTATTGGACACCAACCGTGGCTCATTTGGACAATGATGGTGATGTATGCGTGGGGCTGCGGTGGCTCTACCGCCACAAGAAATTGCTCCTCAAGAACGACGAAGGCCGCCTTGCCTCTCACGAATTTGATGAATAGATCGCCTGAGGCCCGACTCTGGATTGAAATGGCCAGTCGTGGCAGAAATGGCGGTCTCATACTTTTACGGCTCTCCAGTCAGTCCGCTACAAGGACCGCAAGTTCTCCCTCACCTATGATCCGCAAGTAGACGTATGCTCGACTTGTTGCCTAGGATGGTCTATCAAACCCATCGAGGACGTGCTTGACGATGCATACGAGGGGTACGGGGCCGATCTCGTTAGTCACTCAATTGCACTTTACACATCTAGTAGAGGACGGAGCGGTGGAATGCTCCCTTAACGGTCTCTTCCCAGAGCCTCGACTCAGTCGAGATGGATTCTCAAGAGAAGGCGGCTCTCGTTAACGACATTGACACATACCTCACCGGGAAAGACTGGTACAGAAAACGCGGCATACCGTGGCGAAGAGGCTATTTGTTCCACGGGCCGCCGGGCGCGGGCAAGATCTTGTTGATCACTGCACTTGCAGCGCATTTTTGAATGCAATTGCTTTCTCGGAATGGCTCGGTGACAGTGTGCTTCAGCAATTACTGCGTCGAATCGATGACACCAATTGTATTGTGCTTCTCGAAGATAGTTCGATAGCGCTGGATTGACCAGGAAAGGGCAAGGCCTTGATCATAGAGCAAACGAGGATATCGATGCATTATCCAGTCCTTCGAAGGGATTGAAGGGTCGTAAGAAGAGCGTTGTCACTCTGTCCGGCCTCTTGAACGCGATCGACGGCATAGGTGCTCCAGAAGGTCATATTTTCGTATGGTATTCCTCTTTTGAGAGATCCGTTTCAAATTTGGAGTGGTCAATGGTCATTCCTCCAACGACATCGAAGAGGCTAATGGATGTTAGAGATACTGACAAGCAACTACGCAGAACACCTCGATGCCGCACCGACTCGCCCTGGCCGGGTCGATTACTACTTAAAGTTCGATGTCGCGACAAAGAAACAAGCTCAAAAGATCTTCCTCTGGCTCCAGGCGAGCGGCTATCGCGTTGAGACACGGGTTAAGCTAGAAGAACTAGCTCAGACTTTTGCCGACAGGAACCCCCCAAAAATTGCTGTCACATGCAGAAATATAGGACTTCCTCCTGCAGTGCCGCGACGACCCTGAGAAGGCAGTTAAAGAAGTCGATAGCTGGATTCAGGGAATACTCGCTGCCAAAGGAAAGGAGCACAACGAGTTTGTCGACGTCGATAGGGGTAGGGGTGATGAAGCCGGTGATGACGAGAATATCAATAGAGAACGACGTTGAACGTATATAGGCATTCAGGATGATGATTGAGCGAAATCAGCCTCTCGTCGGATACAGTCAGACTCTTTCCGGAATGAAGCGAGCAGGTAGCTGCTCACGATTTGATGATGCTGTTCTTTGCACCACCAGTACCTCTAGCCTTGCAAATTGTGTTCCTACAAAGGCCGTCACTAAAATACCAGTGAGTGAACTATTCAATATGACTGCGGCTAAAACAGTGCCTGGTCATCGGCGGCCCATCCAGAGTCGTACGCTGCGGTCGTATCCTGCCACGTCTCCTGTCCGGTCCAGTCCGTTCCCTGCACACCGCTGACGTCCTGGGTTGCGCCAGCGCCACCTGTGTCTGCAGCTGCTGTGCCTGTGTCGAGGTTCCCGGCGTCTGTGGGGCCAGTGGCGCCGGATCCGTCGTATATCGCGTTCGATTCTGCGCCTACGACTGCCTGCGTGATGGATGCTATAGCGATGCTCGTGGTGAGATCGTTGAGGAAGTCTCCCTGCTGCGTTACGCCGTACGGTCTCGTCGGCGCTGGGCCATAGCTTTGAGGTCTGGACCATAGGCCTTGGGGCGGAGCGCTGCCGATCCTTTGTCTTCGGGGAGGGATGGTTTGTCCCGTTGTTGGAGGACGCCCGGGTGCAGGTCGTTGAGGCTGAGGAGCAGCACTGCCGAACGAACCTTGACTTGGTCGCGGCGATTGCGGTGACGGCGTGGCAGGTGAGTATTGCGGTCCCGAAGGCGAGGGTTTCGAGGTCGGACGCTGTACCTGCACAAGATTCCCTTGGCTGGAGTCGTCGTTGAATCTTGGAATGGGGTGAACATGCAACTTGCTGGCATATTGGACACAGTGAGTGCACAGCTTGAGAACCTGGTCACACTGCTGACAGTGTAAGGGCGATATTGGTGAAGTCTCTGCAGAGCATGTCAGGGGTGATTTGGTCTAGCATGGGGAGGAAGAGGAAGCTCACTATGCAAGCAGAGGCTGCACTGCTCGCTTCCGGTGGCCACTATACCGTCAACACGCATGACTTTTCTCTGGCATTCCCGGTAAGACCTTGCAATCACTTGGTTCAGGTTCTCCTCGGTATAGATGTCGATAAAGTGTCTGTGGGCGTGGCCTTTGAGAGCCTCAGGGTTACGCATCGCTGACCCAAAACCTCATCAGTGGCACGTTCGCTGGCGTGTCTCCGTTGGACTTACGCTGAGCACACGTATGGCAGTATATCCCGCTGGATAACCATCCGGGCTTCTCGACCTGGAAGGTCCATTGCCATGACTCGTGGTTGCTCGGGTGGTCGCGGCCGAGTGAATAGCAGCTCAAGCATCGGTACATCGGCTCATTGGTCTGATCATAGCAGGTCTTGCAAAAGATGACAGTCTGTCCGATCGAGAATCCTATCGTGCTTGACATCAGCGCTCCATGGGTTTGGTCAAGCAATACCACGGCTCTCCTACCTGTTGAGCAAGAGGTGCAGTGATTGACAGTAGCAGCATCACAACAACATGGGTCGGTGGAGGCGGCGTTGCTCCTGACAGTGCACTTGGCTTCTATCACCTTGAATGATCTGTGTGGGTGCAGGTTCACGCCTCTGGAGAACCAGCACCCCCGACACACGGTGTAGTGGCAATCGAGACAGACGTATCGACCAGGAGCCCGCTTGCGACAGGCAGAGCACGGCGCAGAAGCATTCCTGTTGTTGAGATCGTGAATGTCTCCATGCACCATCGAGACCGAGGCCAGGGCATGGCTCGGCTGGTGTTGAAGCCAGCAATACTTGCAGAAGGGCAACCTACAGTAGGTACAATCTGCGAAGGTGACGTCCCAGGAAATACCTAACGTGAATCAGCAGAAGTCCCCGCCGCGGTTCCCTTCAGGCTGTGCACACGTACCTGTTTTGCAGAGGGCACATGTTCGTCCAGGGGCATTCGTGTCGACCAGCTGGATAGCCATTGTGGAAACCAATGGATGTGGACTGGACTGTGGACGATTCCTCACCTTCACGCGGAAGATAACTGTTGATCCAGTAACTGGACCGCACCGTCGGCCAGCTTCATGGCCTATAAAGGTGTCTAGTATGACGGTAGTAGGTCGGGAGATTGCAGATGGAGGGGTATGGCCTATCCGAAAACCCCCAGTCATCAAGGCTTCTACCTTCTAACGTCTGACAGCACCGCCTTCCTTGCACCACCGTGTCTCTTCTCGGCGCTGGCGCAGCGTAGTGTCATGCTAGTTGGCTCGCCTGGGGTGCAGGGTTGGAGCCTTAAGCTTTTCCAGATTGATGGACTATTTATTGGGCTTTCATGGGCCCCAACAAAGCACCCCTGTTGGGCGAAGACAGTCGTACTTATGAAACCTCAGGATATACCGGAGCATCTACTGAGGTTGGAATGCCACCTTTCCACAGTTCCGCGCGAAGAGAACCCTTTCCCAAGGCGAGGCGTTTCGGTCCCAAGGCTTCTATTTCCGGCCGCATATGCATGATTACCATGGCTGTAGACGAGACAACCTTCAACAATTCGTTGCAGGCGCCCAGATCTCCCGGAAGAGGTTGGCCAAAAGGAAAGGAGAGCAGAATCAGGCTGAGTGGCAAAGAAGAAACAAGAATCCAGACCCTGTTTCTCAGCTGACCTTTAGACTTTCGTGTCTCGAAGCCTTATGCAGCCCAGCGTCCAACCAGCCTATAAGACCATATGCGGCCTTGACAGTTCCGTGGCTCTGGCCCAGGTTGAGATCCCGGGACCTATGAGAGTGCCCCTGCAGCCTGGCAGACCACCTTTGCGTCCGTATTGGACGCGCGAAGGGTGACTGAGCCTCTCCCAACACGGGGAGCAGTATTTCGTGTCACTCTTTCTCTGCGTTGGGACAAAAAGGGGTGGCTAGGTTTGGCATAGGCCTAGCTACAAGGGGTTAGTATTGGTTGGGCGGCAGGAAGTAAAACGGCCCCCCTTTTTCAGCCTTACAATCAATAATCAGTCCTTTTTTCTTATTCATCACGAGAAATTAACGTTGCGGGCACCGGATTTATGTATGTTTTGTTGCCGCCAGCGCCTCGCGCGCACTTAGAGTCGGTAGGGAGTAGGGAGTAGTAATTCGCCACCCTCCTCGCCGCGCCTCGCCTCTAAAGGAGAGAAAGAACACGCAAGCCTCTTTCTGCAACAAGCCACTCCCGAGAACCTGGGCTGGCTATCTATAAATTGTCACGTCTCGTCTAGGTAATACAGAGTACTAGTCCTAGTCCAAATTAGTCCATGGGCCTGGACATGGGCAAAATGCACGGGGCTCTAGACCGACTGCATGTGGCCTCTGCAGCTCCCTTGCGTATCGTATCATGAGGTGCTTGTGTTCCGGACAAGGCAAAGAAAGGGCCCCCCAAACTTGAGAAACGGGCCCCCTTCTCCCATCTTTTCGATTTCTCCTCTTCGTCTTCTCCAGCCTCGCGGCAACAAGTCGGCTGTGGTGGTGGTGGTGTCAATCCGAACCCATGCTAGCTCGTATAGGCTCCCAATTTCTCTCTAGCTGTCTTTTCTTCTCCCTTGGCAGCTGGGAATTGTGTCACATCAAACACAACAGGGAAAATAGAAGGGGCGGGGGAAGGGATGGCCAGAGCTGCACATTCAATATTAGAGAGGCAAAGAAGGGCACCGGAAAGAAAGGGCAATGTTCTAGACGTAACTCTTTACTGTCCCTGTTCTGCGTCCTCGAACTCGTAAGGCTGGGCTAGGTCAGTCTATGCGAGCACGTTTTGACAGAGTCTACGGGTTTCCAAGGGGTAAGGTTCCAGCCCCCGTCAAGTGCAGCAGGCTGCAAGACACGGAAATGCCTGCAGATGCGAAAAGGTAGGGTAGCACATAGATCTTAGCTCTCGCTCTGTCTCTGTACGCGTGCGGTGTCTCTGTGTCTCTTTGCCCCCTATTCAAATCTCGGCCCAACAGGGATCGTGCACGAGGCTAAATATGGTCTCGAATCTCTGTGGCCTCTCGAGAGCAGAAACGGTAGGGCTTTGACTATTAACTTCACTAAACGACCAACCAATCCACATACCTGACTGACTGACCAGGTAGGTAGCTAGCACAGCCATTTTCCTCGAGGAAACGCCTTCCTCCCTCCCCCCTCCAATCCCCTTCCTCGACGGCTCTCAGCCTAATCACTTGCAAAAGTTCATCGTTTTCATTCAAAAACTGGTCTACATCCCACGGGCCACCTCCTCCCTGCTCGTCCCTCTCGAAGCGATTCCTCAGGCTCTCGTTATTCCCCCCTCCTTCCAGAGCTCCCCTCCAACCAAACGTCGGCCCCTGCAACTGCACCACTGCACCTTCAATCCTTTGCTCAATCGACAATCATGAATCCCAGCTTCGAGAAAAACTCACACGGTGGTAAGTACTCGGTGTTACCTCTTCTAGTCAGTATACAGGACACCGTCTCACTGGAACCCTCTCTGTAGTGGAGAATCAAGCCACCGAAGTATTGATGCCCGGGTAAGTAATAACCACTCCTGCATCACTTGCATGGATGTTCTGTGCTGATGTGGAGTTAGGGATCTCCGTTTCCAACAGTCGCCGAACCCCATGGCCAACGCGCACATCGCCCCCAGCCCCATGCAACAGCCGCACCAGGAGTACCCCGAGAAGGTCTATGGTCATCCCCAGATGCCTCCTCAACAACGTTCAGCGTCGTCTCAGTTCCGCCAGGCCGTAGCGATCCCCAATCTCGGCATGTCGCCTGCCCCAGTAGACTGTCCGGCCTGCGGTCAGCGGAGCATGACCAATGTCAGTTACCACACGGGGAACACCACACAGTAAGTTCCATCTTCCCGTTCCGGTAGGACTGGCCAGTGCCTTGCCTGCACGGCGTGGAGCATGGCACGTCAAAAGCTGACGTGAGTTACTTGTACAGTGTCTGGGCTGGAGTCGCCTGCTGTTTGACCGGTCTTCTCTGCTTCGTTCCGTACCTCATGAACTCGTTGAAGGACGTGCAGCATCGGTGTGGAAGTTGCGGAGTGCTGCTGGCGACCTGGCACAAGAGCGGAGTGGTGGAAGTTCACATGCACGGTTGAAGCCCAGGTAATGGGCGGCGTTCGGGGTGATGATCGAAGCCTGGGCTAAATCATCGGCGGCTGGGAGTGAAACTACTTACGGATGGACACACACGCACTTGTAACCAATATATCTCTTTACCTGTTTTCTCGACTTCACGGTCGAGAGGGTGTTGGCCTAGGCCAGGCAGGTCAGTGTTGCCGGCGGCCGCTACGCCTGGATCATCTGAATGTTTGTGGGGGGGGGGAACCATGGCGATGATGATGATGACGACGGTGACGATGATGGTCGTGCTGAAGCACACAGAATGGGTCATAGTTCGCATACACAGGCTTAGTACGAGGTATTCTGATGGAATCCAAAAACATTAACGGAGCGCAATCTTTGGTTTCGGGGACGCCCCATCTCTACCAGCTGTTCCGTGTACAGCCGCCGTGCGTGGTTGAAGGAAGGTTAGCCAATGGGTGGGGACTGCGAGGCTCAAGAGGCTGTACGAGATATTACTTGGCCATTCCTGCCCATTTTCGTGTGGGGGAGACGGGCAAGGCTGACAGTACAGCACCAAGTATTCCTGTGGGTACCTACCAGTGGGAATTCAACGCCGAAACAACAGCGCGTCTTTCGTGGTAAGCACGATCTTTCTTTTAACTTTCGGAAGGTCTCGACCACACCTGAACTAGGTTGCCGTCCGAGTCTGTTAAGGCATATCCCAAGCCATCCTGTCCTGCAAACACCAAAGCTGAGTTCCGTGATGAATCCGTGAGGCTGCACATACGGCTCCTTGGAACTGAGAAGTCACCAGAGCCAGGCGACCGAGACTCCGGCCTTCTCTTTCCTCCTGCCGATCTGTGACTCGGTCTGTGACTCCTCCAGATCCGGGCCTGATGACACCACGTCCTCGTTTCTCATCGCTCTTGCCTCCAGCTGCAAGCTTTCAGGCACCGATGCCCGTTGACGACGATCCTGTGACTGATCTCTGGAAGTACTTTGGCGGAGCCGTGTTCCTTCAACGCCCAAATGAGTGCTGCTACCCGAACGTTCTATTGGCTTAGCATGAGTCGAAAACACACCAGTTGAGACCCCTTGGGATTTCTCAGCTTCACCTGCATTTTGCGGCAGATGGCCCAACTCAGCAACTATTTGCATTCTCAATGGTTGAGCCTCTGCCCTTGTTACGGGGAAATACCCAGCATTTTTCAGCTCCACAAGATGCGGCCAGTTAGGTGCGCGTTTCTCGCAAAGCGTCTGGGCATCCAACATGTCAGTGAGACGTTTTTGGTAGTCCCAAGCCGGGAGCTTGACGGCCTCGGTTGTGTCAATCACTGTAGTGAGCGCCTATTGGGATTCACGCCTTGCTTCGGTGACTTGATCCTGTAACAGCTTGTCATACACTTGCCAAGCTGCGGCGATGTTGCCAGCTTCTTCAATCCATTGCTTCCAAGGTCCAGTATCTGGCGCCACACGGGCGTGTTGCACCCATCTAGAGTGACCGACGAGTGCAATGGCGGTCCACAGCGTGTCTGTATATTTGGGTTCAACTTCTGGCAGTGAGAGGCCGCATTCCGCCGTAACGCGCCGGGTGAGGAAAGTAGCAAAAGACGAATGCCGCCTTGTGAGGGGCCTTTGGGCCTCAGCTTGATTGCTATCGTCCTTCGGAATGGTCGCTGCGGACATAGTCGCGTCCAGAACAACGTCGAAAGAGGGGTCCTCAGAGCCGCTGGGCTTCCATTCCAAAGTGACTACTTGGTAATCTTGCCACCAATGCCATTCTGTTGGATCCAATGCTGAACAAAACCAGTTCAGTACGTTCAAAAATACGTACAATGCGGCGAAGGCAATTTGAAGTTAGATTTCGACTTTCTCAGACAGATAAATCCAGACATAAGAAGTATGGTAGCACGCAACCAAGCAGCACGGTATGCCGTCTCTCCTAGGGTGTAGTCGCATGATTCAATCCTGAAATACATATCTGATATCCTTTCTTCGCACCTTACAACACGGAACGCTCCCAGACGTGCATCGCATATGACGACGTCACCCTCCGGAATTTTGTCGTCTCTGTCTTTCCTGGGGCTCCGCTCCTTCAAGTCCAGTTTCCACCATGACGCGAGGCCGACAACGGTCGAACTCAAAGACAACAAGATCGTAGCGACCAAGGCGAACTCATCGTCGTAATGAAGCGACAGCCATAAAATCACAGCTGACGAGATCAACCCAAGCAGAGACAGCGCGAAGAGAGGCCCGAATTCCTTTGCGCCGTAGACGTTCTTCTCGGAGATCGAGCTGGATCCTTCTTGCTGACTCTTATGAGCTCCACTTGATTTCTTTTCAACTTCTTGGGGTGCACGAGAGTAGTGAAGAAATTCAGCTCTGGACGAAGGTTGCCGGAGTAGACCCCAACCACAGTCCCTCTTCCTGTTGAGAGCCTTTCAGCCCGTACATCCTTAAATAAGGCTTGTGGGGCTGGCCCGCCGGCCATACTTATTCGCTCACTTTCTTCGCTCAAGGGCAGGAACTTCGACCAAGCTTATGCAGAGGCGATACGAACGGTGGACAGCTGAAAAGCTCTGGGGGTTGCTTTATGTAACCCTCTTTCACTCCTTCGTCCCTCTTCGCTTCGCAAAGGATCCGTTCAGACAGGGCTAGGTCGCTGGCTTTCCACTCTCTCTCCCAACCCAACAAACCTCAGCGCTAAGCCAGCTGCTGGCAGACCCTCCATGAGGCTCTACCGGCCGGTTTTGGCCACGGTACGAAACGAGCCTAATCAAGCATTCTCAACGCCTTGGACCCCTTGAGCACTACTGTGACGTGTAATGTGGCCTAGAACTTGTCGAGACCACCAACGGCTGCTTTCGAAAATCCAGTTGGGTCAACGCTACAGGTTCTGCCATGGCAAAAGGCAGAAAGGCAAAAACTCGTATCCGCTTGCCCCGCGCATGTCCAGTGAGGCTGCCTAGAGTCTTGATTTGTCCAGCCATCTGCTCTCCTACTCGTCCCAAAACTCTCATAAGATCTGTACTGGCTATGTGATGCAAATATCAGCGGCAGACAAAGTTCCTTTGAGGGGCGACACTCAACAAAAGCCTGACGCACTCAAATTCCGCTCACTTGATCGTGAAGGACATGGCGGCACCCACAGTGACCTGTCGATACTGCTATTCGACTAACGCTTGCAAGCATTGTGGAAACCTCGAGTTCTACGAGCTACAGAACCGTCCTCGGACGAGAGGGTGGTTTGATAACAAGGAGAAGCCTGCAAGACAAAAGCTAAACTTCAGGGATCTCCAAGATAACGCCCGGAACTGCGAGTTCTGCGCCATCTTGTATGACGGTGTCGCCGCTGTCGATTGGACCCGGAGACGCGGTTTATTGCAAACATTGGAGTACGAACTCGGCGAAACCTTGGTCTTGGTCAATGGTAACGAAGTGTATGAGAATGACTATGGGTTGTCCCCCCGTCTGGAGTTCTTTACGTTGGAGGGTGAGTCTGAATTCGCCAATTTCAACTGTCCTGTTAGAATTACGTCGTGAGGAGCTGGAGGTCACGGCTCTGCATATGTATGCCGAACTAATACTGACTGCCACCTTCAAGGGAAGGTTACTCCCACGGCCATAGGGCGAGGTCGTGTCGTCCCCGGCTTCTTCACTCAAGAAACCAAGGGCCAGATTGACGCGTGGCTGAGAGATGCGAGGGTTGAGACCACTTTACCTCGAAGACTATTGGATGTATGGGCTTTCTCTCAGCCAAAGGACCACGACAGCGCGTCATCTACACAGCAGGATGTGAGATTGATCGAGACTAGGCCCGACCAAAAAGGCACGTACGTCGCCCTCAGCCATTGCTGGGTTGGGCGTGAAGTTCTCACGACTACCAGCCAGAACTTACCAGGGCGGTTGAGCAGGATTCCCTATGAAGAGCTTTCTCCAATCCTTCGAGACGCAGTTCGCGTCTGTCGGTTTTTGAATGTCCGATACCTCTGGATCGACAGCTTGTGCATCATCCAGGGGGATCAGGACGATTGGGAAATCCAAGCGGCCAAGATGGCAGACATCTACGAGAACTCGTTCTTTACCATCGCTGTGCAGGTGGACTATGAGCAAGGGTTTATCCCACGGCCAGAGCTCCACGAGATTCGCCCGCGGACGGCCACCGAGGCGGCGATCTACGTGCGAGAACTGAGGGTCCCTGGATTTCTCAACCAGACTGGAGTCTTCTTCGAAAGAGAAGGTGACAACCCACCTTACATCCACGCCCGCGGCTGGTGCTACCAAGAGCGCTTCCTTTCAAGGAGGATCCTCCACTTCACCGGCACCGAAGTCATGTACGAGGCTGGGAAAGTGGTGCAATGCCAATGTGGGAACCACTATGCCGCGCTCCAGGGCAAATTTGGAAACCCAGAGAGCACCATCCACGGCTGGAAGACCATCGTGGCTGAGTACACGCAGCACGCCCTGACTCAACAGTGGGATCTGCTCCCGGGCCTCGCCGGCATCGCGAAGCGATTTCAGTCCAGGCACAACCCGGGAGATTACGTGGCCGGACTCTGGCGCAACCAATTGGTCCACTGGCTTTGCTGGAAGAGCGTCGCCCAGTACACCTTCTCGAACATGAGGGGATACTGCGAGGACTGCCGTCCCTGGCCCCGGCGGTTAACTGCCAAGCCGGAAGCGCTCTCAGACAACGTTGTCGTTCCCTCCTTCTCGTGGGCGGCCAGGAGCGGACCCTGCTTGTTCATCAACTGCATATGGAGGATGGACTACCAACAGATGGCCACGGTTCTTGACACGAGCATCGTGGTGGACCAACGGAATCCCTTCGGCCGGCTCAGGCAGTGCAGCCTCGTTCTAAATGGGTTTTGCCAGCGCTTCTACATCTACTCCACGATCGAGAAAGACCGCCAGTACGTCAACGGCTGTAACCGGGTATTTGTGTATGTCTGTGACGAGGTCTTACATCTCGACATCTGTACTGCTATTGCTGATGGGAACGTGAAGTGGTTCGATCTAGTCGCAGAGCAAGGGGTCCGTTTCTGGCTGGATGCTTGCGACGACATTCCTATGGACGGAACGGAAGCGATCGTATTGCAGATGTTTCAAAGTCGGAAAGATCACATCGGTATCGTCCTCCTACAGAAATCATCCGAGGAAGGGAGTTTTCGCAGGATCGGCCTCGTATTCTTGGACCATGATCGGTTCGCCGGACGCTACGACACCATCATCTTAGAATGATGAATTCTTGTGGGGCTCCAGGTGGTGACTATCTAACGAGCTTTGGCCTTTTGACTCTCAGCGCATCGAAACGCTTTCAACTTCGGACTTGAGAAGAAGAAGCGAACTAACCCCAATGGGGACGCTGCGAAGTTCTTGGGTTATCCGCCGTGTGGAAAAGACCGCAGGATAGGACAGAAAATTCTCCGTAGGTTGTCCACTTCAGCTCAGGTCGGAACCATGTCTTATTAATACTTACTAGTACTCTGCTAGGGAGCTGTCGTCATAATGATCGACCAGTATACTGCGAGAACGTACGTACTGCCCATTATTGGAAGAGCAAAGTGACTATCCAACATAAGCGAACTCGTTCTCAGAAACGAGGATGTACAGGTTACGGACAACGTGTGTAAAATGGCTTTTCTTTGCTTTCCCCGGAGTCCTTAAGATCCTACCAATGATGCCACGTCCTGCCATGGATCTAATTATTCCTATAATACCGTGGATAGTCACTAAACATGCCGTCATGTGTACCTGCCAATCCCCTACTCAAGTCCATCCAGGCGCCCATAAAAAAAATATACATGTGCTCTTTTCAATCCTTCCCGCGTCCAAGTTTTGAGGACTTTCTTAGCTTCATCTCGATTAGACCAAGAACGCAAGGACACCTAATGTACCGGCAAGAATGCCCCATGCGACGCTCTGCCTGTTTGCTGCGCCGGTGAATATGTCTGGTGTGACCGAAGCCGCCCCTGCGCCAGTGCTTGAGCTCGTTGGCCCGGGAACGAAACTTGTGGCTGCTGCGTCCGCTCCCGCTCCTCCCCCGACTGCAGGACCAGAACCGGAATCACTTCCCAAGCCCGAGCCCGATGACCCAGACCCGCCGGTAGGAGAAGCAGTGGGCATGGGAACCAACCCAACTTCCCCTGGACCTCTACTAATATTATTTCCATTATTCCCACTGGCGGCACCACCAGACCCGGTAGGTTGGACAGTGACAAAGGTAACCTGCGGTACCGTAACTGCGCTTGTAATCGTACTTCCTGAGGCAGTCTGTGTAAACGTCACTGTTGTGACGGGGATGGCCACCGGTAGAGTTGGAGAGGGCGGGGAGATACCATTGCTTGCCCCTGAGCCTGAGCCTGAAAGAGGTGGTCTTGGTCCGCGGCCGTTACCATTGGTAACCGTGGCAGCCACTGTACCAGTGTTGGTCACCGTCTGTACCTGTGTTCCTACTGTCTCTATTACCGACCCAGTAGGGGCAGGCGTAGGCACAAGAGTGATAGTGCTTGGTATGCCCGTACAGATTCCCGGATTCTGGGGAACAAAATCCGCGCATATCCCCGCCAAGTAAGACAACGCCGCAGTGATCTCTTCGTCAGACTTTCCCCAAGCCGAGACACATTGTTGGACAGAACTGATAAACTGTTGGGAAGGGCAGAGACACGTTGTATCAGAGTTTGAGGCGCATTTGGGTACGAGAGAAAGCCAGGTATTCATACAAGAGGGGAGTACCGAGGGGCATGGGGATGTTGGTTGCGCCGAAGGCACAGCTGGTGGTGACGAGGAAGGCGGAGAGGGGGTTCGAGAAGGTAGTGATGACTGAGATGGCGGAGGTGAAGCAGGTGATGATGGTGGCCGGCTTTGAGGTTGAGTTTCTGGGGACGAAGATGGTGGAGGGGATGCAGGCGGGGGTCCCGAATTTGTCTCTGTAGTGGCAGGGGGAGGTGTGGCCGTAGAAAGGGTGGATGGTGGAGGTCGATTGCAACGAGTGCAGACTGTGGAAGTTGAAGTAATTGTGATTGTTGAGATAGTATTAGTAGTCTCGGTCACGGTCTCAGTGCCACTTGTGCGCGTGTTGGTTACGGGACATGTCGTGAGAGTCGTCACAACAATTTCCGTCGTAATCACGTCAGTTGTGGTCTCGGTTGAGCTCGTTTCCGGTGTTCTATCAGCTGTTGTCGTGGTGACAATCGCTGAGCGGGTAGTAGTCTGCCGGTTGAGTGTGGTTGAAGAGCTCGGGGTCTGCCCAGCAGAAGAAGGCGTAGTTGTGGTAGTGTCTGGAGTTTCCTTCGGCGTGGTCGTAGTAGTTGTTGAAGAGCTCGGAGTCTGTACAGCTTGGGATGTTGTGGTGGTGGTAGTGCTCGGAGTTTCCTGTGGCGGGCTTGTAGTTGTATCGGGAACAGACGTGGTGGTCGACGTGACTTGTTCTCTGCGAGAAGTTGTAGTACTCGAGCTGCTTGTGACTGGGATAACCTGCGGGGTTGTCGTTGTGTCGACCTTTGTTGTAGTGGTGGTCGTCTCAGTTTGTGAGGTTGTGATCACTGCTGGAGTTGTAGTTGTGGTTACAGGGGTGGTAGTGGTAGAAGTAGCTGGAGCTGTAGTTGTTGAGGAAGAGGAAGATGAGGAAAAGTTGCAATCGAAGCCAATCGAATGAATACCGATGTCGCAGCCATTATTGTTGCTGCTGGGAGGCATCTGGAAGGACACGGATCTAGCTCCGCCACACTGCGTGTTTTCCACTGTGGTACCGCTTGCACTGCAAGATGCGGTGTGTTTGCAAGTAGAGCCATCCGGCATGGAGAAGATGAAATCCAGATCGGTGTCAAAGGAAACGGAAACTTGCATGTGCGTGATCGAGAACTGGTCTTGGGCGCAAGAAAAGTTGGGACCACTGTTGGAGGATTTGCTTACTTTGCCTTGGATGCATTTAGACTGGCCACTCGTCAGTAAGTGATCTTTAAATCTCCACAGGCTTTTGTAATTACCTGGAAATCGTCGCGAATGCGAAGGGATCTTTTCTTTGCATTGGGTTGAAAGGAGTTCTGGCAGGAAAATCCGCTGAAGCCAAACCCTCCATAGTTGTTGAACGAACCTGTAGGTAGACCAGACCAGTCAAACCCACTTTGTTGATCAGCCGTGCAGTTGTTATTGGTATTGGAAACGCTGGAAAAGCTTGGGGAATCGCCCCAGCTTGTCGCACCAGCCTGCTGTATGAACCAAACAAAGGCCACGAGACCAGCAGTCAATGCGGGTTTCATCATGGCGATTATGATATATCAAAAGGAAGGGATATGAACGAGCGAACCGGGTTGTGTCGTAAACGATGGACTCCTCTTGGGAAGCGAATGTGGACAACGAAGGACTGTTAGGGAAAAGAAAAGGAAATCAAAGCACAAGAGACGAAAACTTTGTGGTGGGCGAGGATGAAGATTGCAACATCCTTGAGGAAGAATTGGACCTTTTTGTATCAACAAGAGCGCGTGTTGAATCTCACCATGAACTGCTCTGCTGGACAAAGGCCAAGTAGAGGCCATGCATCAACTGGTTGCCATACGAGTTTGCTATAGCGGGTCCAAACATAAGACATCCTGAAGGCGAGTAGACAGATGGCGCGCGTAACGACCAAGTGGAGTACTGTCACCGTTGTGGATCGAATTTGGGCAGTATTCATGGCATCCAGCTCCAAGGATGGAGAAACATAAGCTGGACATAGGGAAGGCTGAAACAAAGATGGGTTCTCGGGTAGGATCCAGTAGAAGTCAAGATCCACGTTGATCTCCTCGAAATGGACTGGATCGTGGCAACCGAAACCGATCAGGAGTGGGTGTCTTGGACCGGGAGGACGAAAATGGCCAGTCGCGCGCAGAAATATACAAGTCGACGGCGGGACGGGGATCCCCAGTGTCCGCAATCGAGGCTGTGTCTGTCTGATATTATTCAGCCTCAGAGCTCGGCCAGGTACAGCGGCATGGATGGCCGTTGGACGAGTCGCACAAGGTGAGTCGTGTCTCCTCGCGCTTGTCGCCGCAAATTGCAGTGGTTTGAAGACGAATCGTAGCCGAGCCCAAGTGTCGACATGATTGGTCGGGACTCAACATCATACTTGGCTTACTAGTCTATTTTTGAACCGAGCAACGACGGCGGTTATGGGATGAGTCGCTCCAACAAAGACTCGTAGTCAATGGTATTAGTGCCGGGTCATTTGGTCGGAGTCTTCTCATTTTATGCGTAGGGAAGAAGGCTAGCCACCACATATCTCGTTGATAGCCGCATCAGCAAGATATTCCCATGCTCCTTGCTAAGCACTATATGCACCCGAACGAAAGCTTTCCCGGCCAAGCCGAATGCCCACAAAGAACGCACAACCTCAGCAGCCAAGGCCCATGGGAGGTGGCAAGAATCATCCAGTCTCCCTGCGCCGATCAATGCATCAATAAGGAAATATCGGGCCATCCCGGCTCTCTCCCTCTATATCCATAACGCCATGCGCCATACGCTGTCATCATGTCATCATGCCAATCCCGATGCTCTAAACAGTATACAGTCCGTCTCTTCACGATTGTTCCGCCTTCGTGTGATCTGCGTTTGCTGACCGCTGAGTCAGGAGTTGCGACGGCACGATTTCCTCAGTGCCGTGCCCTGTTCCATTCATCTCACCATTAACATGCCCATTGATGGCCGACATGCCAACGTTGAGCGCGGGTTTGGGAGTAACTTGCTCCGAAGTGATCTTTCCCAATTCATCTGTTTCTCTTTTTCCACTCGGAGGACTCGGTGCCCGGTCTCCACTATTCTCTGCGCCTAAACTCTTGGATTCGTGATTTGAGTGTTCACTCACTTCCGCAATGCTGGCTTCGACTTTCTTCATCACTCTTTTAAACGGGCGTCGCAGTTTCGGTCTTTCTGCCGGGCTCATTGGTGGGCTCATTGGTGGTTCTCCGCCTTTTGCACTCAGGCTGGGTGGCTTGCTGCCGCTTTCTGCTGAACCGCTGACACCGTCACCAGGGGTTGGGTTAGATTCAGGACTCTTGGCTGAGTTGTCTGTCGCTACTTTGGTTCTCTGGAGATACTCGTCCAGCATGGCCTTCAGAGCCGTCTGCCGGACTGGTTTGGCAAGGTAATCATTCATTCCTGCCTCAAGACATTTCTCTCGGTCGCCTCGAATTGCCGAAGCCGTCATGGCAATAATCAGAACCCGACTTACGTTAGGGTCCGGATCGGCTCTGATCGCTTTGGTCGCCTCATATCCATCTAGCACAGGCATCTGAACATCCATCAGAACTAGGTGGAAAGGTTTCCCTTCCTTACTCTTGGCCTGCAATGCTTCGTACGCTTGCTTCCCATCCTCATACGCTTCGCATTTCAAACCAAGTCGGTTGACAAACGAAATGGCAATCTTTCTGTTGATCTGGTTATCCTCGGCAATGCAAACACGCAATTCTTCCCGGGGAACTTTGCTCAAGTCGCAGAAACTGTACGTCTTCTGCTCTGTCTCTGGACTGGCCGACTGTGACCAATTCGCCATTGGGTCTGGATCCTTAGCTGAGATTTGAATTTCGTTGGGCACACTGCTGTTCTTTGGTGCCTTGTGGAAGGTAAGCGTGAATGACACCGCCGTGCCGACACCAGGTGTTGACTCGATCCAAATCTTACCACCGAGCACGTTTTCGATCATGGCCTTGCAGATGCTGAGACCAAGGCCACTACCTCCATAGGAACGTGCTGTGGACGAATCGGCCTGCGAGAACGGCTGGAAAAGGCGCGACAGCTGCTCCTTGGTGATACCAATACCGGTATCTGCAACAGAGCAAGTAATCTTGACTCTGTCTCTGGTTTCGGCGTTCTTTTGAGCTCTGACCGTGACTGAGCCCTTGGGAGTGAATTTGTAGGCATTGCTCAAGAGATTCATGAAAATTTGGTGGAGTCGGACTGGGTCACCTAGGACCAAGTTGTCATCTATTTGGAGGTCTTCGACGGTTTTAAGTCCATGTTCCTGGTTGGTATAGGCTAGCGCTCGGACCACCTCGGTGATGGTCTCCTTCAGATTTAGAGGAACCGTGAACATTTGCATCTTGCCGGCCTCGAGCTTGGAAAAGTCCAAAATGTCGTTGATAACGGTTAATAAGGTATCGGCACACACACGGATGCTGTCCGCGTATTGTTCTTGATCTTTACTCAAAGGAGTACCCTTGAGCAGTTCAGACATACCGATCACGCCGTTGAGGGGAGTTCGAAGTTCATGACTGACGTTGGCGAGGAAGATTGACTTCGCTTTGGCGGCCTCCTCTTTCAATTTGACGTTATGCATAGCCTCCGCTTCCGCCTTCTTAGCTTTAGCTTCAGCCTCGCGCGCTGCCACTAGAGCTCGCTTCTGAGATTCGACCATGCTCGCATTCGATGCGCTAACCTTTCGAACCTTCCTGTAAAGGAGCGCGTTACCGAGTGAGATGGCGACTTGATTTGTGAGGAGGTTGAGGACGATCATATTGCGCTGGGTAAATGCATTTGGCCGCCCCTCTAGATGGATGACGCCCATCAAATGATCAGCTTGGATGATAGGTATGGCGACGATTGAGCGTCCGTGAGGGTTCCTTGCCAAGTAAGCGTCACCTACATTGGAGAAGCGATCATCCTCGAGCACATTCTGCACGAAGACAGTTTCTTTGGTCCGTAGGAGATAATGAGTGATCTGCTGTGCGGCCTGATCGTCAACCTCGGAAAATGGAATCCCGTCTGGATAAGTCTTGACACCTGTCTCGTGATCTGCGCTTGCTGCAACACACCATCCTTGATCCTCGGAATCGATGACGATTGCACAGAATTCTGCTTGGCCACCGACGGATTCGAGGATGACGGAAATCATCTTGGAAAGAAGATTGTTTATTTGGAGCTCTGAGCTTATGACTCGGGAGAATTCCAGGATAGACGTTAAATCTAGTATGTCCAGTCCAAGGCCAGGAACGTCCTGGGGAGTTTGATTCGCAACTGCTGCTTTTGGCTGTACCCATTGGTTCGTATATTCGCGCTTGTTCTGGATCTGCGCGTCTTCGCCCACGGTCAATGAATGCAAGTCTTGCGTTTGAGTAGCGGCGTCCATGGTTCTCGAGGTGGTGGCAGTTTTGATCAGCCACTCATGCTTTTCTTGAAGGTGTCGAGCTTTCCCTGATGCATTGATTCGGTTCCAAGCGGCAATGGCTTCCTGGATCATGACTTTGCCAGCTCTCTTAGCTCCTCGCAGGAGCAGGAAGTCGGCCTGCATTTCCACGGCTAGCGCCTCTTCCATGGCGAAACCGTGCACTTGGCAATGGTCAATGGCCATCTCGAGGTTGGAGATGACGTTGTAGTATACCCTGGTCACATCGGAAATAGCGGCATCGAGTATCCTGGACCAGGCAAAGTAGTTCACATCATTGACCTTTCCCCAGTCATCGATAAAGCGTTTCAACTCCTTCGCTTCTTCGATATAAGGTCCACGCTCCTCTTCAGGCTTCTCCTTTGCAAGGGCGATGAGGGAAAGTCCTAGGTAGAAGCGAGTGCCACAGGCGGGTCTATTAGACCAAAGCTCGTCAAGACTTCCGGCAATTAACTCTCTTCCCTTTTCGACCACGTACTCATGATATCCCATCAAATGATAAGCGACAAGCGACACGGCGTGGAAAATGTCGCACGAACGTCGGGCATTGGCGGCGTACTTCCCGCACTCGGCCAACCATGTCTCGCTCTTATGATCTTCATCATCTAGAAGAGTGGCGGCGTCTACCGCTTTAGTTTTGCCTTGTAGCGCCCGTGAGACCTGTCTGATTACAGTCAGGAGCGTTCCTCCTCGCCGATCTTTGTCCCAGTCGTCAAATTCTTCCGGACCATAAGTGCAGAAAGCCTCCACTTCTGCGAGATCTTGTCCGGCCCAGAATCTTGAAAGGGCCATGGCTCCGATGTTTAGGATGCTGACAAACTTGTCCCCGGATCCCAATGAATATTCGAGCGCACTATCCAAAATAGGAAGAAGGTTTCGCACTGGTGTCTGGTAGTGGCCAATAAAGAGGGTGTACAAAGTCCAGCCTCTGCCACGTGTCCAAGCGTCGTCAAACATGGTATAAAACTCTTGTGCAATATCGCCATAGGACAAACCCAACTCGATGTCCTTGAAGCGACCGATAGCAGCAGCACCAAGCATGGTGAAGCCGACTCCAGCCTGAACGAAGAGGCCGCGATCGAGGACTGCATTGACATAAGCGATAACCAGTTGGTACCAGAGCAAAGCGTTCGACCAGTAGAGAGCGCCAAGCGCTTCAGAGAGAACGGTACCAAGGGCAATTATAGTCTTGTCTTCGCTGAGTGGAGCTGTCAGAAGCGCCTCTTTGTCGAGCTGTTGGATTCGAAGCTCCAGCTTCTTGAATTCGGCGTCGCATTCCTCCCAAGTCACTTCTGGCAGAGGAAGGCCTAGCTCTGCCAGACACTCTCGCTGACTCGTGAACGCCTCCATGAATTTCCCTTGGGAAGCCAACACCCGTCCTTTCAAGATGAAAGACCTCGTTTTGTCCGCCGAGCACTTAGCGTGAGCGAATGTCTCGTTCAGGAGTTCCAGAGCTTCTACGTCCTCTCCCTGCAGATACATGATTTCAGCGGTATTAACGTGAAGTTGGAGAGTTTCGTCATAGAAGACATCTGGGTTGTCCGGATTCCACTTGTCATCTTGCAGCAATTGGAGTGCGGTCTTATAATACCAAAGCCCGGTGGCCTTCGCGCCTGTTTCGATTGCCTTCTGCGCTCCTCGCCAAAGGACATCACGATATCGCATCCGAGTTGGAATCCTCTCTTTCACAATATCCGCGGACAGGCAGATATGGCGTGCCAAAGGGTACAAATTATACTTGCACTGGCTGAGGTACGTCATCATGGCTTGCGCGATAATGAAATGCATCTTGGCCGTGTTTTGACACTCGCGCATTTCGTTCGCCGCTTTCAGGTATCGCGCGTGCGCAAAGCGGAATTCGTCGTCTGTCTCACCGGGGTTTATGATGTACATGTTGACTAGTTGCTGAAGTCCGTTGATGCAGTCAGTCTCTGAGAGATTGAATAATTTGGCACGTTTGGGACAAGTAGCATCATGCGTTTGATCTCTTCCGCTGCTGTAGAAGAAATCGCCGGTCACAATGGACTGGATGAGCTTGAAAGAGAAGGTTGTTCCGATCAAAGAGGCCCATGCAAGGATTGACCTTGCGGCGGGAGGTAATTCTTGGAGTCGGCGGGTAAGATAACCATTGTCTGTGCAGCCTTCACTGCTGAACTCGTTGAAAATCTTGTCTAGATCAAACTGCCAGCCCGACGCTTTCCAGTCGTACCATAAACAATTCCGTTGATAGCATGTTTGGAGAATATCCTTGACGAGGAATGGGTTTCCCTCGGACTTGGCGTAAACAACGGCAGCGAGAGGCAAAATAGTCTCTACAGGTTGAGACATTGTTGCTGCGACATATTCGAAGACGTGCCTTTCGCGCAAATTGGCCAATTCGATCTTGTTTGTAGAATCGAGATCGAGAAGTTTGACGGTCGGTTCAGGAACGTTTCCTTCCTCCACTCTGCTAGACAGCATAAGCACGACTGGCACCTTCGCCTTGATGATGTGCATCAGGAGCTCAATCGATTCACTGTCTGCATATTGCAGGTCGTCCAAGCAGACACAGATCAACTTTCCTGTGCAGATTGTGCGTAAGACGTCCATGTACGTGTTGATGAGTCGAATGGACTTGGTATTGGCCGGACCGCGCAGAAAGTCGTTGGCGTCCCAAGTGCCATGGTGAGGTGGAATTGTATGCGTCTTGGGCCCACTGTCGACTGTAGGAACCTCAGTGTTAACGCTTTGATTTGTGGTATCCGTTTTTACCAAGAGTTTCTTGGAAAGAACAGTGACGTCAAGCAGCGTCGACGGAAGATCCAACATCGAGTGCAGGATCGGCCAGAAGGGTGTAACGTGCGCCCGAAGATGCTCGTGATACGGCGTATTGACGTCTTTCTCCGAAAATATCTGGCGGAAGAGACTTGCCATGACCTTGATCAGAGGTTCAAAGGGAGAAGGCCGAGCCCTGTCGAATCTTCCGAGGGCGAAATAGCCATGACGGCGGATGACAGGTTGCACAGCCTTGATGAGAGCAGTCTTGCCAACTCCTGCCGGTCCCAGGATGGTTATGACCTCGGTCTTTGATCGTCGCTTGTATTTGTGATTGCTTCTTCGCCGAGTCATCATCCCGGGTAACATATCAGTTGCAGGTTGCAAGCCCCCCGAAAAATTGCTGTCCCGATCGGATAAGACGTCCAACGGGGTAATTCTCGAGTCGGCGATGGCCCGGGTCCGCTTCCCCAATAGATTGGTCTTGTTACCATATCCAGGAGTATAGGCACCATCCAATCCAATAGTGGTGGAATTACTGCGAGACTCACGGAAACCAAACGAGCTAGAGTCATCAGAGCCCGGGGCTTCTTCTGCTCCATCCACACGACTGTCCGAAATAGACGAATTGGAGCCTGCACTCAAAAGACCGTGTTGTGACGGGGACGGCCTCGTGCCAGACGAACTATGCCGCTTGTGAGCCTTATCAATAATTTTGGTGATACGTTCCGTCTCGGAGTGTCGGCCAAACTGTTTGGTTGGCAGAATGAAGAAGGACGACACGTCTCGTTGCCCAACCTTATAGTTCTTGATCTTTTCCTGATCCCCTTCACCCAAAAACTTCTGGATCTGCACCAGGTCATATCTCAGGCCACTCATTGAGTGATATCGCTCATCCATCTGCTTCTGGGTCATCTTTGCAATGATATGTGAAATGGCATCAGGGATATCCATGCGGATTGCGGTGACCAGAGGAAGACGATGGGTAAGGACCCGTTGGACAATATCGATGGGAGTCTCTGCGTCAAAGGCAGGCTGCCCCGTGAGCAGTGTCCAGAACAGAACCCCCAAGCTGTAGATATCTGTGCGACTATCGGGCTCCGCGGGTAGCCTCCCAGTTTGCTCCGGAGCAATAAAATGCAGTTTGTTCTTCACTCCAATCTCTCGGCTGAGGTTGGCCCATCCCTCACTTGATAGTAGATTTTCGAATGCTCGAGGCCCATTCCCGGCATTGGCCAGTTTGACCGTACCCGCCTCCCGGTTCCAGTGGAAAGTATCTGAGCGAACCTCCCCATGAACGCTATTGGCACCATGGTGCAGCAGCTCAAGCGTCTCTGCAGCACCCACGGCGAAATCTAGAAACGCCTGCAGTGGTATCCGCTCTCCCGGGGTACCGTCTACCGCGACGCTCATCCTGTGGTTGTTGAGGCCATAAAACGCCGGTCCCATGTCCAGGACTTCACGAAGATAATTCTTGCCGGGGGCTTCGTACACACACACAGCTATCGGCCGGGTATCTCCTGGTGTGGTAGGCAGCTTGAAAATCTCAAGGGGTCGGATGGTATGTTCACATTCAGGATCGGCATCCTTGACGATAGCCTGGTTATAATAAAATTCTCTTTCTAGACGCAGGACGTGCGTGCTGATGCGCGCCACCACAGGCATCCATATTGGATCCGGGTCGCCCTTGGACGACAAATTCTCACTGTCAGTCGAAGTACCGCTGATACTACTCCAATGATGGTGTCGGAGTGCGGGACGATGAGGATCGAGTTTTGGAGAGCTTCTGGTCGAACCGGAGAGGACGGAAAAGCTGCTGGTCAGGGTACTGATTGACTCGCGCGGGTTGACCACGTCTGGATTGTGTAGGACACCGTAGACATGCCTGATTTGGGGTTGCCATGTTTTAGTTTTTGAAAGGTGCGATATTCTGGAGATCCGACGCTTGGGGGACTTACCAGTGATCGTAACTGGTGTGGAACGGCACGAACTGCAATCAACCCAAAATCAGCACTCGCCTCGCCTTTCACTTCATTGATAAATATACCGAGCGATCCCATGTGTAGTTTGGTACTTGAGATAGACGTTCGAAGAGCCTAGCCGGTGCGATGGGCAGGTCCTCGCCCAAGATTTCTTCCATTTTCTCGTACTGAGGCCGTGGCGTGTGCGGTCATGTCATTTTGCAGGAGTGAAGGGGTCTGGGCTCTCGAAGTGGAGGCAGCCGATATCCACGATAGCGACAGCAACGACAGCAACCTCAATTGCAGCGTTGAGAGAAATGGCGATGCATGTGATGATGGAAAGCGGAGGGGAGAGAAAGATCCGGTTCAGGAGTCGAAACACAAAGGATTGGAAATGGAAGCGGGATCGTCTGAACGATCGTCGAGCGAGAAGCACCGAAGAGGTGAGTGTGCGTGGTTGATGATTAAGCGTCAAGCATCTACTATTTGGGCATGGCCAAGTTGGGGCGAGAAGCGGCAGTTTGAGGGGGGGGGAACGCGGCTTGGATAAGCTGCGCGTCGCAGAACAATTGGTGGTGGCCACACCACATTTTATAACCCCCAGTAGAAGCCAGAAGAGACGTGCACCTGGGCTCGACGGCTGCCCGAGGCACAACAGCCACAGGCGAGTTAGGTAGCGGGTCGGTGGCAGTTGGACGAGATCAAGCTTTGAGCGCCCGCTCAGGCAAACTGTGCACCACCAACCAAAGCTCAACAAACTGTCGTCGCCGCGCTGCTCAGGGTCTTCGGTTCCCATTCTCCTGCCCCGCCACTTCCCGTAGCTACAGTATGTAGCTAAAGAGACCCTGAGGGGTGCAGATAATGAGCACGGGGTCGGGTGGGCGGTTTTTATTAGGATGAACATAAATACAGCTGGTGGCTGCTGACTCGGCTGCATCTTTGTTGTTTTGGACAGTGAGGCACGAGAGCATGATTACTGATATACGGCTAAATAGAGCACCGCCAGATACAACAATGAAAGGACCATGCACAGCGTCTGTTCGCCATTACCTTCCTCCTATGCTGGCACAGTGGTTGTCCGTTGCACGAAGAATTCGATATTGTCATGCACCATCCATCATTTGTCCAGCAGATTTTGCCCCGGGTCCAGATGACTCCACAGTCAGCATCCCGGATCGCGCCAGCCCGGCCATCTGCACCCACATGATAGCATTTGATACCAGATTTCCTCTTTCCATGTGGGGTGCAGAATTTCTTCTCTTGCTCGCTCACCAGTATGTCACAAGGTGTGTGACAGCTGCAAAGGTCATTATCATTCTCCACAGGTGATTCAGGCCACGGAAAGAAAGCCTCAATGCAATGTTCGTGATGGGCGGCGTGATGCTGGGCTCGCTCGGTCTGGCCGGTGTTGTTGCCAGTGGCGCACTACTCCAAGTCGCTGTGCTTCCAGGGAGAGTTGTCACGGTGGCCAAGTTACTGCTGGTACTGGCGGCGGAGCCGGTCGTGAGGGTGGGCAAGTGCGGCATGCTCGTGAAATTGGAGGATGCTTGAGATCCAACCTCACTTGCTGGTATCGCAGAGCCGACTCCCTTACTGGTCCATGGGGTTGGTACCGCCAACGTTGAGGTGTTCGGTTCTTCGAGCGTGTCTTCTTGGTAGATATTCCCTGACTGTCCATTCGCCAGCCGGTAGCTCCCCGTGATCAGGTTTGCATGGTCTCCATTGGGAGTGGTATAATTTCCAGAGCTAATCGAGCCATAAGAGCCGTCGGGAAGGTAATAGTCGGTCGTGAACTTGTCCTAAAAACACCAAGGATGAGTCCGCAGTCGAGATGGAAGGAGAGAAGAATGGTACCCAGCACAATGGAACGTTGTAGCTGAGCACAAGAAGGCACTGGGTGGTTTCGGCACCTGCTCAGTGTTAGTTCCTCGCGCTGAATCAATGCCGTCGAGAGCCTGGCTTACAACATAGGCTACCTGGCATTTCTCTTGCTCGGTGAGCAGGAGCCGACCCGCTGCCGAGTGGCACGATATGGACTGGCGCAGGCTGAGGATTGACTGTTTGGATGAGATTGAGATAAAGCCTGGCTAGCCCGGGACCGATCTCGGGCACATCCCTTGTGGAGGCGCCGTCAGGTGAGCAGAGACGATATCCCGAGCTACATGATTGACGAGGATTGAGATCAGCAAGGCAAAGGCACAAGTGCATGAGCACGAGCAGAGGCACGAACGAGAGCGACAGCGACTGCGGAACCATTTTGATGCAAGTGAATGTCCTGCTGGCTGGCGGTGGATCGGAGGAAAATGAATGCAGACTCTCGTATGGCAAGGTCGAGGCCACATGTGCGAGTGAAGAAGCTGTCGTGAGTCTGCAAGAGTTGATAGCTGTGTAGCCTGCCGCAGAGGGAAGTCGCTGCCCCGGTGGAATAACAGTGAGGGTGGCGGAAAGAGCGCCCGCTGCTTTCTCGCACTTCAAGTTCACCTTTCTCAGCATTAGGTTTCGCGGCGCTGCTCATCCTCAACATCGTCAAGTTGATTCATGAAGTGAAGGGGTTTCCCTCTCTCAGCCTGCTCTCAGTCCCTGCTGCTGTCAGACGGATGTTTGTCTCTCTTTCTCACCAGCCTCAGGGGTAATCTCAAATCAACAGCTGTCAACTGGTTCTTCAAATTGCAGCCACCCGGCGCCTCCGACGCTTTGATCTGTTTCTCCCAAGACATCACGAAGCTCCTCGTACCACTCAGCACCCGCGCTCTGCTGCATCAACCCGCAAGCCATTGATCGGCAAATGCCTTTCAGCAGGCTGCACCCCCTGTCCATTCTGCCGCAGACGGGTTTGGTCGATGTTTTAGTTAATTCGATGTCGAAGTTGAGAGGAGAGCCTGAGGGGTGCCTGACACTTGCACATTTCGACAGAAGATCGACGGCGTGGAGGTAATAGATACTCCTCAACTGGAAACTGTCGCCAGAAGTGAGCTGCTGTGAGAAATTGATCACTCTCAACCCAGTTTTGAGCATGGTCTCAATCCATGTGCGTCCCCTGATTATCCTTTCAATGGTTTCTCACGATGAGCCTCGACCGCAGCCCTGAATGTAGCTTGAGAGCTGCCATCACTTTTGACTTTTGAAATCAGCTCCACAAGACGGCGTCTCACCAGCTTGCCAAGAACCGACCCAGGCCAACGATATTCAATCGAAACAGGTGGGCGAGATGTGCCAGGAGCTGATGATCCTCAACATCACCTCTAATCGGGTGGTTTTCGGCAGGCAGAAGTTCAAAATTCCTACGCCTTGCCACGTTCGGCGTTTCTACCTCGAGACGCCACCCGCCTCGTATTCGGTCAAAAATTTCGTGAAACTGGATCGCTGGGCATTTCTGACAAGCCTCAGCCTCGTCGTGTACCCTTTGGAGGCGTGTCGTCATCTGAGCCGTTGGGCCATGAACCCGCACTCGCCTTTACCTCCCGAGTAGTAACCCCTGAAATCTGGGGCTGGTATCCACCACTGTCGATCATCCCCGTTGGACAGGGAATATGGACGGCAGATCTGTCCCGATTCGGGAGATTGAAGATTACGACGTTAAGTCTTGTCTCTCATTCTAACCAGCTCTAACCAAGAACCATGGAGATCTGCAGAAAATCAGGTCCATCTCATCATACAAATCCCAGGTCTGGGGGTCGTGAACTACCTACCGAGTACAGAAGAGCCTTTTGTAGACCGCTACTACTGGGTCTTGCCGAAACCGTCCGTCTATGACTGGCGTGTCCGCTTCATCTCCTGTTCGCAGGTGACCTCAGTCAAAGGATGGCATTTCCAGGGAACGACAATGGATGTATTTAAACGCTTCAATCTCCAGCCAAAATGTAGAGATCCTTCTTCATCCTCCTCATCATCAGCAATATTGGAGTTATTCTCTCATATCACATACTCACCCCAGTCGCTCATTCGAACAAAGCTCTTATTCCAAGCCTGTCACATTAACCGACACTTAAGTCCTTCCAACAAACCCAATACCACGTTCAAAATGCGTTGCACAGCTATCTTCGCCAGCCTTTTCCTCACCGCTTCTGCCTTGGCTCTGCCTCTGGATCGTAAGTTCCTCACATCAATGATGCTCTCCCCATCCACATCCACATACTGAAGTCAAACCTCAGCCACCACGCTTGTCGATACAGCCCTCGAACCTGTCGAGGACCTTGACCTCGACCTTTCGGGCATCGTTCCTTCTCCCCCAGTTCGCAAACGACAAGATCTCTCCAGCGTCACTGATATCGCCGGTGACCTTGTTGACGAAGTAGCTACCACCCTGACGGGCATCCTCCCTACTGTTCTTAGCACTGTCGAAGGCCTCACCACCACCATCGACGGCCTGCTCGCCGATGTGGAATCAGTCGATTTGGCCAGCACGCTTGACTCGGTCGTATCAACTCTGGAAGGGGTTGTTGAAGAGGTCAACTCTCTTGTTAGCAGCGTGGACGTCGACAGCACTCTGGACAGCCAGCTGAACAGCGTCATCGCCGCACTCGAGAGCCTCCTGTCGAGCGTGGAGAGTCTGGCATCCACTGTGTCTCTCACTAGCACTTTGTCTGAGATTGAGTCCCTTGTTTCTGGACTGATTGACACTCTCACTGGGCTTTTGGGAGCTGTCAAGCACTAAGCAGGTGTCCGTTGTGTGGCATTTTACCTTGGCTAGCCTTCGGCCTCCCTGTTCGACCATGGCTCATATCTTGGTATTAGCGCAGGCGACAGGGATTTCATTTTCGACACCACTATTTCTAAGTACACGAAGGCTCTTTTGGTCATTGGCGGTGGGTCGAAGTTGCATGAGTAGTGTTAATACCTAATTAATATGCACACGTGGAGCTGTAGTTTTGGATAGAGAATGGGAAACACATGAGCCAAGAGTGAAGGACCGGGAAAATGGCGAAGTGAATGAGAATAACCATTAAAATTGTTGGTTCAGCATGATTGTTTCTCTTGCTATTACTGATCATCGACATGTACTGGCAGGAATTCGCCCCTATTCGAAAAAACACAGGGAGAGACTTTTCACCTGCCAGTGGCAGAGTACTCTTCCATGAACCAGCCTAGTCAGTCATACACGCACAATATTATGCTCGAGTCCGGGTTGGCTTTTCTTGCCTTGCCTGTGCATTTCCTTCTTCGCCGACAATTCCGGGGACCACAAGATCAATGCAAATGAAGCCGAGCGATTCGGATCGGCCGGTACTGCCCCCGGTCTCCCCAAACAGGCCGTTGAAAACAGCCGCTCACAGTTCTGGTGCTTGTGCATATGCACTGTCGCCGGATCGGTACCCATGGTCCTACCACTGCGAGCTGTTGAACCGAGTAACCTCGCTGACCTCCTCAGCCCAGTCAGCGGCACCATTGATCCCGTCCATCTCGTCTAGAGGAGGCAAAGCAGAAATGTTCCTACCATCAGATCCCATGTCAACGCTAGAGTCCACGGTCACCGTTGAGTTGGGTGGGCCCAGGGGTTCTTCGCTGCTGAAGTTATCCCAGCCATTGGTCCCTGTAGTGGAAGTCGCATTTGCTGGCTCATCCCATCTGGCTCCATATCCACCTTCACTGGCGCCGTCAACCACATATCCACTTTCACTGCGATGGCCATTCGCATGACGAGCAGACTTCTTGAGTTGGTCCTTCTCCTCCCACTTCTGCCTCACTTCTGCCTCGTTCCTCCAACACCAATCATGCAAATCCTGATCCAGTTTGCTGTTCTCCTGCCTCAACACGCTCAAAGTCATCATCTCCTCTGGTGTCTCGTTCTCGTCAAGCTTGCCATTCCACCATGCCCAGAAAACAGAAGTGGCAGCCACTTCACGGATAGCCTTTTCTTTCTCGGCCGGGAGTGTCGCGAGCGAATGGGTCGTGTAGAACCACTCGACTTCCTCCCAGCTCATGAGTTGTTTACGAGCGATGGCGAACATTCGTTTGAGGATATGGTCGGAGAGGTCGCGCGGCGGAATGCCCAGGTAGTAAGCAGAAATTACAACATTGGCGTAGGAAGTGAAGAGGTCGGATTTGTCGTCGTCGAGCTATAAAGATGTGTTGGCCTCTGTTATGGAGGGAAAACTGATGGAACTTACATCTTTGAACTTGACGATACTCTGTTCAGCAATGCACTGTTTGATCCAAGCCAAAACTTCCTTGAGACCGTTCAAGTCGCCGCCGACAATAGTGAAGGATTTGCTGTTGTTTTCCATCAGGTCGTGGCGAATGCGATCACAGAAGATCATGGCGGCATCTCGGGGGAACTTGCCATCAAGGGGGATTAACGAGGAAGTTTTGTTGGGCTTGAAGAAGAGGGAGATTGTCGGGTCGGGGTTGATCCTGTTGGTTAGGTTGTTAGTCCTAAAGTTGCTCCGATTTTATGTGTGAGTTTCTGATCAATGCCATCTGCTCACGTTGAAAGTTTTGCGGGAGGAATGCGAGGACCACGGTCCTCGCGCGGTTCAGGTGATTGCCCTGCTGAATCATCCATGACAAGGGATAAGTGAGTATCGATATCGAAGAGGTAATGATCTCTCTGGGGCCGGGGATGTAGTAAGGAGATGGAGCAGAATTGGGATGAAAGGAAGAGATCAAGCCCAGAATGGAAAGAGCAACAATGATGAAAGAACCAGGCGGAGTTGAGGAAAGCTGCTTGCCGTTGGCAAATAGCAAGACCACCCATCAACAACAATTGTTTCAGGCTTCGGAATCCACCTAAAGGGTGTCAACGTGGTGATTGTATGGCTGGGAAGTTTGGCAGATACACTCAGGTTCATCGCCAAGCCTGCCAATATCATGTTTGCATTGCTGCCTTCAGTTGCGCCATGGACTCCTAGTGCACACCTTGATAAAGAACTGAATTGCCTCCACTCCCAAAGGACATAGGGCCTGCGCAAATGATCTGAGTCGAATCCACGCTGGTGCCCATCATTCATAAAAGGCTCTGTATTGCATTCCCGCAATCGGCAAGGCTGGCCCTACCAAAACCCCTCATGAAGCAAGTCACATATGACATGATATCGCACGGGGAGCAACAACAATAGAGGATACACAGGGCAAGGTCGTCGACACAGATTGTGCGGTCAATTCAGAATTTGACCTCTCATCGCTGTTCTAGTCAATCAACAAGCTCAACCCATCTGCGCCTCGCTCCCGAATCATCAAATCATTCCAGGCATCGAAATAGCGAAACCGTGTGTCCGCACCGTCTATTTCTTTCCGCTCTTCTTGATCCCTTGCTGGCCAGCGTTCAAGGGCCCCTTCCCTTTTGCCTTGTCGGCCATTTCTTTCCGGGCTTTCGCGTCTGTGGGATTGATTCAGTTGTTGCCCAGGCAAATCACGAGTGCGAATCCGCCGTACCTGCTTGCTGCTTGGCCTTGAATGCGAGGTCCTCTTCGTCCAAGTCTTTCTTGTCCTTCTTCGGAGCCTTCAGTGGCTTGACTTTGCCGCCTACGAAGAATGTCAGAAGCCGGTCAGACTGCTCCGTACCTTGCATGTACCAACCTTCTCTGCTTTGTCCACCCATAATTAATTCTGTCCTGGTCACACCGCTGCTTCTGGAGGATTTGAGTATTCGAGAATTGCAATGTCACGACCGCGCGAGTGTTCTAATGTCTGGTGTGGTTGAACTTGAGAAGAATAATTGCCGCAGTCAAGAACGGCCTTGACAAAATCCACGCACGTGACATCTTGGCTTGTTTGAGTGGTTTCCAAGGTGAATGGACTGTTAACTCATTGAATTCTTCCACTCTTTCTTCATGGAGTCCACTCCTTGAACTGCAAAGACAGCCTTTGTTAACGACTCCTATAAACAGGCCGCAGTCTATCCAGCAATGTGGTATTCTGCAACCGGACAGGGAAAACGTCATACACTTCAGCAGTACACAGTCCCGGAAGATTTATGATTACTCGAATGGGTTTATTTAGCCATTTTGGCCAAAGATCTTCTAAGACCATTAGTTTCTTGATGTTCGACCATTCGATTTCGATCAAGCACCGACTTCCCTGAACTCTAACACATCCACTCAAGGCTCCAATAGGCCCGCAGAGAAAATTGCCAAATACTAAGATCCCAGCCCAGTCATGCCATGTTCTTTAGTGAATTCCCAGTCCCCCCCAAGGATGTTGAATCCAATAAGGAGCAAGTTCGCAACCTATCATGGAGATTGATGGCGATGGCCGTGCGTCATTGAATGGGAGATTAGTGCTGGTTGTTGATGATGGTCGCTCATTTCTTGGGCGTCGAAGGTGGAGTGCCGGAGTCTGGAGTGTTTGGAGGAGGATTGGTTCCAGATCCAGGCATCTTGTTCGACGAAGGTGGACTACCACCCTCAGGAGAGTTTGGTGGAGGCTTGGTTCCAGAAGACATTTTGCTGTGGAGTTTGGTGAAACTTTGAGTGAGTGTTGGATGGTTCTCGATCTATCTGACAAAGGTTAACTGTGAGCGCACTTTCAACGGGCCGGAGTAAATTACTTATTGATTGTATTGTCGCGAGGCTTCTTGTTGCAGGTTATGAGGATGATGAGAGATGGACCAAGGACTTGGGAGTAGGAGATATTTATACCTTCTCAATGGTGCTCGTTTGACCATCTCGTTTGGGAATCCTGCTTCTGACTGACTTTGGTGCAACGCGATGGTACGCAAAATGGCGATTGCTATGACTGTTGAGGCAAACAGCATTCCATTTCGCGACCTCTTGTAAGGCGATATCTGGATTTCCACCAGGAGTCGAGCTGTTGGCAATCACCCTCCTGTCACGCTTCGTTAGCTGTTCTATCTACATCAGAAGCAACACTCTCAGTGGGACGTGGAAGCCATTACCCTCACTTTGATACTAAACAGTTGTCATAACACTATAGCCACGGTTTGTGGACGGGCCATACGACAGGGCACAGGATCATATCGCAGAAATATTGGAAGAGTAGCGCCCTAGAGAAGTGACTATTTTCATTTCATTTCAGAGACCCGTGTACAGCCAAATACACTGAAAGAACCGACTGTTCGAGCGACCTCTAGAATGAAAAGGCATCTCATCACCAAAAACGGGATTCAGTAAAGGGAGTGCCTTAGGAACTGGCTTGGCAAGTCACAGATAAGTACAAAGGCCATGGTGGCTCCGATCCCCTTGAATGGTAAGCTATCTTTTCAATGGTCACAAAGACCAGAGTCGCCGCCATTGTGCGAGGGCGAGTAGAGCAACAAAGAAGGATTTTACAACTCGAATTCTAGTGGACACAATCAGAGAAAATTTAACTCAACTTCCACTTTCTCAAACCCTGAGGATGCCTCTTGAGCAGAAAGAATTCTCCCAACCCCCGCTACCACATCCTTCAACTGGGGCGCCTGCAGACTCGGAGAGAGTGAAGGCATGGTGATCAATGAGACCTGGAATTTGGGAGCTGTTACCCAATGGCGAGAAAGATTCGGAAGAGAAGTCAGTCCGCCAGCGGTAGAAACCGAATGCAGTATCTGTCCCTGAAGAGGTGATCACTCACACCTAAGTCGAAGAAGTCTTGTTTCTGCAGGGAGCGTCGACGATTATCTCTGGGGCTAGCTTGGTCGATAGGGGCAAACGATTACCGATATCTAGGCGCGAAGTACGGCCTAGGGGGCTGGACAGGGCTTCCTCGTCGGGCTGCTTGCAGTCTGTCACATTGCTGCCTGGAAACGAACCTGTGGACCATTCGGCTTGAGGCTTTCTAGCTGGAGAATTGCTCTTTGCGGAATCGCTCATTGCTTTCCCACCGGCTTTCTCGGATGGTCCTTGTGGTTCACGAGACAAGATGGAGCATCGGGACTCGCACTTTGAACTGCATAGGCTTTAAGAGGTAGGCAAGAAGGAGGAATAGTTGCCATTTTCCAGGGAAGCTTGGAAAAGAGTGGAGTTTGTCACCGTCGTGGACATGCTGATATTATTGGGTTCCGGCAGAGTGAGTTTATGCGGTTGAGTTTCCGGGCCCAAACACGACGGCCGAGACCGCCAACGTCTAAAATGAATTGAGCCTTCGAATCTTCACTGTAGAAACGTCAAATCGAACAAAATTAGCGACAACCGCAAGCTTCGAAAGGTACCTAGTAGCGAAGGACAGGTGGATTAGTGGAGAATACCACGGATTCCACAAACTCGCTTCAGTACAGGTGAGGACCTTCCAAGTCCGTCTTCGATCCCAATTCAAACTGATGATTGAAAAGCTCAGCAGTTTCTCAGCACCTTAGGCCACTCACACATACATCAGGACTGTGTCATCACGAAAAATACATCAGCTTACTAAACATGGGCGATGCCGAGTGGTTGGATGACGGCGGTCCCAACTTCCGCCGTATAGGACAAGGCTTTCGTGGAACTCTCTGGGCTGCTGAGGCAGGCACGGTGGCAGTGAAGAGAGAGGATGGCGGGAGAGGAAGATCACTCTGCTCGTGCCTTCTGGAGAAATGATCCCTAATTTCCACGTCCTGCAACCAAGGGCTCCTCGGACGATGCTCAGTGGCTGGAGTTTCGGAGTCGATATCTCGAGTACAGCCAGGACCGTCTCAGTCTCGAGTGCAGCCGGATACGTCTCATCGGTTCCATTGCGGGTCATTGCCTCGGACTACCGGAAAAATTCTTTGCGCGGGTAGAAGGCTTACACGGAGAAACCATGAAGAACAGATATGCAATCTTGAGACAGAAACCAAGGAGACCAAGGAGACCGACTGAGAGCAAAAACGAGGCAGTTGGCTTGTGACGCCGCTTTAGCGCCGAAATTTCCTCAATGGGACGCTGGTGGGTTAAAGAACAAGAGCGGCAAATCCGTACAGCCAGGCTGGGAAGACGATTTGGTGGCGTTGCTTTCCCCATATTACTTCTGCTCGTACATTTGATAGTATTGTATACGGATACTTTGTACCTAGCTTGCTCGATAGAGAAGTGTATACCTCGTACCGAGGGCAATGAAGGGCACCTAATATTTACTCAACGCTAGGGCGGCAAGACGGGAGCCTTGGCGCCGACCTGGCCTGCACCAGCTCATTTCTCTAGGTAGTGCTTCTGGCGACTTCCCCATCTCTTGCAACCACGTCACTTCATCGTTTGTCTGGTTTCCTTCCTCACTTATCATCTTGCGCTTCAGTCAAGTCAAGCCGAGTCACCAGTGTCTCGCCTGCTTAGTGAGATGCTCTCGGGGGCGATTTGAGGAGGATTTGGTGGGACGACACCGGTCGGGCTCTACAACTGCAAATTTTCCAGTCTAAGGATCCGCTGGCTAACGCTCTTATCTCAACTGAAGGCTAGGTCTCATTCCCGGCCTGCAAGTCCACCACTTCATCATGGGTTCAAGATCACCGAGCCAGTCTGAGGGCGAAATCTTGACGTCAGACTCGGAAGCGAAGGCAAAGAGCATACCATCTTCCCGCAGTAACAGCAAGGTTGACCGTCGTTCCAGACCATCTTCCATTCCGTATAGCGCTACCTCTAGATCACATCGATCGCGTTCAAGATCTCCTTACCGAGCTCCCAAGGGCGAGAAGCGTCCCCGCGACTATGACCATTCGAGAAATAGATCCCATAATGATACGCGCACTTTTGCTGTGAGATACGAAGATGGCACTTACCCGCACCGACGCCACGGATCGTACGAAGAAAGAAGCTCAAAGAGATCGCGAACCTACTCTCGGAGTCGCAGCAGGAGTCGGTCACCATACAGACATTCTCGTCGTAAAGAGGAAGCAATGGACAACAGCTCCGCAATTACCAGGGATCTAGGTAGCAGGTTTGAGTCCAATTCCAAACATGCAGATACTCAACGGACAACATCAACAGCGCCCTCGCGAGATCTTCCTTCTGACAAAGTCACCTCTAACTTGGTGGCTCGGCCAGGATCTCACACCGTGGGACAGGAACAGACTGGGAATCGACCCGATAATTCCGCCACTGCTCCTGTGGGCACCATTGTGGAGGAAGGCGAAGAGTCCAGAGTGGTAGATGAGGCTGCTTTGATTGAAGAACGGCGGAAACGCCGTGAAGCCATCAAGAACAAATACCGTGGCCAAGCTCCGCCATTATTGGTTAAAGCACTTCATCTAGGGGCCGAATCCACTCCGGCAAGTCCTGCTCCAGAAAGCTATACTACAACGCCGCGCCGATCCGGTATGTTCAGTATTGCCCTTTGTGACGAGCATATGCTGATTTCATCAGAATCACCTGTGTCGTCCTCGCCTCGCACGCCGAGAGACCTTTCTGCCCCACAGTCTCCTGCGGAAATCAAATTCGATAATGAAGCGGATCTGACTAACGCTGATAGAAGATCTCCAGCCGAAGATGGCCCTTCAGCTGCTGATTATGATCCCACTGTGGACATGGAGGAGGAACGAGCACGACATGAAAAACGTCTTTTCAAGGAAGACGAGAAATCTCTTGAGCAGGCAGATCAAGCAGTAACCAAAGATGCTGACAGATCTTCTCTCCCTCCTTCCAAAGCGCCTGGTGAGTTCGACATGTTTGCCGACGAGGATGATGAGGACGATATGTTTGCCGAAGCTCCCATGAAACCTAAAGCAGAGATAAAGACTGCGCAAGCTTTGGATGTCAACCTCATGGACAACTGGGACGATCCTGAAGGATACTACATTACAATCCTTGGTGAGCTAATCGAGGACCGCTACCATGTCACTCAAAACCTTGGGAGAGGGATGTTCTCTTCCGTCGTCAGAGCTACTGATAGACGAACCGGCAAACCGGTCGCTATCAAAATTGTCCGCAATAACGAAACCATGCGAAAAGCAGGAATCAAGGAAATCGACATTCTCAAGGACATCGCCGCCAATGATCCAGAAGACAAGAAACACATCATTCGCCTTCAGCGATCTTTCGATCATAAAGGACACCTTTGCATGGTTTTCGAAAATCTTTCCATGAACCTCCGGGAGGTGCTCAAAAAGTTCGGCAGAGACGTGGGTATCAATATCAAGGCTATCCGAGCATACGCTCAGCAACTTTTTCTGGGACTGAGCTTGCTGAAAAAATGTCAATATATACACGCTGATCTGAAACCAGACAACATCCTTGTCAACGAAGCTAGGAGTACGCTGAAGATTTGTGATTTGGGATCTGCCTCTCCCATCACGGAGAATGTCACAGCGCCATACCTAGTGTCTCGCTTCTATCGGGCTCCTGAAGTCATCCTTGGTATTCCTTATGACTATGGGATTGATATGTGGTCTGTTGGATGCACCCTTTTCGAGCTTTACACGGGGAAGATTTTGTTCACAGGCCGCAACAACAATGGCATGCTTCGCGCAATCATGGAATGCCGTGGAAGGTTTCCCCACAAGCTTCTCAGGCGCGGTGCCTTGACGTATGATTACTTTGATGACCTGCTCAACTTCCGAGCTCAAGAAACAGACAAGGTCACAGGTCGGACAATTGTGAAAGTGATAGACATCAAGCCGAAACCTGTCAGAGATCTGAGGTCTCGACTGATTCCTAAGGACAAGCGAATGAATGAGCAGGAGCGGAGAGAGCTGGATTTGTTTGTGGATCTACTGGATAAGTGTTTGGACTTGCGACCGGAGAAGCGCATCACGCCCAACGACGCATTGAAGCACCCTTTCATCTCGAGGACGAAGTCATGAATGACATGACCCCGGGAATTTTATTTTTCAACCAATAGGCGAAAATTAGACATGAATGATAACTACCTAACGGGCTGCGGCTTTCTCCAATCAGTTCATATCCTCCTTTGACCCACTGCTGTTGGGAATGATCGCTGATACGAATAACTTCAGTATCTCTATCTTTCCCGCAGACGCTTGTTTTATCCACGCAGCTCTCAACCGGGGGCATGCTGGGAGAAGAGGGGTCTTACAGAATCAACTCACAAGGTCTTGCAACATCCCGAGACATGACCACTACTAATATCACAGTCCTAACACAACAGGGCGACATCCGAGCACTCTGCCTCGCTGCGGCACCTGACTAAGAACTGCTCATGCAAGTTGGATGTGATACAAGGATCTGCTTTATTTACGTTCCATGACCCGCTTCTGTTTTACAAGTGATGTCGGAATTACGCTGTGCCTCACGTTCCAGAAACCGCCGTAAACCTTGACAGCTCACTCACCTTCTCGTGTTCCTTCGACCCTTCAGCCACAAAATGGCATCTCTTGCGGTGTGCCTAACGGTTCTCTTCGTTCGCTGCTCGGTTGGCGTCGTTGGTGACGGACTTTCTCAGCTTGGAGCGATCCTCTTTCCGCCAGCCGGTAGTGAGATATACAACGTCCGGGACAGTATCCAAGTTTCCTACATGTCGTCGTGGGCCAGAGGTGTCAATCTGTCAGCTAATTGTTGGCCCCGGCCTGGTATTGAGGATGTTGATGGTGGTCCTGTCCACGTCATGGCAGGAGGTCCTTCTTGCTCGCCTTGTGGGTTACCGATCCCAACTCCCATGTCTTTTTCTGCATCTTGCTAAACTTTGCTCAGGTCCTCCAGAGGGCTATTATCTTTTCCACGAGCTCGGCTTGACGCTTCGAACCCACATTATAGCATATCCTATCCGCTGTTGGTTTTCACTTGGTCCATACAGGTCTGAAGAGCTTCCCGAAGGTTTACCTGCAGACAGCAAGTCTTCTGACTCGATGACACCTGTGATACGGAATGGGAATTTTACTATGATCTCCAACGAGAATCTCCCCGCCCAGACTTGGACATCCACACCGCCACATTCCGTGTGGTTGAATCTCAGTGCTGGAGAGAAAGCAGGTATTGGGGTTGGTGTCGGACTGGCTCTTCTTGGCCTGCTTGTGGGCGTGGTGCTTTTGGCGAGGCAAAGAAGCCGTCGGCTTGAGGATCCGTCGAACTCTGTTTACCGCGGACAGCTCATTGCTGAAGCTGATGGAACGATGATCTACCGGCCAAGTGAGCTCGATGGTGTGTGTAAGGCGCCTTGAAGATGATGAATAGTGTGATGTTGAAGGAGCGGGTATGAACCCAGTATTATTTGAACTTGCCGAGAGGCGATAAGTTAAGCGACAACGGGGAGCACTACATGGGCAAGGCACACACAATGTCTCCAAACAAAGGAAGAAGAAACGGTTTGTAGCCCTTCTACTAAAAAAGGAAATGATTACGTACCGTTGCAGATTGAACCCTGGGTTCCGAGTAGCAAACACACAAGGCTTGTGAGAAAACCCCAGGAGAGACGTTTTTGTTTCTTCCTCATTCGGTTGGCTTGATGACTACTTATTCTCACCCACACTATCCCAGTCACTATGATCCAGCACGTGGTCACAGCCTACGAAATAGGGAGTTGAGCTCCTCCGTAGACACGGCTCCAGCAGAGTCACAAGTCTGTCGGCTTCATTATATGTACCCATCATCAATGTGAGAAGTGGATAATAAGATTATAGCTGACGCCCTCCTAAGGAGAAAAGATGCCCCGCCCGACAGTCGAGGTCACATCGTTAACAAGGCTGAGTAAGGCTGAGGTCTTCTATGTTCCTCAAAGGCAGGTGTAGCGAGGGGTTTTTCGTACTTGGTGCACTTCCGAAATTTCGCCGGCATCATTCATATTTTTTCGAACTGTCTGCTCTCCCTATTATCCTGCGACCACTTTTCTGCTTACCACAAATTTACAACTTAATTACCCTATCAAGGACATCGATGCCTCTCTCGTCCTTTCCTTTCAGAGAGCTTGAGCAGCGTCGCGCCCAGCAATGCGACCAAAAGTAAGAGAGCGGAGCACGCTTGTTGCGGGCGGATCTAGCATGTTATTCAGCTTCTGTGAATCTGCGAATCGGCTTCTCACTGAACATGTGGAGGGTGTTTATACGTGTACTTCTACAGACTGAGGTCTGGGACGAAGGAACAGGAATGAACTTACACTGCAGCTGGGTCAGCACCATGTTTACAGGTTTGGAAGGATTAGCTTACCTCGTTATAGAACAAGCCGCTCAACTCTCCAGCACAGTACAGTCCTGTACATGGTCAGCCAGACAGACTCCATACTCAGCTTCGTCTCTTACCTGGGATTGGAACTCCTGTTGTGGCAAGCACCCTCGAATCAAGATCGCACTTGAGTCCACCATAAGTGAAGGTAAGTTGTGCTAGAACTTGTCAGCGTAGGGTCGACATCTCCAATCGCGATTGAGGTCACCTTTCATTGGATACCTAACGACCATCAGCTTTCGATCAAAACTGTCCATTTGCTCTGAAATACTTACCCGTAATAGGGGGGCTTATTGATTGGGTTAGCCCAGTTGGTCTTGTCGGGCGACAATCTTCGAAAGCATCAGCCATCATATCTTCAAGGCATTCGTCATGTCCCTACCCGTGTGTCCTCTTGCCGTCAAGCGCCAACAGGTTGAAATCCTTATCGTTGATGCTATGCTGGTTAAGCGACATCCACTGATTTCTATCTGGAAGACTCACGCCGCGTTAAACTCATCCACAGTCTTCTTCAATTCTTTCGGATCAAGTCCCAGCTTTTCAGCCAAGCCCTCAATGGTGTCGCTCTTCTCTGGCTCCTGGTCAGTGGTATCGTACACCCAGCCTGGTCGGAAACGGTCCATGATGGCACTGTCGGTGACACTGAAACTCAATCAGTAAGGTGTCACCGGGCTGCAAGTGGAACATACAAGTATGATTTCTGATTCTGGTCTGCTCCGTGTCAGCCACTGCGCGGATTCCACTTGAAATGACTTACCTCGCCAAGTCTCAAGGGCAATCATTTCGAACGTCGCAAAGAGGCTGTGCGTGTCAGCGACTATACCGGCTTGGAAATGCGATGATGCTCACTGTCGTTTGCCCTCATCATAGAAACGTTTGCAATGCCTAGATTCCGTCAGCAGCTGTCGGGCATGACTTGAGAGGAGCGACCGTACTCGTTCACAACAATACCGTAATTGTGGCCCCAGATCACAGCATCAGGCTTCTTGGCTCTGGTGTCGACGAGTTCACACTTTCACCCAGCATCAGTATGGACCTTCAGCGTCAGGAAAGAAAACGCTTGCATGCATGCCACTCATTGAACCCGCAACAGCAGCACCAACTTCCAATCCCATCTTCAGGCCGAACCCGGTATTGTACTTGAGGCCAGGTGCAATGAGCTCAAGGTGCTCTGTCCTCGGTCCAACATACTTGCCCAACCTAGCTTTTGTCAGCCACTGCATTTTCTAGAACGTCTCTGTCCTTACATTTCACGATTACCTTCAAACCCACCGCATGCCAACATGACTTTCTTGCCGTGGACCTTCGTCATGTGTCCGTCCGCCTTTCGAACTCTGACGCCACAGACCCTCCCATCATCGTGGGTCAGCAGCTGCTCTGCTTGCGTCTGCCACATTATCGTCACATTGTCGAATTTACGGATATGGTCGAACAGAGCATTGATAATTGCATGCCCACCACCCTGTCCTTTCAGTTAGAACAAACCCATGCAATTCCGCCGACAACCCGGCTTACCTCTGGAAACACGAAGTGCTGGCCTGTGAGATTGTCAATACATAGGCCGGAATTTGATCCATGGCAAATAACTTACTGGTATTGAATTCGAGCAGGACATTCTTCTCATCGTGATGGTTGAGTTTGACTCCGTCTACGATCGGTCAGTACCTTGCTCGGGCAATCTCACAGTCGGTCAACTAACGGTCGAGTAGATATTGAGCAGTTATTGGAACTTCTTGCTCCATTTTTGCGCAGTATTCCTGATCAGCCAACCCCTCGCTGGCCTTGTCAATATCGGAGCCTAACAGCTGAAATCGTCGACTTACCTGACGCGCTACATCTGTCAGCCAGAACCGTCATCAGCAGAGCTCTTCACTCACCTTCATTTCATGCTTCCAATCCGTGTCAAACTTGTTATCTGAAGCATTTAGCGTTGATGGAACTTTCTGGTGGGACTCAGCACAAACCTTTATCCAGTCGAAGGTATGCCATTGTCCACCTATATGTCTTTCAGTCAATGGTGCCACTCGGCGGGTTTTCAAAGCAGACCTGCTTGCACCACATCGTTCTCCTTCTTTACCAGCCTCGATCAATGCAACTTTCCCCCGTTTACCAATCTTTTTACATTCCTCGAGGAAGTTCAATGTGGTCATGGAACCCTGCAAATGATCAGCATCGTTTATTCAGGACAAATTCTACAGTCACCTACTGCAAATCCACTCCCCACTACGACGAGGTCATACTCGTGGTGGGAGCCCGTAAGGCTGCTCACAACCTGACTGACGACCGACATTATGAGACTTAACGACGAAAGTGTTGTCTTGATGGATTATGGTGCTGCCAAAGTTCCTTTGTCCAGGTTCAAGCTCAGACGATCGGCAAGGTGCCGGTTTGCACATGCAATCTGCTCCCTTTTAACTCCCTCCATCACCAGACACGTACCCCTCAAACCTTGCGGATTCTTCTGCAAAGCTGAGACCAGCACCCCGCAAGAAACAACGAATCGCCGATGATGCTACAAGACCGCCTGCACACCAGTGGAGTGATTCTTTTCCTTGTGTGCAAACTTTCCCCGCAGAGCTGCAAAATATCATCGGCAATGACTTTGCTCACCCCAGCAACAATCAAGTCTTGTTCTTCAGGCCAGAGCGGTCTGAACACCTTTTGCAGTGCTTTGCATGACCACTTCGGGATAAGTCCTCCTGGACCTCCTCTCGTCCTTTGCAAAACTGAATATGGTTTCCCCTCATTGGGCCCAGGCCGACAACAATACGACGTCATCTAGCCATCTCCGAGACAGGGCCATACGGCCTCTCGGAAACATGGATCTCGATATTCGGTAGGACTCTCGGAAGTGCCCGCACTCTGGAAAGTCCTTTCCCGAGGACTGCTGTCTACGATTTTCATGATAAACGACTTTGGTAATCACTGTCTGGCACGCTTGAGAAGCAGGATCACGGCCGAAGTTGACCTAAGACCGAGTCCATCTACGATCACCCAGTTGAAAGTTATTCGGAGTTGCCATCTGTTTGGAGGCTGTATCAGCACATCATGGAGGTACCGCCCCATGACTCCGAGGACCTTGTCCGTGAATCTCCTAGACTGTCGTAGCAGCAGCAACCAGGGAATTTAATTCGTCGTTCCAGGTTTCAAGCAAATATGCAGCCTCGCTTGTAGTGTAAGCTTCCCAAGATTTGCTGCCCAGGCCTCACTGGAGACAGTTCAGAAGTCGAGCGACAGTATGTGCAGTTTGGCGAATCGATACCAATTACACACTGGCTGCGTCCTCGAAGATACCTATGCCAGCCAGATCTCGAATTGGGGTTCGCGGTTGGTGGCGCAGTCACCAGCCTCTCCGCCGGCCTGGGCAATAGTTCCTTGGGCATATCTCAGTGTCTGCGTGCACTTGGCCTAGTCTGGCACGTCGTTCAACTGCCAACCTGGTCTCGGATTCTCAATGGAACCGGAGAAATATCCCATGGTCCATAGTTGCCCAGAAGGAGGCACCTGTTTCTTGGTCCGGACCATGAGCTATGGGGAAAGCGAAAGAGTGCAACGAGACTGGTGGGCTAGCGAAGGACCTCAAGTGCCTGCCGCTTAGGTAGGATGACAAGCGTATCATCTGAGCCGTTGGTGGCTTTGATTTTCTGATCTTCAGAAGCACCCCCCGGGCTCCTGGGCTTTGGACAATTCACGACTTCTTTCATGCTACATATCGATGACGTGGACATTGCCTTTGGGAAACCCCGCCTCGATGCCCCTCCGCCGTTTGCTTGCCGAATCTAGCGCATCTACTCGGTAGAGCCCAAGCCACTCTCCCCGCATCGCAAGAAATTGGGACAGGACTTTGAGGCAGACTCAAAAACCAACTGTGAAATACAAACCGAAAGAGCGGTCAAGTCTGAATCCTGGTTAACTTCTTATCTGAGCATTTTGTAACAGCAGCGGCGAATCTGGTACAACTTGTCGACAAGATGGAAGGAGAATGTCTCTGCAAAGGTAGTGATGGGGATTATCATGCTCTTTCCCCATATCGACATCTGCCTGGTGAGAGTATTGTAAATGAATTGATGACTAACTCGCGGCTGGGCCAGCTGTGGCTGTCAAGGTCAACGATGACAACCTCTTCGGCGAACAGCGCCGCGGTCACATATGCCACTGTGCCAACTGCCGCAAAGTCGCCGGCGGGATGTACGTCTGATACCCCAATTCTCTTTGGAAGAACCCCATCCGCACAAGAACAGTACCGATAATCACCATGGCGTGCATTTGGTTACGATGCACCGAGTGAACCAGCCGCTGACTGAGCTCTGGGGTTTGGGGCTACACAGATTCGGCGTCAACTTGACAATCGAGGAAGAGAAAGTCGAGTTTCCTAAGGGCAAAGACAATATCAAGCTGTACTCTGTTCGTTCCATCCCCGTCATCAGCTTCCGCTCCCCAAATTACCCTAGTCTGACAAGATACACACAATCCCAGGATCCGGAGACACTCAGTGGAACCCCGGTGCAGCGGTAGGGGGCCCGTTTCCTTGCGACCAGCCTGTGCCAACGGAAGGTCCACTAATACAACGTTTGCTAGGTATTTCTGCCAAACGTGCGGCGTGCCCATCATGAGCATCACGCCTTTGTACAAGGGCAAGATCGTTTTGAAATTGGGACTGGTAGGTAACATACGTACATATCTCTTTGTTATTCTCCTCTTGCGCTGGGTGAGTGTGGTGCGGCGTGAGCGCCCAGCGAAGCCACCCTCACCTCCATCTTCTTCCATAGTCGACGAAACTGCTGAGTGATGAATGGATGATGCCTGATCTGACTGTTATTGGTGGTGGTGGATATGACAGTACCCCAAACTCCCAGTCCCGGAATGGGAGTCGTTCGCCTCAAAGCGGCAAAGCTGGGAAAAGCCGTTTGAAGGGACCATCCAGTACAAGACCAAGGTATGTACATATCTCCTCTGTCAATAAAGGTTGTGTTAGTCCTCTCAGCTGCCTGCATAAAACCGCGCCTTCCCCCTCCAAAAAAAAAATACCCCCAAAAAGGCGAGTTGAAAATGGGCAATGGGGGTTGTTGATTGTTCTTCAGATCGCTGATCCGCGTGTGTGTGTGTGTTGTGTTGGACTTTAGAGCTTCGGAGAGAAGATGCCCGGGTCAATTTGAGAAACGATGACGACGACGACGACGACGACGAAAAATGACAACATCCCTAGGGATCCCAATCCCCCAAGGAAAAGTTGTATGCGCAGGACGAGGCTACATAGAGAAGGCTAGGCTGCATGGCCTACATACAGAGATTGGTCAGGTCATGTCAGGTTAGCTCCTGCAGACTACGTACCTATGTTAAGGTAGGTTCTCTACTGGGTAATAGCTGCCTGCACGAAACAAGACAACCTCAACATAAAAACCCAAAAAGCCAAAATATGAGCTTTCCCAGAAGTCGAGCCCACTCTCAGTCTTCCCACTTTCAGCGACAAGTTACTTGACATATTTCATGTTGCAATCAATGAGCGGCCCGGCCCCTTCCCACCTTGTGTACCTTGTAAGTCCTTCATCATTACATATTCTCGATCGGCTGGATCGGCGGGATCGGCTGCAGGAGGTTCAAAAAACCAAGTTTGTCCATCCGTCAAGGTTCTTCTTTCCCATCTTTCCGTCTTTCTTCCCTACCTGCTCTCTCGCCCCGCGTACCCTTCTCATTCAAGAATCAAAGACCAATAGATGCACTCTCCGCTCCGATATAAGTCCACCGGAGCGGCTTCTCGGGACTGGTCCCACCGCTGACGACCTCGACGACGACATCTTCCCCAGGCACGACGTCGAATCCATTGTCGCTGAAGGTGGCCCCGTCTCTGCCCTCGCGGAACACGAAGCCGTGCACGGGCTTCGTCGCCGAGACTGTGACCGTGGCTGTTGTCACTCCTCCGTCCTTTCCCTCGGCGGTGGAGAGTTGGACCTTCAAGTCCCTCGGGGCGGAAAAGTCGAGGTACTTGATCGGATGGGGCCAACTGGTGTCGCTGCTGACGACGCGGCCGTCGACGAGGAGCGAAGCGTGGATGACGTAGGGATCCCAGGCGCGGAGATCGAAGAATGACATGCCAGTCGTCGGATCAGGATCACGAGCGGCGGAGGCGGAGGCCAAGGATATCTCGCCTCCTTGGAGTATCTCGGTCGTGCCGTTCGCCTTGACCGTGACGCCGTCCTTCCTGATCGGATCGACCACATCGCGCCCAGTCTTGATTGAAATGGCCCGCACAACCACGCCCGCCTTGACATCCTCGCCCGTCCGCGAACTGCAGACCCAGAGATCAAATTTGTTCTCCCTGATCGCCCCAGTCGGGTCCACGTGGCCGGAAGTCCACTCGTGAAACGGCCTGCTCACGCCCACGGCCAGCGGCTTTAGGGATCGCTTGATCGCGTAGAACGAAGGCTTTTTTACGCGGTAGTAGTCCACCACTGCCCAGGACATGGTCGGCCAGGTGTCGTTAAACTGCCAGACGAGAACGCCGCCGCATTTCCTCTTCTGCTGCCCCTTTGAGGGTGTGCCCCATTCGCGGCGCCACGAGCGGTACGCGAAGCCCACGGCGTCGGACTGCATGACCTGGGTCAGGTGCGTGAAGCTCGGCAGGTCGTATTTGATCTGGAAGTTCTCGGCGACGTACGTGAGGAGGCGTCGTTCGTGGTCGACGGCTCGGTTGTGGTAGTCCATGGGCATGCTGCCGGGGTACTGTTGCTTCGGATCCGTGGCGATGGCAGAGACGATGGTCGAGACGTGTGGGTACGCTTCCATCCCGAATTCGCTCACGAAGCGCCCGCCTATAGTGGAAAGCTCTTGGTACCGGCGCATAGAGCCGTGCCAGACTAGAAAATTGGGACAAAATATGTGTCAACGCAATTTCTAGATGTAGAAGAAAGGGACCACAAGGGAAGAGCAGAAGAGAGGACGCCTTGCTTTGCGTGAACACTCACCATTCCACTGATGGATATCTCCCACAGTGGGATCCCATGTCTTCTTCCCGTCGCCCCAAGGGCTGCTTGGATGATATGCTGCGCCTGGGCTCTCCTCTTGCACAATCTTCGGCAAAAGATACTCGTAGATATACCTCGCGGGGAAGCTGGTCTTGAGCCACGACTGCGGATCCTTGTCGCCTTCATAGTCGTATTCCAGGTTATGTTTCTCCTGGATCTGATAGTCTTCGTTGTTCCCCGCCCAGATGGCCAGCGAGGGGTGGGAGCGAAGACGTCGGACGTTGAATCGCGCTTCTTGTTCAACTTGGGAGAGGAAAGACGGATAGGTTGGGTAACTGGCGCAGGCAAAGCAGAAGTCCTGCCAGACAAGGATGCCCAGGGAGTCACAGGCATTGTAGAACGAGTCGTCTTCGTAGATTCCCCCACCCCAGATTCTAGGACACGGTCAGCGAGTCTAAGTGATTTGCGTAAACAACAAATTGAAGAAGAGATGAAGGCGGATAATGGCATATTCTGGAGTTCAAGACTAATTCGGCATCGTACCTTGTCATGATCTGATTGCCTTCAATCATCAGTTCCATCCACTTCCTATATCCGTCCTCCCCAGTTCTTGGGATGAAGCTATCCGCAGGAATCCAGCACGAGCCGCCCGCGAAGACATCGACATTGTTGATGCGGAAATAGAAAGATTTTCCAAACTCGTCCGGCTCCTGTATGAGTTCGCACCGTCGGAACCCAATCATCCTGGACTTGGAAATAGGATGGGAGCCCTTCGTAGGTAGTGTTGCTTCGAGCTCGTAAAGGCACTGTTTGCCATAACCACGAGGATACCAGAGGGCAGGGCGCTCGAGTCGAAATTCGGCGGTAGCGACGCCGTCGTTGTCGATGGGGGCCTGTAACTCGAGCAGGACCTTACCGTCAAGAGATAATGATAACTCGACCACACTCCCCTCCTGCGTCCTTTGCTTTTCGCATTTTACGCGGGAGAATAACTTTCCTTTCACGGCCTTCAGATCCTCACTTACCTCTCCTTGAAACCAGACATCATCAATTCTAACAACATATGTCTGCAGCAAAACGGGCTTCCATGGCCCCGAAGTGATCAGGATAGGACCCCAGTCCCATCCCCAGTGGCACTGTGCTTTCCGCACGGGTATTCTACTCGACTCGGTCTGATGGGCGATGAAGTTGTGTTCATGTGAGTGCCGTTTGACGAGCTTACGGCCACGGAGGAGGGCCGAGTCAAAGACGATTTCCAGAACGTTTGGCCCGGCTAGGACACTGTCGGAAGAGGGTTTTAGGAGGAAGTTCGTGACGTCAACGCGGTACTCGAGAAACATATTGTCTGCTTCGAGGATCTTGTGGCCGTTCAATGTTACCGTGGCGAATGTGTCGAGGCCTTCAAACACCAAGTCCGTCCTTGCGTCAGGCTGTCTATTTGTCGGAGAGGGGAATGTCGTTTTGTAGGTCCACGGCTTCTCCGCGACCCACCGCACGGCCAGTTCATTCATGTCGATGAAGGGGTCCGGAATCCTGACAGAGGGAAAAGTATAAGTTTGGATCGCATGCAGTAACCAGACACCCGTTTTTTTTGTTCAACCATACTTCGCATTTTCTTGCAGAACAAGATGAGTTGTGGTTGGAACCTTCGACACCGGAAGCCATGCGTCCACAGAGCCGTCGTCAGATTGTCTGCATTGCCAACCCGAACTCAGCTCAGTAGTGACGACAGCCATTATAGCTCAAGAGAGGTAGTTCTAGGATAGATCGAAGAGGTGCAGATTGGCGCAGAGAGAACAAAGTTGCCGCCCGAGAGTAATTGGGACCTTTTCATCAACTTGTCTGCACACGGCAATCCCACGTTGCATCAGAAGACCCCAGAAGGGCAGGAGTCCTTTGGCTCGTCCCCGCCATACTCGTGCAATGAAAATCGAACATGGTGCCGACAACAAGCACAGCCTATGTTGTGCATGCGGGGATCCCTCTCTTTGCCGATCCCTCTCTTTGCCGATCCCTCTCTTTGCCGATCCCTCTCTTTGCCGATCCCTCTCTTTGCCGATCCCGCCGCAAGATTTCGTACACATCCTACCTTGCAGTCAATATTTCACACATGATGCGCCAGTACTTTGTCCTCATAGCCAGAAAATATTGTGAAGCTGAAGCTATTGGATCTGGAGGCCCAGATAGCAGCTGTAATGCTGGTAACATTTTTGGAAACGACGAAAGCGTCCTTTTTGATACTCGGAATCAGGCCACGAACTCAGCCCCCGAATTCAGGCCTGGCCGTCTATGAAACTAGGCCAATTAGGTTCTGCGCTGACCTAGTGGCCCGCTTTTCTGACGGTCAGAAGAAAGCTCCGAGGCCTATAGGCGGCCAGGAAGCAGATATAAGTTTGTATTGTATAGGTCAGAAGCTAGGTCAGTAATTAGAAATCACGGCCAAGCTCCTGGGTTGCATGTCGTCCGTTCGGACGAAGAGTTGGAAGATGTAATAGTATAAATGAAGGCCTGTCGTCTGGAGAATGTCGTCGCACCGACCAGCAGTGGACTCTAGGTTCCAAATCTCACACAGGGATACCAGGACACGGAATTTCGAATACCGCTTTGCGCCCAGACCTCTTTACAAACGCAATCAGAATGTCTAAGCCGTCAATCCTCCTCGTTCCAGGCTCATTCGCCTTGCCCGAGTTCTATGAGCCGGTCATAAATGCTGTGGCCGAGAAAGGTTACGAAATTCAAGGCCTCCATAAGCCCAGCGTTGGGCCTACGAGCGGAAAAGCTCGGGAAGGAGTGGCACCACCAACCATGTACGACGACGCCGCCTTCATTGCCGGTGAGGTTGAGAAACTCGCAAATCAAGGGAAGGACGTGATTCTTCTTGCTCACTCGTACGGAGGCGTGCCCGTGACGCAGAGCACGAAGGGGCTGAGCAAGAAAGAGAGGCAGAGAGAGGGCAAGGAGGGTGGGATTGTGAATCTGGCGTATATGACTTGTCTGGTGCCAGCCGTGGGGCAGACAGCGAAGGATGTTCTGGCGACTGTGCCCCAGGAGCAGCAGTTGGATCTGAAGATTGATGTGGGTTTGTATCCAATGCTTGACTTCGTTGCATCGAAGCCCCCTCTGCTAATAGCACACATCAAACAGGAAAACGGCTGGATGTATCATGATCCAGTCGAAGCATCGGCGGCCCTTGTGTTTTCGGATATCCCGAAGGAAGAAGGGGAGGCTTGGATTAGGAAATTCCCCCGACACTCCTCTCTCAGTTTCATCGGCGAAGTGACCCATGCCGGATACAAAGACATCCCTGTGTCGTACCTGCTCTGCGAAAACGACCTGTGCATTCCAGCAAACGTCCAGAGAGATGGGATTGACTTAGTTGAGAAGGAGAGCGGGAGGAAGGTCGATGTGACCAGTATTAAGGCTGACCATTGCCCCATGGCTGCCCAGCCCGAAGTAGTGATTGAGTGGATTTTGAACGTTGCAGCAAAGTATTAAGACAAGCAGTGGGCGGGACTGAGGTGGAGGGAATCTCCGAGCGGCCGGGGCGCGTTCGGTCAAGTCTGTTGCGCTGAACATCCTTGCTTCTCTGTGCAGGGGTTTTGATGTATAAATATTCGACAGACGTGAAGTCACGCGAGATTTATCGCCGTCAAAACTGAGTTCCACACATCCCCCTTGAAGGTTTAGGTCCATCAATAAAATAGGAAGCCCCATTTGTCCGCAAAATATTTCTCGATTTTCCAGGCTTGAGGATCCCACGATGCAAGTCCAGGCGTAATGTTAGAACTGGGCATTGTAAACAGGTCTCGGGTGAAGTCTTCGTCGTCGATCATGGCACACAAATTGATGAGATTGTCTCGCATCTTGGCAAAGGGGAATCTATCGATGCCAGGTTGATGAACCGTGAGCAGTTGAGTCGGAGTGGGCTGTAATGACAGCGGAACGTTCGGGGGAGCAGGAGATGACAGTGCTGGAACAGCGGAACAAGAGTTCAGCCCTAGGACGGCGCCGTTGATGTACAAAGCACTGAACACGGTGGGCAACGGATAGAGCTCATAGCTCATGCTGGGAACCTGTGCGGTGGGTGAGGACTGAAACGGCAGACTCGTGCGTGCTATCCAAGGGTCTGTGAGGTCTGCAGAGCATGGCACCAGGGCAATAGCATCCCGACAGCCAAGCTGAGCAAGGCCCTCAATGGCTGAGGGACAGCAATCCTCTGTTTGCGTGATATGACTGCTTTGTGGCGGAGATGCATGATTTATCTCCTGCGTAATCTTCTTTGCCTCTCGGAGTCGTTTCCCTAGAGTAGGGGATAGTCAATCAGCATGAAAGTCCGCGCAGTTGCGCTTGTGCAGGGAACAGGCACGGTGATAGATGTACGACATGGTCAATCACATCGTCCTCCATCCGATAGCAAGATAGGCCAGGAGCAGAGGAGCTCTGCTCAGAGCGACATTAACATGGGAGAAGGCCAGTTAGCCCCCAGAGCACACCCACGTCTTGCACGTTGTGCCAGCTTGTCTTGAATCCGCTTCCTTTTCCTTGCATCTGTGACGTTGTGCCAATCGTCTTGGTCGTTTAACGGTTGTTGGATATCCGCTGGCGAGTAATCCATGATCAGCATGATTAAAAGGTGGGGGAATCCCAACCACTAGTTTGGAAGGAGAGGTACGAAGGGCAGTTAATAGAACGACGCTGTTGCTCACTTGCTTCCTGCCGAGGAATAATGCCAAACTGGCGGCGTGACCACGTGATGAGTGCAGCTGACAAATAAATGTGCTTCCGGGGACTACGCTCCACCCTAATACTTCTGGGGATCATACTCCGTCGTTTGGAACCTATGCTACATACTGGGTACACCAAAGAGAATCAGCCACTGGGGTTGACAGCATCCTCCTTTTCGTGCCACCCCGTGCCAAAGTTTAAAAAAACTGCTCGCGACTCACCCCGTTTGGGCGAGAGGGTGATGCCGCCCTGTGCTCACCCCCGGCTCGTGCGAGTCAGGTGCGCCTCTTATACGGGAAGTGTGCTAGTAATAAGGACACACTCCCCGAGTTGTATCTATACTCAGCTGATGGTCTAATTATTCTCCGATGTATTAGGCGTCCGTTCTTCCGATGTTGAGCCGAATCCGTAATAGCTCTGTCAAAGGCTACTGTACGGCAGAACGTAGAAGAAGAGCTCGATTAACCAAAAACAGACCTCTATACCTCATGAATACTTATAGATAAGTTAACGAGGGAAAAGATTCATCTTGCATCGAAAGTTTAGGCGGCAGACTAAAAGGTTAGGATAGTCCGGTAAGGAAATAAAGAGAGCGTTACAAGCACTTCATAGCTTGGATTGAAACTGTGCGTTTAACTCGAACTGCTTAGTTGGTTCTCGAGAAGCTATTTTACTCGGGAGGAGCCTGTAACGTAGAATATAGAGGGAGCCTAGAAAAGTCGCGAAAATATATTGGGAATATAATATATTTACTTTCGTATAGTGGTTCCAGAAACCGCCCTTCCCTTTGCACACACATTGCAATATTTGTTCGGTCCAGAGCTAAGACAGAAGTGGGACATTCATTACCTAGCTCAATACGGTCAGACATCATCTAACTGACCAACCACCGTTCGGCGTCTTTCATCATCGTATTGCTAATACGGGGACAGTTCTGCGCGCGATTCTCGTGACTGTACTCATTGTTTACCTAATTTGTGCCTTTATGAGCAAGAGGATACTAACACCGGCAACAAAGCTGGCCATCTAGTAAGCGGCTTTCTACAACTGTGCAAATATATTTGGTACAGACGTTTTCAATTGCGGCTTCACCTTTCAGTTTCGGTTTCAGTTTATTCCATTGGCTGTGCAGACTAGATGGCTTCACCTTTCACACATACACAAAATATTTCGGGTTCCACTTCGAGCCCACCACCTTCTAATCACGTGTAGCGCTTTACAGTACAATACCAATATTCTGCCACCAAAACCGATGGTGCTGTGAGCAATAATAGCGGCAAGAATTTAGGCCCAACTTACCTGGACCTGCAGCCTACGGTTTGCTGATTTGTCCACGTGTTGATTCTTATACATAAAGCTGAAGCCTCAGCAAAGAGCGGACCCTTGCTGCCTGATAAAAAGTCACAGTAACTTCTTTCCTATTTTGCACAGCGTTTTCAACTTGAGGCGAAGTACTGGGTAAGCCAAGGCTCCTGTGGGAGTGGTGGCTGAGTAGTGGCTGAGCAGTGGTTCAGCAGTTTCAGTCCATCTCGTGGCTTCAAAGGTACTTCTAGACTGCAATCTTTCATTCGCACTCACACTTGAGACCTGCATCTGAATATACAGCAAACTTTGGCTTGCCTCTTACACGCTTAACGCTCTGACCGCCTTAACATCTAGCTTCTGGAAAAGCAGTGCCTGTCCCTCACTGCGAGGTACCATTACTGAAAGATGGAGTGCAACCACGGTATGAAGCGCAAGGTGGCAGACAAGGTCGGGGATAGTGTCTGTCGTCCTGGACAGCAGTCATCCAAGAGACGAATGAGCAGATACAGAAGATGCGCCTCATCTACAGTCGCGCAGTTCGCACTGTAATAGTTGGTGAGGAAGGCGGTCATAATCAACAAGCGACAAACTTTATATCGCAAATTTTAGACCCTCAATTCCTGAACCAAGACAAATGGCTTGATGATTACAGGATAATAGCACTGGGAGGCGTGTTAAGAAATAGGTGGTTCACGCAGGGTTGGACTTTTCAAGAAGCGGCGCTAGCAAGGGAAACTGTCTTCGTTTACGGGTCAGGCACATTCCACCTCTCTGATTTCTCGGACGCAGTCGATATTGTCCGATACAGATGAGCTGATGTCCGGGAGTCTTTCCGAAAACCACCATATCACGCAGCGTATGAGGGCATTCTCGACGACTTTGAAGACTCGAAGTCAGTCAGACTTTTGGATACGCTCAAGGATCTCTTCCTCAGATCGCAAGATGGTAACATCATTCGTCCAAGAAGGAGTCCGGAATCATTACTCTACGAATTACGGGCGTACGAGTACACGGATCCAAGAGATCGTGTATATGCTCTTCTTTCGACAGTCGATCTCCCTTCACCAAATCACCTGACCGGGCTGCCGTCGCTGGAACCTGACTATGACCGTACTAATCTTGAAGTTCATACAGATGTCGTGATGTATTGCACTCGCATTTCAGGGTCGTTGGACATAATCTTGAGACATTGGGCAGATGTTAAGAGAAGACCGTGGCAGGACAGCTTGGTTGATCCAGACCTCCGATTCGTCGTTCCTTTTTGGATCTCTGGTTTAGAAGACATGCCTTTCGGCCATCCCAGTGCGGAAAGTAGAATCAGAGTCAACGCTGAGTCACCTGTTGGTGGGCCTTCACAGCAGGTATACTGCGCACATAACGGAAAAGTTGCTGACATTCGATTCGGAGTTGATGATTCAACGCTGACTTATAATGGCTCCCCTTTTACCAAAGGCATCAAGCTCGGAGAAATTGAACAACTATCAACACGCATGGCAGACGGAATCCTATTGAGTGAATGCCTGGGACTGGTTGAGGGCATTATCATGGATGACGCCGGTGCTCTTAAGGAAATAAAAGACTTGCTGTGGCAAATTTTCTGCCCAAATAGGGATGAAAAGGGTCATAGAGCATCAGCTCGTTACCGAATAGCTCTGCTGCACCTTTTACGCCATAACACTCGTTTTACGAGCATCGATACAGAGAATCTCTTAAATTCACCTCAACCGCACCTCGACCCTCACCCGACCCGCGCCGCTTTTAAACACCGCTCACCTCCCGCTCATCTTCAAACTCACCTTCTCAGCTTTCACTCACCTTCGACTCACCTTCGACTCACCTACTACTCACCCACGGCCCACTTCCTACGCGATCATGATATCTACTCCCGCGCCAGACCAGGATGCCACCCCTAGTAGCCGACAAGGTACCCTGATTTAGGCCTTGAAAGCGGATTCGCCGCAGCTGTCCTTCCGACTTCCTCTCGCATGTCTTATCTCGTCCCCTCCGTGTATAAAATGCCGCCTTCCTCCCCAGTACGAGATCTTAGGAGGCCTTTCGCACATCTTCGTCTCTTTCGCACTGTACCTGACCCTCTTCGTTTCTGAGCGTTGGTCTGGGACATTCTCACGGTCCGCGGACCTCTACACCCTTGCGACCACCAGTCATGATAACTTGTGCCTGTAAACTTGCGGCACCACGCGACTGGCGGCCTGATCTTCTCATATGGGAGTGGAGATATAGGTAGCAAGTTATCTCACTCCGCACTGATGGGAAAGCAGGCCCCCAAATCTCAGTTCATCTGGCTAATGGCGACTCCAACGTCAGTTGACGCGTGTTGCGAATTACCCTTTTCTGTGACCAGCTGTGGACTACCAGCGTCATAATAAGCAGCTCCGGCGAGAAAGGAAGAATCAGCGGAAAATCCCAAGGAAGATCTGACCATGTGAGACGATCGATACAGCTCAGGTTGATCAGGGGGTTGATTAGGGGTGCTCAGCGGGGGAAGGGCGTTATCGAACAATACTTTTTGCTGGCAGACGCTGTCAGATGTTTCTCATTGCTGACATTTGTATCCTAGTGCAAGCTCAGCTAGCTCGCGCTTGGTCGCTCATTACCTATAGCGCTAGCCGCGGTGAGAGTACCATAATGATTGTTCCCATTAACGGTCAGCGTTACGCCACGGTCCCAGGGTAGACCTTGCTCAGGTACCGGACTCAGGATTGAGAGGTGCTTTTCGACAACGTCACCGTCATTGCACTGTCTGTGCGGTACGCCCGCAGGTAACAGAACCAGCGTGTCTGGCCCAACAACATGTTTTTCCACTGAAACCTCGATTGTTAACTGCCCCTCGAGAACAAAATAGCACTGATCGAAGTCGTGCACATGGGTTCCAGGCCCACCCTTGCCTGGTAAAGTCTCAGCATAGTACACCACAGTGTTGGCCGATCCACTTGATGGATCAGCTAGTGCCATAGTAAAAAATCCTGGTAGTGCTTCGGTAAGGCGGGCTTGATCAACACGGCGAACGTATCCCTTGCGGTCAGTTCGATGCCCCATCGGTACGTCGTCAGGCGTGTTAACCATGAGAGCTATCTGCGCCAGCGGCGACGGCGCTGGGATAATCATCTCAAGGTGTGTCTCCGTTCCGGGGCCGTTGTTCCAGTTGCGGTGCGCGAGGCCCGCAGGGATGAAGACCAGACTTCCCGGGGAAACTACATACACCTCGTGGCCTAGGCGAATGTTCATGGTTCCGCGTAGTAAGAAATATAGCTGGTCTGATTGGTGATAGTGAAGGCCCGGACCGCAACCTCCTTCGCCGATATGGCTGGCAAGGGAGAGTCCGCTCTCTAGTATTGAGAGCACTTGAACGTCGTAAGATGGGAACCCAGTGTGTATTCTCGCGCTATCATCAAATGGGCGTATATACCTCGACCGCTGTATTTTTGGCTTCTGGTGTTTCTGCTTCCACTGGCGGATAATCTCACGTCCATAGTCACCTCCGTTAGGTAACCTTCGAATCGTATGAATATGGTATTTGCCTGGCTCCTGGTTGGTAAGATAGATGCCAGTGTGATGGTCGAACTCAACCAGGACGACAGGGCTTTGGATACGGTAGTAGAATGGGTCGTCGTCTCCAAACCCGCCGATCCAGGTAAAGTATGTCTCCGAGAGATGATGGCGAACAATTCGAAGCCGGTGGGCTAGCGGTACGGGAGGCAATAGGTCCTCGAAGGCCGCGACAATAGAAATGAGAAGGTCTTGAAGGACGGGCGTCAGCGACGTCGCTACCAAGCCTTCGTAGGGGATCACCCGGTTGTCTTGCGACGTGCCCCCGAGATGTTGTTGGTCCACTATATTCCAGCGGTCCGAGTCCATGCTTTGGTCGCCCAGTCGGCTATCTTTACGCGCCTGACACTGCTGCTCGGTAGTGAGGCTCTGCATCAGCTTCAGTCCCAATTCAGCTTCTGGGACAAAGAGTTCAATTCCCTTGTCCGGCCCCGAGTCGATGATCTGTTGCGGTCATTAGCTTAGAGTTATATAGGTTTGAAGGTTCATGGACTTGCGTTTGGCTCAGCGCCGATGAATACTGGGCCAACTGTCATCTGATTCTCGATAAAGAACACGTTAAGGCAGAAATGGTGACCGAAGAATGAATAGCCCCATGGCTGCTTTTCTGATGGCTCTCCGAAAAAAAGGAAACTGTGTTCGCGGTGAGGTGTTAGCTTGATAGTGCAAGGGAATCCATGTGGCCCCGGAGTTATTCGACCTTACGCACAAGTAACTGTTTTCATTCAGAATCGGGCGTGAGTTGCAAATTTCGCCGAGAAATTTGTTCGTTTTGACGGCTCCTTTGGCTTTACAGTATCCAGCCTTACTGAGTGATTGTTTCAATATATCCCACACAGCGTCGATCTTGGGCTGTGTTAGGTATTCGAGGCGTACGCCAATATCATGTGCGATAATTTCTGTGTTCGACCACTTTCTCCTAAGATATCTTAGCGGTTAAGTCATCGAAAGGGGTACTATACAATGGTAAACCTACCAATCCTCGCTATCCAAATCATTGCTGACCTTCAGCTTCTCATCGGGCGTTAACAAATCCAGAAAGCGCTTTGCGGCGGCGACCTTAATAGAGTTAGTGCCGAGTTAGCGCAGTAGTTTAGCATGACTTGCAGTACTTACAGCCTTAAAAGTTGAAGCACCCTCATCTTGGAGAGGATAGAGATGTTCTATCCTAACTCCATCGCTGGTCACACCGTAGAAAGATTTTCGGAGATTGGCATCCCAATTAGCGAAGAGTGTCTTGACGAGAGGATCTTCTAACATCTTCTTTGAATATTCGGAGGGAGTCATTTTATCGAGACCTTTAATTCGAGGATGTTCTGTAAAAAGACCGTGTCAGTCTAAAAGATTTGGGCGTGGCGCCTACACCGGCCATAGTGTATTTACTTCACCACCAAAGGGGTACTCACCGGGCTGAGGCACATAACGGTGGTAACCGCTAATTGGGTATGCTGCTGAAGAACCCATACTCACCATTCAATATTTCTTGCTGTTGTATTTTGGAGATAACCTAGACGGGATATCTGTGGATGGAGGAATGAGCGGTCAGTGCAACGGCAGAGAGACTATCTTTATGTATATTAAGCAGCGCGATCCCTACGACCCAGTGGTCAAGTGACGCCGCGTGTATAATCTCTAGGACACAGTGTTCCGCATCACGTTAAGATTTAAGATGCCTCTTCCATAGAGTGGATTCTGCAAGCAGGGTGGTACGATGGTGTTAACGAGCTCCTCGCGAATACGAAACTACTGGTATTAATGTCGTTACCTACAGCTTGAATTCATTACATTTACGTTGTTCCCTGTAAGTTTAAATCGAATCACTATCCATGGTTCGGAGTTCGGTGCGGTGGCGCTCACCCGCAGCTTCAAACTTCGAAAAGCGGAAGGTCCACAATTCTTCCACTATCTTTAGTGGTAAATCTTAGCTTTCTTTACGCCCCTCCAGGTATCCGTTTCGTATAGTATTGTAAGATACGCCGCAATTCCACTCCAGTGCGGGCTTTTCCACCAATTCCCTATAGTCGATCGTTCTATATCATTAAATTTAAGCTAAAAGCGAAAGTATTCATAAAAGCCCGTATGCTCTTACTTTGACTTGCAGAAAAAATAAGCTTGAACGACTAACCCAGAGACTCAGCACTGAACTCAAAATAATTGAAATGGCATCAAATCCAGCTTCTAGATGCTGCACTGTTGGCTATAAGCATTCGTTAGTTAGTCCTGGTGAACGATCTCCGGAATAACGAAGTAATATTTCTCAAAGAGGAACCCCTTCAGGTGAAAATACGAAAGTTGGGGGGATCGACGCCTACATCGCCAAACCGTCTGCAGGGAAAACCCATTCTCAGGTCGCAATTCTCTATCTCAGCGATATCTTAGGTATCCCCCACAATGCGAAATTAATCGCAGACCAAATCGCAGCCAATGGTTACCTAACTTTAATGCCGGATCTGTTCAACAGTGACCAATTACCACCGAATGTAACTGAAGACTTTGACTTTGTGACTTGGATCAGGGAAGGAACCGGGGGCAAAAATCCTCACACAACCAAGGAAGTTGATCCAATTGTTCGACAATGCGTCGATTATCTCCACAATGAGCATGGCGTGCAGAAAATTGGCGCGTTCGGGTATTGCTTCGGCGCCAAATACGTTTGCCGCTTCTTGAAAGGGGATGGCCTCGTTGACGCTGGCTATGTGGCTCATCCTTCATTTGTCTCTGAGGAGGAAGTGAAGGGGATCAGGGGTCCTCTTTCGATTGCTGCCGCAGAGGACGATTTTGTTTTCCCAGAGGAGAAGAGACATCTGACCGAAAAGCTGCTGAGAGAGGCATCATGCCAATATCAGATCACATTATATTCCGGGGTATCTCATGGCTTTGCGGTTCGAGCTGATCTAGGCAAGAGAGGGAGCAAGTGGGCTACTGAAGCTGCTTTCTTGCAGGCGATAGACTTCATGGACAGCTGGCTTTTAGTCGAGAATTCATAGGACATTTCATCGTTACTTTCTATAATATTGTCATGGCCATGTACACCAGAGAACAACTATGTCAGGAAATGACCTGCAGCCATGATAAAATTACACGGGAGGCTCCGCAAATTGGACTGCCACCCTTTCCGCAACGTCTTCGGGCACGCACCTTGGCTAGTGTCACGTGCCATAACTCCGCCGACGTAGTTGTGGCACGTGCCCTAAAAGGTGTTGGTGTCTGCCGATCTGGAACGGATATGTTCCGTACTGCGAGCAAGAATGAGTTGAACCGTACTTGGCTACCTAGTTCGTCAGCATGGACTACAGGGGAGGATCATAAATGTATCGCTTCCCCGACGATTGCGTCGCCCGGCGAGTACAAAGTAAAGTACTGCTACTCAGTTTAAAAGCATTGTGTTGCTACTCGCGCTCGCATGCGCGTGCTCGTTGTTATCTATATTGTCTTGGAGAAAATTCGAGCACCAGCTTGGATACCGACTTCGTACTGTACCTACTTCAGATAAATAGATTCCCCAACGTTGCCTTGCCCTACCCACAACGCTGTTCTAATTGGTATACCTTCTGATCTTCTTTCATCAGCGCGGCCTACTTCACAAAGGCACAAAATCTGGGTTCTTCTTCAGCTCCCATTGTGGAAGATGGTAACCACATGGAGCGCTTGAAAGAACAAAGTCAGTTCTTGAGGTGCTTAGAGTCACACCTACCCTTATCACCTCAAGAGGGTGATCATAGCCCCAGGCACTACCGTCAACAGACTGATAGAACTCTTCCCGAAGTGCTTTCTCCAAGGGTCGGTCGGCACAGACGCCTTCGACCAACAAATTTTTAGAGCTTTGTGCCATTATATCATCATAGTATCGTGGTTTCCCTATGATGTTCTTGTTGCGCTTTTTCAAAGCCGTGATTTGCTCGTCCGAGTATTGTCCGTAACTCATCATTTGTAGATTGGAGACGATAAGGGAGGCTTGAACGAGGTACGACCCGCCTGTTTTACTTCTTTGATACAAAGCATGTAAAGCACCAATCGCTCCAGCGTGACCACATCTAACTTTTCGTTATTCAAGTGTATTCATAGGAGAGAAGGTATACTAACAAGTAGTCTGCGTTGGGCCCCGGGAATATATGTGGCTCATCGTAACCGTGGAATTTTCCACAAGCAAACCCTACTCCAGAGGCCTATCGAGGTCAGTTTGACAATGAATCCTAGATTCCGGAGCCAAAAATACGTACCGTATCCCCAATCTGTGCCCACCCCGGACGGCCAGACCAGGGGCCTTTCCATCCGTAACAGTTTTCCTGACAATAGACAATGCCTCGACTGCGCGCCGAGACCAAGCCGAATACTGCATCCCGTCCAAATCCGAGGTGTTCTAAAACACTAGGCCGATAACCATCAATAAAGACATCAGCATCCTGAGTAAGCTCAAGAAACTTCTTTCCTCCCTCAAAGGTCTTCAGGTCGATATCGACACTTATTTTGTTCAGACAGGCCTCAATAAGTGTAACTGGAAGTTCGTTATTGGCCGATGAGGCCACTGGAATAACGGTTGCGCCAAGGGCGGCAAGGACTTTTGCGATCGTAGGACCGGCGACTGCTCGAGTCATGTCTAGTACCCTGATGCCGGAAAGAGGCCTTCGATCAGCGGTATCCGGAGGTAAAACCCATTGTGCAGGCGGTTGTTCATAGTAAGGCTGCGGAATCAAATTATACCATGGCTCGTCTTTGATGGCTTTGCCCTAATCACAGTCCGTCAGTAGTCTGAAAACGATGCCCGTGCCATACTAACATGAGGGAGTGTCTCAAGCTCTCCCAATTTAAAGCACCTGCAGCCAGGGATGCGATAGACGTTGTTGCTCCAGGTATCAAGTTCTTCTGCGTCGATTTGGCCTACAACTTCCGCATACATGTCGATAATTTCACTCCAGGATCGATTTTTCTCGTCATGTTGTGGTAAATTAAGCATGCGAAGGAGTGGCGTAGCATCCATACTTCCATGAAGTTGATACCATTGACCATCTCTGGTTTTGTATATGTTTGTTCCAAGCTGTCGGTACAGTTCGCGAGTATTTCCATGGTCCCAACGACGTGTGACCTCGGCCGTCTTCGGGAGAATTGGCACCGGTTTCCCGTTACCTCGCATAACACCTATCGCGAGCCCAGAAAGAAGAGCATTTTCCCTAGGTCCCGGTTAGTTCGCATTGAGCAAGAAAGTCGAGGACACGTTCTGCTCAACTCACAAATCAATAGTCGCAATTTCGTCGAGTCCATAGCGCTCCTTAGATATAGCCGTCGCAAAGAGGCCAATACTACCAAGCAGGGCAGCCTGAGTTTCCGCAGCTTTCCAGGGTGTTGGAAAGTATGGTTGCGTTTCCTCTCCCACAAACTTCACCTTATCCGCCTGAGCTTTAATCTCATCCGGGATGAGTAAGCGAGGGTCGGAGATGATTGTATGAAAAATCCTCTGGGCTTCATTCTGAAGGGTGTATGCCATTTTAGCGTAGTGAATATTTCTCGCGACTGAGTAAAAAAAAAGTTGCACATAATCAACCACTAATAATCTGCGGCATCGAGGTATCTTTAAGAAGGCAGTTACATTGTCAGCTATATTCATTCTGCGGGTGCACTCGTGAAAAGTATACCTCATTTGATAGGTGCGAGAACACTAGCTTCCCTAATTAAGAAAGGTGTCTCGGTAAACGCTAAGAATCACCTACCGGGTATGCGAAATATCGGAAACTTGTAAGTGGGGTTTTCAGGAGCAGTCTGAAAAAATATACCAACTATAACAGGTAAGTCTAATTATCTGATGTGGGTCACCCCCGGCATTCGGAGTTCGGTTTTTTATTCCTTTGTTACCAGGTATTTCCGACAGCTGACTCATTAATAGCATTGCCAAACTAATCGATATAATGAAAGATATACTGAGACTTTTATCTGCTAAAGGTGGGATATATACCGAAGATAAATTCTGTTTCTTTCTTTCTCTAATAAACCATCTCTATCATATCAATTCAAGGGGGTAGCTGCCAAATCGGAAAGATGGCCACGGCAGCTCCATCACCCCACGCGGGCTGGGTCTTTAACCAATCTGGAATTCGAGTATCTAACTTGGAAAAGTCCATCTCTTTCTATCAAGAAGTTCTGGGCTTAAGCCTCCTTCAAAAAGTACAAGCTGATACATTCACCATTGCCTTTATGGGTTATGTTCCTGGAGGAGTGGACAACCCTGGCCTGGAACTTGATCGTGAAGGAATAGTAGAGCTGATATGGTCTGAGGTAACTTTGATTGACTGGAGACGATACATTGAGGTCTATGCATTAACTTTTCCTCTACAAGACGTCTGGCCCGTTGATAACGAATTCGAAGACTCACGATGGATTCGGATTCATTAAGCTCATGTTCACAGTCCCAGACATCATGTCCGCCATGGAGCATATGAAAAAGTTTGGAGTGAAGGTGTTGAAGTATCCCGGTACCACAGATGAAGCTAGCCTCGATGTCGTGGCTAGGGCAATTGGTGCTGAGCCTTCTGGGAAAGGCCGTAATCAAGGTTTCTGGCACTTTGTAGGGCCGATCGCTTTTGTGGAAGATCCGGATGGATATTATATTGAACTAATGCAGCAAGATCACGCAAAGAATAGCCTGCCCAAAATGCGAAATGAAAATCTAGCTTAGGCTGAGCAATGTGCTTGAAAATCTGAGAGAGGTGGAACTCTTTCGAGTGTTGGTGTAGCAAAGTTGTCAACCAGGGTGACATTGCCATATCAAAACGATCCTCACAAAGAAATCCGTGCTCTTGCCGGTTTTGTTCTGCAGATTGTTCAAGATATTGTCCTCTTCCTTCCCCCACCTCTCCCCCCGACCCCGAGTATGCGAGAGCGCCTCACACATGTGAGTCTATCCTCGGTTCCAGGAAGAAATGAGTGTTATCCGAATTAGACTACTTCAGGCGCAGTTTAAAGGGGGGTAACCTGTTCGTCACAACTCGAGAAAGTCCCCGAGCCCGAGTTGGTTGACCGGGCGCCTAGAGCTTACACTTTTTCGTGGGAGCGGCTTTGGTTCTCCTAATGCCGACTAGACAGAGCCACCCCAGGGGCATTAGCTTTTGTTTCCCGCCTCCGGAGTCGACATGAAATCGACATGAAATACCGGTCCCCTCGGAGTTATGGTTGCATCTTCTCAATGTATCTAGCGGAGTTGTTGAATTTATCGACAATAAGTCGAGAGACGCTTCGACTCGACGGAGACATCGTGTAGAGGCTGCATCCTCGCCCCCAGATTTTGCAAATCTTGACCCCAGACCACCGCCCCATAGCTTGGAGGCCCCCGGCACACTGTAAGAGAGCTATCTGTTGCCCAGGCCATGAAAGCAGCCTGTTCCCGTAGTACTAGTCTAGTAATCTATTACCATTATCACAACCCACCGGATCAAGACATCGGATTGTTTTAGTATTTAGGCACAAGCAGTCTGCCATACTATCTAACGGAAGTTCTTGCAACCACTACTCCCCACTCTTCCTCACGTCCCATCATTTGGCTTCAAATCCCTGATAATTGATGCTCTTTCCCCCTGCCTTCGCTCAAATTCTGTCGACAATGAAGGTTGCCGGCTCCAGTACCGCTCCTTTTGGAGACGCCTCCTCCACTATTCGTCCCAAGATTCATGCAAAAACTTTCATTGTCCTGGCGGTCAGTTTTGTCCATATGTGTGAATCAAACGTGAAGGTGGTTGGCGAGACTAATGTCATTCGAAGTCGGTGTGCTTTGTTTACGCAGGTCAAACAATTGGAATCATCGCTTCTGGCATCCTTACCCAGCCCTTGGGAATATTGTTCAACAGCCCCGCTGAAGGTGTATGGTTCGCGACTGTAATCAACATCTTCCTGGCTATTGGCTCCCCTCCTGCCTGTCAAATTGCCGACTATTGGGGTAGGAAATGGATTCTTACCATTGTGACTGCTTTTGGGTTCGTGGGAACCGTGGTCATTTCTCGTGCACAATCCATGGGCGCTGCAATCGCAGGCTTTACCATCATGGGCATCGCTTCTGCAGGAGCGCCGTTGATCGTGGCCATCGGGTCAGAAGTCGTTCCGAGAAAACATCGGCCTTACGCTCAAGCACTGGTTTATGCATCCGGGACCTTCGCCGCCGTTGCTGGTCTCCTTATGGCGGGTGCTCTTCTGAGACACAACCATTACGAAAACTTCCGTACTTTCAGCTACGTCCACGCCGGTATTTTTGCTGCTGCTACCGTTGGATTTGCTCTTGTCTATGACCCCCCCCGAAGAGAGCTTCAGACGACGTTAACAGCCAGGGAAAAGCTTGGAAAACTTGACTGGACTGGTTATCTTCTTTTCACTCCAGGTTTGGTGTTATTCTGCGTCGCACTTTCGTTTTACAAGAACCCTTATCCCTGGGGATCAGTGCGGGTTTACGTTACTTTCACCTGTGGCGTTGTTCTGACGATCGCTTTTGGCATTTATGAGTGGTATTTCAAGAAGGACGGCATTCTGAATCATCGCCTGTTCCAGAACCGTAATTTCCCTCTCAGCATTGTCCTCATGTTCGTGGAAGGGGCATTCTTCTTCACCGTCAACGGCTACCTTGTCTTCCAAATTGCCACCTTTACAGGACAGGGTTTCTTTACGTGCACCTTGCATTATGTGGTCGCCTTCGGTGGTGCTACCGCTGCACTACCTTTGGTTGGTTGGGTGGGCTCTAGGTTTCGAACCGTACGGATCCCAATTATCATTGGCATGGTGATTGCTCTGGTCGGTCTCATTTGCATGGCCACCGCCGACTCGAGCACACCCCGCCCAGATTATTGGATTTTCTCTCTCATCCTAGGTATCAGCGCTGCCTGGATGCTCCCTTCAATTATGGTTGCCGCCCAGATGAGTACGCCCCCAGACTTAATTTCAGAGACCTCGGGACTACTTAATGCTGCCAGAGCCGTGGGCTCCACCGTCGGCTTAGCTATCAATAATGCAATTTTCAACAGCGCATTATTTGACAACGCTCCGACAAAGGTTGCTGCGGCAGCTCTGCCTCTCGGATTGCCCGAGACGTCCCTTCCCGCACTCATTTCAGGACTCATCGCACGAGATCAGAATGCGTTAATGCAGATTCCTAGCATAACACTGGATATAATCAATGCAGCTTCCATGGGATTGTTGAAAGCCTACAACATTGCTTTCAGGGATGCGTGGATTTTGTCATGCACTCTCTGCTTCTTAGCCGTTATCGGTAAGTGCCGAATGTCTGCAAAGAATTTTCAAACGTTAACATCTGCCATAGTCAGTTGTTTCCTTTTCGAACCGGAGAATGAGTTCACTTCGCATATCGATGCACCGGTCGAGAAGGATGTTTTGGAGTCGCAGGCTACGTTTGAGCATATCTCAAACGCTGAAAAACCCCATATCGCTACGACTCATTTTGAATGAATCAGGTGGAACGTGCTAATGGAAGAGCGCTTTGCGGGTCCGGACCGACGAGGTTTGAGCACCTAGGAATCGATGTGGAGAGGTCTCTGGCTGCGTTCTACGTTCTATTCTGAGTTCTCCTGAGCGCCGCAAAGCGGCTGGTGGTGGAAAATACGTGGATTCTCCTCCTCTTGAGCTGAAACACTTCTGTTTGCTGGTGCATAGATAGAGGGAGCAGTCTCGATCGAGAAGATGTAGAATGTTGCTGGCAATGAAAGGGTTCACCCGTTGGCGGTAGAGACTGGCAAACTAGAAACTGCAGTGATGCTGTTTTCGTGGCTAGACGCCAAGTTGAAGTCGGCCTTGCTCGGCCAGTCACCGTATACCGGACGGGCCGAAGACTCGACTCAACCAGTCTTAGATCACAGGCAGACACCTCCGCCAGATCGACGCTACCCTTCTGAGAAAACATATCCGAATACATTTACTCCCCCCTAACCTGTAGGGAAGCCTGGGACAGAACACTCGGGGCTACGTGACTTCTCTGACCCGGGTAAGCATCGAGGCCGACCCAGAATGCGAATGCAACCAAGGAGTGGAAATGGGTGCGCCATTCCATTTTCCGGTTCCAGGGATTCTAAGGTCTACGGTCAGAATGACTGTAGGAGCAACGCAAGGAATAAACGCAAGGAATACCGTTGGGAACTTTTGAGACATGCGTGGGTATACTCTGTAAGCCGATCAGAAACTTCGATCCTTACTGCTTGCATGAGGGTTACCAACACGGGAATGCTGCAAGTAGCGCAATGATGGCTGAGGCAACATCCGGTAGCATCGACAAGGATCACAGCGACGTCGCAGGACGCTGCAACGACAACGAGGGTAACCAAGCGCCTATATAAGGGCAAGGTATCAGCAAGGTATCGGCATAGACTAGGGAGGGGAGATAGAGGAATTGAAATGATGGGATTGCAAGCAGAACAACGTTGTACGTAGCATTATCTTGATTTTTAAACACGCAGCACTTGATTGGCAAAAAGATCAACTCGTCCCAAATTTTCGCCTGAATGAGTGATGAAGGGCTTTTCATAGCTTGGACCCGGTGAGTTCAGCAAGATCAGAGCTTGCAAGCTGGCAATGGCTTCTCGTACAGATCCCACTCCTCCCAGTTGATCTTGTGCGTCATTTGGTGATATTCCGAGTGAGACCAAGGCATCGTGAACGTAATCCATCCCCCATCGTTCTTGTAGTATGAATGACAGGACGGATTTGCCCAGGTATACCTTTCTTGATTCTTCTGGACCAGTTGGTTGTACTCCTCCTCGACCCTTCTGTTTGGACACATGGCGAACTTGTTCCCCTGCTTCTCGCGCCGGATTATTTCTCCGATAGCCATTGCGTTGAACTCGGCCTGGTTTTGCCAGGTATCCAGTGGTGAAGACCAGAAACCCACCGAATTGGGGCCGAAACACATAAACATGTTGGGAAATCGACTGGCGGCTAACCCATAGAGTGCCTCGGGGTGGTCTTTCCACTGAGTATGGATATCGGCACCATCAACACCACGAACTGTAATATGTTCGAGGTATTGTGCATTGTTGAACCCTGTGCCATAGATGACGACATCATATTTTCTCTCTTCCTGTTTCCCGGTGGTCTTGTCCGCAGAAATGATTCCACCTTCGGTGTAGGAGACAAGATGGTCTCGTAGAACAGTGCAGTTTGGCTTGCTCAGAGCTGGATAGAAGGTATCTAGCAAAAGGACTCGTTTGCACCAGTCTGGACGATATGGTTAGTCACGTCTGACACGAATGGTTCCTCCAGTTACTTACACTTGGCAGTAGGTCTTAGTTTCTCTCTGAGGACAGGGTCTTTGACTTGTTGCTCTAATTGCTTGTGAGCCTTTTGAGTCGCGTCTTCGTTCAGTTTGTCGTTCTCGGTCACCAAACGCATTCCATACTTCTCGATTGGCCACAATATGTATGCGCGAACCAGATTCGGAAAGTACGGAATCCACTTCATCGCAAAGCGAAACAGGCTTTGCGGAGTTAGTAGATAGCTTCCCTCTCGTAAAGGAACTGATACACTTACCTGTTGTAGGTATAATCACCACGCGGTATGCAGAGAGGTGGGTTGCGCATATAGACCGTCAAATGCTTGGTTTTGTCGACAATTTCTGGTATGATTTGGGCGGCACTTGGACCACAACCAACGACAGCCACAGTTTTCCCAGTTAGATCGTAGTCGTGTCTCCAATCAGCCGTGTGCCAGGAGTCACCTTTGAACACCTCGCGCCCCGGCGTATTTCCATACTTGGGCCGATCGAGATTTCCGGTACAATGAATGAGAACATCGCAGGCCCAATGTTCAACTTTTCCCGCCTTATCCGCGACAGCGACGTGCCAGATCATTCGGTCTTCATCCCACACGCAAGACCTCACTAGCGAATTGAACCTGGTACAGCGATCTAGCTGGTAGTCGCGCGCAAAGTTGTGGTAATACTGCAAAATTTCGTCTCGCTTGGGGAAAAAGTTTCGATAGGCTATTATCATTTAGTATTATTATGGGACAGTCAGAGTGTAGAGCTCACCCACATTTCGAGATGTAATAACTGGTGGTATAGACCATTGAGGGGACATCGCAAGCACAGCCTGGGTAAGAATTTTTAACCCAGGTACCGCCAAATTCCCTCATTGTTTCGAAAATCACCATATCTTCATGTTTAATATGGCCGGAGCCCAGTAGACCAATGGCTTGCTGGATGCCGTTAACGCCTCCACCTACGATGACGACTCTTCGACGACGATGAGGGTGGATACTCGTCTGGGGAACGTCTTCGATCAACTTTGGGTCGGAGACAGGGGCATATCCGGATAGCCTTGCGTACTCGTCTCCACCGAGTAAGCCAGCATTGAACGTCTGCTCTTCTCCGGTGACGGTGACGATGTTCTTCAAATTGGTTTGAGTTTTGGCGGGAGCCATGGCGTATACGCAACAGCAAAAGTCGAGGAGACCGAATATAGTTCTATCCTTACAGATTGATCTTGGTTGAGTTTGGGGTGAGGGTGAGTGGTATTATACTCCTTTTCCCTGCACTGGGTGCCTTAGAAACTGTTACCTTGTTGAAATGCCAACGCTGTCCTGGCTCGGTACATCATTATAGTACGGTCATGTATTTTCGATCACATGTTCGGGGGCCCTTACTTCGGTTGACGTCTGTTTCATCGGCTCACAATAAAGATCTACATCTAGATAGCTTCCATCAAAACTCCGAAAGGATATACCGGTAATAACATGAAGAGTTTCAGAACGGCAACAGCTACTCTTTCCTGTAACATTACCGCAATGAACCTGTAAATCGGATACATTGTATTACTCATCGGGTATTGGTAAATATTACCCATACCCAGTACTTTAGCTGGTAATAAACAAACTCTATTTTAGCCTTGGGGCGCATTCAAGTTGTCCTCTCCGACACAAAGATTTCCAAAGGCAATACGGTGTAGTCTAGGCAGATAAACCTCGAGAGTTAGGCTGGGGGATTCTTCAGACGAGTCAAAGTACGTGGCTTGGCTGAGCCCAGGCCTTAATAAGTATTAAGGAGACGATTCAACTCGCCGACCTCGCCCGAGCGAGGATCTTCCCGTTCACTGTTTGACTGGGGTTCAGATCTACCGCACGTCGATATATGCCAAGATCATTGCTGCGAAGCACCAGCTATTGTGGTCTCTCTTCCCGGTTACATATTTAAACGATGCTCTCTGTCAGTTTTATAACCTGCCGTAAGTCTCGCCACCAACTAACTGATCCTCCAAAGCAAGGCCACAGAATTCTTCTAGAAATGGACTTGCGAGAGTATGGCCCACATTACCGTCACGATGCATGGGTTAGTAATGACCCATTGAAACTTCCAGAGACGCCTGGAAAGTCGCTACCCGCAAGATGCATCAAACTTCCCCGCGCCAAAAAGGCGGGGGGCATTGGAGGGGGCCCCTTCTTAGATCTTGCCACCAATTCTCCTCCGAAATACGTTCATTTCCCTTTCATCACCCTACCCGCTCTCTTCGATAGCCCACCACCGTTCTAGCCACCAGACTCCTGCCCCAGTGATACCATCGTCGCAGACCTTCTGACTGTCATGGATGCAAGAAAAGAAGCTGTTCCCGGAAATGGTTCGCTTAAAGCCTCAGCAAGGTGTGTGCCACTACTCTCCGACCTGACAGCTGTTGGCCACACAAGGACCATGTCATCATTCGACCTGATAATTGCTCAATAGATATTCCTGTTTGATTTGCTTCCGAAGTTTCAGCCGAAAGTAAGCCGAAGATTGATGGGGAAATCATAACATTGGTGGAACACTTCTGATCTGATTTAGAGATACGTTGTTGCGACATGTGAGGACTCACGACTTGTATTGCGGCCCTTCAAAAGTCAGACGAAAGGCTTGCATACCATGCTCAAGGTATGTAGATGTCGGTAATATCGACTCGCTCCCTGAGTGAAGCTTAATTCTTTTCTTTGTAGGTCAAAGCTAAAGTGCCTGGGTGAGCGGCCATCTTGTTCAACCTGCTCTAAGCGACAGATGGCTTGCGCCTACGAACGAGCTCCCCAAGACATCCCCCGAACCCTGGAGGTTCCGTCGCGCGATAGAACTTCAAGTATGACAATCCAACAAGATCAACCATTGGGAGACCTGGAATTTCTGCCTCTGGAGAAGCAGACTTCGCACCCCAAGAGTCAAAGTACCATGGAGATCGGGTGTGCGACCGACTCCCGCAATGGTTGTGCTAGTCCGCAAAATACACTTCCGGATTTCGTTGAACATGATCTGTCTGATTTGTTGACGCATTATAACGAATTTGACTTCTCGTCTGCGTTCGACGCGGTCGACAACAATCCCAGTCCCAGACTCGAGTGGAATTATGACGCGGGCACTATCGAAACTCGACTCTGAAGCGCTCCATCTACCCTTTGAGAGCAGCATGGACCTATCTAACTTGATATCTTTTCAAAACACCTACCCAACTGAGATTCCGGCTGGAAAGGAGTGTATGAACAGTCTCGAACAGGCTCCCGATGGTGGCGAGTTTGCTTCATGTTCATGGCCAACAACATCGCAGCAAGATGCCTCGGGAGTTGACATTCCTTGGCCAATCGAATGGCAGACGGCTGCGAAGGCCTCCGTACTACCTGAATTCGAACCGGATCTCGTGCAGCCCTTTTTTTGGGCGATTCTTTCTTCTGCAAAGCCTCTGAGCAATGCAGCACGGGCCTCTTTCCGCCAACTGATTGATTTGGCCACGCAAAAGAGTTTGTGGCGGTCAACAAACGTTGGCAATTTTTCCAGCAGGGACGTGCTCAGCAGTTGCCTCCATTTATACTTCAATCATTTCCACGAGGTTAGGTTTCTCATTTCAAAGCGTTGACACCTCCTTTTCTCATCACTCTCCACAGATGCTTCCGATTGTCCATCGCCCTACTTTTGACCCAGATGATAGTCTTATTACGACCCTTGCTATGGCTGGGATTGGGGCCAGCTATGTTACTTCACCTAACGCACAACTCTTTTCTAAAACCATCCTAGAGCTCAACCGCCAGATCCTTACTTTGAAGGTGAGAAAATTGAAACTTACCTTGTGAAAGTACAACGTGGCTTGCTAATTTTGTCTCTGAATGGAATCAGGCTGAGAACGACCATCACTTTGTCCGTACAGAGACTTATCTAACGGTTCAGCTTTTGCAAGGGTTTCATGGTTATTTCAGTGGCAACCCTCATCTTTTCGAGATGAACGAGGCACGTAGAAACTCACTGGTCTATTATGCCGAATGTATAGGGCTCTTTCACGACCATTCGCCTTCTTCATCAACCTCTGCAAACACTGAAGAAGTGTGGAGAGAATGGATCCACCAAGAACGACGAAATCGACTCGCCTGGGCGATATACGTAAGGCTCCCCCCAAAATTCTGTCCTGTTTGAGATATATTTTTCCATGCGCTGATAACCCCTTCTCCCTTATTCCGGAATACGACACGTCGGTTGCCTTTATTCAGCACACTCGAGCCTGTCTTACGATAGAAGATATGAGACTTCCGCTCCCAAGCTCATCAAAGCTCTGGAATGCAGAATCATCGTATGTTTGGAATGCCCTACGTCCATGGACTGATGACTACCCGCTCGCTTCAAAGCTGTCAGCCGTCATTCCGCCTCTATTCATGGGCACACCCGACGCAGCTTTTGACGTCGATGAAAGCCATCGGCATCTGATCTTCTTGACTTTCATACGGATGCTTTTCCGACTCAAAGAACCCAAGATAAACTTCTTTACGGATCCACTGCCACAAGGCCCCAACGATGGTCAAGAGCATATTCTGTACGCGCTGAATAGCCTCGCGCGATCGCCGGTGGCAGTATCGTCGATGTGTGGCCGCTCTGAGCTCAGGCATATCGCCAATCAAGCGCAACTATTTCACATCGGCCACTTGGCAGCCTCGAGCGATCTGATAAACATTTTATATCCGGCAATACGGTTTTTTGCTGGGACCAGAGGGATCCACAACGATTTCAAGTCAGTGCACTTGCTTGTAGCTGCCCTAGCTACAGCCAATCAGGCCTCGATTCGCAAGCTCATCTACCACTGCGCCCAGATCCTAGCATTGGTCCGTCGATACCCTACTGGCTGGATCTATGAGCCTTTCATTGTTTTCCATGCTGGAATCATTCTATTTTTAACGGCCGGGCTTATTCCTCCGCCTTGTTCATCTGCTGTGGCGGGTGCCACGCTCCAACTTGATGACATAGAGGTGACACGGTATACTTCGCCAAGCGCGAAAATTGCAACCTGGGTTCGTGACGGCGGAGACAAGGTAATCAGTCTCGACCGGATACCCGTGCTATGTTGTCGAGAAGGCCGCCAGGAGCTTCTTGAGTATACCGCCGAACTTCTCAAAAGAGGAGGCTGGGAAATCGGACGCGAGTTTGTCAAGTTGTTATTTTTATTCCGTGACCCTATATGATGGTGTGGGAACGGGGTTAGATCGGGTCATTTCTCTAACTTGTAGCAAAAAGTGGCTGGCTAGACAAAGGTTGTCAAGGGAAGTTCGATTTTGATACCAGCTTTCCTTTCAGGCGAGGCGAAGTCTACCGTGGAAAGCCAGGACCTTACTTGAGGATGCACTCCATATACAATGAACGCCTCAATCGTTTCTGCAAGCCTAGCAGTTGTTAAGCCGACCTTCAAGAACACGCCTGCGAAAGGGACCGTTTAAGTTGTCGATAGAAAGCTCCCAATGCGGACGTGTCTTTGATGGATCCCGCTGAAGGGTGATGATTGAACCGGTCATGTCAAACAGTCCCTCATGTAGACAGACATCCAGGCCTCTTGATCGGTGACCCACCAAAACCCACATTCCCCGATGATTGGCTCGTCGATAGACCTTGCTACCTTCAAAGACTTCTTCGCAATCTAAAGAATCCATGGACAAATATGACCATTCGTTCGGTGCTTCGTGCACAAAGGTCGGATCCTGGTCACCTACCCAAGAGTCTCTGAGAAGATACACAGGATTAAAATCGAAGTCGAACTCTAAGGCGGCTTGCCGTAGGCTGCCGCTCTCGGGAGAAAATTCCAGCACCAGAACAACGATACGGCCCTCGTATATATGTATATATATATATAGAGTTTTCGAACCTTTTGGACGGGTCAACGCAAAATCGTTTCAGGTCTTCTCAATTTCTTCTCCACTGTTGGCTCCATCCGCATTGATAAAATGTCGTGGTATTACAGTGATGAAATTGGATGGTATTAGCGGGTGGGAGCGCACAAGCAGAACGAGTGGGAGCAGAACAAGGAGCGGTGGCGACATCTCCTTCATCTAGTATGGAGTATGGTGTGTTCGAACAGTGTTGTGGAGCCCCCTTCCCCCACCAAAAAAAAAGGCGGCGTTGAGGACCACAGCCAAAAAGACTTTCCAGGAACCACCTGGCAAGGCCTTGTGGGAGTATCAACGGCTGTTCGAGCGTGTCTTTGGCGACATTGGATCCTGCAGAATTGAAGAAGCCGCCGACGAGCCGCTTCAAGGATCTCATCGGCTAGTCAGTTCCGTGACAGCTCTGGGTAAGTTTGATTGAGCTGTGAAATACAGAGTTGCTGAGATTGCTTCCAGGTCTACACCACAACGACGAAAAGAAATACACGGACCGCCTTCAATCCTGGGAAAACTTCAATCTATGCTGGCAAGCGCTGGGACAAAAACAGAAAGACATGATATCAGAAACCTTGGAGACCGGAAGGCAACCTGCAGACATACTTTCAGCGGACACTATCAAGAGTCTGATGGATGATTTGGTGGACATAGGTGATAAACCGGAACCGTATAGCCTAGTCGACTTCGAGATGGGCTTTTGGGAAGAGGAGATCATCCACGTGTTAACCGAGTGCCTCGATGACGCCCACGGACGGAGATCAATGTCGGTCGAAAGGGAGCCAAACTCGTCACCCGTCTCCGCGGACTGTTCGGACGAGTTCTATCGAAATTTTGCGCCGTGGGAAGGGGGTTAGCTCGATGCTATGCAACAAATGATATGATTGACAAGGTGGCTTCTAGGCGAACCATTCAATGTGAAGGACACGCCAATTGAGAGCCAGATTTAACTGCATCATGGTGTGCGTTGTGGCTTTGGGGTCGGGAAGTGCCGTACTGATCCTTGGTGCAGCCAAAACCATCCATTCAAGATGGGGAGTCAGGAGCGGTTGACGTCAAAGTGCAAATGTGCAGATTATTGCCACTTGGTCACACGTGTTCGCTTTTCCAATGTCTTGCCATAAGGAATCCTGATCACCTTGCTCTGTTTGTACAGCCATTCATGGTCTGGTGTGAGTCTCCTTCCTTCAGATTTTGGATATCTTTGGTGAATTCTTGCTGGCTTCGAATGGCTGCTGAGTCCAAGATGTGGCTCTTGGGTCACGTTTGGTAAATTGGTAGCCTGCTTGGGGTGCGAAAGAGTTGGCGTTAGTTTCTGGACAGGACTTGCCGGGCCGACATACTCGTCATCGCGTTTGGTATAATCGTTTTTGCTAACTCTAGGGTCGAATTCGTTTGCAATGCTCCCTGTTCCATAGGTGCCTCAAGGTGTAAGTTACGCAGCCAAACTCAGCCGGTAATGTGAGCGACTTCCGCGATCTTAAGGTGCAAGACTGCCATGGCTGCGGCGCCTTGATTCTTGCTCTGCGGAGAGGCTGATGGACTCCGGCGCGCTGATTGGGTGTGAACAAACCTGTGTCCAGGATATGGCGCAGCAACGTGCTTTTCCGTTCCTTCAAGGCGCCGCCGCATAACATCGACCGCACGGCCTAATAGACGGAGAGGAGGTCGCATGCCTACCAAGCCAGAGAGGTAGTGAAGGCAGATAGAAGAGGGGTCAACCGGTGTTCCGTGAATCGGATTGCATGTCGAGCAAGAGAGACTGCGAGGCTCAGATGGATGAGCGCGGAAGACCAAAGAATCGAAACTCATGCAGGTGGGATTCACTTGGGCCGGCCTCGGTTCGCACTGTTTCTCATCTGAACACGCAAGGGAACATTAGTCGTCCGTCTGGAGGCCGTTGTGCAAGCATAGTAAACTGGAGATCCTCCTACCCAACGAACTCCAGTACCGTTTTGGACTTGTCGCACGAGTCGCGCCCAAGTTTCCCACCGAGTGACCTTTTGAAGCCTGAAGCCCATTATTCTGTGCCAGTCCTGGTCTCGCCAAACACCGCATGACTGCTTTGCGGTCTTGCGGGAGGTTTATCATAAGACGTCGTCCTTGCTGTTCTCACCAACAGCGCGCACCTCCAAGGTTTCTTGGAACAGTGGCGCCTGTGCCTTCGCAGGTTTCTACAGGACCACGTCACACCCCAACCCTCTGGTGGCAAGCTGTTCGCTCCTTCCGATGCCTCCTCAACCGGGCGAGGGAGTCGATGTCGACAAAACCGCGTGCCTATTCTCTGACCTGCATCGGCCCTGTACCTACCGAGGCGAAGGTCCCGAAGCTCGAGCGAGCCAGCGGCCCTCATCATTCACTGTTGGTGATTCCCGGCAATGCCAAGGGATGTAAAGACCGCTTGTAGGCTAGTCAGACCTTCGTAAGATTACGAACGGCTTCGAAAGTATATAGTCAGGCGTCTCCCCAGAGCCCTTTGAAATCCCGACATGTCCTCCAATGAGTCACATGTTACACGCGGGGATGCCCACTTTGGCCCTTTACATCCGCAACCAGTTCATCAACGGCGGGAGTAGGACCTGTCAAAAACAAGCCCAACCTGTCCGACATCCTCAAGGACATACGGTAATTTGCCTATCAGACGTCATACGAGATTTTCACCAAGGAAAAGCATGGGGAAGAACTCCCTGGTGTCAAGATATGTAGTGACAAAGCAGGCCGGCGACATTGATGGCTCGAATGCTATAATTTAAAGCTGGGAAAATTCGACCGCGTGGCTTAGGTCTAGGTGAAGCACCCCGAATATGAAAGTTCCACGATCAAATAAAGTAGAGGTCCAGCTTCTTCGTAGCCCTAAGGAGAAGCTGTCGAAGCAGGATTCGACCGAGCACGGATTGGGAGACTAGAGTCCTCAAAAGAATACCCTCGAACCCCCAATCCGGTGACCATTTCATATCGCCCCCTAACTTCATCGCTGAACGATAGTGTTAGACACAGCCTTGAAGGCCCGCGAGCAGGACGTGGGATGAACTAGGAAGGAAGCTCAACCGAACAAGGCAGCCTCGGGAAGCAAGGCTGAAAGAAGTCACGTAATGTCCAGGACAGGAAAGAAGTGGCCTATTGACATGTTGGACTGGAACATACCAACATACCAACATACCGACCCACATTACTCCATACGGAAAGCCCATATAAGTATATAGCTACGCTCATTTCCCCTAGATAGCTTATACTCTCTTCGTAGCCAACTCATATTAACTATTGAACTTATAGTTCTTAGTGACAAGTGACTTCTTATACCTTACGTTCTTCTTAACCAGTTCATACTATTAGAATTATTACTAGAAACCCTAATCTAGTTAGGCCCCGGTAGAAACCTTAACACTTTAGCTACCACCCTTATTGTGGAGAACGACCCCTATGAGTAGCTAAGAAAGACCCGACCGATTTATCTCGCTCATTGACGAACTAGCACGACGCATAGTACGACTATCCCTTAACGACACTATATCTACTATTACTAGTACCCCGAGGTTAACACCGAGTACCTCAAGGACGGCAACAACTACCGCCGCGCTAGCACTAGTGACTAAGGGAAAGATTGGCAACTTATCTAAGTCTTTTAACGGCGTAGAATCTAAACTTATACTCTTTATTCACTACACGGATTTATATATTCTAATGAACCTCACTAACTTTTAGAATAACTTATAGAAAATACTCTTTATGAGAAGTTACTTCGAAGGTGATGCCGAGGCTTAGCTTAGACCCTTCGTTAAAAACTATATTAAGAACGAAGCGAATAACAGAGAGGACGAGACTATTAGCCTCTTCGCCACGTTCACGGGGTTCAAGGAAATGATGAAACTAGTATTCGGGGCGAAAGATAAAGAAAAGAAAGTTTAAAAGAAAATAGTAAGTCTCCGATAAACTAAGTCTATTTAAGAATATATAACTAAGTTTAGAACGCTAAATACGAAGCTTAACTAATAAAATAATATCATTATCTTTATCTTTCGAGAAGAATTAAAGCCGAAAATTAAGTGAGAACTTCGATATTTAGAGAAGAAACTACTAGAGAAATAGATAGCTACGGCTATTAAGGAAGATAACGATATTAAAGAATATTACCAGTATAAGCGTCTTAATATCACTTAAAAAATCTATACGATAAGGGCTTAACGAGCTAATACTTAGAAAAGGCGCGAACTTTATTACGAGCCATAATCTATAGATTTAGATTAAACGTAAAAAAGACGTAATAATAATAGAGAAAATAGAAAAGGAAAAACCGATCCTAGAAAAGAAAAAGAAACGACTTATTATAGTTACGGTAAGTTAGGTCATTACGCGAAAGACTATAAAGATAAGAAAAAGTAGATTATAGCTACCGAAAAGAAATCTAAAACTAAGGAAATAGCGACGACTATCTCTAAAGCTAATATAGTAGAAGAAGAAATAGTAATAGTCGAAGAAAGTATCGACAGTAAGAAAGCGATATTAATAGCGATTATATTTACGCGTATATATATCCGAACTAAATATTAGGTAAGAAGAATATATTTAGACCCCTACTATATTTTAACACTACCAGAATATAGCCATACTATATACGAACTAGAAAACTTTCCTTCTAAAATCGAAATAACTTTTAGTATAAGGGTCTACTAGAACGATGAATATCTATAGAAAAGAAGTTATCTAAACTTTATTTATACTTACTAAGAAGACGACTCGAATACCTTAAACGTTTATATATCGAAAGTAGACTCGGAAGTACTAAGAAAATATAATATAATTAATTCGTAATATAACTTCGACTTAAACCTTAGTAAAGAATCGAAGACTTAGTATAAGAAAGAATTAGAATCTCTTATATAAGAAGAATTAAAATAAATTTTCTAAGAAGTAGTAGAAAGAATTAGAGTAAGAACTCACTAAACTTAAGAATTAATGAGGAAAGTAGAGATGACCTCAGTAGAAGAAACCCGATTACGGGCCCTTATAGAAGACGATCTAAGAGAAATCGTAGCGATTATCTAAATATCTAAGGAAGAGATATAAGCTCGATTAACGATAGACCGAATACTAGTTAGAGTAGAGATAGAGATATAAGCGATTTTAAGAACCTACCGAGAACGAGGAGTTAGGGTTCTTCGACTCGTGGAAACTCTACTTAATATTAGCATTTAAGAATTATTCCCTTATAGAATGGTTTACGTCTACTCTCTACGACTAATTTCTCACCTATATACGTAATATCTCGATTACCTATAACTAGAGAAGCTAGGTATAACCGCCGTAGAAGCACAGCGAGTACACGAGGAATCGATAAAGCGATACGCAGTACATAACTACGAGATATCCGATTTAAAAAATAGAAAAATAGATCATCTTCACTAACTAAAAAACTAAAACGATAGTAAAATTAAAGACACCTATACCACCGGAAATATATCTTTAGAAGACACTAACGCTAAAAAATTAGTAAAGACGGCGCACGATTAGTGAAAACTAAAAAAGAAAGAAGAAATTAACGACTTAAGTTAAATATAGTTATAAGATCTAACGCTAAGCTTATATTTCTCGAAGAAATATTAAAAAACTAGGAAGTTAGTATTCTAATTAACTCTAAATACACTAAGAATCTAGTACACACTAGGATAGTAGAAAAGCTACCGTAATAGAAAGCTAAAAGACCGAGATCCGATATAATTATAGGATTCGACGGCACCATTATATCCGAACTTATATATAAGTTACGATTAATACGATTAACGATCGACGAATATTAAGAAGAACTAGACCTCGACATTATAAACATAAAATATAATATAGTACTAAGTATATCTTAGTT